TACAAATTTATCCTTCCAAATCTTTATTGATTTATTTTCTATAATAACAATTTCTATTAGATTAAAGATAAGATCTCTATTTGATAAAGATTTCAAAATTATTGTTTCTTAATAGGTTTTATTGTTTTTGTAATTTGATAATTTATTTAAAGTATCTGTTTTTACATTATCTTTTCCTTTGATATATTTGATTATCAGATCAAACCCTATTAATTTCTCAATCTATCTAATTAATCTACAATTATCCAAGATTTTAATGATAATAAAGATTCGAAGATTTATATAATCAGTATAAATAATTATTAGGAATTTAGTTCTTTGAAGATAGATCCTTCAATATTTTAATGTTTTTATAATAACTATAAATTCCTTCTTATAAATATTATAATTCTACTTTATTTTATTTATTTTATTTGAATAATAAACAATAAAATATAATTTCCCATTATCGTCTTTTTATAAATAAATTTCTATTATATAAATATCAAAGGTATCTATTTCGATAATACTTTTTCAATTATTATAATAATTATAAAAGATAAGTTCTTTTATAAATCTATCTTTGTGTAACGATCTGGTTGAGGCAGCGGCTGCCTCAGGATTCGTCTGGTTGGTAGTTGTAGGTTAAGGCTAATAATCACTGGTTATCCACTCGAAGATGAATATATTACTAGATCAATTGGAATGTAGGTAAACCGATTGATAACTAAGTTGAGCACGAAGCTCTTAAACTATGAAACTATTCTGACTATATACTAATCCATTTCGGGAGCATCCAGAAGCCTACGCTCCTGAGGGCTCCAAGGAGCCTACGGGAGCCCACGCTCCTGGAGGCTCCATCACGTGACTAGGATCAGACCATATGTCCGAGCTTGCTGAAGGTGGGGAGACCATATGAAGCGGTTGCCATACAAATTAGTATACAGATTGCTTGGCTTTTCAGGGAGGTCTAAGCTTATAAGGACAGGTTGACTGTTATCCGTAACACTCTATAAAATGATTTCGTGACACTTTGATTTTCTGAAAAATCTATTTTATCTTTTTATTCTATATAAAAGTTATTCCTTTTTTAATCATTTCGATAAAGAATTCCATTATTTTCGAAAAGTTTTTTATAAATATTCGATAGAAATTAACAAATCCTAATATAGATTATATATCCTTGATATTTTTGGATTGTTCTTAGTTTCTTACCTTCTTTGTTTTCTCAAAATCTATACTCATTTATTCTAATTGAATAATATATCCTAGGAATATTACCTTTCATATTCCAAACTTGTATTTCAATAATTTGAATCTTGAATCTATTTTTCTGAATATTTCAAATACTTTCAATATATATCCTTTGTATTCTTTTTCTTTCTAAAAGAAAATTAGAATATCATCCAAATAATAAATTATAAACGAATTGAATTCCTTGAATATCTTATTATTTTGTTATTGATATATAACTAATATATTGATTAATCTGAATAATATAATTATATATTCCTATAAACTTAATAATAAAATAAAGATTGTTTTTCATTTATGATTCTTTTTTATTTGTATCAAATTGAAAGCATTTCTTTGATTTAATTTCATATAAATCATAATTCTATTCAACTTATCCTTGAATTTCTAAGTTTTTGATATTAGATATATATCTTTGATTGTTTTATTATTAACTCGATAATAATCTTTACAAAATCGATCATCTGGATTGTTTTTTTTAAATATTAATAATATATTGAATATACAAAAGGACTTGGATTTTCTAATTTATCTTTTCTTTTCAGTTTTGATTTTGTATTCTTTTCATATTTATATAATATTAAAATTATATAACCTCAACTTTTCAATAAAGAATACAAATCCCTCTTTGAAATTGATTTTATAATTTTAAGATTTATATTCTAATAAAGTCCTCAAATCTTAAAGGTTTTTAAAGAGTTTGACGAATCTTTTATATTACATTAGAATTTCTTTTTCATCGATTTTATCGATCAATAAAAGATCCATTGTTGTTATAATATAATATCTAATCTTTTAAGAAGTTTGTTCTTTTGGATTATATAATCATTTATTATTGTAATTATAATGATCGAATATTAAGATATTTTTTATCTAATCGATATTTGAATTGTATTTCTTTATCTATAAGATACCAAAAACAATTATATATCTACTTAATAACACTAAATCCATTTTGACCCACTCAATATACTTATCTAATATAATCATCTTAATAACATTGGTTTCTTTATATATCTAATCATCAATTCCAGCTTTCTTTCTTTTTAACAATATCAACTAATAAAGATCTTGTTTTAATTTCATAAGAATTCTATTTTCTTTTGCAAAGTTGGGATCTATAAATATATTTATAACTCCAGAATCAATCAAAATATTAACTTATTGATTCTCTAATTTGATTTCTACAATTAATTGCTCGATTCTTATAATACTATTTAATTCTAACAATAATAATTCGATGATTTGTTCTCCGATAAAGAGATTCAATTATTCATATTAATATTCGTTTATATTCAATAATCAATAAGATATAATAAATAATAATCCTATTAATCCTATTTAGAAATCTCGACAATAATCTCGGTTTGACACTTCTTCATCATCTCTATCGATCCTTCGCCAAATATAACGAATCCTGATTTGTAATAGGATTTCCTATATATCTTCAATTTCCAAATTATCTTTGTTATATTCCTATACTTCATCGAAGGATAAAGAATCTATATTTATAATGTATCTTTTAATATCGTTTACTTCAATATTTTCTTTAAATATTATATAATAAATATCATTATATACTATAATATAAAGTATAAACAAAATGAGATGATTATGAATTCTATATTTCTCGATGAAATTAGGTTTCTTTTCTTTATAATGATATTATATTCATCTTTTATCTAAATAATTGATTAGATATTATAATTTATTTTCTTGAAACAAATAATGAAACTCAATTGATTATTGATTCTTTTTTAATTTCTTGATTGGTTCTTTATCTTCTAATTCGAAATCTTTTGAAAATTCTTTTTTGTAATTGATATTATTTTTAGTATTAGTTTTAGGATTTTGATTATTGATATCTAATTCCTTTAATTATTCGGGATTAAATTAAGATAGATTTTTTTCCAATAATTCTATTTCCTTTGAGTTTTTTTTTAAAATCCCTATTTTTCAAGAATTCTATTTTTTATTTCCAAATTTTATTTGTTTCCTGTTTTTTATAATGCATGATTTCTTCTTTTGAAAATAATCTCAAAATATATATTCATTTTTCCTACAAGTATAATATAAATTATTCTTTTTGTATTTCTTTTTCTTGTTAATACTTAGATTGCTTGACTTTATATAATATTGTTCGATATTATTCAATTTTATTAAATCGTTGGTATTATAATATCTATTCTGATAATAAGGTTTTTGAAACTTTTTACTTTTCTAAATAATTTCTTTCTTTTTTATTTGTTGTTTATAAAATCGATTGTTAATAAAAATGAAGGTTTCGATTAATTCAGAAAGATTAAATAATTTCGGAACTTTTGTTAATTCGTCCTTGATGATATCTTTCAATTCTTTATAAAATTGTGATTTTAAATAATCATTATCCCAGATAATATATTTGATATATTATTGAAATTTGATAATATAAACTGTAATTGATCTGGTTTGTCTGAATTATTATAATACTTTTTCAGTTATATAATCAAGGTTTACTTCCCCGAATACTCTATCGAATCCCTATCTGAATGATTTATAATTGAGAAAGAAATAATGAATCTCAGATTTTATATTTTCATTCAATTGATCATTAATAGTTTTGATCATTAGATTATTGAAAAATAATTCGATTCAATTGAATACAATTTTATAAAAAAAAAGAGATTAATTATAAGATCCTTTATATAAAAGTCAAGAAAAGTTATCTATTAAAAATATAATAAAGATCAATTTGTATAACAAAAGTTCGATATTTATTATGATCTTTATAGAATAAATCAAAGATGGATATTTGAATTGTTTGTTTGTATTTTATAATGACGATAATTTGAATAAGAACTTCGATTAGGTTAAATGAAGACAATTCGATAGATTGCTAATTGGAAGATATTATACTATATATAGTTTAACTATAACAATACTCAAAGTGTAACAATTTAATCGAAATAGCAATTGCCTTAGGTTTTTATATAATTGATAATTATAAATTAAAGCTAATAATTATTGATTATTTATTTGAAAATGAATATATTATTAAATCAATTAGAATATAGATAAACTAATTAATAACTAAATTGAATACAAAGTTTTTAAATTATAAAACTATTTTAATTATATATTAATGAATATAAAGAAGCTTTGTAGAGTTTTAGGATTTCAAAAAGCTTTTAAAGTTCTAAAAGCTTTCGAAGTTTCTAGAGCTCTTTATTATATGATTAGAATCAGATTATATATCCGAATTTGCTAAAAATAGAGAGACTATATAAAATGATTACTATACAAATTTATATACAAATCATCTTGCTTTTCAATAAGGCCTAAGCTCATATGGATATATTGACTGCTGCCCTTTAATATATTCTTATCTTAATTATAAATTGTAACAAAAGCTTCTTTTCATTCATTAATATATAATTAGAATAATTTCATAGTTTAGAAACTTCATATTCAATTTAATTATCAATTAGTTTATTTATATTCCAATTGATCTAGTAACGAATTCACTTTTAAATGAATAATCAATAATTATTAACCTTAATCTACAATTACCAACCATATAAAACCTCAGGCAGCCGCTGCCTCGACCAGATCGTTACATTTAGATAAGTATCAAATATATATTTATATATATATCAGAAATATAAATAAAATAACAATAGAATTTATCTATTATTGAAATAAATATAAAAATCTATATACCTCTTTACTTACAATCAATAAATCAATCTTATATATTATATATATTATATATTTATATATATTTATATATATATACACATTCACATACAAAAAGACCATTGGTAAACCATGAATTTTTAACTACTAACTCGATTTAACAAGTACACACCCATCCCATCACTCCCTTAGCTGATGTGAATATCCCCACATACATCCATTCATTTCGCCTGATGACGATATCTCACTATATACCCGTCCAATTCCCCCATCGAACAAGTTGAGTAAAAATCAGGAGTAATCATCAACATCATGATTAAATGATCTGACCGATCACTTCGCTCTCACTCATAGGCACACATGAAACTATGTCCAAGAATGGTGGAGGTAGCTCCGAGTGAAGAAGTGTTTGGTAAGTCTCACGCCCTCGTAAGACTCACCGTATCTTCTACATAAAGGAAAAATAATCAAAACGCCAACCTTATGCTTATGGCTAAGCTCAACCCCAAATCCTTAAGACGAAACAAACCACCGCTGCTATGCAGAATCGAGTATGTCATTCATCTCGCAGATGGGATATCAATAAGAACGCCTATGCTCGTCCTCGTATTCGCTATGCCCTGGATCATTTCGTCGTAACATCAAAGCCCATACACACGCCCAATTCCGATGCCAAACCTGACCAAACCAAATTACAAAACAACCGAAACACAAAGACCCAGACCATCCCGTTTCTCCCAACACCGCATCAATGAATGAAATGAAATGTACCCCACCTCGCATATACATGCTGTCCAAGTGTAATGAAAAACTTTTTGAATTCTAAATATATACTCCGTACGTGGGCATGCTGCCCATTTGAATCAAATCAAGATAACTTACTTCTCACCAATTGTCTCTACATATCTAATAATATGTCGTATAGAGTCCCAAGAAGTTTCATCAAGTGGAAATTTGAGGCTGAGGAAAACTTCGTACAAAACCCGCCTCCGTCAAAGTTTCACCTACTTTGAGTCCGTGGTTAGGCACATTCTGATCAACAGCCTGCGCGATAGTTTGATTGACAGTGTTTGCAACAGGTGATGTGGCACCACCAGACTTATTGTTGTTAGATGAAGCCTGTGGTGGCGGGTTTGAAGGATTGGCCGGCGCAGGAGAGGATGAGGCTGCATTTGGTCTCGGAGGTGCATTTTGGGAGGATACAGAATTGTTTCGTGGTAAAGCTGGTGTCATCAATGGTGGTCTGGGCACAGAAGGACCACCGGCTTGATTTTGGTTGTTTCCATAAAACGATGGGCGCATGATCGTCGTCTGTTTTGGAAGGTCTGATCCAGAAGCTTTTCCAGGCTGTTGAGATGTGTTGACTTGTGGTTTGTTTGTACTAACCGACGGCTGGAAAGGTTGTTGCGGGGCAGAATGTTGTTGTTGGGTATGATGAGACGGGTTGGCAGGAGGCTGACGAGGAACCGGTGGTAATTTAAGAACGTTAAGTACACCATTGATAAGTTTCATTTCATGTTCCGTACTGTCAAGAGAACGATCGTCTTCGGTGTTATCATAAACCCGTTTTATGGCCTTGTCCACAAGTGCTTCGGCATCATTCTGGGGCGCTCTTTGTCGCATTAAGTTGACAACGTGATTACGGTACCCATTTACCGCAGCAACTAGGTTAGGATGAATAACTCTCTTTTGGTGAACGGGAACTGATGCAGCTTGAGGTTCAGCCTGAGGGGCCATTTGACTTTGGCTGCTAGCTGATGGTTGTGGCTGCTGTTGCTGTGGCGGCGTTGTTGATTGAGACGTAATTGGTGGTTGTGATACTCCTTGTGCTTGGTAGGGAGACTGCTGTGGATTTTGCTGTTGAAGCTGCTGCTGCTGAGCTTGTTGCGGTGGAGGCTGTTGCTGTTGCTGAGTACCATGAGATTGTGTTGTGGCAGCAGGCGGTTTCGGAGCATATGGAGAACTATAAGACACCGGTGCAGTAGGTGCCAACTGAGGTGCCATTGGAGGAATGAAAGGTGGTTGAATAGCGTGAGGTGGAGCGTAGCCCTGCGCAGGATAAGGCGTGTAGTGATGATTTGGACCCACGTAAGGCGGACCCTGCAGGTATTGTTGGTACTCTCCCTGTGGATGTGGGTGCATCTGGTGATGATATAATTGCGGATTCACCATATATCCAGATGGAGGCTGCATTTGATTAGGACCATAACCCGGAACTGAATGGCCAGCTTGATATATTGGTTGGTTAACACCTGCAACTGGAGGTGAAGGTGCTTTCTTCTTCTTCTCCTTTAGGTAAGTCATCCCTGGTCTTATACACCAAGCCCAGCCTTTACCAGCGCGCTTCGTCCGCTCAAAACACTCATGCTGTCCTAAATTGTGCCGGACGCTACTCTGCCATCCTTTTGACTCTTGGAAAGCATAATACGGATACTTGACCTCCATCTCGTTATAAATCTGTGGAAGACACAAAGGTTGATCTGCATCGCGTAGCAGCTCCCAAATAGTCTGCAGATAATTTGTGGGTGGCTTTGTAAGTTGATCTACAGTACAATCCTCTTTTTTGTGGGTGACTTCCTTCAAAACATAGGCGACTTTTCTGGAACTTCCACTTTTGGTTTGTATGCAATTACCATCAAAATCAAACTTATCCTCATCACGATCCTCAGGTTCCTTGGGACCCGATTGTCTCTTGGTATATTTGCGTTTTTGGCGTGGCGGCCCTTCTTCCGAGACATCTGGTCGGGGATGCTTCCTTGGCCTTCCAACTTTGTTTTTTCCAGGTACAGTTTTTGAGGCTGTTGCTTGATTTCGCACTTGAACTTTATGCTCTTCCTGGGCGCGTTCTTCCTCTTGAATTCTCTCTCTCTCCAATGCTTCTTTCTTGGCAATTTGTTGTTCGCGTTTAGACATGAAGCCATTCTTAGGTGGTCGCCCCGGTCCACGTTTCTTTGCGGGTTTTGGGCTTGTGTCGGTTGGACTGTTAGCCGGGGATTCTGGTTCCTGGGTGCCTTGTTCCTCGTCATTCTGTGATCTATGTGGGACAGTATTATCGAGACTTTCAGATCGTAGAGATGGATCGTAATCCGCTCTTTGGTCTTCATTATCGGTATTTTCGTCACCAACAAATGGGTTTCCATCATCTGTAGAGCATTCACTATTGTCGGTGGACATCTGATCGCCGGCTCGTGGTGGGTCGTCAAAGCTAAGACTCATCTCCTTACCCCCTTCCGAGTAAGTTGCTAGATCATCTCTGAATTCTTCGAGTGGCTCGACTCCTGAGTACTCGAATCCTGCGTCGTCGATTACGACATCTGGTAACATGAACCTGACGTAGATGAAACCCATCTGTAATTTACTACCACTCTTCAATGTTGCTATCTGCTTGTGTTCGTAGAATACACCGTCCACGAATCCTCCGTTCCTACCAAGAAACTCTACTTGAAAATTATCATGGTGGTTATCATAGAAGATTCTAACATGTTCTCTGGATATAGCTTTAAAGCCTGCAATACCTTTATCGAAGGGGGGGTGTACATAGATGACGGGGCAACTATCGGGGTCAAGGTTTTGCATCGGCGAATTTCCGAATTGTAAAGGTAGAAAGGGGGCGGGATTTGAACTATGTACAGAGCCACTGTGTGATAAAGGATTGCCAGACTCTGAGTTCTTACTCTTCCTTTCCTTGCGACTTCGCCGGCTTTCTGGTTGCAACGTTATCCAAGGATCCACGATACCAGCAGAACGGTTTTCGATCTTGACCGTTGGCCGAACAGTGAAATCAGATGTATTCCACGCCTGCTCTATCTGTGCTTGCTCTTTCTCGTATCTCTTCATGTTATTGTATGCGGCTACATCGCGACCGATGATCAGTTGATGTGTGGTCATGTAGAATTCGCTATCATCAAAAATCAGTTTTGCATAGCCATCTAATCGTACACCAGGATCTGTTGTTGCGTTCGCATCCCACGGTTGATCCCACGGTTGGTGAATATTTTCATAAGTCTGATCTGGCACAAGGGTGCCATGAGGGTGCAAAGTGCGTTCGAAGATGATATCCGGGTATGGCTTTGCAGCCTGATCTAAATATTCTTGATAAGCTGCGGCCACCATGTCTTCTTGATTTGCCATGTTGCAAGGCGGGAAGGAGTCGATGGATCTGTTAGGTGGGGACTGGGATCGCTTCTGCGTGGGTTGAGCTGTTTGCTCCTCGCCCGAATGCCCATCTACTTCGGGTTTGGGCTCAGGGAATTCTTTTTCGAGTGGGTGTTCTTCGATTTTCGTGTCACATATCTCCATTGCTGACTCGATTGGCGCTTTTGGCAGCGAGGGAATTTCGTTCTCGAGAGATGCCACTTCTGGTTTCTCCATTTCCTTTGCAGCATCAACTGCCTCTTTTGACAGGGGGGCAGATATGTTCTCGGGGAGGTTGTCCATTGGTTGGATTGAAATGGAGGGGAGAGTGGTATCCATTGTAGTAGTAGCAGACTTGTCTTGTTCTGCAGAGCACGATTTGATATTATCGTGGAAATCGGGAGCGTGTGTGTTCAGATTGAACTTATTGATATCCTTATACATATCGCTCTTATCAGGATCCAAGGCGAAATTGGTTGTAGACATTGTTGCAACGGGCGCAATAGGTTGAGTAACGGTTTCCGCGGTCTGTGATGAAGTCATCGCTGCTAAAAACAACTCGTCCACCTTCTACTGTGAAGTGTGAAAGCGAAATTTCATGCAGGAGAAGCGTGGTCACAATGTAGTTGTAAATTACTCGGTGGCGGCGATAGTTGCGAAGGTTGCGAATGTTGCGAAGGAGTCGCTTTTTCGAACGTCAAGAAGTTGGGAAGGAGCATATCGGTATTCATTTTTCGATTGAGGGCCTGGATAAGATCACGTGATATATGATAGTAAAAGCTGACCTTACTAGATCAGGTTAAAGTCGACAAATTAGCACCCGGTCTTTTCATGTAGGTATAGATAAGTACCTAGGTAATCATCAAAAGCACATAATGGTCAAGCTAAAAGACTTGCTGAGATAGAACTAATCCGTCAGATCTACTCATTAAAGCTATTCTATCTTATTACTCATCAATGGCTTTTGATAGAAATTGCATTGCATTGGTTCGTTAAGACTTCTCTTACTGAGTCCCTCCACTTTTAGCAGGAAAAGACTTCACACTTGTCGGACGCTTCTTCCATTGGTTTGTGCATTGATCACTTGGATGCCATTCTTCCTGTTCGAGTGGAAGTAATAGTCGGTAGATACCTAGTAACCTTGGTAGATGACATTCACCAGTAGGTAGATCTAATCATCTGTCTAATGGTAATAATATACAGTGATGTGGATGTTCATCGTCAAGGATATGCACTGTGTCGTCTCTGCTAGCCTCTACTCCGTATATGCTATATAAAAAGCGAATCTCTTTTAACCTTGAAACCCCAGATATTTAGACATTTATAAGATGTGAAAGTTGCCGGTGCTTTTCTCAACCAATAAGCAAAGTTTGCGAACCGGTTTCCAAATGCAAAACATCTCTATCCGATACATCAATGAATATCAATCACTACGTCAGTGCTACCAACTAACGAAATTCGTACCGAGTGGTAGGTAGGTTCACCAGTTCTTTGGCTGGAAGTCTACTCGAGTACATTATACATACACAGTCAGTGTAAGTAGTAAACTAACCTGGATAGCCAAGATATTTTGATCTTGGCCTACTCGAGTATATTATATAGCACCTACTAACTTCTTACTTCTATCTCCCAAGTGTGCTTCTCCTTCCCTCATCCGTCCTTTTCAGCTCATCCCATTCAATAAAATCGAATTTCCAAAATCCCCATCTCATCCCATCCATCCCGAATAATATCCATCACTTGATTCCCCAGAATCGCATTCTACGAATTAGCTCCAGTTCACTATACCGATCCAAGCCCGCCCTCTCTCCCCAATCCCAAAATCAAAATGTGCGATGGAATCGATCTCCCAGTCTCATGGGTTTGTATCCAATGTGGCACCGATCAAAACCCGTGTCATGTTAAGGTGGTCGGTCCCACGCTTGGATTCGGAATTGGAGTACTCAGCGCCGTAAGCATTGTATTCTTCAATCATACATACGTCATACATCATACAATATATACAACTACACCGCATCCATCTACCGACTAACGATCTCTTCTCTTGAATCGATTTAAACTGACAAGAAGAAACAGTTGGTCTGCTGGCCGGCTTCAATATTCGTAGGTTGCTGCGCTACTGAGACCGGTAAAAAGTATGTTACCAACTTACCACTTGCCCCTCACCATATCCCCCCACTCGGATCGCTGTGCCAGCCGAAAATTTTCAGGACTAACCAAGGTATACAAATTAGGATGTTAGGTGCGCCGGTGGATATCAATGGACAAGTCTCGAACGCTATACCGTTTTAAACGGGAATATTCACCCTCGGAGGAAACTCCAATCGCGAAAGTTGAGTGGGGAACAAAGTAGGGAAACGACGGTAATATGTAAGAGAAGGAGGGAAGGGGATGACAATGGGATTTTCGGTGTAATGGGCAAAACGAGGGATATATAACATGGGAATGATTTCATGGAGATATTTGGTCTGGTATAGTTTGATACGTATGTATAATGAGCGCCTGAAGTTCCAAATATAATGGAGTAGTAAGCCATATGATTCACCGATTTTTGATGGGCTTCGAGAAAAGTGCTTTCTGAAACATACTTTCCTCCGATAACTAAGAGCCTCATCGAAGCTTCCAATATGCCGCCATGCTCCTCAAAGTATGTGTATTCAGAGTAGGAGGGAGCATTAGTTTCCAAACGCGCATGGAGCACATGTAATCTTAAAGAACGTGCCGCAACTTCACGCATAAATCAGGCCTATTAAGACCTACTAATCTAGACAACAACAACAATTGGATCTCGAACTCACTCCCCTCCATACATCCCAAAGCTTCTCTTCCCTCCCAAATGCAGCCACAGCGACAAAAAACATATTACACACCTATGTAGCCCCTCTAACAAAAAACCAGCATTATATACAACCCACAACATCCCAACACAGAACCAACCAAACCCCTATGAACCGAAAATCGTGACATCCATCCCTCCATCCCTCCATCCATCCATCCATCTATAAAAAGAACCAACAATCCTACCAAAATAACCGCATTATCTCTGTTGCACATCTGCCGGCTACACGGCATACACCATCCAATAAACTAGGTATCTAAAGTATCTAGACCCCCGGAACGCGGCACTTGGAACGTGATTTTTGATAACTATATGTATATAGGTACCTAATAGAGGATAAACTGTTGCATATCTAACGGTTGAACGGCATTCCTGTTGTAGATACATTGGATTAGGTTTTGCGGAAGTGTGTGAAAATATATATGTGCGTGCGTGTGTGTGTGTGTGTCATGGAGTTGTATTGTTGCATGTCTAACGGTCGAACGGCATTCCTGTTGTAAGTTAGGTTAACTTAACTTTGGTAAGGCTTATTAGATTTTGGTATAATGTGTATTAGGTAGGTAGTTGAACGGCACTGAGTTGAATTGATTAATTAGTGAGGTAGGTATTCAGTGCTAGCTATATTCTGTGCACTATGTACTCCAGCATACATGCCATATTGTCGGTGAATGCACCGAGTTCCTCACCCACTTCCCGACATACAAGATCTATGATTACCTACCTATCCTATTATTACAATCCAATCTCAACTACAAGCTTAATAAGTAATTGGCCTCAAAATACATACCTAGTACCTACTATACTCGAGTGCTTATTCACTTATTCCTGGATCTTCACTCCATACACACAAATCATTCTGCAAAACACATAAACGCCAATAAAAATAACATAAAGTATAAAACACAAAACACAAAATATAAACCATCTCAAAATACAAATTTTGCATTAGATCATCAATCAGTCTGTGCACATACTCATTAATGAGATCACCAGGATCACTCATATCAGATCATATTAAAATCGATCTACATACCCTAGTATACAAAGGAGAATAGCCGAAATAAGGAAATTCCATAGTAAACCATGGGCAGGTGCTAGAAATAGAAATGCCCATATAATTAATAATCAAAATAGAATTTTGGAGCGAAATTCGAATGTTTAATGTAGAAATTATCCGGGTATAATATTCGTTGTTTGTGTTGTGGATTTCGTTAATTATGAGATCTTACAAATATGAGTATGTGAGTAAATGAGCAAAGAAGAGTACCTAGCTAGAGGGATAAAAGCTGATGAGCCATTGGTGCGCAAGAGTACTTTGTGATATTCATTCTATACTATATACATACTAATTATACTACTGTGCACTATTGCTACATATACAAAGCCCGCCAACTCACATAACGATACCAAGCATTTATGTATATAAATCAGTCCATCATAAAAGCTACATATCCCGAGGACTATAAATGGAGAGTGAGGATGAAGATATTGAAATGTGTGATGATGTGATCATATAAAGTATTAATATCGAGTTAACAGAAAATGTACAGCGTGGGCGTAGGAATTTCATTTAACACAAGGCTCATCGCTTTGGCATCTCTAATAGAGGCCCCTGCATGCAAGAGGGGAAAGTCATGAACCGCGAAGGAATGGAGTAGGAATGGAGAAGAGGTTGAAACCCGGCAAGCATTGCTTACATACAAGCTCCGTTGCTGACGACATAGAATGAACGATCAAGGTGAAGCATAGCATAACACTGACTTACCGTATGTCCGAGAAGCAAAATGTAGAGACCACTGTGTATTAGTAACCCTCTCAAACTAGACTTACCACAGCATCACAAACAGTGTACCAACAAGGGCACACATTTCGTATATCTTCACAAAGACTTTGTCAGCATTGTAATAAAATCTAAGTACAGTATAGGAGTCTGCACCTTTGCACCATGATAGATATTTTCAGTCTCGACTCAAACTGATCTGATCAAGCCAATCTCACACCGGCTTGTCTGTTCTTCTTCAACTGTTGTGCTGCCGCTCCAGTCATACCACCGATTTGACTACCATCCAGTGAACTTTGAGCCTCTCTTCGTTTCTCGTCTTCTATCTTCTTCAATAACTTCTCAGTCTTTTGTTTGCCACTGCCCTTGCCGTGGAATTGATGTGATAGGTGTTTAAAGGCCTCCTTCTGGTTCATATTCCTTCCATGGTCATCAATGTACTTGAGTTCCACATTAGGCTTGTACTCCTTATTAAAGTGTTCAGCGAGTTGTCGCGATTCCTGTTGATCTCGTAAAGTATTTTGTTGCCTAGCATGTTCTTCTCTTTCACGAGCAGACATACGATCTAAACGGCCTGTGGCACGGTCTCTCTCTCTCTGCGTCTTCGCTCTTCTTTCTGCTTCTGCCTCACGTCGTTGCTTTTCAGCGAGAAACATCTGTTTCTCTCGGAAAATTGTGGCCACATCACCAGACTCGGCAGTCTTCAGGATACCTCTTTCTCTCAAAAGTTTCAAAGTAGAACCTAGACCCTTCTCAAGAGTGGCTTCCTCTTCTAAGCCATTATTGGCGATGCCATCTTTCGACTCTTCTTCACGCTTAATTCGAGCAAGCCTGTCCTCATCATCCTCTATATTCGCATACGATTCATTCATTTGCACATCCCCGTCATCATCATCAGAATCGGCATCCATGGAAGTGACGGCCTCTGCTGTCCGAGATACTGATCTTCGTTTAGGCTCTGGTGCAACTGGCTTTTGAAGATTCGAAACAAACTCGGAAGTTTCATCAATCACAAGCCCTGAATCATTACCTTCCTCGTTATCTGCGGGAGTTGCCAATGCTTCCTCCCGTAGTCGCTGAGCAAACTCTTCTGGTCGTAACTTTTGGCGTTTCTTCAATGCATTCCTTCGTTGAGTAGCAAGTAAAGCTTGTAAATCATCATCATCAACAAAAGACATATCCTCAAAAGTTCGTTTCTTGATGGGCTTAGATCCTTGGTCAACATCCATTGCGTCAGCATTGTCACCGTTTGAGACAGCAGGCTCAGGTTCGGGAAATACGTCGTCTTCATCAAGCGCCTTTTGTCGTGTTGACTTCGCCTTCTTTTTCTTCGGTTTCTTGACCTTGATATCGGAAATATCAAGGTAATCAGATTTCGGCTCGTCATCCTCTAAATGATATGTTAGTGGCCGAGGTAAATGGATGCTAAGGTATTTGGGGTTCGGATGCTTACTTAAAATGTCAAGGCTAAAAGTTTTGGCTTTCGTCTTCAGAGCAGACGCGAAATTTCCTGACGAGGCTTCAGTAGTATTGCCCATACCGTCTAAAGTAAATCTCTTTCCTTTTTTGCCATCAATTTCCTCATCATAGTGTGCCAAAATCTTCCTTTCACCGGTTTCATCATAGTCGTCGTTTGGATTGTATGTAGGTTTCTTCTTCTTGAGCTCCAACTTATCAGACAGCTTCTCACGCTCGCGTAAATCCAAATTCTCCAGTTCATCACCTTCTTCTTCATTTTCGTCGATCGTGGTATCTTTCAATGTGAGAACTTGATCCTCCCCTTCGGCAAATGTATCCAGCTCATGCCCAACTCTAACGCCCGCAAGATCTTTGGCTGTATATTCGGCAGCTGCCGCAGCTTCTGCATCGATACGTTCCTGCTCCTTCTTTCTTGCCTTTTCAATCTCTTTTTGTCGTTTCTTTTGCTTCACCAACCACGATTTAGCATCCAGATCGCCATCATCATCAGCTTCTCCCAGACCTTTGCCTTCGAGTTTCGCAAATCGTTTGGCTGTATCTCGCGCCTTCTTTATGGCTTCTGCTTTAGCTTCTCGTTTCCTCTTGGCCTCCTCAGCGTCTTGTAACCTTCGATAGTTATCATAGCCTTCAGCTTGTCGCGATTCTAATGTACTGCCAACATCTTCTGCTGGTGCAGATGGGGCCGCTTTGAAAATTGGACCTGCAGCTCCTGGTACTGCTAAAGGCTTCATTCCAAGTGAAGCCCGGATTCGATTTGTCTCCTCGATAGATATAGCGTCCGCCATTGTGATATGATGTGTTTAGAAAAAATTAATTGATGATTACTTGTGTCGAGTTTTGGCGAAAAAAAAACAATATCGAAGTTGAATTGTGAGGCTGACAGGCAAATTTACTCTAACCGAATATACACTAGTGCAATTTCAACTGCACGCTAAATTAGCGCGACTTCTTTCGCTACAAAAGTTTTTCCTCGTGCAAAATATTTTTAATTTTTTTCTTACAAAAACATGAGATTTGTGTCCAGCGTCCCTTCACCAAAACTGCTCGCAGTGATGGTGTAAGGTTGTATGCTGAGGCAGTTCGATCGTCTATGGAGCCATCAACCTACCAAGGTAATCTATGATGTCAATATCCGATCGACAAATCTCAGATTGATCAGTCCTTATGAAACCTGAGTCGCTTCGGCTGATTCGGTGGATGAGTGTACTGAAGACGTCAGATTCCAAATCTGTTTGCCTAGGCTGTTAGCCTTTGAGGTTGCGGAATAACCCTCTCGTCTACATTTCAACTTCGGGGCATTTACTCATTGAAGCAAGACTTCAATTGCAATTACGGTACAATTCCATTCAATCTTTAGGCAATTGTACGGATGTATGAGCAGCTTGTGACGGATTTATATGAATGGTGGACTATCTGCAGGAAGGAGTATCATCCTTAAAGGGCCATCACTCCGTTCGAATGATCTCCAATGGTAGACCCGGACGAGCGCACTGGGCGTTAAGTGAGTATTATATAGATGTTCACATGTTCTCTAGTTTCTCTGCTGCAGAGAAAAGGCCCGACAGAATTGATTATTATCCTTCATCTTCCCTTTTCAATCGAATGACGTGAAGTACTTATTCCTCACCTTGCAAGCATCAGAATCCCCACAACCTTGCCAAACTCTTGTTATACTCCTTGCCATGCTTCGGGGTACCTTGCGGACAATATCTTTGCTTGGCGCACGAGGCTTTTGTAGCTGGAGTCATTTCCACTATGCTGAAATTGGAAGCTCGACGTGCTCGACGTGCTAGGCCTGCATTGCTTGCATGATCTGATCTTTAATGCGACTACTACAATAATATCTTGCTCAGTGGCAATGGGCCAGCCTTGCATGCATGCATGTACCTAGTACGTGCTACGACCGAAGGAATAGCTGGAGTCTTCGGTCTAAGAAAAAGTTTAAATTTCGTGTTCTCAACCTCGGTACTCTGTATTTTGGCTACTTTTCTTGATGGCCCATCGTACAGCATATCAGGAATTCGGCAATCTACTTACTGCCGGGTAGCACAGGTAATGAATGAATGGGCTCATTAATCGGTCTGGTAACGGACAATCTGAAGATCTCCCTTTTTTCTGTTCCCCTCATAGAGACAAGGTACTTCAAAAAACCCATCGGCCCCCGAGCTTTCCAGGCTCTAGCCATTTTGTAGCCATCCATGTCACCATTTTCAAGAAGATATTCGCATTACCCCGATTCCTCGAAGGGCGACTGCATACTGGGACTTCAGGCGCTGTAATTCCATTGCGTGGAGGTTCGGTTTTATTGCCAAAGTCGCATATCCCAAGCGGTACCTTTAAGAACTGTTGAGCCCCAGTACCACCTAGTTCACGGAACAGGAAAAGAATTGACATATGTGAATTATTATACTTCCGGATTTCGCAAAGAGAATGTTTACCAAATAACCTTCGTCTACCTACATAGTGCTGATGCGATGCATGCAATAAATGTATGTACGGAGTAGACAGCTGCGCGGGGATGTGTAAATCCAGCCTGGGTCTGCGGAGAAAACATAGGACGGGCCGATTAGATGGAAAATGACTTTGTGCAAGTTTTTGTTGTACCTTGTAACTTGTGGGGACCCCAGACTAGCGGGCGGACATGGAATGATTTATTTGTGGGGTCAGTAGGAATGATATATTATAATTGTATAAGCATATAAATAAATAAAAACCTCAACTTCCCAAGGAAGGTAGGTAGGTATATGTAGGGCGGTACTAGTATATATTCATGTAAGATTTCTAACTACTTTATTTTATTTACCCAGGTAGGCAAGTACTACGCAGGTACTAAGTCGGTAAATAGGATAGCTGAGAATCTGAGATCTTGCATCAAAGCTGAGATCTCCAAGCTTTATTAAGCTTTGAGCTTTAATAAGTCTTCTGCTGTGTTTACTCTAGGGTCTAAGTGTTCGTCCCGTGACCTGACTTGTCTTGTCTTGTCCGGAAGCTTAGTTTTCACTAATGAGGTAGGTAGGTACAAGCAATCACATCTAGACACGACCTTTCAGGGGCCACTTTTACCGGTGTACCAAATTGTCCAATGAACAGGGAAAATGTCGCACCTTAAGCTTGTTTACCATGTAAGATTGTTTAAGGGAAATCCAAGAGATATTAATTATTCATCCAGTTTCGTTCAATTTCATTTAGCATTATCCGAATTTCAACAACCGATCAAACGGGATAAGACACCTGCAAGAGTCCCGCCTAAGTACCTCAAAACCCAAAAAGGTTGTACCTCCGTATCGACGCAACCTTGTGACTGCCTGCCTCCGTACCTTAAGCTAGAGACCCAGGTACGTAAAACCTAAAGGCAAAATTCGGGTCCCTCTCGATTACCCATCACATCTTCACAATAGTACTCGTACCTTGGCTCAACTACCTAATCCTCCGCTCCGCACTATCCTAATATCCTTTGAAAACTCCGAAAGCATCAAGCCCCCTAGTACCTTAACGGCATCAATCCGACCCATACATACTTTCATCCATGAAGAGGGCCTAGGTGGGAGGAGTACTCTTATTAATATAAATAGCAATGGCTTCCTCTTTGCTTTCCGGTCTCACCTCCCTCAACTCCATCAGCAACTTCAATAGCACACTCGTTCTTCACGCAGTGCAACCCATCATGCACACGTTTACCCCTCTCCTCCTGGTTGGCAGTCTTGCCCTCCAAGCTATTCATGCCTTTCCAAGTCCCAGCCGAGTTGAGGAACGGGATGGCGAAATCTTGAAACGTTCGGTGGACTCTTTCATCGCCACTGAAAGTCCAATTGCCATGAAAAATCTTTTGTGTAATATTGGATCGAGCGGAGCTTGTGCTGCAGGAGCATCCTCGGGCATCGTGATTGCTTCACCTGACAAAGTAAACCCAGACTGTGAGTGTTGCTCCATTGCCTTGCACTGGCCGGACTCCTAATACTTCAACAGATTTTTACACTTGGACTCGAGACTCTGCATTGGTCTTCAAGAACCTTGTAGATACATTCATCAGCAGCACTTACTCTGCATCACTTCAACAAGAGATTGAAGACTATATCAGTGCCCAAGCCGGTCTTCAGACCGTATCAAACCCTTCTGGTGATCTCTCATCCGGCGGTCTGGGCGAACCCAAGTTCAATGTCGATAGAACGGCTTTCACAGGTTAGCAATGTCGAAATCTCCCCCCTTGATGTGTTACTGACATGTGAACTGTACAGGATCCTGGGGTCGTCCTCAAAGAGATGGTCCAGCCTTACGTGCTACTGCTATGATTTCCTATTCCAAATGGTTGATCGCCAACGGCTATACCTCTACTGTGCAGAACATCGTTTGGCCTATTATCAGAAATGATCTCTCATACGTTACTCAATACTGTAAGTTTTTTCGGACCTTTATCAAAAATCGCAAGAGACAAGAAGCAGTCTCGAAATACACTTTTGCATAGTTTTATACTGACTAAATATACAGGGAACCAAACTGGTTTCGATCTCTGGGAAGAGGTTCAAGGATCAAGTTTCTTCACTGTCGCTGCTCAACATCGTGCACTTGTTGAAGGTAGCGCATTAGCCTCCCAGATCGGTCAAAGCTGCGCCTATTGTGATTCTCAGTAAGTACAAATGTATGAAATATTTAGATTAAGTGCTGATTCATTCTCTAGAGCCCCACAAGTTCTTTGCTTCCTCCAAAGCTTCTGGAGTCCATCTTCTGGATACATCATTTCCAACATCAATGAAAACAATGGACGATCAGGAAAAGATGCGAACAGTATCTTGAGTACTATCCAGACCTTTGACCCTACTGCTGCATGTGATGCTTCCACATTCCAGCCATGCTCAGATCGTGCTTTGGCAAACCACAAAGTTGTCACCGATTCTTTCAGATCGATTTATTCCATCAACTCTGGAATCGCCGAGGGAGTTGCAGTTGCTGTTGGACGTTATCCAGAAGATTCATACCAAGGTGGTAACCCTTGGTACCTCAATACTCTTGCCGCTGCTGAACAACTTTACGATGCCTTGTACACCTGGAATAAGCAAGGTTCCATCACAGTGACCAGTACCTCCCTTGCATTCTTCAAAGACTTCAGCTCTTCTGTCACAGCCGGAACATACGCCTCTTCAACATCAACCTACACTACTCTGTACAACGCTATCAAAACATACGCCGATGGCTATGTGAACATCGTCGCAACCTACGCCCAAGCCAATGGTTCCCTCTCAGAGCAATTCAACCGAGCCGGAGGAGCCCCACTCTCAGCCTACGACCTCACCTGGTCCTACGCCGCCTTCCTCACCGCCGCCGCTCGTCGCGCAGGCGTCGTCCCATACTCATGGGGTGAGCCATCCGCCAACAGCGTCCCCGGAAGCTGCTACTCAACATCCGCATACGGCACCTACTCCACCGCAACCGCCACCTCGTTCCCCGCATCCCAAACCCCTAACGGAAGCGGAAGCGCCCCCGTCCCTACCACCACAACCAAGACCGGCTCCTCAACCACAACCAAGACCGGCTCCTCAACCACAACCACCACATCCTCCTGCTCCATCGCAACCTCCGTCGCTGTAACCTTCAACGAACTCAAAACTACAGCTTACGGCCAAACCATCAAGATCGCTGGTTCAATTTCCCAATTGGGTTCCTGGGCTCCTGCTTCCGCTGTCGCGTTGAGCGCTAGTCAATACACCTCCAGCAACCCATTGTGGAGCGTCACTATTAACTTACCCGCCGGAACCGCCATCCAGTATAAATTTATCAACGTGGCGAGTGATGGAACTGTTACTTGGGAGGCGGATCCAAATAGAAGTTACACCGTTCCGTCTAGTTGTGCAACCACCGCAACGGTTAGTGGAAGTTGGCAGTCGTAGATGAGTTATTTTTGATCCTTCATTCTTGGGAAGGATTAAGGATGGGAATGTACTAGTGGAAGTTTTGAGTTCGGGGCTAGATACTTGAGACGAATGAATGAATGAATGAATATAAAGAGAGGGCGTTATTAGACTCCTGGAGCAGAATTGCCGGTATAGTATAGATTCTGGTACATAAAAAAATTGAATTGGTATTTTTTACATAAATTGTATTTCATCATGCATGGTCGTAATAGCGTGCGCGTGTTTCCTCCCTACGTAGCTAGCTAGCTAGTTATCCCTTGGATATATCATGCTATGAAATTTCAAAACAAGCACCAAATTCCAAGTTCTACAACTTTTCGAGATTTTCCACGGAAGGTTCCTCATAGCAATATATATCGTATCCTTCATGTTGGATCTCGCTCGCATGTAAAAAGAAAACTAAGCAAATTAAATACATAGGAAAATAAGTAATAAATCCACAACGATATGAAAAGTCCACCCATGCACTCAGAGCTTCAAAATAGCTACCCCTTTCTTGGATACTACTCAAAACCAAGCATCTACCTCTGAAATCTCCATCGAAGGCAAGAATTAAAAGACTTTACTCTTCCTCATCACTCGTAGCTTCAATATTTTCTTTTTTGCTCTTCTTTCCCTTCTGTGCTGATGCTGACTTGACTTTTTTATTCTTATTCTTGTTCTTGCTCTTGGATTTTTTGTCGGCTGAGGCGTCTGTTTCTACTGCTGCTTCTTCTTCTTCTTCTTCTTCTTCAACGTCATCTTCTTCGTCTAGGTCTTCGTTTTCCTCGACTTCTTCTTCTTCTTCTTCCTCTTCAGAAGTAATATCAATACCTTTTTTCTTGAGGTTCGCGTTGATTTGAGGGATGGATTGGAGGAAAATTTTATATTGGTCGATGGTTAGGGAGATGCCCTGTTGTTTTTACATGTTAGCTTTCTTTATTTTCTTTCTTCTCTTTCGTATTCTCTTTTTTTCATTTTGGGCGGGTAGATATGCGTGGAATTATAGAAAGGATATAAAAAGAGACACGAACCTTCTTTCCGGGTAAAAGATTTCCATCTTTCTCGTAGAATTCGCGGATATTGATCAAAGTTTGGCCTTTGAAATCTGAAAGCTCGATTTTGCGGGGTGTGCGGCCGGTTGAGAGGTCCCATGAGGGGGTGGTTGAAGAAGAGGAGGAGGTGGGTTTGCTTGTTGTGATGGGTTTTGTGGTTTTGGATTTTTTGGACTGAGGGGTATGTTGGTGAGGGGGTCGGGTATCTGAGGGGTTTTGAGGGTGAAAGTAGAGGGGTGAAGATGATTGTGATTGGGATTGGATTTGAGTAATGCTCGAGAGGAAAGAGTAGGGAATGTGAAGATGTTTGAGGTTGGATTGATTGAGGGGCTCACCTTGCGAACTGTATTGTCGTCGTCAGATACGAAACCACCATCGGAATCGTAGGTTTCGACAGGTTCTGCGCGACTTCGTTTTGGCATTTTTGAGGTTTAAATTATGGGATTGAGATTGGAGTTGGAATTGCAATGTGGGAGAGCGGACTAGATGTGACTTGTGTTGGGTAGGTTTGATACTTTGAGATAAGAGTGATGGAATAGGTTATTGAGCTGAGGAATGGAATGGAAGAGCTGAGATGAGATGGGGATGAGAATATTTAGAGAATCAATGGAATCAATGATGTAATTGGAAACGTTCCTTTAAATTTTCAGATTGGAACAAAAGATTGTTTGATAGTTCTATCGTTATCGCGTGATGTGATGTTTTATCTGATAGACGCGTCTGTAAGCCACGAAGGGTTCGCGTTTGCGCGTAAATTGATTTTGGTGATTTATTCGGTAGGGATCTTCATCATGACTGGATCTTTTTCCAAATGCAACTGATCTTCATGTGACGTTTTGATTCCATTGAAGGCAAAAGCTGTGATTAGCCAAGTGCTATAGAAGTTACTTGAAGGGTACCAGTTTGATTTTAGTGCTCGGCATTTACCAGCGGGAAGAAGTACATTGCTAGCTTCAGAGCTGGGGAGGGGAAGTCATCCCTGACGATCTAACGGACCCAACCCAGCAGATCCAACAGGCCATTTGGATGTCTAATTTCAAACGGAACTATTAGATATCTATACTACATGAGGGTATGAACTAGTCAAAGAATAGGTAGTTAATAAACATGTATATTGAGTAATGAATGATAGAATGAAGCATTTGGAATGTTCAAAATTCAAATCCAAGTTAATCAATAGAACAATGAAATAGTGCTATCGCTGATAACGTGCTTCTGTTTCAACTCTGCCTCAAACATTACGGAAGGAAAAAGAGAGTATCTCTCTACCTGGCAGGGAGAAACCAACATTTCATTGTTCAAAATGTAGTTGAACATCTGAAGTATGAGTCTCGAATGCTCTTTCGATATTTGACATTCGATCTAACGTTAGTCCCCTCCCTAGTACATGAAGCTATTCGAATGGAAGACACGCTAATAATTACTAGGTAGGTAGGCTATGACGATACAACATTCCTTCGCACTTTCTGTTTCTTGCGACAGCAGCTTCGATTCATTACGACAGATTCAGATATCACGATACATTCAAGCAATACAACGGATTCAAACAACATAGCAACCTGAATGATCACAATGGGTTCATCAAACGAGTCCAAGGTCGCGGAAGGCGCGACCAACGACCACGCAACTACCCGATTACTACGATTCCTCTCTGCGGCTTCGAACGAGCAACTTGTATTGATAGCCCTTGCCTTAGCATTCGGCATATACATAATAATAGATGGACTTTTCATTCTCCTCCTAGGAGCTTTAGGCGGCGTCATTTTACATACGATATGTACAGACAAAAGTGTTAGGCCTGTAGTAGATTTGTATGTCAAGCCAGATGACGTTCAAGTCGAATTGGTCGAGAGCACAGGGAACAACTTCGAGAACTTTCGACCTAAGACTGCCATTGCCTTGAACGAATTAGTTGATGCCATTGTTCGAGACTATGTCAAGCATTGGTACAACCCTATACTCCCTAGCGATGAAACCTTCCTCACTGCTACGAGATTGTCCCTTACGAGGTTCATTCTATCCATGTCTCAGCGTCTCTCAAGAAAGCGACCTGCCGACACGTTCCTCAATTTCCTTACCAATTCCTCATCCATTGCCATTGTCTTTCTCAATGAGTTGGCAAATGCAACCTCCGCAACCCAGGGGACCATCAGACCTATCGAAGAGATGGTAACTAATTATTTGATTGCACATCCGAATTGCAATTTGGCCAACATTATGAACGAGAAGCAACAGAAGAAGCAGTTTCAATTGGCCGCAGATGATATTCTACAAAATTTCCTGGGGAAGTCGCTTTATGATTCTGGACTGGTCAGGATCTTTTTGAGAGAGATATTAGCTGGAGTCGTCCTAGAGATGACACTAAAAAGTTGTTCCAAGCCAGAATTTATTAATGGTTGGATCGTATACCTGCTGGAAGATGGAGAACCTGGATTAGGACAGGCTATCGATGAAGCTATGGAACGTAGAAATATTCACGACCCATTTTCCGACATTGGTGGAAATGTCAGTAATGTTAGTCTCGCCAGATCTTCCAAGAATTTAAGACATCAAAGACGAATATCAGATGAAGAGGCCACGAATGAAGCGTTGGCAGAAACGAAGAGAATCAGCATGTTGATTGCTGAGGAGGAGGCAAAGAAACTTGCACAAATTGATAGTATCAAGGATGAGGTGAACAAAGTCCTCAGTGATAAAAACATCAAAGAAAATATACAACCAGAATCGACCCTTGTATCGCCAACAAATGACATTCCACCTCACACGCCTATCACAGACTCAAGACCTTCAGTATCTGGATCTGATTCGAAAGGCAGATCCCCTATATCTTCCGATTCAAAAAATCCTATATCACCTATATCACCTATATCACCTACAACACCTGCAACACCACAAACTACTTCCTCCTTTACAAATTTTGACCAAATTGTACCTCCAACACCTATTGCTCTACAATCAAATCCAGCGTCACCTCAAGGACGAAAAACAGTGTCTTTGACTCTACACAACGCAAACATCATTATTTATGATGACTCAGTCGCATCTGATAAAGGAAAGATCAAAATTAAACCTACCATGGATTATATGGTTCAAATTGAACCAGAGTCATCAATCCATCCTGGATGGATGATAGTCCGAAGATATTCGGATTTTGAAACACTGCATGAGGTCCTCGCACGAATTGCCAAAGTTTCTGGTGCTAAGGCATTCATTGAGCAACACCAAGATTTGCCAAAGTGGAAATCCAACACCAAACCATTATTACGCGGCGAATTGGAGCGGTATGTGAAAGATGCTCTTGTTCACCAAGCACTTGCTGAAAGTGAGGGCATGAAACGGTTCTTGGAGAAGGATCAAGGAATCATGCCAGCGCCAGTTACAAAAGCTGCATTTGCCTGGCCTACATCATCTCTGGAGAATATGGGTAAAGGCATGATTGATACGCTTAAAAATGCACCAAAGGGTGCTGCTGCTGGTGTTACAGGTGTTTTCAGCAACATCGGATCACTTGCACAAAAAAGATCTAGTCAAAGCAGCTTGCAATCCCAAAATCGTATTTCAGCACCAGCGCTGTCAAGAGTTGATAGTCCGACTTCATCAAATGGTTCTTTCTTTGAAACAAAAAGAGGTAGATTGAGCGAGGATAGTTCGAAGGCAGCTTCTATCGTTTCACATCCCGGAAAGACTGTATCCCTCGGACGAAAGCTTAGCCGCGGATCTATTCCAGGAGCTGTGGAAGAATCTGGTATCAGAACCAGAGGATCTTCTGTAAGCAGTCACATGAGCGCTACATACAGCCCATTACACAGTCGAGAGCTTAGCCAAACTTCATCGATAAAACCTGAGGATACACCTCTTTCATCGCCGACCACGAAAGATTTCCAAGAACTAAGTTTGCCACCACCACCTACTGAGATGCCCGATGACTACACTTCCCAAGCTGCAGTCGAAAGACCATCCCAAGCTTTAGTGGATAATAACAACACTGATACACCTGCACCATCAAATGAGAAGGAAACCAAAGCTATATTAGACAATAGCAGCACGCCTGCGCTGCTAAGTGAGAAGGAAACGAAAGCTGTGTTGGAAAATTGCGGTTCGCCTGTTTCGTTAAATGAAAAGAAAACAAAGACTGTGTTGGACAATAGCGGTACACCTGCGCCACTAAATGAAGAGGAAACCAAAGTAGCAATTGAGCTGCTCTTCGCTGCCATAACAGAGCTCTACACCCTCTCTTCCGCTTGGACCTTCCGACGCACGCTCCTAACTGCTGCAAAGGCCTACCTCCTTCGCCCGGGAAACCCTTCTTTATCTTCTATTCAAGTACTTATACAAGACTCTGTCATTGCAGCTTATACGTCCGATGCTGGAATTGCCTCTTCTGTTCGTAAATTGAGAGAGAATGCATTACCTACAGAAACCGAGCTGAAGACCTGGCCGGCAGAGATGAGCGCAGAAGATAAGGAGAAGTTAAGGGTTAAGGCGAGAAAGTTATTAATAGAGAGCGGTATGCCGATTGCTTTGACAGGTGTTATGGGACAGGCTGCCACTGGGGAGGCTTTGGGGAAGTTGTTTGATGCTTTACAATGCGAAAATGTGGCGAGGGGTTTGATTTGTGGAATGCTTCTTCAAGGTGTTAAAGCTATTACACATTAAGAGATAGGGGAATGTAAGATAAAGGAAAGGCCAGAGTATTAGAGTGGATTGAGATGTTTGGGAAAGATGGAGCAATGGATAGAACAAAGACAGTGGGAAGAATTAAACCTTGAGAAAAGATGGGATAATGGATAGATCGAGACACTGGGAAGAAGTGAAGCCTTGAGAAAAGATGGGATAAAGAAAAGGATGGAGACATTGGTATGTACCAATACCTTGAGAAAAGACGCGACGATGGAGAGAATAGAAACAATAGGAGGGATTGAAATAGTGAAAAAAGACAGGACAAAGAAAAGGATAGAGACTTTGAATTGCATTGAGAACTAGAGATACCATTATTACCTACCTATGCTTAGCATTAGTATTATTAATCACGAGAAATGAAAATCAAATTATTAAATTAGTAAATTTTTAAATGAATACCTTTCGCCTCTTGGTTTCTTAGGAATAGATAGGTAGGTGGGTATCTATGATGTATATTTATCCCAACAAGCCCCTCTTCTCTCTTCTCTCCCATCTCTCCTCGTCTCCTGCTCTTCTTTGACTATTTTCTTTTCTTAATAGATCTAGTTCTAATGAGCTAAGTATTTAGATTGGATATTGATCTACTGGAGTGTAGATTTACGGATTTACGGATTTGGGATTTGGGATTTGGGATTTAGTTAATATGTTTAACAAGTGGAGGGATGAAGGGGGAAGGGGGAACGGAAATTCCAATTTGGATTGTGAGGTATGGGAGTGGATTTTGTGAACACGTATTAGGTGGCGTGAAATACGATGGTTTCGAATATTATTAGATACTAGGGATATCTCGAGATATTACAAGACATCTGAGATATATCCTTTGGGTATTCCATCTTAAAACCAGTGGATTTAGTCCTCTTAATCCTTTTCATCATATAAAACCATAGAAGAAATATCTTAAAAGATTTATTCATCATATCCATAGCCTAATCCCATATTCATACATCCGAAAAATCTTCCTCCATTAGCGAAAAAGAAGGAGAATGATAGTCCTTGCTATCCTATGTATCATCTCCAAATCATCCATAACTTTACAGATACCTATCATACCACGCAATACCCACAACCGAAATTCGAAGCCTATCACTCCATCCATCCATCCATATAACAAAACCAACTCCTTCCCAATCCCTCCTTCATTATTCTAATACTTTATAACTAACCATAGTTCCAACCTTATGATTAGCCGTACTGAAACTCCTCAACTGTACTTTCTCTCCATTTACAATTTCTCTCGCATCACTATCTCCCCATTCCATTGGAACCTCACTATCCGCATCCGCATATACCAGAACATTAAATGTGCATGCTCCATCCAACTCTGGCAAAAATGTCACACTAGCTGTAATTTGTCTGAATATTGATTGAATCTCCAATTGAATTTCTGCTTCTGTTTTTTCAGGTGCGGCTACTGTTGCTTCCTTCTCGGTAGGTGCATTTTCGGATGTGGAGGGGGTAGTTGAAGATTTGGATTTGGATGATTTTTTAGAAGGTTTGTTGAAGATTTCTACATCGAATTGCCAACGTTCGACATCTTCGCCTGTTTCTTTTGAGGTGATTACGACGATCAGTTTGGTGATCTTTCCGTTTATCATCCATTTGTCGAGTTGTGACATGATCTTCTTGATGTAAGCTTTGACTTGGTCGTCGGAGGAAACTGGTAAGGATGAGTTAGTTATGAATTAAGATATAGCGGATGGAGAGAGTGAGAGGTTGGAATGGGATGAGGTTGTGAGAAAACGAACCAAGCATTGTGAGGCCATATTTCTTGACGCTGGAAGAAGAATAGTTAGTTGAAATGTTTGTGGACTATGAGGTAAACAGGATGGACAAACGCTGAGAAGTCTTCGGCGGGGTATACACCTCGTTGAAAGCTATGGACTTGTTAGTGATTCGTAGGCAACTGGTATATGATGTGATACTTACAGAATTGTGTTTATTGAGTATTGAAACTGCGCAGATTAGTATTTCTCTAAGATCTAAATAGAACCAGCACTCACGAATTCCGCAACAAGTTTCGAAGAACCTATAAATTATTAACACTGCGACTGAATTCCATGAGCGTTTGCATACCTTTCAGCGAGAGCTTATGAGTTTTCGCCTTGTCTGATTTATCAGACTTCTCCTTCGACTTTGTGCTTGTCTTCGTAGCTGACTTTGTGGTCGACATATTGACAATATTTTGAGAATGAATTTCGTATGCGATCTTGCGAGTCTATCTCTGTCTGTCCATTGATAAACAGAAAGTAAAGAACCCCACCAAATAATTCTTGGTTGCCTCAGCGACCACGAGCCCGGAAGGTTCCGTCACAGGCAAAGCAACCCCAAAATTAATTTTCCCCAATCCTCACCCCGCGTCTTCAAGCTGTGAAGCCCACTCCACAAATGCAGCGATGTCCATTGAACCTGCTTAGGCTTCCCAGCACTCTAAGATCGCAATATGCATCGCATTTTCTTCCTTTTTCCCTTTCTCGAACCTTCACCACTTCGGTGACTCGATATGCCATCGCTAAGAAAGTCGTTGGGGATCTAGAACGTCGCATCCAAGCTATACCCATTGAACGATTTCGGAACTTCTGCATCGTAGCACATGTAGATCATGGGAAAAGTACACTTAGTGACCGATTACTCGAGTTGACGGGTACGATTGAACCTGGCGGTGATAAACAAATTTTGGATAAGCTGGAAGTAGAAAGGGCAAGAGGTATTACTGTCAAGGCGCAAACATGTAGTATGTTATGGAACCATGAAGGGGAAGATTATCTGCTTCACTTGGTAGATACGCCGGGCCATGTGGACTTTAGAGCTGAGGTATCGAGATCATATGCTAGTTGTGGAGGGGCTCTACTACTAGTAGATGCAAGTCAAGGAGTACAGGCTCAAACGGTTGCGAACTTCTATTTGGCATTTTCACAGGGGTTGACATTGGTACCAGTGGTTAATAAGGTGGATCTACCAACAGCGGATCCACCAAGAGCATTGGAGCAGATGGAAAGTACGTTTGAATTGGCGCCTGAGAATGCGGTTTTGGTCAGCGCGAAGACGGGGTTGAATGTTCCAGCTATTCTTCCAAATGTCATCAGACAAATTCCAGCCCCGGTTGGCGACTATACGAAGCCACTAAGGTTATTGTTGGTAGATTCATGGTATGATAATTACAAAGGAGTTATCTTACTAGTCAGGATTTTCGATGGGACAATCAAGGCTGGAGACCAAATCGTGAGTTTTGCAACTGGAATTAAGTATTTCGTTGGTGAAGTAGGTATTATGTATCCAGATCAGACTCCACAAACTGTTTTGAGAGCTGGGCAGGTTGGATATATCTACTTCAACCCTGGTATGAAGAAAAGTCAGGAGGCCTTGAGTGGAGATACATTTACCACTGTCGGTTCAGAGCATCTAGTAGAAGCATATCCTGGATTCGAAGAGCCAAAGTCTATGGTTTTTGTGGCAGCTTTCCCGGTCGATCAGGGTGACTATCATCATTTAGAAGACTCCATCAATCAAATCGTACTCAACGACAGAAGCGTAACTCTGCAAAAGGAGTCTTCAGAAGCACTCGGTGCAGGATGGCGTTTAGGATTCCTTGGTACTCTACACTGCTCTGTATTTGAAGACCGTTTACGTCAAGAACATGGTGCAAGTATCATCATTACACCACCCACCGTGCCTTTCAAAGTCATTTGGCGCGATGGCACAGAGTCAATTATTCAAAATCCTGCTCTTTTTCCCGAACACGAAACCACTAATCAACGTGTCCAAGAACTTCAAGAGCCTTATGTCTCTGCTACCATTACTCTTCCCGAAGAATATCTTGGTAAAGTAATTGAACTCTGCGAGGCAAACCGCGGTGAACAAGTCGATCTAACCTTCTTCACCGCCACCCAAGTCATTCTCAAATACGATCTCCCCCTTGCACAACTCGTTGATGATTTCTTCGGAAAACTCAAAGGTGCAACCAAAGGCTACGCAAGTCTCGATTACGAAGATGCCGGATTCCGCAGAAGTAGTATCGTGAAACTACAACTTCTGGTCAACAAAGGACCAGTCGATGCAGTGGCACGAGTAGTACACACAAGTCAAGTCGAAAAAATTGGGAGACAATGGGTAACGAAATTCAAAGAACATGTTGATAGACAAATGTTCGAGGTGATTATTCAAGCACAAGCGGGAAAGAGAATCGTGGCGAGAGAAACCCTTAAACCCTTTAGAAAAGATGTATTGCAGAAGTTACACGCGAGTGATATTGGAAGAAGAAGAAAGTTATTAGATAGACAGAAAGAGGGAAGGAAGAAGTTGAAGGCCGTGGGCAATATCGCAATTGAACATGAAGCTTTCCAAAAGTTTTTAGCGAAGTAAGGGGAGGAGGTGTTGAGGAAGGAGGGAGAAGTTTAATGAATATATATCAATATGTATATATTATATATGTACCAAATACCACAAAGATGTTGAACCAGACCTACATCTTCAACGATTTACTATCATTTGACTCTCTATGTCCTCTCCTACCTGTCACCCGTCCACCCTCTATCCCGCAACAAACATAAATAAAAGATTACAAAAGCCTCATCTCACAATAATAAAAACTAAATCATTGCGAAAGATCATATATAATATATTAAATTCAACCACCCCTCCCTCCCTTTTCTCACCCACCCGGGGCTCCAAACACACAACAGATACACCTACAAGCTTGCTCGATGCTTAACATCTCTTCCCTTCTTCCTCGTCCCTTTTATATTTTTCATTCCCTTCTGTACTTAAAAACTACTTGTTTTATAATTCTAAATATAAAAATAAGTATATATTTGTATTTGTATTTCTTTCCTTTTTCTCGTTTTTCTTATTTAATTTATAGATTTATAAAGAATCAATAAATATATATTTAAAAAAAAATATAAAAACAAAAAAAAACATAAATTACAATTCAATACTCGTAGAATCAATAGAATATTTCACATGAATTAATCAGCGCTAGCACTAAAAAAATTTAAATGAACAATTTATAATTTTATCATACAGCATCGATATAGACATTAATTAATGCAATACCCTCTTCATTAATTCTACCTGGGTATTCATACTTCCCCTATCCATCCTTCCTTCCGTCGTATCAATACCCCCTCCTCGCTATCCATCTCTTCATCTCTCCATCTCTCCATCTCTCCATTTATTCATCTCCATCTCCTTAACGCAGTTAAATATATAATCTGCGTGTATCCCAGATGCAGCGAGCATTTAGTACCCATTTACTAAAGAATTATCCAACAACTACCGCCTAACGCGCTTAACAAGCTAACTCACCCAGACCCTGACTGAACCAAGGTATCGACAAGATAAAAAAACGCCTTCTCTGAGCATCCATCCGCCATTTCAAGTATTTAACTTGATCGTCCATATGTATAATTACCCAATTCATGCGTACCCTAAAGATAAAATCCCTTTACTCCAAAGCGCGTCCCTTTCCCTTATTAATCTTATTACTATTATCATTACCACCAGCCTTTGCACTCCCACTCCCATTTTCTTTCCCTCCAATTCCAGCCCCTTCTTCTCCTCCCATAATCTTCCCATCAAATTTAAAATCTTTCGGCCCACTCCTATCCAAACCCTCCCAGTTGCCCTCCCATCCTTTCCTATTATCCACTGCCCCCATCGTCTCTCCTTCCTCCGCCATATGTCGAACGTCACTCCAATATTCCAATCTCTTGACTTCTTCATCTGCGGCTTTGACCGCTGCTTCTAAGAGCTTTGCCCGTTGTTTTCGTTTTATACTGTCATTCTTATCCCTGATCTCATTCCCACCTGGATCACTTTTCACATTTTCTTTTCCTTCTTTTCCCCCCTCAGCCGCCCGGCTAATTTCCTCATACACCTTCATCAATCTTCCCAACAAAACACGTCGACTTGCCTGAAAAATAAAATTATTCATAACCTCATGCATATGTTCCGGTTTCGTCAAATAATGCAATTCCTCACCACCATGCTTAATAAAACTTTCCACCGCTTCCATCTTCTCCCTATCGATGCGACAGATTCGGAGGACTTTCATCAGGGTTGCAATATCACTGATATCATCGATCTTCCATTCTGTTTCGTAATTGCGGCTATAGACTGCTGAACTGTACCGGCTTCGTCCATCTCCATCTAGAGCGGCGGCACCTGAGAGACTTGTCCTGCGGCTTCTGCTACGTGGCTGGTAAATAGAGTTAGCACCGGTGAATTCAAGATTGAGGTGAATGTGAGAGTTGTGTTCGCTCGCATAATTGGCATTGATGGACTACTCACTGGATGTATGGTAAAATAATCTTCATTAAGCATATGAGCATGTCGGGGAATAAATCTCTTCTTGACTCGCTTTCGAATCCATACTCTCCTTCGAACAAATGAGTTATACCATTTAGCATTATGCCATGAAAATAGCTTGGAAAAAGCGAAAGAATATTCCCATCCTTCATCATCGACCTAAATTCACATCAACAGTTAGCATGCAATTCGCAAATAGCACAGCAGTGGACAATTGACGACCACAGGTCCCAAAGTCCAGGCTAGCCTAGATATTCTTACCCCATCATCATGATTGATAATCCACTCGGGCCAAGCCCATTCCCAACTTGGATCCGGTACTTGAGAATTTGAGGGATCCGTCAGACTCGGCTTCCCCGTAATCTTGGTCCAAGGCGCCGGATCTAGATTCCCCAAAGCTTTATTAGAAAACATATGCGCTCCGCATAAAACAAAACCCCGTTCATTCTCATACAAAATATCAATCTCGAAAGGTAATTTATCCTGTTCCTGTTGAGCTTTTGTTCTTTTTCGACTTCGACTTCGGCCTCGACTGTCTTCATCATCGGGAGAATTTCCATTTTCTGGAGGCAAGGTTCTGCAAAAATGTAGTTAGTACTTTTGCCAACAGCCATAACATCAGGTAAATACATACATCACCGAACTAATCCTAACAGGACTACTCTCAATCTCATCGGCCGCAACATGCGCATCCCTATATTTCTTCCATTTCCTCCTAGTCAACTCTGCCCTGAGCGACCTCTTTCTCCTCGATGGTTCATCAACTCGATTCCTGGAAGCCGAATCCGTTACGATTATCGCCGGTAAATCATCAACCTTGGCCTGCCTACTCCTTGACCGACTCCCACCCCGACTCGCATTTGGGTCTGTATGATCCACCAATTCGATTTCGTGATCGTAATCAGCATCTGTTAATTGAGCAGGTCTTTTATATCTAGACCGCAATGAAAAGGCCATTCTCTCGATTTTACGAGAACTGCATTGCCGTGCGTTGTGCTTCTGTTGGCTGGCTGGTGGCTTCTCCTAGAAATTAAAGACCGGCTTGGTTTGGTTGAGGCTTTTCGTACTGAGAATCTAGAATCTAGAATCTAGACTCTGGGTGCTGAATAGCCAGGCCGAGCTACCTGCCTCAATGATAGCAATCAAGTAATTTCTTGATCAATTCCTAATAAAAGTTATGAATAGAAATTTGTTGCACGTCTGTTCCAAGTTATTTTGTTGGAATAATGGATAATTGATGTAAAGTCCCGTAATCGAAATAATGAGTACAGATACAAAAGCCATGTAAGTACCAGTGAGCATCCATTGAGAAATCCAGTTTCGCGGTCTGCATGTCACTAGTACTAAAGGTAGTAGGTACAGATATTAGGTAGTTTGAAGAAGTGAAGATCGAACTGGGATAAGCTGCTCTGATAGCTTGATGATTGCCCCTGTTTGATGACGCGCTAGAAGAAAGTTACTTTGGAACATCCTGGTACCGATCTTCCAAAGGTTGATGGGATGATGGGATGATGGGATGAGTGAGACAATAAGGTTAACCTTCAAGGCGGATATCGTATGCTAGGTACCTGTATATGTTGTAAGTATATCCTCATTTACTTGATTTTAGTATTTCTCAGTGTGTTCAACATCTCATTACGTAAAAGTCTATCATCAACACCAAGTAATAATATTAGAAACTCCATGGCGAACAAATATCGAAACAAAGCACAATCCCAGAGCACAACCCGTTGCACCGCCACATCTCCCCACTGCCCGCCGCTTTCATACAACCTCTTCTACCAGGATATCACAGTAACTATGACGTTACATCTCCTCCCCCCATCCTCTCAAAAACCAAGCAAGAACATCATCATATCATATCATCGAAGAAAAAAAGAAACCTTCCATCACCATCATATCTATTTCGTAATAATTCACCAAACAAGAATTCACCAATCATCACCGAGTCTACAAAAACCCCGTGCTACCTGCTCTTTTTTCCAAGAATCTCCTCTCTTCCTTTGAACAATAAACAAAACATCTATTTATCTGTCTACCCAACAAACCTTCTTATACATCACAAATAAATCATCAATTTTCAATCTCGAATCCTAAAATAAACGATGGCTCAACGCAATTCTCGTACTCCTCTCTACATTGGCCTTGCTGCCGCCGGTGGTGTAGGTTATTATCTGTATAGCGCTGGAGGAAGTCCCAAGGTTGCTGAGAAGCAATTTGAAAGTATGTTTCCCCTACATTCAATATCGCCACCAACTTTCAACATTTCAAATCATCCTACCACAACACACAACATTACTTTGCATAAAACAATAACTAACCAGAAAACCAACAGGTGATATCTCTCGTGCATCCGCAAAAGTAAAATCAGAATTACCAGGTCGCTCGACACAAGCTCAGAAAGAAGCCGAGAAATGGGGTGCAGAGGCTGGCGCTAAGCTTGATTCTGCCGTATGTCTCTCATCTCTACCATTCTAGCCTTTTGACACCATAACCTATCATCCCTCTTTCCTTTATACAAAGCCATCTCCTCTCTCTTCCCACATCATAGCCTCAGCTGCCATCTCTTATGAGCATAGCACTAACTCTCTCGGCCAGACTGACAGAGCCCGCGCCGAACTCGCCAAAGCTGAAGGGAAATTCGACCAATACAAGAAAGACGCCGATCAATACCGCAAAGAAGCTACTCAAACCACCATGAAGAAGATTGATGAGGCAGACCGAAAAGTCGAAGCCGAGGCCGCCAAGGCTAAGAGTGGTATCTCCAGTTGGTTTGGTGGGAAATAAATTCCACAAACTATTTATTCGTTGTAGGAGAGGGCTTGCTAGTCTAGAAAGCTGAGCATGAGCGAAACGTCAATCAGAGTGTGTATGCCATTAATAGGTAATGATGATATGGTCCGGATGGAGGACGGAAAGAAGCTAATATTCGGGAATACGGATGCAGGAATGGTTTTTGGGATAGGACTTCAATGAACCAAAGGGCCTCTTTTTCGCAAGTTAGTTAATGATGTTGGAACGATGATGGACCTTGTATGATAATGATAAATCAACCTTAAATATCTCGCATTTACTCGAAGTGCCCCTTGAGAATGTATTTTACCACTTGGAAGTACAATAGTCCCAAATGTACATGTGAGTGAGCGAATGATCCTCGCACTTTCATGATTGCCTAGCTTAGCTAAGGGGAAAGCTTTGGATTGGAAAGAACACAGGTAAGACAGAACTCCTGCTCATCTCAAAAGACCAGACGAATCTATAATAACTTTTTTTTATTCCTTCCTTTAAATTTAGCTCGTGTAAATTGGTTGTTGTGAACCAACGTCAGCTCGGCTCTAGAAAACAAAAACCGGATTTGTGAATCTCGCTACTTCGCTATCAAATATCATGAGCTTTAAGATATAGCTCGGCTCTGTCATGTTCAGTGTTTTCTGTTCTACAATTTCTTCAGCGCACCCATCATACTCCCGCTCCACCGAATCGCTACAACGCCAATCATACCTCTTCAATTTCATTTCATAAACATCTATCGGCAGTCGCTTATGGTGCAGCAGCAGGAGGTGGAGCCTGCTCCTCTGCAACCTTTCCTCTCAATGGGATCTCCGTCTCAACACCAGCAGCTGGTGCTTGAGCCTCACCCTTCGCCTCTGCTCCCCCAGCAGCCTTGGCCGCTTTCTCTGCTTCCTTCTTCGCCTTCTTCCTTTCCTTATCTCTTGCCTTATCTGCCTTCTTCTTTGCCTGAGCTTCTTCTTCCGCTAATCTCGAAGCCTGAGTCCCTCCATATTGTTTCCTCCATTCTTCGGCTTTCTTCTCGTCAATACGCGTGAAAAGGTATGCTGGTTTGCCAATTTTATGGCCGCTCTTGAGAACAGCTGGGTTCCATTTATCTGGGATGGAGATGAGCGGCGCGGAGAGTTGAGTAACGATAGATTGGGAGGTAGAAGGCATGAAGGGCGAGGTGATGGATGCTATGAGGTAAGCGAGATTTAGTGCGAGCCCAATGACTGTGTGAGTTCTTTCGGGGTGCTCGGCAAGATTTGCGTTGTCTAAACGGTATTGAAGGAGGTTGTTTCCGCTAGTGGAGATTTTCATGACTTGATCTAGACCGGCACGAATCTTGACAGCTTCCATATCGTTGTTGTAATCTTTCAACTGTGCATTGATCTCCTCAATGAAAGCAGGGAAATCGAACGATTCATCCTTGTATTCTGGAGAAAATTCTGGGATCACTCCATCCATCTTTGCATTGACAAATTTGATAACTCTGTTGACAAAATTACCCAAATTATTGAGCAAAACAGAGTTGTTCAATTGAATAAAGTTTGACCACTCAAATTGCGAATCTGCTGTTTCAGGTCGATTCGACAATAAGTAGTATCTCCATACAGATGGTGGAACACCAGTATCCTTTGCAGTGTCACCAAAAACACCCACACCTCTCGATTTGGAGAATTTGCCGTTCTCATAGTTCAGGTATTCAGTTGTAGAGAGATGGTTGAGTTTAGTCCATTTATCTCCAGTACCCAATTGAGACCCAGGGAAAATGACAGTATGGAATGGAACATTATCCTTGCCCATGAATTGGTAGAGCTTGACATTCTCAGGATCGCGCCACCATAGCTCCCAATCCTTTGTATAGTTTGCGGTAATCGAAGGGTATCCGATACAAGCATCGAACCAAACGTAAAGAACCTTTTCCTCAAAACCTGGCAAAGGAATTGGTGTCCCCCATTTCAAGTCTCGAGTAATACTTCGTCCTTGCAATCCCTGCTTGAGCCATGAATTTGTGATACTGATACCATTCTTTGGCCATCCTCCTTCTTCACTCGATTTGTTAAACCACTCCTCAATCGCAGGTTGGGCTTTGTCAAGGAGTAAAAAGATATGCTTTGTCTCGCGAGGAACCGGAGTAGCACCATCGACCTTGCATACAGGGTTGATAAGCTCCAAAGCATCTAGAAGACTACCACATTTATCGCATTGATCACCTCTTGCGTCATCATATTGACACTTAGGACAAGTACCCTCCACAAAACGATCTGCGAGGAACGATTTGTGCGCTTCGCAGTAAGGTTGTGTAGTTGTGCGCTCCTCCAAATACCCATTCTTATGAAGTTTCATGAAAATATCTTGTGCGATGACTGTCTGTTGATCCGTGGTCGTCCTTCCGAAGTAATCGAACCCAATCTCAAACCAATCGTAGACATCCTTATGTTTTTTGTGGAATTCATCACAAAGTTCCTTGGGAGTTTGCTTTGTCTCTAAAGCCTTGACTTCCGTAGCAGTACCATATTCATCAGTACCGCAAATGTAGAGAGTGGGGCGGTCTCTCAGCTTGCTGTAGCGGGAAAACACGTCGGCGCTGAGTACACTGCCAACAATATTTCCAAGATGAGGAACATTGTTCACATATGGTAAGGCACTGGTAATCAAGATATTATTCTTGCCCTTCTCGGGTAAGATGATGTTTGGGGACGCCATTCTTGGTTGTTTTGTTGCAAAGAAGGTGCAAGAGAAAGAACCCCGCTATGGATTTTGAAGTTACTCGGGTGAGTCAGGTCAAAATCCTTGGAGGGGCTTTCAAGTCTGGATTATATAAGCAGGGGCCCTTCTAGAACAAATTCGCGTTTTCTTTAACATCACAAACACCTAGCAAAGTTAACGTAAGGATTTTTCAGTCTAGTATAGGAAATAGAAAGGAAAGTTTCATTCTAGCTCTACACTGACTCGAAATATCACATCTCAAATCTGATACAAAATTATTGCAAAGCTCTTCCTTCATCTACAAGCTTTTTCAAACAAGCACCAAAATCACATCACACCAAAAATGGCTACTATCGATCCATTTGAAGATATCCTCAACCTCGAAGAAGAATTCTATTCCACTGGCTATACCCAGGGTCTCTCGGATGGTATAACCGCCGGACGCATTGAAGGACGCACTTTCGGACTTGAAAAGGCCTTTGAAAAGTACGTTGAAATGGGTCGATTACATGGAAAATCCGTAGTGTGGGCCAACAGAATTCCTTCTCTTCAAAAGCCAAAAGTTCCCACAGCCTCAAACTTAGAAATCAAGAAAGAAGGTCCAAGAAAGGATGAAGAAAAATCACATGATGCCAAATTGTCCGAACTGGCCAAAAACGAAAGATTGGCAAAACATGTAAAAGTGTTCTATGCATTAGCGGAGGCCGCAAGTCTCGCAACGGAAAATTCGGAAGAGGCCGTCGGGGATTTCGATGATAGATATAAAAGGGCGGTGGCGAAAGGGAAGATTATTGAAAAGATAGTTGGGGAGGGACAGGGACAAGGAGGAGCAAAAAGTAGTGGGGATGGAGCGATTGAGGATGTTAGTGTTATGAAGGCTAGATGATGTTGGATTAATGATCGTCGGCTCTTCGAAGGCTGGTAGCCATGGCATAAGTACTCAGAGTCATCATGCACTTTATCGGTTGTGTGAAAGAGGCGAGTTTAAGACGACACTTGACCTCAGGTTTCGTGTAACAATCGGAGTTTCGAGAGTGCGAGGGATGTAATATGGCTTGGAAAGCAGGGGGTCGACAATTAACTATACGGCGGTGCTACGATTTGAGGTATTCAGAGACTACATGCAGATGGACGCCTTGTCTACTACCATCTTCCAAACAACTCGAAACAACCTCGCTCGAACGAGCACTGGAGGATCCACTGCAAACCTCAGGGGTTGAACAAAGTATCAGACAGACGTCATTTAACTCGATGAATGTGAGAATTTCCTTTCCGGGAGGGAAAATGAGATTATAACGACCAGCGACTAAGGGATTAAGGGATTTCAAGAATGAAGGTGCTCGTTTTTACGGTGACTGAGGTGGGGGAAAGGTGGGGGTAAGGGACCCGAGTCCCTTGTGAAGTTTGAAGATTGTATTCTTAGAAATCTTCCTACGTCTTACAGCATTGTCAATGTTTATTGGATGTTGTAATTCAACCATCGATATGAAATCACATTTGCTCCATTGTACGCCCTTGTTATATTTGTACAAGAGTGACTTTCCGTGCACTAATATCTCCCCATAATTTCCTTGGGCCATGTACCTATTATTGTACTTGATCCCGATATTTTACAAATACCATACCTCACCATGCGTAAAAAGATATTGGTAAAGTTTGCACCAAGTCACAAACCAAAACGCCGTCGGGGACTGTCCATGTCACCGCGCATACCACCAGACTCCAAAGACATTAAAGTGATGTATATTTTACTACGCATCGCTTTCGTTCTCCGCGGCCACACGCAGATCATAACTAAGCTCAAAGCATTCTGCAAGGAGATCAGTGACGCTGCCCTGGCCTTCAGGAATGTCTGGCCCGACCATAAATTTACCGTCTACACGCATGTTGTCAATTGAGTTCAACTAATTAATATATTAGTATATTTTAAACGCGCAGGAACGATAGAAAATTCTACCTTCATGCTGTAAGGATACAATTCCCTTGGGGAACTGACACCTCCAGAGTTTTTAACTTCAATAAGACATCGGCGTAGAGTCTGAAGTTGGTTGTAGACTGGAAGAAGTGCCTCGGAAACGGGCTCGGAGGACACCATGAGGAAATAGATATATGCATAGCTACGTCTGATCAGATAAAGTAGAGTCTATTCTAATTAGTTGGGGTACGAATGTGAGGAATTTTGACGCACATACCCGCTGGACGTATAATTCGGCAAAATTCCCTTCAGCATCAACGAAATTTCCATCTACACGGCTTTCGTCGATTTTGTCTAGCTGCCGCTGGAAGTCATACAGATCTGTTTCCCTCAATGACCAAGCTTGAGTCAAAGATAGCTTCTCAAGTTTATTTCGAATCTCGACTAGGGTGGAGTAAATCCCACGGAAAGCTTCTGGAAATTGCCCCTTTCTGGATGACCGTTAGTTGGTGATTTAGTTCATTGGATACATGCATATAAACCAACCTTTCGAGGACAATTTCTGCCCACCTCAAACATCTTTCTAGATGATCACACACATCGTCGTTGCCTGGAGGTATGTCTCCAGAAATGGTTACGAACCTGCCATCAACTCTTTGGGAATCGATCTCTTTTATTTGAGCTTGAAGCTTGGTCACCTCGGTCGTCGAGAACTATTTCCCAGATAATCAGCATGGCCCTCATATGTAGCTGCTAATGAAGCAGAGATCAAACCTGTCACTACAACTGACTTACCTTGCTTCTAGTATTCGCTAATGATATTGATCTCAGTATCGATATGATCTTTTCATGAATAGGTGATATTTCTGGGCTGATACGCTCTAGTCGTGTGCTCAAATTATTCAATGAGCGCTGGCAGATGTCGATTCTGTTGCCAAGAAGAGTGAGAAGCCTAGGCGAGTAAGACGGCTTAGCATTCTTCACAATGCCCTTAAGTCTCTTAAGAGTCTGCGCAATATGTTCTAAATCTTTTTCGCAATATAGATCAACTTCGGTAAGATGGTCAAGCAGGCGTTTGATCGTAGAAGTGAGGGAATAAGCTGCGGGTGCTTCGTTGGTTTTGCCAATGGTCATGAAGAACAAGGAGAGTAGTTGGAAGCATCCATCCAAAACGCGATCCACTGTAATGTTCTCGGTCAGCCACCTAGAATCTATATATCAACATTCTATCCTCTCAAAACTGACCTCGGTTCTGCTCATGGGGCTTATCTGCTCTTATCTCATTAAGAAGCTTAACTTGTTCATCTACTTTATCCTGCAGCTTGAGTACATCCGCGGCCTTGATGTATGTCGTTCTATCTTGCTTTAGAAGTGTCAATTCATCTCGTATTTGAGTAAGAGACTCCAATATAGGCTGCTCGCGAGGATCAAGGGGTAGCGGCTGAGATGGCGTATCAGTCATGGTAAAAGTTGGTTGAGCTCTGGGCTTTCGATATGCTTTCTTGTGTCTTGTCGCAAGATGGGAAGATAGGAAAGATTGTATGTTTTGATTTGTATTTAAAAGAGTCGGATAATCGAAGTAGATACAAAAATTAGAATGGCATGGGCTTGCTATTCATTCATTGCTGTTGCATCAATAACTCAGAAATCGATAGAATGGTGTTGATCCCAATAGGCTGTTTCTTAGTAAAGTCGCTCCTGACTATGTCATAGTGCTTCCCTTATTGGATGGCGGGGCATGTCCCACAAAGAGAATCTCAGCCTTGCATAACTCTTTACTACGGTAGACCATTTTGATTCTGTAAGCATACGATGATAGGTGAATTACATAATATTAGTTTCATAGAGTTTGGCGATGCTATTGGTTAAAATGACTCCCCGTAAATTATCGCTTGCTGCCCAATTAAACCCTGATAAGGTATTAGTCACGCACACTTTCGAATTTCCCAAAACTATCCCATCATAAACTTTTAACTTCTAATATATCAACGACTTCCAGAACATCATCTTACCGACAAAACAACCACCTGTCGGTATGTCGCATAAACGCGGTCGCAATCTAACCTACTGCGCATCCTGCTAATCAATCAATTCTAGATATTCAAAATGTCTAACGCAGAACTCGCCAGCTCCTACGCCGCGTTGATCCTCGCCGATGACGGTGTTGACATCACTGTACGAATTCCTATATTCTCGAGATCTGGAGAACTATGATACTCGATTGGGTGGACAAGTGGCTGACTCGATAATAATAGGCCGACAAATTGCAAAGTCTCATCAAGGCCGCCGGTATTGAGGATGTTGAGCCAATCTGGACCTCATTGTTCGCCAAGGTATGCGATTAAAATTCACACAACTGAGATGGGAACGAGGAAATCATGGTCCAGTACTGATTGTTGGAAATTGTAGGCTCTTGAGGGAAAGGATGTTAAGGACCTTTTGTTGAACGTCGGATCCGGTGGTGGAGCCGCCCCAGCTGCTGCTGGTGCCGCTGCCAGTGGTGACGCCTCTGCCCCAGCTGAGGAGAAGAAGGAAGAGAAAGAAGAGGGTACGATAATTCTTACAAATTTGCGCACCTCAGCAAATTCATTTACTAACTACTTTTACAGCCAAGGAGGAATCAGACGAGGATATGGGTTTCGGTCTTTTCGACTAAATATTCATCTCACCTTTTCTCTCTGTACTTTCAAATGCATGGCCACGGTATATCTTCCCTCGGTGCAATATTGGGCTGGTAAGGGTAGCTTCCATAAATAAGCAAGCATTCATGGGTTCTTCCGAAAGATAAAACCTGGTTCCATCTCTACTGCCGAGTGCATGAACGCGTCGTGATAATGTGTGATGAAGGTGGATTGAGATGAATTTTGTGCGGGCCTTCGTGTTTGCTGGATTTTACGAACACTCATACGACCCTTTTCACTTCATCCATGTGAAGAGACGCGAATCAAATATCTGAATTCAAGAACTTCACCCAGGACTCTCATCATTCAAGATGACGCTGGTCAGGTCGCAAACGCTTGTTTGTTATGTTTACATCTTTCACCTTGCTTCAAAAGACGTCTCGCTACACCTCCCACTCACTAAGGCTTCAGCTGGAAATGCTCGGTTCCGACATCCTCTGCCCATGCTCACCCTTGTTCTTATCCATTTATCTCACTTGCACAGACTGTCAATACATGAGACCAACCATTTTGTTCCTTTGCACTTCAACTATCACTTCTTCATTTGATACTATCACAAATCTGCTTAGCTAAACACTGTCCTAATCAACTCACCAGCTTCCATCTGTTATCTGTGATTCTTCACTAGGATATTCAATCATCTTTGCAATCATCCTTTCTTGATTAATTGTATGGTGTTGATATGAAGTGAATTGGGATTATTCCACGATGTGAGATTCAATACTGGGACAAGTATAAACACATATAGACTCGTGATACATCTACCTCATGAACGGCTCTCCTTTGACAAAACGACAATGGTGACTTCCAAAGTAGGTGCGTATTATACCTGGGATGGTGAGAAGGTAAAATAAGTACAAGATCACTTTTGTATTGCAATATTGCAATGGATTGAGTGGTAGTAGGAATAATTGCATCAGACTCTCTACATTATCATTGTAACTTTCTTCAGATTGTATTTCCAGTTTAATTTCTTCCACAAAAACACATGTTAGAGGTGGATAAAAACAATATCAGAAGAAATTGAAACCCATTTGTGAAACCGATCAATTGATTCGTTTGCTTGTATTGACTGCTTCGAAACTCAAAAAGTTGAAATGTTGATATCACGCTTCACCACCATGAACGAAACAACAGAACCTCAATCCCTTACGCCTCCTTTCTGAATGCACATTTGAAGGGATAGATTTGGATCTGTACACATCAGTAATCCATCCCAAGCAATATACTTCCATAACCCGGGACCGCAAATCTTCGTGGCAGCGATAACATAACATACCTTGCTGAAATCCCAAACATCATTTTCCGCATAAATATCCTTCTTCAATACCTCAATAACTTCCTCCTTACTGCTAGCAAGAGCAATCATACAACTGCCTTGGAATTTTAAGGGGGAGTCACCACTAGGAGGTTCGGAGAGAAAAGCTCCTGTTGGATTTTGTTAGTGAAATGCCTTTGGGAAGAGAAGTAATAGGAAATCTTACCGCCCATCTTCCAGAATCCGGAGTCAAGACCAGTCTTCAACCCTTCAAAATGCTTGCTATAAATTTCTTTAGCATTCGTTCATCCCAAATTCACATCAATATCACCACTTCCTCCTTCCTATAGCTACGAAACCTCAAAAATACCCTCGCACGAAATACCCCATACAAACATCAAGCTACAAACATAAAACAAACTCACGGTCTAACACTAACTCTCCTCTCCAACGCCCCCTCATTATCAGGTAGCACAACCAACCACTCAAATTTCTCTGTCGTCGGCGTCGCCGCTGCTGAACTCGAAGACATTTGTCTACTATTTACCCTTACAGCCGGATAAGAGGAGGAAATTGAACGAGTAGCACAGGAGTGAGATTGTTTGGGATATAATTTGCTAGGTACGAATCTCAGGCGCAAGAAGGACATTTGGGGGAGTAATTGATTGTTGGGATGGGAAATGTGGGTGTGAGGAGAAGAAGGAGGGGTTTGGGGTTTGGGCGGAAAGTGGGGTTTTGATATTTCCACGATGCGTGTTGATAGAGGTGCAGGGCGTTGGCGTCTCGGGGAATTTCGGATGTAACCTGGATGAATTAGTGAGGGGGGTCGGAGGTTCGCTTGGAAAAGGAGGGAGTTGGTTCTTTTTAAAAACTTTTTCCCTCTTTTTTTTTTAGAGATAATTAATTCCTTTTCTTTGAAATAAATATAATAATAAAATAATTCAACTTCTTACATCTATCTACAAAAAATAATTCTAATATAAATGTGAATAAATAAAATCAAAAAGTCCCATTAGAATCTAAATAAAACTATTCCAATCATTTAAAAGTTATCTCAAAGCTATATATATATCAAAAAAGATTATCAAAAGATAACTAGTTTCTTGACAAGCTAAACTTCTCTGCTAGATACTTTTCATCCGCGACAGAATCTATATCTTCATGCCCATCTTTTGTCAAACTAGCGAATGATTTAAGGAATGAATATTTTATGATTGATAGTAATGCGATGTGCTCTTCCAGACAAACCGCGATCATTCTACTTGATTCTTCACCGAGAGAAGCAGATTAGCCGAGCTTAATTAGCAGTAAACTGTCTCTTTGCTATAGCTAGTTATGCTGCACTTTTTTTTACCTTATGTAATGTACCGTGATTCTCGCGATTAGATGAAAGGAAGGTATTGATAATTCGTATTTGGGTTTTGGTTTATGTTATTCACCTCATATCTCATTGAATTCGCTTGATGATTAAAAGAGATCGGAAGAGTATCTACGATTGAGCTGAGATATCTGTGAATGTAAAATTATCCAGTGATTAGGTACATGTACATAAAAAGGTGTTACCTGATTCCAAAGGAAAACTCTAAAGCATTTCATAGTTTTAAGCAGTATACTGAACACGGCTCAACCAAGTATCAACAAATTCAATTTTCATTTTGCTTACCAGTACATGAAGTTCAAATGTAGCTCATCTGGAAATGGCCCCTAAGATCTTAGCACAGATGAAAGTATTCTCACGTGGTGCAAGCAAGACTCAGCGCAAAGTCAATTTCCATCAGCACAGCGTATTGGAATGGATTGCAACAAAATAGGGAGACGAGAAGTTAGTTTTTGAGAAGCGATTCCGACATTCACTGTGGAGTTTATCGTCAACCTTGGGTATTAACAGGTGAAGAGTCATTGGAGGTGATTCGAAGTAACCAGAACGGGCACATATACCAAGCAATTGGGGGATCTACCAACGTTGCTTGCTAAAATCTTTGGGGCGAAAGAGTTTCCGATGAGTGAAGAACACTTCCAGAAAAGGAAACTAAAGCTATTACAAGAGGGGGACGCGATTGACGTTCACTCTCCGCAAAATGAGCGAAGCAGAATTGCAGTCTGTCGAATACACGTACTAGAAGTTGGCGGCGAAAGATTACGGTGTGTACTCATACAGTTGAGAAGGCAAGACGAGTTGGACGCCTAGACAGAGGCCTATATTCGTCTTCACCATCGCACGGAAGTAGATGTTTTTCGTAGGGTGAAGAATGGTAATCATGCATGGGCATTGCAGAAGTGGCATAAATTGATGATGAGTGGTTACTGTTGGAAGTGATGAAGTAGCCACTTGATTCTCGTCAATGGGTCGGGTTCTGTCTCTCTGGGCGTCTGGACGGGAACATTAATTCTCCAAACTCTCGTTAGTAATATCCTATGACAAAAGATCATAGAGCTGATGGAGCAAAATCCAGAAACAAATACACTACCAGGTTCCGTCAGACAAATCCTTAGAGGAACGTACGTGATGAGAATCTCTTCAAAACATTCTCAAGACTCGAGTCCGTCGTCGAAATTGTTGGCAACACTTCAGTCTCCTCTATATCTACTTCCATTTTCGAGACAATCCCATCGTACCATCGTTGGGATTTCCAGCATCATTTTTCCTTTCTCTCTTTCTCTTTTAATTTCCCCTTCTCTATCATCAGCGAGTTTACAAAAGCATGCTATTTATGGGTTTTTTTAGTAGTCATTTGCTGGAGTTTGTTGGATTGCAATGAGATTTGCGTGGTGAACTGTCGTGGAGTCTTTTGCTGGTGGCAAGGTTGGAGGAGTTTATGATTCGGTCTTATTGGGCTGAACAAACGGATTGCTTTCGGGAAATGGAGTAATGGGAACCTTTTGTGTGTATAACATGGTATAGCATTGTTATGAATGTTCAATAAAAGCAATATTACTTTCAAAACATAAACCATTGTGCATAAATGTGAATTCATGATTGTTACAATTACCCTTCCTTTTGTACTCCGGATAGCGCCCTTGGTATATATGCGAACTCAAATGCCTTCACACAATCTTGCCCTTGTTGACTACGAATGCTTCCAAAGCAGCTATGTTTAGTTAGTATGTCAAGTCCAACCTGTAGGTGATTTGGAAACTTACTAATAGCAGAATATAATCTGTTCTCGGCCTCTGGGAAGACCAAGCTCCTAGGGCCGTAGAATACTGCGTCGTTGACTTCATCTTGATGTCTAGGTAGACAATGCATAAATTTCCATCCGTCTTTAGCACCACCTCTCTTTGCCATCTCTTCCGTAATTTGGTATCCAGCAAATGCCTTAAGCCTCTTAGCTGACTCTTCTTCTTGGCCCATAGATATCCATGTATCAGTCACTAATACATCCGCACCCTTTACGGCCTCTTCAGGCACAGAAACCTCTGTAAGTGTTCCTGGTGTATCTGTTGTGGTTGCAGCAGATTGTATGATCTTACGCATATATTCTGGAATCTTGTAACCCTCCGGTGAAGAAACTGAAATATTGATACCTAATTTCATAGCTCCAATTGCAAGGTCGAAGAGAACATTATTTGAGTCTCCAATCCAAGCGATCTTCATGCCCTCCAGACCCAAGCTTGGCGTAATATGTGATGAGCTTCTGGAAGGTTGCGACGGGAATGCTTCGTGGATCGTGAGGTAATCGGCAATAGTTTGTAAGGGGTGGTATTCGTCGGATAAAGCATTAATGACCGGTACACTCGACCACTTTGCCAAACCTGCAACATCCGAATGAGGCCCCACTCTAGCTACGATACCTGCAGTCATGCTTGAAATGACAACTGAAGTATCGTATAATGATTCATTAACACCCAATTGGATGTCACCGGAACCAAGAAACATAGGATGTCCGCCCATGGTGGTAACTGCCGATTCGGTAGAGACACGCGTACGAGTACTGCGTTTGGAGAATGGCATGGCAATTACTTTACCAGTCAATGAATTGAGAAGGGACGTAGGAACGGCGCCAGATTTGAGTGCGACTTTGTGCGAGTGTGCGGAGCGAACGAGGGTAGTAAGTTCGGACGGAGTGAGATCTGCGATAGAGAGAAGATGACGGGGCGCGAAAGGTGAGGTGAGAGGTGTTGAGCCATGGCTGTATGAACGCAATTGAGCTCTGCTGAAGTTTTGCAGAGCTCGAGATCCAGGACGCAATGAATTGAGAGTCATTCTGCTGGTGAGTAAAGAGAAAGGTCAATTGAGTAGAAATTGTTGAGAGATCAGTCAGAGCTCATTGAATAGGAAGGATGAGTAGAAATATAGATGGATGAATTTTGTTAGAATCCAGAGATAATTTATAATAAGTTCACCTACGGATCTCACTTCAAATCTATTGATTGATGAGTCAATTGGTGAGTCAATTGTTTATACTCCGTAGATACCTTAATTTACAACTTTTCATTGAGGTGTGCTCAAAGCTTCATGCATGCATGTCTTCTGGGACCCCGCATGTTTGGCGCTAACCATATATGGCAATATATCAACACAAACAGACCATGGTGAATGGCACGTTTATGAGAATGTATCCGGACATCGATATTCTCAGGTTACAGAACCTGAATTTATCCTGATTGAAGCGCGACCCCAAATACAGCATCAATTTTCCAATAGAGATTCATAATCATGTCGGCGTTCTTCAAAAACAGCTGCAAATACTGCAAACACAGCTACCAGTGAACCCAAAACGAAGCGTACCAAAACAACAGATTCACCAGCCAAGCAATATGTGTATATTGTTATGCATGAAACCTCGCTGGGTTATAACCAGGGTGATTCTACCAGTGTGGCTGGAGTATTTTCAACTATTGAAGATGCCACGAACTGTATAAAGAGAATCGTCAGTGAGGAGTATGAAGGCTTGGTTACAGAGGATGAAGATACGGTTGAAATTACAGAACGTAATGGTCTGTTGAGGTGGTACAATAATGATAACGGGGAAGGCGACATGGCATCTCTTTACGTGGAAAGCATATGCTACGAGCGCCAGGCTCCGAAAAGCAGAGAGAATGGGGTCAGGATGCAGGCGCGGGTAGCGGGGTGGAGGATGGAGAAGAAGGGGAGGAATGGTTTGAAGATGTACTTCGCCGCCGTTATAAGATGGTATTATCTGTGAATGAATCTAGTGTGAGGGTTGAACCAATTACCTATCAAGCGAGGTTATCTTCCTGGCTCAGTTCGTTCATCTCAGTACAACCAGCATATTACCCTGAGAGCGGAAAGCGGCCCTCGCCTTCGATGATGTGTTTGACATTATCATTCTAGTTTAATCACCCTCGGAAATAGAATTTGGAAAGCATTTTGTTATGTGGTTTATTTTCTCCAAAGCGAGAGCACATTCTGTGTTCATTGTATCATTGGATTTTACCTTCGACTTAATTTGGAAGAAATATGGAAATGAACAAGAAGGGGCCAGCTGTGAATGACCACTGCATCAAAAGAGGAAGGAACCCTATGCTATACTATTGTATCTCAAATCTGGTACACTGCTGAACAAAACACAATTCATACAAAACATCAAAATAGTACTTCTTCCATAAATTTTTGGTTATTGAAAGTATCATCATGGAGAATTCATTACTTGCACAGCATCTATACAATACGAGCTATCAAGCCACTAATAGTGACACCGAGATAGAAAGTTTATATGACGGATTGTATGGAGCAGAAAGTGAGCTCACGAGCTCATCATCATCTTTTTACGATGCAGCATCATCGAAGGAATCCCTCATACCATTATCTGAAAATCATTCTCCAACTTCATCAAGCCCCTACCCGAGTCTCCATTGTCCAGCGAGATTAGACTGGCATGATATAGACCAACCTCTGAGTAAGAATTTTGCCAACGATTTGTGGCTCAAAACACGACGTCCAATTGCCGCCAGTGACTCGGACGAAGACACAGAATCATTCAAGAAGCAAAAGGATACACACCGGGACACATCTTCAAAGCTCGAAGCAGATTACAATAAAATCTTCGAATACTTGACTCCAACAAGCTCCCCAAAGCCACTCGACACTCTAGAGCAGTCTTCACCAACAACAACAGCAATATCCTGCACAGAAATATCCCCTTCAGGAACAATCGAGAACTTAACTGTCACCCCAACCATGTCTCCCCTCAATCTTTACCGTGGAATCGTTACTCAAACTCAAAGCCAAGCGCAATATGCCTATATCGTGCTACACGACGCCATCCCCGTTGCAGCAGAATCCCTCGCAATAACCACCGTCACAGGTGTTTACATAACGCTCGAAGAAGCGAACAGCTTCGTAGAACGCGTTGCAGAGGAAACTTGTAGGGACGTACCAGAGGAACACTTGACATTACTCATAGATGATGGGGCGTATGGCTTTGATATCTTGGATATGGAGAGACATGTTCTGCATAGGGTTTATATTGAGAAGCAAGCCATTAGGGGGGATTGGAGTGAGCCGACGGAGATTGAGGAAATGGGTGTTTTGAGAGGTCAAGAAGGGGAGGCGGAAATTTTTGATGGATTGGCAAATTTGTCTTTATGAGAAGTTGGTTCAGGAGCTCATGCTCGAGGTTTAGTAATAATATGGGGATTGGAATTAGGTTTGACGTGGTGTGGATTACGCATTATTGGCTGTATGGTTATTACTAGGTATACCATCGGAGAAAAAGAAATTAGTTATCTGCACGAATTGCAAGAGTATCCTCACAAGTCAATGCCGTTCGACGGAAACCATTGATTTTTCACTCGACACCCAAGACATACTTCATTCATGAAAGCCACATGTGCATCCGTGTCCAGTGCAATAATCCTACGATTTAATTTAGTTTTCATTTCAAGTTCCAAAAATTATCAAAAAAATCCGTTAAATTCGTAATATCCAAAATGATTATTGGAAATCATATTTTAAAAACCTAGATATCCACCCATCCATTCACCAACCCCTCCCTTCCCATTAACTCCTCTCCTGGTATTAACACATCTAAAAAGCCCATCCAAGAGTCAACCTATAAACTCTCTCCCACTTAGTCTCCTCATGACCACCTCTCCTCTCGGCTTCCTGCGCTAGATACTCCTGTTCCTGAGCATCGATCCTTGCCTTCCCACCGAAAAGATCCGCTTCATACGGTGCTAGAATCTTAGTCTTCATTGAATATTTGTATCCAAAGTACATGATAATGTACAGGGGGATAGCCAAATAAGTCGTGATGAAAGTCGAGTAATCAAAGACGGGAGTTTTGCCTTTGGGCGTGGTTTTCTTGTATAAGAAGAGTGCGAATCCTTTGAAGATGGCTATTAGGATACAGAAGAAGAGAGCGCCGTAGGAACCCCAGATACCGAGTGGTGCTTCGTAGGCTAATTCGGTGCTTTGAACTCCTTGGGCGCGACGCGCGCGTATGAAGTAGATGTGGGAAATGAGGATGGAGATCCAGGTGAGGAGACCAAACATAGTAACCAGGTTGACAAAATAGCCGAACACGGTATAGGAAGCTGTGTTTACACCTAGGAAAGCGAGGAAACAGAATGCTGTGCTCAAGCCTAAAGCATAAATGGGAACACCGCGCTTATCAGTGTGTTTGAAGATTTTGAAAGCTTTTCCCTCGGAAGCAAGACCATAGAGAGTGCGAGATGCAATGTAGAGATCAGAGTTTGCGGCTGAAAAGACAAAGATGAGGATGCAGGCATTGAAGATGGCCGGAAGAGCTTGAATCCCACTTATTTGAATGGCGACGACGAAGGGGGAGGCAGATGCATTGTTGCTCTTTTTGGTGGCGTCGAGGAGGAGTTTGGAATTATATGGGACGAGCATGCCGAGGAGGAAGACTAGCACGACGTAGAAGAGGAGGATTCGGTAAAAGGTGAGTTTGATGGCTTTGGGGATAACTTTTCGTGGATTGGCGGCTTCTCCTACTGTCACACCAACAAGTTCTGTACCTAAATAGGCGAAAACGGCAGTGGTGAAAGTAGACCAGACTGCGAGAAATCTACCAGTATGTCCAGCTGCGTGATATTAGTATTATTCCAAGTATTGAAATACATAGAATACTTACTTAAGATGTACTCATGAAAGGCTCCAGGGTTTTCCCAATATTTAAATCCAGTCGCCTGTTTATCAGGTCCTCCTCCGCATGCAAGGACTAGACTTAGGAGGATGAGACCTAATATAACAACCACTTTGATACTTGACAACCAGAATTCGAATTCTCCAAAGAATTTCACACCAAAATAATTGATACAGACGACGGCAACCAAGAATATAGCAATAAAGACACCAGGATTGACTTTATCTCTCGGTACCCAATATTGTATAACTAAAGATGCCGCTGTAAGATTATTGGGTGTGACGATGATATATTTGAACCAATAGTTCCTGGAATTCGTTAGTTTTCGCTTTGTCGAGTAGAAAAGTGTGACTTACCATCCTAAACAGAACCCTAAAGCCGGATCAACAAATCTGGTAGCGTAACCTGTAAATCCACTCGCCAATGGTAACCAGGCAGCCATCTTTCGTATGTCAGCAGTCGTTCATCTGAGAAGGTTAATAAGAGCCACCATACCTCACCGAGAGCCGCCATAACCAAAAAGCACAATAACCCAACAATCGCATAGCCTATCAAGAGTGGCGCTGGACCCGCCTGAGCCAGCGGTTTTCCCCTGCAATATCATGTCAGCGGAAAAATCCTGCGCCCTTTGCGAGACTTGTCATGCAAGGGTGTGATGACGAATCTGTGTGCAGAGAAACGAAATACGTACGTTCCGATAATCAATCCAGTTCCAATAGCACCACCAATTGCTATCATAGTAATTTGTCGAGACTTCAAACCACGATGAAGATTGTGACTCGGGTCAATATCTTCGCCTTCATCCTGCGAGCCTGTCCGCTCTCGCTCGACGGGAAGGGCTCCCTCATAAGCCTTCTCCGCACTCGAGGGCGAGTGGTTCCGTGGATTAAGTGCGGCCATTATTGGGAGTGTCTATTGATATCAAAGAAGACAAATACCAAAAATGTCGAAGAGAAGGAGGAGGGGGAAGGGGAAGGGAAGAGAAAAGAAGAGATCCAGAATAAGTTTGGACAGGACTAAAGGACGGGAGGAAACTGTCAACTTATCTATATTACAGCAGGAACTGTACTAAGAGGCTCACACTAGCCTTAGTCCCTAGTGAGACTAGAATTACCGTCGGGTATGATAGGCAATCTGGAAGGTCTTAGACCGGACACTTTGTTGGGGCGATTGACGGATCGATCTCATTCGCTGACAATAGTAATAAAGTTGAATAATAATAAATGGGAATAATCAAGATTACTGTATTGCCAAGCGCTATGCGAATCCCACAATCCCACAATTCCATATTCCATTGGAACGGACCAATTGATTATTCACCATGCAGGACAACATGCAGGATAAGGCTTATTGGAAGCGGGCGCAGGGTCAAGGCAGCCTCACATGTCCACGCAAAAAAGAACAGGGATACGATATGGGGTAAAACCGGGCCGTTTTACTGCTTTTCTCTCGTTTATAGCTGATATCAGCAGAACGACGGTGTAGCACGCAACAAGCGCCTGGGCGCCCAGACCTTTGTTATCGTGTAACTCTTGAATCGTGAAGCTGAGTCGTGAAGGAGTCATGTGTCGTGAGCCATGATCCCTGCGGAACCCTTTTTTTCTCTGTCATGATGTACATGTAAAAATTGGAGCCAAGCCTGCTTCGAACTTCCAAGAAGAGATAACAATGTCAATTATGTTTGTTAGGTTACTTAGGTACCTACCTACTCCCTCCCTCCCTCCCTCCCTCCCTACCTAACTTAGATTATCTTTTCTGTGTGGCCTTGGCATTTGGAAAGAGATTGATAAATGCATGATAACATTACATCGTTGATAAGACACTTGGCAGCTGAGAATATTTGAATAAATTATAAACAAGAGAACTCGAGTAAAAGGTGTCTGGACAAGAAAGGGACACAGGTTTTTTCTTTTTCCTTTTTTCTTTTTGCTTTTCCTCACTGTCCCAAATTCCAATCGATCAGATTGTTATATAAGTATATGTGATTGGCTGATATAAGAAGAAGACGTCGGCCAGTAGTTTGGATGGTGGATCCGTTCTTGGATTGCGGGGAATGAATCTTATTACGTAAAGAGGTTTAAAAAGATCAGACGAACTGGGAATTTATTACCATGGCAGACTGGATAAAGATACTTCAACTTGGGAACAGACAAGTTGTCATAATAGATGAGAATAAGAAGGTGGGTTTTGAGAACATCCAAAACACTTCCTAGATGAACTTCCCGATATACAACCTCCACGAATCCATAATCCGGAATGCCAACCATAAAGCCAGAGAAATGCCACATACGATAAAGTAGTTCAGATAAATGCTAATTCTATATACTGTAGCTCACATGGTATTTCTACCTCGCTTGGGCGTACTACCACAATCCTCCACGGCATTTCGTTTTCGAGAAACGGCCACAAATTCCCAATCAATACGTCCGCTACCACGAAGCCCGTCAAACTCGGTCAAAATCCGACTGATACAAACACTCCGCTGAAGTCTAAACTCTGTATCGTCACTACCAGTGCTAAGAGCAAAAGTGCGAGCAACACGACCCAATTTCACAAAATGACTAAACATTACAGAGCTGAACTCTGCTCCAACGTGATACTTGTTGATCCAACTGATCATCCTGGCTATTCTAGTGATAACCCACCGATTTCTGTCCTCCCACAACTGATCGTCGCCGGAATCCGATGGATCGTAAAACAATAGCGCAGAACACCATGATATAGTGTGATCAAATGTTCTGGAGTTAGATCTCCGTACACAATCACCAAGAATGGCCAACTTGTCAATCAAACTTCGGTGTTGGAAAACATCTGGATGTAACTTTAGTGCGCCATTCACCCAGTTCGATAGCTTAGCCTGAAGCGTTTCTTGGTTGATCTGTAGATCTAAGTCTGGTGACTGTTCATTAGGCAGCGCCCCCTCATCTGAGCAAATGCCAACATCCATTTCGACGCTACTCAAGTTGTGATCGAAGTCGTGAAAGTCAACATCAGTGTCTGAGAGCTCGACATCGTCAAGTGCAACCGGTGATGCATGGGGCAGCGACATTTCCGGTGAAAGCTGAGTTTGTGTTGACGGATGTTGTGAAAATAGTTGACTATCTTTGAACATGAACCTGTCCCATTCGACAAGCATAGAGCCATGCTGGACGTACATTTCCGCTCTGCTAGATCTAGGGGTGGCGGAACCAGTGCTACCGAGTCGCATGCGAAGTTCTTTCAACCCCTCCCTGGCATGGTCGCTCGGCCGGATGTATATATCGAAGACCGACGCGTTGGATAAAGATTTCATGTTGAGGATCAATTGCTTTGATGTGACGGTTTGTAGCCGGATAACTGAGTTTGTCTTTTTCATGATGACAAAGCCCTCCGTGGTAAGGCGTAATGGAATGTGGATAACGTGGTCACGTTCGTCGCTTATTCCTGCATCATGAAGTGCGGCGACGTCAAGAGCGGAATAGTTGTTAGAATTTGCATTTAGTTGAACCGTATCGTCATCTGGGAAGTTTAAATTTGGCGGAGCAACAAACATTATCTCGATCCGTTTGAACTTGCCACCCATTTTAACCGCCAGCATGAGCGAGAAGTCGACATGGATATAATTCTCCGTATCGTAACTTGCTGTCATCAACAATTCGGGACATTGTCCATTTTGTGACAGTCGAGAACCAAGCGTCGAAGCCGTGCCGTCGGGACTTACCCATTTGACAAAGACCTTCTCGCGTAGAATTGTTGTCAGTTTAAGCGGTCCAATTGGAATCAACAGGTGTGACCTGTTCACTTAATATTAGCTCGAAATGAGGAAAAGAATGATAGCTATTACATCGTAAGTTAGATTTTACGTTAACCGATGAAAAGACGTAGTGCTATGAAGCATGAGATAGTGGGACGCTATCACCATGATCATATCAGCGTTGCTTCATCTCGTGAAGTATACTCCTGTACCACTGCCAGATTTTCAGGGTTGGACTATACAGCGAGAGGAAGTGTACTGCTGTACCACTGCCACAGAGTGTCAGGGTTGGACTATATAATGAAATGAATTGTACTCCTGTACCACCGCCAAGAGTGGCGGGGTTGGACTACACAGGGACGCAGCAAACTGCCGGGATGGTTTGGGTGTGAGAAGGAAAGCTTGACGTTAGCCTCTGATTGTGGTGCTCAACGGTAGATGCCGCCGAGCCCGTTTTTTGTGAATCACATACCCGATGGAAGGAGCCTTAATGGATGATGTGAGGATGAAGATGGCAAGATTCGGATGCGCTATTGTTGTTGTAGATGAGATGCGACGGGAATTAGAATCGCGATGTAAAATTGAAGAGGTAACGTAAAGAAATATTGACTTTAGATCATTGTGATGGATGAGGAAGATGAAGAAAAACAAAAGGACAGAGGATTTCGTCTCGAGTATATAGTATTCGAAAGCCATATGAAATAACCCGCCTGTCAGCCGGATATCCTGTCTTAATTAGGATAGATCAGCAGCATCAGACCACCAAATGGCACCTTCCAATCTTTGCACCCCGGATTGGCATAATTAGGTTATTTGTCTCGGGGCTCAATTGGCAGTTACTGGGGAACGGGAACGTAATTCCCCTACTTTTGCGGCAGCGTGCATAAGTCCCCGCACGCTAGGGGACAAATTATCTGTATTGATCAAAGTGCCTGACGATTACACGGCTTTCCGGCAATATTATGACATTGGTGGTAGGTACTGACAGACATCGAGAATCGGAAGCCTTTTGACTGTTTTGACAAGATTACAGATTACAGATTACTGATTACTGTCCGTGTGAGAATTGTATTTGTGATATGAAGGGCGATGATTTACTACGGGTGTACTTATTTTTTGACACCTCCCATATGATTCTTTTGCAAGCAAACAATTGTTGGCAATGACAATGAAAGCGAACCCGGCTTGTTGATGTGTTGCGTGGCAGATTGTGAACAATACGCATGTATCCCCATGCGATATGTTGCATCTCTATTTGTTTGTTTGTTTGTTTACTCTAACTTCGCCCGACTCCTTCCCCTTCCGTCATCTCCCCCTGTGATATTCCCCGAACCATTCCCCACACCCACCAACTGCCCATTCCAAAAACTCCACCAGCTCTTCCCCTTCAATCAATCCGTCCATCATAACTTCTTCATACACGGTACATAATTGTGCTTAGCTAAGTACCTAGATGTTTTTACAACTATCAAAATGACATTCATTCGTGAACAGCGCAAAAATAATAATATCAATCAACCACACCTGTCTGTAACTTTGACACCTAGGCATGAAAGAAAGAAGGGAAACAAAACCCCAATCATCTCATCTTTCATCAGGCTGGCTGTCCATTAATCATAGGCTGGTGGTAAGTTACGGGTGGGCGGGGTAATAGATCGAGTGGGGGAGCAGGAACTGATGAACCCCACAATGAATTACTTGTACCTACCCTACCTACTCCATAACAAAGTAGAAATCACCATACCATATCAATACTCCGTACTCCGTACAATGAAGATATCAAAACCCTCCTTTGGCCCATGGACTCTTACTTGCTTGCTTGCTTGCTTGCTTGCTTGCTCTGCATGCCATTGCCACCACTGTTCTCGATTGGTGATCGAGTGTACTATACCTACCTACCAAATCACTAGTAACTCTAGGTACTCGTGCGGCCAGAGAGCAGTGAGCACCCTCCGATTCTGGTTGAGATAAGATAATGCGGGTGCGGGAGCAAAAGCTTAAAGAGGGGAAGAGAGAAAAGCTTAAAAATAAGAACAATTTGGCCAATAATAATAACATTTATTGTTTTGTATCCCTCCACTTTATCAATCAATATACTATGTGAGCAAGCAAGCTGAAATTTCCACCGTCCGAGGATCTCCAAATCTGTAAATAGGTACCTGATTCATGATTTGTACTGCATATTAAGTTATATATCTCATTCACACTTTCCCGAATATCAAGTGACGACTATTTCAGCATTCAGATGTCTATTTTAAACATTGGAAGTCTAAGAACCATATCATATAATCACCGAGTAATGGACATCCTGTGGGGTATTTAAACTTTTATTCGGATAGACAAGTTCATCTTGTATCTAGTACCTTTTCAGACCTACAGTTTTATCATCTCTTTGCATTCGCCAGCAAGTTTAATGCACTTCCTGCCAATACAAATCCAGCTTGATCAGGACTAAATGTGTGCTTGGTCTTGAGAATAACTTCCTCCCCACTACCATGCTTCTTAACCCGTAGGCTGACGTCACCCTTCCCGCCATTCTTCAACATATCGTATAACCCAATCGTGCTCACTTCATCAAGTGCGTCGATCTTTCCATAATCCTCTCCATCGGCAAAAGTGAGAGGTACAACTCCTTGCTTCTTCAAGTTCGTTTCGTGTATACGTGCAAATGACTTGCAGAGAATAACTCTGCCTCCCAAGTAACGGGGTTGAAGAGCTGCGTGTTCACGCGCTGAACCTTCTCCATAATTGCTTTCTCCGACGACGAGCCATTCTTTACCCTGATCCTTCCATTTCTGAGCAAGTTCTGGGATACCAGATGTGCTGCCATCAACGTCGTAGGCAACATTTACCTCGCCGGTTGCAGCGTTAATAGCTGTAATAAGTGTGTTGGCAGAGATGTTTGGAAGATGGCCTTTGTATTTGAGCCAAGGGCCGGCAGCAGAGATGGTATCTGTAGTACACTTTCCAGTGACCTTGTAGAGGACGCGAAGTCCTTCCAAATCGCTTTCCGGAAATGGCGCAAATGGTTCCAGAAGGGCTAGACGATCAGAGGTTGGGGAGACAACAACTTCTATTTCGGGGGAAGGGGGGCCTGATAATGGCAAAAGTTCTTCCTTTCCTTGTTCGAAACCTTTCTGGGGAAGTTCAGCTCCCGTCGGTGGCTCGAAACGGAATTCTTTACCAGATGGAGTTATGATAGAGTCCGTGATTGGATTGAACAAAGTGTTTCCAGCATATGACATAGCTGTAACAATTTCGGGAGAAGCGAGGAAATTCATAGTGTCTGGATTACCATCGTTTCGTCCTCTGAAATTTCGGTTATATGATGTGAAAATTGCGTTGGGTTCACCCTTTACCACCCCATCAGTTCTGCTCCACATGCCAATACATGGACTTATCAAGTTAGTGATTTTATCTTGAAATGATTATCCGACGAACGGATGAGTTTGGCCACAAATAGGCAAAGCACGTGATCAGGTATCCAAATGGTAATTTTGAACAATTAAATAGTAGCCTGGACTTCCAAACAGAGTTGAAAATCCAATGTGAGGAGTTGCATATCAAAAGCCATTCGGTGTAAACCTAAGGCTTTGGAATGTATCCAAAAGAAGCAGGAAAAGGAGCATGAAGATGGTATGTAAAAAGAACCGATATTACTCACCCACAAGCATTAGCAAGTACAATACCTCCAGCTTCAGTGAACGTCGATGAAATCTCATCACGCTCCAAGGTGGCTCTAATCTGTTCACTGCCAGGTGTGATGAAAAAGTCGGTAACTGGCTTGAGACCTGCGGCTGACGCTTGCTTGACTAAATTTTGTACTCTTGCCATATCTTGATACGAACTGTTTGTGCAGCTACCAATTAAACTCGAGGATACTGTCTCTGGCCAATTATTTGCTATGACAGCCTCCGAAAATCGTGACAATGGAGTGGATAAATCAGGTGTGGCCGGGCCATTGATATGAGGTTCTAATGTAGATAGATTAATGGTAATAAGTTCATCGTAGTGAGCACCTTCATCTGCTCTTAACAGGTTATGGAGTGAAGGACTTTCTGCGATAGCTTGGGCTTGTGATGCGATGGAGGATCGATGTGTTGATTCGAGATATGGAATGTGGCGTTTTGAGAATGGGAAAAGAGAAGTTGTAGCACCAACCTCAGCACCCTGTTGAATTGTCAGTAATAGATCATAAAGAGTAAAAGTAAAGGCCAAAAAACCATATTCGTCACGGTTGCCATTCCTGTGCAAGTCAGCGAATCGACTCCAGGTCCATGGTATTCAATTATGTATCCAGTTCCACCACGGACAGTCAATTTGCCTGCTAGATGTAGAATAATATCTTTGGGAGACGCCCATCCGCTTAATTCTCCTTCAAGTCTCACTCCCAGAATTTTTGGAGCTTTCAATTCCCATGGTGCATCAACCATTGCGTCAACAGCATCAGCTCCACCAACACCAATAGCAATAGCTCCTAATCCACCAGCGTTCGGGGTATGACTGTCTGTTCCAAGCATCATTAGACCAGGAGCCGAATAATTTTCCAATACAGTTTGATGAATGATTCCTGCTCCGGGTGGCCAGAACTCGATACCGTATTTTTTTGCGGCAGATTCCAAGAAATCAAAAACCTCCTTATTTCCCTTAATCGACTCTGGAAGATCAACATCTGCTCCTCTCTGTCCAACAATCATATGGTCGCAATGAATGCTAGCTGGCACAGCAGTAGAAGGCAGTTTGCAGGTCATGAATTGCAACAATGCCATCTGTGCCGATGCATCCTGCATAGCAACTCTATCTGGTTTGAGCTTGAGATTGGCATTTCCTCTGATATTAAGTCCATTGTCGGTATTTGATAAAAGTGACTCTTCGGGGTTATCGAGATGGGAATATAGGATCTTTTCGGCAAGGGTCAAACTTCTTGAGGGACCTAATACTCTTCGAACCTCACGGAGACGTTTGAGGAGTTTCGGGTATGGGGGAGTTCGGGCTTCGATGTTAGGTTTGTATGTAGAATTATTCACAGTCGCAAGAGTTCGTCCACTTATCGGTCTTAGGAGCGGTTGGATATTAGTCCTCTATATAGTGAGTCAATTGCATGATGATTTGAAGAAATAAAGAAAGGCTCACTCTAATAGCCAAACCGCTGCTCTTGAGAAGCCCGGAGGACTTCATATTTGCGACTTTCACCGGGTTTGGAATACAAATTGAAACTATTCACACAAAGGCCAAACATAAATTCTTCTATCTACAATTGCGATATCGCTAGGAAATTCTTCGTGGCATTCGGAAGATAACCGATTCGTGGGAACAGGATCGGGATGCTGCTTTTATCGTACCTGTTTCACGAACCACTCATAAACTAAAGCAGCTCCATACTAAAGACGACCCCGGCATGTTCTCCTTTGGAACCTCGCCCAAATTCCCCGGATTTCCTCCTGATCTCTGCTGTAAAACCACATACTACAACTCGTGTTCCAGAATTTGAAGACTCAGGATGTTCCTATTCTCTTGAAAGTAAAGTTCTTCATGATCGTTATGTTTTCTATGAAAGAAGTGCTTGCGGTGTTGTCATAAGTCCAAAACCATGTGGTTATCTTCGAATTCCATGATCTCATATTATATACCTTTGCCAGTGACGGGAATGACAGCTGCATATCAGAGATCTGGTGGTATATGCACAGCATGTTCAAGGTATCCCTGACCTATGAAAACCTTTCAGCTACTGAAGAAAGTGAAGGTGTGTGTTGGACAAAGTCAAGCAGGAGAAGAAAGCAAAAACCATCAACTATGAACCATTTCTTGAAATATCATGCAGGTAGGTAGGTAGGTATATATATACATGAGCTTCAGGATAATGATTATCTAAATGGGAGAACGAAAGCCCCCAAGCATGAGCTAATTCCTCAAATTTTATTCCATACGTCCCAACTCTGTATGTTTATCAAAGACTTCAATGTAGTGAATTGGAGATGATAGAAAGCCCAGATGATATTTCACTATTCCAATCAATCACAAACTTGACTTTTCCACCTCCGCCTACCAAAAAGAGGGGCTCATATCAATTTCAATTTCTCTTTGGGATGTGCAACCACAGAAGACAAGTATCACAGGTGAGCACATAGCTTATATTCTTACCTCAATTGAAAAGGTAGTCATCACCACAAGTTTGGTCAGTTCTATGTATGGAAAGACGGACAAAAGCTTCTTACACAACAGAAGAAGTTGTCTTTGACATTCTTGGAGATGGAGTAGTAACTTATTCAAGGATAAGATTATATGAAAAGGAATAATAGAAATAAAACATATTCTTCTTTTCGTCTCTAATTCCCCGATAAGTGTCACAAGAGGAAAGTCAAAGGAGAATGAAGTTGCGAATTATAGAATTTTCTCATCACCCGCGTGCATTCATCATCACCTACCCTTACCTTCTTCGCTCTTTCCTTCCCACCTCAACTTCACTTTCTCATTTGAGTTATCTGGACGAATCATTCTTCTCCATCTCTCTTAGCTTACTTAACTGAATTCTAAAGAGCGCAGCCCAACACAAACAAAACGAATTCACTCGGTCTCTTCCCATCCAACTTCTTTTCTGATCGTTTTTTTCTATTCTAATTCAATAACATCATCACACTCTTACGAATATACCTTTTTTTGTTTTAATTTTACATTGAGATCCTCATAATCTCCATTTCCGTGATCAGATCAGATCAGATCAGCGTTGCCTTTGTTGTTTTGTTTTTGTTTTTGCAATTGAGGCTTGCCAAAAGATCAGACGTCGGTCGTTACGCTCTACGCTCATTGTTAAGGTACGCTCTCACTTTCTTCTAATTATTCCTATATCTCAATCCCAGCTTTCTGTTGCGATTATTTCCTTCATCCTCAATCTATTTTCGGTGGACCCTCTTGCTACCATCAGATTTATACATTGACCTTGCCTTGACTGCCCTCACTGTCGCGTTGTCGCGCTTTCACTCTTGTACTTTTTCATCCTTCAGACCGAGGCTGGGCTGCAGCATAATTATCTTCTCTTATCTTACCTCCTCTTATTTGAGATTCAATTTGACAAAACTTTCATGTCTTCCATGCGCATAAATCCTTTCTCATCTACGTTCTGCAAAGCACCTCGCTAACATAACAGCCATTAATCCCTGACTGGTCGACATTTCAATTCCATTGATTCTAGTCTTAGGTCGAGTTGGAAAAGAATCATCTCATCGCCAACATGGACGAAAATAGTGAACATGGCCAAGAGCCGACGGAAAGAGAAAGATCAGCTGCCGAAATGGAGGCTCTGCATCAAGCTATGATGGTGAGTCCTACATACCAGCCCATCTTACTTTACCACACATCGTTTTTGGGACTTCTAAAACTCTAATATTTACATAGGAAGAGCTTGGTATTGGTCGTAGAGATGCCCTGCCACTTGAAGATAGAACTGCAAATGTTTCAGTGGTACCATTAGCATTAACCAGCAAGCGTGTTAGACCAGAAAACCCTGCATCGGTGTGGCATAGTAAGTTCAACTGCTATGAATCTTTGCCGTGAGCTACGTGCTAACTTGTCTTGTTTAGACTTTCATCCCGATGATGTTGAGCCTGGCCTTGAAGAACTTGATGATATTGCCGGAGGACAGCTGTATCGACTTCGCAGAGGTGGTACTGGGCTAAGCAGTGGCGGAAGAGGTGGTCACTCAGCAGGTCGCGGTCGAGGTGGTGGTTCGAACAGGGGCGGCCATGCATCTGCGGGTGGTCGAGGGAACTTTGCTGGGAAAGGCAGAGATGTCGACCCTTCTAGATCTCGGTATGTCTTTCCTATCAATGTTACCACCAGCATAATTTGTCGGATTAAAAACTAACAAGGCACCAGTCAGACTCATTGCAATGATGCTAGACGTGGTGGCAAATCTCGTGCTACAATTGATGCTGGCATTGCTCGTTTACAACGTGAGGCTGAATTTAGCAGAATGAATCGAACTGAAGGTCGTTCTGTTAAGATGCCTCCGTTGACACCCAAACCTACTATGCCTGTCTCTCGAGCTGCTGCTCCAGCAGCAAGTCGACATACAACTTCAAAGTTCAAGCTTCAAAGCCCTGCAACTTTTCTTTCACACAATAAAATTGTCTCTAGCCCAACTACAAGAACTGTGAACCCTGTTGCTACTCCACCTCAAAACAACATTGAGATTTTGGTACCATCGCCAACGTCCAATCTAGCACCACATGGTAACCTTGCCACTTCAAGATGGGCAGAGACTCCAGTTACACTAGTCGACACGTCTGAGCCAAAACACGCCGATCAACCCGCTACACCCATCAGTCCTACGAGCACGTCGGTGTCTGTTCACTCTACTCAACTTGTCACAGCTATCAATGGTATGAGAACTTCGACCTCAGATTGTTCTGGCCGAGCAGCAACATCATATACTCCTACAAATGTTCCCGAGTCGAATCATGCCGTTCAATCTGCTATCAATGCCGCCCCTTTGACTTTAGTCACGAATGGACTAGAAAGAAACAACGCCACACCATTCGCCATTTGTACTATAGTGGATGAAAGAAATGTCAAGATCTGCAAGAACAATGGTGTAGCCAAGCTTGGAACCGCGAGGCTCGTCAAGTCCCATGAAAGGTCTCCTTTGACTCTCGAACTTCAAATCGGTGGCGAAGTTATTCTCAGCGAGTTATTGACAGAGACTACGATACTCAAGGCTGATGCAAATATTGTCACATACCGGGCCAAATCTACAACGGAAAATGTCCCCACGTGGAAATTCCACTTTCAGCTGCCAGGTCCAGCTAAGGGTTTCGTCAATTATCATATCTTCAAAATTGCTGAGCTTAGGCGTAGTGGCTGCTCATCCCAATCCTCAGAAAAAGGAAAGCAGAGCCCGCTCGTACCTTTATCTCCGGTTCTATCTTCCTCAGTATCCCTTTCTTCGAATACTACATCACACAACGATGTGACATATTATGCGAACAGAATCAGCAGTGGTACATTTGCTGACCTAAATGAACTCAACGGCCAGGAGACACTTTTGTCACTCCATGAAGAGGAAGCTAAACCTGAGGATAATCAAGCCGGAGAGTATTCGAATTTCCAAGACCTTTTGAGCTTGATGGAAGGGGATATTGTCGAGGGTACACTCCAGGTTCTGAATTCAAACCATGGTGGATCTTTTATTGATCACGTTTCTCAGCTGGCGAAAGGCACGGAACTTGAGAATGATGCTGAGTTCATGAAGCATGCCAAGAATGTTTTCATTGGTGGTTTGTCATCCTCTCGTTATTCGAACTCGAAACCTATCCTATCAGTCACCGAAGAACTTGTTGCTGATTTTCTCAAAAAGTCTGAAACGTTGTTGCGATTTCCTCAGGAGTTTATTGAAACTTACATTAAAGAAATCTCTAAGAAAATCCTCGACAAGGCACAAAATCCTCAGAACGTTACTCAATCAGCAGCTGTCGGCTCTACTGAGAGCTCCAGTCCTGCAGAGGCTGCCAGATCGGCTGAAGTGTGCGAAGTTGCCAGCGCTGTCAAGCCTCTGCAATCCGTCCAGGCTGTTGAGGCTGGCAGGTCTACCGAGGCTATTAAATCGGTCGAGTATCAGCCTACTACAGCCATCAAATCAAATGAGACTTTCGCTATTGTTCCTAAACCCGAGCGGATAACCTATTCAATAGAGGAAATGATGAAGATGCGGCCAAACGCCACATTCACCAGACAAGTAATTGCCGCAAGAGATTCTCTCGAAAAATACCTTCCTGGTTACAAGAGACAGATAGCACCAACCGAAATTATTCGGGTTAATGAGTCGGGTGTAAGAATTGTTGCTGGTAAGACTCAAGGACCACGATATAAGGACTCACAAAGAGCAACTGCCACAAAACTCCAACCCTCTGAATGGAAGACTCAATACGCCAGCATACCTAGCAAAAAAGAAGTTTCGCAGGTCATCCAAAAAGATAAGACTATTGAACAAAAACAGACATCAAACCAGACCAGTTTCGAACCAACGCCGGGGTATACTGGTATTCAAGATTATCCTGATACAGGAAATGGTACATCATTCTATAAGCTGTCCCCTGCAGAATGGACAGCCAGTTTCAATAGTACCTCCAGTAAGGATACGTCTTCACAAGCCAACAAAGTCAAGAAGATACCGTCGGCCACAGGCATCGAGAACGAAAACATTGAGAACAGTGTACATGAGTCTATTCCTGCTGGAAGTAACTTTAAAAAACCATCGGATAACACTTGTCATCAAAATATACCTGGTAAGACTAGCGCAGCAACCTCCATTAATTCCCAAGCTGCAAGCCACAATGTCCCCAAATATTTGACCACGGCTGAAGAGAGCGAGGCAGAAGTCAAGGTCGAGTCTGAAGATGATACTAGTCCTCTTGTACTTCCATCAAATAGAGGTCTGAGCACTTCCAGGTACGCCACGCCAGAGATCTGTAGTCAAGAAGCAGTTATTCGAGCTTCATCTGGTTATAAACATCCACCATGTCGGGTTGGAAAGGGACAGGACTCCTCCCAGGAATCAGGCGACTCTTCAACGCCTTTGAGATCGACACAAGTGCATGACTCTCTCCTGTGGGAATCACTTCTGTCAACCAAGCAAAGACAAATTTCAATCAAAGTTGAAAGCCCTGAAGCTTTTACGAACGAAACTAAATATGGTGCTTTCACTCCCGGGCCCGAAAATCCCATGCCTGTGACATTTTGCCACACGTATGTTCTAAATGCAAACCGTACAGTTCCACAGGCTCAAGCAGTATTTGAAATCGAAACTACTTCCAGCGCTAAAGCGGTTGTTGAATCTGAGGTTGTGGAGAAGACAGAGGCTCATCATGCCGCCGTGGCAACTGCAGCTTGGGCCACTTTTGACAGATCGGGTAGCCAAACCACCAAGACTGTCAAATCTTGCGAAATTTATCCAAGCGTCCTCGAGGCCACAGGAAATGAGATAACCGTACCCAAGGTCAAATACCAGGATCAGCCCAGAAGTAAGCATACTGCTACAGACTCAGACGTTGATAGACTGGCTCAAGTTCTGAGTGTTCTCGACGTTAAGACCGAGAAGGATAATGGTTTAGTGAGTACGGTTTTGGAGGTTCCAGAGCGCAGTAGTAGCCCCACAGTTGAGGAACTTCTCCAAAAGAAGCGCTCAAATGGACTGGCGACATCAAGATGGGCGAGCACTCAAGCACCGGTTTTCAAACCCTTGCCCACTACTCCAAAGCCAACCGCGGCGGACTACGGCCAGCTCAATTCAAACATGCTGCAAAACAGTGGACTGAATTCTCCTCATTATTCTAATTATAATCCTTTCATACAAGCACAGTCGTCCAACGAAAATTTCTCACAGTATGGAAACCAGTATTCTACTCATCAAGGACAAACTTCACATGAATTCTTCTCTCTGGAAGGCAGCCAACCTCCTGCTCTCTTCTCAACTGTCCTACTTGGAGACCCAAACACAGCTAAAGTTACGGAGATAACTGGATACACTCTTCGAACACACAATCCTGTCCCAGTCACTGCGCATATACCGCCTGTTAACGCAGGAACGCCACCTGGTTCTTTCCCGTTTCCTCCAAGACCTGGAATGTTCGATAAGAGTTTTCCCGACACTGACAGCGAAGATGTATTGAAAGCAAATGCGCCCGTTTTCATTCCATCCCATCAAAGGGGCGGCAGTGCCATGACTCGACCAGCCTTGTCTCCTGTTCGGAATCGCCAGAATTCGCATCAGGAAGCTGTCCAAACGAGACTCAATAAGAGCTAGAGGGGAAAAAGGATGTAGGCTAGGGATAAGGACGTGACGACATGATAGCTGTGGAAGGATTTCGATGAAGAGTTTAGAGAATGAAGGAGTTTACCTGAGACGGCGAAGGCTTTTGGAGAGGTTGCAATTTTGATCAGATATTGGGTGGTGAAGTAAATATCCATGATCATCAAATTGTACATTTTTCCTTAAAGTGCTGGGTGCACTAATGCCTAGTCTAGAGTTGCTATCGGTCATTAAAAAAAGCCGTTTCAAGATATATAGAATGGTCAGCTATATCCACCAGATTCATATCCTAATTTCATTGTGAAAGGATTGTCATAAGTAACATATATACTTTCAAACAAATCCCTCTCGGGTTACGGTAGAGTGAATTGATTAAATGTAGCCTCTGTATGTTCGATGTTGATCATACAGGAATATGATCCCCGATATGCACAAAAACTATGATGCTGATGGCTCACTAGGTTTTTCTTGATTGTTTTCTTCGTGGATCTTACATTAGTTACATAGACTACGACACGAAGGAGAGGTAAGCACATCTGGGATGAATCAAGAAGATTAATAAAGATTCTCTGAAATATAACTCTTTAAGTTTCTCAATATATATGTATTCATCTGCCATTGTTCTCATGAATTGACGAAAAGAGTTCCGGCTCCCGTGCTCGAATTTCGATAGGATTTACTATTATCATACCCAAGTTCCAGGTTTGATACACGGATGGAACGATAAAGATGAAGATGGAGCAAGGAAGGAGTGGAATAAGTTATGAAAGAGAACTAGCTATAGGTTCACTGTGTATATAACATCGCAAATTTTTGCAGACGCTGATTGGAAAAGTCATATGCTAATTAGTGATCTGTCCTCTGAATTATAACTGCTTCTATTTCCGGATATGGTATTAACGGTGGGCGATTGCTATAACTACATGGGGCGTTGATCATTGCATCTTGTTATCAGCTTTTGGTATTTCAGTTTCGTTTTTAAGAACTTTTCGAGCCGCCTATACTAAATTGAGGTCTATTCCATATTCCTTCCACTATGTAAAGCTGATGTAGAAGAGGCAGGTGAAGGGATATGTGTCGTCGAATCCTGAGAGTGATCATCAGGGGTTGATTGATCCAAACCAATCTCTCTTTTCCCGCATAGGAGTAAGAATGAAAATAAGCGAATAAGCGTGTCCTGGAATGAGGAGGTGGTTTGTAGATGAATGGAACTAGTGTAGAAGCTATCGATTTTATCTAGGCTGGTGGAATCGCATATTTGGCTAGATGTCTGTTATTATTTTGGGCCAATGGACTCGGTATTTCATGGTGCTATATAAGTGAACTTTGGGACACATAACAATAAAGCTCAGTTGATACCTTGTAATTCTGCTTGAATGCAAATAAATGCTTAAGGTAATATCAATGAAATCTGTTTTTATACACTGGCCCTCATAGATAGATACAGTGCGACTGTTGGATACTTCTCACAGCCTTACCCCTTCCCCAAACAAAATGAAGCCAAGAATCATTGCTAGCAAGCGACTTGCGCCAGTTCAGAATCAAAAAGTGGCATCAGCTATTGTGAAAATACAATTTGAGCATAACATACTTTATGCTCTTTTTCCAAAGCGGAAGAGTTCCCGTCGTGAGGTAACTAGATGGTTCAAGTAATATTACATAGAATAGGATCGATTGACTCAGGAGAAGTGGCCATCCGTCCAAAGTATCGAGATCTTACACTAGTAACGATCCATTAGTACCCAGGGCTCGCAGGGAATTCGATAGTTCTAGCTAAAATACCTAAATCGATGTGCGAATCTGTGTATACTGCCGTACCTTTATAATGAATGCTAGGGTCATTTCTAAGACGTGAGTTATGACAATGAGGTGATCAGCAATATGGAATATTACCGGATCGAAAAAGAAGAAAAGAAAAAACCTTGCTTGCATTTGCTTGCAGTTTTTCCAGCTGATTTTGTGGGGATCAATCATATGGTTGGTTGCACAGCACGTGTGAATGACGGCTTAGATACCTACTCGAGTTAACGTTGTCTTCTTCTTTATGAAGGGTTTCTTAGAGATCCAAATATGTGACGGGAATAGCTGAGCATAGGTAGCATAACCTCACAACTAAGATCCTACAGCCAGGTTTTGCTGAAGCATAAATATATGATATAAAATCATATAAAATTTCATAAATATCCACAAAAGCTATAAATATATATCTAATCTCATATCTTTTTTTTTTACGGAGTTATGTTGTGCTGACATTTTATTGCTGCTGTGTACTAGCGTCGGAGCTACTATAGCGCCTCTTTTAGTAGTCTTGGTTACCCGAATCATCAACAACGAACTTCCGCCTACTTTCTTGCATCTTCAAGAAAGCAATTTTTGCCTCTCATAAAACAAATATCTTTTCCGAAACAACCAGCAGCCAGGGTACTCTACCACTCAGCTGGAAGGAAGATTATACTACCCTCTTTCTGCGGCGAAGATGAACGTTTTGCTTCCAACTCAAGCGTCGTTCTTTTCATCACCTCACCGTAACCCCATTCATACTCCAGGTAAAGAAGCTCTACTCCCCTTATATCCTTCCCACTGTCAATATACTGATAACTAATTACAAATTACAGTCTCTCCGCACACAAATCACAGAATGGTCGGTCGAAAACGAAAAGCCGATGATGATGGACTAGATGACAATATGTCTATTTCTCCTACCAATAGCCCCTCCCTAGCCACACGACAGATATCCCGACCCCCCAAGAAAATTAGAGCAAACGAAATCAGCGGTCGCCCTCTTAGCCTCCCTCGTCTCCTCGAAACCCTTGATGCTCAGTCACTGAGATCGGTTCTCCAAACTATCTGCGAAAGACACCCGGAGATCGGTTCGGAAATTGTCACCTCAGCACCAAGACCGTCTGTGGCATCCACTCTTGGCGTCCTTTCCAAATACCAAAACGAACTACAAGAAGCTTTCCCTTATGGAGGAAGTCCCGGATCAGATTATGCCTACGATCGAGTCAAGCAACAGCTCACAAACCTTATTGATGCTTTAGTCGATTTTACACCGCACTACCTCCCACCGAACGAACAACAAACCGCTATATCGCTTAGCTTCCTCGATAGTGCAACTAAAATTGTTCACAACCTTCCGAACTGGGATAGTCAGTCTCATAGACACCATAAGGACAATGCATATGACGAGATCTCAAGGGCTTGGGCTTTGGTGATCAGCGAAGCTTCCAAACGTGGGGGAGGATTCCAGCTTCATTCTGGTGGATGGGATCAAACGCTTGCTAGGCATAATGAACAGAGTGGAGGAAAGATGCAAATGGCAGTCAATGCACTGGGATCAAATCTTGGTTGGATGGGAGGTAATTCTGGTGTGGGCTCCGGAGATCCAGATTCTATACGCAATCAGCTGCTCTCTGGTCGCTATGGTACTAACCAAAGTGTGCCAGTAGGAGCTCCTTGGTAAATTCAAGGCGCATTCTTTGGTTCGGATCATTTCATTCTAGGAGCGTTCGTACATACGTGGGGAGAGGAGGTCATGAAGATGATCGATGAATCTTAGGGGAGCATTAGAGGGCATTTTACCGCATAGGCGTCCTGTGTCAATCATGGTACTCGACAAACGGCAAGGTCACGAACATTATGAAGATTCCCCATTTCCTTTTAATATCAATCTGGAAGCATGCATGGTCGAGGAGTTAAGGTGTTTGAGGGATGTCTTTCATTTGTACATTCGGAGGATACTTTGGAGGTGGCAATAATTCAACTGGCGTACTTCATTTATCAAATTCACTTTAGTAACATAGGGAGGATGGTCAGCATTTTGAGACCATACAATAAAGAATCTGAATTTTTGAAATGCTATTTCCTAATGTGACTGTAAAACACAAGTGATAACTAATACATTTACATTTATCCACACGTGATATCGTGGATTAGCGCGTTGCTAAGATCATGACGCGATTGTTGAACATAATCCGCAGCATCAACATTATACGCCGCGATCATTAATTCACTTTTCAAAGCCTGTGAAGTTCGATAAGTGAACAATTGCTGAGCTTTATTTATTAAAATGCCTGCGTATGTATTTTAGAATGAGTGTCTGAAGGGCAGCAACTAACAATCCTCAGTCCAGGCGATCAGCACAATGGACGAGCAATCGCGAACCCATTTGAAGAAGTTAAACCGCGCATATCAGAATATACAGCACAAGAAATCGCCACATTACAAAGTAGACTAGAAAAACAACTAGGACCTGAATATATTTCATCGCGATCAGGACCATCAGGTCAAAAGGTGCACTACATTACGGCGGAGAAATGCATTCAACTTGCCAACGAGGTATTCGGATTCAATGGCTGGTCGAGCCAGATCATCGAGACACAAGTAGATTTTGTGGATGAAAATGCTACGACATTCAAAGTTAGTTTGGGACTTTCGGTCATTGTGAGAGTTACGTTGAAGGATGGTACCTTCCATGAAGATGTGGGGTATGGACATATTGAGAACTGTAAGGGCAAGGCGGCGGCGTTTGAGAAGGCCAAGAAAGAGGGAACGACGGATGGATTGAAGAGGGCGTTGAGAAATTTTGGAAATGTTTTGGGAAATTGCATTTATGATAAGGATTATCTGAGTAAGGTTACGAAGATTAAGGTGCAGCCTGTCAAGTGGGATGTCGAGAACTTGCATAGACATTCCACATTTACTCCGCAGGTGGTTGCAAAGAAGGAGATTGAGACATCAAAGATGGCGGAAAAGACTCAAGCTCAGGGTTCTGGACCGGCTATTACAAGTCCTTTGGGTATGTTCTAACGGTGTGGTGGTGACAAAAACATAACTGACATTGCAGTAGGGGACGATACATTAATTGGAGATGACGAGTTCGGAGGTATGAATTTCCTAAATTCATAAAAAGGGATATTACTAACAGATGGTAGATTTTGACGATGCCGATTTCAATGTTGATGACCCGAATTCTCATCCGGATGAAGTTGCTCTTCCTCCACCACGGACTGGTTCACACCATTTCAACAATGTCAGAAATAGCACCAATGCACCATTAACAAATACAGGCGTTCCAAATCAGAGCCGCACTTCAGGACCTCCAGTTCCGCCAGTCAATCGTGGGCCATTAATTCAGCCAAACCGACCACCGGAAGCTGGCAATCAGAACATCATCCGCAATAATCATCCTCCACCGGCACCAAGAACGCCTAATGCGGGTTTATCAAGATCAATCAGTGCAGCAGGACTTAATGCCCATGCACCTCAAGATCTAGTACAACCCAACCGCCCCGTCAACCTCGTCACCACTGTTCCAGGCCGCGTGTTAAATCAACCCAACCGACCCCAGCCCGAGCCAGCTTCAGGCCCTCCCTCTCCACCTCGAAATAATGATATAACCGATGAAATGCCTCCACCTGGTGCCGGCTTCTTCTCTGCCCGCGTCGCAGATCTCCTTCATCAAGACCACCCCCCTTCTGAAATACCTCCCGTGAACCTCAAAATCCCCGCTTTCAACCCCAACCTCGAATCCCCTTCCATCCGTCGTACCCCAGGCATCGATCAAAAATCCTCCAAACCCCTCTCTCGCGACCTCAAATCCGTTCCTTCCTCTCAAGCTCCAGCTCCAACCACTGGTATCCCCCCTCAAGCACAACCAGCTTCACGTCCTGTCATCGCCAGCAATCGGAACATAAACCTAGGAAATCCGCAACTAGACGCCACGCGAAGAATCGGAGCGCCAAGTAGTCCAAGCCCAATGAATATGGGAAATAGGAATAGTTATAAACCGCCCACGATGAAGAGGCCAATGGGCGAGGCGAATAGAGTCCCGCTGACGGATTTGCGGACGAATGGGAATGGCTTGGCTGGAGATGCGCATGCTGGTGGTGATGCGAAGAGGCAGAGGTTGAATGGGATGTGATTTGATGTGATCCTGAATGCGGACGCTACTTAAAGTGTGTATAATGCATACATGAATAAGGGATGTAAATGAGAAGATGACAAAAAGTTTAGCCGTGGACAAAATTGTAATTTGAGGCGTTATTATGGGTTCGAGGATGGGATCACCAGATGGAACGAGACGAAAATGCAAAGGGACTTTACATATGATGGATTTCTTGCTGGAGTCGATCACACCGACCGTTTGTCTTCTTGTACTTACCTAGAGAAAGCATACTTTTGCTTTGCTTTTGGTGGATTTATGGATGGCTGATTATGGCCTAATGAGGGAATCAATAGAGATGTGCCGTTAGCTTAGATATCATCGGGCATGCTATTCTCACAATTCATATCACATTCTAGACTTGTTCATTGATTTCATTGTGAGGACTTTTTATTTTATACCTACTTTTATATGCGAATGAATATCAGGACCTTCTTAGTATGTGTAAAGACTTTCTTTTCTCAGTGAGTAAGTTGTCTTTCTTGACATACTTTACTACATATGTAATCCACGCCATCACGCCAAAAACACCAACCATGCATCATATTGCATCGTTTTCCTAAACGCCATCACCTTTTTACCAATGTCCGCTTCTATTTTGGCATTTATTTGACGATTAAAACAGCAGAGGGAACTAATCCTGCCTCCTTCAACGTCTTCCCGAAATCGACTGGACCCTCGAAGGTCTTCTTTGGGAATGTCATTGTGAAACTACTGACGGTACCAAGCTCAGCCTCGAGTTGCTGAGATATTTCAAAAAGTGTCGTGTCGACTGGGTAGGTTTTGGTCATGGTCCCGAAAGCGGTTTGTAATCTCAATCGCGATTCAGTGTGGACTTTTGGGGCGCCAGTCGATGCAACGGGGGCGGCTACGGGGGCGGCTTGTTGAGCTGGGGGAGCACGACCTTCACGGAGCGCTTTGGCGGCTTCGGCTTTGAGACGTCGTTCTTCTTTATCCGCGGCGATTTTCTCTTGGATTCTCTTCTTTGCTTGGATATCGGCTGCTTTTTCCGCACGCTTGGCTTGTGCTTCTTTGATTTGTTGGTCCCGGGCGAGCTTCTCCTTTGCGTCTGAAACTTCCTTGGTTGATTTCATTCGGATTTGCTGTGGAGGATGGTATGTTAGTCTGATGCGGGGTAGGGGTTGGATGTGGAGGGGTAAAGGTGGGAGGCAGGTTATATTTGGGAATAGTAACAAACGAACCTCGTTGCGCTTGGCTTCTTCTTTGTCGATAATAGCCTGCTTGGATTTCTTCTCCTTAGCCTTCTCGCGAAGTTCTGCAATCTTCTGTTTCTTTTCCTCCTCAGTCAAAGGCGCAATTTCCTCGGTAGATTGCTCAAAGTTCTCATGTTGACTGTGCACTAATGTTAGCAGATGCGTCTTATGAGAATGTGTGATATCGTACGTTCGCTCGGCATGAGCTTGAACTTGCAACATTGAACGGAACTTCTTCCCGCAATCAGTGCAAACCATAGATTTAGCCTCCTCTCCCTCCTTGAGTGGCGCTGGCTCAATGTTGGGGTTGGTTTCGTCAGACTCCGGTGCCGCTGCAGCTTCTGCGGCTTGGATTTCTTCAATCGTCTTGTTCTCATTATCCTCGAGCCATTGTAATGCTCCGTTCACTATATAGCATGTAGTCAGTATGCATGCGGGGGTATATCGATAGCAAACAAGGGTTATGCAAGTTGGAATTATTACATACATCCACCAGTCTTCTTTACTGCGATCTGGGCTCTTTCTTGATCGAAACCCATATCAATGAGTTGTTGGAGGTCACTTGGCGTAGACATCTTTACTGTATGTAATATTGTAATATATCAGCTGTGCCCTATCTTATCGGTTTGTGGTTCTGGTGGTCTTGGAGTTGTGGAGGAATCTTATGTCGAATATTATGACGATTTTCGGAAGCTCAGGGTTTTGCGGAATAATATATTGATTGTGGGCCAAGCTACTCCGTATAGCGTCAGGATAGTGGTCGTAGAAGGCGCTAAATATGGGGTGAATGTTGTCCGATAGGTAGCAATTGATGTGATTAGACTTTCAATGCCGTGTTGGTTGTTGTACTTTTGGTTGAGGCTTCAAAGTAGAGATCATGCGGTATTAGGTAGATGAATTTGGTGAAGAGGTGAAGAGGTGAAGAGGTGAAGGGGTGGAGAGGTGGAGAGGTGGAGAGGTAGAGGTGAATAGAGATGAAGTTATATGTAACGAGGTAGGTAGCTAGTCGGTACAGGATCTATCTACCTACATGTAATTAATTAATTATATTCTTACTTTACATTCATTTCATTGCCACCATGGAGTATTCGGGTAACACGAAGAATGGGATGGAGTTGATTAGATATGAAAATATGTCTAAATGACGTTAGATTTCTATCTCCCTACCTAATCCGATCGTGTACATGATGTAAAACACACGAGAAAATTGATCGAAGTATTCAGAAGTCCGTACTTTGAACTTGGAGTGAGGATAGATCATTTGTTGAACAGTATATTATAGAATAAATAAATCCTTTGTTGGATCAGCAAAAAAGAGGAAATATATAGAGAAAATCAATAATATAAAAAGATAATCATCTTATAAGATCTTGTTTTATTTTATATTATATTTGTACTACTTACTCCATCCTAATCAATAACCCAATAGAAACCCAACAACCCCTTCCGTGATATTTCATTTGCTTGTTTCCCGAAAGTTGAAAGGTTTCAAAATAACACACACATCGGAAACTTGTATCAAATTCATTTATTTACTGTCACTATTGGTCGCAAAACGTCCAAATCACCCCAGCCCAGGGAATGAATGACAAACGACCACCATCACCTTTTCCTTTTCTTTGTCACCTCGGACCCTCGTCATTACATATCAACCAAGTCTGTCCAGCGAGAACACCACATCCTAATAAATAATTCCTCCCTCAAATACAAATAAATAGTTCCCTAGAATTCTCACAACGACCAACTTCACAACCTCACAATCTCACAAGCACTTTGGACCAACTGTACAAATATCGCCATCATGTCTGTCGAGATCGATTTGCAAGAGCTTGGCTTTCATCGTACGCTACATAATATTCATTCTACTCCTACTCGACCGTCGAAGGACACGAGACAAGGGTTCCTAACATGTGGCAGGTCCATTCACCTCGGAGGTTTCGCAAACGTTGAGAATTAGAAATCCTAATCTTACTCCTGTTGGTTTCAAGGTAGGGAAATCTTTGCTATTATTTCCCTTGCTTGCGTCAAGTACTAATCTGCTTTGCATTCAACAGGTCAAGACTACTGCGCCCAAACAGTTCGTTTTACCATATCTTATACCTTCAGGCTTCGGAACATCCTTTTAATACTTGCCAATAGATACTGCGTGCGACCAAACTCTGGTAAATTGGAGCCGGGAAGAAGTATAGATGTTACTGGTATGCGCCGTTCTGGGATCGAGAAGTATACACGCATGGCTGGCGCTAATTATGCTGGCATAGTTCTCTTACAGGCGATGAAAGAGGAGCCACCTCTCGATGCGAAGTGTAGAGATAAATTTCTAGTCCAATCCGTCGAAATTACACCAGATAAGGAGTTTGTAGACTCACCATCAAACGTACATTTTGGAGGACATTCCTCGCATGGACTTGCACTAACTGGTTTCATATAGCATGTTGACCGAGCAGAGAAGAAGGATATCCAAGAGAAGAAGATTCGAGTTGTTTTCCTACCACCAAAGATAGCAGGAGAAGCAACAGTTACACCTTTGAGAAATGGCGTCAGTTCAGTATGTTCTAGTCCTTTGTGTACCATTCCCGAGGGCAGAATTATCTAACATCAGCATCCCTAGAATTCAATTCCCGATACTGCCCCTCCAGCATACCGATCCCCATCTCCCGAAGAAGATTTCACCCCTGCAACCAACCGTGTGGTATCTGGAGGCTCAGGCCCATCTGCCTCGGTCAGCGTAAGTGACGAACCAGTTGGCAACCGCAACCTCGGCGATGCCCGCTCCTCTACTTTCGACCCCGCCACCAACAGCAATGCCGCCGACACCGCTCCAACAGGAATCCCTGCCACTGTCGAAGAACTTCAAGCCCAACTCGCCGAAGCAAAGAAAACTATTGCATCCTATGCCGAGCAAGGTGGTTTGAGAATGAGAAAATTAGCAAACGGAGAAACTTCAAATGAGACGGTTAATGAAGTGGCTACCAAGTTGCAAGGAGTAGATGGTGTACCGGTACAAATCGTCGCGGCCTTATGTTTTTTCAGCTTCCTACTCGCATACCTATTCTTCTAATCTAAAGTTGGGTTGCTTGCTTGCTCGCATTTGGCTTTTAGGTTGTGGCTTCTGGTTTCTGGCTTTGATGGATTACAACGTTTTTCACGTCTTCTTTCATTATTGAATGAGAAGACGTACATGAAGCGAGATGATCAAATATTGGTGTTTTTTCCGGTGCTCTCAATGCTGTTTCCGTAGTTCTGCTATCTACTCTTAGGTACCTAGTTTTTTGGGTGCTAGACCTCATCTCTTGTATCAGAACGAAATGGGTACAAGAAAACTCTTAATTCACGATTCCTCCAAAAACCTTCTAATTCCTCCCACTTGAATTTTCCTCTTTCTCATCTTTTATCTCATCTTGTCTTGCTCTCGCCAAAACTCGACATGGCAAATACTACACCGAGCTCTACTTTGTATCTTTGTACTCTATTGTTTTTTTTTGCTCTTTCTTCGCGAACTCATCTTTTCCTCTTATTTTTCATTTGTGCGGTAATGGGGTTCGGTAGGGTAGGAGCAGGGTTTCGTTTGTTGCTTGCTTGCTTGCTTGCTTGTGGATATACAAATACATATCTGGTAGTTATTTTATTTGCTTGCTTACTTACTTTACTTATTTTGTCTAGTTTTTATAATTGTTTGCGGGGATGGGAAGGCAATGGAAAAAGGGGGGTGGTTGGATGGTGAAGGTGAAATGGTGGATGGTGAACCGAGGGGGAAGGGAGGGTAGGTGATGGATAGGAGAGGCATGAAGATCAGAGGGCTGGCTGGATTGGCTTGGCTGGATTAGCATGAATGGAAGGATGGAAAATATTGAAATCCTAGGACTATGTCTTTCATCATTCATCATTCATCATATATCATTTATAGTTTTTATGTACCTATGTACCTACTACAAGCCCGAGAAGAATTTCATGGCAAGGAATGTACCTATGTATGTGCCTATATATGTAGCGCAAAAATGAGAATGAGAGAATGAGAATGAGAGAATGAGAATGAGAAGTCGGGTAACTAGACAGAATAGTGAGTGTTGAGATGATGGAGTGCTGGCTGTGTTGTGTGATACGGAGATACATAAATAAATAGGTAGGTAGGTAGGTAGGTAGGTAGGTAGGTGGGTGGGTAGGTAAGGAGGTAAGTAAGTATAATTGCAAGAGAGATATTTTATATTGTTATTATATGTGTGTGGATGTGTAATACGTGATATATGTGAACGCAGAGTACCTAATATATGCATTCTAACATTCTAACCCATCTCATTTTACTTCTTTTTATCTCATCTCATTCATATCCATATCCATACTCATATATAAAAGTCTATCTTCATTATATCCCCCTTCCCAAACATAAAAACAACAACTCTCAAAACCATAAATCTAAAAGCATCTAGAAGCTACAAACTCCAACTAAGCCTGCACCTCCTGCTGCGTCCACCCTCCTACTTTTCGTCCCCCCTCCTTCCTCTTCACCCTACACGTCATACCCACCTCCTTATCCCACACAAACTGCCAAATCACATAGATCCAACTATCATGTCTCGGCAACTCGGCATAGAATTCCTTCGCCATCTCATGGAGCGCGGGTAAACGCGTCCAAGGCACCGCGGGGAAATCATGATGTTCATTATGTAATCCCACATTATAGGTAAAGAAATTTAGAGGTCCGTAGTAGGAAAATGTCTCTGGGATTTCGACGCCCGTTTTGGGATCTCGTGCTTGCAAGGGTTGTCGCTCGAAGACGTAGTGTTCGGCTATGAAGTGGCCAGCGCATGGGTGGAGGGATCCTGCGAGGAAGGCCGAGAGGATTAGATAGTAAAGGGAGTTGTAGGAGTTTGTGGTTTTGACGAGGAGGGTGTCGAAGAGGACTTGGGTGAGGATGTTGACGATATGGATGGAGGTGAAGGGGACGGCGTAGATGAAGATGGGTCGGATGGCGTAGAAGAGTATTTGGAAGGTACAGAAGAAGGCTTTTCCGAGAAGGGAATCGAGGAAGATGGCTTCGAAGCGGGTGGGGAGATCGGTGTCTAATCCGTCGACGCCGAGTGATTTGTGGTGCGTTAGGTGGTATGGCTGTGGATCTTGAGTTAGCTTTCCGATCCAAAAGATTTGGTAAATAGGTATGCTATATAAACATACTCTGAAAGAAGCAGAATACGGAATCCCAATAGGCAAATTGGCAAAGATAGCCAATGCCCGATTTAAATTCGCATTTTTGAAAGCTAAATTGTGGGAAATTTCATGGATGGCCAGGAAGAGGTTTTGGTTTGCGGTGGCACCGATTATGTAGGCAGTGAGGAAGAATTTCCAAGAGAAGAAGGGCGTGTTGCGGAGGAGATAGGCGCAGAGGATTTGGATTGATACGACGAGGAGCACGACGTATTTTGTGAGGGGTTCGGGACCGCAGAGTTTGGTAACCTGTGAGGTGGGGAGGGGGTTAGTGTGTTGTGGATTGAGGGATGTGCATGGGAATTAAAGATGGATGGATAGACACGTACGTCTGGATGAGCTTTAATAATTGCTAAACGTCTACTTCGATGTGGTTCCTCGGTATATGTCCAGAAGAAATCGTGTTCCTTTACATCGATATCTATCTGTGGGGGAGATCCCTCCTCATTCTTTCCTGAAATTCCTCCTCCTCCCCCTCCTCCATTTACCCTTAATCGTGGACTTTCCGATCCATTGGATGTCGACGTTGTAATTGTAGATGTAGCTACTGGCGGCATGGTGAAGAATTGCGAAATGTGAAATACCACTCTTCACAATCTTTCAATGTTGTTATATGGGTGTGGTGGGTGTGATAGGATGTGATGTGGTGAAGCCTTGAGCAGCTTGGTTTATTTTATTTATTATTCACCGATTAGTCGAGTATAGTATTGGAGACCTTAATAAGCTTCGCTACCATGTGGATTTTCAGGGGTGCTGATGTGGCGCAGAAGCTCCAATTAGGTGTGGCGAAAGCGATTATCAAGATAAGCGCACAAGCGCGATAGCACATGAAAGAAACCCCCAAGTTCCTGGTTCACGACACTGTTTATTTGCCACTTTGATAGGGGTGAAATGTTCAATTTTCTGGGGCAGAATTGGAAATGTGAATACACCTGATTTTACACCATTCAGATATTTGTTCTTTGAATTACCGTGAGAATATCGTGTCACAATATGCAGCGCAGTTTCGTGGAGAACGACGGGCTTCTGGTTGACATATTTTTTGTTGATTGTATAATCCTTGGGATTGTTTGGAGAATCTACTGCGAAAGATGAGAACATCCAGTTAATGGGACTCATGCTTACTCGAAGATAAGTGTCTGGAGTACCTCTTTCGTAGTACATTGACTCTGTTTCTGGTTGAGATAATGAGTAGGGCCTATTTTACAACATTAATGCTTGGAGAACACAAGCCCCATGCTCATGAATTGGGACATATGATGATTATACCACAAGTCGTAATGTTGCCAGTTTCAATAATGCTCAGATCTACCCGATCTTTTTATCTCTTCTTGGTAGTCGAGAAACCTCAGATAACCAGTAGACTCAGAAAACTTCATCATTTTAGTATGGTAAAGGCTAGCGTTTGTGTCTCACGAACTTTCGAGCCTGCGTTCCTGGACTTCGAAGTGACATTTTGAACAAATTAATTCGATATTCAAAGTTAGGAAAGAGTTAGTCGTACCGTGTCAAGGCATCAATCATCAAGAGGAACTCTTACAGAAAGCTTTCGAAATCAGTGAAAATGAAACAGTCAAAACCATTGATCATGCAATGAGTTTGATTTGGTTGAGGTGGCAGATGAGGTGGAAGAGGTTGATAACGATCTCTTAACATGCATCGGTAATGGCTTTGAAATTGATTTGGATTATGGAGTAGTCCTATTGTAATGTAGAGTTATGGAAAACTACTGGTTTAGCAAGCACGTAGAGGCGGGGTTATGGTCATTCATTGAATTATCAGAATGTGGAGACAGGAGTCACGTAGATGTGATTTCGGTTGAATATATAGAGGATACTAGAGTGATCTCACTGTTGCTGTGTATGATCAAAGCCAGTACATTGAGAAAAGTTCCTATAGCTACTAGGAAGCAATATTCTCCAAGGTCTATAAGACTAAAGAATAGTTTCCTGTTACTTGGTATCAAGGACAGATACAGTATCCTGTTGAGACATGGCGTAATAAGTTACAGCAAGCAACCGGTTTATCATCAATTGGTATCACGTCGAGAAGTAGTCTTGCCATTACGTAGCTTCCCAGAGGACTACGGCTAGTAGAGAATAGTCCTCAAGGCCTCAAGGAAATCCCTACCTTTACGAAGTTATGGACAGTTAATTGTAACTTCCCCCCACCCAATTTATCAAAATACCAGTTCCAATTTGATCTAAAGTTATGGATGGCTGTCCATGGTCTGGAACTCACCAGGTTGGGTGAGGGGAGGTGGGAGGTGGGTTAAAAAAAGAAGAGCGTCTAGGCATATCCCATCATTTGACAGCCACAGTAAAACCTTTCCCGCTGCATTGGTGTCTCTTAATTCAGTGGAAGGACTTACAGTCCATGGAATTTCAAACCCAAATGAGTTGCTTTCTTACGAGGGAGCGGAGTAGTCGAGACGTATAAATTCGCACAGCAACATGCATTGATTGTACATAAGACATGTCCGCCTAATTAGACAACATTCCTATTTGCAACTACGATTTCTCAAGGTAACGCTTCTGTTATTCATTGTTATGGGCTTCATAGTACTGATATTTCCTCTGATCATTATTCTCAACAAAAAGTGAGTGAATCTTCTGACCATATAATCGAGATCATTCAGCTGTACTAACTATATAATATAATATCCAAAAAGAAAACCAACAAAAACCAAATAAATAAAAGAGGATGTGGTCCAGTGGTCAAGAAACATGCTTCAAAGTGTGCTGTGGCAAGGAATACTTGGTTTGACCTTTACTAAGGCCAGACCAAGAAGTCAGTCTACCACAGCTACCGTGAGTGTATGAAACGATAGTTCGATTCTATCCATCTTCAGTTTTATTTTTGGCTGTTAAGTCGAAGAAAACTTGCTTGATGATCGATCTGATGATGTCTATTCTAGACTAAATATTTACAATTTTGTAATTTTAGAATATGCGGCGTGGATGTGTCGCTTTCATGCATATACTGTATCCAAGTAGGTATTATTGAACCACCATAATTGTAGGATTTTACTTTTGATACGATGGCTATTCTCCTCGCTATGCAGTATGTAACGACGCTTTCTCATGTTCGCTATGCATGCCTTTGAAGCATACATCAGCTATTCTCAATATCTATTCGCTTGAGGGCTTTGGTATGAGTGTACAACGCTCGTTTATTTAGCGAGGCTTTTTTTCCCGTCCTATTGTGTCTTCATGCTCGCTCTCCTTATTTGTCAATTTCTATTTCACATCGAAGAACGAGGAGGTACGATTGAATGTAACCTCACTTCAAACGAATCTAGAAGTTCGCATCATGAGTGATCGGGTGGCATCTCTATCTTCAACCTCACGATGCTCTTTCCTGACATGGCAGCATGACATGGCATATAACCTAAGTGACCAAGTATCCCAGAATTAAATAAATCCCAGTACCATCTATTGCGAACACAAACATTCAAATAGGTTAAGGGAATATAGTTAAATAGTAAAATTCTCGTCTTTAAGTCTGGCCGCCTTCCACGATGGGTCTTCGAATCGCGCAGGAAGCCTAGGGCATATGTACGTTCCGAAAGCCTACCGTGAGTGCGAGTGATGTGAGTTCGAATCTCACTAAATCCATTTTTTATTGATATTTTACTCTTCCTTTTGGATCTTTCATATTATTGGAGGTTGGGGATTCTCTTGAGAATACATTTGCTTGCTTTATGTAGTGGGTAGTGGATGGTAACCGGCTCCTACCTATAGTGAAATCAACCTAAAACTACCTACTCTCCAATGTTTTTATGAATATCGTCACATATCATAGAGAAAGCTTTAACCCAGCAGATTCAGGAGGACGCATGGCTCAAAGGTAGAATAGTATCCAAAAACTAGCGAGTCCATGAGCGCGATGCTACTGGTTATAGGTGGTCATATAGACGGCACAGAAAATCACTCCGTGAGAGAAACTCTATCGTGAGTGTAGCAGACATAATATAGAGACCGACTATGCCTATAATTTCAGCACTTTTGTTTGTGAGGTTTTTTTCGGTTTCCGGGAATTGTTTTTATTAACTTGCCATGTTTAGATGCGATGGGCTGATTGGAAATGCCGCTAAGTATAACCCGAATGTTGGAAGAATTTACTTTCAAAAGTATTACTCATTCATTATGCTATTGATTTGCACTGTTTTTTGCATCTTCATCCCATTGACTAGAATGGACGTCAACTCACATCGAGCTCCGGATAACCCCCTGCAGATCGATTGAGGCTCATAAAATCATACAGGATATGTGCACAATATGTAATAAGTGTATTTACCGATCAACTTATATTAACATGAACGTATAAGAATTCAACCTCTGCTTCTCTTGCATAAATTTTTCTGGAGGAGGGGTTTGCAGACAGACATATTGCTTGCTGGTAATTAACCTTAGGTTTTTCGGATAAAGGACCCATCTAAAGTTTTGTTTCAGATATCATATAAATAGCAACTTTCAGCAGACCAGGGATCATCCAACCCTTGAATAAGCATACCGCAACGTCATATCAGTTCATTTCTCCGTATCTCGTGAGATTCTCAGCGAATCAGGGATCATTTAATGGCTGAGCAACAGTTGGAATATTGGGATACGTTCACATCATTTTAGGGATTTTTTTTTTGGTTTATGTAACATATCACGTCAATATCCAGCCGCATAACCGGGCGTTTGGAAAGTCTCGGGCCATGAGCCGGTACCCTTGGAAGTAGGTAGACAGTTTTGACCGCGCCGTAAGATTGATTACACGTGTCGAAAGGTATAAAGTCGACTTCTCCTACACCCTTCTTTCCAGTGTACATGTAAATTTTGTCCCAAATGTCACGCATTATATGCAATCGTCCCAGCAGATTTACAAAAGACACAAAATCAAAAATTCATATTTGTTACTGCACTCCCTGGGGAAATATGGTTGGTTACCAATATCATCAACACTGTATTGACTTGGAGTGAACATACTAAAGATCAAGAGTTACGAACCATAAATCCACCCAGTAGACAATTTTAAGGAGCTCGAGCAGGAAAACAGATTTCCTAATAACGATTCAAACATGTGATTTCTATTCTTATCTATTTGTAATTCCCAATTCGAAAGCAGACATCGAAATATTCACTTTAAATATCATCGATATTCTCAACGAATCACTATAACGGTATAACTCTGTTTCAAACGAACTCGAAATCAGATGCTAACCTGGAAAGATGTCAGCACTAACGTCCGCTAAGCCTCCTCATACCAGGTACCCACTATACTATTTCAGGCTTAGCCGATTTTGATCCTCCTTTCTTGTGAGAATGACGAGTACTAATAGAGACTATTCAGATCGGAAATCTTCAAGTCACACACTATCTTCTCCTCTTTCGGTTCCCGTTCATTTTAGACAAGTATCTACTAAGCTAGAATAGTCGCACGATGGCATACCCTAAAAATGTTGGCATCAAAGCCATGGAAATTTATGTCCCAGCACAGGTAATACCTCTATAATCCCCGTGAGTTTCAGTTCATGTTACTGATTGGAAAAGTGTCTGGATCAAACGCTATTTGAAAAGCATCAGGGGGTTTCGGCTGGAAAATATACCATTGGGTTGGGTCTTCAGTACATGAACTTTTGTACCGACAGAGAAGGTAAGGCTGTGCCATTGAAGCTCTTTAGCCACCCAGCTCTTTTTGGGCATTAAAATAATGTGATGCTGATAATATACAAAGATGTGTGTTCTCTAGCTTTAACAGCTGTATCTTCACTACTCCGAAAATTCAACATCGATCCTAAATCCATTGGACGTCTAGAAGTGGGCACCGAATCACCCATCGATAAAGCCAAGTCGGTCAAATCAGTTCTCACAACTCTATTTGAGCCATCCGGCAATACAAGTCTCGAAGGAATCGACACAATCCACGCTTGTTATGGCGGTACCAATGCTCTGTTCAATGCCGTCAATTGGGTAGAATCTCGTTCGTGGGACGGGAGAGATGCCATTGTCGTCGCATCAGATATCGCTCTTTATAAAGAGGCTGCTTCTCGACCTACTGGAGGTGCTGGATGCGTAGCTATGCTTATTGGCCCAGATGCCCTTTTATCATTCGATCCAGATTTGAAAGGTGTCTATATGACTCATGCTTATGATTTTTATAAGCCGGATACTAAAGTCGAGTTTCCGATCGTGAACGGTCATGAATCTATTGGCTGTTACACTGGTGCTCTCGATGCATGCCACAAGAATTTGCTTGAGCGTATAGAGGCCAGAAGTAAGCTCAGTGGAGATACATCCAAGGCTATTCCCAGGAAGGTTCTTGATTTTTTCGACTATATGGCGTTCCATACCCCGAACTGCAAATTAGTATCTAAATCGTATGGTCGACTCAAGTACAATGACTGCCTGCTATCGACCGATGATGCTGATTGGAAAGGTATTCCTGATGAACTCCGCAAATTGAATTATTCAGAATCCTTGAAAGACAAGACGCTGGAGAAAACCCTTGTGGCTATCACGAAAGATCAATTCCAAAAGCGGGTCGAGCCATGTATTGCTGCGCCTTCTTTATGCGGCAATATGTACACGAGCAGTTTATATTGCTCGCTCATTAGCTTGATTAGCAATATTGACCTTACAGCCGCAGAAGGTAAAACTATCGGATTATTCAGCGTGAGTGACTGGAATCCTACTTTTGACCTCTTTTAAGATATGCACTCACTGACCTAAACCCACCATTCAGTTCGGAAGTGGAATTGCTAGCTCTCTCTTTGGTCTAAAAATCACCGGTGATCTTATCAACTTAGTCCAAAAAATTGATTTGATGGATCGTCTGAAGCAACGACATATTGCGACACCTGAGGAGTACGAAGAGGTGAGCTCCGAGAGCGTGATCTATCTAGAAGATATGCTAACTTGCCGCAAGGCGTGTGCCCTTAGAAAGAACGCATATGGATCCAAGGGTTTCAAACCTGTTGGTGATATAGCCTCCATGGCGCCTGGAACATTCTACTTGGAGAGTGTGGATGATATGTATCGAAGAACTTATGCTATCAAACAGTGATTGGCCAGCACTTCAAGGTTCCACCTGGCTGAGTGATAGTAGAAATGCTTATAGAAGATAGATCTGGATTGGTTTATCCAATAATACTAGAAGTAGGAAATAAATCTAGATATGTGCTGTCGTATTTAATAAGAACTAAGATTAATAATGCAACTAGACCCCGGAATTTTCCGAGCTCCTTCTAACGATGTAATTGCAAGTATTGCTTTATCTGAAACTGACAAGTCAATTCCATAAACCCGAGATACGGAGGTTAAGCTTGATGTAGCAATTGGCAATGTCTTGGATGCCCCGTGAGAAACGTAGGAGGAAGAAACCCGACCAATGAATGTTATGTCTGTTTCTGATCACCATTTGGGATGTCTCACGATATCTTAATCTGTGCCACTTGATAGACAAATCTAAGACCCCGTGACAGCGACAATAAGAAATACTTTCTAGTTCCGAGACCCATATGGCGGTTGGCCGCTATTTTGTACTTACAACGAATGTGCTATTTTCAGTCGGGGCCTCCTGTTGCAGGTTAGAGCTCTAGCCTATAGAAAATTGCCATAGTAGCATTGGGCGCCTGTTTGTTGCATATCTGAAAATTAACTGACGTAACCTTACGTGAGCAAGGGTAGGAAATTCAAAAGCTATCTATCTTCCTACCGGGAACAACGATAGGAATGGAATTTTTAGACATGTAACAAAACCTTTCACAAAACCAAAGTAACCTTTTTCAGGAGATCATATTAAGCTAAAAGTTCTCTCCGCCTTGTAGTGAACTTGAACTTGTATATACACCGGAAGCCACTCAGTTGCGTGTTTTGACTCAAAAGCACTTTCTTTATCAATGTAGACAAGGAGCAAAAAGGGTGCAAAATACAGATAAGTGGCCTCAAAAAAGCGAGGGCCCGTTTGGTATATCCGTCCATCTCATACCCAACCGGCTTCAGACTTTAGTCAATCATCATTTGATTTCCGATCGTACCATAAGGATAGGAAACTTAGCAGATACATAAGCTCGCTGATACGGAAAGAATAGATAACACACTAGTTATACCTATACCAGCATCCACAACATCCCATGCATGGCATGATACCCCAAACTTTAAGACGAGAAGTGTAAGGATTTAGATAATTACTCAATCTCTCAGTCTGAGCCAGCATGGCGAACCAACTCGCGAGGGCCAATGGACTGGATATTTCCAAGCATGGTCAAACATTCCATAAAGAGTGCGCAACATCCTGAAGGAACGAAGTACTGATCCAGAAGTTGACACCATGTTGATGGGCTACGTCAAAGTCCTACACTCTAGAACGAAGATATGGATCATGTCTTCATCCACACAAGAAGCCAAGCACATTTGCCTCGTCGCAAGCGCTCTAGTTCTCCACTCGACCCGACGCCGACCAAGAGCTCTTACTATTGATGTTGCTCGATGTTCAGGTGCTTCCATGCTAATTTTGGTACAGGAAATCATCATTATGACCTGTCTGCAAGGGTAGGTTGGATGATTGTCTTGCTCAGACAACTGGGCAGCGGCATTGATCAGGAGGAGGACTCAAACATTTTCAGCAGGGCTGAGCTGTTGCGTCCTTCTGTAGGTCATCAAAAGGACGATTGGTAATAGCGAATGTCTTTCAAAATGCTTGGATGTTGGTTAAGACATCTGGTTGTCCAACATCAGAACGCTAAAGGGAAGATTATCATTAATTGGATCAATCCAGGCACCCAATCTCCTTTGAACCATTAAAAAAATAGTGTTCGAACCAGCCTTGAAGAAACAGAGAAACCAGGTAACGGCAATGACAATAATGATTCCAACACAAATCTGATGTGCCTCATCGGCCACAAAAACCAACCAAACTTCTAGAACAAACTCGCTTATCTAATCTCTGCCAATCCCTCCCCTAATTGGACAATCAGCCATACGTCCCATTTACGCGGGTCCGGTCGCGTCCAACCTGCAGGCGCGTTCTATCTTAGTATATCAATTGGCATGAATGAACATCATCACTTTCATTTTCTTTACCAACCACAAAGCAATCCGCCAATATGTTCAGTATGTTGCAGACACCCGCGAGTGCACACAAGCAAATACGCCATTATACACCTCATGTCCCATCACCCTTATCCTCATCACCTCTCCGAACCTCGCCGCCCGTATCGCCTCTTGAGCCCCGCTCTGTAAATTTGCCAACGAGGACCCACGCAGTTGGGGACTATCAAACGGATTTTATGATGTCGCCTGAACAGTCTGGTTCTTCTAAATCTTCTAGTCCGGATAAATTTTCCTTCATTTCAAATAAAAATTCGCCCAACCGGGAAGGAGCCTTTTCAAAGAGGATTACGAAGACGAATCCGCTGCTACATGGACAAGGTGATGGGAGAGAGACACGCAGGAAGTTATTCTTGAGGAGGGTTAGAGAGGATTCAGAAGATAAAAGATGGAAGGCTAGAGGGGGTGACGACGAGATAATGAGAACAATTTGGATTGCAGAACAGAGGCGGAGAGCGGAAAGACAGGCTAGGGATGCGCAGGGCTGGGCGGTTGATGTTGACGCGCAAGATGAGCAGGATATGCAGATGGAATACGGCGCTGGAAAGCTGACTCTTGGTATGTTTATTCTACATAGATCCCAGTTTACGAATGGGCTTGCGGGTATTTGGCTAACTGATGTTTTAGATGAGGCCATGGCCGAAGAAGTGGCAAGAAACGAGGAAGAGGAATTAGAGGCTTTATTAGCATCCATGACCGAAGCCGAACGACGACAAACTCTCGATGAAGCATATGAAAATGTCTCAACACTCGACGAAGAAATCGGCCCAATCGATGAAAATGAAGCAGCTGCCTGGGTACGTGGAGGTTTCCAACAATCTTTAAGCCAACATGATATGACTGTTATGGATATTGAACGAAAAGTCAATTCCTGCTCACCGGATACACATTTTGGTAGTGACGATGGCGATTACGATGCCATTTTCATGGATGTCATACAGCAGGAGTCAAGTGTGTTGAGCCAAGCCCATGCCCCTATGGATATGCAAGCAGATCACGAGATGATGGACACGGAGATGAGCTGATCGTGGTATATAATGGTACATACTGGTACATGCTGAGATGATATTGATTATAATGAATTGGGCGGATTTTGTTAGCGTTGGTGTTTTGGACGACTAAGGCATGGGTCGGATTTGACATGGCAAATGGATCAGACTATTTGGTGTTCGACATGTGGATTATTGCTCATGGTGTCACCGATTTGTTTATACACGTAAGGTACGATTTTGGGATATGGGTCTTTCATTGTGTTGGACAACCTTCTTCTGGCGCCCCGAACGCTTCTTGGGCTGCAGCCATATCTCCAACAAGATCCGCAGGTGGTGATCCCGCCGCTTGCATCTGTAGAATAGTCAGCAGCGCGCTGCGATATAGAATGACACCGAGTACATACCTTTTGCATCCTCTCCACAATATACTCGCGGTCTGTAGTGTTCTCATCCTTGTACGTCTTTTGCTCGAATCTAGCCACAATCTCCCTCACAAAAACTTGTTGTTCCTTGTACCGCTTTAAATCATCCGCGGGCGTACTAGCAGAGTTCTTCTCCAACCATGCCGGGAATTTATCATCCAATTCCTTCATGGGCTCGTATAATATCTCCTTATTAGTCAATTGCTCCATCATACCCAATAGCATTTTCGAGAAATCCTCCTCACTGCCGTCACCATCCATTCCACCAGCCATAGCCTTCATCATCTCTGAGAGTAAATCATCCGAATTATCCTCTGCAGCTGCAGCCGTTGCCTGATCACCCGAAGCTTGCATTCTTTCCATCGTCTTCTTGATTGTCTCCTGAAACGATTCCTCGCCAGCGGATCCGGCAGTTGCTTTGTCCTTCGAAGACCCGGGTTTTGGCGCAGATGGTGGCGGAGGCGCTGGTCCTGTCTCTCCCAGCCCACCCATCTCCTTGAGCATACTCTCAAACTGCGCTTGCATTTCTGGCGACGTCTCGAGTTCCCCCATGAGTTCCGCCATACCGGCTTGTAATTGCTTTGCGAAATCATCGTCAGATAGTCCTTCTCCACCGCCAAGAAGAGGATCATCTGCAACGGACGGCCTGCCAGGACCGGAGGTTGTTGCTGTTGTGGAGGCTGGGGCTGGTGCTTTCGTTTCTGGTTTCGCAGTGTTGAACTCATCGAGCATATCTAAGAATTAATTAGAATCACCTTCCCATGACTAGCAGCAGATATATAATCATGTACCATCTAAATCATCTAAATCATCCTCGTCAGGATCTGGAACATCCTCCCATCCTGCAGCAGCATCTCCGGCTGGCGTTTCAGGAGCTGTACTTGATTCGTTAATCGTAGCTTTTGTCGAAGACTCTGCCAGTCCCGCGAGATCACCAGGTTTCGACTCCATGCTTGGTATTTTACAGGAAGCTCCAACAACCTTCTGCTGGGATCTTCAAAGGTGGGTATTCTTCCTGCAAGGAAGGAATATCTCGAAAGTGCGGGGTATGTATGATCTGCGCCGGAAACAGTATTGTTCAGATAAGCCGAACTTCAGCGACGACTTAGATTTTTATACCTCTGATTAATTAGATTTGAGATTTTAGAAATTCTTGCGACGTGTGTTGGGTATGAAGATCACAGGGCAAGAAGGGTGTTAGGCCGAGGCTGTCACATTCGCACATCGGGCATTGTTTTACAAGGGGGGTTTAAGGTTACCCAAGCTAGTGAATTGTGCTTCTTTCTTTTGCCTTGTCTCGACGCTTGATATCCATTCACGAATCGCGAGCCTCGTAGCAACCACCAAATCTTTCCATAGCAACTTGTTCTCCTGCAACTGGTAGAAGTGCAGAAACGCATTTATTTTCGCCCTTCGAAGTTTTTTATTCAACAAATCAAAACACTTCTGTAATTCCGAGTTGCGCATTTGTGAAGTAATTCAGCCTCATTTCAAAATGACGCTCTGTCTAAATCGCCTTGCGGAGGAACGGTACGGTTTTGCACAGTTTAGAGATTGAGGACATGTACTAATGGGATTTATAGCAAGCAGTGGCGAAAGGACCATCCGTTTGGATTCTCTGCAAAGCCTATTCGCAACCCCGCTACGAACACTATTGATATGAAAATTTGGGACTGCGGCGTACCGGGCAAGGCCGGCACATTATGGGAGGGTGGTCTCTTTAAACTGAACGTTATCTTCCCGGATGGTATGTACTTTTACACATAGTATTGCTGTGTATTTGCGCTAATAACAATTTGCAGAATACCCAACCAAACCTCCAAAGTGTAAGTAATCCTGCTCTATATTCAGACTTCAGTCTAGAACTAACAAGCAAGCAGGCAAATTCACACCACCTCTCTTTCACCCCAACGTGTACCCCTCTGGCACAGTTTGTCTCTCGATCCTCAACGAAGAAGAAGGTTGGAAACCTGCCATCACAATCAAGCAGATTCTCCTCGGCATCCAAGAACTCCTCGATACCCCAAATCCTGATTCTCCTGCCCAAGCCGACGCCTACAATCTTTTCAAGAAGGACAAGACCGCCTACGAGCATAAGATCAAGCGCATTGTAAAAGACAATCCTGCTCCTTAAGGAAGCAAAGTGATTGCATTTGAGATAGTAAGGGCGACGGTTTTATTCGGCGGGCAGTATCGGCGTTGATTGGGCACATAATATTTTAAATCATAAGCGGATGATATCAATGGGCGTACCAAGCAGAGGAAAGACTTTACTTTTGATGCAGCCGTCTGGTGAAAGAATTACTGAGTACCCTAGATGAGTTACAATACCCTATTCCATGGGACATGTGAAGAAAATGGGCCAAAATGATTTATCTTTGCAATTTACACATTGCGTTTTGTCATATCATGACCTGGCCTCCTGTTCTATACTTTTGGGTCATTTTGTCAAGAGAGCTATGTGAGCGGTCTACACCCAGCACAGTACTCAAAAACGCTGCAGGAAACACACCTCCACAATCAACCGTTGAATACCCATTATCCCTTTGCCAAGCATGCAGTCCCAAGGGCTAAAACAAACGATATCACAATAATATTACAGAGCCCTTCGACACACAGCTGTTACTTACGCACCAGCCAAAAAAGCCATTGAGCCATTGAAAAAAGCTACAATTTAATTGGCTCGTTGTGAATCGCTATCAGTAAAACAAGGACTCAAGCCACTTTGCGCACTCACCCCTCCCCCCAATGAATCGGTGCCACAGCCTACATCCGACTATCGGCCCTTGAGCTAAGGTAATTTTGTAAGATAGTTTGGAGCCAAGGAGTATGCACATACCATATGCACATACCATAAAATTGTTGATATTGAAACTATTACTCACTCACTTCACTACCCTTTTGTCTACTACAAAACTTCCTTTCTCTTCTTGACAGGAAACCTTTTCTTTTACATCAAAGGGATTTACATATACGAATTCAAGATGTGTGGTATTTTTGCTTGTCATTGGTATGTACAATCTCTACAATTGGAAATGAATTTCTTATGATAGTGGGGGCCCCGCGATTTGATGGATTATGAGAATTGACAAATTTATAGTCACCCAGATATTAAGGCTTTTAAGCCTACGGCCTTGCGAATGGCGAAGCAGTGAGTACCCCGATATAAAGAGAGGAATTGAAAACAGAGAACTGATTCTAAAAATGTAGAGTTCGTCATCGTGGACCAGATTGGAGTGAGTCACCTTTGTTGAAAGGGATATTTGGACGCGAGACTAATGACACTTAGGCGGAAACGTTATCTCCAACAACACAAGTAGGTTGAGTCCTGGGCAATTGCTCCCATAGGCAATTTAGCTGATCAATCGACTGCAGTTCTTGCGCATGAGCGTTTGAGTATCGTGGGTGTTGGTAAGTTCTCACCGCTGAAATCTGGATCCAAATTCATGAACTCACAATAGATTAGACAGTGGAGCGCAACCAATTACCAACGCAGACGACACTCTTGTCCTCGCAGTCAATGGCGAAATTTATAACCACAGACTCATCCGTAAAGGACTCAAGAACCAATACCACTTCAAGACACATTCCGATTGCGAAGTCATAATACCACTGGTGAGGAATTCGAAAAGGGAAGTTGGAACCGTGACTGAATATTTGTTAGTATATGGAATATGATATCGATGCGCCAAAACATTTGGACGGAATGTTCTCGTTTGTTTTATACGACAAGAAGCAAGATCGCACAATTGCCGCACGCGACCCAATTGGCATTACCAGTTTTTATCAAGGATGGTCGAGCAAAACACCAGGAGCTGTATACTTTGCTTCCGAGTTGAAATGTTTACACCCTGTTTGCGACAAGATCATCGCTTTTCCCCCAGGCCACATTTATGACTCGAAAACCGACAAGACAACCAGATATTTCGAGCCATCTTGGTGGGACCCTACCAACGTCCCATCAACCCCAATTGATTATAAGCTTTTAAGGGAGACACTCGAGATGTCTGTTCGTAAGCGTCTCATGGCCGAAGTACCTTACGGAGTACTGTTGTCTGGAGGCCTCGACTCGAGTTTGGTTGCTGCCATCGCTCAAAGAGAGTCTCTGCGCCTGAAAGCGGCTGCGCTAGCTGCAATTGAGAACGGAAATGGAACCGCGACACCAACTGCAAACGAGGACCAAGGAGAAGGACTTGTTGGTATTGACGACGAGAACAAACTGTCGACTCTCACTTATCTTCCTCAACTTAACTCCTTCTCAATTGGTCTACCAAACTCTCCTGATACCAAGGCTGCCAAAGAAGTTGCCAAGTTTCTTGGTACTAAACATCATGATATGACATTCACCATCGATGATGGTTTGAACGCACTCTCTGATGTTATTTACCACTTGGAGACCTATGATGTAACGACCATTCGTGCATCCACTCCTATGTTCCTTCTATCAAGAAAGATTAAGGCCATGGGTGTCAAGATGGTATTGAGTGGAGAGGGCAGTGACGAGATTTTCGGAGGTTACCTTTACTTCCACGCTGCACCAGATAAGGCTGCTCTCCACGAAGAAACTGTCCGCAGAATCAAGAACTTACATTTGTCTGATTGCTTGAGAGCCAACAAATCGACCTCCGCTTGGGGATTGGAGGCTCGTGTTCCTTTCCTTGACAAGGAATTCCTCGAAGTATCCATGAACATCGATCCACAAGAGAAGATGATCACCAAGGATCGTCTTGAGAAATATATTCTTCGAAAGGCTTTTGACACATCAGATGATCCGAACGAGAAACCATACCTGCCAAAACACATCCTTTACAGACAAAAGGAGCAATTTAGTGATGGTGTCGGTTACGGCTGGATCGATGCTCTCAAGGATAACGCCGAGCTTCACGTTACCGATGAGATGATGAAAAACCCCAAACCGGAATGGGGTTCTGATATTCCAGATACCAAGGAAGCGTAAGTGTTCAATTCTAATGATGAAAATTGAAATACTGACGGAAGAAATAGTTACTGGTACCGAACAATGTTCGATGAACACTTCCCACCATCCTGTGCAGAGAGTGTTATGCGATGGACTCCAACTTGGTCTAAACAGACAGACCCTAGCGGAAGAGCTATTGCCATCCATAACGAAAAGTATGATGAGTAATTGTAATGTAAAGATTTGCTCCTCAGAGGGTCGTATCTATTGGAATGTTGAAAGGTTCATGACCACATATTCATCGAGGATCTTTCGGACTCCAGAGCTGGCTACCGCTAAACAAAATGATCGATGCGTTAGATAGAAAGATGAAACCATTTGATAAACGGATAGTTGATTTTCCATGAAATTCATCTTATGCTTTCACGGTTGGCGTGTGTTTGAGGACATTAATTTGTTGTTATGGCTCGACATTTCTTTGGCGGTCTTTAGTATCAATGAAGCATTACTCAAGATTCCTTCTCATGCCAGCGACAAGCTGCCAATTGATCTTGCAAACGTTCAAAGTTAGTTAATTCGATGCCAGTGAGAAATAGCGCGAATTGATCTCGCAAACCCTCCAGCTTCGTTTTCCCAATGCCAGTAAGAGGCTGGGAAATGATATGATCTTGAGGATGTAAACAAATAATGTCATCCAGGTTATCTTGTTATGTATGTATAAGTTTGTTATACATATATAAGTTCATTCCAAGGTTGAATGTAATGTTTTAACCTAGGAAAATGGTGATGTGATTCGACTAGAGGTACATGAAATTGCGTTGTTAATGGGCAGGATTTCAACATTTGGTCCAAGGTAAGATGGGATGGTTCTGTTGATTACTAGAGGAGGTACAGGGGTCACATATGGAAAGACACATGAGCATTTTGGCCAATAGTAAATGCACGTTCCATGTCCGACTTCTGCCGCTTGATTCCTCACGATTCGAAATTCTTTAGGAAACAAAAATCCACGTCCTTCGCAATTTCATCCTCACTCCGTTCGCACTTGTACAACTTCTCAAATTTCTTCTCGAAACTTCAATCAATTCAACTCATCCAATTCATACAATCATGTCTGTCCCAGCATTCACCGATATCGCCAAGGCATCCAATGATGTATGTTTTCCCCAACTTGCGCATGTTCACAAAATATTTGAAGCTAATCTCAATGTTAATGGATCAGTTGCTCAACAAAGATTTCTACCACCTCACTGCTGCCGCGCTCGAGGTCAAGTCGAATACTCCAAACAATGTCGCATTCAAAGTGACTGGAAAGAGCACCCACGACAATGCCACAAGTGGTCTGGTACGAATATTTTGGGAAAGAAATGATTTTTGACAAACGCTGATGGACAGTTTCTGTGCAGTTGGAGGCCAAATTCACAGACAAGCCAACTGGTATATATTTTGAGCAATTTATTTTACAACATTTCCCTTTTAATAGTCCATATGGTTTTGTCATTTTCAAAGAGCCCGGTCATGCACAGTTACTAATCCAGTATACCGATGGTACAGGCTTGACTCTTACCCAAACATGGAACACCCTCAACGCCCTCGACACCAAAATTGAGATCAATGACTCCATCGCCAAGGGTCTCAAGGCTGAGATTCTTGGTTCTTTTGCTCCTACCACCCAAAAGAAGGGCGCAAAGGTCAACCTTCACTTCAAGCAACCAAACTTCCACGGACGCGCATTCTTCGATCTCCTCAAGGGCCCAACTGCCACCGTTGACGCTGTTATCGGACAAGACGGTTTCTTGGCTGGTGCTACCGCTGGTTATGATGTCCAAAAGGCAGCTATCACCAGCTACTCCGCCGCTGTTGGTTACAGTGCCCCCACTTACAGTGCTGCCATCACTGCCGCTGATAACTTGAGCGTTTTCTCTGCTTCATACTACCACAAGGTCAACACCCAAGTTGAGGCTGGTGCTAAGGCTACTTGGGACTCCAAGAACACCAACTCTGTCGGTCTCGAGGTTGCCAGCAAGTACAGACTTGACCCACTCTCCTTCGCCAAGGTAAGCAATTTGTGCATATTTACCCCGCCAAACTTTTACTGACGCAAAGGAAATTTTAGGTCAAGATCAACGACCGTGGTGTTGCTGCTGTTGCCTACAATGTTATTCTCAGACCTGGTGCCACTCTTGGTCTTGGTGCCTCTTTCGATACCCAAAAGCTTGACCAAGCTACCCACAAGATCGGTACCAGCTTCACATTCGAGTCATAGAGCAGGATTGTTTGAGATTTGAGACATTGCCCGTACCAATAGTAGAATAGAGGTGTACTTCTGATATCCTTTTCTGTGACACACACAGTATTAGCATTGCAGCGGGGTGACTTTCTGTAATATAAATGACCAAAAAGAGTTCTTGAAAGGATAGATAATAATTCTATGGTCTATTTTTGTGCCAATGTTATGCTGATTTCTTCCCTGGTCTTCCTGCACTTGTTATCCTTTCGTATAAATACGATGGTATAGCGACACTCAAAGATATGACTGCACTAAGAATAACGAAATTGGCGAAAGTGCTCCTTTCCCTGTCGGCTGGTATGAAATGCTCACTCATCCGACGTCGCCTTCTTCTATCCACATTGTCATGTGTTTGCGTGTGTCTTCTTTTATCAAAGTGAGGAATATCTCCTTCTCGGCCCCATGGCATCTGGCCCGTCCCCATTCCACCACCCATTTCTGTATTTGGCGGAGCCTCTGCTCCTGGCGCACCATTGTCTTGCGCAGCTCTCCTCTTCGCACTGTGCTCTCCCCATCCCCCACTTCTATAAAAGCTAGGTGGCGGTCCTCGGAACTGTGTCCGTCGCCTAGACAAACCGCTAGCAGGTCTACCACCTGCCGGACCGCTAGATGAATAGGAACCTTGTGGTGGATGGTGAGCTGTTCCATGCGCGTGAGCATTTAAATGGTGTTCTCGATCATATGCTTGACGTTTTGCTGGGGTGCCGAGAATAGCCCATGCTTCGGATATTTTTACGAAGCGTTTTGATGCGGAGGGGTCAGAGGGGTTATGGTCGGGATGATGGAGTTTACTGAGAGCGTAGAAAGATCTTGAAGAGCTTAAATCAGTATATGGAAGTCAATTGAAAATGAATGGATGAGGAGGAGGTGATCGTACTTTTTGATTTCGGCCGGTGTAGCACTCGGGGCGACTTGCAAAGTCTGGTAGTGGTTCTGAGCGACATCTCTGTAGATAGCAGTACTATGGAAAGACAATCGCTGTGCTTGAATCCATGGAATCCGTGCAATGACAAAAGGAGAGGGGCAAAGACGGAGTGGCATTCCTCATGATTGAATCAGGAAATTATATGGGAGAGAATGATGGATTGAGAAAACTTTCCATGTGCCATATGAAGCCCAGTGACGGCATAGACTTAGAGCCACTGACAGGGATAAGCCACGAACAAACATGACTAAGCGAGACATCATATCCCGACGTTAGCCCATCAATCACACTTGGCGGGGTAAGCAATTGTTAGATTTCTCACTTCCATCGAATTATTTATTATTCTGCTCACACTTGGGCTTTTGTTATTAACGCAAAAGTCAATTACATACAGTCGTACAATTGGAAACAAGACTAAAGGTCTTGGCAGGTGATACACCATGGCAGCACAGGTTACCGATGTGTTGAAGAATTTGAAAGGTAGGTAAAATCACCCTTGGCGGAAGTCTCCGCTATTATTTGGTCATTCATGGGAACTTTGAATTAACAAGCTATCTAGTGAAGGATCCTAATTCTGTAATTGAGTCTGCAGCGGAGGCCAAATCAAATGGGAACACGCAAGCCGACGCCGAAGATTCGGATGATGAGGAAGAGGAACCCGTAAATGGGGAAGGTGCAGGGGAAGGAGGAGCGAAGAAGAAGAGGAAGAGGAAGAAGAAGCCAAAGAAGAAGGCTGAAGCCAATCCTAAAGTTCAATCGTCACCTCCACGAGTTCTTCTATCGAATTTATTTCCAAGCGGCGAATACCCTGTTGGAGAGGAAGTCGAATATAGAGACGAGAATAATTATCGAACAACTAGCGAAGAGAAACGTTATTTGGATCGCATGAACAATGATTTCTTACAAGAGTATCGACAGGGTGCCGAGATCCACAGACAGGTCAGACAATATGCTAAAGCCAATATTAAACCTGGGCAAACCTTGACCGAAATTGCGGAAGGGATTGAGGATAGTGTGAGAGCTTTGACTGGTCACCCAGGATTGGAGGAGGGAGATAATATCAAGGGGGGTGTCGCTTTCCCAACTGGTGTCAACCTGGATCATATCGCCGCTCATTACAGTCCGAACGCCGGAAACAAGACCGTTTTGGCCTATGAGAATGTTATGAAGGTCGATTTTGGAGTACACATTAATGGTAGAATTGTGGATAGTGCTTTTACTATCGCTTTCGATCCCATGTATGACAACCTTCTTGAGGCGGTTAAGCAAGCTACCAACACCGGAATTAAGGAAGCTGGAATCGATGCGAGATTGGGAGAAATTGGCGAGCACATTCAGGAGACGATGGAGAGTTACGAGGTTGAGATTAAGGGTCAAACTTATCAAGTTAAACCAATCAGAAACTTAAACGGGCACGATATTCTACAATGGAAGATCCATGGAGGAAAGAGTGTTCCAATTGTCAAGAGCAATGATCAAACCAAGATGGAAGAAGGAGAGGTTTTCGCTATCGAAACTTTCGGAAGTACCGGAAATGGTTATGTTCGAGACGATGTAAGTGTTTGTATTATACTCCGGGTCGCAATTACTAATCATGTATAGCTTGAATGTTCTCATTACGCTAAGGTCGCTGATGCTCCTAACGTTCCATTACGTATCGCTTCAGCAGGCAAACTTCTTAATGTTATCAATAAGAACTTTGGTACATTACCGTTCTGTAGAAGATATTTGGATCGCTTGGGTCAAGATAAGTACCTACTCGGAGTAAGTCTCTTGTCAATTTACACTTCTAGTATAACATCTGATAAGAAACAGTTAAACGCATTAGTCTCCCATGGCATAGTACAAGATTATCCCCCACTAGTCGACAAAAAGGGTTCATACACTGCCCAATTTGAACATGTAAGCTCTTCCCGCTATCTCTAGAATACCCACTAACAACAAATAGACAATCGTGCTCCGACCAAACTGCAAAGAGGTGATTAGTCGCGGTGATGATTACTAGTGATGTTAAGCTACTAGAAGATATGAGTTCTATGATTTCAGTTTTCGCATTGCATGCATGATGATGGAAAAATGGAATGGGCATAGATTTTGCGGCGTTGGGGATATTTTGTACTTTAACTTTGTGCTGGGGATATCTATTTCCCTTCCAAAAATGATTTTTGAACCATGAATTTAAATCGACGGATGGAGATAGGATTTATCACTACCTTTTAAGATTATTGGTAGAAATTCATACATTTAACATATTATTCCAAATGGAATGAGATGCCTGACTTGATGAAAATGCGTGCGTGCGTGGAGGATGTGGTGTGGTGTATGGATTGAAATGTAGATAGAGAGGGTGAAGAGTTGAGTTTCGATTTGATTTTATTGTTTGTTTGGTTTTTCTTTTTTATATTTGAAATTATCTTAGCTACTTAGCTACCGGAGTATGTTTTGTATGCTTTATATGATTGTTTGTTTTACATTATTCATGAACTGATTTGTGTTTTTGAGTAGGATTATTTGTTTTTCGCCTGTTTCTACCTCTGTTTTTACCCCTTCTACTTCCACTCCCACTCCCACTCCCACTTCCACGCTCGTTCCCACTCCCCTCCACCCCGCAAACAAGAATAAACCAGATAACGGTGCCTGCTACCAAGAATCACGACAGTAAGCTCATTTCCTCTTTCCATCAACTTTAACCTTTTTCTTCACTTCTTCGTGGATGAGATTCTCGACTTTTTAACCCTGCCAGAATGTACGGCTTGAGTTTTCGAGACCTTCGCAGGCTTGGAGCTCTTGGGCTTTGGTTTCAGCACAATCTTTTTCGATGATCTATCTAGAACCTGCTTCGGAGCCTCCTCTTTCATATTCATCTCTTCCGTCAATAACTTCTCAAATTCTTGAACATCTTCCAGCTTGAAATAACGCTCGGGTGTTGGTCTTGAGAGTTGCTCGTGATTTCGTGTGTAAAAATTGACAGAATCCACCACATCTACCACCAAATTCTCCATTCCTCGTATTTTCCTCAATGCACCAACACCTTTGGCGGTCATGAGATCCTTTTGCGGCTTCCTACTTCCATACATTGTCATCCTATTAACTTCTATTGTAAGATGTTTCAAAGCTTTACACTCGCCAAGCAATTGAAAAGCCGCCACCCTCTCATCTCCAAGGAAACTGCAATAGATTTGTCGAATATATGCTCGTTTCTCTGCACCAATCATATAGAGATAGCAGTATAAGCCCCACGTATGGAAGAATATAAATGTATTTTCACCGTAGAAAATCTGGTTTGATTCGTGGTAAAGTTGTTCGCAGGTTCGTCCAAGTATAAGTAGGTCTTCATCGTCTGGTCGAAATCGAGCTTCAGGATGTCCTTCCTCCTGCCGTTCGGCCTGTTGGAAGATCGTCAGCACGAAGGGACGAATTGTGTTGTCTGGTTTGCGACTTCCCCGGCTCCATTGTACATATCGATGGATTTCGTCTCGAATCTCGCGCGGAAGTGCGAGGAGGTGGCACTTTGGAGATTTAGAGCGGTTTCGGGAGCGTGGAGGCATGATTGATGAATGCCTAAATTCTTGATGGTAATAATTGAATATATGTTTTGATTTGGTGTGAATGAAGTTTTGCATACACAAGTCACGAAAGAGGTTGAGCGATCAAATTCATGCGCCGTGCCCGTTTTCCCAGTGACGCGAGATTGTCACCATGTCACGTTTTTAATAGCTTATTTGTACCACCTTCCCTTTGATGTCAATCTACTCCGTACAGAGTATTATATCTAATATTCACACAATTTTGATAGTGTCATTTTTTCAATATTCTAGTTGTATTTATATCTTTTTCTGTACATATGTCGAATCAAGAAGACGGGTGGACGTTAATATTGAAACTTTCGATGCTATTTCATTGTTAGAGCAACCAAGACAGGATTCGGAAGTCAAGAAACATCTTTTTAATTTTCAAGACGGTGGAGAGCAATCTAAAATGTCAGAACGCTAACGCATGGAGAACTCTGAAATAAACTGCCCAAGGTAATGATCACTGAATCAATACAAGAAAGGGAAGATCTGATGTGATGTTTACTCTCGAGGCGTTTGATCCAGACTGAATCTCATCTCTAATGTCTAATATCATATCGGGAGAATAGACTTAGTGTCGCGAAGGGACTAGATTACGCAGCAATAAGTGTTTGAATACCACAAACCAATAAACATAAACTCCATCGTCTACCACAATCGTCTACTCGGGCCGGGAAATCCTCAACTTTCCTTCTATTCTCCACGGACTGGCAGACCTTCCTAAAGCACTCCTAACTCCGCCTCAGTGAGAGCTTGCGAGCAAAGGAAAGCAGATAGCTTTAATACCGAGAGCTCTTTTGGAAGTTACTCTGAACTTTCGAGAGAGAGATACCAGTGATGTTGGATAGAGACTGGTCAATACAAGCTACAGATGGACAATATCGTAGGTACTGGGGCTGTGGACCTTGCATGGAACGGATCTCTTACTATAACAGTAATCTTATGATTTTAGTTTCTTTTCCGATGGAAATATTGATTTCTCCGGATATCTTCTTCTAAAGATAATTATTTACCTAGCAACTCAAAATCTCTACATATTTGACTATATTCCCATTATCACCACCATCACCACCGAGTCACATAGTGTCATTCGCTAATTAGCAAAAAATATATTCAAGAATATAAATAGTAATCTTATCCTCACAAACAAATATTGCAGTTTCATCTAGTTCATCTAAACCCAAGTCTTAATTACAATTTCCGCAACGACCGCACCCATTCCTGCACATCTCGTCTAGCCGCATTGGGAAGATCATACCTGAATGACTGATAGGAAAAACCTCACATAGCGGAAAAACAAGACTACTATTCCCCTCCCTTCTTTTTAGCGGGTCCGACTCAGAGGATAAGAGGAGTAGTTGTGGGAATTACTATTTTCTGTAATTATAATAGCGATGACGGGGACTCAGAAGATGGCGACAGTTTTGATAATTATGTTGATTCTTGTGTAGGGGTTATAACTTATCAGAAAGAGAACCTCAGGGTATCGTCAGTGGGTATACTGGTCAATATGGCGCGGAACCTAGTTTATCGAGGTAAGGGGGGCCTTGCAGGTTTGATTGGTGATTTCTAATATGATATTTCTTCGGTATCTGGGTTTGAGATGGATAATGTGACTCAATAACATCTTTGGTTTAATAGCTACATTCGTTGCCCTTCCCCAGCGCTACTCTTTCAGCGAGCAAGAAGCTTCTATTTAATACGAAAATTAGGCTTTGAGAAGTAGGTTTGACCAAAAAAAATATCACTGTGAAAGAATTGATCCAAGTATATACTCTTCGACTATATAGTAATTTAGACTATGGATAATATTCTTAATACTGGCAGAATCGTCCATCTTGCAAAAAGAGCAGACATAGATGATTATCACTTTATATAACTTATTTATAAAATCATCTACCTTAGCTTCAAGGCATATCCAAGCCCCCTTTAATGATAGCGGTCAGTGGGCTATCGTTGCAGCTCTATTGTCTCCTGCTTCAGCTGTTGATAAGCTTCATGTCTTGCATTTTGCTTGACCAAAGCAATGACCATGTTAGCACGAAAAGTGCAGCGGAATGATGGCGAAGTCATTTTAAAAACTCGGCTAATGTTTGATCATAGTAACCGTGTGCCAATAAAATCTCTGGCCGGTATGGACTTCCCGGTTTATCGAATTCCACTGATTGCGCAACTCCCCCAGGTCACCTACCGGCATGGGACTTCTCATAACCTCCATCCAAGGTTTCAAATACATCATAGGTATATATATATCCATCACAAACAGTGCGACCTCGGTTAGCACAATCGTGCGAAGCCCTTTCGCATTTGGATTTCCAATGTTTGCTCAGCAATTTAAGAAGAGTGGACTTGGTGCCAGTATGGCAAGCAGAATTCTTGTGTTCACTATCCTTGCGATGGTATGTACTGGTAACCTCCTGTCCCTAGGGACCCATATATCAGGGGTATGTCGAGGCCAAACAAAAGCTAAACCGCTTGATGTTTAGATGAGAGGAAAGATAAATGTAGATGGGCGGCGCATTGATAGATGTTCCATCATACACCCTTCGTGAAGTAAACAATGATGTGTGATCATGGTATTGAGAGCAATTTGACCAATTGAATAACATCATGTAGTAGGACAAGAAAGCACGAATCCGAGAATGTAGTGAAGTAGATTTTCAAGCAGCAACTGGAATACTGGAAATAGGCCTGGTTCTGCCAAGACCATCCTTGCCATAGTAATCCATAGGATAAATATCATTATTACTCTTCGCCCAATCCTCTTTCTGACCCAACACAATCAATGCTTCATATGGAGTTAGTAGAGGTCTCGGAAATGCGTATCCCCAATCAATACTGAGTCTTGGACATGCTACTTGTACCCAACACTCAACATCGCTCATCATAGCTAGTTTTCCAGGGAAGATTTCGCTCAAGAGCAAATTGATGTAAGGTGTTCCTCGCTCTTCAAGCTTTTTCTCAATCATTGTCATTGTGTGAGGATTTCCCTGGCGGCCTAGAGATCCTAGAATAAGCCCCCACTTCTTTGCAGGTTTTGCGGCTTCGATAGCATCTCTTCTCAAAGTGTGCATTTCCTTATGGTCGTAACTTTCACGAGTAAGCTTTCGAGAATAGGGATCGTATCGGTAAGCTGGTATGGATGGGTTGTGTATCATTGCGCTTTCAAGGTGGAAACGCCCATCCCCAAGATATAAAATAATATCGACACCATCTGTTGACAGTTGAGGAGATGTGCATCCAAGGATCTCACCTTTACTGAGGGGAGCGATTTGTGGAATGAGAACATTATAGCCCGCTTTCTCGAGAGGGGCTCGAACGCCATGTAATGTCGCATTGAACTGAATTGTTCCTACCATCGCAATGGTCTTTCCGGAGGCAAAGTTCTTCTCCAGGGTTGCAAGTAAATGTGCCGTATCTATGCTAATATCAACGAAAACATAGAGAGTTTTGATCTTTGTGACATCCACAGGAATCAGACATGAATGCGCGTAATGTACTAATAGATCGCAACCCAATGCACGAGCGGTATAGTCATCAATGCAACAAGCTCCATATGTAACATCTCCCATTATAAGCGTCTCGATACCAGGACAAAATTGGGAGAGAATATCAGAAATTGTTGTGGCGAACAACAGGAGACCTTCTGGCATCTGCAGAGCAACCTTTTTTGATCCATTCGTTCTAATTCTATGTATCGTCTTGTGTATTTCAAAAGAATAATTTGGTGGAAGTAATGCGATCGCAGCGTTTATGTCTGGGTCGTTCAAAATTTCCGGAGGAACTTGATTTAATGTTCGAATTCTTCTTGGAGTCGCGACTGTGAAAGGTCAGCTGGGGTATTTAATCTAAGAAATAGAAACTACAGACCTTGAACAGCAGCACTGTCCCCAGGAGTCCCATTGATGCCATTCCGTGCAGCTGCTTCGGCAGCTTGTTTTCTGCCTACGAAACGTTTCTTTGGTTGACGTTGTGCCACTGGCTCTTCGAAAGCTTCTTCTACATCAACAGCGACACCCAAGTCAACCTGTGCACGATCATCCTCCATGCCGTCGTTGGTAAAGGGATGCGAATAGAACAGTTTTGGAGAGTACGACCTGGTTGCTATCAGGGATTTTTTGTTCAAAATTCGAGGTTCAATATTCAGCGGGGTGGTGGAAGTAGCTTTATAATGCACGTCAAACTTTGATATAAAAACAAATAAGATATTAATGATTCTACAGATATTTTGCCAATAACTAATAAGTATGGATGGTTATTTTTGAATGAAATAACAAAAAATTATTGAAATTTTCTATATTGTCGAAATCGATGACTTGGGTGTGATTTTTGTGGTTTTCGAGTCCCAAGGATTACCCCGCGGCACGACATCACGTGCCATTTTCTGGTGGAGACGATCAGAGCACATGATGGTTTCCAAGAATGAATTGATTCTCCTCATCTTCCAATGCTTCTAAATTGCAGTGAACACTCATCTCCTTTCTTCTCCTCTTTGATTACTCCTCCGCCAAAGTTTGGAGTAGTTCTGGAAAGCGCCGATAAAAACGAGATTCTACCTTACTTCGAAATCCACCATCATTCTCGAACGCCGAAGACAAATTCAGGGAGTCTGGTTGCGGCTGATATCCAAAGCCAAAAACGTCTCGATAAAAGTATCTTTTCCATTTTCCCCCGGATACGGCGGATACGGTGGATCCCAGATCAGCGCATCTGGTGATGAAAATTGCTATGCCTCGGCCAGCTAAATTTTTCATGGTCAATCGACACTGTGTAGAGCAGTGGTTGCATTGCATTAAGTCCAAGCTACTTTCTGAGTTCCTACAACTGAATGGGATACGCTGCGAGGCTTCAGCATCAAGGTAGGTTGAACGGCCAGGAATCCTTGTATAAATGCACCCATTTATGTAGAATACCTCCATATGGGCACATGGATCCATAGATAAACCAAATAACGTTGGTCTATTGGTGTCTGAAATCTAAGCCTTCTGAACACGATGAATGAAAGTTCCTTGGACAATGCGACAGTCTGTCTGGGACTTTTTGATCCAACCGTCCGGACCGAATTCGTCTGAAATCTTGCGTGACAGTAAGTTTAAAAATTGCATACAATCCGGGTCGTGGAGCCAGCGCTTCATAGCAATTTGGAAAAGGTTCGGACTAAATTTGTCATCTATCAGGTGCTCAAAGTCCAGCATAAGACCACTGTCTAATCGACACCATAGAGCCTTGGGCCTCCGCTGAGATCTTGCCAATGCATTTCTTTTCGCCCGATAATACCTCACAGCGTTCTCCATGTTATGCAGTCGTTTACAAAAATGGCATGCGATTTGCTGAGGCAGATCTTTTGCAATGAAACTCAGGAGACATTTTTCGGAAGGGCTTTCCGATAGAGCCTCGGAATAATCATTTCCTAGTGGGTGAAATGCTTTACAGGTGAGGAATAGAGCGATGACCGATGACAGAGGTATATATTCTAATATGAGTAGAAATACTTCGATGGCAATATTTGCTAAAGAACATGTTTGATGTACAGCGGATGTTAAGGTATCCAATTTGATAGGACTGCATGTTACAACATGTGGTCTAATAGCGCTGCATGAATGGATAGCCCTTGGACTTGATAGGCGAGGTGGTTTTGGACTGTGTAATCGGGAAGATGCCGAACTGGATGATTGAAGTGGCTTCATTGCGAAGTCGTTCAAGTACTCTGCTTTGTTGACTTTCCCGTTCATAAAGATCATTAATTTACTCTTTGGGGGAGTCCATTGCAGCAAGAGCTTAGCGTGAAGATCAGAAATCTGACGAAGCATGCATATGGCTGTTATATACATATCTAACATACACTAGATGAATAAGTGCTAAAACTATCCCCTCGCTGCGTCATTAGGCCATAAGTTTAAAAGCTTAATTAATGGCGATTTTGCCCCAAAAATTACCGATTTGTTACAAATCTAACGAGAGAGGTAAAGTATAAGTAACCTCGTACTTTTCTCTTTACTTGCAGAATTTAGAAAAGAATTATTTCATTTAGCCATCGCAAAAGATTTTTCATCAAAATCCTGGATGAGAACAACTAACTCCCTTCCAAGAAAAAAGCGTACTATATGTAGAGCTACTAATAGTCACTAAACACACTAAGAGGATTACTTTACTTACAAAGACGTCAGGAACAAAACTCTCAAATTTTGGGTTAGGTAGGTATTCGCAGCACAATAGTCCTCTTTCGAAGGTTTTGTTTCAAAAATCATGAATCAGGGTCCATCCTTCAACTTTGTAAGATCGACACAACCTCAATTTTTCGTGGATAAGCTTCACCGACATCACTGATCTTGATACTATGCTTAGCTGGGAAATGATAGAGAAATTTAGCTTGTTAAGAAACTAGTTATCGCTCGATAACCTTTCCTAATATGACTTTACGGTGGTATTTGAATGGTCAAAAGGGCTTCGCGATACCTAACAGAGCCTTTTGATCCTATTCACACCTAACCTACACTAAGAATTTATTATAAATAGATAATAAGAAATAAAATCTCTTCATTGTCAAGATCCATTTCTTACAGAAATGAAGAACTATCTATCTCCAAAAAAGATGAAGTGCCTCCAAAATGAATTAGGGAAATGATCATCCTAGTTATTTGTATAAAGACGAACCCTTTTGACCAACGCGAGAGATAGTTAGTTTCTTGGCAAGCTAAAGCCCTCTAATACGTCGCTAAGCAAAGTAACTTCTACTTGCTCATTTAACTGTGAAAGATAAAAGCAACTCAGTGTTTCACTATAGATATACAAACTGGTTTGATAATACAGTAGAGCCTCGCTATATCGGACACTTTTACATCGATCATTTTCTATAAAACCTTAGTTTTTATACAAGTATACTAGAATCTCCAGTATTTTAATTATACCAAACAGATTTTCACGATTCCGGTATGAAATTTGTAGGAAAAGACTCATGTATTCATTCCCATCAGTCTTTCCCATCAATCTATTACATAACAAACTTCTAAGTCCATAAGGTATAGATTAAGTCGGGGGTGGAATTTACCATACAAAGTTATTAATGCCTTAATACCTGAACCTCCGTGCATACTTGTTGATTTCCAAAATCGGACAAGTAATTGTGAAGATGTCATAAAATTATCCCACGACACGTTACTCCTATGCAGGCTTACACAGTCCATCTATCTGAATAACCTCAAACGTCATTGTTTACTCTCAAAAATACCACGTTCTCCTTTCTACGCAGCCGCAAATGTTTTAATTTCAATAGTATGACTTCAAAATTATACATATAATGTTCCTATCATCAACAACCAATTTCTTGTGCGGCAGTAATCATGTCAAAGCAGCACACCATGAAGGCCATCGACCGGCTTCTCTGTTCGAGTAACAAATCGATCAAGGTGGTTAGATCCTCCTTTCTACTAAGTCTACTATGCAAATCAAACTTCAGCCAATCTACCAGCGGCTATTTCTGAAGTCCTTGCCTATCTACAAGCAGCCACGTTGGCTCTGCAATTTCAATGCCCGTACCGTCGCCGTAGGGTGTCATGTTCCAGCTTGGGCCTGTCATCGATGATATCAAGGTAATTTATAATCCAAATTTACTACCAAGCTGTTTCTTAGGCAGCTAAAGCCTTATAACAGCGAAAAGATTATGAAATCTGTGGCTAAGGGCCTGGCGAATTTATCGAGGAAAACCCAACATTTGGTTTCGATTCGCGAACTGCTGTAACAAAATCAGATGATTGGATTTATTGTTAATGGTATGCGTGCTGCATACCATTTCCCAAAATTCTAGAGGTCCTACGAGTATCTTTTAAGCTTAGTTCCACAGATATCATATCAGGAGCAATTTATAGGCTTTGAGTTTTGTAGATTAAACCTTAGTATTAAAGCTCAGGAAGTTAGTTGCTATACCTGACACCGTGTATTTATTTGCAAGTGCAAATATGAGTCATTTAAGTTCATATTCTTCAAGCTTGCACATGGCATTTTGGCAAGCTCTATCGTGAAACAATTCATCGATTTTCCACCGCCAAATTTGTTGGGCCATGAGCTTCTCGTTCAATTGTTATCATTGCTAGATTTTAAGTGTATGTGCTTCATCTCGAATATAAGAAAAGATAAGCTGGCACGGGACAAACAAGTCATCTTTGCTTCTTTCGAAGAAGGAAGAAGGAGAAAAACTGAACAGAGGATGATCCATGTTAGCGCAACGGTATTCAAAGAGGCTCTGACTGGGGCTGAAAAGTAATGAACACATATGAATTGTTTCGGCGCACGCTTGGGTTTAATGGGTTTTAGATAAATACTAGAAAACTCTAGTAGACTTCATTCATCCAATCACCTCGCCACTAATATCAAATCACGGCGAAAAGCTAGTTTTGACTTCTTTCCAAGAGAGACTTTGTTGCATATCTGTAAACTACTTCTTCAGGGTTGGTCCATGTATAGTTTTCATTTACTAGTAATATAGATTGTAGTAAGTTCGGCGGGAGTGTTCGTAACCTATACCAACATCACCACATTCAAATGATGCTTTCTTCTTGTCTATGAGAGCATATAAATCACAGTCAACGTTTCTCATTTGTTTATTCATTATTGCCGCCCATATGTTCTTCCACTTTCTAGCGCTTTTCAACTGTAAATTTACTGATCATGATTCTCTGTAAACTTAACACCGACTACTAATCTAGCGTTGAACTGCAAATGATAGTATCTCCCCTCCTCAAATACAACCGTTGAAGTAACTTGCTTATAAGCAGTTTAGTCTATACTTTCTAACCAACTAGGCTATTTAGGACACCAGAATTTATTTCTCCACTTCCGGCTTGATCTACTGATCGGATATTCATGAAAATTTTGAATTCTAATAAATCACTCACACCCAAATCTTCGCACATGTATATTTCAAATCATTCTCCAAATATTTCCTCGACATAAGATACTTTGGAGAGCTAGACCATCATCCATTTATCTAATCCAAAGAATATCAGTAGCTCATTGCAAAAGAAATCCTGTTCACATCTCCAGGTTATCACAATTTTCATCTCAAGCGAAATATTTAGGAATTTATCCACACGCAGAACCTATCAGCACTCAACAGTATAAAGTGTCTCAAAATGTATATCCTCAAAGCCCTATGCCATTCGATACTTGCTATGGCCTTCTCGGATTCTGTTCAAATACAGGCTCAATTGATTTTCAACCCTCCTTTATCTGAAGTCGAGCTTGGGCAGCTACATAATATTTCGGTACCTCTATCTAATAGCTCCATGGATATAGTCAATTGGTCCAACGCATTACTTCCGAATTCAACTGTGCTTGACAATTCATATGAGGATTCTATGCAACGTCAGTTGGTATGCAATTAACATTCCCAAGGAATACTAATGCAGATACTGATTGAGAATAGCTGGACGTTCTTTCTAGTATATATAACTACATAACTTCGAAACCCGATACCATTAATCAAGTTCAGAATGCCCGAAACCATCCAAGGGACTTTAAAAATACGACTGGAGATATGATAGCTAAGTCGGTGGGTGGATTACAACCAAGAGGCTTTTCAACCAATACGACGTTACAAAATGGCAATGCCACCAATCTCCTTCACAGTTTCGATGCCATAATTAATACTTCGAAGGAGGAGTCATCATCTCAAGGCACAAACACAGAAAACACGGCGGCAAAGAAGAGATCTTTAATCGCAGGCTTGCTTGCTGGCCTCGTTTCTCTTCTTGTACTCTTGGTCGTAGTGGTAATCAAATGGGATTGCTGCTGCATTAAGGGATGGAAAGAAACATCTAGAGAGTGCGTTCACGAAAAATCAATCCACGAAGAACCGATTCACGAAGAACCATTTCACACCGTTTATCTAGTTCAACAACGCCGAGGAAGTTTGCCACCTGAATATAAATCTGAGTCTACTTTGCCAGAGCTCGAAGTTACCTACGAGGAAGCTTTGCGTGATTCTGTACCTGAATATTTACAGGTCATACAGCAAGACCGGCTAAATGCGATGATCAATTGGGCAACTGTTGATTTGATCAGAAGGTCTCAGCCAGCCCAAATGCCACATATCTATGATCTTCATCGATTAAGGAATCAGCCAGTGTCAGAAGGTGAATATAGAGCTCGTGTGGAACTTATCCGATCTCTCTATTCGTCCATGTTACCACCGCAAGGTGTTGATGTACCTCAGCCTGTTGTTGAGGGGATTAGAGAAGTAAATCCCCCTGCAAACGCCTTGGAGCGGGTGGCGACAGAACGGCTTGGAACAGTGGAACTTGGAACGGAACAGCTGGCAACGGAACATATAGCAACCGAACAGCTGGTAACAGATACTGGGCAGCTTGGGACATGACAGCATGGATCTGAGGCAGTCTGGATCTGAGCAGCCTGGAGCCGAAGAGCTGGCAACCGGAGAGCCTGGAACAGAGCTGGAAAGGAACTTGTCAGCTTAAAGGTTGGCTTCTGACGAGTTGGAGCACGGTGAAGAAAGGGACTGGGAAGATATAGATGAGATTAATTAGGAAGAGTTGGAAATAGAAGAGGTTGGTGTTATAATGAGAAAAAATAGGACGCAGAGACACGAGGATATTGAAAAGTCCGAGTAAGATGTGGAAAATAGAGAGGAAGCAAAAGAAGAAGGCAGAAATTGACTGGGTGTAGAGGGATTGGTAAGGGGGCAGAGCAGAGCAATATAGAGGTTGATGACGTTTTAGAAGAAGGGATAATGATTGGGAGGATTTTTAGATTACATTTTCAGATTTAATCTATGTAAGATTATTTTTTCGGTTGATAGTTTGTATAATGAATTATCTCGAGTTTTAAATTCGCAACTAAGTAATTTTCCGCTTATAGGATCCCACGACGATGTGATCCCGTAGCGAATTTGATGTCAATCATTTGCATTCCATGCTTTCAATATTTTCATATAGTCTCACTCCAATCCAGAAAATATATAAGAATTACTAAGGTTAATGAACTCTAATCCAATATTCACCTTTCTTCCACCAACAAACAGTCCAAGGTCATTACTAGAGTACTTGATTTCCGAAACAGTTACTCTTATATAACTTACCAGCGAACATCCAATGGTAATAAACAACCAACAGATAACTTTAGTCAGACTTATAAAAGCGAAATTCGGAACCATAGATCTCATATATAGTTCTGGATCAAAATATTTCTATACATTCATTCATTCAACATCATATTTGCTAAAGTATACAAATACATAAACACTTTTTTTTATAATAATAGAATAATCATCTTCTTTTTCCTTTTGCTCAGGTATAAATTTATCGTCTTTTGTTTTTAAGATATGATGTTCATGCTTTTCCTCTATTATTAATTGATATATTCAAATCTATATATTTGCCAAGTCGATTAGTTATTAGAAGAAGAAATTATTTATGAGAATTACTAAACTTCCCGTGACGTCAATGGAACTGAGTAGCTATAACATCTTGGTATTGATATCACAAACTCAGAAACTCAGCCTTAATCGCCATTATTCTATTAGGAAGAGATGTGTCTATCTCTTTGAAATCCTATAAATCGAGATACGTATTAAAGCAGCATTGAGGTTTACCTTATTTTATAATTTACTAGATAGCTATAGGGCTCTAGATCAACAGACAGAAGAAAATGTGGAAAAGTTAGAGTTGGGTTTCAAATGATGCTGTTTAGCCTGGAGATTGTTTGTTCGGTTGTGTATTGTGGCCGGGGGGGATTATGTATGTACTTGGGGATACGAGGTCGAATAGATTGACGAGATTTGACGGGGGTGGGGATGAAATGGATGAGAAGGTGGATAAGGAGGTGGATAAGGAAACAGGTGAAAAGACATATTATAAGACAGATGACAAGACATACCGAATGGAAGACGAAAAAGCTGTAATATGGCACTTGAGGTACTGAATCTGGCTGAAAACTCCACAAATTTTCAGATACTGAAATTTTAAGGTCTAGGCTATAATGGTTCAAATCATTTTAGACGCTTAAGAAACTGTAAGTAGAGGAAGAAGAAGATGTTGAAGGTTAAGCTTTAAATGGTTAGGGAAGGATATAGAAGGGAATAGAGATAAAGATTGAAGAAGGCATAATAGGAAAGGATGCTGATTGATAAACTAAGATCTAGGCGATGAGAACTCCAAATAGGCGAGGAAATTCCTCCATGTTTTGCCCGGATAAAGGAGAAGCCGGGACTGTGTTTTTTGTACAGAAAATTTGAAAGATCAACTAAACAAGCAAATGGAAGATATTTGACTGTTGAAAGTCTGAACTCCAGTCAAAGATTCGATTCATGAGGGAGATCTATACTATCTCAGAATTTGAGCTCTCGAAACCCAGATTGCGATTTCAGACATTGGAAGCAGTAAAAAATGTTTAAGGGAAGTGTCGGTGGATAGAAATAGTTATACGAATTATGTAAATGTATATGCCGTCATACTAGACTTACAGTCTTCGCTATCAATAAAAAATAATCTGAAGATTCAAAACATGAGATCTTTATCATTTTAATATATTCTATGACCCGACCTCAACACCGAGGTGACGTCACATACACCTCCAAGTAATAATGAACCCATCTTAGTATTATCTTCAAATACACTCACAATACTTAACTTATAGGATAATCCACATCGGGAACATAATGCATTCCTGTATACTTCTCAACTGAAAGAATCAAAGCCGAAAATTGCAGTGGGTATAGACGTAGAATGTAGATGCGAGGAGTTATCTGAGCGTTAAAAAAGAAATTATAAAAACATTACTCGAGCAAGCGAGCTCGAAGCGAAAGGAAAACTTTAAACTAATAATCTATAATACATTTTTGTTCATAATGTAGACTTATAGATTAATTTATAAAATTTATAATTTTTTCTCTTGTTTTTATTTTACTTTATTATACTTTTTATTTTTTATATACTCTCTTCAACTTTAATAATTTAATCAAGATAAAAATTATCTTAAAATTTTTTTTTAATAATTTAAAATTTGATATAAACCTATGTAATTATTTAATAAAATATTAATTTTTATTTTATATTTTATTTTATATCTTAAATCATTAAATACTTAAATATTAAATATATTTCAAACTTTAAATAGTTTAAAAAAATAAACTTATTAAAATATTAATAATAAAATAATAATTTATTTATTAAAAAAAACTAAATATTAAATTTCATTTTATATAAATAGAAATTATTTTTGAAAAATATTTATAAAATCTTCCTTTTCAATTTTTATTACTTTCTCTCTCTCTCCCACCCTCTCAAAAATACACACACAAAAAGAAAATAATATATCGGATATCAAAAATCCAATCAAAACCCTTTGTGCGTGAAGACCTGACAAAAGAAATGTCTATGGGTATATGTATACAGTCAATTGACTAGACTAGACTAGACTAGACTAGACTAGACTAGGCTGGGGTGAGTTGGGTTGAAGTTAAGTTAAAGTTAAAGTTAAAAACCAAGTTAAAGTTGAGTGTAGAGATCCATCTAAAGATACTTAATAACAAGAGATGATTACAAAGCAAGCATCGGGGGCCCTTGGGGTTAAACAGAGGATAAATTCGGGGTTGTTAGATGGGCGTGCGAGTATCACGTGTAGATGATACGATACAATAAAATATAATAAGACTTACAATAAAATAAAACATTACAGAATCTATAGATTATAAATCCATCAATAATCCTATGATAAATACCGATCGAAGTAAAGGTTACTCCTCAACGGCCTTTGTACTAAAGCTATCTATTAAAACTATTAAAACTAGCCCTCTAGCTAGCGAAGCATGACACCAATATAGTAGTCGTACCTAGGCATACAGAAGCAATCCCCAAACTACGGCTCTACTTGGTACTGGTACGCACTGTAGAGATTGTAATTTTATATTTTATTATAGGCATAGGTTGTAGAAATATAGGCAGGCTAGCATGAGGCTCTGTGGAAGAGTATAGACAGTGCAGGACCTAAGAAATGGAGTTTGTGATGTTGTGAATGGAAATGATAGGGTTATGTATTAGGCCGTACAGGCTGTACAGGCTGTAATTATAGTGTAAGGATATTGGGGCTTAGGCTTGAGGTTACCTAGTAGGTATATATGGAATACCTATCTTACAAAGCCAATCAGTTATAACATTTCCTACCATTCATTTAGTACACACACCACTTAATCAACTTTAAAGATCAAATCGATATTCTACTCATCATCTGATATCTACCAAATCCATCCATCCACTCATCCATATCATAAAATCATTCCTTAAATATACACCCGAAACTCCTTGCTTCCTTTCCTTTCCATTACTATACATATCCCATCCCATCCCATTCCAATTCCTCGAATCCCATTTCATTTACCCTTCTATAAAACCACAATCGCAAAAACCAACGCAACCCATAATCCCAAAACCTCCTTCCCACAATCCATTCCTACGCTTCTACTTCTCTCCGCTCCACTTCCCTTTGTCGTACTTGCAGTTGCACTTGAACTTATCGTACTACTCGTACTAGAAGTAGCAGTCGCACTATATGGTTGCGATATCGTAGCCGTAGCTACAATATTTGCCTCTTGACTATAATAAACAGGTTTCCGCTCATCAGTTATTCCATTTCCGCCGTCGAAAAATTCTCCACTACCCTCATAAGGCGTCTTTTTTGATTTAGCACTATCCCATTCCGCTCGTGTATAATCATCAACACCTTTTCCACCTGCGCCTATTAATTTGAGATTTGGAACCGGGACTGGCGCCCATTTAGTCGGGTCATTGTTCAAGAATCCAGGATAACTTAAAGAATTGTTGACAATCGACATATTGAGGTTTATATTTGTATAATTTGTTTTTGAGGCGCATAGGGAAAAAACATTAGCACCAACGTCGTAGCGACCAAGATTAGGAAGGCCCCAATTATTCTCTAAGGTAGAGAGAATACTATAATGCGAATAGACCGTTGTATCTACAGTTCCCCTTTTATCCATTGGTACAGCACCACCTAGAAGGACGGAATAAACGCGATTCGATTTAGAATAGGTTTCCGATTCATCGTAGGTCAGGAGAATGAGAGTATTATTCATAAAAGCTTCATTTTGAAGAAGTGGCGTAAGGAATGATCGTGTCCAATTAGCAGCGTAGGCTAAAGAGGTGTTGTGTCCATCATTTAACATATCCGGGGATATATGTGCGTACTGTGGTAAGGAAGATGGATCGGTTTGGACTGTAGTTGAGAAATCTTTCAAGGAGAGAAGATTTTGGAGTCGTGTACCATTTGTATTTATACTATCATAACTCACGAATGGGCTATCAATTGAAGTATTAGTATTCTTCTTTTATGAAATACACTTAAAATGAAATGACGCTCCGCTGGCCTCCGGGGCCACTGCCGTGGAGGCAGACTGTTTGACCAAAAAACAAATTTGGAAATAGACTCACTTATGTTTCCGTACATAATCCCATCCTTTTCCATCCTGCGCCGTACTTCCCTCTCCCATATATCCAGGTCCTGGCATTCCCTCAAAATATCCCTTCCAAGTAATTCCCGCATCCTCGAAAAGATCCACCACTGTTGTCACATTATGCGGTATCCTCACAAATGCATCATGATTAAGACCGAAATAATCACCTCCGACAGATGCTATGTAATTTGGTTGAGAAGGATGTGTGAGTCCGTAGTAATTTTCTAGGAGAATGCCTTGTTTGGTGAGATTTTGTATATCGGGGTTGGATTCTACTTTTGTATCGTCCTGCGGAAGAACGTGTTAGTACTCTGAATAGTATCAAGAAAGGAGGAAGACGAACTTGATTTTCGAGCCAGATGGTGAAAAACCTATCAAAGGCTGCTCCTGGTACATATGCAGCGTCACATGTTGATCGCATAAATGTGGTCGCCGCTGTTAACAGCAGGAAATTCGAACGCATTTTGAGAATTGTGATATGATTGATGTGTTGATACCTTTATTGTCTCAAATGGAGAGAATTGAAATTGAAATTGAAAAAGTACAAAAAACAAAAGTACAAGATGACAGTTAATCAATCTGCCTTTTAGAATTAGCTTTTATTTATCAAACAACCATGTTTCATCGCATTTGTCCAAGCAGTGAGCAGTGAGCAGTGAGCAGTGAGCAGTGAGCAGTGCCTCAATCACGGATGTATTTGATTGATGCAGTTGGCTTATCGATTTCTAAAGGGTGACGGGTGACGGGTGACATTCCAGAAAGGCTGGGTGAGTTTTTATGGTTGCGTCTAGAGGGAATGTGGCTAGAAAGGCTGAATTACAGGATATGAAAACTATTATTAGCATCCAACATAAAATCTTATCTCATCCCCCCTTTAGCTGCAGATCGATTGGCGACCTATAACAACATTGGGTTTTGATAATATACTGTATTATGTGACTTGTAGTTTTAGATGCAGATTCAAGTGTTTGTGTACAGCTACGCCCCTTCCAACTGTGATGGATGTGACACAAAAAGACATCAACTTTTGGCGTGATGAGTGGATTGATCTGATGATTATTTTGTGCCACGAGCATAAATTTCAAAGGCAGGATTCAGTTGTAAGCTACTTCTAAGTGATGTAGGCGTTGATATTAGCCATTGGAATCCTGAGTAGAATAGATATTATTGATGTGAGTATAAAATTCAAGGCATCTGCATCAGTTTGTAATATCTGAAGTATGTCTCTTTATTATATTTAAGAACACCTAGTAGGTATATGAAGTTAACTACAACTTCAATCCCAAATAAACATTTTATAAGTATACAGCTCAAATCTTCATCACCAACCCTTCTTTCTAATAATTGAAACCGAAAGTCTATTAAAATAATAAAAGAGACCTCGAATTTCATATTAATGTTTAATATTGACGATAGATCAAATATCTATACATGACTACACACACCTAGGTATATATATTATCACAAATTTAACAGCACCCATAAACAAATATCAAAAGAAATTCATCAATCACCAAACAAATCATTAAAAGGTTATTCCTATACTCCATGATCCAAGTATAATAATTGAGAACTTTACTAGAAATTACCTAGTACTCTTACCCATATACACATACACTCCTTCAAAAACAGCATACTTCCCATTCCCATTCCCATTCCCATTCTTCATCTATCACTACAACTTACCCATCTATTTATTTTTCACATTCACCCATTCACATCAACCCAGCCCTTTTCCCCTCCCAAGAAAAAAGAAAGAGTCAAACAAAAAATCAAAGAAAATCATTTTAGGTCCATACTATGAAGATTTAAAGAGAAGTAAAGTATGACGGGGGAGTAATTAGATATAAATTTGGATTTGGATTTGGATTTGGATTTCGATTTGAATTGTTGAATATAATGATTGATTTTGATAATTGATGTAAGATTATCTTCTAAGGTGCATGGGTATTTGATCTAGAGTTTGTTGAAGAAGAAGAATTGTTATAATCCTACCACTAGCTTATTAATGTGATATGAACGAAGATATTGATGAACATTTATTATATATCCCCTCCCAAAAAAAGCTAAAAATCGAAAGGTATCTATACATATACAAACAAAAATTCTAAACGCCATCATAATCCCATCATCTAGTCCATACCCTTATATTCTTCCTCTTCCTCTTTCTCTATCTAAACCACCTCTCCAACTCCTCTACTCAACATCTACTCATCTACTCTTCTACCTATACCACTACCCAGTTCTACACCAACTCCTTCCCTTCTCAACCTGCCACTGACATAATCCAACCTCAAGTACCATACCCAAAAACCCCGCTACACAAATTCCCCCACTATCACTAACACTCGTAGCTCCCAAACTGAATTCTCTATCCGCCTCATCTACCTTCTCCATAATCTCCGCAAAAGTATTTACATAAACCGCCCCTCCTAAGAGTCCCTCCCAAAATATAATTATAAAGATAATATATACGCTAGGTATCCAAAACCATAATGCTTGAGAGATTAAGAGGAATAAATTTGCGATTTGAAGGAAGGAAGGAAGATAAAGATTGTGAATTCGGTAGAAAGGGGTAGAGGAGCGAGAAATGAAAACGCCAAGTTGATAAATGAAGCCGTAGGTCGGGTAAAAGGAACGATAGGTGGAAAATGGGTTTCCTGGGGAAGGGGTAAGGTAGAGGAGGGTAGGAGAGACACCTTGATTGATGGTATATTCGGCTATGTAAACGAGAAGAAGAGGGAGCATATAGGGAAAGAAAAGAGAAGAAGCACGATGGAAGTTATAAAGAAATGTAGATTTGGATGAATCATGAGAGAGTGTTGGGGAAGAGGGACGAGGAGAGTGTGAAGAGTAAGCTTCTGATGTGATAGCTGGACCAGGAGCAAGTAAAGAGACTGCTGCGGAATCAGCTGGTAGATCTTCAATATCAGAAGCTGTGAGGGGTCCGTTAAGCGAATCTTCTCCAGGTAGGGAATTATAATCTTTTCGAATAGATGCTCTTTTCAATGGACCTCGAGGTAAGATAACGAAGAAAGAAAGGAGCATTATGCAAGGCAAGAATGCAGAAGCCAAAAGACTTGTCTTGACTGATAATCCAATAATGGTAGTCAAAAGAACGTATAATCCGGCTCCCGCTAAACCTGCCCCTCCTGTTCCACTTCCCCATGCTGCAAGACTGAAATGTCCATAGTAATGTGTGAGACCTAAGAAACTCAATTCTCCACCACCACTACTCAGACTAGCAAGTATGACACCAAATAATTTTGTTGATACGGATTTGTCGGTGGGTGTTAATGCTATTAGGAGCATACCTCCAGATGATAAACCGCAGAATATAAGGATTCGAATCCAGTAGGGAATTTTATGGATGAAATATGGAGCGATGAGTTTAGTTACGAAAGAAGGCATAACATCTGCGAGGAGAACGACGGATTTTGGAATACTTGGACCTGAAGGAAGAAATATTAGTGATTGGTATTATCATTGCGACTGCAGATGGTACTGGGTACAGAATGGGTTGCGCATCGAAAGGAAAAGGGGAAGAAACTTACCGACCAAATCCAGGGCGGCAGACAAGATAATAACGTAAAGCACATTATTGATAAGACCTATAAAAGAGTTAACCCTATGAAAATTGTGCGACGCTCCCCACGACGATGATCTGTCGTGGCCAGTTCCCAAGAGGAATGACGGTAGCATACCAAATAACCAAAAAGCCATCAAAACCGAAGTATCTGCGCCATGAAAAATAGCCTTAAATCTTGCACGGTACATGGCCCATGAAGACCCTGGAGATCCTGGAAGTGGAAATGCAATGCCGGTAGACGATGCTGATCTATTCATTGCCGTGATGGGTATTGAGGAGCAATCATATCATCTATAGCTGAGATTTTACTATGAAATTGCTGCGATGTGGTATGTGTGCACACGTTGGTCAAGTGAATTTTATGAAGTATGATGCTGATTAAGGTCTCACACGGAAATGTCTTGGTTGTGATGTGATGTGATGTGATGTGATGATAAGGGATAGTATTGAGTAGCGATAACGTACGTACGTAGTAAGTAGTAAGTTCTTACTAGGGAGGCACTTCTAGTATCTGATCACACCCTTGATGAATTCAATTTACAAGGGTCCCCGTGGCAGGTACCGGATCGGGATATAATCGGGATTGTGTGAAATCGAAAAGTCGATTCCATTCACCCACTTCCCTACAGCTAAAATCAAGGGATCAAGGAGGTAAAATCAATCAAGGAACCCCACGGAATTAAAGCCCCCAATTTCCGAGGCCGAGGTTGAATCATAATTCTGGGTGATATCACCATCATAACAATTCACCTCGTAGAGAATTTGGTAGCATACGTCAAATTTCCTTTCTCAACAGTTCGAAACTATTAGGAACCCAGGTCGGGAGACATTCACTTGAATTAGACGAGTCATTCATTTTTAGAAGATTCATGACTTTTCAACTCCTGGATTAGGCGATTGGATTCACTCCTCGAATAGCAAAAGGATTTAATGTCTCAGTCTTGTGCTTGTTACTTGCCAGAGTTTTGGTGGTGGATGTCATGTTCATCATGTTCATGCAGCATTGTTTGCTTGATGTGTTTCAAAGTTTATGTAGGAATTTATGTAGGGGTTTGGTGAGGGGTTTATGTATGGGTCACTGAGGAGTAGCATTTAGCCATGTCGCGCTTAGAGGACATTTCGGCGGCTGGAGAGCGGGTACTTGTTGTCAAGGGACTTACTTGCATGGTAGGCACAAAGTAGTAGGTGGTGTTTTTGCAGGACGTTGCATCTTGCGTTGGTGGTTTTTATCCAATACCTAGGTAGCTGGTGATAGCTGGTGATAGCTTGGTGTCTTTTCGAGGGCTGATATCAAGTATTGAGTGGCTGGCCTGTAGTTTGATTTGATAAAGTTCAGGTGCGGTACCAGTTGCTTGTAGTCTCACATTATAAGATCCTTAGATTTGATAAGTTTCCGGTGCGGTTCCCAGTGCGGTTCCCAGTGCTTGTAGCCTCACATTATAGATCTGCAAGGTAGGTAGCTGCAAATCGAGTACAAGATCAAAGTAAAGTAAGGCCAACCCCAATCTCAAGTCGGCATGATTCAAAGTTGTTTTCTATATGAAGTGTGTGTGATGTGGATGTAAGCTGTATGCCAGTGAGTGTATGGTAAGCCGGTGGGTAGCGTATGCCAATGAGTGTATGGTGCGTAGCGTATGCCAACATCGCGGGTATGTGCGCTAAGGGACATAAATTATAATAGAACGGATAAATGTAATGTACCGCAACGCCATCGAAGAGATCGTCTCTCTGTCAGATAAGTGGCCAGCTTGGAGAAAGCTAATTGGTTCAAGTTGAATGAATCCTTGCCACTTTTACCCCATTTTACAAAGATTTAAGCTCATGACTAGATTTCATTGGGTTTAGTCCGAGTCACAGTTTAGTCAACCTGCTTACGTAGCTGCAGGTATCAAAGTTATCAAATGAAAAGAGATCAAATTCAATTCTATCACCTTCAACCAAAGCTTTTCTGAGCTTCTTTTTGTCGTCACTAGTCTCGATTGGGTGCAACTGTATGAATTGGTCTAGCTTTATTTATTAGTTGATCCCTGCGTTTAGTTACTTGCCTAGGTAGGTACTACTAGATAATTACCGGGATAGGTAGCACATTCACCCATGCCCTACCCTTGTTCATTCGACCTTTCCTACCCTCCCTTCTTCTCCCCCCCATTTAAAAGTGGAGAATCCGAAAGTGGACCCTCAATTTATCACTTTCCTGTTTCCTGCCTTGGGGCTGCAGATTTGCTTTTCTCCATATTCACTAACTGAGTAAACACGCTAATCAAAACCAAAAAAAGTAAGCTAATGATTCACACTAAAATCAAATCCATTTACTTTCATCATCAAAGCTTCATGGAAAAGAATCTTGTACACCGAGAACTTTCAATCTCAATCAACACATAGTCAAGAGTGAAGAGTCAAGATACAAGAGGAACTTCAATCATCATCCCTCACTCACAGAGAGAAGTCGAAATCAATATCAAAAGCTTGTATTCACACGGCTGGTTGAATATAATGTTTACATTTAATTAACGCCATCGCATCGATCAATATCATATTCTATTTTGATCCCTCCATATTGCTACCTACCTACCTACATATTGCATTCCATTCATTCACTCATCCCCCCATTCATTCATTCCGGATCCCCCCCCAAAGTCTTTCCTTGAACAGCCATCTAATCACCGAAAAGTCCCTGCGCCATAAATCTCCTACTACCTACACCGTGCCGTGCCGTGGCACAAGATCGAACTTTCAACTGGCAGATATCAACAATAGAACTCTGCAGATTCACCACAAAAACTTCATTCAGTGTTAGTGGATATTGATATAATTCTTCGATACCCTCGTCATTTTTTCCAAGGCTCAAAGATCGTACGTGGTATATTCACTAGCTTGAACCCTTGGGGAAGAGATTACGGATAGAACTCCGGCACTAACCTTATAAACTTGATTATTTAGTTCGGGCCTAAATCTCTTGCTAGCTGTTGAGATCTTCACACCTCGAGTCTATCCCAACTTCCATATTAAATAGACAAATCTCGGTATGGAGGGTGGAAGACCCCCGCCACAGTTACCGTTCTCGCGGAATACCAACACGGCTTCGCCATATGGCCGTTCTACGTTTCCACCTGCGCCGAATGGTCAAACATCACAATATCCTACGTCGTCGCATCCACCAAATGCCCCTCCTCCATACGCGGATCATCAACGAAGGACTTCTGATGGTCAATATTTTCAAGCGCGTTATCAAGATGGACCACCGCAAATACATGGAGGAGGTCATTCAAGGCATCCAAGCTCTTCTTCGATCGGACATGGTACTCCAGTAGGACGAGGTATGCCACCTCCATCCTCCCCCCAGCAACAACAGCAACAACAGCAACACCAAGGGCCCATTCAACATGCGTATGGACCACCACATCCCCGAGCGCCTCCAGTATCTGTTGGTCCGCCAGCTGGCTTTCCAAGTGGTCGAGAACTACCACCACCACCTTTGAATAGACCACCGAGCACTGCTGGAAGTAACATGTCCATTTCATCATTGCTTGGAGGTCCAACACCGGCTACGCGAGATCCAATGCCTGGCCAGTACACTTCCCCGATCAACACATCGGCGCCGCCTCCTATGTATGGTAGCGCGACGCATGCTTCACCACGCGTTAATTCCGCTGCAAATGAATATACCGCTTTTGGACGTCCTCGGACACCTGAATCACGCTATGAACATCGAGATCATCGCGCAAACTCTGCAGGATCGCCACCAGGACAATATGGGACACCCGACCATCGACATGGTACCCCTCAGCAGTATGGTCCAAGACCTGCCCAAAATCCCTTGGCACAGCACCCAGAGGATAGGCGAGATTCACAACAAGGTATAAGAATGAATAATATGAGCATGCCCCCGCGACCAAGCAGTCAACCCATGACATACAACTCTTCCATTTCTCGTTCCGGAGACCGCCCAACATTGCATGGTGAACCGCAATTCGGTGGTAGAAGAGTGGATCATGACCCTCGAGGATTGGAGACCTTGACTAGAGGAGAAGCTATCCATCAGAGACCTCCGGGGGGTTTCAACAATAGGCATGATCCAGCTTTCGAGCACATTGAGAGAGAGCGGGATAGGGAGAGGGAGAGAGAGAGAGAGAGAGGGACAGGGATAGGGAAGCGGCGGCGGCGATGATGTTGAGTCAAAGGGAGAGGTCGGTTGCAGAGCGTGAACAAGCTTTGGCCATGCACGAACGACCCGGGATGCATGGAGAGTATCCGCACCAAATCCCTCAACGAGCTCATACTCAGATCTATGGTCGGCAACCTGATCCTCGTGAACACGCAGCTTGGGTTCGCGCTGGACATGATCAGAGAATGGGATATGAACAACCGCCATATGAACGTCCACCGCCATCGTATCCACAGCATGGTAATGGTTATGATTACCCACGAAGCGCGGCCCCACAATACCCGAACCACCCCGCTTATGAACCAGTGCCCCATCATGAACAACGTGACCCTCGGTACCCCCCTGTTTCTCATCATCAGCCACATCCACAGTCACAAACGGTAACAGGTCCAGGTCCTCATTTCGAGCAATCATATGAAGAAAGAATGACTCGTGGTCCACACCAACAGCAGCAGCAACAGCAACATGTGGCAAGACAACAGGTGGCTGAAGGTCAAGCACGCGTGATGCAGCCTCAACCATTGGCATATGGTGGATCAATGCCGCCAAATACTCAATACCAACAGCATGATTCTCCCCAAAGGAGACCAGTTGAAGAAGGACCTCAAATGATGCAACAGCAACAAAGTCAGAGGAGCCTTTTGAGCGTTCAAGACAATCGTAGAGGAGGCCGCATTTCACCCATTCCTCAAGCTGTACAAGGTGCACAAGTTCAGCACCCAGGTCCTGCTGGCGAACCTGGTATTAAGAGCGAGTTTGGTAAGATATTTCACGGTATTGGAAGTGGAGTTGGTGCAACTATGAGCATGCCCAGTCCTGTTGCAGGATCTAGTGCCGGAGGACTGCCCTTCTCCGGACCACGTCGTGATGACCTCGATTCACCATCTGCTCATAACTCCCCCATTGAAAACAATGGTTCCATGATTACCCGTCCATTTGGAAGACGCCGGAAGCTCAAAGAAGAAGAAAGAGGTGATGATGAAAGCAGCACAGGCCGACAGACACCTAACGGCAGAGCAAAGCGTACAAAACATGCCGCACATAGACATCAGTATGTCCCTCTCTTCCCTACCCTGGTTACTTAGCCTAACATATTTTAGTCACCATCATCGACCTGATGCTTCGGAGCGAATCCCGTCACCTTCGTCACAAATGTTGACACCATTCAAGAGCATCAAGGGCACTAGCGATAATGTATCTCCACCCACTGGCGAGAGATCAGTCGTTCCACATCATCATATCCAACGACATCATCATCATCACCACACAGCAGGACCAAAAATTGCCTCACCTATGAATACCGTTATTCGCATGCCTAGATACGAAGTTAAGTCGCAAGCAATCATTGATGCAGCTTCGATTCATCCCCGTTGCCATCTTGGATACGAGTATTACCAACCTAATCTCAAACTGTTCCGATCAAGCTCTTCTGATCGACTCCCCTATAATCGTGCCTTTGCCAGTACCAACAGAGCTTTCCCAAACTTTGAAGGCAAAGTCAATTGCACATATACCATCAAAATTTCTCGAGCTCATCTCAGACCAGAAAGTAGAGAAGAAATTACTTATCGGAAAAATCTATGGGGTACTGACGTCTATTCGGATGATTCAGATATCATTGCTGCTTGCATTCATCAAGGCTGGATTTGTGGAAAGTGGGCCAAAGATGTCGATGTTAAGCTTTTGAATCTTTATCCATCAGATGAAGGTGTTTCCGTCGAACCGGAACTTGATATCCCGTATGACGGACCGGATGAGACTTTTGATCGCCCCCCTGCTAAAGGTCCTATGCCAATTCGTATGGATCATGATCTCCATGTCACAGTACTTGTTCTGGATTGTCTTGACAAGTATTCTAGCAAAGTCCGATTTGGTATCAAGAGTCGTGAATGGGGAGGCAAAAACACAACTGCACATGATGGTTTGAGTTATTTGATCATGAACATAAAGTGGGTTGATGGTGTGGATGGAATGGAAAGTGGAAACTTTGCCAAAAAACGGTTTTTGAACATGCAACATCAGGAGAAATCCACGGATAGACAAGAACAAGAAGCTGACCGAGAACGCGAATTGTGGTTGGAGACGAAGATGAACGGGAACGGAAAACGAGCCATAGACCATGGAAATGAAGAGGACGTAGTTATGGAAGAGAGTCACATGAGAGGTGATTTGGGAGGACGACATGTTTTAAATGATGGAGAAATTCGAGGTGTTGGCACGGGAAGTTGGTGGAAGGGAAATTCGCGAGATTCATCAAAGGACGTTAAGAATGGCAAAGGTCCAACTGCTCAGAAGGGTCAAGAAATGACAGGGAATGGAGCCCTACCAAGCAAGACGCATCAGTTTGGAGCCCATACCGTAAGTGTTTATTTATTTGATCACTGAGAGTCTTATTAAACCTTTTGCTGACACGTTGATAATAGCAGGATCTTACTGGAGCAAACATCTCAGGATATATTGCGCAATCTACGAAGAATTCCGAATCCATCTCCGAAGTTTCGAAGAAGAAACCGCAAGAATCTGAAGAGAATAGAGAAAATCCTAATCCAACTTTGGAGAGGAGCCATATCAATGTCCCAGCTATGAGCTCAAATACCTCATCAAACAGAGAAAGCGGTATTCCAGAAGAAGTACCAGTGCAAGAATCCATGGTACTCGATACAGCAGCTCCGGCTCCTCAAAAATCAATGCCTACAGGCACAGTAGAAGCAGGAATCCTTGCCGTACAATCGGCCGAAACTTCATCAGGCCGCAAGGACGAAGTTATCAAGGAAGTGGAGCCCACTAGAGACCCAAATCATATCACTTCCGAATCAAAGACACAAACGCAAACACAAATTCCAGCTACCCAGAAGCAGGATGACAAGGTTGAAAAATCGGTGGGAATAAAGGACCAGGAAAGTATTTCACAAATTGTCCCAGTTGTAGAAGTCCCTACAGCTGCACCTGAGACACAAGCTCAGGCCCAGGCTCCCCACATAGGTGGGGGATCTTCTCCACTTATTGTGGAAGAAGCAGCAGTGGATGCAGATTCCTCTGCATCTGCTCCTGCAAATAACTGATGCTGTTTTGAGACGCTATGCCATCGGCATTGACATACCAAAGTGTCCTTTGTTTGTTGTATGAATATTCTCCATGCTCGCGAGCAAAAGCGCATAGCATTGTTGAACCTCGTCATAGGTGGGGTTGTCGGTTTATCAAATATCCAAGCGACCTTTACTCAAGCAGGCAACGAACATGAGTTAGTGCAAGAGAGTTCTCCATTCAGGGTCGATATTGCGAACTAAGGACGGAGTCCCTGAATCAAGAAGGCCAAGATGTTTTAGGGAGAGTCGAGGTTGATGCATCAAGACTTCGTAGTTAGCATCAACTTCATTCTAGGTTGAGAAAGATCCAGGTTTTCGGATATGATACGATATGGAACAAGCGCCCATCCCTCTTCTTTTTATCCAGTGAAAAATTCCTGGAAATTTTACAATTTTGATCTCCACTCTCTGCATAACAATAAGAGTACAATGAACGAGGTCTATCTGGATATTCCTGATATGTAGGAGCAGAGCAACAGCTAAACACAAGCAACAAAACCGACTAATGTTGGAGGGCTAAGAGCGAACGAGGCTTCTGCATACTCAACGCGCATAAGACTCCATCGAAATCGATTGAGACAAAATTTCTTTGGGACAATCAAGAACCAAGAATCATCGGATTCATCCGCTCGATTGGTTGCATGATAGATAAAACCTAGCTCTTCGGAGTCTGGTCTTCTTCAGCTTCACCAATATCCTTCGAATAAATCAGATTGACCGATACTATGTTCAACAAGACAGAGCTTAGAACCATTCAGCCGGAGTGGCTCTTCAAATTCTTGAAAATTCCTAGAAAATTCTCAAATAATACCGCAGAGTCGGCTTTGTTGCCATGTGCGACGAATATCCCTAGCGAACTCAATGCTCCTTTACTTTTCTTTTCAAAATTTCCTTTATTGAATGTTTTCTTAAGATACCACCCATTGTTGTTTTTCCAGGTGAGCAAGGTGTCTGGCGTTTAGCATTCTGATCATCAAATTTGCCAAGGCGATTTGATGATTTGGGAATGCTTACCTGCTTGCTTGCCTGCTTGACAAGCACTTTGCATTCCGGGATTGGGGAATGAGAGGTCGATATGATACACTATGAAATCAAAGGATAGTCGAGCCTGCTTTGGAGCACAGTGGATGATACTTTGGTACATTGGTACAGCAGTCAGAGGGTGTACTTGGGGATAGCATGGAAGTACAGAAACGTAGGAAAATCGTTGCTTTGGCTAAATTTCACGGATCAATTGAGCAAAATTAGCTTACCGGATGCGACCACATGCGTTGAAATGGCTAAAATAAAAATTGAAAAAACATATTAAAATGTAAAAATGAGATACATGTTGAGTATAATGAATGTGAGTGTTTAAGTTAATGAGCTTCTAATGATGAATTGTCAGGTAAAATTACCCTTGTAGTATAAAGAAAATTCCGACATGTGGAATGCGCTCAAGACAAGAAAGACAAGATCTTACCACTAGACATCAAATCAAAATCCTAGCTCCTAGCTCCTAGCTCCTATACCATCTATACCTTGATAATCAGGATTTATCTTAGTAGACTTTAAAATAAGCTTTTAAAATGGATTTTTATTTAAAATAGAAATATCTTAAAATATATCTCTATACCCGGTAAGCTCGAGTTAATACTTTATTTTTATATTTTTTGACTTTTTACAAGAAATGAAATTATTATCTTACTTTATTCCCGGTGAGCTCCAGTGAGTACTTCTTGAGCTGGTGGTTTATAATTAATGTTTAATGTTTAATGTTTAATGTTTGATTAATTTAATACTCTTCAACTATTAATGATCTTTTATTTTTATATAATTCATAGTAAAAAACGAAGGAACGAATGAATATCTCAATTTCAATTTTCAATTTCATTAAACAATACAAACTTGTACTCTTTATCCCCAGCCAAAAGAAGAGAAATACATCAGTATCATCTCTTTATCCCTTCCACTCTCCGATTCCATCTGCCATCTCCTCTAGGGAGTTGTTCTCCTCCATTCTTGTTTCAATTTATTCCGTACAGATAGAGAGAGCCTTCCCCAAAATACCATATCTTTTCTTTCTTCAGAACTAACCTTCTAGCATTCTTTGACACTTACCTTTACTCTAATCCTACACCTAGCATCACAAAAATTTATCTGATCACAGCCCCCTCCTTATCGATCCCTTCTAATCCTTCTAGAATATCACTTCCACCAAGTAAACCCTCCCCCCCACTGGTAGCTTTCATACTACTTGTCCAAACCTCATGAAACTTGACACTTTCATCACTACTGGCCACCACTAAACATCCCTCTTGAGCCGTTCTACTCATAGCCCTTCCACCTTCTCTACTACTATGACTTTCATTTGGTCCACCTGGGTATGGTATTGCGAATAATGCTCTATGTTCACCTTCCCATGGAATAGCAGCCACTTGTTTACAATCCGGCCAACTAAAAACCGCAATTCGATAAGGATGTTCTGGTTGCGCGTAGCCAAATGTGGCCGCAATTTCGCGGCGAGTAGTGGACCAGATAAGTGAGGTCACTTGAGCTGCTACGCTGATGGTGGCGAGACAGGCTCCAGATGAAGTATGAAAGAAATGAATGCATTTATCGTTACTGCCTCCGCCAGTCGCGATGAGACCATCTCTCCAGGGACAAAACGCAATTGCTTTGACAGCAGCTCCATGAATCCAACGATGCTTTTCAGCGCCAGAGGTGATTTCTTTGACGCGATTCTGACCGGTTACGCTGTGGATGCGACGCATTCCTGCTGTGGCGAGGAACACTTCTTCTGTGGTGCCAAGCTGATCACGAGAAGGACGAGTGACTTCGTTCGTACGGAATAGACAACAAAGATTATCGTTCCCTCCAGTTGCGAATGAAGAACCATCGGTGGAAAAAGAAAGACCACATATTTGTTGAGTATGGATGGATATTCGGGCAATAAGTGTCATAGAGCCAGACCAGCCATCACGTGTTACTTCCCATGCATCAGGCCATTCAACGGCATAGTAATATACATTGCCTTGTTCATCTCCAACAATCAAATCTTCTGTCTTCACCATAATACTCGATGCGAGTGGATTCCGGGAAGGTCGCATTGTAATAGAAGGTCTCCAAGTGACGCAAGCTATTGGGCATGGCTGCTGAACCTCGAATCTGGGCAATAGACTATCATAAAGTGATAAAAGACTCAAAGATCCATCTGACCTGCCAAATGCAAGTACGGATTTAGCTCCTTGCGTAGACGAGAATGCCAGAGATGTCAGCCAAGAAGCATTTGAAGTTCCGCCATGAAGTAAGTGAACCCCAGCCATTTCGGACCATGCATAAAGCAATGAACCCAAACCAACAGCGAGTGTATGACTCGTTGCGGAGTATGCAAGAACCGAGCAATAAAAGTCGTCTCGTAAATTTGGTGCATCAAGAACTGTGCCGAATGTCAGTAAAAACAATATAACAACAACGGAGAAACATATTTGAAGGGAGCAACAGGAAGCGTCCGAGGTTCCTGTGGTAGTTGTTGCTCTGTATATCAATTAGGTTAAGTCTGTAAATACAGATAGTATGAAACAAAGTTACTAACTTTGTTCTGGTCCACCCAGAACCCATTCTGTTCCATTCCATGCCGTCTTCATTTCAAAATTATGCTTTTTGGACCTGGAATCGAGGGGAGTTGCGGGCGGTGTCGTCAAAGAATCTCGAAATTCAAAAACACGTTGGATGCGATCAATGTCCAATGCTTGTGCCAACCTATCTTCATGCTTTTCGAAATCCTCCTGTGCTTTTGGGCGCGAGGCGGAGAAGGATGTAGTATACAACGGCGCGTTTGTTCCGCTACCTAACAAACCACCACGACCGTCCGATATACCAGCGCTCGCGGGCGCCACTCCTCCGACAGCCCATACAGTTCCTACACTGACCTGTGGTAATCAGTACAAGAGGAAAATGGTAATAATATCGAACGTCGCATCCCTCCTCACTATTGACTTATGGGCTGAGAGGAATAAATAGAAATCTGAATCCAAATCTGAACGTACCTGCCTCTCCCCATTGGGAGTTGTCGGGGCATTTCTCTGAAAGGTAAGGGCAGTAGCACCTGTAGAAGGATTAGAATAGGGATTGGTTGGTGTCGTTAGATATTTTATACCTCTACCACGATTTGCGGAAACAATTCGTCTTGAATCGGGTCGAGAGGCTAGCGGGATAGGTGATGTTGCGCGTCGACGTGGATTGAAAGCATCTAGGCTTGCACCGCTATGTCTCATTAATCTTTCATATGGTGAGAGAGTGCCAGGATCTTTATTAGCACGAAAGCTCTGTGCTGCGGAGTCGGACTTTTTTAAAACTGGTAGAAACCGATCGGGAGAATGCAAAGAGCTGAGAGACTTTCTAGTCTGGGTCGGGTCGACTGACGTTCGAGCCCTAAGCGTATTTAAGAGAGCTGGCCTAGTCTTGATATTGGATCGAGGTAATGTCGAGGAGGACAAAGTTATCGGAGTCTTGGGACTATCTGATGCTCCATCGAACCTAAGGCTATTCGGCGTAACTTTTGATAGCTTGTGATCCGTAGCAACTCCATTAATTACATTTTTGATTCGTATGGAAAGGCTCGGCTTCCATTCCTTTCCATTTTCATCTCGAAACCGTCCCAATAAAGGATCATAGGTTGTATCGGTATCTGCAGAAATTTGAGAAAATGCCAAGGCGATACATCAATGAGGAGATATGGCGCTTACCACTGAATATGCTTGACCTTCGTCCGGGAGATGAACTGTCATAACCTGAGTCGTCCAGAGTGCATGAAATCCTTGAAGGGCTATTTATCCAGCCTTCTTTGAAAGAAGAAGACATAGCAACGGGGAACAGAACGAGAATCGAGGAGGCCGACGATAAGATGCAAAGGAACAGCGGCTTATCGTCACTCTCTCGTGAAAAGAACGACAAAAATTAGAAATGTTAAACCTCACGCTGTTTTCCTGAAAGAAGAGGGAGGAATAAGCAACAGATCCGTAAGTCCACGGGAGATTCCCTTGAAGATATCCTGCGGCTTCTTCTTGTTAATGGCCAAAGAATGTCAGCCGGATAAGGGCACCGGCGAGGCCTATAGTAAGGCGATAGAGCAAATAAAACTATCACAGGGAACAATCATGCATTGTCGATGGCACACTGCTGTAACTGAAGTTAGTAATATTATAAGAATGGTGATAAATTCCTTCTGGTCCCGTTGGTGGACATATGAATAGAGGAGAAGTAGGAGAATAGAAATAAGAGACGGGATGAGATCAGACGAGAGATATACGGATACGGAGTATTGATTGATCCATTTGTTCTCGGAAGCAAGTACCAACAAGCACCGGAACATATGTAAAGTTACTGAGCCGACAATTGGTCGGTCGGAGTTTTACATGATCAAGTTCCGACCCCGCTTGCCGAATTTATCAGTCGCAGCCCGCACCTTCTCATCTCGCAAGGCTGCCCAGCCAGCCAGCCAGCTCCAACCCGTTATCCATTTATCCAGAGAGTTCGTCAATCCAAACGACAAAGGAGAAGTTCTCAAGATGGCAAGCGTATGTCTCTCAAGACTTCGTACTAATTTAGGACTGATCAGAAGTATAGCATGGTATGCCACGGGTTGCAGCGACTCAACAAAAATCAATAGCAGTCCAGGAAAAGGAACGCAAGGACATTGAAGAATACAAGGCTTTGGTACAGCTGATTGAGCTCAAGGTAGGTCAATATCCAGTTGTTCAGGGCCCTTTTAATTTTTGTGAAAGATCGCACAGAAGCAATATACGCTCGAGGTACTCGAACTCACTTCCAAACTGCTATCAAAGAATCCTGAATATTATACGATATGGAACATCCGCAGGCGTTTGCTAATCTATGGATTATTCTCGAAATCATCGGAATCGTCATTGGAATCGCAGTCCCTATCTCCTTCTTCTGGGCCTTCCGAGAGCTTGACATCTGGCGTAATCTCATCATCCTCTACCTCCACATCTTCAGAGGTCTTGACCACGACCCAGGGCGACCCGCACCACCCGACTCCTGGGAAGAACTCTAGAATTCTTGGTTTGATACAAGCAGATTTGGAGTTTATATTTCCCTTGATGTTGGGCTGGCCGAAATGTTATTGGATATGGAATTATCGATTGTGGTTACTGAAGCAAGCAAACGACCGTCTGACTGCCGATATTGCGAGAGGACTGTGGCAGCGTGAGCTTGTCCTAGTGGGAAAGATGTTGACAAGAGATAGTCGAAATTTCCATGGTTGGGGATATCGACGCACCGTGGTTTCTCAATTAGAAGATCCCAACTTAAATGGTTCAAGCATGGTCGAATCGGAATTCGCATACACTACAAGAATGATCAATGCCGAGTTGAAAAACTTCTCGGCTTGGCACAACCGGAGTAAACTAATACCAACGCTGCTTAATGAAAGGCAAGCCACCGCGACTGAAAGGCGGCAATTCTTAGATGACGGTAATTATAGCATTGAATTATCACGTTTCCAAGTTATGCTGACATTTATCCAGAATTTGATCTTATTACTAAAGCTATGTGGAATGATGCATATCCATATGATCAGTCCGTATGGTTCTATCATCAATTTCTTATGTCAAATCTCACGGAATCTGTTCGTCAGGCAAGCATAGCCCCAGACTTCTGTCGAGAAGATCGTATTGAATATATCAAGGGACAACTTGTCAATTTACAAGATTTCCTTGATGGGGGTGAAGACTGTAAGTGGGTTTATGATGCTTTATTTGAGTACACATTAGCTGTATGTGAAATGGAGGAGCGTTTGCCTGAACGTGATGAAATACAACATTGCAAGGCTTGGCTTTCAGAATTGAGGAAGCTTGACCCTATGAGGGCTGGTAGGTGGGATGGTCTCGAGGTTTCTTTGCAGAAGGCGAATGAATAATGCACATTGGTACACCCAATTATTTACAAAGAATGGATGATGGGAGCTAAGAAGGCACTCTTACGTCCAATTTTATGATGTATGAGGAGCCAATCATGGATTTTCATTCACATGTTGAAATTCCCGTTGCATAAATTTTAGAAGAAATATCGGAACGAAACTACAATCCACACAGGACTTGAAGCGTGCTCTTTCCGCAATTCTCCTGGATAGCCTTCCTGCAAAAAACTCACATTCTGGCCTCTTTATGTAGCCTTCTGAGAAAACCTCATTCAACTGCACAAGGCATCCGCTAGACTAAGCCGTCGAAGGGAAAATTACAGTCGTTCTCCTTTTCCGCAAGACCAGCATCCATACATCGCAATTCTAAACCAAACACACTGGAATTCCCTCATTCTTAATCTGTTGACGATAGGAACCGTTCCTACGTCTCGCAAGAAAGTCTAGTACCCAATTGAGAATTAACCAAACACTAACACTCGACGGAAAAATACAGAGCACTAACTCCACAGGATTGAAGCCGAGCAAATATCCTATTCCTTGTGCTAGCAGAAGTAGTGAAGAGCAGAGAGTCTCTGGTCCATACGATATCCATGAGAAAGTTGAGTGGGTGAAGACGCCGATTGCGAGTATGAAGCTGGAAAATGTGATGACGTCATGAGATGGTTCGAAATGAAGGTCTAGGGCTTCGAGGATGGGAGTGGTTATCTGGGATTGTTAGGCTGGTGAATCTGTGGGTCTTGCAAAACTTACTGTGGACATGGGGAAGCTGGGTGTTTGGAGGTTCCTGCTGTAATTTAGGCAGATGAATGTTGTGCTCATGAGAAGTGAAGAGCTGGTGTTGAGGAGTGCGAGAAGCAAGAGGAAGAAGGATGAGAACAATTTTTGGCGGCAGCCGGTGGTTAGAATCGAGACACGGAGATCTTCTGCTCTGTGATCTATCTCATGGCCTGTCAAGCTATATTCAATCGGTGTCTTCTCTGTGAACGGAGAAAGATTCTCTAATCGAAAATGACATGGATAAACATCATCATGTAAGCCTAGTGATTTCCCATCGTCCACCTTAACTACAGATAGTGGACTTTCTATAGGAAATGCACTTATTTGGCTCCTAATTCAAGGTCAACAATATTACTCGGTATTAATCATGATCGAATCATACGGGATATTGCTCGTTGCGATTCCACTCATGAGGCTTATAACTGTGTTCTGTTCCTGTATTGCTACCGACATATTGAGGTTAAAAGTTCGTACTGATGCTTAATGTCTTTCGTGTTATCTGGTGGTTTATATTATAATCGAGGGAACAAGCGGAAGTACTTTTTCACTGCAAATAGGGGAGAAACTCCTTATGTATTCACTGCATCGTATTTGCAAATTCCTGTACCAAATCCTGCATCATCGGAACGCCGCATCATCCCCGATGCATGTAGTGACACAGATGGCGAGAACAACCGAGGCTGCGAGAATCTCTCTATTTCATTCTCGCCACGGCAAGTGGTACAAGGAGCAGCAATCATGCATGGGATAAGCCTCATCCTGTACTATCATAGATGGGCGGACTCAGCAACAAGGCTTTTTTGCTCAACAAATGGTGCAATGATTTCTTAAAGAATCAATTTGTACCCCGGAACTCGTCGCTTCAGATCTCTAGAATATAGTTGAGACTTGGCGACATATTTTGAAACTCTTCTTCGTTTATTTGAATTCATGAATCGTTTCGCACATATATTAGTCGACCCTTTATATATCCTGAGTCTTGCACTTTCTAATTTCATATTTGCCGTGTACCAAACTTCGATTGCTGAGTCTATAAGCACAGATATTTAGACGTATATTTTTACGGTACTGGTACTGGTACTGGTACTTCTTTCCCACTTATGCATGTACTATGAGCTCGATATTGCTCCTCCTCTTGTTCCCTTTGTTCAACGTCTCCGCGAATCACCATTTCCGTTGTCACTCATGGCCGAAATCAAACGAGCATCTCCTTCAAAGGGTGTCATCTCTTTATCTGCGTGTGCTCCAGCTCAAGCTAGAACATATGCTCTAGCTGGTATTCCTATTTGGAAAAGCTCCAAAAGTGGTTAACAGCGCCCGAAGTAACCATTTCACAATTTACAAGACCCCATGGAAACCATCCAGAAGACCAAAACCCTGATTCCGAGACTATCCAAGATAAGTCGGGTCAGGATCGTTCTTATTCTCCGGGAAGACTAAGAGTTCTATTTGCGATCCTCATCGTAGAATGCATCCTCACGCCGGTCAACATTTTGTCGGGGATGATGGCATTGGAAGGAGAAGTATGGAGCCTCGTGTTCGTCTGGTTAGCTGTCCCATCTTAGGGAATCTACAATGTTCCTGAAGTCAAATCATCACAGTGCATTCCTCCTCTGGCTCATTCTACTAACTATTGGCCTTTTTCTCTATACTAGCATGCATTCATTGCAAATGTTAAATGTTACCAAGTAAGGATATCTTCATCATAGACGTATGCCCCAGTTAACTGACCTTAGAACCGCACTTTGGCATCTCGGATGCTGTATTCTCATGTTCTACCTCTTCTCCTCGTTTGTTCAGATATCCTCAAGTCTTCTTCCTCAGTGGTCCCGACAATCCTAGACTGTGGCATCGGCCTTAGCATCGGGATGCAGAGTTTACCGAGAGATTATTTGTATGGCTTGAGGGATTGGGCAATAGAGGTAGTCGGTAGCCTATACGGTGGTGTTCTATCAACTTCGCGATATGCAACAGGTATTCCGCCATGAGACTCGGTCAGAGCGAGAACTTGTAAGATTAGAAGAGAGCTTTTATGAGGTTATAATTTGATTATATTGAGCTATTAACTACGGGGATTTTTAGTTTTTGGGTTATGGTTACCTCGAATGTATTAATTGTTCCTAAAAAGTCTGAAAACAAATTGGCATCCTAGGGAGAGCAGATCTTCATATAAAATATCTGTGTACTAGTCAAGTAATTAAAAAACAAATTCTTACAACGAGGTTGCGGGAAAAGCTTAGCAAGAGAGCTATCTGAAGAATCTTCGCCATGCACACACAGGTCACTCTCGCCAGCTCAAAGTCAAGCCCTCTCCAACAACTTCAATACTTACATTCTCACCGTAGCTGCCTAGCACTGCACTGCCTAATAAAAAAGCCCTACCATAGCCTCGCGCATAGGTACATGTTTGTATCTAGTGTAACAAAACTTATGCAACTATCCATGCATGTACTCCGCCTCCAAACACACTGAGAGCAATTCCAGCCTGATCAGGAGCCTTTCTACGCATACAACCTTTCATGCAGCTCGGAATGATACGTTAGCTTCGTGCTACCACAATTCAGATACTAGTAAGGTATCACAAGATTATGCGCTGGGAATCTTACTTGGTCTCGCATTTGTAGAGTAAGCGACGCTTACCACGTTTTTAGGGGCGCACAAATGATGGGTGTGCATAATATTGTATCTTGTTTAGAGGTTTATCAGTGAGATAAGAAAGGAAGACGAAAAGATTGATTGGTTAATTCATCCATTATGATTCATATTCACCATGCGTTGTTTGTAATTTGAAGTTATAAGAGGATTTATTTAGCTGTATTTGCTTGCTTCATAAAACGGTGCAAAAACAGACACCTGGACGCAGAAGTCCGGGACGGAAAAAAGAGATAAAGGAGATACAACAATTAGTGCATGTTATCGGATAGGTTGAGATGTTATCCTATCATAGGGTTGTTCCAGGTCGAGAAAGCAAGAAACCCACCTGGTAGTGTTGGGAGTCCCACCAGATCTCTTTTCCCCCCTTAGACTTTTTTTTTCTCTTTCGTACGAGCAAAAAGGTAGAATGAACAGTTGTCGACTAGATATGTCCTGCTTCCTGCAAAATTGTTGGAGTATCCGGAATATGCCTGTCAGGTTAGTACTCAACCTACTGAATGGGTATCTACTATCTAAAGCCCCAGCCCGGCCATGGAGTGAAGCGGATCTGTGAGCTTGATGAGTAGAGGAAAGAAATGCGAATTTTGAATTGGGGTCTTCGACTGAGGTGCAAGTAACGGACTTAGTCTCAAGATGTCGTTAGAGGATGTGATGACAGGGATGGTGATCTAATGGCGAGATGGCGAGATGGCGAGAGATGCATCATTAACTAGTTGTAGTTAACCACACGAAGTCTGGAATAAAATGCTTCTTCCTCTTCTTAATCAGTCGGGACATGAAAATTATATTTATTTGAAGAACTACTGGGAATTCGAAGCCAATGATAATATTCCGGTGGAGCTTCAGCATCAAAATGGTCTCAATGATATCGTTCGAGATTGTAGAAAGGTGACGAGGCCATGATGAATCTCGCGAAACTTTTCAAAAAAGGTATGAGGTAACGCAGATAGAAAACAAGTGTCAACAAAAACAGTTCGTGTCGAATTTGAGAAGTAAATTCGACAAGTGGACCAAACAGAGGCTTCTGGCAGAGTTGGAACTCTGACTTGTGTTTGGTGAATTGCTTCATTAGATAGCGAGCGGGAAAGGTTTCTAGTAGTAAGATTATCACAATGTTCAGCCAGAACCCTAAAAGAATACAGTTACAGGATAACTGTAGCGTCCTTTAATCGAGATTATTCGTTCTTAGCGCTTTCGGATTTGTGCTCATGGAAGTTGAAAGGGCGGAAGGTTTTCGATTCTGCAGCCGTCCCTTCTCCAAGCCACGTTCTGTGTTGGAAAAATTTCTACGCAGGCGATGATTAGGGATAGTTTCGTTGCAATGACTTAGACTATACTAATTAAGTACTCTCACTGGTCGCATCATAAAACCTTACCACTGATAGAGAAGGCTTGGAAGGGTTGCCAGGTTTCATGCGAACAACCGAGCCAGGAGCCAGCATGAGCATACAGAACAAGCGAGAACTTCTTTTAAATCTTGAATTATTAAAGAACTTGAAGTGTATGTTGGGCCGGAGGAATGCTGCGCGGATTAATGACTTCACAAAGGCGTGACTGATTATTATGAAGAGCCCATGTGGAACATTTGAGTCTCATTTTGACTCATAAATAGCCATAATAACGATCAAATAGCATACATCTAAGCTCCCAGCTCAGAATCTGTCTCCACGTTATACTGTAGGACAAGACTCTCCATGGTTAAGAAATCCACCTGCAGATCCAAAGGTATGCGATCGCCAAATTTCCCTTTGAGCACTTCATATATCTTCCTTTTCTTCTCTTTGTTCTCAAGGGTTTGTGCCAATTGCTTTTCGACTTGATCTTTCTCCAAAACGAAGATGACCTTTTTCAGATCAGGATATATAAACCTCGCAGAGTAGCTAGCGTCCATAACATCTTCAATTCGATCTCGAGCATCCAGCTCTTTTGTCTCTGCGATACCAAAAACAACAAATTTATCTATCACCGGTGGCCCCTTGTGAACCTTATGGACTCTTTCTCTGATAAAGTTACGGAATTGATCAAAATCGAGGAAGCATAAAAGGTCAATCTTTGGATCGATGTATACCGGAACAACAGACAAGTCTCGGAGAACGCAGTATTTCGTGAGAGCGACTTTGCGAGATTCGCGGTTCACATGAAGAAGATGAAAAGGGTGAGACAATGCTGAAGATAGTATCCTCTCGCTGCCAAGATACCCAACCATGCGGACAAGACGTGGCCCAGGTAGAGAATATATCCAGATTTTGATGCGCACCTTTTCTGGGAGCCGTGAAAACCCCTCAAAAGTTAGTGAGGATGATAAGCCGGAAGAAATTTTCGAATCGCCGTGAATCATTAGGCCGGAGAAAAGGGCAGTGATGTTCTGCCAAATCCCCTCTGCAGCCATGCTGAAATAATTTATTTTTTTCTGCTCGGGGTGCTGGTTCGTTTAGTATTTGTATGGATGTCAGAGATTGAGCTCAACTTTTGCTTGATATTTGGGGTGTGGCATTTATTTTATATTTAACCATTGAAAGAAGTCGTGAGGACAAAGAAACTGAGTAGCAGAAAGGGGTTCGTAGGTCAAGAAATCTTAAGGAATGAGACTCATAGATGCACGTCACTGCTCCAATCAATTGAGCTTATCTGTGATTTTATACCTTTGTACTAATTTACTGTTTACATCACAATTCTCCTCCCGGCCACAAAGAATCTAGCATTATAAATTGATCAATGTTTAAAGTATTTGAGGCAGAGAGCGCCCCAATTTATGTGATAATATCCGGTTTCGAATTGACCAGAAAAGCTGCACTTGCAGATTCTCTCGGAGCACTAACCCATATAATAGAAAGTCATAATCGGCGTAGACTTCTTGACCGCTGATTTGTCCACCATTATTTACAACGAGCTTCGACGGAAGAGATATGAAGGCAATACTAGTAGCAGATTAACCCCATCCCTCCTTGTTTGGCGTCCTTCGTTTCCTGCAACCCCCACATCCGACATTCCAAATTCACGTGATAAAAAAGAATTATGTATGTTAAATTGTGAGTGGCCTCATTATACACTTTATGTTTAAAGATGCTCGAATTATAATAAAAGAAAACTAACTTATATCGGGAAATTAATTTATACTTCGAATAAGAAATATTTATATAATAACATTATCAAAATGAAAATCAATTATTTTACCAAAAAAAAATATATTATTTAAATATATTATTATTATTGAAGAAACTTTATTAAAGTTTTTATTATAATTGAATATAAAATATAAATGATATATATTTAATCAATCTCTTGATTATATTTCAAAATTTTATAATATAATTATTACTATATTGATCTCTTTTAAAGAATTCTAAGAATTTATAATTAAAGTATATAATTTGTTGTAAAATACATCAATTTAATATACTTTTATTATTATTCGAAGTATAAATTAATTTTTCAATATAAATTAGTTTTCTTTTATTATAATTCAAACGCCTTTGAATATAAAACGTATAGTGAGATCACTTATAATTAATAACTTTCATCCACCAGGACGAGATTAGAATAAATACTTACCCGTAACAAAAAAAGTTTAAAATTTTTACCGTTAAACTATACGAAAAACCTTGATAACTGTGAAGTTCGGAAGTAAGCTAGAAGACTTAAAAGAAAAGATAGATCTTAATTTCTAACTAGAAATGACGTCATGATTGATCAAGACTAAACCTAAATTGGAATTTCGATTAAAATTTGAAGTAGATCCCATTAGAAATATATTTCATCGAGGCTTTTTTGGCCCTTAAGTGTTTGATCCGCATATCTCAAGGCGATATCTTCGATGCTCTTAGCCGACCTGCTAAAAAAAGAAATCAGGACAATAATAAACTAACATACCTCCCATCAAGATTAGTTCCTCTGAAGGATAATTTATCTCTGCTTAGTATGATAGATTGAGCAGCGGTAAAACGAGAGCATTATAGATTTTGATTGTGGGAATTCTCTAGATTGTGAAGATTATACCGGAAAGGATAAGATCTATGGTTTTGAACTTTTGATGACTTGAAAACAGTATGTCCAATAATCTGCCCGTATTCCGCCCGGACGGCTGTCTGGATGGCTAGTCTATGATTTTATTAGACTTAATAGACTATTGGAAGAGTTTTAATATAAAAAATCCAAACTAGATAATCTAATATTAAAAAATCTAAATTACAATATGGATTGTAGTTTAGATTATAATTTGGCTTATTGGGATATAAACTATTCTAGACGGACTATTTAATTTTCTAGTGGATTTAAGTTTGATTGTTTAATTTAACAATCCGGACTATTGGACACACTACTTGAAAATGTATTTGCAAAAGTTGACTGTAGAAATTATTCACAAAAATTTATGAAGTAGTCAAAGTAGCTCGCCAGTTAATTCATGTTTCTCAAGGATCTATCGCAGTCTATAACTGGGTTTGAATTTATTGCAAAAGTAATGTAGTTACTGCGCCTTGTCCTTTGATCCGGTACTTGCTAATCCGCGCCAATATGTATCCTCGCTATCATGATCATAAAAGTAGGCCTATCCGACGGACCAAGCTTTCGTATTGACCTAGTACGGCAAAAGGAAGAAGCGACAGGAAGACTAAGTGAAGATTTTTTTGACGTGCTACTATAAACCAATTTTAAGATGCCGCAATTGTATCTATGAATCACTAAGTCCATTAACAAGCAACCGTCTGTCCATCTGGAGAGCCAGTTATGTACAATTTGCCGTATCAGAATGGACCCCATCCTCAAATACTAAATGACACTTTGGACTTCCATATAAAATGACTTCTCAACAAACTAGTCCCTCCATGCCAGCTAGCAACCTTGATATATCCACGGCACATGTCCTCAACGCCGCACTGCTTTCGAGAGATTTGGATCGCACTGAAGGCAAACCAAGAATATTTCGGGAATTCTGTACTCCTGTAAATGCCTGAGTGGTTCAAAGAGCTCCTGATAATCTCGCATAACTTCTTGAAATCGAGCGCGGAATACGGTCTCACAAAACGAATCGAATGCAAAGACTGGCTGAATGAATATTTGTTCCAGGGTACAAAACCTCAAAGTAGCCCATCTCAACAAGTTCAATTCCAATGAGGTGCTTGTATACAATGCCATATTTGGGTCGTTCTCCATACCGATCGCGATCCGCTTGACATTAGCAGCTCGAATGCTGGAGTTACTCCAGACATTATTTTTAGGGTAGTGGACAATTTGCGTAAATGTTAGGCTGGTGAACTTTAGAATATCTCGCTCGGAATTGAAGAATATTGGGTTCCGCATATCATTGCCGAAGCATAATCTATACTCACTTTGTGCAATTGCGCGTGACTGAGAAGATACCGTGAGGGCTTCGACTCTCTCATAGGATGCGTGCAAATCTTTAGCAAGGCAACGTCTGCCCAGGTCGCGATGGCTGGTGTGCCCCCAGCGGATAGTTATAATTCGGTTGACGGTTAATGTTGATTTCCATATCATTTGACTTAGCTCTAAGGGAAGGCATTTAATATTTGATGAAATCTCCGTTGCGAGCTCAGGTGGCTTCAAAGTTAGTTCGGAATACATGGTGCCAACTCAAAATGTGAGTATCGATGGAATATCCATCGACAGAGAGAGAGATCTGACTTTTTAAGACTTACATGTATCAAGCCGGTATCTTTGTTCTGTCCAAAACGAATTCGATGGTCCTGATACGCAAATCTGACAACAAATGCAGACCCAAGATCGACCGCTAACTTAACGCTTTACAAGAGAGGGAGACGAATTGCAAGAGCTTCTCAAGATCCAATGTTTTGAGAAGTCTGTAATAAGATGGAAGAGGAAATTTTTGTTTTTGAAACGACTAGAGTCTAGGAAACCTTGTGAGCGAAACATAGAAAGGCTAGAGGGACAAAATGAGAGCGAAAATTGATGCAAAACCTCAATTTCATGAGTCCCATCGATTACAATAGTTGCAAGTGAGGTGTAGATCTTAGGTTATGTGATCGGGATCCTTCTTTCACAAAAACTACGTCCTGTAATGTCTTGAATGATCAGAAAATTCTTCTAGATACAATACCATAGTGTTTCTCTTTCTAAGTATAGGCTGCGTCTTGATATGGTGTGGTTTTGACTTTTCCACCCTCACTGAAGAAGCACACCCCCACCATCACATTGTATCAACATGACTAACCACTTTTTTCCATGCTTAAATTACTCGCTTCTAGCCTTTCTTTTAACACCTTCCCAAAAGCCTCCGCTCTCATATACACTGTTGTATATCCTCGTACCAAGGCCATCACAAGTCTCACACAGCTCTATCCCCAGGAATAAGTTCATTTTGGGAAGGCAACGCGATGTAAGCTACTTGCTTCATCTATTATTCTAGTTCATGATCATTTAGTTGCTCGACAATTGATCATAACTGGAATCACAAGGTCGAAGAGGATACAGGGACATTTAAGTTTTCTGGCTCGAGGCAAATTCAATGATGGGAAAACGGTCAGATGGTTTTAACGTTACCTTTGTACGCAAATGTCCCGGAACGTATGACTAAATACTATGGACAAAGTAGGCACTTAGAGTACTAGCAAATTATTTAAAGAACACTTTTCTGATAGACAATAGTAGTCTCAAAAGATAGGTCTTCCCCATCGTGAGGTAATTTATTGTGAAAGGCCATTTTGCTTAGTCATCATTGCCCCTTAAATATTCGGTAAGCATTTTGGTACTCCAAATGAGCCTGCGATATCAACGTAACTTTTCTCTAGAAGTCCAGGAAATAAATTTAATGTTTTACAATGGTTAATTTCTCGACTAAATCTTTATAAGAGATCGGAGAATAGTTTTGTAGTTTTTGATTGACTAGAAATACAGATGAAAACTTATGAACATCATCCTAATGATAAATCTTTATTTTAGTATGAACCACTACAATAAGAACATTTTGGCACTAGAATAAAATGGTCTAGCCTTACCATGTTCATTAGTGCATAAAAATTTAAGGATATCATCACTTGAAGGCTCTTCTTTGTTAAGGAGATCTATTTTCTTTTCATTACTTTTAATTATCGGAAATCACAACTGAAAGCTGTTTCTCACAGACTTTTAAAATCTTTTATTCTCCTAAGTTGCATCTAATTTTTAAAGGTTTTGATTTCAAAATAATTTCTTGGTCCTCCGCCGAATAATCAAACTATCAATTCGTCTTGTACCTTGGGTGAGATAATACTCGACTCTCCATGGATCAGCAGGCAATTGACATAGTTGGGGAAAGCGAGTCCTGGAGTCAACAGCTGCTTAACCTTAATGAAAGTTTTTCTCGGAACCTTTACTTTTTCAATGCGAGAAAGCGCACCTTGATAAGAAAGATACAGGACATTATCCCATAATTTAATCCCTAATATTATTGCTCTCGATCTGTGTTGGTCCAAACCCACCGAAACATACGATACCATGATGGAAAGAAATTCTTTTGATATCTGAAGCAAAGCACCCAGAATCAGCATTTTCCCGTCCTTCAAAATTTGACCTTCTTGATGCAAGCTCTAATTATCAGATGAATATGGTCTGTCCGGGTCCTACTTCAAGAAATGTATGATTGCGGGAATTGTTGCTGGGCCTACCTGCCTCACCTTTTCGACCTTCCATGCCCCAAAGGAAATTAAAATTCTTCGGAAGAAATGAAGCTTATGGGTGGCATCTTTGTATTTGAGTTGATTGTAAGCAACTGTTGTGCTAAATAAATAATAAAGTTCAGACTCAGGTTGTTTTTTGAGCAAGAGAGCTAGGTTGGATGCAGAATTATATTTATATTTCCCAACAAATGGTACGCTCATCCGATGGTACAGCTACCTAATCCAACTTCCATGTCTAGCTTGTATTCACTGTAATTTATTGCCTTCCAAGAGCGGTGAAATAGGCGGAAGCTATTAAATAATGCCTTGTGTACCATGCACTTCTCTGTTTTTTTACTAAACAATCAAACCCAACAACAACAAAAGCTTCATACTGCCGAAGGGAGGCGGCCTCAAATAAAATTTTCATCCTGCTCCTACGGCTGTAGGATGCAAGTTAGATTAGTGTCTATCAAGCTCAGGAACCGTATCGAATTAAGTAAGTACAAAGGCCCGTAAATTCCTACCAACGCTTACCCATTTTCTTCGAACTAATTTATATTTGCAGAAAAATCATACAACAATTAGAGATGCATCCACAAACTTTCGAAGTTCTCAGACTAGAGTCGAGTTTTGGCAGTTTGTGCATAAACAAAATTAATGATCCATTTATCATCGGCGTCGACCACAACCTAAATCCTAATTTCAAAGCGAGGAGTTTGTTTTATCTCTTTCCCAGGTTACCAACGGAGCTTAAGCTTATGATATGGGCTGAGGCTGCTGATGACCGACAGATTGTTCGCATCAAACCTCGTGCAAGAGACGGAACGGAACATGAAGGATTTCGAGCCGATTACGCCATGCCGGTGGTTTTGCACGTTTGTCGGGACTCTAGACGAGAAGCGCTCAAGAGATATACAGTTATATTTAAGGGAATCCTTCGAAATCCTATCTACTTCAACTATCAGCGAGACTATGTAAGCCTTGTTGGTAGTACCACATGTGAGCATTTCGAAATTCTGTCAGGGGAAGATAGCAGTATTTGTGAGGAGATCCAAAAAATTCAGAATGTACTTGAAATGGTTACTGGCTTAGGAAGCGGTGATAGTGAAGAAGATGTATTGCTTTACATGTTGAGTATTTGGAATGGCGTCAAGCGTCTGATTATCGCGGAGAGGTCACCAACTTGGTGGGGTACATTTAAAGAAATTTGGTCCGACAAGGAGGTAAAGAAGCTGTGTAAAGACGCCAAAGCTAACGACACCAGAGAATGGGTTGCCACGCCCGACTTCCCCCAGGTCCGCATAGTCAAGTTTGATGATATCTTAAGTGCTGTTGTGAAGGAAGAGAAACAACCCATGTAAGTGAGAACAACCACTAGCAAATTTCATTACCTCTTAGGCTTTCGTTATATCTACTGAACTAACTGCTAAAAACTAGGGACGGGACAAGCGCGATGCTTTCTTTTTTTGATTCTTTGTTTGAGGCAAGCTCTACATACAATATCAAAAGACGGCCGAAGAAGGGCACAGAATGAGGCTATCGAATGAGAATAGGATAGAACCGATGTAGCTGTTATCTTGGTCATGGATGGAATAGTATTTTACCTTACAGAAGCCCTTGGGGACAAATCATCATGTTCCTGTAATTCAGTTGAAGCTATAGATATCCCCAATACTTTTCACAGTCAGTTAGAAGAAAATTAGCGGGGTTTTCTGTAATATTTGATATTTGAATGTAGGAACTACTGGTACCCAAAGACTTTTCCTCGAAAACTGTGCTTGTGTTGTGAATCAAAAGTGACTATGAAAACAAAAGCTCTGTCAATAACCAACAACTCGAAACCACCAGAGGCCCATTAGAGTATTAGCCGTTACCATCCTAAACCAATACCTGGGCTGCACTTTACCTACACTAACACAGGAATTAGGTTGGTGATCTAGGAAGAGGCTGTCGTGTGAACTATCCAGCAGAATATGTATTCATTCCAGCAAGACAAACGATTGTTTTCATCTCTCAATTCCCATGATCTCAAGGGTAAGATTTTCGGCTGAATAAATACGTAGAAAGATCAGTTATGTTACGGAATCCTCCACTTTAACAAGGAAAATTACTATTTCAGCACATGACCACTCAATATTCCATAATGAGTAGCGGGGAGATTTAGATCTAACTACTTGACATATTATTAACTACCACTAAACTTACTTGAATATTGGATATTTCCATTCAATAGGTTAAGATCCATGGAAAGTACGCTACTATAGTCAGACATTACAGCAAGAGTAGAGTGGTGCGGGGTTAATGGAGCTAGAACCTGCTTAGATATTTTTATTGAAGAGGTATTCCCTTCCTCGTATACCAATTTATCTCCATCCATGCTCTCACACCACATCATATACACACTTTTTACTTTGTGCCCCAACCAACTATTCACTCACACGATTGTATTCCCATTGGGTCCATTCAAGCTAACATTTCAAGGGAGATATTTTCATACCGGACGATCAGAATAATACACAAATTGATACTAAGCTTCAAGCAGGAAAAGAATCAACCAATGTGATTATATTTGAATGTCACAGGCAATTTAACTTCATATTGACCCAATAAAGCGCGGAACTCTTTCACTTCATTTGCCCATTAACAGAATTTCAACCTTGATGAGGATACCTTTCCTGCATATAGAGAAATAACGGAGCCTGGTTTTAGGAAAATCATAAATAAGAAAAGCTCGTAGTTCACTCCCATCCTAGTCATCATAACTGCGCGTGTTGTCGAGAAAGTACTCAACTTTGAATATCCTAGCACTGCTCCCAACGGCTTGGAAACTTCTGTTGTGCGAGTAGAGCTATCTATTTCCGCTGTGAATAATCAAAGGCAAATACATCGCTGCCTAGGGACAGTTTTCGATTCATGTCGAGGTAAGCTTGAGTGGTAGAAAAGCTAGAACGCAAGAAAATTGTTGAAGTCTTTTGGAAAATCGAGGTCAAAATTGTATGATGACAAGGTTCTGGACAGCTATAGATGAGTGCGACTAGAATCCAGACACGCATATTGAAAAAGTTTGAAACCGACACAATTGCTAATATCTTTAACTGCAATCAAAGAAAGACCAGAATGATTCAATGTTTTGTGAAAGCTTCTGCGCGAGTAAAGCCAAGGAAAGCAGGCCACTAGAGGATTTGGTGAACAAGAATCAACGGTGTGAACAGAGAAGACGTCCAGTACGAAGAGGTGGCAGAGACAGTAATTGAGAGCAGATTCTAGCTAAGAGTGCTAGGCGAATTTAAGCGCGGAGCTTTCGGCTACACCCGATTTCATAACGTGCATCCGAAAAAAAGCGTGGTTTTTTGTGCTTAATCAATGAAAATATATTCGGATTTGTCTTTTTCAAAATTGAATCTTTACAATAACAATTAGAATTTATTGAAATTTAATTAAAATATACATTGATTTAATTATTATCATTTGATATAAATATTATACAAATTAAATATAATTTGATGAAGTTATTGTAAATTGAATTTTTAATTTTCTTGGTTGAAATGATTTTATCACAATATTTAAAGATTAGTTTTGGATACATGCTATGAAATTAAGTGTAAAAGAAATAGGCAGGGTCATTTGATAGATGTGAAATGCCCTAAGTAATATTGAAAATCGTTCCAGAGTCAGCGATCGGCCTCGTAAGAGCACCGAGATCGTAGTAATGTATCCATCTATGTAATAGCTTTGTGTCCCCCATCATAATCTAGTTCTTAACGTTTCGTGCTCCCTCAATAGCCTTGATCCGATCTGAGGGACGGGGTGGCACTTGGGCTGGCTTTTCTTCAAGTAAGCCCTGAATTTCGTTAACAATTATTTATCCACGCGTCACTGAAGTTTCACTAGATTCACTTACAATATTCCGCATCTCCGCTGGCATAATCTGAAACTCCGGTATTTGATCATAAGCTCTGATAGCCTTCCACTCATCCGAATTCCAAAAGTTTTGCACGTGAAATCTGAAAGATGGCAATAGTTCTATTCCACCAGATGAATTATGCCCTTCGAAGAAAAACTGGGACTCAAAAGGAATATTATCGGTTCTGATGACGAGCGACTTTAGATGAGGGAAGCTTCGCGCCATTTCATTCGCCCTCGGATACCAAGATGTGTGAATAGACTCTTGAATAACTAATCTCTCCACAAGTGGCATAACAAGACTATTTCGAATGAGTGGAATAGGACCATGGCCAACACTATAACAGCCACCCCAGACAAAAGTGAAGCACGCATTCATATCAGTAAACGTGACCGTGTCGAATCTAGGATTGAACCAAAGAGCTTGTTGATAGAGCTGATCCTCAAAGCACAAGCTATAGTGCTTCATGGCCCAGAAACGAGACTCATGACAAGTCATAAGTATAGCAGGGACTCTGCTGACAGCCCAAAGTCTGCGAATTGTAGGATATTTAGGGTGTCTGACACAGAAGATTTTATCTCTGTCTGAAATTGGGATATTGGCCTTTTCTTTAGGATACTTTTTCTTTTGCGATGTTCGGTAAGAGTCAAAGAGAACTTGGTTAGGTTCTTGCGAAGCAAAATCCCAAATCTTCGCTCTTAATTCAATGCAAAGCTTGGGGAATAGTGTAAACTCGGTGAGGACCGGCATCTTGGCGATATTGTGGTATAGGATAAAGGAGTCTGATATTAGCAAGGCAAGCCGTGCGAGTGAACGTGTAGGATGGCTTCTGGTAAATAAAAGATGTAGAAAAAGGTAAGCTGCCTTTTGACTATGTTAGCACAAACATTTTATAGAAAGAAATGTCAAGAGATAAATCAATGTATTGTAAATCTTTTCTACGGTAATTCATGTTAGGTAGAAACTTACTATGCTCAAAAGACGTCTTTCGAACGATAAGCTATCATTCGATAAATATAATACTGTCAAATCTTTTGATGACCATTTTCTATTCTGTTTATTAATGTGAATATACAAGATCTATCAAGATTTTAAATAAGGAATGAATGAATACGTTTTCATTATAAGACAATCGTATAACAACAATGAAGATGTGATCTTATATACTCTTATTTTCTTAACGCACAATGACTATTGAATCATCCGAGCCATTTTCAGAAACAGCAAATTGAATCTAATCTAATGAAAACATTAGAGAATCCTTTATTGAATACTTTAATCAATCAATCAAAAGGGTTGCCCTGTATCAGATCTCAACCTGTCGTAACCCTGGTATATAATTATATCTGGATAGGTAGAAAGAAGCATTCTATATTCTATTATATCAATAACAATATCAGCATTTTCAAAGATACAAGAAATATTATCATGTTGTTCTTTGGAGTAACGTTATATATTGTGTGATTGAATATTGCGCATTGAAAGGAAAAAGCATACTGTTCTTCTTTAGCCTTTAGATACAAAGCTCCTAAAACTAGGAAAACTAAGAGATTTTCAAAACTTGATTGCATAGTGTATGAATACAGAATATGATTGTGCAACTTGTAGGTGACTTTAGAATTAGAAACCGATGGTGGACCGATGGATAATAGCAAGTGATCTTTTGTCTTTGAAAGCTCCGTTGCTAAACTTTGATTACCCAAAGTAAACCAGGCTTGTAATGATCTCGAGTGAGTTACTTTGGTAAACTCGGCTTTATTTTGATCATAAAAAGACACTTGACCTTCATTAGAAGCATCTATCTGAAAGCAATATGTCCCCGGAACTTGTTTGGAGAGCTCTAACTATCTTAATATTAGATATCTCAACTTAATGATTTATGCACATTGGGGGTTAATATGTGGTAGATCCAATCTAGTTAGGTATAATTATACGCAAAAACTTTAATTATCAGCATACCTTCAAATTGCATAAAGAAACATATCACATTAAGACTGGGTGACTGTACCTCTAATATACAACCAGAACTCACGTATTGTACCAGAACTCACAGATAAAACATATCACTAAATTTGGGTGCTAAAATAAGAAGAATTGGAATCATGAAAGGTATGAAAGACTTTGAATAATGAAGAGATTCATTGCGCTATTAACAATATCTACTGCCGTCCGAAACCGCTACAGGCATACAAGATGAAAACCTCATGATGAGAATGGGTCTTACTCTGAGCTGTTAATCTGTTGCCAGAAAGAGTTCCTACCATGTGGGCTTCTCGGATATTCCTACAAGTCATTGAAAATAATTCCCAATTCATTTTTTTCTAAGATACTCCGCCCCCATTGCCCCATTTTGAAAAAAATAACATCGTGTAACCCAAAATCTTTCATTTTTTCAAGCAGTGAATCATGAAATACCTCGATATTCGGATCTTAAATGAAGAACTCATAGCGGAAATAGTATGCTAATAAATTGGATTTCCAACTCTCCTAAACACTTCTATTATCCACATTATCTCGTCGGCATCCAAAATCCGAGAAACTCGCAAGTCTCAACCAAGATAAGTCCTCCACGGGTTCTCAAATTGTCTAACATGATCATGTGAGAATTTGAAATCATTGATGAACGTGATCGTGCTTTTAGAATTGTCGTATTCCTCATTTTCCCGTCTGATAGCAGGATGCGAATATTCCTAAATACATATTAGAGCTTTCTTAATAACATAAGCGACAGTACAGAGTGATACAAACCACTTTAAGCAAAATATCATAAGGATCCCAGAAAAACAGCACAGGATTTGATATTGTTGTCTCCGAAGGATCCCAACTAGGCTGTACTACCACAGACCGGGTTTCCTTGCCCCGATAATCCTCTCTCACAAAGTTTCCCGCCCGTTCCTGTGCCCAGTATCTGAAGAGTGTATCCCGACATGCGAGGAGATGCAAACGATCGGCTTTGTGTAATTCGGATGTGGAAAACCCTTCATCGCGAACCTTTCTATTCGTCCCCAAAATTATGGATTTGCAGTCGTAAAATCTTCCTAGTAATTTCTGCGTCAAAGGGGATTGTGTCATGCCATCAATAACCAAATGTCTGACGTTGATTCTTCTATTTATTACTTCTTGTGCCGCTTGCATGGGATTTACCGGAACAAGTCCTTTGGATTCCGAATCCGTTTGTCGGTTATATCTCCAGTCTTGGAGTACATAGAAACTTTCCAATACAATAACATCCTTGTCTCCGTTGTAGTATGTCACCTGCTTATCGTTTGTGCCCATAGGAATTGCTTGATATTCCTTCTCGTACAATTCCTTCGCAACGAGGAATGAAAGTCTGCAGACAAAAAAGATTGGAGGCAGCTTGTACTCCACGGCTTGAGATCTAGTAGATACTGTAAAACTCTTTCTGTCTCTAACGCCTCGAGGCAGCGGACCCTCTGCTAGCTCCGTTTTTGTGTGCTTGAAAATTTTGATCACGTTGGGAGTAGTCCTTGCATGGATTCTGCCATACCATTGCCATATGTTTCTCTGGAGCTCTACCGGAAGCTCTAGAAATATATGGAATGTTGTTGCAGCTGCTCCGCTTAGAACTCTAGGCCCAGAAAATCCTACCCTAGGTACGATGCGGTTTATAGCTAGATCGCTTATCCACGAGCTCGCGATTAAACGGTCTTTGTACTTAATTTCCTTCATCTCCCGTCGACGGCGCGTAGGTGGCATTATGTCAAGTTCAACCAAATGATTGATTAATTGACGTGGCGAAATCGGATGATGATAATAGAATATACTGTATTATGGTTTAGCTTGGCTGATATATATAGAATTCATTTTTGCGCTGAACTTGGGAAAATTATGAAGTAAACAATAAAACGGTGGAAGGTCTTTCAGAGAAATAAATTGAAAGATGAGATGGGTTTCAACATATGTAGAAAGGAAACTTACTTGAACTTTCTAGAGAATAATACCAGTGAAGCTCTCAGCTTTATTGACTTCAAAGATGTTGTTTTGAAATCAGCAAACCTTGGGTAAACCTGTGACAAAAAGATTTTGTTAGAGTTATGATGAGAGAATGTTGTGATGAGATCTAAAATCAATAACTTATATCTATTCTAGATCTTTAAATAGATTTAACCGTACTGCATTCGTACATTCTTGTCGAATATGAACACTTAGGATTGTGTAAAGTCTGGCATCATGTAATCTCTTATACTATAGATCAAAACGATCCAATGAATGATAAAGACAATTTGAAGTGTGTGTGATGAGTATAGTAGATGATAGAACAAGAACAAATATTATTTTTTCTTCATTAGGCTATGTTCATTACATTATGTTTCAGTAATAAATTATTTAGATATTATACACCTTTGATGGACAGATAATATGAGAACTAATAATAACTATCTCTAAATCAAGCAAAGATTCTATCAACTAACTCTTTTTATCTCATTTAAATTATAAATAATTGAAAAATACTTTTAATTCATGATTACTACCCGTTTGGTTTTAAGTAGATAATCACATATAATGACTTAAGATCAACCAAATTAGATCGATTGTCCTCACCTATTACACTAATTTTCAGCACTAAAGATGAGGAGCTCCTAGTGTCATACTCATCAATTCAACTATCAGGATGAAATTATCATAAATTACATCCCAGAACAATACGAGTGAGAGCGAGACCCAAAGATCCAAGCATAAAAGAGATGCAAAGCCACCAATTATTTAATCACTAAACTGCTGCATTCCCACCTTCTTCAGCTCCCTCCTCATAACCATAAGAGTCTCCACTATAAGCTCCTGCAAATTTCACCACTCCTCCTCCCTTTCCCTATCCTTTCCTTCGGGCTTTTCTATCCTCTTACGCCTAACCTCTACCTCCTTCAATACCTCAAATTCATGTTCAGTGAGTAACTGATAGCATGGAGTTAAGCAGTATCAGGATATCTCAACAAACAATGAACATGTCAACATGCGCACCCTTCCTCCCTCTAATCTTGCCCAAAATCTCCATAACCCCCTCCACCATTTCCCTCCTCACCAATCCCCGCCCCAACCACCAGTTATCAAGGCGTGTAATACGCTTGTAATATCAAATCCGTGATGACAGGAGAATAAATACAACTCAAAAAAAAAGACTCAGGAAAATGCACAAAAGAACTTGGAAAAGTATTGAGGTATTTATTAATAATATAAGCATTCTTGCGAACCTCACGGTAATTGTTTATCGCTGCCATATAAGCACACAACTGCATGATTATTCGTGGGATATTGGTAGATGTTAGCTGTAACAGGTTGCTTTATAAACGATGAACTGAAGATATTTCCGCATTGGAATTTCACATTGACTTAGCTTGGTTGAGAGGGGAGACATTAAGGGTATCACGAGATATGACGAGTTTCCACGATCCTGTTGGTGTTATCTTGGTGGCGACAAGAAAGACGTAAATAAAAATAAATCGATTATGAACAGTTGCATCGGCGGTGCTATTCAAAGGTTGAAGAAAGCAGGATATGTATCTGCCGACATCACAGTTTTTCCAATTCTATAACAGATATATCAACGGCAGAAGGTACATGTGGTGGGTGACTCTCCCGATTAAATCAAGTGCATCTTGGAGCGCTGCAATTGGCCTTCTTCGGCACTTGGCTCGGCACGAAAACTTGGGGATGACTTCGAATCGGCTAAATGTGCATTGTTGAACGGAAGTTATAGATGCGGGGTAGATATTACAGAAAGGGATGCAAGGAGTAAGACGGGTTCATGACAACGTAACGGTATGTCTTTTCATGCAGCCAGTCATGAGCGAAATGTAAATTCTGCAACTGCGAATGGTACATTTCGATCTGACACAAGCTGTAGAGTTGCATTGAGCCAAGACTCAATTGTCAGATGCTTCGTACTTCGGGTGAATTGGTAATCTGGTAATAGAACTGCTAACGAATGTTTTAAACATAACCCTGGTTCCCACGAGCCCTAAGATTATTTTTTTCAGATATTCCAGGTTGAAATTACTGAAACGAGATAAATTGGAGTATGGCCATAGCTGATAGCTGATAATTTTTAGGAAATGGTGATTTTTGGCTTACGGTGAAATGATTGAGTATTGCTCATCACTGGAGCGCCGCTGTACGAAATTTGAAAGAACTGTCAATCCGATTTCCATATTCTGTCACAATGACAAGAGATATATTGTGGTGGCAATCTTCACTCCTTTGAATGCTACCAAGAAATCGCCGTCATACAGTCCTCGACCCTAATATGGCGGTGCCTGGTTGATGGATATAAAGTATGCGCAGGCATAAAGCCGAACGATATATCTAAAGAACTTCACGCGATTCGAATGATTCACAATATATAACTGTACCAACTAGGAAGTTTACATGCGTCCGAAAGTGTTTCTGCTTGGTGGATCCAGACATTTTAGGCTTTATCGGGACGTTCCACAAAGCCGCGCTAAAATTGATGGCGACTAGCAGTTAGTGACCAAGTAAAGTGATGTGACCACCATTGACGCGCGGGAGTATTCAAAAATACGCAAAGAGCGCTTAATACTAGAATCTAGCTCTAGAATCCAAAAACCTGGCCAACATAAAAGGTTGTGAGACTTCAATGGACCAATAGCAAGTAATTGAAGATCCAAATTTTACGGCCTGTTGAAGGGCGATAAAATTACATCCATAAGTTTTCGTCCAGCGCTATGGTGGCGCCCCGGTCTGGTCTAAGTGTTGGTAAACCCGCTCTTCATGCGGCGGTAAGCATTTGTATAAAGAAATGATAGATAGCGTCGCGAGATACTCATTTCGTTGCAGTAACTAGCGGATTCCGTCCAAACATCCATCACTTGAAAGATATTCTACTACAATGGATTCCCCACGGATACTCAAAACCCGCTCAAACATCTACCAGATTGCTAAGAAGAATCAACATTCAAGGCCAACGTCGACGTCGACTCGATCAAACAAAGGCAACTCCAGGCCCAAACCTATACCACTCGAGAATTTCGAGGCAGTAAACAAATTGCCTTGCGATAGTGCCTTATTCTCACCAGCTTCTTCAGTCGACAGCGTTTCAGCCAGTAATTCGGAATTCGAGGATAGCGAGGAGGAATTGGTTGAAGTTCCTTTCCATGCCCAGTCGAATACCAAAAGTCTCGACTTCTATAATAACAAAATGAAGGACTTGGCTAAGACTCATAAGGAGATCATTGATCGAAGGTCTCCCATGGCAGCAGAACAAACACTCCTCTGTCCCTCTCGACGCAATCCATCCCCATCCTCATCCTCAATTCTTCCCTCCACGGAGAAGAGCAATCGACGTTCTCGGGAAGATATCAACGATGCAAATCTCCTGCTTCTTCTTATGGTTGAATGACAATAGTACTTATTTGCGTGGAGAAAGGGTATCACGGCTGTCACGGGGATGATGTGTGGATTTGCTGCTCCAGCCACCTTGTTAAGCCTCACATAAAATCTGATGGCGGGGCTTAAGACGCTAGCCCTCTTAAAGACATAGTGTCTATGGGCGGTGGCAGAAAATAATATATCAGGATCCAGCACCCCAGGGTCAAGAAGGATGACAGTAGTAATGACAGTAGTAATAAGATCTTACCTAATGTAAATGGATTTGGACAATGATACATGAAAAATGTTTGTATCGACAAATTTAAAATGTATAACCTCAAAATGGAGTAATTCAAATTCCATATTAAACTTCCGGTAGGGATTTTCGTGAAAATTGTAACCTTAAGATCTTACTTTTTATCCCTGTCATTGTTATGTAGCTCCGATAACGCTTAGATTGTTGAACTCCCCAATTATCTTTTTTATTCTTTGATATATTTCATTGTCGTCCTGAGTCACTATAAGCTTCAACATTACATTCTTTTTATCTCTCAAGACACTCCATAATGGCTCTTCGATTGTCTGCGAAAAGAGTGACAGCTACTTTAAAAGCTGGGAATGCATCACCAGTGATCAATGGCTTCTTGAAGAGGAATGCTTCTCAAGCCACCGCAGCTGCAACAAACTTAGCGGATGAAGTCAAGCATGATAATCATGTATGTTGTGATGTGCCAATCGTATTATCGCCTACTAATACAAAATACAGAGTGAGAGCAAATTATCGAATCCAGATCCTTCACCAAATTCGCCAACAGGACGTCTCGTCTCAGAACAAGCTCCATACATGGTTGCAACTTATGCCCGACCACCACCAATGTTCGTAAAGGGAGCCGGATGTTATCTTTGGGATACCGAGAACAGGAGATACTTAGATTTCACAGCTGGTATAGCAGTCAATGCTTTAGGACACTGCGACCCGGAAATCGCAAAGATAATGTTAGAACAAGTAAGCTCTGTCACTCATCTTCTGGCAAGTGACTCATCTAATACAAGTCCACAAACTAGGGAACAACTCTGATACATACTTCCAATCTATATCATAATCCGTGGACCGGCGCTCTCTCTCAACTCCTCATCGAGAAGACCCTTGAATCAAATTCAATGCACGATGCTCAAGCTGTTTTCATCTGCAACTCTGGCAGTGAAGCTAATGAGGCCGCAATAAAGTTTGCTCGGAAGTCTGGAAAGGTTGTCGATCCGTCAGGTGCTAAGCATGAAGTTGTTTCGTTCCAAAATTCTTTCCACGGCCGAACCATGGGCTCATTATCTGCAACTCCGAACCCGAAGTATCAAACACCATTTTCTCCGATGTTACCTGGATTCAAATATGGAACATATAACGATGTGGATGCTATCAAGGATTTAGTCACGGAAAAGACGTGTGGTGTTATAGTAGAGCCAATTCAAGGAGAAGGTGGTGTCATTGTGGCGACCGAAGAATTCCTTACTGCACTTGCAGCTCGTTGTCGTGAAGTTGGTGCAGTCCTCATATATGATGAAATACAATGTGGTCTTTCACGAACGGGAACCTTCTGGGCCCATTCTTCGTTGCCAAAATCGGCTCATCCAGACATCATTACTACGGCCAAGGCTCTCGGAAATGGGTTCCCCATTGGAGCAACAATTGTCAACAAAAATGTAACGGAGAAGATCAAGGTTGGTGATCACGGAACTACCTTTGGTGGAAACCCATTGGGGTCCAGGATCGCTCATTATATTGTTTCTCGATTATCTGATCCATCGTTACAAAACGACGTCATCAGAAAATCGGATATATTCAAGAAACATTTCGAGGTATTACAATCCAAATACCCGGAACTCGTCAAAGAAGTCAGAGGTAGGGGTTTACACTTGGGTTTGCAATTGAGCCGAGATCCCACTCCGGTTGTCACAGCTGCTAGAGAAAGAGGTTTACTTATCATTACGGCTGGAACCAACACCTTAAGATTCGTACCGAGCTTGAATATTACCGATGGAGAAATTGAAGAGGGTTTCCAAATTTTGGACGAGGCGATGAGAATTGCTACCTCTCCATTAGAGAAGCCTCAAGGAGCTCAAGTCCATGGTGAAGTAGATTCGCCAAATTAATAATCTCGTTGATGTTGATGTTACCCAAGTGGATTGCTTGTATAAAGCATAGAGTGGCGTTAGTGGCGTAAAGCGTATATACACAATCGGTTGGAATGTCAAATATATGTTGAAATTACTCGTATTGTCTCGCATTGTAATTGTGTTTTTATATGCGAGTGTCCATTCGTCTTCTTTCAGCCCATGAAAAAGAGTGAAGCATGATTATGATTATTCTAGGCGCGCGCTGAAATTTTCTTGATAAGGATGCTATTTGCGAGACGTATCCACGTTCGTTAATTGACCTGCAAACTGACTAGCATATGTACACACTATTCCTCCACCTAGATGGGAGTTATGTGAAACGATCACTCGTATGGCAGTGTGCAAAGACTTTGGGCGAGGAATAAATTCAGAACTCACAGTGGTAATCCTTCCAAAATGCATCATCGCTACTTGGTGCAAACGCAATGTTTGCTACCACAATATCCTCTACTAACCTACAATCCTACAATCCTACACGCTCCGGCTGCACATTTATAAGGATTGCCACGATTGAAACCTCGAATTCCAGTTAACAAATTTTTTTGGGTATTTAAACAGTAACGCCACTACCTATTTCCTGACAGCAGATCTTCACAGTATCCCTCCATACACTATGCTGAAACTCCCCTACAAGGCCCCGCCCGGCACAACCGTCCAGCACTCAACCAACTCTCTGTGAATCAATCCTCTTCCACTTCTCTCTCTTAAATACTCCTTCTTTTCCAATTTGACCTCCATCTTCCCCAATCCTTCCAACTCGGCGTCTGCTCTGCAGAGGAACATTTATTCTGCACATTCCTTATGCATAATAATATACTCACAATTTACCTGTCTTGTGCGTACCGGAAGCTGTAGCTAGATGTACGATCCTTGGCATCGATAGGAGAGGCGGGGGGGTGGCAAATACTACTTCTTTCTGCCGCTTAGGTGGTGTTATTGAAAGCCCCCAAGTTTATTGGTTTACTTTCCATATGTATTCCTTCTCTCTTTTTCATGACTAGCCTAAACCTATAAAGTATTATGGTTTATATAATCAGAGCCTGGCTAAAGAAGTATAAAATCGGCACATCCAGTTTATCCTTCTATCCTCTACCACTCCTTCAGCCTTGGAAATATCCCGAATATTAATTGTTTCTTGCCTAGTTTACATTAAGCGTCCTTTTTTAGGTTGTCAAGACAAATGGCCTAGTGGCTGTCTTAGTGTTTCGTGTGGATAACACGAGTTCTTTCTCCTCAATATTCTTGTGGTAATAATGCGATATCACTTCAAACATTTTCTGCTACATTACCATATCTTCAGCTTGGTTGACGATCAGGTGACGGCAGGCAGTGTTACTCCTGGCCCCGTACGCTTTTGTTTTGGGTAGTCAGAAACACATAAGAATCTACCAGGATAGCTCCTTTCGGTGCAGAAATTTGTTGGTTCTGAGATTCGAAGTCATGCATGGCGTATACATCGACCCAATTGTTACTTGCACACATATTTGCAACCGGTGATGATTAATTTTCAGATCTGCTGTCCGGTATTACAGTCTCATGGCCCGCTTGGTTGCGAGTAGCCGACCGCTCTGACCAGATGTTAATGAAGCCTCGGACACTAGCGAGGAATTCTTTTGGGGAAAGTAACTTTTTGTAGGCCCAGAGAGAGGGGAGATTGACTGCTAAAAGACACACGGATGCTTCGAAGTTGGACCAGAATATTATCAAAGTATCTCCTACTAGGGAAGAGTCAGAAACCAGTTTTCTCTTCTTTTGGAGTCACTCACGGCGGTAGTCGGCATTGGGGTCCAATTGAGCTACTGCAGAACAAGTTAGTTGCACTTCAATGACCTCGGTCAAGGATTTGCTGTACATACTGTGGAACATCTGGATGATGTATGCAGCACGTGTGATGGAAGCTGCCAAGCCACTATTTCGATACGTGGTTAGCTCATATTGTAGTCCAACTATGACGATGCCTGAATATAAAATCGCAAAAGTTCACATACATCAAAGCTAAAAGAAATACACCACAGACGGCCAATTTAGTTCCGGGATTTGTTTTCAAATGAAATATCTAAATCAACACATTGTCAGCGTGAATGTACTTGTAGCTAACAGCCTGGAATACACACCATTGGTAATGGCAGTAGAATAATCCACAGGTCCAACACGAATTTGATGATGCTGAAAGCTTCTACAAATACTGGTGATATAACTTTGCAGTATTGCAAGTACTCGTATGATGTATGCCACAGCGCGGCAAAATGTGGACCACACCGAAATGTATTGCCGAGTACCATTGCAAACGCCAAGATTGCAACAAAAGCTATGGTTGCTGTGTTGATTACTCTGAAAGTGGATCTCACGTTTGTGCAAAATACTCTCTTGTAGAACAATAGAGCGACCACCTTGATTGTTGCTAGCGCGCCGACTTGGATGTACTGAAATAAGTCCAGTAGCTGAGAACTCATTGATTAGCACGGCCCTTACAATCGGATTCCTTTTTACTTGCCTTCGCTTCATAAATTATACTTTGTAAAAGAAAAGACACAGAATCGGCAGTTGAGTAGTAGCCCCATATTTTCTTCGTCACGCCTAGTATGACAATTATCTTAGCCCTGCCTGGTCACTGCTAAATAGCCTCACGCGACTACAACTCACCAAGTATACCGCAAATACTCATCCCAATCACGAGTAAGGCGGCTGGTATCATGATCCAGTCATCGGACTTAGGAGCCGTTTTCTGTATCCGTCGGACATTGAATCGAAGGACGACAGCGATGAGTGCCAAGATCGGAAAGAAGGTACTTGCAATCATAAAACTAGCGGGTTTCGTAATGCTATGAGGTTGGATAATATCGTATAGAATGCCCATGAGTTGGATCTTTCGAATAGTAGTTGAGATCGAACAGAAGGTGAAATCTTCAAAAATGAAATCTCAAGGTGGGAAAAGTGTTTGCCAACTTCGTGTGCAGAGCTCGAGAGTTGTTCAACTTTCACAAGTTTGATGAGATGCTTCGTAGGAGTAAAAGATAACCAAGAGCTCTTGTTTATCATGGATGTCACTGATTGATGTGTCAGACTGTAACGCTGCTACGAAATTGAAATTAGATTCTCCACCAGAAAAGTAATGGCTGTTGGTATTTGTGGTGTTAATGAACTAATCCAATTCATCAACTGGACCCTGGCAGTGTAATGGGTTATTGAGACGGCAGAAGATTTGAAGGCAAGTAAAAATACTATATCCAAGAAATATAGCCACATCTCACCCAGAGATTCGATTCAAAATGATTACATTGGAGCTCCAAAATCCTCAAACGTCTTGCTACTAAATGCGGCACAGGAATCATGTTGAAAGAAATAACGCACCGACTGGGGTTCAATGTAACCTGTAATCAGGAGTGATCAATCTGTACGAACCAAAACTATTGTAGGATCCGGTACCTTGGTTTAGCCGTTACTGACGAATGAGTCGTGTATCTACTTGGCGTGAGCGAGTTTGACAGGTCAGGAAAAGCAATTTAAACTATCTTATACGCGCATTGGAAATGGCTGAATATTTTGTTTTCGCGAATAGCAAGTGCTGTGCCTGACATATTAAACGCACATGAGCGGCACGGCGCAAGACGGTCGTGAGAAATATTAGTTTTGTGCGTCTCTATCCTTGTTTGTAGAACCTGACCTTAGTCTATAATCGATTCGAAAGCTTCAGAAGCTGGATTACATATTCATGAGACATCCACTATGGTTCTCTTCCAAAACTCATGAATAGCTTGATTTTTAATCCGTTGCCTCAAAACTTTTCAGTCATTGTATTAATTCCGCACCGGATAATTGCATCAATACCAAATATTTACCAGAGGATATTGTATTGAAATTTGCAGAAGTGCATACAAGCAACATGGAAATTTCAATTGAAGGATCCATTCGTGTAGCCTAATATATATTTTCATGCAGCTCAACCCTGCGAAGCCCTCCGTACTTTATTAGCATATTTTCCACACATCCGAATGGTTCATTTACATGTAAGGGGAAGGGGCCATATTTTTGCGAACATTCAACGTCCCTACCGATGAAAAGCTTTCTCTTACCGACAAATCTCAGGCCAGGAGTACCGTTAAGCAGGTCTATAAAGTGGGAGGGAAAGCAAGCATACCAATTTTCTTGTCGAAAATCCTCTCGGTGAGATTCTTCAGCGTATCTCTCTAAATCCAAGAAGTCCGTCATCGCATATGTTTTATCTTGTATTGGGTAATAGTCCGACGGCGCGATTGGATGCGGTAAAAGGGCTCATTGGAATTATCAACATCAGTACTGATTTTCATGATCGATTACCATTGCAGACTCTCCGCAGGCAGCCCTATAGAGCCTAAGAGCTTTGTTGCTGAGGCGGAAGTCTTCCACCCAACCATTATTCTGCAAGTATTCATTCCTTGTCCGCTCTTAGATGTCGAAAGACATGAAGGATAAAAGATACCTAGCTAAAAACGCACATCTTCCAGAAAATGCTCCGCGACCGAGTTTAGTACCCAGAGACTTTGGCAAACTTCCCAGGAAGCACGATTGAATACAAAGAATTTCATATCGGTTGGTAAAGAACGATATTTACGTGCAAAAGTTGCACTAAACTACAATTCAGATCACTGCATCGAGCATCTCCGCCAGATAAGATTATGCAACAGCGATACAACGCCACTCTAGATAATTTGGGATACTACCAAATATTCTTACATCACACCTAGCTATGAGGACCGGAATTCTTGTGGGATTGGGCTAGGGAAAGAAATGCATCCGATGTAATTGAAACCCCACCTCCAGATATTCTCTCATGAGAAAGAAAGTGTGCGGAAGTTGGCTTGTGCTGTCTTGGTTATAATCCCCTTTTGTTACGTCCTCTGTACAATCCGTCATAAAATGTAAGATTACAACACGATATAACCTCAATTCCATGGCTGAAAATGCACAAAAAGACATCAATCAGCTACTAAAATTAAAAAACCCACGTGTAAGATGATCATCATATGAGGAAATCATAAAGGAGCACTCTTGCTTGCCTTTTCAAAGCCCAGAGAACACTCTCGATCATCAGCTTGACAAGTAGTATGTATTAGCAGCTGGAAATCAGATCACATTCTTCCCCAAGGGCCCTGCTGCCCATTGTAGTATATTGGATTACATATTATGAGAGAGAGCCGCTCAAAAATGTTGTCATTTTCCGTATTCCAAAAGATGACCAAAATGTATCAGAAATCAAAAAGTATAAAAACAAAAAATTATTTCAAGAATATACAGTAGGCACCATCTGCAAAAGAAAACTCAGACACGATACAAATTCTGATCGAACCTCCTTTAGTGACAGTCTTTGCAGGTCTTTCAAAATCCGCTTGGATGGAGATATATAATAATATATCGTGTAAATAAAAAATGGCCGTTGTGGCCCGTATATACACCGATTTAAAGAAATGACGTTGTAATCTTACAAATAATTTTGTAGTTGAGTCCCAAATAATAGTACCACTGCTCCTTTCGATATTTTTCGTCGCCAAATTTCATTTCTTTATTAGAGAAGCTGGAGTGTATCAAGTATCGCTACTGCAATACAATAATTGACCACTAGGCTAAATCGATGCATCTCCTCTCTTAGAGTATCTGTACCTCCACAACTCATATTCCACAAGACACCATCAAGTAAGCCAGATTTAAAAACGATAAATTTTTCCCATTCTATTAACTATCTGTAAGCCACAATACACCGAGCATCGCAAGAAAATTCCTCAAAACGAGCTATTATCCAATTCATACTCATTCGAATCATTACATCATAGCCGCCCCATCAATTCCAATAACCTTGCCATTAACCCACTCTCCATCTTGACTTGCTAAGAAACAAACAACTCTAGCAATATCTATTGGAAGACCGACTCTGTGAAGTGGCGACCAGGTAGCGGCATATTCATCTACTTCGTCATCGCTGAGATTGGCGCCATTGGGAATATATTCGCGGCAGACTTTGTGGTACATGTCTGTTCTGATTCCACCGGGAGCAATACAGTTTACGGTGATTTTCTTGTCGCCGAAATCTGAGGTGTTGGGTTAGTTATGTGTTTTATGTGTAGGAGTCGATGAAATAGACATACCAATAGCCATGCAGCGGACGAAAGTCTCAATAGCACCCTTGGAACCAGAGTATACAGTGTGAGCCGGAACACCCTTAGCTTGACCAGTAATCGAACCCATCATGATAAGACGACCTCCGACTTCCAAGTTTTTATACGCTTCCCTAGCGACGAAGAATTGTCCTCTGGTATTAATATTCATGACACGATCATATTCCTCCTCAGTCACATCTTTAATATGACCAAAAGTAACGACACCAGAATTCGAGCAAACAATATCGAGTTTACCCCATTGTTTCTTAGCTTGATCGAAAAGGTTGATGATGTCTGAGACAACGGAGACATTTCCTTGAAGAGCGACGGCTTCGGAACCGGCTTTCTTGATGGTGTTTACGACTTCTTGGGCTGCGGCATCAGAGTTGGCGTAGTTTACGATTACTTTTGCGCCGCGACGACCGAGCTCACAGGCCATTTCGGCACCAATTCCACGGCCTGGTTTGTTTTGTTAGGATTTATTGGAAGAGGTGAGGGGGGATTTCATACCTGAACCAGTGACCAAGGCTACTTTTCCCTTCAAGCTGGCGCTCTCAAGACCGAGAGGACCTGGGATCTTGGTGTAATCAACCTTCTCCTTGGTACCGTTGGTACCGTTGGTAGCTCCATTTGTTCCGTTTGTAGCAGGCATTTTGAATGATGTATAGAAAGATTTGTTTGGTGAAAGAGTGCGTGTATGAAAATGGGTATCAAGAGTATTGTAAGATCAAAGCAGAAGACTATGAAGTAAAGATGATGAAACTAAGTATCATACTTTTGGAGAAACCCACGGTATCTATATATCATTTTCATCCAGCTAAAAATATCAGCCAAGTCAAGTGAAGTCAAAGCAAGCTCTAGTAAGCCGACGTCTCAATGCGCATACGAAAAGGATTGGCATTGTCTATCTGATCTCGCTCTATTCGAAGTCCGTGAGAAGCGAGCTTACGAGCGAGGATAGATGCATTCCTGCATGTTAGTTAGTGTCCGTCAAGCAGTGATGATCTTGCTAAGCTTATTGATACATTTGCGAGGCGAATATAGGCTATAGTTTTGGAATGTCAAAGTTTGGATGGTTTTGCGGCTGATGTAGCGGATCCGAGATCTGATGGCGTGGCATTAGACCAGGAATGGTCAGGTGGATTTCGGACGTCCAGCTTCAGATTGATGGGTAGATGGTAAGGTAAGATCTCAATTATATGGATATGATAATTGTTGTTGGGGAAGTCGTGAATTGGAGATGTAAGCAGCTTGGCTTTCCATTCTGTCCATCTAACCTCGGTTATATCGCGAAGGCCCCTTCATCGAGATGAATGGGATAATTTGACCTTTGAATAGATAGGTATCTAGAAAAAAGCAAACAACCTGTTGCCATTGTGTGTAGAAACATACAAACAATACTGTGATCCCACAGCTTTCCGGATGTGCAGGGTCAAAGACAGAGAAAGGTTAAAGGCTAGAATAGTAATTTAGGGGTGGTCGATCATAGTCCGTGCATGGGGGAATTTTGCATATCCATGAACCAATAAATCTTCAATGTTTCATGTTTCAACATTTTTTCACAGCTACTCGAGTGCTACTTCGTAATCGCGTTGTTTGGGTCAAACGCCAGCACCGTGGGGTTGTCCGATCAATTGCAGTTGTAAGAACCGCCATTCGGATTCTTCGTCAAAAGCGAAGACCGAAACCGAAAGAGAAGAAGAGATAGATGATAGAGCTATGTTTCATGATATGTGCATAGTGTGATTTGATGATGTTGGATCGACCTTAGTTGAAGCTCGGAGTTGGTTTCTCGAAGTTTTGTTCTGGAAAGTGTGGAGTTGGTAAGGTTAACGCTCGACATCCTTTTTATGAGACTTCTAAAAATACCTGAATAGCTGCAGTTCTTCCGATTCATGTCGTTCGATGTTTGTTCCCTCGGTACCAAAAACAATTACTCAATACTTAATATAAAAAGCCCATGAATCAATCCATCCAGTCCATTAATATGACATAAATAAGTAGGCGCAAACCAAAGATCTCAAATCGCAACATGTGAGCCTTCGTAAACTCGTGTTATTAGTACCTACGTACTAGTATATACGTACTGTACTTGTACACAAATCATTTGTACAATAGTTCCAAGAGTCTTCGAGCTCTCGGCCATTAGCACAGCTCTGCAATTCCTACCTAAGCACAAGTAACACGACAAGATGTCGCCCTTCCGTCCTCAAACAGTTCCATACATTTGTATAGAAGACTTCGGAGATCGGATGATTTCCATCATTTGAACGCGTTTGACCTTTGACCGTTCCCGTTCTCTGGACTTGGCAAATGCTGGGCAATACTGGGCAGTGGAAATGGCCACGTGATTTGCATCTTGAATCTGGGACGATTTGATCTAGTTTGACTATTCGAGCCTCGTTGGCGCTTAGCATACATCATCCTATTACCTTTCCTTTGGACGTGTGCTATTCTGGGTTGGTGATATTGTTCGTTTGTGGCTTTTGGAAGGAATTCTGTGAATTGCGTTCGCGCATCTCGTGGTAGCTAGTGTGCTTTTCCTTCTCAATTGTCAGATGTACAAATTGTTGCCCGTATACAGCTTCGCATTATCTGTGTTTGATCATAGAAGATATATGTCTTGAGGGAGAAGTTAATCACAACGTCATATCCACGTATCACCTTAGCCGCGTAGCGACCAACACGTTAGACAACACTATTGTCACACGACCGTAGACCATAAGTCGCGGCAATGTTGTCACACAGAACACAGCAGAATACGAGTTTTGATGCAACGTTGAAAAACCGCAGCTAAATAAAAATGTTTTGTGAAATTCTAGCCAGCAATTATAAAATGACTAATGGGGGATATCCTAGTGCTAGTATAACAAAGTATGCAAAACAAATTCGCCTTAATATGCTTTCAAACATTCCCTATCCACACTCCAAAAGAAATCCTATCCCTCGTCATTATTCGCTAGAAAGAGGTTTTCTACCCCATACAACATAACTATACAGGTTAGCACAGTACAGTCAAAAAAAGGGATTGGGACTTACACAGGGAGATAGGCGTGAACATTCCGGTCCTTCACAGATTCTTTTGCTTTTAGGAGTAATTCGTCGACATGCGCCTCATCCCATTTCAATGCCTCCTTTAGAACTCTCCTAGTCGAATACAGGAATAACTTTATGTCTTTGTGCATCATTGCACCGATTTTCTTCTCTTTTGCTCCTATAGGCCAATCGTTTATCGCATTGTGAAAAACTGTCTCAGTCACATCCTCGAATCCGATCTCTTCCATCCATCCCATATACTTTGTGACATTAGTCCAAGGTCTTCCGGTGGCTTCACCGGAATCACAACATGCTTGAAACCATTCAGCAATCGCAGTGCCTTCCACCGAGCTGTCGATGGCATCTAGTGGAAATCTGGGATCAAGAATCTGACAATAACCACCAGGCTCAAGGGCATTGAAAGCTGATCTGAACACCTCTTTCTCGCTTTCAAAACACATCATCAAATCGCGAAAGTGGATAAAATCAAATTTATGTGGAAAGTTCCAAGTTTCTTCGGCGTCAGCAACAATAAATTCGCAATTTTCAGGTTTACTATCATTTTGTTTAGTCAAATTTTACCTGTGTTGAAGGACGGAGCTCACCTCTTGCGCGTCGAAGGGCTAAGATCAGTTCCAATAACATGTGTATTTGGGTACTCGGTAGCTATTTGGATTAGTTTCGTCTACTATTGATGAAGCTCGAGATGATTTACCAAATTCAACTGCCCATGTTCCATGTCCAGTTCCAACACTAAATTATCAAGAAGTAAATAATCGTATTTTATTTCTTTGACAGATGGAAGTAATCGATGACGCATTTAAGTATAAAAAGGCCATAGAGAGAGGTTGAATAACGGGGATTGTGTGACTAGCCATTGAAAGAATGTACTCACTCAAGAACATGATTTATCTCTTCTGGCTTTATAGGAGCTAAGTATATTTTATCATTCATCGTCAATTTCAGCATCCGATGTTGGAGCTCTAGTCAAAGTTAGCCACAATGTAGACATTGAGATATTAGCAGCGAATGCACTAACCCAATCTATCTTGTTCTAACTAGAAGTATGTCTTTCAGCGAGGGTCATTATTTTACCAGGACAAAAATCTTACCTTATCGATGGGCAACTTATATTCTGCGAGTGTTGAGTCAATATGTCAAATCGTGTTTGTTTAAGAATTAGACGCTGGACTTACTTTCATCCTTGCTTTCGTGAAATATTCTGGCTGTATCCGTGGTACATTCCTCTTCGCTGTCGGAGTGGCAAGTATCAGCAATCTTGAGAGCATTATATTAGCATGTCGTGCATGTATAAGGTAGTTGGAGAATCCTCCAGAAGCCACAAACAGCGGGGTCGACCTCTAGCTCAACGGTCAAGGTTTCTGTAATCACAATATCAAAGTTGGACATGACGGCGTGTTTTTCGTATTTTTTCTCTAACCGAAACAGTGTACAGAAGCAGTGTTTTGAGGGAGGGTCGGTATGATGCCGTGATTGCAAGAATTTAAGAAGTTACTGACCTTTGTCAAAGGTGGGATTCCAAGCCAATTTTCCGAACGATTGGGAGTGCAGATAGCCGATGAAGATCCTCAAATATTGACTTCCAATTTCTCGTACTCCCCACCTCGCACGGAAAGAGCAACACTGTAGAATTTGCTTATGTCGGCTGGATATATCGGAATAGTTTCCCGATTCGATCAATTTTGGTATGAGAATACCGGATTTTTGACCTAGATCGGAACATGGGGTACTTTTAGTCAGATGCTGTATGAAATTGAATAGGAAAAAACCCCTGATCTTCCCAATGAAAACTAATTACATAGTTCTTCTGGAAAATACCCTAGAAAGTAGAGTCAAGTATTTATATGATATTCACAATCTTTATATCAATTCCTTCAGATGTACTGAAAACCTATCTATATCGAATTTGAGTGGTCGGATTTTCGGCCGAGTCCAGTATAACCAAGTTCTACTATAGTTAGGTCTAGAACGTTACCGAGAAGTATATGAAAGAGTGGCCACGGTACTGTTATCAGGAGATTGAAAATCGGTACTACTGCCTTTTGATTAATATCTGTGCCGTGGGATGTAACCTTCCTTGATCCTAGTCCGGGGACATTTTCCCCTGTGCCGCAATGGTAATAATTCTCGGTACTTGGCATGGGCGCGGAGTACTAATCAGGGACAAGAGACTCAAGATAGTCAAGATTTCTTTGCAGGTTTCGTTATTAGAGTCAGCCATGTACCACACGGTCCAGTACTCTGTTACCTTAGTAAATGTGTTCGAAGTCGAATGTTAGTGTCTGCCAATGAATCGCATGGAGATTCTGTCAACCATGCCTGGTCGAGCCATATTAAATTTAACTAGGCTGTGCTCCGTAGAGGCCCCAGAATTCAAAGTCGTGCAACCTGCAAGTCGGCTAACGAGACTTCTTGAGCGGTATGGAATGTTTTAGTCTTCTGTCGTCTGCCAATGCATGTGAACACCGCTACCAGCCATTCTAAACGATATATGGTGTGGAGACTCTAAGCTTTCAGTAGGGCTTTCTCAAAGTGGAATATTGTGTACTATCTTCCAATTAAATGTCGTTTCTTTTATCCTTGTGCTTGATCCCCTCGACCTGGGTATTCCCGAGGGTCTCCATCGCTTAACTAGGATATTCACATACTAACCACTAATATTCTTTAGTTTTTAAACAAAGTTTTTTGTTTTTTTTTATAATAAAAAATTCCTAAAACTAATATTATAATATTCAGATCTTAAGTAGAATAAATAATATAAAATTGGTTTTAATATTCATATTCATATTATTATTTTTATTTTTAAATCAAAACATTTCAAATTTATTTTAAAATTAAGCTTCAAAGAAGGATTTCTCAAGATACTATTTATATTATTTTCGACCAGTTAGGTGTTATGATTCGGGGAAATTGCACGGGCCTCTTTTAAAGTCGATTTTTGATAGTCTATAAGAGATTAATAACTATGGAGATTCTAGAGATTGGTAAAAGGTCGGCACGCACTTTTTGATCGCTGTCAATTCATTTAAAACCACCCCATTAATTGTCAACGGACGAGGGCATCCATATGAAAATCGCGACTGAAACTTCCACTCCGCAGATATATTTCCATAAAACATATTTATCATCAAAATTTGGTGACTGCATTGAACGGTTGAGTGTCTTCCATCCTTTTATACCACCAGCATCAATTTCCTATCCGAAATGAAGTTTGTGTCTCCTAAGTGGACATTGTAGGCAGGCCAGGGAAGGATGGGCAGCTTGTTAATCGACCGATTTGTGGTAGAGGTGCAAGCACATTGATTGATTCTCGTCCTCAAGCTCGCCACTCTCGATCAGCATTAACAGGTCTCGTTCCCGCCGTTCATTTGGACAACTCTCTTTGGGAAGCTTGGCAACTTATGGAAGTGTAGGATGAATACTTCCGTGTATGTAAATTTCATGAGTATCAAACACGAGTCGTATGCCTCCTCCCAAAACGTTCCAATCAACCAAACTGCACCCTAAACGAATCCGATAGTATTGCATTCGAATTGATATGTGTAAGTTTTCACGACAAACCCCAATATAAAGCTTTTATCTTATCAATGGGGGTTTACTTGGAGACGGCGGGACTATCCTTGGCAATGGGCATAAATGTTCAGTACGAGTCAATTCATGGTTCATATATATCCTTCATCGATTAAGGGCCAACCACATAGAGCGAGCCCAATGGCGGATGCTCTTAATATCAATCGAAATGATGCTTTATGAGCAGAATCATCAAGTGGAACAAACGAGCAAGATCTATGAACATGCGAAAAGAGTGATTTCTTTTCTTGGATAGGTATTGATGAAAGGGGGAGACATTTCTTCCTCCCACGATAGCGTACCTGCGGGATTTGTTCCATTCCATGCGATCAGGATTCTTCAGTCGACTTAGCGGACGATCGGATTCAAGAGTACCAATCACGGGATTACCTTATTCAATTTCGCCACTTGGTCCACGTCGCTCCTTAGGTGCATTATGTCGGTTATTCTACGCCCATACTGGAAGCGACTTTATGTCATTCAGGAGTTAGCTCTTGCGAAGGAAATATTGGTCCACTGCGGTGAATATAGTTTTGAATGGAGATATCTCGCTCGATGTTGTGATAATCCGGAATAGGGACCCGAACGATGGATGAATATTCACGATGAGTAAGTATATAGATTGATCCATAAGATTATGGACAGAATATAATGTGGGCTCCATCGGCAAAGAAAGGAGAGAAGAAACCATGGAATGCAAGCGCATCCACTTCCCAAGCTTCTTTTCACATGCAACGAGGCAGTGCGAAGACGTTCGTGGTAAAGTTTTTGGTTTGCATAATTGTGCTCATTATTGTTGCAACAAGATATACCTGTCGATCATGAAATCTCAATCCTCGAGAAATGCTCAAGCATTCTGAACCATCATTTCTCTGAGCGTCATTCACCATCATTTTACACGGCTAGAAATACCACAGTTTCTCCACAGGCTCTTGAATGCGCCACAATCAGACGAATACCTACAACGAAGGATACTTGGTGCTACGGCCAAAGCTACAGTCAAACTCGATGGCACTCTAGACGCTACCATTTCGTGGCTAAGCCCTCAATCTGATGATCTTCCACTCAGTGGGCGACGTGCCGCATGTGGAAAGGAGGTAACAGGGAATTTTGAGGTATGTAACAAGGGACAAGGTGAAAGTTTGTTTGGGTGTGTCTTCACCGCAGTCGTTGTGTCTGGGGAAGGGTTGATGGGTTTCGGGGGTTGGGCTACCGTGTTTAGGCTTTAGGGGATGAAATAGTTGGGCGCTGGATATTACCTTGAACGAATATGCTTGGATATATATTTAATACTTAATGGGGTCAGGCCTGAGATGACCTAGGAGAGTCTTGGCTTATAGTATTCCTAGCTTGATATAGAAGACATATTTTTAAAGAGTCTTAGACGTTATGGATCAGGACAACTGAACTCGTGTGTATCATATCTCTAGAAGGGTGTGACTTGGAATCGGTGTCATAGGAATCTTCGTGATGTGGATTCCTTAACTCGATGAAGACTCTTACATAAGAGTCTCGTTGAAATTGAACGGTTATCCACGGAAAACCGTGGGGAGTGTAGGGTTTCTAGTTGTCTTTCGTGATTGGTCGGTCCACCAGGTCCGTAGCTAAAGAACCATCGGTTGAACATCGGCCCGTACCATGAGCTCTCCCCGCATAGTTCCCCAGATCCAACCATCAAGCTTAACTTCACAAACAAAACACCAGTTGAACTTGGACAATGCAACTTCAAGATGTTATCGCGGCGCATATTTCAATGTCGAAATACCGGCTTACAAATTAGCCAACTGCGACGTCTCGCAACAGCAGCTGAGCCCTTGGCAAATGGAGCGAATGGTAATCAGCAACATGGAGACAATCGTGTCAAAATAGTGGAAGTGGGACCTCGAGACGGATTACAGAATGAGAAGACGATTATACCTTTAGCAACAAAGATAAGTCTCATTGAAAAGCTTGCAAATACGGGCTTGCAGGATATTGAAGCTGGTTCTTTTGTTGCGCCAAAATGGGTGCCACAAGTAAGTTGAGACCCTATACTCCTAGATGAGCAAAGACTGACTTCAAGGGCTGCCACAGATGGGAGATGCGGGCGAAATTCTCGAACATGTTCTACAAAATCAGAACCAGTCGTCTATTCCATTACGATACTCTTTCTTGGCGCCCAACAGAAAGGGTCTTGACAAAGCTTTGAATATTTTGTCTCAAAATCGAAATGCATACAACACTGCCGACATTCCTCTTCAGGGCGCCCCCAAGGATCTTAATTCATCTCCCAATAAACCCTATATCGAGATGGCGGTCTTCGCAGCAGCAACCGAGTCCTTTTCACAAAAGAACCTTAATTGTGACATTGCAACATCATTAAAACGATTTGAAGAAGTCATACAAGGTGCAAAAGCAGCCGGAATGCGAGTTCGTGCCTACATATCTGTAGTATTGGGTTGTCCATTTGAGGGCGGGAATGTAGATCCTCATCGCGTGGCAGAAATAGCAACGGAATTATTGGAAATGGGAGCGGACGAGATTGATCTCGGAGACACAACTGGGATGGGTACTGGACCTAAGACTTCGAAACTTTTGCGTACAATGCAATCAGCGGGGATACTCAATGAGGACATAGCGATGCACTTCCATGACACATATGGACAAGCCTTGATCAACACTGTTGTCAGCTTGGAGCATGGTATTAGAACCTTTGATAGTAGTGTTGGGGGATTAGGTGGATGCCCATACAGTCCTGGGGCTACTGGAAATGTCGCCACGGAAGATATGGTTTACTTGCTAGAGAGTATGGGGATGCAGACCGGTGTTAATCTAGATGAGTTGGCTGATATTGGACAATGGATTACTGGGGAGATTGGGAAGCCTAATGCAAGCAGTGTTGGGAAGGCAGTGATCGGAGCAAGAAGACGCAAGTAATTTTGCGGCTAATGCAACCTTCGCACTCAGAGTCTAAAGCTGTTTGTGTAGCATGGTGAGGTGACGGATGACTGGCGTTCGGTGTGAATTGACGAAAAGCTGGGCAGAAATTGTGTATTGGATGTATAGCATTAGCGGCTACGGCCATTCCACCGTTTATTGAATCATACAACGAACGAATATAAATATAAACTGACCATATACTTTCACCCTTCTCATTGGTACATACTCTAAATGAGGGACAGCATCGTAATTTCAGTTATCGCCAAGATCAAATCACGACACGTGATCCAACTCAACCTTGTCGCTTATCGTAATTGCCTCCATTCTACCAAGTAATCAAGCTAAGCTCCACTCTGAAGCATCTCAAGCTCTCCAACCTCACAAACAAGCAAGCTAGTTATTCACGCAACCAACCAGCATAATCATCGCTGGAGCTTCTTGCGAGCTGAAGCACTTCTTTCCATTTTTTTTGTCTTAGTAATCGAGTAAACCGCAAACCAGTTTGCAACAATGGGGGATCCAAGAGAGTCGTCGTCGTACAGTGTTACGCCGCGAATCAGGTATAATACCATCGGCGGTATCAATGGTCCCTTGGTTATTCTGGAGAATGTGAGTTTGAATGATGATGGGTAGGTGGTACTTGGGCATGTTCTGATAGGGTCGCAGGTCAAATTCCCAAGATACAATGAGATTGTTAGCTTGACTCTGCCTGATGGCACACAGAGGTCAGGACAAGTGTTGGAAGCTAGAGGTATGTGGTATATGTGCTATTGAATATGCGGAACCAGTTGCTAATTTTATATAATCTCTAGGTGATCGAGCAGTTGTCCAAGTACGAATCCGATTTCCGTAGGATACCAACATTTGATACTAACCAACGGTTTAGGTTTTCGAAGGTACTCATGGTATCGATGTGAAAAAGGTATGGCAAAGTTACAAAAGCATTTCAGCTACTGTGTTGCTAATACTGCAGTAGTCTACAGTCGAGTTCACAGGACACAGCTTGAAACTTGGTGTCTCCGAGGATATGTTGGGTCGAATCTTCGATGGATCTGGAAGAGCTATCGACAAGGGACCAAAGGTGTTGGCGGAAGATTATTTGGACATTAACGGAAGTCCTATTAACCCATATTCAAGAGTAAGACTTGCAGATCGGTAGTCGAATTCTTTGGCTAATCTATATCAGGTTTACCCCGAAGAAATGATCTCAACGGGTATTTCTGCTATCGACACTATGAACTCCATTGCTCGTGGCCAAAAGATTCCTATTTTCTCCGCTGCAGGTTTACCACATAACGAAATTGCTGCTCAAATTTGTCGACAAGCTGGTTTGGTTCAGAAACAAGGTGTTACAAACAAAGGCACACACGATGGACACGAGGAGAACTTCTCCATTGTTTTCGCAGCTATGGGTGTCAACTTGGAAACTGCACGTTTCTTCACTAGGGATTTCGAAGAGAACGGAAGTCTTGAGCGTGTCACCCTTTTCTTGAATTTGGCTAATGACCCTACGTAAGTTTCACGCCAGTCTCTCCCTATAGCCGACAAGACTAATGTTTCATAGTATTGAACGTATTATTACCCCTCGTCTTGCCCTTACCACCGCCGAATATTACGCCTACCAATTGGAGAAGCATTGTTTGGTTATCCTTACCGATTTGACTGCATACTGTGATGCTCTTCGTGAGGTTTCAGCTGCCCGTGAAGAAGTACCTGGACGTCGTGGATACCCCGGTTATATGTACACGGATTTGTCCACCATTTATGAACGTGCTGGTCGTGTCCAAGGTCGAAATGGATCCATTACTCAAATTCCTATCTTGACTATGCCTAACGACGATATTACTCACCCTATTCCCGATTTGACTGGTTATATTACTGAAGGACAAATTTTCATCGATCGTCAACTACACAACCGTGGTATCTACCCACCTATCAACGTGCTGCCATCTCTCTCCCGTCTCATGAAGTCTGCTATCGGAGAAAAGCTCACCAGAAAGGATCACGGTGATGTTTCTAACCAATTGTACGCCAAATATGCCATTGGTCGTGATGCAGCATCCATGAAGGCAGTTGTTGGTGAGGAAGCTTTATCTTCTGAGGACAAGCTCTCGTTGGAATTTTTGGAGAAATTCGAGCGTACTTTCATTTCACAATCTGCTTACGAATCGAGAACCATTTATGAGTCACTCGATCAAGCATGGAGCTTACTTCGCATTTACCCCAAGGAATTGCTCAACCGTATCCCACAAAAGGTTTTGGCCGAATTCTACCAACGATCTGCAGCTGACCGCAAGGGTAAAGGACGTGCTGGCAACAAGGATACCAAGGATAACAGTGAGGAAGGTAAGGCGAAGGATGCGCAAGAGGAGAACTTGATCGATGCATGAATATGAAATTGCTGCGGAAGGGAGGGTAGTGAAGAGTTGTTTTGGAAGAGTGTAAGAGGGTGTTTAGTCTTGTCAATATATCTCTCGGATTCCTTTGCATTGAAATGAGCGCGCTTGTGTAGATATTATGAAGAAGAGAAAGTCGAGCGCTGAATTAGAATGATAGTTTAACGTAACATTTCATTTCGATATATGCAGATTGTACGGGAGGAAAAGTGAATACTGAGCTCGTTCATCATTCTAATGATCAGCCCAACCACAATGGTATTCTTACGGAGCATGTGCATGTGGTACAACATAACCACAAGTATATGAACGCCGCATACCTGCATATCTAGTTACACTACCTTTATATTCCCTACGGACTACACACCGTTGGACTGCGATGATCTACCATATAAAGTCGGTCCTAAGAGATATGAAAAGTCATAGCGTTTTGATGGTGAAGGGTTCTGCCTTATATTTAATTCTATCTGATTCTGATTTTTGAATAACCAAACAATAATATCATTATCATCATATATATTCAAAAGGAGGAGAGAGCAGGCAGACTCCTTCACTCTCAAAATGCCATGAGTTTTTTATATCTCGTAGGACCGAGTTTATATAGTATTTATACACCTATACCTAGTAGTACCTAGTAGGATCTAATTAGGGAGGTAGGTAGGTAGGTAGGTAGGTAGGTAGGTAGGTAAAATGATTTTCCGTGGAAAAAGTAAGCGAGTATCTAGTGGGTGGGTAAGTAGGTAAAAAGTAAAAGTATAATTTGTGTATTTGTGTTATTTGTGTAATTTGTGTAAGAGTGGTTTAAGGTTATATATGCGCTCGAATGATATGGTTTGGTATGGTATGGTATGGTATGGTATGGTATGGTATGGTACCTATGTGTGGTATTTATAAGTAGGTGGTGAGATGCTCGGTAAAGGAAGGGTAAGGGTATTGCTAGGTAGGTAGGTAGGTAAACTTAGGTGTGTATATATATGTTTGTTTGTTATTGGCCAGATAGATCATTAGGATCTTATTTACTCGCAGAGTCCCCCGAGGTCATGGAATAGAAGGGCAATGTTAGATGTTCGATGTTGGGTTGGATGGAGCAAACCCCGCACCTTCAGGGTTTATTTAGTAGGTCCCGAGCTTAATGAGCTTGAGAATTAAACGCACCAATCATAAGAGTGTTATCATGGATTTCTAGTGAATGGATGGTTCGGAACCGTGGAATTGGAATCGGGATGGGAGTGGGATACAGGATAAATCAAGCTTTTCTTAGAAGTCAGGGTTGTACCTGTACCTGGACTAGATTGATGGGAGCTTGGTTATTTGTCAATGATGAGGAGCTCGAGAGGCTAAGATAGGCTGAAAATCTGAGAGAGAGACCAACAGCGGTCAACAATTCGTCCTACCTTTACCTCGGTATCGACTGATGGAAAGATGCAGTACGAGGTGAGCAATAATACCCCCGCATCATCTAGACGACAGAAGAATGAATCGACGAATCGTGTGAGTGGAAGGAGGAGGATTGCTTGGAGCTAGCTTTCACCGCATGTTGGTTTGTACCTGGAGAAATATGTTGTGTTCTGGGTCCTGGATAAATGGAGATGCAGATGCATGATTGTGTGCGGGGCAGTTACCCTGGCCTTGTTTATTTAAGTTGTTAACTTTTCCTCGTCTTTTTCGGATGATTGTTAAACAATTGCTTTGTTGCTTTGTTGCTTTGTTGCTTTATTGTCTTGTTCGGAGATCGATCTTTTGATTGTTGCTTGTTGATTGTTTGTTCGTTGACGGGCAAGTGCAACGCTTTCATTCTTATACGAACGGGCCAAGTAGCAGATTATTTCTTGTTCGAATGCCTCGTTGCAAATTCACTGCCCAGATTATATAGATGAGCTTGATCAGATGATCATTTTACCCCAGTACCCCGTATTTTAAAATTCACTGTGGGGACGGGAATCTACGGCTCAATTACCTACATCCATCATCCATCATCCATCATCCATCATCTTATTAAAACCCTTCAATCCTCCTTCCAAGATAAACGCCATTTATTTCACAATCAATCACCTCTTCTTCATTCCAACAATACTTCTCAATAACTTCTACGTAAATACTTAATTTTACAGTTATTTGGTATTGAACAACTTTCATCATGATATCACTTAACATGATATCAACAATTCTCCTCGGCGGCCTAGCAAGCTTAGCGGCAGCTCAATCGCCCGGTCAAGCATACACAGGAGTAGCCGGAAACAGCACCATAGCCGGTTCCTCCCTCGGTCCCGACGCAAACGGCAAATACGAACTCTCCGCCCCTGGTATCCGAGCAAACTTCATAGCCTACGGTGCATCAATCTCCAATCTCTTCATCAACGACACCTCCGGTATCGAACGCGATATTGTCGGAGGTTTTGACAATGCGAGTTACTATGGAGTTGATAGACAACATCCGCATTTTGGAGGCGTACCAGGTAGATATGCAAACCGTATCAAGAATTCGAGTTTTGTTATTGATGGAGAGACGTATCATGTGTTGCCGAATGAAAATCCGACAAAGGATAATCCAGAGGGTGTTGATACGTTGCATGGTGGTCCGAAAGGTTGGGATTGGAGAAATTGGACTGTGGTTGCTCATACTACTAGTTCGATTACTTTTAGTTTGACGGGTGAGTTTTGATTTCTGTTTGGGGTTTGGATTTCCGTTTTGAGTTTGGATGATTGGCTAATTTTTGGGATTAGATCCAGATGGAGAACAGGGATTTCCTGGAGAGGTTGTTAGTTATGTGACTTATACTTTGAGTAATATGACTTGGTCATTCAAAATGATTGCTATTGCTACCACGAAGAAAACTCCCATCATGTTGAGTTCTCATGTACGTATTCCTTTTATCTGTCTGACATCATTTTAGCTCCCCACACAAGTATCTAATATATCATCAGACTTACTGGAACCTTGATGGATTCGCCAACAACGAAACAGCTACCGCTCTCAACCATTCTCTCTACTTACCATACGGTGGTCAAAGAATCGGTACAGATAGCATCCTCATACCCACCGGCGACATCATCGCAAATCAACCCCAGTCCCTCAACGATTTCTGGAGCACTCCCAAACAAATCGGCGCCAACTTCACCAACCCAGACCTACTCGGAAACTGCGGCGAAAATTGCACCGGCTACGACACAGCCTATCTCACCAACCGCGACGCAGCCACCGTTTCCTCCTGGCACGTCTCCCCCGTAGCACGTCTCCGCTCCGCATGGTCCGGCATCCAAGTCGACATCTTCACCGACCAACCAGCTTTCCAGGTTTACTCCTGCGGAGGCCAAAATGGATCTATGGCGTTGAAAGAAACGCAGGGACTTTTTAATGTTTCAGATAGACCTCGTGTTATCCCGCAGTATGGATGTGTGGTTATGGAAGTCGAGGATTGGATTGATGGGATTAATCAGCCTGCGTGGGGAAGAAAACAAATCTGGGGTCCCGAGGATGGTCCGTATGTTTTGGAGGCGAAGTATAAGTTTAGTTTGAATAGTACTCGGATGGGTTTGTTGGGTGAGGGATCGGGCTAGATGGTTGGTTGGTTTGTGATGATGATTTGATGATATGATTGATTGATTGGCTTGAGTTTTTGGTGGAATGTTGGGAAATTCAAAGGGGGTTTATTTAATACATACATAGGTGCCTACATAGATATAATACTCGTTGTAGTAGTTAATTAAGTAATGAATTATATCTCAAACACACAACTCGGTTTGATAGAAGTTTGTTAATTTTTTGATTTCTTGATTTATTTATACAATATAATAGAAATAAATGAGATCATCTAATTGGTTAAATAATTATTATAATTTTAATATCTAGATAAATTATATATTATTTTAAATATATAAATTGTATATTATATTTATAATAATATATGTAAAAGAAGTAGAATTTTAAATAATCTTATAATACAAAAGACGAGAAATGATTAATATATTAAGTTTGATTGATTCAAAAGATTATTATATTAATAAATTGAATTAATATTATTTTTATATCAATGTTAATAGATGTTAATCAATATCAATATTTATCAATATTTATCAAAGCAATAAATATCGGTGCTGTATTTACCCAATCCGGTTGAACTCTATGCTTTGTTTACTTCTATCTCCTTATTCTACAAAAGTCCTAATGCGGCTCAAATCACAACTCTCAAAGAAACTTTCCTTTCTTCATCAAGATGGAATCCTATATGGGGTTCAGAGTCTTTGTTAGCCACTCGGTGTTTCAACTTCTCTTTTACAGTTCTTTTGTGATATATGGATAATGTTGCGTTCTTTTTCGATGGGTTTTCGATAACTGAGAAAAATGATCGATATTTGATGTGCATTGTAAAATCTTTGGTATAGAAATATGGCTGTCAACGCTCCAAATGGCCGTCCTGGACGCTACATGGTTCCTGCACCAACTGCAGATGAATGGAGCAAATTGTCGGATTTTGAAAAGGATCGCAAAAGAGGACAGGAATGGCTGAAGCGTTCTTATGGATGGGAAATTAATGCGGATAAGCTTGCCGGTCAATCTAAGTGGATTGGAGACAAGGTGCTGGGCAAGGGCTGTGCCGTAATTAAAAAGGGTACATACGTTAAAGGAAATTATATTTACGAAAGGTTCGTTGTGAAACAAGCATCTAGTCCTCAAGCAAAAGCATCAATGCAAAATGGGGCCTACATTAGCAAATGCTTAGGAGAGGAAGCTCTTAACCACAAGCCTGAGCACATAGTTACGCCGATCGGGGGTTATAAAGAAGACGCGGGTACTGGTACCGATGACACATTCGATCCTGTGTATGTTCACGACTTTGCCCCGGATACGGTGGCAAGGATATACACGCCGTACTATGAAGGAGGGAATTTTCAGCAGTGGCTAGATGAAAATTACAGGTGGGTGCTTTGTATCGTAATTGTTCCAACTTATAGTGAGTCATCTCAGTTCAGAATATCCATCGGAGAATGATGTTTGGAGCGTTATGGAATGTTTGGCAAGAATATGTATGAATCTAGAGCATGGGTATGAGGCACGCGGTCTCAGAGCTGATAGAAAGGCCTTTCAACCAATCGCTCATCTTGATATAAGACCTCAAAGCAGTAAGCAGCCCTTTCACTTGAGGGAAAGCCAGAAATACTAAACTATCTAGTTTTTTGTAACCGTAGCGATCTGAGAACAGATGGGCAGCACGCTATTCGCACAAAATTCTCGGTAAGCAAAAGCATTCATGTCCAGGGGATGGCTCTAATGTTGAATTCCAGCTTGGGAAATTTGAGAAAGCAGTACACGTTCCTTCTGACCCTACAGACAAAAAATGGATGTTTCGTGTCCATGGACGTGCTGACCCAAAATGGGCTGCTCCGGTATGTAGTTAACACCTTAACCCAAAATCTCTCGCTTATAGTGTTATCAGGAACAAAAATATCCACAAATGGAAGGGCGTAGCATCTCTTCATCCTGCAATGTCTTTGGAATAGGTGCCCTGCTCTACTATATGATAAAAGGAAAGGAAATCGATGATCGAGCATGGAGAATTGGGATGCCGGGATCCGCTTCTAATCCAGAAGTCAAGCTTTGCTTTGGAGGAGACCTGATTACAGAACCTGTCGCGAAACAACAGGAGTATTCCAAAGCTCTTATTCGGGTAATTTTAGAATGTCTCGCATATTTACCCAGTGATCGAATTACTGCTGCAAATCTCCGAGACGTAAGTGCCAGGGCGACGGAGAAAGCTTCGAGACCATGGCTTTACAGTGAAACACAATATACTCCGGGCGATCCGGCAACTATTTTCCAGCCTCAGGAAGAACTACAACCCAACGACTACACTGTTGAGGATCTGACACTGAGAGACAAGATTCCCGTGTACAATCCTCCCAGAGATCACCCAGAGACTTTACGAGCTCGAGCGGAAAAATGGCTGAGTAACTTCTGGCTATTTCCTGATAGTACGAAGAGTCAAGAAGCTAGAGACAAACAGAGAGAAATGTATGAGAGAGAAGTCGAAAAACAGAGACAAGAGGCAGAAGCCGCGGAGGCTAAGAAGCAAGCTACAATTAAGGCTAGAGCCGAGATACATGCAACATTTCGTCTTGCGGAGAAAGCGGAAGAGGCAGCACGTATCCAGTTGCAACAAGATCTAGCTAAAGCTAGAGCGAAAGCGATTCAGTCTCTTGCAGAACTTGATAGTGAAGAAGCAGAACAGATACTACTACCTCAGCCCAATAATAAGCGTGATCGATCTCCTGAGCCGCCCCAAGAGACAGAGAAGAGAGTTCGTTTCAATCCTTCGCTTGTGACTGAGGGCCGTGAATCTCCGACACGGGGTATATTAAAAAGTATATTAAAACCGTCGGAGAAGGACAAAGGGAGGGAGACTGTTGGGGTTCCAAATATTCTGGTATCGAAAGAACTTGGTGTCTCAACACAAGCTGGTTCAGCATCTCTACCTAGTCCATCGATAGGGTCTGGTAACATAGCACAAGGAAAAGCAACATTTCAGTCGGAATTACCAATAACATTTGGTGATAACACAGCAACTTCAGTATCGGCACCTTCGGTATCAGCACCTTCAGTACCAGCACCTTTACTTCCAGCACTTTCAGGGCAGGCATCTCTACCAAAATCACCGGTAGTATCTGGTAACACAGCACAAGCAAAACCAGTATCTGTAGCGAAACCGCCAATAACATCTGGTAATATAATACCTTCAGGACAAGCACCTTCAGGATTAGCACCTTCAAGTCCAGCACCCTCGGGAACGACATCTCTAACGAAACCACCACAAACATCTGGTGCCCCAGCCCAAGCAAGGCCAAATCCCTCTGATTATCGGGCAGAAGAGCGCCGAAAAATAAACGACGAAGCTAATAGAATGACAGCTGAAGAAAGGGCGGACGAAGCAAAATGGGAACGAGAAGTGAGCGAGTATCAGAGCCGGCGGGAAGAGGAGAAAAGGCGCAAAGAGCAAGAGGAAGAAGGGCGCGAAAGGCAAGCCGAAGCAGATGAGGAAGCAGAGAAAGCTTCAAAAGTACTCGAGCCTCCCATTGGAGGCGCATCAAGAGCTCTCTCAAGTAACGTGGATGTACCTAGCATGCGCAGGCGTCGGGAGTCTTCACCAGAACCATGGGGCCCAAGCCGCATTCATTCTGATATCGATAATGATAATAATAATAATAATGGAGATGACGATGATAGTGTGGAAGAGGTAACTTGTACGGGGTCACGCGCTCGCTCACTTCCTCGACCCAAGCCTCCCGGGGGAGACCCAGCTAATTGGCCGGCATTGGGCGGAGTTCCGGAAAGATTTCAAGAAGGAATGCAAGCAGAGCAATCTAAAACACTGTATTGCTCTCTTTGTGGCAAAGCTTATGAGCTGAGATCATATCTTGAAAGGCATATAGAGAATTTCCACTGGGGGAGACACGCAGTGATCGTGAGGCAGAAACCACCGAATCCAGAAGCACAACCCGCTAAGCCATCGAAACCCGTCCAGAAAAAGAAGAAAGGAAAGGCTCCTGCGAAACGTGCTAAGAAGCCTGCTGCGAGAGGTGCTAAAAAGCGTGCTGCAGAAGATGCTAAAGAATTGACAGACGCGGAGGTTCTAGAATTCCTGAACGAGGAATTTTGAAGTTTCAAGTGACGAGATTTGGAAATGAATAAATATGTATTCAACTTTTAATTATTTTTTCTTTTAAATTAAATTCATATTCAATAGCTAGCATTAATTAATTAAACAATATATATAAATTGTTTAAGTTCTACAGATATTAACTTCTTAGTTCGTCAAAATAATTAATATATTATATAAATATTATTAATATTCTTTTCTTATATTTAAATTATTAGAGTTAAAATATACATACAATAGCTTTTATATATTCGTAGTTAGTTTGCGAAATCTAATAAATTCCCCAGCACCTTCAACTTTTCATATTTTTATATAAATAATATCAAATATAATTAAAATTTAACATCATCAAACTCTAACTCTCTAGTTGGACAAGAAACGCCGTGGTGCTTGTAAATTCTATAATATATATCATCCTACACTCATCAATACATCATAAAAATCACACTCTGACTTGAATCTTAACCCCTTAATTTATTTAAAATATCCATCCATCTACTCATCCATCTATTCATCCATCTATTCATCCATCTATCTATAATACCTAACCCCCTCCCTCTTCACCCCCTTCCCCCTCCCCTCACTCCAAATCCACACTATAAAAAACAAATCTCCCTTCAAACCTCTCTCACCCGTATACATAAACACTCCTCTCTGTTGTCCACAAAAACAAACAACCGAACAACTAAACACCTAAACAATCAAACAACTAAACCGCCACCAAAAGCAGAAAACTTCAACCAATCAATCAATCCAAGATCTTACCAATAATAAGCTTTTAACCACTCTTCCCCCGGGGAATCTCATATACAATTCAATATTAATTACTTGAATACCCCAAAGATCTTAATATTTTACCTATTGTATATCTCGGTTAAATATAAAAGCTACTCGTATAAGATCGTATTTTTAAATTTATAAGTTAATAAGGGAATAATCAGGAGATACACTCATTATACATCTGAACAATAAGGATCCAAAAATCATAGGTTTATATTTATAAAGAATACCAAATTACTGAACAGGCCATCATGATTTCAGGTTCCATCCATTCAAGCGCACGATCAATAGTGAATCTCGTCTAATCTAGCCTGATGTTATCCATCTAATCTGAATCTAAACCTACCGTAATGCAATAGACAGATCCATTCCTCACTTTGCAAACCACAATTAATGAAGCATCCCCGAATTCTTAACACAAATCTGAAACAATTCATCCACAAAAGTCTGCGGTTCAACATCCTCACTAACCACCGCCGTAACCCCCCTATTTCCCTGCTTAGCATCGAATCTCTTTCCCTTCTCATCATTCCTCTTATCAGAACTATGTTTTACATCCCTCGCAACTTCCGTGCTGACCAATATGCCCATCGATTGATAGGAAGCTGCTCTTATTGGTTTCTGTCTTTCAATTCTTTCATTAGTATCGTTTTCATCTCTGGAGCGACCAAGACGTGTATCCCAAAGGGTTCTTAACCGTTCCAAGGTGGGTCGTGCTTGTAACTCCTTCTCCCTTTTGGGTACGATCCGAGTTATGGCGTTTCCAAAGGGGTCATGTTCCTCAACTACCTCGAGATTCACATGGCCATTCTCTCTAGTGTTTCTCCAACCTGATAGAAGTTTCTTTTCTTGTGAACAATCACGAGCGGTCGCTGCGAATATTGGTGAAAATTCTCGATATATGGCACGTACAAAAAAGGAATGGTCCGGAGCATTCTTGTAAACACGTTGTTGTAATTTAAATAGAGTAAGTGGCGCAAACGCGCATTTTTTACCGGGTGCACGTCGAGTGTTGATAGGTACCATTAGTCGGAACGCAATTAAGAATCCTATGCCGGGCCTGTGGTTTGCTGAAGTTCCACGACATGGAGCTTCGATAGGCTTGGATACTAGGCATGCTTCACTGAATATAGGATCGCCAATCTCGTATTTCAAGGACTGGAGTGTAGTAAGCAGTTGATTCGAAAATGTCTTCTCCCTTGTAGGTAGCTCTTTTGCCTTGACAGCCTTGGCCAAAAACCTTTGACATTCCGTTACACTAAGGGTATTCATTGCAGTCAAAAAGTCCTTCTGCCAATCTTCCAGCGTTTCAAAGGGTAATGTCATCGTCGGAATTTGGCTTTTGGCGTCTTTCCTAACAACAATATCAAACCCTCCTCGAACAGAAGCTCGAACTGCAAAACAGGCGAGATGACAACCTGGTTCTAGCATATCATCCTGATTCGCAAATCTCCACAGTTCGGAGAGATGTTTGGCAAGGTCTTCTTCCCCAATTTTCATGGTGTACGATAGAAGTGGCAAAACTTGTTCGATCTTCCCAAATCGATATCCAGCAGCTTGTAGAGCCTCTGCCTCGCGTCTCTGTACTTTCTTGGCAAGGAAGAGTAATTGGCCGGTTCCTGCTCCTGCATCTTTTTCGATGTCCTTCCTAGGCCTTCTAATTACCCGACGGCCACCTTTAATCTTTTGCTTAAGATCACCAATTATCCTCTCGATTAAGTCGCTCAAAATAGAGACCCTAGACTTGATGATTACTGATAAAGGAATCTTCTGACCCGTACCGATGACATCGTCATACAAAGGACCTAACTTTTCCATTGGGATACGAAGATCATTCGCAAGATCGGCGGCGGCGATGCAAAACAGTTCCCGAAATACGATGGAATAACCCTTAATCAAGTCACCGTCGCTATCCACAAGGCTTACTTCTTCCTTGCTACCAAGTCGATGTTTCTCAATATGATCATTGATGTTGAGACGCATAGCTGGAATAATATCTTTAACACAATGCCAATTCTTTGCTGCTCTAAATATCCACAGAAATATCGGATGCGAAGTGTTGAAAACTTCACTCAAGGACTAGAATACGTTAGTTTAAAGATAATTACAGAATAGTATCTAGACTTGCCCCCTCGATGAAGGAATTAGTTATCTTTCTATTCGGTAGAATACCCTGCGAATCGACTAAAACATTTCCATGCTTGTTGAATATGGCAGTCAACAAAGTGAGCTTTTGAGAACGATTGATAGTATCTTGTTTGTGTGTGAAGAGCACGAATTTTAATGTTATGTTTATGATGGCGGCAAGTATGGTCTATATAAATCAACATTTTGCTCCAAACTTCTTGGAACTAACATACCAGAACTGTAGCCACAATTATGGCAAATCCTTGAGTAGGATTTGAGTTTGGGGGTGTTGGAAGACCATTCAGGCGGTAGTGCGTGCCGATAGAAGATAGCCAATGTAATCCAGATATGGCAAATGCGAGTATACATGCGCAGGTACCCTTCTTGGACCAACCTGACGCCCATGATGAACGCCAGAGGAAAAACAAGTAGATTGATCCTATGCTACCTGAGATAGCTATGAAAGCAGAAATTACGACCCAGATAATATTGTAAAGGCATGTGTAGTTAGCGATACTAGCTTGTCCAAGGTAATGCATGCCACATATTCCCAGACCAGCCAGAGTTCCGCCTAGACCAACGCGGGGTATATCTACTGTTTCATTAGAGCCAACAGTCCAAAATGCGATGAAGAATACTATGACAGGAAGAAAAAATGACTCGGACGTCGAAGACTGATTATATGAGATTTGTAAGGTAGGATCGCCGTCACCTAGAATGATTCCTTCGTCACCGACGAAATGCATACACCAAATAGCAACACCTCCCATCGATATTGAAGCAAAAACAAGCACTGTCCTAATAGCTGATTAATCTAGGTTTTGGATTCGTAAAATTAACGCATAAGATCTTACCAGTTATAACGACCCTTCCTTGTCGTTCTCAAATTCAGTAGCTCAAAGGCTGTCCATGCACCTACCAAGCTGATAAAGTATGACAAAATGATATAGCCAGCGTCATATTTCTTGTCTATGATGTGCCCTTGCAATTTATGCCAGGCCTGAATAGTGCTATTGACGGGAGCCGTGGCATTGCTCGTATTGTTCGCGTCGACCATAAATGATTTAGTTCGCGGTAGTTTAATAAGTAGTAGCTAGTGCTACTGAAGGACTTGTTCTGTGCAAAGTGTTTAAGAGGCCGAATGTCGAGGTATGGCGATATTGCCGTCATTTGTGTTATGGATCGCTTTGTATTGAACGAAGTCCTCTCATCGCCCAAGTTGAGACTTCGTCTAAAATTGTAAGCTATTCCAAAGAATATGAGTTGTTTTTTAAGAACGATTAAAACCAGGTCCACGGTCGAATATGGGCGAGAGGTGGGCTGGGAGGGGAAGGCTCAAAAATCGTGGTTCTCGAGCGGAAATTTGGTCCTGGGTAAAAACCAGAACTAGGTATTGATTCAAAGTCCTGATCAAAAGTGAGTATCGAATCTGGTTCTAGTCCCAAAACAACTCCAGCGTAAAGAAGGCACTCGGCGAGGTAGTGCATAAAAACTCGATTGAGGGAGTAGGAGCAGCAATCCGCGGAGAACAAAGATCGAGGTAAACTCGGATGTATGCAGCATGTAAACAATTTTAATATCCAACGGCAATACAAGAGGAATAGGCAATAGGGAGTAATTATACTATACGTAATGAAGAGCAAAAGGAATGATTGTAGGTAACGCGAAATACATTTCCAAAGTATGAACTTTGGTAAGTCAGAGAAGAGCTCTCGCAAGAGATAGAGATGTTGTATTCGTTACTTCATTAGGAAAGAGCTCATCGAGGACTTAAGAACCAAAGCTCCTCATAAACCCATATTCTGGAAGGAAAGAAGGACATGCCGGAAGATAGCAGTCTCCGGTTGAGCTCCAGAACAGCTGCCATCACGCTCACACCCGGAATGCAGGGGAATTGTTAGAATCCATCGAGATTTGTAGCAAAAGGCCTATGCGCTTGCACAGTCTTACCACCACGTCATGGTATGTGTGTACTCCGTAGGAAGAATGCGTGCATTTGCCGTCTTCGACATGTAGCCTTAGTCAGATGCGATGCTGCTTTAAAACATCTCCCTCATTTAACCTAAAGCAGCACTCTTATACCCAATCCCCCTTTTTCCATCAAAGTTTATCTTCACTACTAGCCACGCAATACTGACAATAACGGTACTGACACCTCTCCTAATCCGCTATAGAAATAACCAAACAATGAGAAAAAGCTCCCTGTGGTTTTGACAGTAACGACAGTACAACGACAGTCGAAATCGCGCTACGAAGATGCTAACGGCCTCCAACCGTGTCATTCACGAGCATCAAAATGATAAATATATATACATCTGCAACATCGCTCATCCCTCAGCCAGTACAAATCGCTGTAGTATATCTCATTCAAATTCTCAATTCGCGATATATAGCTTGAACCTTTAACTGAGTATCTAAGTGTAATTTCTCGGAAAGAATGAGAACGAGCTATATATACCTGAAATGCTCATAACTGGGGTGTTGCAATCCTCACTCGGGCATTCTCATATATCAGGGCTTGTGTAAGCTTAATTGTTACTATTTCGCGATCCAGAGCCTATCATAAGATCACCAGGAATCTCATGAGACGCTATAGGCCAATCACCACAGGTGGTGAAAAGCTGGAATACACTACTACATAGAGCATATGGAAAATTCAATCAGATATTTTGCTTCAACGATTAAAGCCTCACAATGGTACTCTGGTTCAGCAAATACAGTGTTAGAGTTTGTTTATATTCCGTGTATTAAGTTCTGATATACGCTGAGATACCGAACAGAAGCAACTCCAACACAGTGGTCAAATTTCCCTGAAGCTCTCTCATTATGTCCCCTGCCGAGCTTAGGAATTTCTACCTCGAGATTCTGGACTCTTGGTAAACCCTCCACTCAACACTTAACTGTACGTTTCGGTTATCGTGTGTAGTCCTTGCAAATTTGGGTTGCTGTACATGATATCGAGTCATATTTATATATGAAATAATGAAGAATCTTGTTGACTTGGTGACAAGGTTCTCCATGCTCTCAATTAAATCAATGTCAGTTGGTATATTTCAACTACATTGGCCTCCTCGACGTAGATAAACCTCCAAAATATCATGAATCTTCTGCCTCTCGTCAAAACGGGCCTCCCTATTGTAATTCATTTACGCTGTTCTCAACCACTTGGAACCTTCGCGGAGATCGCCATTTGCAGGCTCATCATATCCCCTTTTTCGACCATCGCTGTTTGCCCATCTGTTATTTCGAAAAGGGTTATTGGAGGTAAGGCCGTCAGAAGAAATTGTGCGTGAGGCTTGAGTTCAGTATTCCGCTCCGATTTATAGATGGGCTTTGGCTCAATGGTACCCTTTTTTAACGGATCGTAAGTCTCATTCTGAATATTTAACCAGACCTCACCAACCGTCGCATTTGGATGCATCTTTGCAATCGTTCCCAACGAATTCAGTCTTTCCTCAGCTTTGAATAATTTCAATTCCATCTCTCGCACAATTGCCATGTCTCTTGAATGATTGTCATGATGCTCATCCTTTGATCGCTTGATTTTGGCCTCGTATTCTTTGCGGAGATCGTTTAACTTCTGACCCATTTTGAAATGAATCTGATCTCCCACAGCTGGAAACATCCCTATCAATTTTAGCAGGCTCATTCTCTTCGACAGAATTATCTCGTCCTCCGAAAGCATCCGTGTTGCTTGCAGCCTATCCAATTCCTTCTTGGTATCCTCAAGTTCATCTTGAAGCTGTGTAATGGCCACGGGATTGATGATTCCTTGTGTCATTACTGGCAGTCGGACTCGTGGTTTTGTACTTTCGACAACCACGCCGGCCCTTTCACCATTGCCATCTTCTTGACTTTTCGTCTCCATTTTCATCCCTTGCTCTTCTGATAGTTGTCTTTCATCTTCATCCGTTGATTTTCAGCTAATTGATCCACGGAGATAGAGACTGGCAGAAGTTCGCGACCTTGTCCAATGATCAAATGTACATTCGGTTGAAGATTCAATAGTAAGAGAATGAATTTCTGTCGAAGATTTTTGGTCGAATAATTGTTCAGTCTTTTGCTTCCATTCTTTCCCTAAATTGATGTAGTTGGCGGTTTATGAATGTCGCATTGCTTCATCAGTCCTCGAAATGATGATTGACGAGTTGTTTGTGCCTAAAATGTCATCACAGTTTTGTTAAAAAGGAATCGAAATGCTGAATCAATAAATAAGTGTTCAATGTGACTTATTAGATATGCTTTGTTGTATCCTAAAATGTTGTATGTTGAAAGATTATTGTCGTGGAGAATGGAGGTAATGAAAGAAGTTTTGTTTGTCACAAACGGACTGAAAACGTAAACCAATATCATTTTGCTGAAAGGAGAAGGACCACTCACCACCATATCATGAGCAAAAAGGGTCTATTCACTGTCATCAACCCACATTCTATGGATGTTGATAAGAAGCTTCAGTATTTGCGATGTCTAATTAGAATTATAAAATGCATTCGAAGGTAAATTATATCAACTTTGATCGTAGAGAAGTTCTCGCGTTCATGTGTTGCAAATAACGTGACATCTATATAGCCAGGCTCCGAGTGCATAACGAACAACATATTTTTGCTTCTTACCCAAAGATCTCATACTTCAGACCTATTTGTACTCTTGTATACTCTTATCAAGCTTCCTCCTTTCTACTTCAGGATGTTGCGAAAGCTTCGAGGACACGTGAGAATCACAAGATATAGCTTTAAATAACCGTACGACACATGAAAGTTGTCGGTATATTCGAATCTGGTCCATTATATGGGTGAAATTTAACACTCATGTCCTTTCAGGAGGAGAAGCGTACCGTATGTTTCCTCTATAGAATTATTGCTCCTTGGTTGGTGAAGTGTGTCAGATCCAGTGCGATCTACCGGCGTCAACGTTTGTAAGTTGAGTTCTAAACGTCAAATGAATGGTCAACACTATGATACCACTTATTGCTATGGCCGGGAGAACAGGCAAATGGTAATCATGGGCAGGTTCAGAAGGAGAAGCTGGTACGTTGAAACCTTAATAGGAGTTGGAGGGTTAGGAAGAGCTTTTGATGATTTTCCTTTCTTTTCTTACGTTCAGTTGGTCAATAGAAGCCATTTTATTTATCAAATTCTTGATTTCCATCAGAAATTATAGGGAAAATTATCTAATTCGAATCACAGAGTCAAAGCGATTCATTTGTGAATAGATTTGCACGCAAATCTGTAACACAGGTGGAAGCGCATCTATCTGTTTTCAAGTCACTCTAGTGACTCCTGCAAGTGTCCAGCAGTACATTACCAGGTGACTGAGGCTTTTTCGTGAGTGTTGCTCTAACATTGTACTATTTTTTCCATTCATATTGACGTTAGGACACACGATAAATCATACCATGCCACTATCTACCTTACTCAACCATTAATTCATATACACATTCTGACGGAGAGATGTTTGAGGCTTCTGATATGTAAGAGAACAACAAGGAGGTGTTAAGGGAAGGAGTCAGTGTTACCTTTTCCCCATCTAGTATTTAGTAAGACTTGATGACTTGTGAGGACACTCGAATGATGGCAACGTAGTATTAATGATGTCTGAAGATTCTTCAGGTAATACTGGACTAGCATTTAAAGACCCAGAGGTTTGGATTCGTAGTGACTGAATATTGCCATGTGTTCATTTCAATCCTATTCGAAATGTGATTCACGTAGTGAGTCCTCTTTTCTTTAATAGCTTGTGTTCCCAGGAACAAAGCCATCGAAGGTCGACAACATAGTGGAAAATAGTAGGAAAGATTACTCAAACCCGTGAGGTTTAATATACTCATGGCGGCGCGGTATTAGGAACCCCTTTACAATAAGAAGTGAAAATCTAAGGATGAATCGAAAGATGACTAAGAGGCTAATTTCTATCATCTACTGGAGTCGACAACTTTTTTAGTTATCCATCTGCCAGTGACCCATCTGACGACGAAGGAATCTTCCTTTTTCTCGCTGAAACAAATATCCCAAAAGACGAAGAGATGCTGCAAGAACCTCGAGTTGGAACTTCTGCAAAACAACCTCTAGCAAATAACCCCACACAGGGGAAAGATCCAGAGAGAGCTTACCAGGAGTCTCCACTCCAAGCAAAACCGGAGCGAGCCCATTCTAAGAAGGCCGAGGAGCATGAGACGGACGAGAGCTCTTCATATCATCAACCGAGGCCAACAAGATCCCGGAGTATACATAATATGAGCCATAATATAGCATCTCAAAGCGCTTCCCATTTCGAAGAAGCTAGTACTGTTCAGGCAGCCTCGGGGCAGCATAGATCGTACAGTTACAATTCGTATCGTTCAAAGCTTGATGTTGAACAAATCGATACCATCAGACTGAACTAAACCATCTTCAACATGATAGATTTAGCGACAGTCACAAGCGAGACGTTCAAAACATTATATTGCTAATTGACCATTACAGTTCTAATTCTATAACCCCATTTTCATTCTCATATACACATAAATAATTCATAACATCATAAAACCCACAAAAAACCCATCCACACCCAAAAAACTAATCCCTAGCATCCCAAACCAACTCCACATCACCTCTTTTCTTCCCCCTAAAAACCATCCCTCCATCACAACACCCCGCAACCGCTCTCCTCAAATCCCTTCCCATCTCCTTTGGTCCACTCGCTACCACCCTCGTCCTATATGCCTCTCCCGCTCTCTCATCCATAAATCTATTAACTAGCCCTTGCAGATCCGGATGATGGCATTTACAACCACCCAAATAGGATATTTTGTATCCCACCCCTGAATTCTCCACATTCAATTCCGAGCTCGAACCCGTTATCAAGGTTGCGATTTTATCCTCCTTTTTTATTATTTTCTCATCATTCCACATATTTTTGTCCGTCTTTTCTTCTAAGGATGAAGATGGTTCTTCTTCTTGCGTGATATAGATATGCACGTTAAGATTTAATTTCGTATCCCGCGCTCTCTGTTTGATCATCTCCAATTCCTCGTTAATCCACTCTAAACACGAACTTCGTCGTATGATCCAGATAAAATCGATAGCTCTTCCTTGATAAATCGTAGCGTTGCTAGCAGTGGCTGCTAGAACAAGAGGTAATGTTAATGAAATACCTGTTCCGCCGGCTATGGCTAGGATATTGGTTGGTTCTTCGTTGGGTTTTAAGAGAGGTTCTCCGTATGGTCCGCTGAGGATTACGGGGGTGGTGAGTTGATTATTCAGGGCTAGGGTTTTGAGATTTCCGGTTTCGCCGGATCGGCATCGGATGATGTAGGTGTGGTGATTTGAGGGTAGAGATGCGATGGTTAGCGGGTGAGATTGCCAGATATTGAGGGCGGGGAAACAGAGGAAGAAATGCTGGCCTAGGGACCATGGTGCATGTCTGTGGTTGAATTCGAGACGGATTACTCCGCCGTCTTTGTCGTCGAAGTATTGAAGTGTTGATTGAGCGGGGTGGAATCCGAGACCTGGGTTTGTTGTTAATTTATTTCATGGGATTATTGGAAAATGATGTTAGCTTACCTGCGTTTCCATTGGCGTCGAAATAGCCAACGTGAATGAGCAAAGTTCGGAGTATCCTTACACCTCGATCTATGAAAAATAATCCGAGAGAGGCAATCATCCAACATTTGAGTTGTTGCCAATGGCCCCAACACGCACCAATATATAAACAAGCTACCACATAATGAGTCTTTCTAAAAAATTCATATCCTGTCCATCGAATAACCCTTCGAATACTAAAGACGTACAAAAAGCAAAGGAATATTAATGCAACGCAACCCCAAATCATATATGGCTGTTTTATCCAATCTTGGAAAGTGGTAGGCTGTGGTTGATATAATCGTGCTTCGATAAGTGTCCAACCAAAAGCATGTACAGCCGATTGAATAAAGATGACACGACCAGTCCAGCGGTGTAAAAAGTTGAATGATTGATATGGAATTCCGGTAGCGAGACTAAGAACTGATTCACGAGAACTAAGTAGAACGGTGAAGGGTGTTAATGCGTATGCGAATGCTCCTACACGATCGGAAAAGCCGCCGAGTCCAGACCGGGTGTTGAATAAATTCGTCTTTTTTACTGGAGTTATCCATCTTTTATAGACTTCTCCGACGAAACTATTGTATGTTAGGAAAGTCCTTGGAATAGGACACATGACTTACGTGAATATGAGTAAATAACCTAGTAAGATCGCTAGTATCAATACTTGCAATCTGGTAACATGTCCGAAGAATTTGACAAAACTCTCTGGAAGAAGAAATCGTCGGAAAGTAGCTGTTGCTCCTCGCCATGAACGATAATACCAAGACGAATTGCTCACTCTGCTTTGAGTTTCGAAGTCACTCGCTTTGTTGGTAGTTCGCCCTGAGGGCTTCATGAAACGAAGTATGGTGAGTATAACAAGAAGACCTCCGATGACTGCCCATAGAATGAAAGTGTAGAGCATTGATAAATCATGAGTATGCTATGAGTGGTCAGCATTAAAGTAAAGCTTGTACGTAGTACTGGATTATATTGTGGAAGCGAATCTTATATAGGGGGTCGGTCTGAACTTTGGAGGGGATGGTCAGTACAATGACTTACATAAACAGTATCCAAATATTCACACGAGCCAGGATCATTCTTACATGGCAATATACGATCAACATAACCCCAATGTGGTTCTAACGTTGACATATTATCCGCCATTTGGATATGGCGAGCTTCGATAACCTCCATGATGCCTAGAGAAACCGGTAGATCCAAAAAGAGAAAATAACATGTAATAACTTCCCACCAAAAAATCCAATACCAAAAGTAGATAACCAGAATTCGAGAAATAGGAAACCCTTCAATTATCAACCCACTGCCAAGATTTCAGCCAACTACCATGAGCAAGTTTGAGGTCACCTACCAAACCGACTCAAATCACCAAATGCATATTATGAGTCCCGATGAAACTTTTATCGGGAACAAAATCTCCACAATATTAATCATGAGCTTCAACTACCAATGAGAAATGTGTAGGAAGAGGATAGAGAGCATGCCAAGTAGTAAAACCCCACTCTATCATTGGTAGTATAACCTTATGTAACAAACTCGCGCAAATGCGCGCACAGGTTGCTACTAATGAAGGGGAAGATCTTTGCTTTATACCTTTGAAGGATATAATTTGCGCTGTCATATCTTTGACAAGCTGCACGGAACTTGAGATTATTTCAGTTCCAGGATTTAGAATATCTGGGGCAGTACAGTAATAGTTCTGCAGATGCGATGCAACGCAAATATATTTTATGTGAACCGCTGGCCTGTCATCTTCATCGTGCTTGGTCGTCGGCCGGGTCTTATACTCTTGGTTGCATGAATGTGGCATGATGATCCTGAAGCGCTAGATCTAATCTCAAGGAAGTGATATCTTATCCTTTCTTTGCTCTCACATTTCGTCTTTCACCCCATTGTTGAGCCTGGAACAATATTTTAACTGTTTTGTGTCGTAGGCTTCGGATCGGCAAGCTCTAGCGTGTTTCAGGGGTCATCCTCCGCAGGGAGGGCACGTTCCAGGTACCACAGTGCTAGGAATCAAGCTATTCCAACAAGGTTCTTACCAACACCTCGGGACGAGATCTCAAATCTGATCTCGGTCAGCATTGCAAATATATGAAACAATGACTTCATTGATCCATCTCTTTTCCTACTTGGGTAAAAGGTATACTGTATGCTAGGCAAGGCCCCCACAAATAAAGTTCTGATTATGGCCAGCGTTTGTTCCTCGCCGCTATCCTAAGCGATTAATCCAACATCCAACATACACATCATGAATAACCAGATTATGGCCTCGACGGACTGCCAAATTTGGACCGCTTCAGCCTCCTCTATATGCTGTTGGCAATATCTACAACCTTCCAAGCTGTTTTCTTGAGAGGATGTTTAACTCTGTAATTGAAGCCTGGTGCTTGAGTCCTAGACATCTTTCGCATCAGTGTATATTCGATACCAAAAAATTGACGATTCTGATACACATAGCTGGTAAATATGGGTTGTTGGTCAAGTAAGATACAGGGGGAGTATCAAGGAAAGAAAATTAGTTCTATTATTTCTGGGGAATGTAGTATGGAACGAACGATATGATTTGTCTCCAAACATTGCACACTGATTCGTTCTCTAGATGAGTATAGCAATCACCGCGGACGATCTGACGAGCGGGCCAAATTTCACAGGGAAAAAGAACTCTGTCATAGCAGAAGCAGACACTCAGACTCCGAAGAACGCAAATATCTTGCAGTAGATGAGAAACCACAAATGAAGGAAATGACCGAAGAAGACTATTCACGATTTCGCGACGCTGAGGAAATGAGGGTGGAAGAAGATCTGTTAAGAGATATAAGGGAATTAGAGGATGAAAATGAATTTATGGAAAGAGAAATGAGGGGTATTGAGAGTGAACATAGATATGAAGGACGATATAGGGAGAAAGATAGAGATGGAAATTATGAAACTAGTCCGAATAGTTGGACATATGGAAAAGATGACGATAGGTATGTTTTATCAAGATCTTGGAGATGAGATTGTTTTGAAGAAAGTGCTAATTGTATTAGGTCATACTATAGTAGTGGTGTTAGCTCCATGAGTTCAATGCTCTCTGTGCTTTATGAATCGCCGGAGGAAAGCTAAGTTTACGATTTTCTTTGGCAAGACTTACATTGCAACCAGCTATCAAGTGTATAGTTCTTGGGAATTATTTCTAGACGGCCAGGAGCTTCACGATATGTTGTAATCATGTATGAAAGGCTCTCTCATTTCATTCCTCCATTCATTGCAAGGCGTTCTTTTTGTTCTCAGTTCATAAAATTGTTAGCCAGCAGGCAAGGCTTAGTTTTTAGGTGTACGTGTTCGATCTTTTTTGAATTTATTCATATTTCAAATATTTCCAAATCATAAAACCTAATGATGCATGTATGAATTGCAATAGTTAGTGAAATACTCAGTGCCGTCTCGCTGAAGCAAGATTATATCGTCGTGAGTCTGCTACAATTCCATTTTCACATAAATCAACCATTAATTAAATACATCCCAAGCAATTTATCCCCATCCCCCGGTACTGAAACAACAAATCGCGTCAAATATCATACATCATACATATCAGCACCTACCTACGGAGTAGTATATCCCCTTCCTCACCCAATACTCCAAAGCCAAGAGTCAAAACTATCTAGTACCAATATATATTTCTCCATTTCTCCATCAACAAACATATGCATATGCATTCTTACTACAACCATCTAACATCTAACATCTAACATCTAACATCCTAACCTAACCACAGAACTGGTGAACCCAATATTATTTACCTCCACCCTAATAAATCATCCCCGAACCCCGAACCCCCTCCCTCATCCTCACAATCACAAACTATCAAAAATCCCAGTCCTAACCACATATCTCAAATCTCAAATATCACCAAAATACACATAATCTAATCCTAATCTTATATACATCAACTCAAAAAATTCAAATGATAAGCTCTCTTTGTTTATATTATCCAGTCAATACCTAAGGTTAGGTCACCGGTGATAAGGGGAATGCATGCTAGGAAGAATCAACACAACAAAAACAAAACAATACTCACTTACACAACTCCCAACTCCCAACTCCCAACTCCCAACTCCCAACTCCCAACTCCCAACTCCCAACTCCAACGAGGTAGTTTAAAAAGATCAACAAGTCTAGTGAAATAGATGAGATATATGAGGAAATTTCTCATTTTCATTAACATATATCTTATCTCATTGCACAATGATATATACATACATAAGTAGGTAACCCTTGTAAGTGTTAAAATAAATACTACAAGCGAAACCGCATCCTTACACTTTTCTTCTTCTTTTTAACGAGCCACCACCGTTACCTACACCCGCATCACCATCCCCCGCCAATTCATCAACTTCATCATCATCAGGAGCCACATGATTAATTATATGTCTAACACCCCAAGGACCACCAAGAGCTTCTCTTTCAGCCGCTTCTTCGCTTCTCCTCTCTGCACTTCTTAAAGCGCCGATATCTTTCTCGACATCCATGAACATGGCTCTTGTATCCTTCACCAATGAGTTTTCATCGATTTCATACACTGCTCCTCTTTCAGACTCTTTCTTCTTGTTTTCAAATGATTTTCCAAATCCACGATCTGGATCTGGATTAAACATAATAGCATTGGCAAACATTCGCATCAATTCTTTTTCAAATTGAGCATAATTTATTATGCCTTTTGGAGGAATTAAATCTTCAGAGATAGGAAGCCATGCACTTGATTGACCTTGATCGTCAGGTGCAGCTTGAGCAGCTGCTACAGCCGCTGCAGCTTTATGTCCAGCTGTAATGGCTGTTCGAATAGACTTGAGATCTTGTGGACGAAGAATAAGATCTTTGTAACCTGGAGCATCGCGTTCCTTGACCGGATTTGCAAATGTGCTCGCATTTCGATGACCACTAATGGATTCTAGAGCAGAGACACTGATCTTTGGAAAAGCGCGAGTCCATAGAACAAAAAGAGGTGGCCCTCGTGGCTCCCTAAGTTCAGGACTATCAAGGCGCTTTCGCTTCATCACTTGACGAGGTGATTGTGGTACTTTAGATAGTCGACTGGTACTTTCATCAGCCGCAATATCTGCTACATCACCAACGCCACGAGGTGTCGCGACTTCTTGTTTAAAATGAAGACCAGAGTTTTCAGTGTCCAAAGAGAGTTCGTCGGCATGTGAATGTACCGACTGACTCCTTCTGAATGGTCCTGTAGTAGGAGTTGAGGTTGTGCTGCCGGCTCGCTTGCGTAGTGTGCTTGGTGTATGTGGCTTGCCTGTCTTTGCGGAATCCTGCTTTGAATGTGTTCTCTTATGTGACGACTTCTCCACGGATTGAGATAACACTTTAGGTTTTAAAACAGGACTAAGAGGCTCGATTTGAGGGCGGGAAGGCTCTCTAGGTAATCTTGGAGTAGCCCCAGATGGTCTTGGAGTCCATTTAGTGCCACTTCCAGTCATAAATGACTGAGGTGCTTGAGATAACGGAGTATGAGGTCGTGGTAATTGTGGCCTGTGCTGCATTGGAGTATTCGTAGGTAGGGAGGGCCGTGGACTTTGATTTGCGTTGTATGGTGAATTATATTGCCTGTTCTCGAGAGCAACAAGTTCTGGTCGGGGGAAAGGTGGTCGGTTATTGGGCGGCGGTCCATTGAATTGATAGTTTGGTACCGGGTACGGCGGTTGGAAGGGAGTATTCCATTGTGGAGGAGGATGGCCAGTCGAAGACAGAGGTCTTTGTGGGGGTGGAGGTGGGAAGGAATGCGTATATGGAATATGAGGCGGAACATGTGACATAGATCCTTGAGGCAGGGATACAGGAGGTAATGGCCCTTGCTGAAGCATAGGAGAACCGGAAGCTGCACGATATTGTTGTCCAGCAATGTCTGCCAACGTATCTAGCTGCGTGCCAGACGTGCTTGGGGACCTGCCCATCGTATGAGGCGGTGGCAAAAGAACACCTTGTTGATATTGAGGGTTCAATGGAGAAGATGGTACAGAATGATGGGGCGGAGGTAAATGTGGACTAGGTAGAGAATTCCGGTGGTTAGGAGAAGGGTATGAATGAGGAGGATATGTATGTGGAGGAAATTGTGGAGGGTAAAATTGGGAGTGCGGAGATGGATGTGGCGATCCAGGCTGGGAGTTATGAAATTGTGGAGGGTTGGGGCCAGGGTGAAATGGTGGCTCCCATTGCAAAGGAGGAGGACCAAGTTGAGGCGAATGAGCTTGACTTTGTAAAGGAGACGGACCATGAGGGCCGTGACTGCCATGACTGCCAGATCTTTGATGAGCCATTGGTGGCGCCCCATGTTGCGTGCCATTTCGAGGTTGCTGTTCCGTAATATGCTTTTGTGGGGGAATGGGAGTGGAATTTTGAGAGTTTAAAACATCACTGATAGCCAAACCTTCTGGTCGGCCTTCGGTTCTTGGCGAAGGGCCTGGAGACGGAGATGCTTTTGTTCTTGATTGCTCTCTTACAACTTGAGGTAAGGGTGGAGGAATAGCTATCTCAAAAGATTTGATTTGTGGAAGTTGGGGCTCCAGACGCTTTGGTTCTGTCGGCCGTGGCTCCTGTGGTCTGCTATCCAGAGGTTTGGAATCTTGTGATTTACCTTCATCCGTGTTAAGAACACTGCTAGTGATACCATTCAGCTTCGTGCCAGCATCTTCGGCTTGTCTATGTCCATTTTGTTCAATCACAGCCCGCTCTCCTCTTAATATTCTCTCATCCCAATCTCCCCTCTCAATCGCGGCAATATCTCGTTGAATAGCCCGGTAATTTTCCTCATCTTCCCTGATCGCGCGTACCATATAATCTCTATACCGCGCATATAATCTCTCAACCAAAATTGGCAGTTTTTCTCGGTAGGGTTGGGCATCCTTTATTGTAGGTAAAGGTGGGCTTGAGAGTTTTCGTTTTTTTGACGGTGCTGGTCCATTTTCTTCCTGCACATCTTGCTCGGCATCATTTTTTAATTCCTCCCGCAAAAGTCGTAAATATAGATCCCCCAGTAATTCCGCGCTCAGTCTTCCGGCATCGTAGGTCTCCCCATCCTTAACCAAGGAATTATTTGTCAAGAGTTGGGAAATTTGAACGAACGAGTTTGGATCAGTGCCATATGCGACTAAAGACTGGAATAACAATAAACATTCGAGAGGCGTATAGGCTGAAGGAGTATTCATGCCACGGTATCCTCCTCGCCAGCTTTCGAGGGGATTTCCACGACTTTGGGGAGGATGAAGAGGAGCCACGACGAAAATGAGGAGGGTAAGGTGGATCAAATTCGCGATAGATCGATAAAAAGTCCAGAGATCAAGACAAACTTTTCAATCAATTAATTAAGCAGGTAAAGCGATAGCATCAATGCGAAAACTTACTATATTATCGAATTATTAGCTAAACTTATGATTGATGACGATTGATAAGATTTTGAGTCGTGATTGATGTGGAGAAAATTGATTGATTTATGATCATTTGAAAAGTCTGATGTTATTCACATTCACATTCACATTCACATTCGCATGGTCCAGTTCGTAACCTACAAGTTTCTAGCCAAAAATTATTAGTAGTCACGTGCAGCTATCGAAAAGACTTCAAAGGGACCACCAGGACTCGGAATTTAAAGTCTCTCAGTCGGCTGCATTTGAAGATTTCCCAGTCCTTTGGGTTTTTGGCAAACATCGGCGAGACGTCCCGAGATTTCAAAAGCTGGGCATAAGGTTACCAAGATAGTGATTTGATAGTGCCAGTCTTACCATTACAGCTTTCGCAGCCACGCCAGCCACACTGTATTGATGTGCTAGATGAAGATGCTGAGTGAGTTTGGGCATTTTTGGGGATTGACAAGTTACCCTTAAATCAATGCAATAGAGAGAGAATGCACTATACATCTCAAGTTCCAATACCTGTGCTATTTTTCCAAAGATAACCACTTATTGTCTTGTCGAAAGAAGAACCGCCGCTTCTTATTAGCATTTAAAGGGGTCATCTAATAGCCAGGTACCCTTGACGAGATCTTTGAAATTAACTTGTGTTCTATGGCATTAGAGAAGTATTCTGTCATTTCATTCAAATACACTTTTATTTATCCCCTATACATCCTATTCGTCAGGTCTATTCTTCTCGAAAGAAGACCTACCTCAAAGTATTGTGGAAGGTTATGCTTTACGAACTTGCTTTACGACGAACCGATGGAAAAACCCCAGATAGTTAGTTATACCTGTCAACTTGGATTTTGCTTAATGATGATCTTCATGCGGAATACTCGAGCACTGGAATACTTTCTAACTATTTGTTAACTATCAATATAACAATTTACCAGCATAAAGCTAGTCTTTCAATTCTATTTTCATAAAATCTAAACCTGTTAGTTGAACATACATCTATGTATGCATTCCACCTGGCTAGTTCCCTCACCAACGTATTCGAGACAACTCAACTGTTTGGACATTTTCTTCTTTTGTTCCCCTTCTAATGGAGTAAAATATCATGTACCAAACCTTGTGAGATTGTTCCTGAATTTGGATCGTATATCCATATATATATATCCACTCCCTCGTCATTTGTATCCCCGAGCTACCGGAAAGAGCGAACCAAGAGCTTCCCCATTAATTTTACATGACACTAGTCTAAAAGCCCCCTATTATCATTATCATTATTATTATTATTTCTCTTTCAAGCTGCCAATCTCCAATCTCCAATCTCTGAAAACAGAGAAAGAGAGGATCCGCATCAAACTTATTACGATTCAGTAACAAATACAAGAAGAAGCCCAGAATTTTGGAATCTTGGTATCTCGACGTCTTCTACTTCTTCTACTTCTCTTTCGCAAAATCTTCCAATTTTTAACTGCTGGATTTTTCATATCTTCTATCCTCAGAACATTCCATAACCAACCCCAATATCGTACCTGAAGATCTCATTTGCCGGTAAACTTTAAGCTACAGCCCTATCTTCAAATAGCTTCCTTCAGTCCCTTCAACATTACAATCATGTCCGACGCCGAACTCGATAGTCAATTTGTGCCAAATGGCAGGCCACAGTCGTATGTTTCATCATTCTGAAAGCTGTGTTATATACTGATGGATATTTAGTCAAATGGCACGATCATTCGCTCTCGCTTTGGATGACTTGTTCAAGCTTGACAACACTGATGGTCTCGACGCTATAGTCACAGAGAAGTAAGCCCCCTCATTATTCTCACATACCACTCAAATTTACCACTTCAGCAATACTAACAATGCATTTTTTTGTCTATTAGAAAGAATGAGATATCCACAAAAACCTCCGAACTCGAAGAGTTAGAAGCCAGACTTAAAGCGACCGAGGAAAGATTAAGAGCCAAACAAGCAGCAGTAACTCCGAGCAGCTCCCCACCAGGGAAATCAAACTCCCAACAACAACGCTCTATGATGGATCCTGTAAGCCCATTAGAACCGAAATTTGTGAACAATCACCCATCGCGGGGTGCTGAAACCAGCAGGATGAATCACCCATCCAGGCCAGCTGCCCCAAGACAAGACCAATCATACACAACAGCTCTAGCATCACATATTCCAGGAGATTTACCACCCACTCCAGGGGCTAGTGAAGGTGAATACGAATCCGATGATGGGAAAAGGACCAGTGCTGACTATGTAATCGTTACCAAAGATGGAGATGTTCCACGGGCAGGTACCGAATGAATACGATTAGTATTATTACACAACTTTATACATTCAACCCGCGTTGGGTCATCGTACCATTATCGTTATTGCTACAGCCGCACTCATTATTCTCCGACTGGTGGATCATTCAATTGTTTGACCACATCGTTACATTCCTGGCGTTACCGGTTCCGGTTCCTGAACTCGACTTTGATTACTGTCCCATCTCCGATTTTGAGATACGAGCGATGGATATCAGAAGATGGGTTTGCGGGGTTTGCGTTGTATATACCATGGACAATTCCTATAGAGAGAAGGATCTTCTGGATTTGGGTTCAATCGATTAATGTTTACAGAAGAGTATTGCTACCAATTAGTGCCTATTTCTGGCGGCTGTTCTTTTTATCTGTTTTCGCTCCACAGAACAAAGTGAACAAGTCTACTGTTCGTTTTCTCGTACATTTATCTCCAAAGAGTAAGTATATTTTTGTCATGGCGGAAACTCGTTGGTTGGAATGAATCGTACAATGTGAGACAGTCAATCTCTAGCTAGTGCAACGAGAGATTTAGAAAACTGCCAGAAGAGGGGGTTCGAACAAAGATTGTTCATGACACGTGAGATAACTTGTAAGTGAAGTCAAAAATAGTACTTTTTGACTACAATGAAGTCGCGCTCTAACTTTAACATTGATCTTTTCTTTGCCTGTTGCGGTGTTTCATCCGATCACTTCAAAGATATCATTCTCGAGACCTAGGTAGCTACTGGTAGGTTTTATTGAGACATACAATAAGCTTTTGGGTTGATGCCAAAAGTTGAAAATATAAGAGTCGGACTGACTTGAATCACTACTATGTTTTGTAATTTTTATATCATTTACAAATAAAATACTCAAAATTATAGAATTAAGCATGTATTGCTAATACTGGAGTTGGAGGCTTTAGATTATTATTTATGGAGTGATTGATTGATTGGATCTAAGACTGTGCCGTAGGGTTACAAGATAGTGAATAGATTTAGAAACTGGTAGTATTTTATTTTATTTTTTTTTTTATTTTTTTTTTAAAAAATGAAGGAGGAGAAAAGATAGAAAGAAAGGAAATAGACGTCGGGAAGCTAGTTAGTGCTCGCATAATAACTAAATAACGGTTGTAGATAGATATCCGGGTAAGGAGGGTAATGTACACGATTTCGAGATATAGGGAATAAGGGATTGTTGAAGAAATTCATTTCTTGAGTTGGATATTTTTAGTTGTTGATTTTGGATCTTTATAAGGATTTTTGATGTTTGATGTCTGATGTCTTGTTACTCGTGTATGGTTAGGTAGATAGGTAGGTAGGTAGGTATATTAACATGTCAATAAAGGGAGGGAGGGAGGGATGGAACTTTTGCTCTAGAATCTGGGTTATATCTAGACCTGAAACCGATCTACCCCACACCCATTCCGGTTGAACTCTAGCGGTTACTTGAGCATGATGGTATGTATGTATGTATATATATATAGTACTTGTCAACTACTATCAGCCGTTTTATAAATCATATTTAAATTTATCAAAAAACATAAGTTATATTTATTATTTTAATATTGTTAAATTGAGTTTTATATAAATATTTTTACATCATTTTATTTATTTCAAATAAAATTTAGTAAAAAAAAAAAGATTATTTATTTTTAAAAAATTATTTTATTACAAAATCTAAATTGAAAATCAATTCAATTTAAAAAATTTCATTTTTATCGATATTTATTAGTAAAATAAACGAAAATCAAAGACTTTTAAAATAATTTTTAGATTATATAAATAATTATAATATTTTTATTTTTATTAAATAAAAATATAATATAGAATAGACCTATATATAAATTTTTATGATTATAAAAGTAGTAATTTGTTTATTTTGACTGTGAATTTTAAAGATGGCTGATAGCAGTTGGCATGTGCTGTATTAGAGCTGAATAGTATATCATATCGAGAAGTAGGTAGGTATGCAAGTTAAGATCTTACCATGGAAGTCAAAGGTGGTATATTGATTTTGATTATGATTATGATTTAATTAGAGCTAGGTAATTAGTGGAAATACATTCACACTGGGGGCGGGGGGAAGGTTATTTAATTTTGGATAATGAATGGTAGGTGGTGGGAGTTTCGTGATTGTGTGGTTAGATTATTTAGTTATAATGTTATGATATTGTTTCTCCTGCATCTCTTCCCCTTTTGTACGCGAAAGATCTAAAGTGTTTGGAATATCGTGATGGGGATGATTGAGGAGAGCTAGCTATATAAATAAGACTTACAAACTAAACGAATTGACACCAAGGTTAGGGGTTATTTTTGGAAGTCTGTGAAATGTTCAGGAAGCATCGGTATGGTTATTGAGGGATCTTAATGAAGTATTTTAGTTAAAGTCTTGAATCTTTGGATTCAAGGACACTCGTCTGCGAATAGGCCCCGTAAGAGAAATAGTGAGATTAGTTTATTTGTTCAGCAAGCTTGATATCCATTGAATATCTATAGGTGAATAGGCACATGCAACTGCGCCCGGGAGGAATGAGGGAAAATCGCACTGGTATAGAAATAGTGCGCCGAGGCCTCAATTTCATTCAATACGGCGTAGGTGTATTCTGTACACAGTTCAGACATTCCTTTGGATTGGATGGGATTTTTCGTGTAGCAAATGAGTACTAATTGGGTCCTGTCGTGTCGGCTTTGTACTTGTGATTAGATTCTGATATATCAAATTACTTACTGCCTTGAGTTATTTGATGGTGGTTGGCTTAAGAGTGTGAGAGAGGGGTAGTCTAGATCTATGGTTATTACGTGATGCTACGGTAGGTTTCTTTCCATTCGAAACATGACAACACTTTGGCAGGCCCGGACGATAGGGCATAGCTATTAAGTGGTTAAAAACAATCTACTGAATGAATATAGCATACAAACAATCATTCTCTTTAGAGTTTATTGGCAAAAAGGCTTGATAGATCATTTTCGCTTCCGCAGCACAATGTTTATTTACCCCGCACTAAGCCCGGAGCAGGTAACAGGCTATATGATGTAACTCCCACCGTTGTCCTTTTAACCTTTCCCCACTTTCTATATTCCTTTCTTATTACTTTCTTTCTCTTCTTAAAACTATTGCTCACAAATCCGAATCCGAAACTTCCGACTATCGATCTGAAATTACCTTTCTTCTCAATCGATTCAGTATGTTCGATATGAACCGAAGCGTGGTTTTTCACGCTATGAATCATCCTCAGATCAAGGTAACGTGTAACAAAGGCATGGCGGGTGTTCCTATTCTATTCATCTTTGGCTTCAAGTCAAGGGCGAAAAGAATTTGGTTCTGAGATTATACCGTACATATGAACTTGATCTAGATAATTCTAGCGAAAGGACATGCTTCCCCTTCCTTCCCTTGCGAGTCTTCTAATCTTTTATTAGCTACCCTATCAACAGAATGTCGACCGATAAGATCACATTCTTGATGAACTGGTAGGCTACAAAATTTAATCGTAGCTTCAAATGGATGGAAAAGCTCATTTGAAGTAAAGGAGTAATCTAACGGTTGTTTTTTCTTAGGCACGCAACGCCATATCATGCACCTGTCTATCTTGCTCAGAAGCTTGGATACTTTGCCGATGAAGGCATCAAGGTAGCTCTTCTTGAGCCTAATGATCCTAGTGGTTAGAAACTTAATGCTAGATAGTTGGTTGGGGAGTAGCTAACGAAATCAACAGATGTTACCGAGATCATTGGCTCTGGAAAGGTTGATATGGGGTTCAAAGCCATGATTCATACTCTTGCTGCCAAAGCTCGGAATTTTCCTGTTACCTCAATCGGCTCTTTACTTGATGAACCATTCACCGGAGTGGTTTATCTCAAAGATAGTGGAATTACCCCTGACTTTCGTAGTCTTAAAGGAAAGAAGATTGGATATGTTGGAGAATTTGGAAAGGTAGGAATGAATTAATCTAACCGTTCTAATTGATCTAATACTTGGTGACCACAGATCCAAATCGATGAGTTGACCAAGCACTATGGAATGGAACCAACTGATTACGAGGCCGTGCGTTGTGGCATGAATGTCTCAAAGGCCATCATTGAAGGAAGTATTCATGCTGGCATTGGGTTGGAGAACGTACAAATGGTTGAATTGGAGGAATGGCTCGCAGACCAAGGTCGCCCTCGTTCCGATGTTCAAATGCTCCGTATTGATGAGCTTGCTGAGCTTGGATGTTGTTGCTTCTGCTCTATCTTGTATATCGGTTCGTCCCGTGGTCCAAAATCTGAAAATGCCGATTAACGTTTCATAGCAAACGATACATTCATGGCACAAAACCCGGAGAAGATTCGCAAGTTCATGAAGGCCGTTAAACGAGCAACTGACCACGTACTTGCTTCTCCGACTGAAGCTTATAAGACATACATTGACATCAAACCTGAGATGGCATCTTCGGTCAATCGTAAGATCTTCGAACGATCTTACGCATACTTTTCAAAGGATTTGAAGAATGTTCAGCGTGATTGGGAAAAAGTCACCAAGTATGGTAAACGTCTTGGTGTCTTGAATGAAGACTTTAGTCCTAACTACACTAACGAATTCCTTGAATGGAAGCTTGAAGGTGACTCCGCTGATCCAACCGGTGATCAAAAGAGAATGGTTGTTTTACAACAAGAAGTTGCCGATAAGGGTGGTTTCAAAAGACTCGATGTTAAGCTTGCTGCATGAGGATTCTCTTAGTAGCTCGAATTGAGAGATTTGAGATCAATTCCTACTTTCGTTGATTAACGAAAAACACACTCGTTTTATATTTACCAATGAATCATATTCGAATCAAGCAATAGGTGCTGTGTCTGATCTGATTGCCGTGATACAATGCGATACCTTACAATTTTGCACGTTTTTGCACTAATTAAGTGATGAGACGTCCGATTTTGCGGTACTGAAGCTTGTGGAAGGCAGATATGAATATAGCAGTGCACTACGTAGAAAACTAATCCGGTCTTCACATCAATTGTGGTACCTGAGTACTGTAAATCATTCATTACGTCAATATTGTTAATTTTTTCTGTATGATACCTATCTTGAAGTTTTTTCATCAAAACCCTGAGTCATGTGACGCACAAACCACCGAGGAATGTTTGGAATAGAATGACGGAGTTCTTCTTATGTATAAACATTGTTGTACGACTTGTCGAAACGATTATTTAGTAAATATCATACAACTGAAATATATGTTCTCCAATATCATGAGAATAGTTGGTAATTGTAGCTTAACTACCATAAGAAAAATGTAAATGAAGGGGTAAACTCGGGTAATTTCGGATCTTGAAAATTCTACTCCAACCTAACCCCACCAACTAACCACAACTAACCGCGACTAATTGTCCAAATTTTCATTCTCTACCTATCAGAGTACTTATTACTAGGTAAAGACTCCACTATTCTGCCGCACAGGGCAAGAATTCTTTGACTACATACGGAAATCTCGATAGAACCTTCACCAAATAACATCTGGCCTGCTGGCCCAATGGCAAGGCGCTTGACTACGAGTAATCAGGATCAGTTTCTGACGCCCGGCATCAAGAGATTGCAGGTTCGATCCCTGCGTAGGTCATTCTTCTTCTTTTGTGGGTTCTTTTGAAGATGTTTGGGTGAAAAACGGATTTTTGGTGGATTTTTGAAGGATTTTTGAAGGATTTTTTTTGACATCTTTTCTTAGTGTGTTTAGTGGGGTTTTCTTTGGTTCTCTGAAGTGGAATATGAACTGGACGAGCTCTTGATTAGATGAATTGTATTCTGTATAGGTCCCCTTCTACGTGGTTGAGAAATTCTAAGTGTAGTGTTGTGTTAGGTGAATGAGCTAATTTGATCGTTATATGCAACGAATAGTTTTGAGGCTTGCTTATTGGATTCTTTCTATCCGGATGGACTGCTAATAAGTATTCTAAAATCTAACTAAGGAAAGCGGAGCCCGGAATTTGACTACTGGGCTTTTTCATGTTGTGCAACATAACACCATATGCAGTTTCTCGGCTCTTTTTAACAACGACATCAAACACTTACTATTCGATTTATACAATTGTTTCACTCATTTGGACTGCAATAATTTATTTATAAGATATAAATATTCAAAAGATCGGTTGATCTCGAATGCTATACAAGAACTAAATATACACACAGAAGTGTATTTCAACAGCCGGGCGATCTCTAGAATTCCACTTCATCAAGCTTGCTACGACTAACACTTATCATCACACCTTAAATCAATCCATATTCATAATGGAGATTTATGCTGGGCATCCAGTAGATGGGAAGTTGCAGCTTGAGGTCTTTCCACCTCCAGAGATGCTAACATCTGTGAATTTGATGTTGGAGCAAGAGCCACTTCCGCAAAGGACGTAGTAGTTGTATGCGTTGCTAGTAGTTGTACCGGTGACACCGGAGAAAGCAATGTTGGCGATGGTAACACCGTTTGTTGGCTCGCCGGTTGGTCCACCGTTCAAGTAATCTTGTTGAACGTCGATACCGTAGTTGGAGATGTTGGACATCTGGATGTTCCTGTAAGTAACGTTCTCGATGGTACCAGTGGTACCGGAGTTGGACTTGATACGGCATCCGTTTTGACTGTTGGTGATGGTGGAGTCGGAGAAGGTAACGCCAGAGACAGTGTTGTTGGACTTTCCACCGACGGATCCGATAGAGAGACCGTGTCCACCTGAACAGGCCATTCCTGTTACAAGAATGTTAGAACCAGATGTGACGGCGACGCAATCATCTTGGTTCTTGACAACAATGTTCTTGAGGGTTACAGAGTCAGACTTGGAAATGTCAAATCCATCACTGTTGTGTGCGGCTGCTTTGGTGCCAGATGCCGAGTTAGGAGCATCTCCAGCAGAGTTATCAAGGGTAAGTCCTGAGACGACAAGACCTTTGGCACCGGTGATATCGAAGCAGTGAGTAGGCCAGTTTTGGATGTTGAGGTTGCTGATAACACCGTTGACGACATCCTTTACGACGAAGAAGTGATCAGGCTTTTTGGTTCCTCCGTTAGAACCATTTCCATCCCAGTATGCAGCTCCATTTCCATCAATGACGTGTCCAGGAGCTCCAGTAAGGGTAATGTCTTTACCCTTAACAACAATTGGGTTGAAGTCGGAATCGGCAGTGGTTCCAAAAGTAGTTTTTCCGGAGAAAGTGACGGTAGTTCCGTCTTTGAGCTTTTGAAGATCAATGGTGGAGCTTGCTGGTGCTGAAATGTTATCCAAGACGATGTTTGTGCACGAGGCAACAATGGCGGCAATATCAGCATAAGCTGTTGCTGTGCATCCGGCTGGGGCGGATGGTGCCGGTGTGATGGTCGCACTAGCTGCAGATGCACTAGATGCGACTAAGGTGCTAGAAGCGGAGGTCGTTACAGCTACGTGAGTTAAAGCTGTGACCGAGGCACTGACGGCGGAGACCGAGGCACTGGCGGCCGCGGAGACTGAGGCGCTGGCAGCGGCGCTTGAGCTCTTCTGCAGTACATGTTAGTCTAGGACTTCAGACCCGAGATATTCTTTAGACTATACTCACAGAAACAGTAGCCAAAGTGGTGGGTACGTTAAGGCAGTTGCATGCACTAGACAATTTCTTTGGCTTGTATGCACATGCTGAAGCAAAAGCGGGAAGATCGGTCGTTGCCGTGTTGGCCGATTGAGTGTATGTGGCGCAGAAAGAACCAGCAGCTGCCGCAGAAACGGTGAAAGCATTAGCGCAAGCATCGTGATCTGGGTTATCGCAAGCAAGAGCAATTGAGGCTAAGCCTCCAAGGATAATTGGAATACGCATTTTGACCAGCAAATTCTTGTTCAATGAATGTAAATGCTTCAACGAGGAAACAAAAAATGAGAGTGTGAAAAGAATGTGAATGTAAAGAGCGTTGGTTTTTGATGGTGTGATTGAGAATGGAGAGGCTTGAAGATATATACAGGAGCAGGGTAAGAAGAAATTGATCAATACAAGGATTTATGTCATCTGATAGATACTTTGCATGCTACCGCCAAAGCTTACATGCATGCAGGAAATTACAGGAGGTTTTCCCAGCACATAAATGAAGTGTGGGGTCTACATCAAGAACGTTTTAATATAAGGTTCTTTTTTCCGTTTGTTTCCAGAGGAAAAATTGGATCCCACAAAGTACGGACGTCGATACCCCTGATTCCCACTAGCCGCTGATGATACCCGTTGTATCCTTGGGTGCGGTTGTAACTCGCTACCGGGGTTTCCAATACTGAAATTTTATCAGATGTTGAAGATCGTCAGTGTTTAGTGATAGATTAGATTTTAACCGTCGATTTGGCTAAACTCTTGGATAAAGCTTGCATAAAGCTTAGCTAAAGCTTTACTGAGTCAACGGCATGAGAGGTTGATAAATTGAAACTTGACATGTCTATGGTGGAAAATACTGCCTTCTTCTTGGCTGATACAGTCAAGCCATTAACAGGCTCAATGCTGGTGATTAGAAAGTTTTAACAGAGTGGGAAGTGTATGGATGAATGCATCCTCGGATCTGATCAAATTCGTCCAAAATACCCATAAAAAATACTTAGCATAATATCCGGAAAGTAAGTTTAAGTAATAGAAGTTGTTCAGACGGTTCCGACTTCAAAGAACGAACCAAACAAATCCTAAATGCCAAGGCATTAATACATGGTCTTCGAAATTCTGTTTCAGAGCCTAATTAGGACATTTGGATTGTCAATCGTCACATTTAGCTTTAGCGTCTAGAATGATCCCAGCCTAAAGGATTCTTGGGTTTCTAATTTATGATTTCGGTGATTAGTCCTTTGGTGTCTTCGGCTCCATCCTATTCCACTTTTAGTAAATTTAAAAAATAAAAAGAATTTCTTCCCGAAACCTCCCCAACGATGATTGCTTATTTACAGTATATTCTTTATCTATTACTTCGATTCTTTAAATCGTTCTAGGTGTTTGTGTATGTAAGCATGTTATCCTCGGACCTCCTTTGCCAAACATGCCTCACCTCACCGCTTTTGTCTTGCTGTCAATCCGATGGGGTGAATCATTCTGCTGCTACAAAGCAAGGCGGTAGAGTGTCAATTGGAGCATTGCTTACATAAACTTTCTCTTAATGTTCGTTCGTATGATCCTCAGCGTCGTTAACATATCTCGACTGAATACTTCCACCGCTTTTCTTCAATCAACAAAATGATTACCGTCAAACTAAGCTTACAATCCCAACCTTAGAACATGATGGATATCTAGCCAAGCCTCTCCATGCTGTCAAATTTCTCCTGCTCTCCTGCAAGTTGCAGGCCATGGATTCCATGGTAAGTAACCATTGATGATGATCACCATCAACGCCTTGCATCGCTTTCAAACCTTGTCTAAACCTATTTTACGCGTCTCTATACTTGCCGCAAAAGAACTGTGGTGAAATAGTGATAGGGAGCTTCGGTCCTGGACTCTTTCACGAGACACGCGTCGATGTCAAACATTCCTTTTTTTTATGGCACCGCAATAGTTGGCTTGACTAACCCCTCCCCCGATACTCCCTTTGACACTATGTTTTACTCGATAGGCTGATCTATATGCGGGCATTCTAAGAATCGAAGTAAACTCTTTTGAATCATCTTATTGTTAGCTTGACAAACAACAGTTCTTTGTTGAGAATCACATTCATTGTCCTTGGTATCCATCATGGGTAAAGTTTCCAAGTCCAGTGTTATAGAATTTTCTGTTTCGTCGATACGACTTCAAATCTTCTTCAAGAGTAACTTTTGTATTGTCTACAACAAAAATGTTTCGCCTTCGTCAAGCACCAAGAGGAATCTTTAGTCCCCTGACCGCTGCGGAGACATTGGAACTTGCTAGAGTTGTCGGACCTCCTCTTCTTCTCCCGTCATATGTACCCCTCCCCGTCCAAGTAGCCCCGGATAACCTTGCTATGGTTGGTAATCCTACACGACAGGAGATTCAGCTTATGGCTGGTTGGAGCGGGCCAGGATATGCCGGAATACCTCTGGCTGGCAATCCCCCACCTAGTGCTGCTTGGTGGGTTATATCAGAAGCACAAGACAAATATCCTAGATTGGTTTGCGAAAGAGTAAATTCGGTTTGTCCACGCCAGGCTGATGGTGTAAATGATGTACCATATTGCGCATTTATTGGGACAGGAGTTTGGATTCCACCTCCGGGATGTATCCGCCACAAGCCGTCAGAGTCGAGGACGGATGGGATGTACTGACCCGCTGGAGATTAAATGTTCGTAATCAGTTTTAATTTACAAGGTTCGCTGTCTTTTACACACAATTGTTTTCCTGCCAAGCTCCACTTTTCCTCTCCGCCAAACACATCTTTCTTGTTTCCTCATACGACGTTAATTCCTGGTTTTCCTTGAAAGTCTCTCCTTTGTTGGCAATTACTCACTTTCCTATCTACAACAGCCCGCAAGCTTGTCGATGGCTATGCAACAGGTTTTGATGGAAACTTTTATAATATTACACCCCGAATGCTGCAGCCCTACGAAACGCCCTTAGCGAGGGTTCCCGCTACTCAAACATCTCATGTACTTATGCAAGTGGTTCGTAATCAATTTCCAAACTCTACAGTTATCACACAGAAGAATCTGTTTTTCAACCTCAACATCAACTTTTCTCCACTTTCAAACATGTTTTTATAGTGGAGTTCTCTTTACTTGTTCTCCTCCAAAATCTCTTCTTAGTAAATTAGTAAATTGTTACTAACTCCCTAATCACGAGCAGGTCGATGAACGGTTTGGGTTCGGAACGGTACATTATTCTCTAGTGGTAATCTCACCTAAACGGAAAACAATCGATTTTTTTGGATAATATCAATGGACTTCAGGCCCCGAATGCTAATCCTCCTCCACTCCAAAGACACCACAATCCTGATCAAAAACTTATTAGCCATATCTTGAACTTCTTTTCGAACTACATGTCAGGAACTACTAAGAGTGGAAATGAATTTAATCCAAAGCATTGGCAGATGAGAATCAATGCTTTAGCTTAAAACCCCGTACCTCCTGCTGGCCTAGTGGACGAAACGACGAGTGCCGCGATGGTTTGCACGAATGCTCTATTAGTCGCGATGGGATATCGTTTAGGTTTCTTCAATAACATTCCTGCCGGAATGACTCGAGCCACAATGATTCGAAATCGGAAAGGTCAAATTGCTCTAGAGCTTCACCGCGGCCGACTGGCCATCGCTCCAACTCCGCAATTTGTGCCACCAACGTGGCCTAGACAAAGTGACGAGTACCGATACACAAGCGGATCTACCCCGTTCAAAAAGCTCACTTCTCGAAACTGTGATCAAGGGGTCGTAGAAGAGCTTTCGCGCAGAGACCGCGCTAGATGGTATCGAGGCGTGCCACCAAAAATTGATTTTGATGGAAGACCTACCAAAGCTGCCCTCATCGCCTATGGTACTGCTCAAGGATATGCTCGGATACCACCTATGTCATGGGGCGCGCTGCGCAATTGGTTTGAAAGAGCAGATTATATGACTAGAACGGATGCTAATGGTGCCCCAGCTACCAATCCTCCGTCTTATTGATGAATCTTTACGATTTTGTTGCTTTTAGACTTGTGTTCCTTTTATTTGCTACTATTTCCTATTTCTTATTTATCAAGATGGTGCTTGCAGGTTATCTGTTTCATGTACAATATTCAGCATGTTGATAGATAATCCATGAGCTTGCGTAGTTGTTTTACTTATTTTCTTTTGTATGGCAATACACCCAGCTTGAATAAGTTTGGATACCTAGGTTTTTTGGAAGAATTGGATCTACTCGGAGAATCAGTAATTCTTGATGTAAGATCTAATGAAAATAAATGTTCAATGACCGTAATGAATTTGAAAAAATTTATTTAAAAACAAGGTTACCGAAGAGATATTTCTCACAGCGAAAGTTCAACGATATAAATGAGAATTCTAATAAAACATATTTATTTATATCAAAAGAATACTGAATCTTTTTTAAATAAACTAGATATATATAACAATATATTATTAAAACAAGATTATATAAAAGAAACTGAATAAATAATAAAAAGATTGAGATTTTATTAATATATCCTATATATATAAAAAGAAACTATTATATACTTAAGATCTATCCGGAAAATTTTAATCCTCAGTGAGGAGTATCTGATAAAATAAAATCAAAAAAGAATATATATAAAAGAATTGAAAAATCTCAGAAAAATATAAATCAAATAGAATATCAAAGATAAAAATCTTCAATTATTCATATTACAACCATATTCGAATTTCTACACCTATACAAAGATTTGTTTTTCTTTAAAGAAAAATCAAATAAATAAACAAATAAATAAATAAGTAAATAAATAGAGAAAAGTTAAGCATACCCCCCCTCCTCCCTAGATCTCCTTCCAAACCCCCTCAAAGCTCTTCCAAGTTTCTCCGACATTTTCATATTTCCCAATCGATTCTTCTTCTCCTTATCCTTTTCCTTCCCCTTTTCCGGCAATCCATACTTATCAAAAGGATTTTCCCATCCCTCTGGAACAGAAGGTACTCTATCTCTCGGTTGAATATTCGAACGAGATGGTACTCTGGAAGATTCCCTTGATGAAAGATTTGGAAGAGTTGGATGGGTTCGAAGATCTTTAGGTTTCGGAACTGGTTTTCGCGAAGGCATGAATGTAGGATCTTCGGGACCACCGATGCGTTTTTTTCTAATAGAGGGATTGGAATGATTGTAATTGGATGTGGTTGTGGTTGTGGTTTTGTGGGCTGTATTAGAGGGATTTTGATATCTGTTATTTTGGGATTGAGATGATGAAGATGATGAAGAAGAATGTTCTTTTTTTAGTGCACCTGCGCCTGGTCCTTCCCAATCTGTTGCCGCGTCGAAAATTACTTCTTGTTCTATTTCGGCGCGATGTGCTCCTGCTGCTGATGGTTAGATGTTTCAGTATCAAAACACATGTGACAACTCTAGGAATAACATACCACGATCAATAACCACATCTCTCTTCCCAGGCACAGTCCTAACATCATTGCTAGCAGGTCTCGACAGCTTAACCCTAACAGCTTCCTGGAAAATTTGCTCAACAGATGATACTGATTTCGAACTACTATTAGTAGTAGTAGAATTATGAGATTTTTTACTACTAGAATCACTTTGAAAAGATCTTGATCCTTTCTTCTTCATTCGAGCTCTCGATGAACTATCTGTAAATTCATTATCTGTAAGTTTTGATCCGATAGGTGGCACATGATTCCAATCGAAATTACTACTGTGATAATCCGGAACCCCCGTGGCCGAACGAGATGACTTTGCTCCACGAGAAGCAGACGACGGTCTTGAAGATGAGCGCGATTTTCGATCCGAGCGAATTCCCGGATCTGATCCTTCACTGTATAATGGAATTGTCCTTTTGCTTATACTAGAAGCATCGGTATTATTACCATTAATGTTAGGTTTACTTTTATTCCTTTCTCTACTCCGAGGCGAAGATCGATATTCTCTAGAACGATTCCTACCGGTGATATTTTTCACAAATTCGTTTTCTGTATCGCTTGTTTCTAGCTCTGTATCCGTATCAACATTTTGTAGGACTAAAAGAGGTGCTTGTCGCCATCCATATCCGGGATCGTAATCTCCTGGGGATCGTGCAGATTTCGGTTTCGATTTTGATGGTTTTTTATCTGCTGATATTGCTTCGCGATGTCTAGAACGTGTTGTGCTGGTGTTGGAGGTTGAGGAAATGGGATTTGATTCTTTGTTTCTGGATCTCCCGTGATAGATAGCTGTGGCGCTACTATCGTAGCCATTCTTCGACATTTTAGGAAGTGGAATTAGGTGATTTTTTAGAATATTCCTCTAGAATCGACAGGAATGGATGGCTCTAATCAACATGTTTTCACAAGCTTTTAAGTCTAAGAAATGACACAAATATCTGATAATCTGACAGTCCCAACAAGGAAAGAAGCTCTTGCACTGCCATTTCTGTAGGTCTGGGAATCCTCGGGACATTATATGACGACCGACCATATTGAAGGTAATATGCCGATTTCATTTTGATCCTTAGATACCTACTCAAATCTCTTACTACTACCTGAGGAAAAGCTCACTCATTCTTCTTCAGCCACAAATGGCCGAGAGACCTCTTGGTCAAGTACGGTCTGAGGCCCACGTGAGAGAAGCCTAGGATCCTAGACGCGCGCTTCATTTTCGTTGGGTTGTTTGTGTTTACAGGAGACCCGAGGTCATTCCTTTTTATCGTAATATGTTTGGGGATTGATCAAAGCTAAACTGTTGATATTGTTTGCAAGACTCGATTACGATTGCGGCTCTTCATTGAACCTCTTCAACTTAAACATGAAATGCATTATACAATATAACACCACTTGAAATTATAATCATCAAGCAGAATGGAAGCCTCATCCACATCGTGAGCAATATTCGCAAAGACTCCCCGATGCGCACCCATCCATCAATGACAAAAGTAAAACTCCAAGAATAAAAAAATTTACTACCTCTCCTTTCTTTTCCTCTCTTTTTGATAACAGATCAACTTCCCAAGAACTGATACAGTATTTGCAACTCTAGAATCTAGTGCTTATAGAAAAGTAATAGTATTGTTGACTCTACGGCCAGTTAAGTAACTCAGCAGAATAGAATCAGAAATGCAATGAAGGAAAGAAATCAAATATATGTGAAAGATAGCAAGTGTCATATACTCGAATAAAAGATATGCACAGATGAGAAAAATATACGTATGGTATTTAAAGCCAAATATGTAAATACTTCTGATGTTGAATACAAAACTAGGAGTCTGAGTAAAATCTTATATTTATCCCTTGAAGCCATTGCCCAACTGAACAATCAATTTTCGCTTACTCTAAAACATTCGAGTGTTTAACCCCAACTCTATAACCCCATACCTAAATATCTCATATCTAAAGACTTCAGGATCTCAAAACCTCAAAACCTCAACCTCTAACACCTCCACCCCCAACCCTCTCACCCCTCTGCTCCCTCCACAACCAATAATCCGCACTAACCACAACGGGCACACCCACTGCCCTCGGCCACATCCACCTGCCTTCTCCCTCTGCGCACCACACCCTAACCATGCCCTCAAAAGGCGGTTCATCACCATCTTCCGGAAGCGGGGGCAGGGGTTTATTTAGCAAGAGATCAAGATCAAGTGACGAACTCTCCGCCTCTATCTCCTTCGTATCCCACTTTCCCTTCTTCACTCCATATTTCCTCGAACGAATTTCTATAATTCCCATATCTTCTTCATCTGAGTAATACTCCTCTTCGTGAATTAATAGAGATTTTTTTACTTTTGGTTTTTCTGGGTTTTCTTGTTTTTCTTGTTTTTCTAAGGTTTCCATTTGTCTGTACGCTGAGCGACCGAAAGCTGTGGATGTGGATGTGGATGTGGATGTGGATGTGGATGTGGATATGCTGGATTTTGGAGAGGGGCCTGAGGAGAGGGAGAGAGAGAGACAGGATCCCATTTTTAAGAGGGGAGATTCAGATTCAGATTCAGATGTGAACGTGAGGGAAGAAGCGGTATGGAGATGGTAAGTTGAGTGTGATTTGCGGAAAAGGGTTGTGAGGAGTGAAGACATGTATCATATATAAGGATGGATAATATACATAGAAGAGTGATTGCTAAAAAAAAAACAGAGAGAGAGAGGATGAGAGAAATTATGCAATGAAAGTTAACAATCACAATGAAAATAATGTGGTAGATATAAACAGTGGAAAGTTAGAAGAAGAAGAAGGAAAATCTCGCAAATTGCCAGTGATGAAATACCAGATTTTGGATACTTGCCAACAAAGATACTACAAACCAGCGACTTACTAACATTAAAACATGTGAATTTAAATACATTAATGTAACAATTTTATTTCCGAAACTCTCAGGAAGCCAGGAACTCTCATCTGTTGGGATGCGCCAACCTAGGCCAAGCTTAACGCCGACCATGAGAGAGCCGCAGGACCTAATCCCTAGCGCAAAATAGACGATGAGGCTACTAACTACCGACCGCCATATAAAGGATGAGACTTTCAGGGACTATCAGGAATTTGTTGGCTTGGAGAATGATTCGTGGTACGTACATCAATTTGTTGTTGTGTGACTTTGGATGTTTTGGCGGGGTAACCTTATGAGATCAGATGATGAATGTAGGATGGAGGTGAGGTCTATTATGAGGGATGTGGGAAGAATATGTGTAGTGTAATGTAAGGTGATAGATATGAGAACCATCGCATGTGTGATGGAGGGAAAGTATCAATTTGAAGAGCTGCATTAACTTGTGATTGAATGGTGTTCAGAAGCCGAGTATCGTATCGACATCTCATGGTACTTTTTATTGTAGCAATCTGGATTCGAATAATTAGATACTCCTTAGTAGCATGAGTGTGAGAAGACTTATCTCATAATATGCATCAATTAACAAATTCAAGCTCATCATTCAATTGATATTTGAACCAAAGTAGTCAGAGAGAAAATGTGTTTTTTCAACGCTGTAGCCAAATTAATTCTTCAGACCCAAGACAAAATAAAATGGAGTATGTAACAATTAGGTATCTATTGCTTCTGCTTGAATGTTCCAAGGGTATCTGAATTGCTTCCAAATAGTTGCCATCATTCCGCCTTCGAATCTCCTGCTCGTCTGTCCTATGTAGGTATACTTCTTCGTTCTCGTAATATTTCCTCACAGCTCATAAAATTTACCATTGAGCCGATCGATTGAGAAGTCCCTCTACGCAAGACCTCAATGTCCAGCATTTCCCTTAGACTCTTGCTCCTTCTTTTGTTGTTTGATCATAGCATCAACCCTGGCAAAACTTCCAATCCCCTCAATCAAACAACTTGTCATCCATTTCCACCACACCGAACTTCCCCTCTGGACATTGTACTTCATAAGTCTAGACCTATCCATCCAGAAAGCTTCAGCCACGTGTATCACAATAGTCGGGATAGCAATCTTAGCAGAAATCCACATGAAAGTCGCTGCTCCTCCTGGAAACCATTGCAATACATTGTCGTAGAAATATGTACCAGGTACGATGTGTGATTGCGAAGCAAAGATAACTATAGTCATCAAACACAACCCGAAAACCAATCGATGGACGAAAGTCTTTGGAGCCTCGTATCGAGTAATAGTGTATGGAGAAATGTCAAGAGCAGTACGAGATTGGGCATCCATGGCGACAAATCGAGGGCGAGCGTCACTGTATGAAGATAAGGGAGGATCGATGGGGATTATGTGGGATTTGCCTGATTTGGAGGAGATTGTGAGTGAGGAGAGTGATATATCGAGGAGTTTGGGGTTGGAGGCTTCGCTTTTGGACAGCTGGCAGTAATGTTGCAAGTAGAATGATAGAGAAGATGTGTGGTCTGCATTCATATGTGTGAGGATACGCGTTTTTATAGCAGCATCTTTCTCGGATGAGGAAGCCATGATAACCAGATCAGATCGGATATGCTTGGTCGCTGGTAGCTGGGCGTTTGTAACGTACCGGGATGCTCTGACAAGACACGAAATAAGGTAGTTGCGAAATCATGACTTATTCAGGAAGCCCTACATTTGAACTTCCTTTCACGTGCTCAAATGATGCCTGCAACCCTTAAAATTCATGAGTGAATTTGAGATTCCGGGAATACCATTGGTCAAATGATATCGGAATTTCAGATATTCCGACACAAGATTGAAAAAGCATCGGAATAGAAAGATTCCGAATCTTAAAGTTATTGCCGATCTATACTCAAAAGAGTCTTAGTGTGAGTTGTCATATGTAAATGTAGACGGTACTCCGTAAATCTCAATTGTAAGGCAAATACCGGCTCATCGGGAGTAAATATGCCGACAGACCATTCGTACGGGTACTTTTAGTCTTCAATCCCATCTCGACTTTTCTTCAAGAATGAGCAAATGATTCTCCGATTGGCACTTTCCACGATCTACTCGACAACAACTACATAGATGATCTTCACTCTGCAAACGGCAAAAGATATCTAAATCCGACTTTCATCCACCTGCGCGTGTCCATCGGTAGCAGCCTGTTGTCTCCGGAGTACGAATCACACCGAACCTTACAGCAAATGTCGTACGGCAAATATACTCGCCGGGTACTATGATTATTCTATTCTGTTGGATCGAATCTATTTTCGACATATCACATCAAGATTCTCTACCACCTATACACACTATCTCACTCGTAACATAGCATGGCTCGAAAACCGTCTTTTTCTAGATTATCGCAACCTATCTAAACAGGAAAGTCGTTCAGAACCATTAACATTAGCATTAACACACCCCTTTCTTCGACCCGACATTTTACCATTTCTGCCTCATTGCCTTGGATCACATTAGGAACTATTTTGCGAAGTTCACGATACATCCTTAGAAATACGTTCGTCTGTGTATTTGTAAAATCTTGTCTTCCAGATAACCAAGCCTATAGATGATGATATTCCCAAGGTCAAGCCTTATCATCAACAATATTCCTGCCTCAAGATGGAGAACAGCATGAGAACGGGTCTGCAAATTTCACATCAAGGTCAACCTGGCGTCGATCAATATAATTAGCCCCCACTCAGTCATCTATGCTGGTGTACGGAGTATGTTAAAGTTAAAAAGCTGACGACCGTAGCAAGCATCCAGAGATTTCATACGTAGTGTATATATAAATAACCCTTAACATCCTTCACAGTGCGACTATATGTTGTGCTTCATATCCATCCATGGTCTTACACACACGTGGGAGGAGGGGGCATCTAGTATTTATAAAATGTAGGGCTCCGTACCTGACAAGTAGTCAGTCTGTGGTGCCATGTCATGAGCTTTTTCCTCCTGCAGCTAGAGGACAATGGGATTAGTGAGAGTCGCTTCCCGCTAAACTCTTATTGGTATTTCGTCTCCGAACAGGGGGGGAGTTCTGCCGATGTGATGGAAGTGAGCCCGCGCAGCCACAACCAAATGATTCACTTAATATTCTTCCTATAAATCTCCATATACGAGCTCCTAAATAACCACAAGGATCTTCATCTTGAGCGTTGACGAATGTTTATCACTTTGTAACGCGTATAATTTAGTCGATAGGATACATACCTAGTAGATAGCTTACTCGCTAGTACTGCAGGTAAATACGGAGTCGATTAGAGTAACAATGGGCGGGCAGTAAATAAGATGGAATCGAGCGAATCGGAACATCAGTCAGGACGGAGTACACGGTAGAAGTCTAGACGACTGTGCAGATGGAGTATGGCCAGAACGGTAGTATCAGACGTGTTATAGCTTATAAGATGTACTTATATTTACAAGATACCTACCATCCATTCGCAGCTTCTAATAAATGAATGATATATCGAGTATTTCAGGGGAAGGCACTCCTTCTCACACTGATTCTTTGGTGCGTCCCAGAACTTCAAACAAGTTTATATATAAATAAATCCGTTGATGCTGGAAAATAGTAAATATAGCACGACAATAATATTAAAAGAAATCAATGCTATGTATTATTCAGCCTTGTATTGAATTGTGCTCTTCCTTTTGGCTTTGTTTCACTAAACACGGTAGATTTGCGATAAGTAAAGTACAACCTCGAGTCTCTTGTCATATCAATCAATTTCCACTTTCCAATTTCCATTTTCTAATCTCCAGACAATCATCGACCGCATTCATCGTCACATTTGGATGTTACTAGGTAGGGTAGGTAGGTAACTCCTGTTTAGTCTGAGCGCACATTTAATTGTACCCATCAGGATTACCCCCTTCCAACCTTACCCCAACCTTCCAAAAAAACTTTATGATATTAACGGCGAGGCCAATTCTCGAAGCCAAAAAATAGCTTGACTCGAATCTTCGATACTGTCCCTCCGTCCTATTCCTCAATTATATTTCACAACCCGCCAGTACCATATCTCTCCTCGACCTCGATCCTCGACCTCGATCCTCGACTTCTGTGGCTACGCTACTGCGACAAGTTTGCATGTGAGAAAAACAAAAAAGATCAACAACCCCAAAGAAGAAGAAGAGAAAAAAGAAAAAAGAAACTTCCCTCCTGATGAAGCAGATTTCATTTTATCCATCGCCGACATACTTTTGCTAAATAGCCCCGTCGCGCCGAGTACCGCATTCCACATTCTTCCCAATGCGCAGTTGATAATATGCCCTGGCAACCTCTTCCACGCATCGCATTCGCCGTCGCAACATTCCCTTTTGTTGCTTCTTCGCCCGCAGATCTCCCACTCGAACTTGGAGACGAATTATACATAATTGAGCAAGGTGGGAAGGATTTACAATGGTTTCGAGGATATCTGGTTGCACCGCCCAATCTGCTGGCTGGTTTAACAAGCACAAAAGGGCAGACTCTTGAGGCAAGGGTTTTCTCTGGAATTTTCCCAGCCAGTTGCGTAGAAGTTCGAGAGGTGCTAGGGGATGATGAGGGACAGAGTCAGGTTTCTACAGAGGACGGGGACGGAGTTGATGAGCACGGATCGACGAATGGCATTTTGGCAGACAAGAGTTCTAGTGCTATTAACGGCGCCCAGGTACAGCAGGTCAGAGGATCAGCAGAAATCGACGGCGCAAATGGACAACCTACCAAGAGGAAGAGAAAGAGTAAGGTTTTCACGAATGGGAATGTCAACGATTTCTCAATTATTGCGAAACGAGAACCCGGTGCGCCAAAGCCAGCAGCTCCAGTACCTATGCTAAAGATCGGAGACGAGACACCAACATCTGCCTCGGAGCCATTGGTGGACGAAATCGCATCCTGTCTGAGGGAATGGCACTCTACAAATTTGCATGAGCTTTTACTTTCGAGACAATATCACAAATTGGATAAGATGTCAACTTTGGTAAAAACACTGGATCTTTCAAGGAGGCAAATTCTGCACAATGTCTGTACGAAACACGAACTTCAGTCTTTAAGAGAGAAGACAGTCTGGGACCTTGTGAGGGGAAACAAATTGTTAAATGGGGAGGTTATTGTTCGGGATCCTGCTGCTCGCGGTAGGGTACTCACAGGTGATGATTCAGCGGTAGATGTCACTAGGCTTCAATCTATGATGAGTCTGCTGGATGAAAAACCCCAACTTTCACTTCCGAACGAAAATCTGGCACTCCACCATCTCCAATTGGATGTGAAGGCTTTTGTTGGCGCGTCCACAGGATCCACAACTCTGTCGTTTTTCCTAGCTACGAAAAAGCCAGGTTCGATAGGCGTAGCACTTTCGGAAACTTACACTGTGGAGGTGCCTGCCAGTGCTTCTCTTTCAAGTATGGGAAAATCGGGACAAATAAGAACTCTGTTTACCGACCTCGCATCAGCGGACATCGGAGATTTACCTTCTACGGAAGGCGAGCTATATCTTATAGTGAAAGTGCAATCGTCGTCACAAGTCACAGCGGGCAAACCTACATCACGCAGCGGATCAAGAGGCAACTCGTTTTCTAGGGATAGTGTTAGTAAGGATCGAGAAAAGCCTGCACCTTCTAGCGCTGCAGCCAAGGCAGGCAGGAGGAGTTTGATGTGGGGTAAAACTAAGAATACACCTAATGCTGGTAAATTAAACTCTCTCACTGAGAACTCCGAACCCAGCGGTGAATCCCAGTCCAGTCGAGATGGCGCCAACAGGAGTTCATCGTCAAGGAATGGTAGCGACTCAAAACCTGGAACTATAAGTCAAACCATCTCCAAGACCGTTGGAATGGGAGCTCTAAGGTTGAGCTCGCTCATGAAAAATCAAGATGAAGCTGAGCATGTTATGACCATATGGTCGCCATCCACTACTCCTGGGAATGACAAGCCGAGCCCGAGTGATGGATGGGAAGAGGTTATTCGCGATTTGATGACGAGCCAATCCGGTCAGTATGAAAAATCTCGAAGGACGGAACGTCTACAGGTATATCTGAAAGCATTCGACAGTCCAGACGCGGACGGGTTGATCAAGTCTACTCCGACTCTACTGTCTGGGATCTTGAAGACAAATAAGATGGGCTTTTCTGGGGCGCCAACGAAACCAAGGTCAGATATTTATGTTACCCTTGATGAGGCATTTCTTCCTAAGCAAGCTCTTCTATCGCGATCAATTGGCAGTGCGATGCCTGTACCCTCATCATTTGTAGGATCGAATCTTCAAGTTACTATGGAAGTGAGAAAATCAAGCGGAGAGCGGCTTGAGGGCGCTATCTATCCCTCCTCGAATGCAGATGGCCAAAGTTCATGGGAGTCAGTAGCAGCCGAACGAGGTGATGCTTGGAACCAGACTCTACGCTTATGTATCCCTCAACAGGAGGTTCCTAATTGCCATCTAGTAATGGTTCTTGCCGACGCACCGAATCATCCACTTGCCATATGCCACATCCCACTTTGGGACCAACAAGCCTTTATGCGAGATGGACATCATTCTCTGCTACTGTATAAATACGACGAAACAACTATGCTACCTCGAGGTAGTTCGACTGGCAAAGGTGGATATCTTTCCCTACCATGGAATTCTCGTGGCAAGGATGATGTATCAAAGGATGAGGCCGTTACTGGACCGATTGCAACTCTTCGTATTCAGACATTTTTATGTAGTACAAAGTTCTCACAGGATAAAGTGCTTTTACGATTGCTCAAGTGGAAGGATCAACCGCCGGGAGACCTACAGCAGCTTTTACAACGACTAGTCTTTGTCTCGGAGATCGAGATTGTGAAGCTTCTCAGCGACGTATTTGATGCTATTTTTGGAATCCTCGTTGAAAATACTGGGAACGATGATTATGAAGATCTTATCTTCAGTGCCCTCGTTACAGTCCTTTCCATTGTACATGATCGAAGATTCAACCTCGGGCCCTTGGTAGATCAATATGCCGAAACTAGATTTAATTACCCATTCGCATCGCCTTGTCTCGTGAGGTCCTTTACTCGCTTACTTGCCAGCCCTTCTGACCCGGAAACTTCGAGGAAACTACGCGCTACATTCAAAGTCGTTCGACATATCCTAAAGTTCATCACTCATGCAAGAGGGCAGCAGAAAGCGAAGGAAGCTGACATTGGCATCACCCATTCCAGTTCAGGGTTCGGCCGCCAACTACGCCAAATTTTCAAGGCACTCGAGGGAATGATGAGAACTACGGCACCCATTCTCGTGGGAAGTCAAACATTAGCTGTTCAACATTTTCATACTTGGCTACCAGAGCTTAGCGGCTTGCTTAGCAGGGAGCAGATTTTGCATATTGCCATCGACTTTATGGATTCATGTGCGTTGGTAAAGGGTAAACTTATATTGTATAAACTTGTTTTAATTATTAATTTTTCTCGAATGGATCTATTTTCTAGGCCCGAACACTTGAAGGCTCTTGCTACGAACACGTCCAAGTGGATTTTACCGCATTGGGGCAAAACAACAGAGGTTACTGAACAATGGAGGGAGCAAGTTCGACTTTGTTGCTCAATTTTGGCGATACAAATGAAAAATTTGGGCCCTGAGATCCCCCAATACATACCTAAAATCATCGATTCGTATCTCGCATTACGTACGGGCGAAGTAAAGTCGCAAACTCGCTTGTCCTTACTCTTCCCCACATCATACCCCTTTCCTAGCAAAGCAATAGCCGAAGAGGCCGAGTTCGACGAGGTGCTTATTGAGCTTTCGGCAGTCTTGTCTGCCATTTCAAACTTACCTGCAGGCATGCAGCTTGAGCTTGCAGAAGGTGATATGGCAACTTTGATTGAGGATTTCCTGAATACGCATTTAAGCATATTAGAATGTGAGGCATTTCCGCAAAATTGGTTAAGCGTTCGCATCTTCCATCACAAATCCACACTCAAAACGCTCGAGTATCTGGCGGGCATTCTCCTGGACAAATTCTTGCCTCATCCCGACGATGCGGAGAACTACAATACGGAATTATGGAAAGCATTCTTCACTACTTTACTCAAACTTATTGGTAGTGATTATTTGGCACTGGAAACCTTCCCCGAGCAGAAACGACGAGCAGTATGGAAGATTGCTGGCGATGTGCGCGAAAATGGTGCCGAGCTGTTGAGACGAACATGGGAGTTCACTGGTTGGGATACCACCCATGAGGAGCGACAGAAATACGCTTTGGCCAAGATGGGAGGTTACCAAGTCCAATACGTGCCTGCTCTAGTCGGACCCATCCTTGAGCTATGTCTTAGTGTGCATGAAGGTCTTCGGCGCGTAGCAGTAGAGGTCCTCCAAACGATGATTGTCAGCGAATGGACATTGAGTGAGGACTTGAGTGCTATTCAAACTGGAATCATCGAATGCCTGGATCACCTTTTTAAATCGAAGCCATTAACGGAAAGTATTTTGCAAAAATTGTTCATAAATGAATTGTTCACCCTATTTGATAATTTGTCTCGAAACCCAGATGATCCGCTGTACAACGCGGTGAAAGAACTTATTGGCACTACCGATGAATTTCTTGATCTTCTCGTTGCGGTTCATAGTACGGATGTCACTGGTGAAGCTTCTCACATGATTCATCGTTTACGATTGATGGAGTTCCTCCGGGATATGCACAAGGAAGATATCTTCATCCGATACGTCCATCAACTTGCAGAATTTCAAACCAATGCTGGCAATCACACGGAAGCCGGACTTGCATTACGACTTCATGCCGATCTGTATCAATGGGATCCTTCGAAGCTACTACCACCACTAGACGATCCGGATTTCCCAGCCCAATCTCATTTTGATCGAAAGGAACGAATTTATTTCGACATGATCAAGAACTTTGAAGAAGGTGAAGCATGGAGTAGTGCCATAGCTGCGTATAAAGAGCTACAATATCAATACGAAGAGAATGTTTTCGACTTTTCTAAACTGGCTAGGACACAACGAGCAATTGCCACGATTTACGAATCTATTTCAAAGGCCGACAAGATTGTCCCAAAGTACTTTCGTGTCATCTATCGAGGAATGGGATTTCCACAAAGCTTGCGCGACAAGGAGTTTGTGTATGAAGGCTCTCCCAATGAAAAGACCTCGGTATTCACAGATCGGATGCAAGAGCAACATCCTTCAGCACAAATTGTTACTTCTGGCGATATTGACGATGTGGAAGGACAATTCCTGCAGATTTCAGCTTTGAGCCCACATCGAGATATTTCTCATCACGTCTTCCAACGTTCTAAAGTTTCTCAAGTAGTTAGAGACTATCTTCTGTCGACACATCCTCGCTATTTCTCTACCACATCTCGCCGTACCACTTCGGGTCCAATAGGGGATCACTCTGCCGAGAAAATAATTTATACTACTGCAGATACATTTCCAACGATTTTACGTCGAAGTGAAATTATTTCCGTGGATAGGTATAAGCTCGATGCTCATCAAACAGCTTTGGAACGAATTATTCGCAAAACTCAAGAAATGGCAGCTGTGGAAAAGAGAATTGCAGATGGTGAAGATGATATTGCACCACTTCTTGTTGAAGCACTCAATGTATCCGTCAATCCTACTTCCGAGTCTAGTGTAGCAAGGTACAGGGAACTGTTACCTAATCCTACTGATGATGAGGATGAGGATGGAGAGGGAGAAGTGATAGAGCTAGGGCCTATAGAAAATGCGCTTAAGGTTGCTTTGATTGATCATGCAATCATGATCAAAAGATGTCTAGCGATGTTTGCAAAATCACCTAATCTTCACAGTCAGGATGATTTACAACACTGTAGGACCTCATTTTCTTATCTTCATCATGATTTACTAACATCCAATACAGATTTTGAACAAACCTTCTCACCCGAACTCGCTTCACTTCAAATTCCCCAACCGCGTCTCTCAAATACTTCCCCTGGTCTCGTTCCAGGCTGGGCACTTTCACCCACATCATCAAAAGGAGATCTATTGAATAGCTCACAGGGTCATTTGACGCTTCCTCATTCTCAGTCTTTCACAAATGGTACCATTGATACCAGTATCCTCGATAGTCCCAACCACACTCGCGCTACTGCTGCTTCCAAACGTATCAGTTCATTCCTAACTCGAAATGCAACTTTCCCCGAGCGAGAAAGTCGCCCTCTAAGGAAGGACAATCGTAAGAGCTTCTTTAGTGGGAATGGATTAAGTATGAATGGAATTTCCATAACCAACAAAGACCGAGGTCGAAAAGAAGAGAATGTAGATGAATTTCAGATCGCCGAAGAACATGACTTATCGCATGGTAATTTGGAAGATTCGAAGGAATGGGTAACACAGTCGGATCTTTCGGTTCATCCTCCACAGGGAAATTATACCACGAACAGTATAGGTCAAGGAAGAAGAAGTAGTAGTTCCCAACGTAGACCAGATACTACAGGAACGGGAAGTAGCCAGGGTATGGCGGGGCTCGGTATGGGCATGGGAATTGGAATGGGGAGTAATGGAAGTGGTCTTGGAGGAAGTGTGAGGAAGAGATTTAGTATGTTGAGGTTAGGGAAGAAGGGGAGTACGGTAGGAAGTGGGTTGAGTGGAGATGTTGTTGAAGAATAGAAACAAGGTGCTGGGTGTGAGAGGAAGAGAAGAGAAAAGAAAAGAGATATTGATGATCTGAGAAAATGGAGTGGAAGGAGAAATAATGGATTTTCTGGGTATGATCTTCAAACATAACATACTTGTATATGTTTCGTTATACCTGGATATTGTTTTTACGATAAAATGCATGGAGGATGGAGGATGAGCACCCCTCTACGGATACACTTTTCTTGCACATAAATATGCTCTCTTCCGCTTCTTCGAGACATCTTCTGGTTTTCTCTTTTGTTACATTTGTTTTGAGCGTTGGAGCTGGGGCTAGAGCTGGAGCGGAAGCGGGAGCTAGTTCTGCATCTGGAAGAATGGATAGGGAAGGAAGGAAGGGAGGGAGGGTTGGAGGGCGATTTGTCTTTTTTGTGTCTTGTGTCTTGTTTTTGCTTTTCTTTGTAAATTTAAATTTTTGATTTGCATTTTCGCTAGGGTGGGAGGTGGGCGAGGATTGATATTTGAGAGTTGAAAGGACGGGAAGGAAAGAAAGGAAGGGAAGAAAGGAAGGGGAGGAAGGAAGGAAAGAAGAAGATGAGAGGAGATAAAGATAAAGATACCCGAGAGAAAGTGAAATTTTCATACGTACCTCAGATTACTACTCGAAATACCCATTCATACTCTAGATACCATACCATACTATACATATTATACTTTATTATTATGCTTTAATTTTTTAGTCTTTTGAATATTTATTTATTTCGTTTCCGTGTATAGTATTAGTTGAGTTGAGTAGGTATTATATTAAAATTGATTGATTAAAGTTACCCAGGTAATAATTAATATTTAAAAACTAAGTATTATTAAATAATTTTTACCCTATTTTTATTTTTATTTTTCTCAATCATCTTACTCATTTTAATTTTAACCTCGTATTACTCGAGTATATTGTATCATTTATAAAGACTAATCAGGTAATTCTTGAATAAAAAGAAAGACAGACAGACAGATAGACAGACCAAAGACAAAGCACCAAGAAAAAAAAACAAAAAGCTCACCACCTGAATAAATCCTTATTGGTAATCTCGTTTCCAATTAGAATCCAATTTCAAATTTCAAATTCAACTCATTAAATTACATTCCTGTTAACCTGAACCTGAACCTGAACCTGAACCTGAACCTGAAATACATGAATGCGCAATAGGAAATTAATAAGGATATCAAGTAAGTCAATCTCGTGAAATTGGTTTCTCAACTTTCCGTCTCGGCCTATTGTCCATCCTCCAGGTTTTATTCATTTATCCATCTCGTTCGTTCGATCGTTCATTGACCCATTCATTACCTACCATCCATTCCAATCCTCCGGAGCACCCGCACCAGCAACAGCATAATCCCAGCAATTCAAAGCCCCACCTTCTTCCCCTTCCCTTTATCCCCCACGGTCTCCGGTTCATTCAACCCCCCATCCCAACAAATCTTCATGGTAGTCGGGAATGGGAATTGCGATCCCATCATCTTATCCATGTAAACATAAAAACCACCTTCTCGAGGGATTTTCTTCATCTCGCCTTGAGGACCTGGTGCTCTTCGAAGATTGTCGAGTCGTCCGATACATTTTAACATGGCGGTGAGAGCTACGCGTGAAGCGTCGGCGCCGAGACAGGCGTGTAAGCCGACGCCGTAGACGAGGTAGGAGTCGATTGGTCGGTCTAGACGGACTTTCTTGGGTTCGGGGTAGATTTTGGGATCTTGGGCTAGGGAGACCTGGGGTTTGTTAGAGATTGTGTTTGATGGGGGGCGGGTATTGGAAGGAGACACTTACAAAGCTTGTGAAGACAGAGTCGCCGGGCTTGCATTCGACTTTTCGTGATCCGTCGTTGATAGTTATATTTTCATGACATGTGCGGTAAGCACCAAATGTGCCGTACATTCCTTGACATTGTTAGCATTAGTATGAATTAGAAAATATGAAAGTATTGATTACTGATTCCTTCCAGAAGGTAGTGTAAAAGGATATCATCTGCTTCGGGCGTATTGAGCTTCGCAAGACGATTGATTTCTGGAAGATGCTCCTTGCCGTCACCAAGGTAAAAGTCAAGGACTTGACCGAAAACCTGTGCTTGGTTCGCCACCATGGCTCCTGCTGTAGGTAAAATTTGTGACCATCTATGCAATGTCAGTGAATACAACGAGCGATTAAAAGAACTACTAACACAGTCTCATGAACGCCCAAACCAGCCTTCAACAAATGGCGCACCATGTGCACACCATAATCTTTGAGTGCATTATTTTCCCCCATAAAAGTATCAACAATACCTGATACGAGACTTGTCTTTGAAATAAAGTTCACATTCTGCTCGACTAGTTGACCGAGATCTTGTGTGACTGGAAGACCAGCGGCACGTAATGAGAAGGTTTTCGCTGGATCCACGTCACCGAAAAATACTACAATAAAGATAACGGCTAAAACCATATACAACTCATGCTCGGTATATACGCCTTTAGGATTCTCTTCACTTTTGAGGGGGAGATGGAAGATGTTCGAAGCAAAGTAAACATGAGCTAGTTTCTGTTAGATAAGAATGACTGCGTTAGAATAAACGTGTATCTCACCGGAATTATCAATATCGCGAATGACATCAACCTGGTTAGTTGTGCCTCCAATATTATAAGACCATCTCTTGAGAAGTTTTGGAACAATACTTTCGTAATAGTTCTTCACACTTTCATGCCATTTATCTTGGTAGAGGCATTCCTTCATTTGGTTGCGTCGCTCGGCAAAGAAGTCGCCATCACCAGCCAACATGAAATTTGCTCCTAAGACTATATTAGTATTGAAGTGTATGGCTTCTGTAACAAATTTAAATACCTGGTTTTCCCATGAGGAAAGCGAAACCTCTACGCCAATTATCAACACCAAATACTTCTCCATTAGTGAGGACACTCTTGACTCCATCATAAGTGACAATATTCTTTCTCTCGGGAATCCTTGATGGTTTCTCCCAGCTATAGTCATCTACGCGACCAAGTTTCTCCATGATCTTCTTGTTCTCCGTTGGGATTGTGAGAGGGTAATGAGCATAGATACTGTTAAATGAGAAGTGATTGGGGAAAGCTCGAATGAATAATTTGTAAAATACGCAGCCTTGATTGACGTTCAAATCATAATCGACTTCAGTAACTCCCCAATTCGTGAGATTTGCTGGGTGATAGTCGGTAGTGTAAAATCTATCTCCACGAACCAGTGTCACTGCGTCAGAAAGAATACTTCGACTGATTGTGTAAGTTGGTGCAATACCAACACCTGGATCCATCGGCGTCTTAGCATCCTCACAAACCAATCCGGTGTAAAGCTCGACCAAATCCGGGTCATCGTATAGAACCTTCAATTTCTCATAGACTGCTGGATCGGAGTTGATATCTGAGAACTTTTCATGTGGTATGAGACCAAAGTGTTTCCGGAATTCGTTTAGTGTTGCACACTTCCATGCACGAGCTTGCTCCATCCCGAGAATTTCAACAGCACGGAGTACTGCGGGAACGTTGTTCGCTCCTGATGACCCAGCCAAATCTTCGACGCTCGCAGTCAATTCCTTAACAAGATCATCATCACTGAGCTTCCCATCGCTACCTCTCTTCATACCAGCAAAATCTCTTTGTAGAGGATCGTCTGGAGTCATTGCTTCGAGCTTACCCAAGCCAATGAGGAGCTCCTGCATAGAAACTTCCTTGTGGCTCTTTCCAAAGATTTTCATGTACAAGTCTTCGGACCACTTCTCATCGCGTTGACTAATGCAGGAATGCCATCGGTATACGCTATGAAGAATCAGTTCTAAGCACAAAAAGACAGATGCTGGAAAAGCTTACAGATTGAATTCAGCAGCACATTGATTACCAACTCCAGCAACGGTTCCGGGCTTGCTATTTCTTTCCATTTGGATACGAGGATCGAGGGTCCTAATGCCGATTAGTCAGAAATATTTCTACCTATGTTGAAATGATACTGACCAGGTAGAATTGACCCTATTCAATCCAACAATTGTGCGTAGATAATCGAGCAGAATAATGTTGATGTAGAGGCCGCAAGTAATAAGACGTCCAGTCTGGAAGAGGTCATTATCGTATTTCTTCCAGGCTGCTTGCTTTTTATCTTCAGGTAGGTTATCCCTGGGTGGTGTAAAGCGTCCATTCTCATTGATTGTGGCCAATTGGTTGACCACATAGTTGTGAAAACGATTGAACATCTATAATTTTTAGTTCCTGTCTATAATCTTCAGTAAGTCACTCACGATAAGGATGCATCCAACTCCTGGGGGAAAGCCTAATAATCTCTTTTCGGAAAAACAATCCGGCTTAAGCTCTCCGTCCTTGAGAGTTCGCATATTATTCTGCTCATCCTGATTGCTTCCATATAAAGGAGAAAGATCCAAATAAGAGGAGGTCATTGAAATATTAAAATCTTCGTGTGATGTGCGAAAGCAGTCATGAATGATAATACTTGCAATGTAGTAAAGCATACTGGAGACATTGTTTGGATGAGGCTTGAAACCACCATTATCTCGACTCATGATCGTGTCGAATATAAGACCTGGATCTGGTTTTGGGTTTGGCTGAACGATCTTGGGAGTGACACTTCGAGCGTAAGCTGTACCTGCTTTTCCAATGTCGGGAAACCTGATATTATTATATCTAAGAACAAGGATTAGCGAGAAAGATGTTGATAGTTCTCTTAATATACTCACGAGCCATCAGCTTGTCGATAATTGTACTTGTCACCAAGCATTGAAGCTGGTGGATGTTCCAAAGAGCCCCATAATTCATCAACCAGTACTTCAGTAAGCTTAACCCGAGTCTTGGAGGTTCCAGGAAGATTTGCAACCAACTTCTTAGCATTAGCTTCTGTGTGAACAAATTAAGGACCAAGTTTACCTGAATGAGCCTTTCCATTAACATGCTCTTGTCGGCCGTCAATTTTGAAGTTCCCAATTCTTGCTTCATGGCCAACTGCAATGTTTCCAAATCCTTGATCTTCAATGATTTGAGATCATCCAATAAACCTGTTTGTTCCTGTTTTGTGTCATAGGAGCCATCTCCCGTTTCGGTATTCAAAGGACGGTTGGCTGTGCTGATGACTTTCCCAAGTGATTCCAGAGTTCCAACAATACCAGCGCGTTTTACACTATGATCGGGACCCTCGAATGCTTGGGGATTAGAGCTTGCAGTACCACTGTTAGACTTTTTAGACACACCCATCGTCAAACGACGTGCCGGTCCGCTTGAGGAAGTCGCCCCATTTTCGGCAGTTGTGGGTGAGGATTTGGAGTTCTCCTTGTCCTTAGTCTTGAACACTGTCGAAAGACGTCTCATCATTGCGGTTGACACGATGAAGTATTCTATGCTGGACTGTTAGTTCCCAACCGAAAATACAAATACATTTAACAATATGGAATTTATAGAATATTTTTTTTGCTTACATGTAAATCGGTGATCTATTGTTACAATAGAGTAAACAATTTTGTTGCACGAGGTCAAATTCAAGGGGATACTGTCAAAATATAAAGGTGGTGGAGAAAGAAAAAGGAAGAGGTTGGAAAGGATGAGAAGCTGAGCTACTTAGCATGCCGCCGAGGAAGGGGACAAGGGAAGCTATCCCCTCGATTTGATAGCTTCCGCCGTGTATTACGATTGATGCAGGATAGTACATGTAAATCAGAATGTGAAGCGGAGTCGACGACCCCCTCCAATTTGACCCAATCAGAATTTATGAATATCAAATTGAAGGGTTACATCAAAACTGCTTGAGCTACAGCAAGGGCCTCAAGGGCTGAAGTACTCGAAATTTATTGGACAATGCGAAGAGGTTTCCAAATTTTGCACATTGGGGTGAGACCTGATTGTATGCAAAATCGCAGATTCGGACATGGCGCGCCAACTCGACATATCATTCATTAACTTAACAACACTACTAATATGCAAATTAATCGGTATATCAAAGTAACCCAACCGAATACTATGTAAAGTACTTATTAACACGAAGTGTTGTAATTTTATCATTTTCAATACCTAAATTGAGGCCAGCTGTCAAAATAAGAGTTATGACTTTTCAATGACGAAGTCAAATTGACATTTAACAAGATTAACGATGTTCGATTGCTTTATGATTCAGATGGTAAACAAAATCCGGGTGGTGGTGGTGTCTTGAAGCCACCGAGATATTTGATTGGTTTATTGATGAACACAACATTGTGCTCCTGACCCCGCAAGCTGCTACTCTGGATATTTGGTTTAATTCCTGGGAGAAAGAAGGCTGGATGTTGAACTGATAAGAAGCTAATCTTACAATAATAACTAATCCATAAAATGGATATTCCCTTTGCTCAGCTTTTGCTGTATAGAGGTGATGATGATGATCCTGCTAAGAATGAAGCTCTGGAGCCCCTGGGTATTGATCGACGCGTTCACCAGTTCTAGTTGGAAAAGTCTCACTTGAGCACTGGCTACTGCGCAGCTAGATCACCCAGCTCAAACCCTTAAACCATCAAATCTCCGCCCCCATTTATTTTCGATGAACTGCATCAACTAAAAGCAGGGGCGGCTGAAGCTCATAACTTCCGAATTCATCCCCTCACATATTGATTGAGGAGAAGATGGCTTGCAGAGCAAGGATTGTTGAGGGCTCAACGCAAGGTTGCACAGCTGTGTGTGATAGATCTTATGATTCAGCCAGTTAGACCAATCGGTAGGATACCTGCATGAACGATTGAGCACTGGCGGCAATGGAAAAAGAGAACGTGTGAATGAAGAATGAGGAGAAAGTTACGTATACTCTGGAGTCTGTACTCCTTATAGAGTGCATAGAGAGAGTTGTCGGATGGCTAACTCGAGTAGTTCTATCATGTAATTCTTGTCATGTGACGATGACGATCGGTGAATTTTTGGTGCATGTTTCCGTACCTTGTCAATAATTTTGGAGCTTTGAAGAGCATGTACATGTTCAGCTCTTGCTGTCTTTAACTTCAACAACTTTGATCAATCGCTTTATATTATACATTGTCACATCTTGAAAGATGGCAGTCACTTTGAAGGTCACAAATCGCTGTAAGTTAATCCAATGTGCCATTGAATATCTCTTGATGCTAACCTCAACAAGCCCCCAGAAATCCCATCAAACGTCTTCCTACCTCTATCGATATCGACGAAACAACTACAGTTCAAGATGTTAAAGAAAAACTAGCCAAACAAGTCGGCGGTTGGGACCCGAATCGATTCGGTATCTTCGATCCAGAGCAAAAGAAGATCTTAAAAGACAGGAAAGCCTTTATTTCTCAACATAAAGAAGTCATTATTGGAAAAGAAATCTTGATCAAGGACTTAGGTACAATCACAACCTGCCCTGCAAGTAGTACACAACATACTTATATTGTAATCTATTACAGGTCGTCAACTAGGCTGGCGCACTGTATATATAATCGAATACCTCGGTCCAATACTAATCCATCTTGGATTCCCGCTCCTTCGCCCTTATATATACTCCCAACCTGTCGGGCCCCTCTCCAATTCTCAGCTTCTCTCTATGACCCTCATAATTCTTCACTTCCTCAAACGCGAATATGAAACAATTTTCATCCACCGTTTCTCTCTTTCTACAATGCCAGCCAGCAACATCCTCAAAAACTGCGCCCACTACTGGCTTCTTAGCGGTATCTACATCGCCTACTTCATATATGCCCCTTCATCTTACACCGCATTGTCATCCCCGAAAGTGGACCTTTTAAACATGGCTGGACTGGCTCTTTACCTGTTTGGAGAGCTTTCAAACCTCAAAACCCATCTCACTCTCTCGAACCTTCGCTCGCCAGGGGGAACCGAGCGCGGAATTCCCCAAGGTTATGGTTTCTCTATGGTAACGTGCCCCAATTACTTCTTCGAGATGCTCGCATGGATTGGTATGATACTCGTGACAAAGAGTTTGAGTACGGTCATCTTCACTATTATCGGAACCGCACAAATGCAGCAGTGGGCTGTTAAGAAGGAAAAGCAATATCGTAGTGATTTCGGTGATAAGTATAGGAAAAAGAGAAATGCTCTGTTTCCTACTCCAGGAGCCTTCGTTAAGGAACTTACTGGTTAAATACACGAGTGAATGAGGAAGTAAGTTTATTAGGGAGATGAGGTTGTGTTTGCGAGGTTCTGCACCAAGGTCCCAAACGAATTTTCGGCATCAGCTCCGTAAGATTAAGGATGAGAAATGATTGAGTGGGAACATCAAAAGTATATAATAGCGCACACTGCTTTGCGTTGCTTTGCTTCATTAATGCCAATAAATGTTATGAATTCTCTACCAAGTCCTTGTCTCAACTTCGAGTCATGTTTATCGGTATTTGTTCTCTTGAACGACGACTATCAGCCCTGGAGCACACACATTTTCCATAAGAGAGAAATTATTAGCAACGACCGGCAAACACGAATCGCAAGTGCCAACGTTCTTGGCATGCCTGGGTAATGTTATGCGCGTGGGTGTGGAATATATCGAAACATTTCTTCATAGGGCGAGTGCTCAGTATAGTATCAAGAATCGTATCGGTATTCAGCATTATTTTTCGAAGACTCCACTGCCTCCTGGAAAAGAAGCGGCGATAAATTATCCAAGCAAGTCGTTTTTATGAATTCGAACCAAAATTCCTCGTTAAGCCTACTCGGATGGCGGTGGCAGATGTCAGTCATCTACGTAGAATTTTGCCTGCACATAACCTCCAAGCCCTTCCATTCAAGAAATAAGTATGGATTCTTGACCTGAATATTGTTCGTTTCACCTCTTTCCTTTCGCGTTTGAGTGGCTTTGACATTTCATGCGGCCAATCACATCCCGCGTTTGAGTTCTGAACACAGCTTGTTTCATGCATACTCTGTCTACCAATTAAGCTTATTTAACCTTATTTTTTAAGTCAACCTTTCTAGTGTATGTTTCTCTGCTAGGAAATTTTAGTAACAATTGCTACTTCTGTCATATGTGGAGACACGAGGGTTTGCAAGCATACGTCAAACATCCAACCAAGTAGCAGCAATTAATTAGCACACTCGGACATCTACTCATCGTGAGTCTGTGCTACATTCTGTATACTCACATTTGCCACAGACGTAATTCCTCAGCACTGGGCCTTCTAGCCCCAGGGCTTTAGCATGAAACACATCCTTGGTATACCTTCCTTCTCTGCGGGGCGTTTCCGAGTTCCGCTTTGCCCATGAGAGATCTCCATTCGTATCTTTATATCTTGCCTCCCCTTCCCTAATATTGTTTCTTTACTCGGTGATTTTGATAGTTATCCAGTCCTCCTTATCTTTTTAATATTTGCAGAGCAGAATATAGCCAAGTAATAGTTGATCCTATTACTACTTCCCTTCATAATAATGTATACACAATCACTTTTCTCGTTGGCGCTTCTTGCCTCTGGTGTCACTGCCCAGATGTCATTATCCCAAGCCATCGCAGCTAACAATGGAACTCTTTCTACTCTTTCCAGTAAGTTCTCTAATATCCATTTAATCCTACTGTATTAACATCTGCAGTGCTCCTTGGCCAACAACCCGCACTTGCGAGCGCTCTCTCCAACACCTCATCGGGAATTACAGTACTGGCACCATCTAACGACGCCTTTGCTAAATTTCTTGCGATGCCTGCAAACAAGGCTGCAGTTGGGCAGAGCGATATGGTCGCTGCAGTTCTTCAATATCATGTCTTGAATGGTACATTCCCAGCCAGCAAATTCACAAAGGAGGCACAGTTCGTACCGACGCTTTTGACAAATATGAGCTACACACAAGTTACCGGCGGACAAGTTGTACAGGTGGCTTTGAGTGGTTCAAATGCCGTTATTACGACTGGGTTGAAAGAGACAAGCACTACAACACAGACTGTAAGCGACTTTCCAATCCTGTCTATCCTTAAAATGTGCTGTCGGGTCAAACCTAACATAGGCATTAGGATATTATGTTCAATGGTGGTGTGATGCATATCATCGATACGGTCCTCACCATTCCTCTTTCTCCAGCCATGTCAGCTATCGACTCGAACCTTTTGTCTCTTGCAGGTGCCCTCACAAAAGCATCCTTAGTAGACCCCGTCAACTCCCTCAACGACGTTACTATTTTTGCTCCCTCCAATGATGCGTTTGAGAAAATAGGAGACACAGCTGCCGCTCTTGCCACCGAACAACTAAGTCAAATTCTCGAATACCATGTTCTCAACGGTACTGTATGTAGACCCCCTTCTTGCACAATTCCAAGATTCATACTAATTCACCGCAGGTGGGTTACTCCACCCTTCTCACCACTGGTCTAGCCAACGAATCTTTCCCTACCCTCATGGGCGAATCTCTTACCGTCACCTCGGAAAACTCCAAAGTATTTATCAACAGTGCCCAAGTAATCACCACTGACATTATTGTTTCCAATGGTGTCATGCACGTGATCGACAATGTCCTCAACCCCTCCAATGAAACCGTTGTTGAGAACCCTACTGCCACTACTCAACCTGTCGCATTTGAAGGGGCGACTAGTGCGGCTAGTCCGCCATTCACCAGTGGGATTATGGCGACGACTACAGCACCTAGTGCTGCTATGGATACGAATGTCAAGACAGGGGCTGGAGACAAAATGTTGAATGGAGAACGCTTGGGAGGTGCGGTAGCCGCGGTAGTGGGGGCAGCTATGATGATTTTGTAGTTGGATGGTGATGGTGAAAGGTTTACGGATGGAGGATAGGATATGATGATGTGTTTCTTTACAGTTTTATAGAGATAGAAACTCAATAAGATATTGCTACGGTCTCTCTTCGATGAGGAGTACTTCGTATTCTCATGTCCGCTACTGCCAAATGCAAAGAAGTGACAGGTATTGCTATTAACTAACTCCATCTCGAGTATTGAAAATGTGGTTCTTAATTCAGGGGTGAATAGGGGATATCCTTGGGATTGTAATAAATGATCATACGGCGTCTTGGGATAATGTTCCACAAGATCGACTGATATAGAAAGGTCTACGTATGGCTACGAGACTATTATTTTCAAAATTATCTATGACCCAAAGGTCTAAAGATGAATATGAATGAGCTCAGAGATTCTTTTTCAGCAGCACGGACAACTTCGTGATTACATAATCACTTCCGGCTTGGACGCGAACGCGACAACGACATAAGTACAGCATATCAACAATTCGATTATTTACTTAGTAACGACAAACCTCACATCTTTTCTAAAGCGCAAAACTTTCAACTACAGTTATAAATCTCTCAGATGATTCGCACATCATGGCCGAGTTCGAAATTGGTCAAACGGTCGAACTGGGAAATGGTGCTATAGGGACTATTCTTTACATTGGAACGGATCCAATTTTTGCTGCGGGAGATTGGATCGGAGTTGAGTTGGAAGAAGGAGGAGGCAAAAATGATGGAAGTGTCCTGGGAAAACGATATTTCCGGTGCGAAATGGGCCGTGGAATGTTCGTTCGTCCTTCGACTATAAGGATTGTCGATCGACCTGCAGCACCCCCGAAAGCACCTGCGCCTGCAAAGAAGGCTGGCCGACCCAGCAGTGTTGTTGTTCCGGCGGCACGAAGAACAAGCTCTGTTCCAGATAATGGTGTAGCTAAGAGGAAAAGCATGAATGCCCCAAGTCCAAGCCCCATGGCAAGGCACCCTTCAGGTCCTTCAGGCGGCCTGCGGGTATGTACATATTTATCTTCAGCTTATACATATTCTGATGTTATGTCTAGTCTCCTACAAAATCTCCTACAAAACAATTATACTCCACGGGCACCTCAGTTGCCTCAACGCCTAGAACTGGAACACCAGCGAATTCTCGGGCGGCTTCTGCCAGCGTTTCAAAGCCACGTCCATCATCTGTGACTAGTCGAACATCAATGGGACCACCACCTCCACCTGCGGGACGAGGAAAACCATTAGCCGGGGGTAGCAATGTTGGAAATAGACTAGGGGCGCCTGCAACCAGGACGACAGGTGCTCGTCCAACATCTTTGGCTCCAAAACGCACTCTTCGGCCTAGTGCAGACCGAGTGCCTTCAGGTTCTAGTCAAGTCAGCACCGGCCATCTCAGTGACGGGACTCATGAAACGATGGATGATGATGGACTTCTGTCACCGTCACTGAGGAGTGACACGGGTCAACTCTCTCCCCAAGCTGTAAGTCCTGTTTTATCTAGGACGGAACGAGATGCTTCGCCAGGAGGCTCACCGGCGGCACCACGCGGTGTGGTGAGCACGGCAGCTAGCAGAGAGATTGAAGATCTGAAAACCAAACTCAGAGTAATGGAGAAGAAAAGGTTGGAGGATAGGGAGAAGCTAAAAGCTTTGGAAAATGTCCAGGCAGAAAAGGAGAAGTTTGAAGGGATTATCCAAAAGTTACAAACAAAATATCAACCTCAGCAACAAGAAATAACCGACTTAAGAAAGCAATTGAAAGAATTTGCCGTTCGGTTCGAGGAAGCTGAAGCTATGCAAGCTGAACATGAGTCCATACTTGAAATGGCGACTTTAGATAGGGAGATGGCAGAAGAGACAGCCGAAGTTCTCAAGACTGAGTTAGATGCCTTAAAACAAAAGACTGAAGAGTTGGAGCTTGAAGTCGAGGTACTGCGAGAAGAGAACACGGAATTGGGAGGAGAGATGAGTGCAGAAGAAAAGACTAGTCAAAGTTATTTGCAAATGGAGAGGAAGAATGAAAGATTAACGGAAGCTCTTCTGAGGCTCCGGGATTTGACACAACAAGCTGAGGCTGAACTGAAAGACGAGATCAAGAGTTTACAAGAGGATGTTAGGGAGCTTGGTAGCGTGAAGGAACATTATGATGTGGCTAAGGGAAAGCTCGCTCAATCAGAAGCAGTTATTGAAGATCTTCGCCAACAACTCGATAATGCTCTAGGTGCTGAAGATATGATTGAGGAACTCACCGATCGAAACATGAGTATGAGTGAGCAGATTGAGGAACTTAAGGTCACAATTGAGGACCTCGAGAGTTTGAAAGAGCTGAATGATGAGCTCGAGATCAATCATGTTGAAACAGAGAAGGAAATGCAGGAAGAACTTGACTTCAAAGAAAGCATTATCAATGATCAAGCAAGACGAGCTGCCCAGCAAGATGAGACCTTAGATGATATGGAATACACCTTGTCCAAGTTTCGGGAGCTAGTCACCAGTCTCCAAAGCGATTTGGAAGATATGAGAGCCTCACATGCCGTCACAGAAACAGAATCGGAACAATTGAACAGTCGATCACGTGCAATGCAAGATTTGAATATGAAGCTCCAAGTTTCTGCTGCTAAAACACAAATCAAGACAATCGACCTGGAGTTACGTCGCTTGGACGCTCAAGAGGCATCAGAACATTTGTCGATTGTTCAATTATTCTTGCCAGATCAATTTAATGCAGAAAGAGACTCGGTCTTGGCATTACTAAGGTTCCGACGTGTAGCTTTCAAAGCAAATCTCTTGCATGGATTTGTTAAGGAGAGAGTAAACGGACAGCCACCTATCGGTCACGAAGATGACATATTTGCTGGCTGTGATGTTCTTGACAAGCTCGTATGGGTTAGTGCTATGTGTGACCGTTTTATCAATGCCATCAGCCATTGCTCTATAGAGGAATTCGGTAAATATGAGGGCGCGCTCTATGAACTTGAACCTGTAGAAAGAGCACTCAACGGATGGATAGATGGCCTGAGAAGAGATGAATTGAAGGAAAAGCAATGTGCTAGTGAATTGCAACGTACTATTGCTCTCATGTCTCATCTTGCAGAATTTCATCTCCGGGATGGCCTTGCTAATTACGCTGATGAGGTACATATGCGTACCCTTGTCATGCAGAGCCAGCTTGAAAATGCTGCTGCTGCAATTGCATCTACCCGAACGATGGTACAATTTATCATACCCAGTCGAGAGGAAGATGATGAGCTCTTCCAACATTTCTCCAAAAAGACTGAAGCAGTTATCACTCAAACACGTAGTGCAAAGGTTGTTATTGGAAAAGCAGTCCGAGAAATTGAAGACTTGAAAGCTCGATCATTATCACTAATGCCCGACACCATTGAGTCGTTCGAGCAATGCGAAATGGGAATTCAACAGCTTGCAGACTACACACGTCATGTAGGAAATGACTTATTCACAATATTACACGAAGAAGGTAGAGCTGAACCCTACACATATGTAGAGGTACAAAATACTATCTATCAAACCACTTCCAACACTTTCTCGGCCGATGAATCTGATCTTTTCTCTACTTATGCTCACAAGCTTAAACTTCTCAATAGCCAGCTTGTCGATCTCTCAATCTTAACATCCGATCTAGACATGACCCTGGAATTCGAGCTCGCAACAGCTCCTTGGATCCTCCGATCACAAGAACTGAAATCCTCCAAGACTGTAACTATAGACACTCAGGAAGAACTTCGTCGCTTGAAAGAGGATAACCACGAACGTCTCCGTCTCATCGCCTTGCGTGATCAAACCCTCGAAGAATCTTCTGTCAAGATAGAACTTTTGGAAAGTCGCATGAGAGATGCTACCAAGAAGAATGAACGTATCAACAAACTCGAGCGCAAAATTGAGATCGCCATGAACCGGGAAGCAGAACTCACCGAAGCAATCGAGCTTCAAAACAAAGAATTATCAACCATGGAAGCCGATCGCGAGAAGTGGAAGAAAATTGCCGATGAAAGTAAGGCATTGGGTGAAGTTGTATCAGGTTCTAAAGCAGGTCAAGAACGTGCCGTTGCTACTGCACGAGAAATGGATGCTCTTAAAACCGAAATCGCTAGTCTTCAAGCTGCAGTTCGATACTTTCGCGAAGATAATCGTCGTGTTAAACTTTCTGAACGGGAAAATATGTCTTGGTTAGATGAACCATTGATTAAACCTAAATCGATAGAAGAACAAAGGAAAGCATTAGTAATTGCAGAGGGTCAAGATGTCCTCAACGAACTGTTGACATTGGCCACGGGAGAAAATTCGAGAATTTATGATCTTGGCGCTATGCAGAAGGATAGAGGGAAGTGGAGACCGGCGAAGAGTACACCGGGTTATTGGGTCGCGAGGCAGAGAGAAGGGTATGAGGATTGGAGGGCTTGGAAGGAGGAGGTGGTTAGGAAGGGGAGAGTGTTGGGGAAGGGAAGGTACCCGGTAGGGTGTAAACGGGGAGGAAGGGTTTGAGGAGAATTGGGATAGGGATGTAGTGGCGAAAGTTGATTTGAGGTGGAAGGAATTAGAGGGAAGGAGCAGGAAAGGGGAGAGGGGAAATTGTAGAGGTAGGTGAGTGGGAGGGGGTTAGGAGGGAGTGGGGATTTGTTTGAGAGGGGTTTGTGTTTATGGATGAGATAAGATGAGATGAATAGAGAAAGTAGAGGATGATAAAAATGATGAGAATAATGATTATACCCTATACTTTTGTTTATTCATTATTGTTTTATTGATATAAAAGAGATTATTAATATATTTAATTAGTTATCGATTGTTAATTGTTAAATTATAATATTTAATTAAAATAATATTATATCTGATTTTTAAATTTCCTTTACAGTCAAGTTAAATCAAGATATTGAATGTTAAATAACAAGTCAATTAATTAATTACTTATATAAATACACTATTTTAAATTTTTAATAATATTAATATGAAATCTCTTACTCTCTCTATATTAATCCTATTACAATTCATTCATTTTAAATCTAGCACACCCATCCCCATCACATTCTCCTCTTTCTTTCCCTCGCTTTCCACTCCTATAATAACAATCAGCCACCTATATACCTAATTACCTGCCACTCAATCATATCCATTCTTTGTTATATCTATCTTCTCATTCATCTTCTCAATACCTTCCCCTCATCTACCTTCTTATTTCTTATTCATCTTTTTATATCTTATACTTTATATTTTTATCTATACCTCAATCAATTAAAACTTTTTGAAATCTCTTAATAGATATATCCTTTCTCATCTTATCCCATCTTATTCTATCTCATCTCATCTCATCTCAATATCAATTATACATCTCTTATATATAAAACCTTATTTACTTATATATATATTTTAATATATAAATAAAAATTATTACTCGAGTATAATAATAATAATAATAATAATAATAATAATAATAATAATAATAATAATAATATAAAAATAATCTCATAATCAATAAATAAAACAAGAAAAATAATAAAAACAATTCAAAACTCAAACACTCAATATTCTTCATCCTCTCTTCCTTCTTCTCTTGTTTTCCTTCACACCTCTCTCTCTTTCTCTCTTCCCCCCTTCCCTTCCCCTATCCCTCGCTAAAAACAAAATCCAGCACTCATCTAATAAAACATCAACTCAAGTATTCTACACACTATACACTACACCACACACTATACAAACAACACTATTCCCTGATACTACCAATATCAATATCAATATCAATATCAATATCAATACAGTAACAATGTAATATGTGAAGTATAATAAGATATTTAAAGTATTCTTTCTTTCCTTCCTTTCATTCATACTATTCTACTTCATCCATCCATCTATTCATTCATCCATCCAACCATCCAACCATCCAACCATCCAACCATCCATCTATCTATTCATCTATTCATCCATCCATCCAATCATCCATCCAGCTAGCAAAGAAAACAAGTAAGAAAACAAACAAACAAGCAAACAAGCTTCTATGAGATACCTAAGAAAGCATTCTATAATAAACTTCTTTCCATCCATCAATCCATCAATCCATCAATCCATCCATCCATCCATCCATGCACGCAATCAACACGTCAAAAAGAAGAAGTTCAAAGCATCAGTATCATTTAAAAGGGGAACTGTACAAGTCGAATTTAATGATTTTGATATTTGATATTTGGTATTTGTAATTTACAGCGATATTAATCGCCCAATGCTTTCCTCAAATCCGTCCATTTTCGATTTAAAGCTTCATGAGCAGCATTAATCTATAAGATTGATTAGTACTTTTATTCATTCGGTATAAAATGGGAATGTCAATTTACCTCGGCGTATTTCATCTTTGTTTCCACCAGATTTTGCTCCATTTCATTCATTTCATCCTCGAGTTTTTGATTTTCCTCATGGACTTCTTGATTTCTCTTCATTAATCGATCCATCTCACTCTGTAATTTTGCTTCGATTTCGTCAGGTTGCCTTTCAATCACATTTTTTAACTCCTTAACTTGTTCTCTCAGTGTCTCGATTTCTTCATGTATTTCCTGATTTTCGACTTTAGTACGAACAAGCTCAGTAGCCAAGGCCGCGTGCTCGGTATCATGAGATTCCACTCTTTCTTCCAGACGTCGAACTTTGTGTGTAAGGGAGATATTTGTCAACTTAAGATTTTCTAGCTCTGCTTCCCGATCTTTCTCCAATTTGGTTTTTTCTTCCCATTCTAATGCGTATGTTTCTAACATTTTTGGAGTTATCTTCACAGCACAAGCATCTTGAATCATATGATCCGCTCGATAAACTTCTTTATCAATACTCGCGCCAGAATTTCCGAAGAAACCATTTTCCAGTATTGATCCTGCTGAAGGAGAAGCATCAATATAAACATCAAAAAGTCGATCCTTAAGGAATGTGGTCATTGCAGCCATATCAGTGAGTGTAAGAAGGTGGGCCGCATTCTTTTGCATGAGTACGATGCCGAATTTGAGAATAGCCTCTAGACCTTCGCTAAGAATGAGATCATAAATTCGAAGCACAAGTTGTAATGGGAAACGATAGGCGAAAAGAGTAAGGAACCATTGTGTTGCGTATAAATGAGGTGTAACTTGACGTCGATGGAGATGGCAATACAGTGCCGGTTCGAAATCTTCTAATAATCTCTCGAATTGATAAAGATGCTTATGTAGACCTGGCATATCCTGAATAAAAAGATCTCTAAGGTGATAGTGATTCATAAGTCGTACTAATAGACAGAATGCTTCTTCTTCGGGCATCTATTGAACGTCAGAAATTGTTTGGAAATAGGACTTTGGTAGCTTACGTTAAACAGCAGAGGCATGACTAAAAAGTTCATGCCTTGTGCGTAGCCAACTCCTTCATCATAAAGAGCATATGCCTTGCATAAACCGAATAATCCATCTTGAAGTCCAGCACTTGCAGCAAATTTTGAATAACTTGTTCGAGCACCCAAGTCTCGCTTGATGGCTCTCTCGAGTTTTGTCAAAGCCGCCGCATCCTCCTTGGCTTTCTTTTTCTTTTCAGCTAAAGACAATGCTACATCTTTCTCGCTCGGTGGAGAGGGAGATCTCATCCCATTGGTGAGAGTAGTTGCCGGAGTAGATTTCTCAGAATGTATCGATGATGCTGATGAAACCACAGTCTCCTTTATTGATCCGTTGCTTTGCCCTCCGCTGGATGTACTCATCCTGTCCTTGTCCTTGTCTGTACCTCGATTTACCAAGCTTCTATAGAGAACCTCAAGCTCTTCGTTCTTACTTTCTGCCAAGACTTGCCATACCACACCTCTAATAGCATGCGGTATACCAGTTGCGATAGCTTGATTGAGTTCTTCTGCACTTGTTCTTGCTACCGCGGCTGGTCCTTCGTACACAACATTTTGCCACAAATCCCAATCGACCGGTGCTTCTGGATCACCCATCGCAGACGGGCCCGCAGAAACCCCAGACGCCGTACCGGGGGCCAATGCTGGGTTGACACTGACTGGATTATGAGTCGTAGGTGGAACAGCACTGTTGGGTGAGTGGTCTTTGTCGTCGTGAGAGCCTGTAAATCCCATACCAAGAGTTGTACTCTGTCTAATAAGTCCTCCAAATGCTGTATTGCCTGCCTCGTCCTGTTCTTCAGGCAACTCTGTAATACCAGCTTCCTCTCGCATTCTCACAAGCTTAAATCTGTCCCGCAGACTATTTCTCCCAGGTCGTCTGACCCCATTCGTGGTATCTGTTTCATTGCCTTCCTCCAATTTACTTAGCATCATTTCGGAATTACTGCCGACGGTTGCTATCGAGGAAGCGGTATGTCTTCGCTCATTCGCGTGAGGTGAGGGCAATGGTGACGATTTTACGTTCTCTTTTGGAGCCGAGGTATTTCTTGATAGCCATGAAAATGGACTAGTTAATTTTCTTGTAACGGGTGCGGGCGCAGGAAGGTTGGCAGGGGCGGGAGCAGGAGGAGGGGGTGGTGGCGGTGAGAATGGCACATCTGGAAGGATTCCCGAAAGACCTTGCATTGGAGTTATTATGCTGGGTTTTGGTGGTAATTCGGGTGGTTGATCAGGTGTCATTTCCTCTGGTGCTACTACAAACTCGTGTATCAGTACTGAGCTGCCAAACTGTCAAATAATAGAGACGGGTAGCTACCTTTCGAAAGGGGAGGAGGTGGTGGAGGTGATCCAAAATCATCGCCGTCTTCGAGATTCACATTATGAAGGGAAGAAGTGGACATGCGATGGGATGTTAAAAGGGGGGATTTAGGTGGTGGATTATCGGATTCTAATTGTTCGTCATTCGTTTCGCCGTTTTGTTCTGGAAGTGGTACTGTTGGGACCGATGAAATATCGCTACTGGTATCTTGTGTATTGCTCTTAATAGATGATGATCTTCGTTTCGTCAAAGACCTGGTTCTCTCAATTGGGGAAGTGGGAGTATCTGTGAGGTCTTCAACATCATTGGCATCTTCGAACATGTCCTACAAATAAGGGTGAAAGTTAGTAAATGGCTGGTTGCAGTTCAATGCAGGTAGATAGCTGTTGTGCTACTTGGACGGAGGACAGGACACATAGGGGAATGAAAGTAAATAAAGGATATGAACGAACACTCTCATGATCCGAACTCTGCTCAACCCTCTTCTCTGTTTCTCCCATTATTGAATCTTTTTCTGCATCGGAATGATGTTGTTGATGCTCGTTATCAGACATCTTTTCATTAAAATTAAGAGAAGAATATATGTTGAGGGAAGGAGATTCTCGTAGTTTTGAGGGTAGGTATGTAGCGAGTGAGTGGTCTGGTTGAAGTAGTTTAATGGGAAGGTACGGTATTCGAGGCCATCAAAAGATGTAAAGAAAGGATCAAGTTGGTGGTAAGTAGAGTTAAGGTGAAATGTAAATCCAAATGCGGTCGATTTGTATTCTTTTTTAGGGAAGTGAACTCGATGGGTGGGAGCAATGCGTAGGAAGAGGTTCGTGTGCAATATCAAGAGAGGGACCGGTGGATTGTACGAGAGTAAAATGTGGAGTTTCTTTTTGGTGTTAATTTTAAAGACTCAGAAACAGAATGGAAAGATGCAAAAGGGAATTTATGACTTGAATCATATAAGCCATGTCTATCTTTGGTGATTCATAGCATTTTTCTTCTTTAACGTACAAGAGTTCGGGTTGGTTATTTGAATTTGTGGTGGTGACAATCCTGTCCAGTATTTCGTCTGATGTGAAAGTATGAAAGTATGCAAGTGCCAAAGTACCAAAGTACCGGTGACACAAGATGCGATCGCCTTCGGAGATTTATTCTCCTTTGTCGCTAATGGGAAGGGGAGTTTCTATTCAGATGGAAGAGGGCGGGGCAGGGGAAAGATATTTTGGATAACTTTTTTAAGGATGTACAGGAATGTGTGGAATTGAATCGATACGAGTTTTATCATTCATGCCTTTACACCTTGGACTCAATCAATCCACAGATGCGTGCATATGTAGATAGATACCTAGGAGACATACGTGAATTTATGAGATGGCAGGTTTTCAAGACACATCTCTTTCTTATGCCTCATAATTCTATAATTCTTTCCACAGCACTCAAAGGGAACTAACTTACTTCAGGCTAAAAACGGAGGCTCCTATCGCACTTTGATTGATGCATAACTTACTTAATTCACACTTCTCCCAAGATCTGACCATGTTACTTAGCCACATAACGACATCTTTCAGGGGATAATCTAGCCAGTTCCGTGTCTAGTATCGACGTTAGTGAATCACTTTGACAGGTTCCATTCATTCTAAAGGGGATTCCTTGGTTGGGGGGTTTAGCTTCGGATCTTCCTTATGAAACTTTAAGCTTTTTTTTCTTTCTCTATAACTTCTTTTGTGTTTCATGATTCCTCCCCAAGGACCCCGAAGGCAGCTAATCATGTCATTTTGGCACATGTAGTGTCCATTTAAAATGGTAGGAGGCTTCATTCTGGCATGAGTATCCCTTGCCCAGCCTCTCTACTTAACTGTTGTACTGATCCGATTCGTTGCGTGGAGCGGAAACATGCCTAACCTGAAGTGGAGTGTATATATGTACATATATATGTATCAACTCATCCGAGGGAAAACGAAATATACGGAGCATAAGTGAGGTTTGACCAATCGAGCACGGCGAATAAAAGCCTTTACGGTAGTGGCTCTCAGAGGGCCAGCGGAGCGTCATTGCTAGCTACATACGGAGTACTCTGCACAGTGATCAATCGTGGAAACAGGTGCATGGTTATACACGTGATAGTGTTGGGATGAGGATCAATGATAATGAGGAGGCGGTCGACTTGTCTCGAACCATAATCCAGATCCTGTAACGGTTGTTCATCTAGTGTGTTGCGATTTGGTTGAAGTCGCGGTATTGCCATTATATCACGAATGTTTTCGATGGTGTATATATTGTGAGCACTGTAAGTACGACTAGATTGATATCTTCCGATGATCAATCCAACTGCCTAGCCATCTGAGTGAGAACTGGTCGACGTGAAGACGAGCAAAATATTGTCAATATATCGTATCGATCCAGGTGGTAGACAAGTAGTACAGATATTTCAGATGTATCTTTTTAGAAACGATTCTCGTTGTAGGTCTGCAAGCAGTCGCTAGGAACGAGGAGTCTTTTCGTTGAGAAGTTCCGAGCCTCGTCCACAGGCCACAAGGCTGCCGGGATATTTGAGACGAGGCTTCGATAAGACTTTCGACAAGGCTACGATAGGCTCAGCCGCCTATTAAATATTAAACTTTTCGATAAGTGGCAGAAAAAGTGGCAGGTATGATGGATGACAAGGAATACTGAAAAGGCTCCTAGTATGGAGTCTCATAAGATCAGATCAAGCAGCAATGAAATATCATCTCAAATTAATTGAATGATTTATCGATTCCTTTCTTTTTTCACGGTAACTGTTTCTACAACTGTCCCTATAACTTAACTGTACCTACCTCGTACCTATCTCACTCGTACATAAATCGAATCCAATCAATGAATCAGTAGAAACCCAATTGATGATTGATGAGTGATGATTGATGAGTGATGAGTGATGAGTGATGATTGATGTTCACTGCTGACGTCGTTTTGTTTTAAGCGATTACCGTATTAACTAACCTAAGGTAGTAGCTTCAACAGAGAGCTTCATTGAAAATCTCCAACTTTCCTTCCCACCCACCCTACCAACCCCAACCCATCCATAACACAAACATAAACCCCACCACCACCTCTTAATAACCAAAATCCGAAAATCCTAAACTTTCGTTCCTTTGAGTCCTCAACAAACACGAATAGTTACTTTAATCCTACTTAATTCACCTTTCAGTAACTAGCTGGTCTTTCCCATCCCAGCGTCATCAGATCGACGAAATCTCCATCTATCGATACGACAAAGTATTGAAGGGCGCCTGCACCGTACCTTTCAATATCACGAATTTCGATATCACGAATTTCTCCGTCTGCTTTCTCACATCTCTCGAAATAACGCGACCTTGCACGCTTACGACATTCTTTTTACTTGCACTATTACGAAAAGTTTATCTGTGAGCAGGAAATTCAACGTCATTTAAGTTACTGATTTCGCAGATTCGACGCGACATACATAGTTCCCTCAAAAGTCAACTTACTCTCACGGCGCAAACGCACCAAACGCCACCTACCTCCGGCTGGAGCTGTCAAATCTTGAGACACTTCTTCTTTGTTGTACTGTCAAGGAAATAGGATTGCTACAGAGGTAGTGGAGGGGGCCGAAATCTTTTTTTCTGCGGTTGTGCCGCGCCCGCCGTCATCATGGTCAGAATAACCAAGACGATACAGCCCAAGCACCTGGAAACCTTGGTAAGTGTTTTTATCTGTTAATTAACATATATGGTCAAAGCTGACATCATACATTTAGTCTCCCTTCATCAGCGAATTCGTGAAAACCGCATGCTCCATATCTCTGCCCCTCCTTCCGCAACATCTCTCAAAATTTCCTACAAGATGGCCTTTCCCCCGTGGCGACCTTTATCATTGGATCGCCCTCTTGAACCGCTTTGATGTGATACTTGAAAGATTTTGCACAGCATACAAGCTATCAGATGGCCCTCAAAAAGTAGACTTTGGTCGTGAAATGCTGGAGTCCAATGGAGGAGAAGCAGCGGACGATGCGAAGACTCACAATCTGCCCGAGTTGGGCTACGGAGAGGATGGAGATAGACAATTGATTGAAGCGATCTTGAAATTCTCAAAGACGCTTTTGGAAAATTGTGGCAATCGCAGTATTTATTCTAGCAGTCCGCATCTAGGGAGTCTACTCAATACGACGTCTTTGTCATTACTTGAGAATACTCTTCTGGTCACATCTCAATTGGCTCAGAGATATAACTCTGCTATGAAGCGTGTTGGATCTGCTAGAAGTAGCAAGCATCTTTTGGCAGAGCATTACAATATTGATCTTAATAGAGTTCTTCAGTTAGCACTGCCTTTCAGCAAGACCATCACCACGCCGCCAGACTCACAACACCCTACCACGACACCTAATCCCACAACTCCAGGGGCTAAAGGCAAGGAGAAGGACAAGGCTTATTTCAACCTTCCAATAAGCCACAAAAGTTCAACTACCATTGTTTATGCAAATGATCTCGTTTCAATATACAAAGGTGGATCAGGGGTCAGCACAAATACCAAAAGCCCTCGAAGAGGTTCTGATAATACTGCATCGCCTCTATCGCAGACGAGCTGGGATGAGTGGGGAGACGTCAGGATGACTTATTATCCGAAAACCAAAACAGAGCCCGAGCCAGCCAACAATGCATCGAAACCAGTCGATGTCATTGCAACTCCTGTCCCACCTGTCACTCCAACACCGGTTCGCAGATCATCCAATCTCGGCCCCAACGCCCACCGTCCGAATCGTTCCTCGACAACAGAAGAGGCATCTCCAACTTTGGCACGTACCCCAACAATGCCTGCCGATGATGCGCAACGACAGAATGCCAAAACCATAGAAATATCTTCGACAAAGCTCCGATCCACAGATATCTATTCTTTGATGGAAGAGTATGGTTTGGATCTTCCCCAGGATCTACAGTACGAGCTGTTTACAAAGATTCGAATTGCGAAAGCTCTCATATCTTCATTAGAGACACGACAACAGGCTCTGGCGATTAGAATGCTTGCTGTCGCGAACATGGCTAATGTCTATGCTGAACCCTTATTCCTTGAAAACATCATGAAACAGGATGGTGACGAGCCAAAGCGTTTACAATTCATCTACCAAGTTGCTGATTTGGTGCACCCGCCCGCAGAAGGTGATATCGCTGTCTCAATATACATGCAGACGCTGGCATTTTCAACCCTCGAGGCCATCGCTGGAATTTCAACAAAATTCCAAGATGTCTGCAAGGCTCTGAATACTACCATCAACCACGGGGTCATGTTGTACGTTATCCGCAAAGCTGTCGCAGAGATGGCTGTAGAGGACCTTGGTGATAAGTTGACAGAAAAGGATCAGTGGCGCAACGCTTTATTCTCTCTTATGACTAGTCTCTGTCAGTATCCCCGCACTGCAGAGGGCCTTGTCACAGCTGGTTTGATACCTATCATGATTGAAATTCTTGGATTGCGCACTACTATTGCCCAGCGCTATCAACCAAAGACTTTGTCATTTTTGGACAATGTAGTATATAGTGCTCGTGAAGCCTTTCAGATACTGGTCAATGCAAATGGTCTCGACCGTGTCTCAGATTTGATTGTTCACGAGACGACCGTTGCTTCAGCCATGGCAGAATCTGGCAACGGAATGCCAATCGAACATCGTTCGCCATCCACTGACTATGAGATCCCTTTCTATCAGCAACAAGTCTTGAAATGGCTGTTCAAATTTATTCACCATATGATGTCATCTGCAAATAGTTACGGAGGCAACTTTGACCGCATTTTGCGAAATCTCATTGATTCTTCACAACTTCTTGGTAGTTTACGTCAGATTATTGGAAACGCTCGCTGTTTTGGCTCCATTGTCTGGACCAACGCCGTTGGTATATTGAATGGTTTCATCAATAACGAGCCCACGAGCTTTGCAATCATTGCAGAAGCTGGCTTAAGCAAGGGGTTTCTCGAGGCTGTCACTGGGAGGCCAATTCAGACGCTACCACCTTCTGGAGCAAAAAAGAGGCGTGGTTCCGCACACCTAGCAATTGAAGGTCCAGACGGGGATATCTCGACAGCATCTTCTGACGAAGAATCTGATGATGAGCCATTTTTTGAGGTAGACACCACCCCGCACCCACCAACATTGGCGATGCTTCAAGCTCCCCGCGAAGGGCCACTTGCTCGTGGCATCTTACCAACTCAAGAAACCATTAACATTGTACCGCAAGCATTTAGTGCGCTCTGCTTGAACAGTGCTGGTATGAGGATGTTTCGAGCCTCCCGTGCTCTAGAATCGTTCTTTGAGATATTTGAGAGTCCCGAGCATGTCAAATGTATGGAGTCAAGTGGTGAATTGCCATCTAGTCTAGGCGGTACTTTCGATGAATTGGCACGACATCACCCACCTCTTAAGGGTGCAATTATCAACGCTATCCTTGATATGGTCGTCCGAGTGGGTTATCTATGCAAAATCAAGGCTGAGAAAGATAAAGCAGGTGTTAAGTTGTGGGAGCATGATTCCACTGGCAATGTCGTTCCTGTAGGTGCCTCCTCAAGCAGCCCTTCGGATGTAAAGGGAAAAGGCAAGGCAGATGATAATGGTAGTGATGTTGAAATGCGCGATGCCGATGAAGCAGTACCCGCTCCAGTAGTACCCAAAGACTCCGACACTTCCATGACCGCGTACATCACCTCGGTTGCTTCCTTTCTTGCGACTGTTTTGAATAACGCCTCCGTCCGTACCGAGTTCTGTGCCAGAGGTGGCATTGAGTATGTGCTCGATCTCGCCGAGTCTCAAAGTCTACCAGCCAACTTCGGAGACGGCATATCCGGACGAAATCTGCAAAATGTTATCGCTCTTCTCGCCGAGCAAAAACCATATCTCGTGATCCCATCACTTTTGAAGCGAGCTCAGGCTGCCGCAGATGTTCTCCAACCATTTGCCACACACAACTTCAGCACATCTTTCTTTGCTCCGTTTGTAGACAAGCAAAGTCATGATCAAGCCGACAAGGAGATATTGGCACAAGGCACTGCTTTTGCGAAAGCTTTTGTCAATGTCCAATCCTTGGTATCTAATTTGACAGCTTCCATACAAGGATCCCCATACAGTCACAGAAACACTCCGTCTGGCTTCAATTCTATGAATTTCGCTGATCACTACAACCGCTTAATTCAAACCCTAGGTCCGCTCTTAGGCGCATCTATCAAAGAGGAAATTCTGTTGCAGACGTTTGTTCCCAAGAGCTGGCAACAAATATCACCAGCACGAATTAAGGACAGCTTATTGAAGGATGTGTTTCCAGAAGCTGTCATCACCGAGCCATCCCACACTGCTGTTAATGCGCTAGCAGCAGGTGTCGAAACCGACTCTCCATCTCCATCTGCTGGTGTAACAGGCCCTGTTGCATCGCAAGCAGACGTTGTAGAAGCCAATCCCGTTCCGGATACATCCGCCAAGCCATCAGGCCAGTCGACTCGGAATCCTACGGAACTGCAGACCCCTGGAGCTTTAAGAAACTCTGCTCAATATCGGAACTATCAAACGTTCCGTTACCTCCTTGGCAAGGCGACTCGGGTTATTAGTCCCTTCTTCCAGAATGTTGGCAAGGTACTGCTCAGCAAGCGCAATCCTGATCCATACTACAGACAAAACCATACCACTATCGCCGAAGCTTTGTCTGAATCTATTCTCAGCCAATTGGCTCGCTCCGGCGATGACAACAGTACGGAAACTTACTCATATTGGATCGAGTTGTTGCATGTACTCAAGGATATGTTAATTGATTGTAAGAATCGTCCCTTTCATTAATTTAGCACGATGGAAACTGATATTTTCTAGCTTCTCGTCATACAGATCGTCAAATTCAAACTATCAGTATTGTCTTGCAAGCTTTCAAGGAGCGTTCCGGCTTCACCACTCTGAATCGAATCCTAGAAGCTTTTACCTCCGAAATCCGTGCGCCAAGTGATCTGTCACCTGAGCAGCAGAAGGAGGATAAGACACCCGAAAAGCCCGTGAAGCATGGATTAGCGGCTATCGGTGCCAAACAGATCATTTCTATGTACTCGATCCTCGCGAATTCCAAGCATGTAATCGAAGTTCCACAGACCTTGGCTATGATGCCTCGCAATGAACGAGATCGAGACCGTGCCCGCCTTGACTCTTTTACTCCTGGTCAGTTCATGGTGGAGCTTCGCATGGCAATATTACCTACTGTCCGGAGTTTGTGGGAGTCTGATTTGATTGAAAAGGCTCCGAGCCAAATATCAGAGGTCCTCATTGAAGTAATTCGTACTATAGCCTCCACGGAAGGTGAAGGTGGAGCTATTAGGAGAACTGAAACCCAACCTACCAGACAACCAAAACCTTCCCGGAAGGCTTTCAAAATTAACTCTGATAACCTTAACGTGCTCAAAGACCAGGGCTATGATGAGGATTTAGCCAAGGAGGCTTTGTATCGTTGCAACAATAATCTTACTACTTCAACTGACTATTGCAAGGAACAGAAGAGAGAAGTCGTGGGCGCTGCCCAATTCCCGAGGATGACATTGAGGTTGCTCCCGAGCCTAGTGGTAATTCTAGACCTTCAAGTGGATCTACCGGATCAGCAAGCCCAAGTGAGCAACCCGCGGCTAGCAGTTCTGCACATCCAGATGTAACAGCGATCATTAACTCCCTTCAAACAGTAGCCACAGTTCCGGCATCAGGTCAAGTAGGTACACCTGGATCAGCCGATGACCCTTTTACGCCCCAGGGGTTTAATCGCATGATGAACCAACTCTCCCCAGGTTATGATAATAAAAGCCAAGATGTATCGAATAGCGCCGGTTCTAGCGCCCCTCGTGAAAGTCCTTCACTGAAGCCTACGCAATCCGTCAAGGCTGAGGAGCCCGCTGTCAAGCAAGTCACCGTTGACGATTTGAATGATGAGCGTAAGCTCATTCGAGAAAACTTGATTGATAAGTGCTTGGATGTCATCAATGCTCATGGCGATGTCACATTTGAGATATCAGATTTGATTACTACCGTGGTCAATAAGTCTCCTGATCATTCTGGACTGAGAAAGGTCGTTGCTGAAACACTTGTTGTCGCCTTGATGTCCTTCGCTGGTGCAGAAGATGTTCGCACTGATGGAAACAAGATCGCGGCCTATGCACATTTACTGGCGTTGATGTTACGTGAAAAGCAGTTCTACGCCGCTGCAGTGGGAGAGCTTAAGGAAAATCTGTTTACATTGCTCACTTTTGTCAAGCTATCTCCTTCGCATTCCGCCGAGGAACCATCGCCATGGATTGCACAGATCCTTCTGATTGTTGAGATGCTTTTGAGCGAAGATGCTAAACCAAGAAAGGCTAAGTGGACACCACCAAAAGATGAGAATGAAAAGACAGAGGCACCTGTCATTGAGCATGTAGAGCTTGCCGTATCTGAAGAGGAAAGATCTCAACTTTTAGAGTCAATTCTGGATATCCTTCCACGAATTGGAAAAGAAGAATCGCTCGCACTTGCTGTACTTCGAATCCTTGTCATATTAACACGTACTCGCTCAATTGCGCAAGCCATGGGCGAGAAGAAAAACATACAGCGATTGTTTGTAATGGCGAAGCAGCTTGCTGGTGCTAGCTCGACTCGCATTCACAGCCCTCTTTTGCTAATTCTCAGACATATTGTTGAGGATGACGAAACCATCAAACAAATTATGCGATCAGACATTAAAGCCTTCTTTGATCACAACGTTCGACCGCAGCGATCCCCTATTGATCTTCAGCTCTATTTAAGAGGGTTGCAACACGTCGCCAATCGTGCCCCAGCACTATTTGTTCAAGTAACCAACGAAATGGTCAAGTTTACAGGATGGCCATTATCGTCTGACCCCACAAGTCGTGTACCCTCCTTGGTCCTCAAGGGTGACCCTCTCACTGAATACACTTCCTCTGCCAAGAACTCTGAAGATACGGTTCAACCGACAGTACAAGCCACGGAGGATCTAAGTCTTCAAGATCTCAAACCATCTACTGAGGTCATTGATACCGATATGCCGGATGTTGGAAAGGCAGCTTCCTCAGAGCACAAAACACCCGTAGTCGAGAACCCAGATGGCGTTATTCACTTCCTACTTTGTGAGCTCTTGAATTACAAAGATGTGGAAGATAAGGATCGTCCAGCCACTAGCAATACCGAGAAGGCTACCTCATCCGCCGGGGATGTGTCAATGATTGGTGCACCGTCCGTGCCTGATTCACCTGCACCCAAAGATGGCCAATCTACCCAGGAGCCCACGAAACAGGAATTCAAGGCCGACGAACATCCTATCTATATCTATCGATGTTTCCTGCTGCAGTGTCTCACAGAACTGTTGTCCTCTTACAATAGAAGCAAGATCGAGTTCATCAACTTTAAGCGTAGTGCTCCTCCTCAGGCAATGACTCCGTCTAAACCCCGATCTAGTGTGCTCCATTATCTCCTCGCCGATTTGTTACCAATTGGAACATTGGATTATGCAGAAAATACGGCCATTCGCAAGAAGCTCACCACTTCGCATTGGGCCGACTCTGTTATCACTGCTTTGTTGAACAAGACCGGAGAACAGATCCTTGACAAGTCTCGAGAACAAAGCGATGGAGAAGACGAACCTGATCTCTTGTTCGTTCGACGTTTTGTCCTAGAAAATATTCTCAAAGCCTACAAGGACGCAAACGCTTCTACTGAACCCCTCGAGGTTAAATATGCTAGGATGCTTTCACTTGCTGATCTCATGATGCATATCATGACTGGAAAGGACAATCTAGGAACTGCGGATACATCTGTTAGCAAGCGATCACAGATGCAGCTTAAGCGCATTGTGTTCGAAAAGGGATACATTGCAGCCTTGACTGCTTCGGTCGCAGACATAGATCTCAACTTTCCCGGCGCAAAGCGAGCTGTCAAATATATTTTGCGACCTCTCAAGCAGCTTACTCATCATGCCATCTATCTCAGCGAAAACTCACTTATATCCTCTCCTCCAGGACAAGCTGACGAAGACGATATTGAGTCTGCTACTTCAGTGTCAGATCTAGAAGATGAGCGAGAAGAGACCCCTGATCTGTTCCGAAACTCGACTTTAGGCATGTTCGAGCAAGGGGATGAGAATGATACATCATCCGATTCCGAAGATGGTAAGTTGTACCCAGTGTCATACTTATTATGTAGCAGCTAACTTTTGTAGATGATGAAGATATGTACGAAGGCGAATACGACGACGGTATGGAGTATGAAGAGGAAATGGAACAAGATGACGAGGAGAATGTTAGTGATGAGGACGATGACGGCATGGGTCCCATCGAAGGCCTATCTGGCGATCATGGCGTTGATGTCGAAGTCATCATGGAGGATGAAGAAGATGATGACGAAGATGATGATGATAGCGAAGATGATGATGATGATGATGATGACGAGCACGGCTCCGAGGAAATGGAGGATGATGATGCTCGTATCGAAATTCTTGACGAGGCCGGAAATGTCCAAGAGCTTGCCGAAGACGAAGATCTTGATGATTGGGAAAGCGATAACGACGAAGAAATGGAGGAAGATGATGAAGAAGAATATGAAGAAGGTTATGAGGGACCAGGAGAGGACAACGAACAGGCACATGTTCACGCCCATTCTCTGGGTGATATGGGCCCTATTGGCAATCTTGTCCGCGTTCTCGCCGGTGCTGGTGATGACGAAGATGCCGTTGAAATGCTTCAACGTCTGGAAGAAGAAGGTGTTGGTGACCCTGAAGATGACGAAGAAGAACCCTTGGGTGAATACATGGAAGAAATTGAAGAGGAAGGTAAGGATTGTGTTTCTCCTTTATTTTGGATGGTCCTTGTTCGCATTTGTAAGCATTTGCTAACCTTGACTGCAGAAGATGAAGATGATGAGGATGATGTGGACGAAGAAATGCTCTTTGAGCACGCATATCCAGGTCAGTCTAGTATCAGACCAAGCTCTACGGTCCGACTAATAGATCAAGCGGACGGCCCCGGTCCTATCTTTGGTTGGGAGGGAGATGTTGAGCCTCCAATGGTCATCAGCAACCGTGTACATCAAGGCCGACATCGTCATTCATTCCCCAGTCCCTTTCCATTCCTTCCCGGAGGTTCGCGCGATCCACTTGGTGGTAGGTTGTCTCAACTCTCAGAACTAGAAGCTGCGAGCAGATTTGCAGAAAGACGCATCCGGGCGGCAGAATCTGCGATTCTGGGGCGAATTATGAATGATCAACCCAGACAGAATAGAACTGATAGATTTGTAGTTCCAGATTTTCGTTATAGAGCACACAGATCCGGCGCCCCACCTCCATATTCCACGGACGACGGCACGAATCCTTTGCTTCAACGCAATGGCCCAAGTGGTCCAAGCCGACCTGGCTATCGAGGACCTCAAATAGGCAGCTGGATCCAAGCACCGGGACCAGGCGCCTTGATTGACATGAGTAGTGTTCTTGGTGGACGTGCCTTCGGTGATAGCCCTGAACAAATCCTTGATATGATCAGATCCTTACGTATCCCAGGATCGATGGTTCGTAATGGACAAGCTTTACAGTTTCACATTACCGCTGGTCCTGGTCAGTTGCCTAGGGAACTTGAAGCAATGTTTGGCACGCGTCGTCCTCGTACTGACAACCATCGCGATACGAGCGAGCCTGGAAGCGCTACATCTTTCACCACTCAGTGTACAGCCGCGCGATGGTCAGAAGAGTCGAAGTTACTCTTTGGACCGAGTAATGTTGAGGTCGCCCAAGAGCTCAAAAACGAAATAATGGCAGGACTTGTGCCTCCTGCTATTGAAGCCGACAAAGTTGTCAAAGCAGCTGAAATGGAGCGAATCCGTGCGCTGGAAGAAGAAAAGAAAAAGCGACTCGAAGCAGAAAAATTAGCTAGGGAAGCCAAGGAGGCAGAGGAGAAGGCAGCCAGAGAGAAGAAAGAGGCTGAAGAGAAAGAAGCCGCTGAAAGAGCTGCAGCTGAGCTTGCGGCTACCCAAAGTGCCGAGGTTGATGAACAAACCGGAGAGTCTATCGAGGCTAATAATGCCAACGCAACAGATGCCATGGAGGGCGTTCAGAGCGAAGCACCAGAAGCGGCTACGCATACGGAAGCACAAGGAGCGGAAGTTCCAGCTGCTGATCGTCCTAGAGTCATGACTGTGATTCGTGGCAATCCATTTGATATTACAGATTTGGGTATTGATGCAGAGTTTCTTGCGGAACTTCCAGATGAAATCCGTGAGGAAGTCATCATGGCTGCTGTTGCCGAACGACGTCAACAAGCTACTGCCACCGGCTCACAACCAACCGACATTGACCAGGAATTCCTTGATGCCCTTCCAGATGACATCCGAGAAGAAATCATGCAACAAGAGGCACAAGAACGCCGTCGTCGTGAACGTAACGAACGACGAGAAGCAGCCGCTGCTGCAGGTGGAGGTCCGCCAAATGGAGATATGGACCTTCCAAGCATTCTTGCCACCTTTTCACCAGCTCTCAGGCAGGAAGTTTTAATGGATGGTGACGAAGATTTTATGGCATCCTTACCTCCAGATCTCGCTGCCCAAGCACGTCAACTACGCAGAGGTCAACCGGATCATCCTGGTCATCCTGGGAGAGCACCTGTGGGTGTTATTCGCCGCCCTGCTCCTGGTGAGGAAATTCGAGGTGCTCCTCAACAGCCAAGAGCTCGTCGGGCAATTGTTCAGATGTTGGACAAACAAGGTGTAGCAACGCTCCTGCGTTTGATGTTCATTTTCCAACACAGCAGTTTCCGAAGTACACTCAACTCAGTCTTGCAGAATGTCGCATTGAACAAGCACAACCGCGCCGAGCTTATCAGCACCCTTCTTCATATCCTTCAGGATGGCAGTGCCGACATGACCGCAATTGAGCGAAGTTTCTCTTACTTGTCAGTCAGAGCTAAGCAACCTAAGGAAAAGGATCCAAAGACACCAACACAAACTCTTCGAAGAACACTCACTGGTCTCGGCTCTCTTGCGCAGACAAATTCCGAAGCATCGCCACTCATGGTAGTCCAACAATGTTTGACAGCCTTGGTCTATCTTGCTCAGACTAATTTGCATGTTGCCTCTTTCTTCCTAACTGAGCATGAGCCATCAGGCGGACTCAAGCGTAGTCTCAGTCGCAAAGGAAAAGGGAAGGACAGTAAGGCACCAAGATATGCACTTAACTCTTTGCTCAGTCTTCTAGATCGCGACCTTATTATGGAGAGCGCAACTATCATGGAACAGCTTTCACTCTTACTTAATATTGTCACTAGTCCACTCATTGCGCTAGAGCGAAAACAAAAGGAGGCCATTGAAGAAGCAGAAAGAGCCAAGGCGGCTGCGTCTGTAAACGAAACAGCGGAAGCCACTGGTTCTACCGACGCACCTAATCCTGAAACTGTTACCACCGGTGAAAGCACGTCTACGGAACAGCCACAAACATCCTCAGAGACTGCCGCTCCTGCAGAAAATTCGTCTGCTGATTCGACTGCTGCTCCAGCACTTTCGACGCTTGTTATTCCAACAAACGCTGATAGTGGTGAAGCCTTCGCCAATCCAGAAACTGATTCCTCTAAACCTGCAGATGCCTCTAAGCAAGAACAGAAGAAAATCCATGTTTTTACGCCACCGGTCGTTCCAGAACACAATCTCCGATTGGTAACAAACATTTTCTGCTGTGAGTGCAACTCTAAGACCTTCCGAGAGACAATATCAACCATCAAGAATCTTTCCACAATACCCGGGGCGAAAACTATTTTCGGAAAAGAACTTATTGCCAAGGCTCGAGCATTGGGAGAAGTCATCTTGGTAGACCTTCAAGACCTTCTTCCTCAGATTCAAAAAGCTAGAACTGGTACAGAGATCCAAGGTGTCGCATTAGCAAAGTTCTCTCCACCGGCGTCCGATCAGCACAAACTTTTACGTGTTCTCACTGCTCTAGATCATTTGTTCGACCCCAAGCGTGAAAAGAAGGATGATTCCGCCAGTGAAGCAGAGGACTCCTCCGAGATTGTTGAAAAGCAAGATCTTCTGTCTAGCCTCTATGAGAACTCGACCTTCGGACCAATGTGGGAGAAGCTAAGTGCTTGTCTCAGTACAATTAGGCAACAAGATCACATGCTTAGTGTCGCCACTATTCTTTTACCTTTGATTGAATCGCTCATGGTCGTTTGCAAGAACACCACCCTGAAGGACGCACCTCTTACTCGAGCTGCTAAGAATAAGGAAATGGCTCTTGCTAGCCCCGTTCCAGAGTCACGTATGGAGAACTTGTTCTTCTCATTTACCGAGGAGCATCGAAAGATTCTCAACGACCTTGTCCGACATACACCTAAGCTCATGTCTGGTACATTCTCCCTCTTAGTAAAGAATCCCAAGGTTCTTGAGTTCGATAACAAGCGCAACTACTTCAGCCGCAGCATCCACAGCCGCAGTCAAGGTTCTCGTGCGGTTCCTCCACTACAGCTATCTGTTCGTCGAGAGCAAGTATTCCATGACTCTTTCAAATCTCTCTACTTCCAAACTCCGGATCAGATGAAATATGGCAAGCTAAGCATTCGTTTCCACGGGGAAGAGGGAGTTGATGCAGGTGGTGTTACTCGTGAATGGTTCCAAGTTCTCTCTAGGCAAATGTTCGACCCTGGCTATGCTCTGTTCATTCCCGTGTCTTCTGACCGTACTACTTTCCATCCCAACCAGTTGAGTAGTATCAATGAGGAGCATCTCATGTTCTTCAAGTTCATCGGTCGTATCATCGGAAAGGCACTTTATGAAGGTCGTGTTCTAGATTGTCATTTCAGCAGAGCAGTTTATAAGCGCATCTTAGGCAAAGCTGTTTCAGTGAAAGACATGGAATCTTTGGATCCAGACTATTATAAATCTCTGATATGGATGCTTGAGAACGATATCACGGATATCATCACCGAAACCTTCTCCGTTGATAATGACAAGTTTGGCGTTGTTGAGACCATTGACTTTATTGAAAATGGACGCAATGTTGCCGTTACAGAGGAGAACAAGCACGAGTATGTGAGATTGATGGTCGAATGGAAACTTACAGGATCTGTCAAGGCACAGCTTGATGAGTTTTTGAAGGGCTTCCATGACATTATCCCTGCTGAACTGGTCTCGATCTTTAATGAGCAGGAACTGGAATTGCTAATCTCTGGACTACCTGAAATTGATGTTGATGATTGGAAGAGCAACACCGAATACCACAATTACTCAGCATCTTCTCCACAAATCCAATGGTTCTGGCGTGCTGTTCGCTCGTACGACAAAGAAGAACGAGCCAAGTTATTGCAATTCGTCACGGGAACCAGTAAGGTACCTCTCAATGGCTTCAAAGAGCTTGAGGGCATGAATGGCTTTAGTAGATTCAATATTCACCGCGATTATGGCAACAAAGAGCGACTACCATCTTCTCACACTTGCTTTAACCGTAAGTTACGCTGTCTAATTCAAACATGTGTTCCTATGCTAACTAAGTACACAGAACTCGACCTTCCAGAATACGAAAGTTATGAAACCCTTCGTGCTCAAGTCCTTACGGCCATTACAGCAGGTAGTGAATATTTCGGCTTTGCATAAAGATCAATTACAATATGAAGCATTTTTTCTTTTCATTATGATATCATGCATGGCAGGCTTTTGATCAGCATTTTACGGCGTCGAGCTTTCTTTTTCGATGATATGTGTGGGGACAAGGCTGTCTTCTTTTAACCAAAGTGAGTGGTATTTTCGAGGATGGGTTTGCTTTTTTCGGGTTTGGAGGATATGAATTAAGCAATATTAGGTAGATAAGTAGGGCGATGGATGGCAATATTTGGTCTGGGATTCCCGGGAATGATACCTTTAAACGAAGTGCAGGTCGTTTGTAGGATGAATTCCTAAGAGAGAAGGACTAGATAGATGAGCCATCAGAACAAAACTTTCATAGTTGGCAAAAAGGGATGTAAAATTAGATAGCTTATATTTAGCATTCTGAATCATTATAAATTGAGGATTTACAACATATTATGTTATGTCTGGTGCCCCAAGGTCCAACCCCCGTTGTAATGATAATTGAGACACTTGATATGCAGACTTTCATTTCAAGGTTAAAGAGCGTATAACATGGTGATCTATCATTCCGTGAACGTAAATGGGTTCCTAAGAGCTCGAATCTACGGACTCGCTTAATTCAAACTACTCATGATTCTGTACTGCATGGCGACCCGAAAAGAGAAATTATCTACGCCCTGATAGAACGTTTGTTCTTTTTTGCCAGGAATTGTAAAGGGTATTTATGAGATCTTGTATTCTCCTAAATTGTAATGGTTATGGAATAAGGCATAGCGGTCCCCCAGGGCAAGATTTGTTTAAAACCACTTCCAGTGCCGATCGAATACGGTTAGAAATCCTTATGAATTCCATTAGTTACTGAGTCGTAGACTCTGCTGGTTGTTCCAACCAATATGATTTTTTATTGCGGATCGATTAAGTAGAGGGGTATTTAATGCAGATGGTCTTGAGAATATTGAGGTGGAGACTTTAGCTAAATGCTTCCTACTAAGATAGATAAGATTACCTACCTATCTACTGCATTACTTTCTACCAGCTGCTAAATTAAGGTTAATCGATTGAGATACGCAGTTCACATGTACAAGCGCTCTTTGAAAAAGGATTTTGTGGGCTAGGTATTCATTATAAGGATCGATCGAACGAAAGTTATTCATTGCATTTATGCATTTACACCTGAACTAGACGGATTCACTGAACGAGGATATGAAGGCATTGAAAATGTACTACGTCAGCTTGGGGATCGGATTCAGCATCGCTGGCTTGATTGGTTGCCTTTAGCTGTATTTGGTATTTGCGGGCGAAATACAGTCTCCACTAGCTATCGGAACCAAAGTTTGTTTCAGAATCTTGCAGAAGAACCATCAGAGAATGATATCAGAGATTCTCCAATTGCCAAAGCGGATTGTACTGTACAAAAGTTTCAAGAAGTATGTAATAGGCACAAGCATCGATGGCAGCAGCTCAGGAAACTCAAGAGCAGGTAACAAATCAGAAGCTAGCTCAAGCGCATAGTTATAAGATTGGTGATTAATTATGGCTAAGCCTAGAAAACATCAGGAATCATAGTCCAAGCAAAAGCTGGAGGTCAGACAGGGAGGGCAAGATTATAGTCACAGAAGTGATTGGGTCTCACAGCTATCGACTGGATAGCTATCGACTGGATACACCTCCTGGAATCCGTAACATATTTCACTCGAAATCTAATAATCGTTTGTTAATATTTCAAAGAAAATACCTATCAAAATCTATAGATTATCTACAATTAATTATAAAAAATTTGAAAATAATTTTATATTCTAGAATTTAAAAAATCTGAAATTTTGATTGGTTTTATAATACTAAATAGAAAATATGAATTATATTCATATTTTATTTATAAAAATAAAACACTATAAGAATTTTTAATATTTTTATTTTTTGTTTTAAAATAAACTTTCTTTAGTAAAACAAAATCAATAATCAATAAATAAATAAATAAATTATATATATTTAGATTATTCAACTTATAATTTATCAAATCTAAAACTTATAATCAATCTATAATTAATAATTAAACGAAATTTTGAATCTATATTATTTATGATCATAATTAATTGTAACCAACCCATGTACCCAAACCACCCATCGACTTCACAGACAACCTGCAATTCAAACTCATCACTATTGCCTAAATAAGTTATTGAAGAAATTATATTAGTTGAAAGCACAAAAATTTACAATATCAAGCGCATAACAGACCACAAGGGAGCTCCCGGCAGGGGAAAGAGACAAAACATTTAGTGAAGTGGCAAGGCTCCCGACGAGTAGCCGGGGAGCTGGAACCATCCCCAGAGAATACTATTGCTCTGAATGATTGGAAGAAGCGTCTCAAGACTAAGATGAAGGACTGTGGGGAATCTACTAAACGTAAAAGAACTTGCCGGCAGGGTAGACGGGATAATGTGGGAGTCGGAACCCTCGTGGGACTCAGGTTTTGTCTTTGTCAAGTCTCGTGATGTTCATTTCTGTCCTTTACTGTTCCATTCAAGAGATTTCTAAGATATATACTTATTACATATGAGAGCTTCGTACATCTATGATTCCTCATGTACTTTTTACTAGTAATTCATGAGCATTCCCTTTGAGCTATTCGATGTCTGATCTCTCACATTAGAGTGGGGCTTGTAGACCTTTCAGAGGGCTTTCGTAGCCTTCATTAACGCACAAATTATGAATTAGCTTGTGCAGAGCAACACCCACCTATTACGATTCCGTATCGAAAAGCATACCACGAACATACGTTCCATCTAGATAGAATAAGACTTATCAAATTGAGCAACTACCTTACGACAAATGCGTCATATCCTTGAATACACACAATTATGCATCATCTATCAAGCATTCCCACCCCCATGATTCAATCTCGCATTTCCTTCCCAGTACAACTCCAACCCCGTCAGACCACTCAGATCCAAGCTGTTTGCATTCTCAATCTTCACTGTCCATTGTGCAAACGCAGTTGGATCCACATAATCCGCACTATGAATAATGCTATCAAAAGTGTACGGTAATTGCACTGTCCCATCTTTCGCCACCATGTACTTAAATGTTCGCTCTAACGGTTTCATCGTATACCCGTATACCACGTTGCCTTGTACATCGTTGTAAATTCCCGAGGTGGATATTGTAAGGAGGATGGGGGCTTTTGAGGTAACCGAGGAGAAGGATGAAGGGAGGGGTTTGGCGCCGAGGAGAAAAGCCCGCATGCCGAAAACACGGAAACGCGATCCGCCGGTGAAGGGCCCGGTTATAGGAGGTAGAATAGAACCCGATATGGCTGGAGTGATGGATGAAGAAGCGGAAGTAGAAGAGACGGAAGGCGAGAAGGTCATGGTGACGGAATGGGAATCAGACTGAAGAGCCGTTACGACGCTGGTGGGATAGTCGCGTGGGAGCTATAGAGGAACAACGCATGAAAGAGTCAGTGGAAGTCCGTCTATAGATTGTTCGGTTATGGATTTCCTGACTACTGTGAAAGTAACTTACCTCGAGAGTTTGAATACCGAGACTGAAAGCTAGATGTAACAAAAATGGCAAATGTAAGTTTTGGATGTCCAAGTTTCAGCTGGAGTATACTCACGTGTAAAATCACTCGAATAGTTCTCCTTACACAAAGTAACTTCCTGCAAAATCATCTGCGAGTCCTGCTGATACTGAAGCGTAGTTTTCAAGGGATTCAAAACAATCGAACTATCACTTAAAGTATAGTATTTGTATGCCCATATAGCATCTCTCATATAAACCATGATGCTATTACGAAGCATAGATACTTGATCGTAGAAGTAGCCTTGAGCCTCAAGAGCTGCTTCTTCTTCTCCTTGGTAAGTGTCGTATAGCTGCTGGAGACGCAATTTATTCGCTTGTGTTGCGTATAATTGGAGCTGGAGTTGGATATATTCCTGGCCTGCACACGATAGAGTCAGCATCAATCCTCGTAATAGTGAGTATCAATCGGTTGACGAGACAGAATACTCACCAAGCTTAACAGCTTGCGCTTTTGCCTGAACAAGAAGCTTTCCATCGATAGCATGTCGCCTCAACTCTAACTGGTACGCCCCCGCCCCTCCAATACTTTGCGCAACCGCATAAGCCATTTGCGAATCGCTCTCTAGCATCCAGTCATCCCAGGCAGCTAGGCTTAAAATTTCAGCAAGATCTGCGTTAGGCTGATTATCACCAGAGACATCACCTCCCGCGGTATTCAGAATTACTTTTGATGTGTCTGTCCCATGACCAACTTTAATCCGGATATCATTCACCGCTGTACTAGTACTTTGGTATAGCTTGAAGACGGCTTCTGTGCCAGTTTTGATAGCTTTAATGGTTCCGGGCTTGAGAAATGCGTTTGTTGCATTTGCTGCTGCAGCGGCAGCTTTCACGGCTGATGCTGCAGCTGCTGGTGCGGCGGCTGCTCCGGCAGGATCTCCGATTGCCAGTTCACCGATTGCCATTGCGAATCCTAGTTAAGAGGAGGTATCTTTTAGCGTAAACTCCGAAGAATAAATCACTTGAGTCCGAGGAACAACACATGAAAACATCAAAACGCCAAAATATACATACCAATCACAGCTTGAAAAACGTCGAAAATTGTAGTAACTATTTGCTTTATCTCCCATACTTCGATCCCGGCTTTAAATTCCCACTGTCTCTGCTGGAGTACTATCTGGTGAGTTTTCAATGTAGCTTCGGCACTACTCAATATTTCTGTTGCACTATTCCATCTTGCTAATGCGTTACTAACAAGGGTTTGTTGAAGAGCAACAGCATCAGCTGTTTGATCTAGCATAGCCTTCCATGCGATTTTTTGATCTGCAACAGCAGTTCCCTTGTCTGCAAATCGGTTGTATTGGGTTTCGAATGCAGATGTCGTTGAAATGGCACCATCTAGAACTTGTTTGTACAAGCTTAGTGTCAAGACCGGCGCATAATTCATGTTTGGCCCTGTTAGAACTGAGGCAGTAATCTGCTGACCTAGAGCATGGGATTGTAGGTTTAGGAGTGCGCCTGCCTCGGAAGAATCAGTCGCCCTAGCTACATGGGATGTTAACGCTAGTGCAAGACCAGGTTGGATCCAGAAGAGAAGAGACGCGATTCGGAGTTGAGTGACAAGGCAATTTTTGAACTCGGCATCGGACATGGATAAGTCGACATAACGGCTCAGGTAAGTGAGAGTTGCTTCGCCGTCAATAATATCAATTTGTGCACCAAGATTGCCGGATGATGGAGAGAAATCGAGTGTGATTGCAGGAGTGGTACTTGAATTGAGTTTGTAGGATATCGGTTGGTCAAATGTGGATCCATATATTATAAATACTGATTCATCGGCGGTGGCAGGATTGAGAGTTAGAGTAAGAGGTCCGCTTGCCGTCACGGTTCGGCAGACAAGATTGACTACCCCATCTTGTGGAATTGCAATAGTTGTGTTTGACGTAGGAAATGCTAATACATCTGCATAGACATTGGTAAAGCTAGACGTGGATGCGGCAATAGCAGCTGGTGCATCGACATATATGTCTCGGAGTACATACTGTAACTCATCAGTAAGTGTAGCATCCAGGTACCTTCAAAATACCTAGGGAAAAGCAAAAACTCACTTTGCTATCTTTGGCTACGAGGTTTGATTTTTGAGGTAGAGTTGGTAGGGAATGGGATTCCGAATATTGCTTCCACCCGGTGGGGGTATTGGGGATGACGTCGTTAGAACTCATGATGAAGACCTGAGGTTGAAGTAAAGCTAATCATTGAACTTCAAAATATGTAGGATTGAATCCTCTTTAATATAAGGTGACAAGAGTTCACAATCTTCGTTAATAGACTATTTTCATTCTTGCAGGCTTCTAATACACATATCAGACAGTGACTTACTGACCACAATTATCGATATACATATCCCCTAGAATGCGGAAAAGCGACGCCTCGCTTGACAGGGATTTTTTTATCAATCAGAACATCATAATCTAAGTTTTTAAACAACCCTCAACTTTATTGTTTTAAAAACTTATTTGAACGTTGTTTTTAAATTTAAATTTCTAATAATAAAAATTTATTTCAATTATATTAAATTTTTTTATTTATTTATCATTATTATTTTTTGAAATAAATTAATTTATTAAAAAAGAATTTAAAATTTTTAAGTTTTTAAAGTATATATAAATCTTATACAAATTAAAAATTTAAATTTAAATTTCAAATATTTTAATTAATAAAATTAAAAAATTCTCAAAAGTTATTTTTATATAAATTTTTTTGAAATAATAAAAATTTTTATATTTAAAATCATAATATTTATATATATTAATAAAAATAATCAAATAAAAGTTTAAAATAATTGAATTTTAAATATATATAAATAAAAATATTTTTAATATAATTTAAATTAATAAATATTTTTAATATTTAAAAGAAATTAAATAAAACATATAAAAAGATTATAAATTTTAATTTAAAATCAAGAATTTATATTATAAAAACATCATTTAAAGTAATATATATATTATATTAATATTATTTTATCAATTTATATTATTATAAAATTTTACATTTATTTCTTTTATTATAATTTATAAATAATTACTTTTTAATTATAAAATATCAAATTATTTATATTAAAATTTATTTATTTTAACAACTGATTATATTTATAAAAATAATAAAATGATTTTTAAAAATTTAAAAATTATTTATATAATCTTTTATAAAAATAATAAATCTATTTTTAAAATTTAAAAAAATCCTATTTATAAATAAAAATATAATAAAAATAAATTTTTTTTATATTTAATAGAAAAATAACTCAAAAAAAGAATGATTTTAAAATAGAATATTAAACTTAATATAAAAATAAAATAAACTATATAATAATTCAAAACAAATAAACTAAACTTGTTTCTACTTCAAAAATTTTGATGAAATCATTATATTTATTAATCAAACAAAGAAATTCTAAGTGTTTAAATAACTACTCGAAAACTATAAAGATTATTAAGATTACTAGTTTATTGTCTCTTTGAATACCTCTACTGACATCAGTTTGTCTTTAATCAGAAAAAACCCTCAACTTTTATGTGGAAACTTGCCGGCAATACTACGCTCCACTTCGTCTTGGGTCCAGGATTACATGACTCTTTACCTGACTATCTACAAGTGTTACATTATCTCTTAGCAGAGGAAATGCTGAGTATCATACGGGAGATTGCCAGCGTATTTACCCCATCATATTTACCACCGTAAAGGTCCACCGGCCCCTCATCTGTACTGCATTGGGTAGGTTTCCTGGAAAATCCAACAAGAAGTGTGTCATAAAAGATGCTTTGTGATATACCGCACATATACATGTAACCCGAACTGAAATTTGTCTATTATCCCTCAGGTAGTTCGTAAGACTTACAATATTCCTTGAATGATAAAGCCTTATTGATCAGAATGAACTCTTTTTTTTTTTTCTTGAATTACAATAATGGATTTGATTTTTGAATTTAAAAAAAGATTAAATAATTGAAAATTATTACATACTAATACTATTTTAATTTGAAAATTAAAATGATATCGAATGGAATTTATATCTTAAATTGATGATATTTAAGAAATCTCAATATTTTGATTGGTCAATAAGACCTCGTTAAGCGACGGAGTCAGTTTTTGACATTCTAGAGGATAGAATAAAGTTTAGAGTATAAATGAATCAACAAGTTGAGATTTCCTCAATTCACTTTACAAATTCTTCCAACTGGAATGGGAAATGATAAATTAGCTTATTTCCAAATTAGAAAGTCTCGTCCGGACTACTTGAGTTCATTAATCCCGACCTTTACCAAAGCATGGATTTCATTTCCCCTCAGCTACTCCAGCAGTATCTGCCAACACTTTTAGCCTAGGTTCATTTTCCTGTCAAGAGATCCCCTCAGGTGAACTATTTTTTTTATGTTCAGCCAATGTGTTTAGCATCCTCCTTTACCCAGCTACATATGCACATGTCTTGCTACCCCTCAGCTGTACGCACATATGCACAAAGCTTGTTAGTCCTCAGCTGTACCCCATGCACCCGGTTACGAACTCCATTTCATCGACAATGCAGATAGATTCGAACTTCCCCTCATCTGTGTCACTTTTCAACCACTTCTACACGACAACACACATTTTTTGACCCGGAACTAAATCAAAGATAGGGTAAATCGTAGATACTGCATGTAACATTCAGGGCGAGTTATTGCTTCACAATGTTTTAGAGCCCTTCATTCTTAATCATATGATCACATCTAAGAAAAAAAGGATGAACACATCACTCCCTAACGTTACATAGAAGCGGGAAATCCTGCAGAAGGATTCTTTTATGCAGGCTCTAAAACATTGATTGATACGTGGAAAAGTACATTATAATTGACCACGCATGCTCACATCCGTCTCTATCTTTACTATTTTATTGTTCAACTCGGACAACTCTACCTTCTTCGAAACATAAAATAGTTAGTTCATCAGGCCACATATCACATTAAGCGTGCAATCTTTCATCATGACCACTCCAGCTGCCAGTGATGATAGTTTATTTGAACCAAAAGGATTGACCGCTAGTGATGGTAAGTATGTCTTGGATCATGCGGGTATCTCTTCCCTCCTTAGATATGTTGTAAGTCCATACACTAATTCTCTCGTCCATTGGACATGCCTATGAAAAAAGATCAATGCTGACACTATTTCCGGTCTCATATGTAGTGGTCTGGGGTACTTCTTCCCACAACCAAAGATGAGTATCTTACTCGCACGGGTGTCGCTTCAAGTCACTACGACCACGTTAAGAAATACATCGACCCCCTTCTCTTGGCCTATGCTCCGGTAAATTTACAACTATTTCTCGAAGTCAGCAAGAACCATGACCGATTGCTGACCTCCCGCAGTGCAAAACCCACTGCACGAACTTCAAAAACACAACCTACCCAAGCATTGTAGCCTTGAGTCATTCTGTAAAAGACTTTGCAGGATCCGCAGGCGGCAAAGAAGATGGATCATACTACGCCGCCATTATTGCTGCAGGAAAAACGCTTTCTATTGAATTGAAGAAACCGGTCGCTCAACAAGACAGTTCGACCATCGATGATGCCCGTGAAACGATCAAGGAGCTCATAGATGCGCAACTCATAGCCATAGACGAGTTGAAGCAGATTGCTCTGACGGCTGTGAATAATTTGCATACATTTGAGGAGCAATGCCAGGCGGACAGAATCTCTCTCAATGGCCAAGACAAGATCATCACTGATGCTCTGACAGGAGATAGTGGAGACATTGTGGAAATTCAGGCAGCAATTACGGCCAATAAAGCTGAACTGAGCAAGGACCAAAGTGAATACGACGAAGGTATTTACATTTTCATTCAATTTTCCAATCTTCTTTGAGCGCCAAAAACCAAGAGTCCAGAATTTACTAATGAGATTAGACGTTACTATTGCTTCAACGGCGGTTACTTATGCTTGGTGGTAAGCTTAGTCGTTTCCGTAACAAATCTTCTTTAGTCTTTTCGTGAACCACTAGCTAATTCGACAACACAGTTGGCCAATTGGAACCATTGTAGCTGCTACTATCATGGGTGTTTACGGTGCTAGAGCCGTCGAAATGCAAGGAAAAATCAATGGTCTCAAGGGACTTCTCGCTGATGAAGACGACCAAATCAAAGCCGACAAAGCATTGGTTGCTGATTTGACTCTCATGAAGGCAGGTGGTCTTTAAGTCCCCTTCAGCAATCCATTCGTCAATATCCATCCTTTATCCCTCATGTCTATTCGCATTACTGACTCCCTATTCGTGCCGTCTAGGCAGATCTAGAAACCTTGATCAGTATGATTGGGCCCGCAATCCGGGCCATCGAAGGAATGTCGTCAGTATGGGAAAACATCGCTCTGGATCTCCAGAGTGTTAGAGACTACACCCAAGAAAAGTCGGGAGTTGGACTTCCAGCGGTACAGAAAGTCAACCAGAATAGTATCATCAATCAGTGGAACAACCTCTACACGAAGGGTATGTATTAAAAAAAAATTTATTCTGTCTATATCCATATCCATATCCATATGGCTAACGATGGATACCCTCTATCTAGTTGACAATTATCTTGACATGGCGTATGTCACCGAACCCGAGCAAATGACACTTGACTCGTACGTAAACAATCTTTCGGCCGTCATCAATGCCAATTAATGGAGCTAAGGCTCGGGCACTGAAGCGACAAAATATATTCACGGCATTTATTAGGCCAGGAAAATTTGGATTTGCACATTTACTTTTAAGTTATTTGATCAATCAGAGGTTTTTGGTTCAATATTCTGTGCTTCCTTACACGCTCATTTCACTGAATTCAGTCGACGGAAATATTCAAAATTGGAAAAGGAATTGTTATCTACACATTAACTTAGTTAGCTAACTATTTCGCTGATTTCTCAAGACCTTGATTGATTAGTTTGTTATGATATTCTTTACTTTGTCTAGTTTAACGTGTTGATTTGTATGTATAATCGCCAGCTCTTAGAAAGAAAATCGACTTATATACTACTAGTAGCCTTTTCATGTCTGTTCAGTACTGTCAGCACTGGATAGCCATTAATTACATTTGTGTCCCATTCAACGATAAATGAAAGAATGGTCTTCACAGGATTTACTTTTCCCAACATGATTGATGTGAATGGGACATGTGAATATGACTCGAAATTGAGCTTTTCACCAATCAAGACTCTAGCGAAATACCAATTAGATGAAAGTAATGTTCCCTAGCAGCCAGCAGCCCATGTTCTCGCTGCACTGCATTCTCCCGTTTCCGTTTGATAAAACAAAAGTGACTGGGCAGCTATAGGTGTGGTTGGGCATTAGCGATGTTACCCTGTCGAATATCCTATGACGAAATCTGAGCACCTTCAATAATTAATCTTTGTACATACATAAATTAGTGCGGCTCGGATCTATCCGAATGTGAGATTCAGCTGGATGCATTTCATGCATGTGGAGATGGATTGCCACTGCATGGATGACGTGGTTAACCGATAGTTACACGGCTTGTTTATCCGGCCTCTAGGCCATACTATTGCATGCATGTACTAGTTGCTTTAAATCACCTGTATAACCGAAAAACCCCGCGTTCCACTTCTATCCAACATTCGCTTGCAACTTACTTTCGTTGTGCATAATGCACTTTGCACTTTTTGATCCCTTCTATACTCTAAGATAAGAGGTCTGGAATTTACTCATTGTACATTATTTGAATTTGTGATAAAATCTTAATAAAATTTTATTTTCTTTTACAAAATTAAATATTAAATGACTTTTTTAATATTAAGTTAAAATAATTAAAATTCTAAAATAAAATAATTTATATAAAAATATAATTTATTAATCAATATATTTATAAATGATATTAAAGTTATCTCATTTTATAAATTATTTTATTTTTTATTAAATATTTTTATAATAATCTAAGATTTTATTTATTATTTTGATATTATATATATATATAATCAATGTTTAAAAAGATAAAAATTTATTATTTTAAATAAGATTTCACTTTAGGTACAGTTAGTAAATCCCAGAACTTTTATTTTTAAATACAAATCTACTTATACATACCCCTCACATATACACCGCAGCTGAAAACCTACACAGCATTGTCTAGTCTATTTCAACAACCGAATTCGATCTGATACTTATGCTAAACTCGAAAAACGCCTCGTGGATAACGGAAACTGCGACTGTCTAACCACACCACGAACGAATTCGTAAGTTTCTGCATTGTAGTATATTAATTTACTTTGATTTAGGCTGAATGTGCCGAGATCTGCCAATGCAAACAGATAGTATTACCTCGGAGAGGTTCTATCCGTGGTTAGCGGCCATGGCTGTATGTCGAGAGGGCAATGTTAGAAACTTTACTCGATGTTGCTGACGATCCAAAGGCCGTTTGAGATCGGCTGACTCAAATTAGGAGAAACGGCGAAGAACACAGCATAGTTGACATAACACATGCTGTAGAGCCGTGGGGGTGCATGAGCCCGACGACAACTGTTCGACGATTGTACATTTCACCCTTGGCATTAGGTTAAAAACGAGGCATTTGCATGGCCTATCTTGATTATATCAACCAGAAAACGACATTCTTCACCAGTTCTGTTCCTTACCACTCTGCGAATTCGTCATGAGTAACATCACTTTGCAGCCTACAGGCCTCGTCGACGCTTCCAAACGTTACTGGGCCCAGAGAATTGACACCACAGCTATGCTACGCTTTAAACAGGTCACCTACGGGCTTTCACCGGACTTCACCTCCTACATCAACTTTGAAGGCGGGAGTCAGTATTTTCCTCGCGGAACGAGGACGTACAACCCGCCTCCTGCTGCCACGACTCTTTTTGCCAATTACAAAACTGTAAGATCACCTCACCTGTACATTATTGATTTTCGAGGACTGTGCGACGTGAGGGAGAACGTTGAGGCTAATTATAAAAGTAGATCATCGACCTGCGCTTGAAGTTTGAGGTAATTCCTGCCCATCAACGAGTCCACCCGTTCACCCGTCTTGCAACTTATTTTTCATGAACTAACCATATCCGTCTCTGTAAAGAAAGATGTATTCCCAACCTACGAAAGACTACGAGAGGTCTTCCACACTTACGCGACTGAGGCACACGATCACTATGGTACACGGCCTTCATGAGTTCATTCAATTGCAGCTCCTTGTACCACTGTACCTCCAGTTCCAAGCTCTACTAACCCCTCTCAATGTTTCCCACAGACCAAGTCCTCAATCTCCTCGGCACCCTTCGCGCCTCAATCCTCGCAACTAACACGCACAGCACCGCTGACCTCGAAACCTTGCGCACCATTGTAGACGCACGCGTCAATCTCAGCAGCCGCATGAAAGATAATGCAAACTATATCGTGGAGTTACTCCAGGGGATCAATAGGAGTCTTCCTGCATGCATAAAGAATATCAACCAGAGTGTTGCTGACCTGAATGTGTTCTGTGTGTTTACAGCTGATGAGCAGAAGAAGATCAGTAATCCGAATACCATTAATATTTCTGGGTTTGCGGAGAAGTATGCGTTGGTGCATATGGGATATGCGGTGCGTTTTCTTTGCTGCCAATCTAGGAGACTGAAATCGAATGCTTAGGAGGGCTGATGAATTAATGATGGTTTTTTTTACTACCTAATATTCAACATGCTAATATTTATTTTTCAAAATACCAGCCCATGGCGTCTGTAGTAACTGAGGCTGCGCAAGCAGTGGTCGATGAGATTGGTCCCGCAACCACTGAAATGCAAGAGGAACTTGGTAGGTTGACACATATACACGCTACTCCGTACAATACAATACTAACGTACCCTCAGGCAGATGGGATAACATCACTCGAGATCTAACATCAATTGTATCATACATCACCAAAGAAGAGGCAGCCACTGGACAAGTTCTCGCGAAACTGGACAATGCTCAAATTCTTCAGAGGTGGCAGGAGCTGGGTGATATTGGTATGTTTGATTGCATTGTATCATTAATCGATCTAGATCTAACTTTTTGTTATGAATAGTGGTCCAAGCAGAAAATTCTTAGGATTAGGATAATAGATGAGGAGGCGATGATTCAAATCAACAGTCCCACGATGTGGATGATTATGAGGATGATTAAACGCAATTGTTACCTTCGTAGGAGGAGGTGATGAGTGGAAATTATTGTTTGTTGGTTGTCAAGTGGAGGTGCGGATTGAGCTATTATTAGCTATTGTGAGATCTAAAAAGGTACATCTTCAACATTCGTATTTGCTTCAATGAACAATTTAAACTTGTGGATCAAAATATCAGATTTGAATATCCCTGTGTCAACTTCCTCCCAATACTACGGCCGTCTAAATTAAAGGTATTAACTACCATACGTGACTAGCCAGTCTGCTCATGATATCCCATCATATACCCACACACTTCAGCACCGACATCTCCATACCTCCACGCCTCCCATTCATCATCTTTCTCCTCTCTTTCCCGGCATAACCCTCCAAGGAATGGAAACACTAACTAATCCCCTCCATAAAGCACCTGTATTTGCCCCTCGAACCAAATATGAACGCCAATCCCAAAATCACCACTAACACCACAAACATAAAACAAATCCCCTCTACTCACTACCACCATAGGTTTCCAGCACCCACGAAGTCTCGTTTAGAGTCTCCGTGTGATTGCTCTTGAACGTTCGAAAACGGATTTTAGGTTTGTAAAATCAACTGCTGTCTTATGTTTTCTAAGTGTGAAGAAACCAACAAAGTTTTCGTCTAAGAATTCAACGTGACTGAGTATGAAGTATGAATATAAGAGTTGGCCAAGTAAGAAGTTTTCACAGCGGATTCACATCTCTAAAATATGAAGATATGTAAACTTAAATCAATCATCCCATTAGCATAAACTATTATATCTAAATAACGAAACAACGAGTTTAAAATTTCTATCCATTATAAAGGTTTTAAACACTCAAAATATATTCATACTTATAAACGAACTATCTATTCATATATATAGATCTACAAATCTAGAATTATTAATTATGATAAACCCTAACAAAACCCTAACAAACCCTAATAAGCCCCTAACAAACCTATAACAAATATAAACAATACCCAACCGCTTTGCAATTCACAGAAGCCTCGACCGGCAACTATAGATTCCAATGCCAACTCACTCTCATATTCGCCATCCCTCGCCTCTTATTATGTCCCCTATTACACTTGCCTCACCTAATTTTACTACATCTACCACAAAGGCGAAAAGAAACAGAAGGAACAAGTGTGAACAATAACGTATAGCCCCATGATCAAGCCCCCCGCCTGCACCTCTCAATATCTCAAAGCAGCACAGAAGCCTAAATCCAAACCCCTCTGTGCATAGCCAATATTATCAATCCTCCCAAAACTCCTTGCGCCCCCTAGTATTCTACATCTCCAAGCTCACTATTCAAATCGCTCTCCTTTTTGATCGGTCCCAAACATCAAAAAAGACTCTATCTATCAGGCCGTCAGCTCATTCGCGAATCTATATCGACACCCGAGTAAGCCAGCCGTAAGAAGTTTGCCAAGACATCTCATCCTCACACACAGAATAACAGCATACTACTTCCCCCTCAAAATCCACATCGTCGATGCGACATCTAATAGCTGCTCATCCTATTTCTCCTTGGAATGCAAGCAAACAGTTTCGAATTTTTGCCTTAAAAGTTGGCTCAACCCAATGTGCTATGTATTAATTCACAACATGAATATTTCCTATCATACCAAAATCCAAATCAACCTAGATGATAAGTAGGATCGATTCGTATTTTCCGAGCATTCTTTGTGACCCTCTATTGGTTCTTCGTCAGAAATAGTTAAATCGGCTACAAGAAAGGACTGAGGACTGAGGGGACCATATACTATCTTCCCTATTTACTGCAGACTAGTAGCCGGTGCACCAATATCTAGCTAGGACGTTAATCTTAGCGTAATCATACAAAATCGACAGAAGACTGGGTACGACGGCATACTCTCGTTTTCATATACAGGATGGTGATACCTAGTGATAATTTAAAGCAACGTTCATGTCCCGCTCAGTATACAGTCATCTCAAAGCCTGGGAGATTAGTCCCTGATAAATTAACTATTGGCTCCCATCCACGCAACAAATTCCAAATAAGATATCAATGAATAGAATATACTCGGCTTAAATCCCGGGAGCCCAAGTCCTTGATGTTTTGGCTACCGAAAGAGACCCCCAAACTGTTATTAAGAAACAGAGTGATAGTTTTCAGCACGCATCTTATTCGGATTGATTAGCGAAATGCTACAATCTGTTCGTAAGTAGGAATAGAATTATTCACTTGATATCAATTCTACAAGTTTAGCTTTATGGAAAATGAACACGTCTATAAGTTAATGGTGAGATATTTGAAGGAAGTTGAATTTCTCTGGCTGAATGTAAACCCAAAATCGGCTTGGGGAAGAAAGTATTTAATATCTAGTTCGGATGGCTAGCCCCTTATTCATCTTTGTGGCTACCGCATGCCTTTTCATCGAATCCAAATTAGAATTTAAAGAAGCAATTGGATAATATCCTCAAATATTGAATGGTAAAAAATATGTTGCAAATTTGATAGAATATAATTATCAATTCTGAATCAACTGTTGATCAATCAAGATAGAAAGGGAAAGAAGAATCTTGCTGGAGAACTTTGATAGATGGATGGTTGGAGTCATCATTAAGGTGATCCGTGCTAATCCATCCAGTCTCTGTTGTTTCGCTGGCAAGCCTTCGTGATGTTCTAAGCAAAGGTAAAAAGCCGACTGGAATTCCTACACTGAGTTCTTGATGCTCCTATAGCTATAAATGAAGATGCTCCTGCGAGGCTCTACCATCTTTCCTTTCATGACTTCCTCCTTAGTCTCGAGGAGAGGGGCCTACTTAGAGCAGATAAGAGAAAGATACACGAGGAGATAACCAGAAAGTGACTTCAATTTCTTTTTGAACCTGGATGATTGGGGAAAAAACCTGTACAATCTAAATGAGCCTGGGATATTACCAAACTAGAATTGATAAATATATCATAAAGCTTTAAAACTTCTACTAATAAGTACCAAGGTTGCGAGTGAAAGCTTCTAAATCTTTCGCCTTTACTCACGACGCCAAACGATTTATTCTTCGTAATCGAATAGGAGTTGAACAAGCTCCTCTTATTCAGCAACCGGGTTTTTCTGAAGTCATCTTTTTAATATAGCAGCAGCCTTCTTATTGAATCAGCACATCTGTATTCATCCGGCACTATATATTATTATATGGACGATCGACAAACTCAAATAGAGAAAGCGAAAAGTGGTTGATTGAACTGATGGGAAAATGCCTTGCTCTGCGAAGTAAACAAAATATCGCAGTTTGGTGAGATCAATGTAGCATTGATTCTACAGATCAGGGCTTTATACCACTTATGGTTCTACTATTGATGGATTACAGCCACCTTGCAGAAGAAAATACGGTAAGTAAATCTTTGATTGCTTTGAAGAGGAAATTATTTACATTAAAAAAACTTGTAGCAACTATGTTATACGCTACTAGTAAACATGTTCCCAAAAGATGCCAAACCAAGACCTAGTCGCAAAATTGATTTAGATTTTATTGAAGCTGAGCCTTATGTCGTTATGGTCAACTCCTTCCAACGGCCAATGTTTCGAGGAGGGTATCTTGTATGTTGTGTCGAATGAACCCTGTAGCGATCCCAATCTCTCTGGCAAAATCATCTTTTGCTGTGTTCTTCATCTTTCCTTGCTGGTCCCTTTTCCGGTTCAGTGTGAGAGTGCCCAAAGGCAATCTTGTTCGAATCTGCGCTCGCTCAAAATCAATAAGCATAAGAGTTTTACGCTTCTCATCCCATACCATGTTTCTCAGCTCGGCGTCCGTATGAAGCACCTCTAGTCGATGCATCGCTTTGAGAGCCGATGTTGCCTGTTCAAGAATTTGTACCTCGTTGTTGGGCGTGAGATAATTGAAAATTGGCTGACCTGCCCAGCTGAGGAAGAGCAGAGTAACATAGACACCACAGTCGAAGTAATACGGAAGCTTAGGCTCGATCATGCCTAGGCAGACAGGAATGTGACAACCTTGCATAGGACGGAGTCGTTCATATACTTTGCTCTCCTGGAGAAGGTGGTCTCGATGGTATTCTTGCATCCCTTTCGCAACCAGGGTATACCCATGAGAGGATAGCCTGACCTTGAACATAGCCCCTCTTGACCCTTTGATGTAAAGTGGTTTGCAGTCTGCATCGCTCCCCCGATCAGTAGCAAGCTGGTCCCGGATAAGCCGCAGGAATCTGGCTCGGCTTATATGCTTCTTCTTATGATCTCCGAGGTTAGGACATTGCTGGTCCATACTGCCGCCATAAGCCAAACCGAGCAAACATTGATGCGTGCAATACGGTCTATCCTCGATTCGTGGTTTTGGTTTCACTCCTGCATTCTCCTTACTTGCACCCTTTTTGCTTGAGCTGCTCATTGCTGTCGAGCCTGGTTGTTGGCCTTTGGTCTGAAGAATCCGGGTAGGAGTTGGAGTGGGCGGAGTACCATCATCGCCTTCATCACTTTGGTCACCGTCATCGCGCATACGATCATTCTCGGGAAGTCTGCACGTCTGGCGTGTAGATCGTGTTCGAATTGGCGAACGACCAAAGTTTTTCCATCTGACGGCGCGAAATGCCGGAGAATCGCGCCCTTTTTTCTGTTCCGTCGGAGGAATTTTGTCTAGAATATTGATGTATTCGATATCCCACGTCTCCAAAGCTGCAGCTGCATCATTCCATGCCTGCCCAGGCGCCTCAGCAGCTAGTGAGCCTAGGGTAAAGGCAAAAACCTGAGCAACAGTTGTCCGATGAAGCCTATTCTCATCATCCTCTTGGAAATCCTGCGACGGAACAGAAAGATAGTAATAGACTGTAGAAGGGTCATCTGAAATGTGGAGGAAAATTGTGGCATCCCCAACAAAGACATATCCATACCGAATGCACTTATCAATCATGTACGAGAACAATTGAGTAATCACAGCAACGACTAAGTATTTACTTGTGAAGCCGAAACCGTCACCTTCCTTGTTAATCACTTCCTCTGCTGGTCGGATTTCCCCTTTAAGTCCGGCTACGATAACTTCCAAAGGAAACTTGTGCGGTGCTTTGTATTCAATCGACACAATTGGAGTTTTCTTGGTATTTGCCTGTTCGTATATGCAGAATTGATCTGCAATGCCTGCTCTTCTGGTCGGAGCTCGCTTTTTTTGTGGTGTGGCTTTCTCTGCTTTCCTCCTCCCGTTCTTTGGCATAGTCGTTTGAGTTATGGAAAGGTTTTCCATTGACTCCTCTATCGATCCTTCGCTGTCCTCTCCTAGATTTGTATGACTTTCAAAAATCATTGTCCCATGGAGCTGAAGCTGCTCCCGCAACTGCACATCTTTGTATACCTCTTGGATCAACCTGCGCACTGGTCTTTCAACCGTGTCGCAAGCAAAGGACCGAAGACCAATCTCCGAACTGATTGGATCGAGGTCGCTCCGAATAAGATCTAGTTGATCAGAAGATGGAAAAATGCGCTTCGAATGGAAGTGAGCACTAGATGAAAGTTTCTCCCAGATGTCCTCTTGTAGCTTTGGAAAGTCGTCCCATGGCACAATACGTTGCGGAAATGGCCGACCGAAGGGCTTCGTGGTATCGCCTTGTGTCGTTTGTGTCTTGCCCTTGATGATTTTAATAGAAGATGAAAGATCATGACAAGCTTCGAGATATTCGATAAGGTTTTTCTTTTCAGATCGTCGACGTTCCTCTTCTAGTTTGGCTTTTGCATCTGCCTCGGCCACCTCACGTCGTCGACGTTCCTCTTCTAGTTTGGCTTTTGCATCTGCCTCGGCCACCTCACGTCGTCGACGTTCCTCTTCTAGTTTGGCTTTTGCATCTGCCTCGGCCACCTCACGTCGTCGACGTTCCTCTTCTAGTTTGGCTTTTGCATCTGCCTCGGCCACCTCACGTCGTCGACGTTCCTCTTCTAGTTTGGCTTTTGCATCTGCCTCCGCGACCTCATGTCGTCGACGTTCCTCTTCTAGTTTCGCATCTGATTTTGCCTCGGCGGCCTCACGTAGGCTACGTTCCTCTGCTAGTTTGGCATTTGACTCTGCAAGTAATCGTAGTACCGATGCAAAGTCTGCCATGATGAAACTACAAAGACTGGAGATGTTTTCTTCTGGCTCTTGTGGATCAGTATCCGTAACCAGGGCAGGTCGTGGATCAAGGATTCTGACTTGTTTTCGAAAAATTGACGAGTATTAAGAAGCAAAGGAAACTCGGGACAGGAAACTGAGAGCACCCTTTAAAGAATATCAAGGTAAAAAATTGTCTTGTTTGTTTACATAGAAGGGATCAACCGTGCATGTATAAAGAATCACATCCTAGCAGCCACATGCATTAGCCACACTCATCTCCATGGTTACGTGGTGAATTATAACAAGAATAATCCTTTCTGCCTGGTAATTAATGATAGTTTTCTGTACTTCCTTTTTTGGGCCGCTTTCGTGGTTACCATGGTAACACAGCCAGCCTCCATTCCCACATGCTTCAAAAAATAATCGTTAATCTATGCCTCTGGTCATTCCATTGTTGCGTGATAGGAATTTGAGGGCTTGTTATTCTTTTCTGGCGAACATTGACAATTTTCCATCTCACATTGTCACCTTATACCCCTTATTGCTTGAGATATAATAATTGCTTTGAAAAACTTTAAGACATTGCTATCTTTTCATTTCAGTATCTTATTATCAAAGACGTTCGCATTGCACAAACTCTACCAATTTCCCTGCATCCCCTCTCCTTGCATTTTTTCCCGCATGTTGCGTTCCCAATATTACAGGCGGAACATCTGGATACGCGGCTGGAAGCATTTGATATTTTAAAAGGGCCAAAAGGTATCTATCTATGGGTAATGCGCTGTATAACACTACCTATGCGCACAATAGCGTATAACCTAATAGAAATCCCCTACATTTCGGCAGTTCTCTCTAGTTAAAACCCAGAATTCTTCTCTTTAAATTAATATATTTGTAGGAAAGTCTACAAGGGCATGCTCGTACTCCAAACAAACTGAGGTCGATCGATGCAACGCGTACTTACCCTTACCCAACCTTTGATCATATCATTCTATCACCTCGAATATGACAAATGATACATGCATATCCATATTGACTTTGATTATTAGACTAGCGAATATATTATATCTCAATGGTACAGATTGTTTAAACCTATTTAATGACAGATCTACAAGCCTTGTATTTAATTATATACCTCGTTCATTTTTTATTTCTTATTTAAAAATAATAAATCAATTATAAATTTATAAAAAGTTATTTCTTATTTAAAAATAAAATACAAATCTTATAAAAATTGTATAATTTTTTGAAAATGATTATAATAATAAATTATCAAATTTCATAATAATTTTAATCTTATTAAATTTAAATTTAAAATAAAATATATTATATAATATAATATATTTATCAAAAATAAAAAAGATAACAAAAAATAAACTAAATATAAAAAATAATTTTAGTTTATAATCATTATTTTAATATAATATTTAATATTTATATATATATTAATTTATATAATAATTTTGTATTTTAATTTTAGACTATATCATATATTAAAAAATAAAAGTATTCGATGAAGTTGTATACAGCTGATAATAGATCGAAGATAGAATTCAATTGATTATAATAAATATTAAAAGTTATTTGTTATTGTTTATTGTTATTGTTATTGTTTGCGAAGCTTTTGTATTCAAACTAATGCCACAGCAACCAATTACTTTTCGGGGCGAAAAGCTTACAGGTTTGACTTGGGTTCAGATTTCCTCTGGAATGTAACAAAAATGATTTCGATTTCGGAAAACTCGGTTTCCTATTACATTTTGCAGTGCATACATCATCTATTCTACCCTATTCCTAGAGATGATGATATCATTGTACAGTAAACAGCTTGTGTTCAAACAGCGGCTTCATAAATTTTGGGTTTTGAGCAAAGCAGACGAACCCAATCCCAGCCCAAGCTGGCAGTCCATTGTGCGTGGCAAGACCTAAGAAAACACCGACTTTTTGGCGACTAATCATGGAATAGTACACGACACCAACACTAATTCCTCCACAGGCTTTGATTATCTGTCCATCAAACTAAAATTCGCCGCAGTATACGTAGATACCAAATTTCCCAGTCCCAAATGGCGCGATTAATCTAAGTTGGCCATATCTAGGCATGGATTGATGCAGCATGAATGAATGTTTGACCAAATGAATCATATCAGCTCCAATGTGATCGCTGAGATACTGTTGAGTACGCAGGAAGTCGTCGGGAAAATGCCGTGGGCTTTTGTGATGATTCTCGCCTACGGCTTTCCATAAAAAAAATCGTTTAGAGTTTACGCACAGAGTCACCGAACTGCCACCAAGGAATACAAATGTGCAAAGAAACAATTTACGTCGGGCGTGAGATACTTCTTAACGACTAAAGGCTCTCTGCAAAAATGAGTTTGATGGAAACCAATCCAGGATGCCCTTGTCATGAATCGACCGTCAGTGCTGGTAGAATGTGTATAGCTGGAATTCACATACCATGACCAAGTTGAGAACTGCTCCACAAGTCCTCCAACTTGCTTGCAATTGCAAAAACGGCTTTGACATGAATTCTATGGAAAAAACAGTATGGCCCGAAGCAGAAGATGAGCTGGGATATCCCGAGTACGACAAATGTCCAGGTTGGGAGCATTCTCTTGTCTATTGAAATTCCTTCAAAGGCATCAAGTACGTCGTGTGGAGAGATCAAACTTCTGCGCGTTGTATTTCCTGGACAGCCCTTTGATATCTTTCAATGACAAGGCTTTCATTTTGTTCCCGCCTTGTCACATCCCATAAATAATGGTGACGGGGAGGATCGGGGTCATTTCTGAGCCTTTTACTCCACTAGGGAGGTCAGTTCGGGATTCGAAGATACTGAAATGGCAAAAATTAAACAGCAAAGATTAAGACACTCGCTTAAACAATGGTTGAGAAGATCGAGGGTAGATGGAGATATTGGTGCAGAAAAGTGCGAGTCATAAAGTAATAAGGGCAATGAAAAAGAAAACATATAATTGTATCTCCTTGCCCCTCCCCCTTATTCAAAACACCATGCCCCAGTGGCACTAAAATGTTCTCGAGCATATAGCATTTGTTCAGGAGGCTCAACAATTCAAACATGGCATCCTTTGGGAATATAGTATAAAAATACAGCGACTTCTCCTCTGGCCATATATTTCATGCGTCTCTGTGTAGAGGCTTTGTGTAACGAGGTTGATATCAAGAAAAGAAACTCGCAACCCCACTAAGGGAGTGAAAGCACAGCCTTTTGCGGCCGCTGATTATGCCAATCCACACCGCCTTAGCATAGCTTGACTCGGTATGGTGAGGTCAATCATTGAATTCATAGGCAAAAGCTGTCTACTTCTATCGCAAATAATAAGTAAATACTACGAAAGTATTGTATTCTTACCATTCAGTTCATTGCTGTGTATTCATGGATTTCTTAAAGTCTGCCGTCGCGTCTGCGATATCGAAGGGTCCTCCATTTCCCTACACATTCGGGGATCAAGTTGATATAGAACAGTCCATATGGAAGTTATACAATGGCACCAAAAGAGTAGGCGAAGAGATGATTTTGGTAAAGAATAGGTAACTAATGATATTTTAGGAAGACGGTTCTAATTGTAGCATATTCTCCTTCGATGTTCCCGCGAATAAATCTCGATTACCTCTAGCCAAAAATGCTGTTAAGAAGCTTCGAACACTACGGCATCCCGGCGTAATCAAAGTGCTGGACACAGTTGAGGTATGAATTACTGAAGCTCGAATTATGTGTGAGATTTCTGACTTTCGGTATTTGGCTAGACGGATACATATATTTATATTGCTACTGAGAGAGTAGTTCCTTTAAGATGGCATATCAAGAGAAAGAGCATGAGCCCGGAGACTCTGAAATGGGGATTATTTAGCATAGCAGTAAGTTGGCGAACATTATTTTCCAGATACCAAGTCTAATAAGCTACATAGCAAACAATCAAATTTATTAATGATGAAGCCTCATCCGTTCACGGAATGCTACGAGTAGGATCAATTTATACAAGTGAAAGCGGAGAGTGGAGAGTTGGAGGCTTTGAAGTATTAAGCAATATGAATGATACTGAAGCAATCATATACGTGAGCAATGATTGTTCCCGTTATACAAAAAATCCAGAGCTAAATCTTGCAGAACTATGGCAGTCTTGTACCAGACTCCGGACGATATACTCCTCCAGAATTGGCAAGTTCTGGCTGGGATTCCATCAAAAAACACCCTATCTATGCGACGGATTCTTATAATTATGGAACATTGATTTTTGAAGTCTTCAATGCAGACTTCACGGGAAGCGATCAAGCCGGTCAGACGAAGAACATACCTCCATCCATGCAATCAAGTTATCGACGTTTGGTTAATAGTAACCCTAAAGCTCGGCTTAGTGTTGGCTATTTCGTTGAGCAAGGTCGGCGAAGTGGAGGCTTCTTCGAGACTCCTCTAATCAAGCTTACTGAAGGGGTAGATAATCTTGGGATGAAGTCGGAAACTGAACGAGAAGAGTTCCTGAGGTAATTTCCATACTAGAAACCTACAATAAATAAGCTAACCTACGAAGTGATCTTGATGAGCTATCAAATGACTTTCCGGAAGATTATTTCAAGATGAAGATTCTACCTGAGTTATTAAAATCTGTTGAATTTGGAGGTGGTGGACCAAAAGTCTTTACTGTTGTTATGAAAATTAGCACGAAGCTCACGGATGATGATTTTGAAGCAAAGGTCACACCTGTTGTGGTGCGACTGTTTAGTAGCCCTGACAGAGCTATTCGAGTTTGTCTTTTGGATAATCTTCCTCTTATGATTGATCGACTACCACAAAAAGTAGTGAATGATAAGATATTCCCTCAGATGGTAAGGATGATTGAGCTTTAATTTTAGACACATGCTGATTGTAGTAGGTCACCGGGTTTACGGATCTTGCACCAGTAGTACGGGAACAAACAGTCAAAGCAGTTTTGACAATTATTGGAAAACTATCAGACCGAACTATCAATGGGGAACTATTGAAATATTTAGCCAAAACTTCCAACGATGAGCAACCTGGCATTCGAACGAACACGACAATCTGTCTAGGAAAGATAGCCAAGAATCTAGGGGTTAGCACAAGGTCAAAGGTGTTGATAGCTGCTTTCACACGTTCACTTCGTGATCCATTCGTTCATGCTAGAAATGCAGCTTTGCTAGCATTATCTGTTACAGCAGACTCATTCAACGATGATGACTGCGCTAATCGAATATTACCGGCGTTATGTCCTTGTCTAATCGATAAGGAGAAGCTCATTCGAGAACAGACAAACAAAACAATGGATGTTTATCTGCAACGCATTCGCAAGTCCGCTGCCTCAATGCCTGATACTGCTTTACCACCGCCTACCACGGGCGAAGCTGCTTCTTCATCCACGCCTCGAATGAGTACGCCACAACCTACTGATGCAGGGTCATCATGGACAGGCTGGGCTATTTCTTCATTCACCAATAAAATAGCTGCAGCTACTGGCGAAATCCAACCATCAAGTGCTGTTGTGACTCCAGATGCACATCCTAGCTCAGCACGACAGGAAAATGAACCTCGCCCTTCAACTCAATCTGCATCAGCATTACATCGACAAGCAGTAACTTCACCAGCTGTCGCTCCAACAAACACCTCATCTGCTGGTCAAACTTATTTCGAAGATGCAAATGCAGGAGAAGACGATATGGAAGCATGGGGAGACATGGAAGAAGAATCCTTCTTTGACGCACCCACTGAATCTGCCCCCGAAGCTACTACAAAACAATCTACCATCGCAAACCCCTTTGACGATAACGGTGAACCAGATTTCGCAGGCTGGCTAGCAGCTCAACAAAAGAAACCAGCTCAAAAATCTCTACCTAAGGGTTTGGCCAAACCAGCGTCGAAAACTAATAATGATAGACCTATTTCTTCAGGAAGATCTAATACGACCGGTTCTTTAGGAACGAAAAAGACATCAACTATAGCAGCGAAACCTGTACCTAAGAAAATTGATACCGCGCCTAAAGCTACAGATGACGATGCTGATTGGGGGGATGGTTGGTAGTGTTTAGGGTTTGGGTTATCATTTTAGGGTTGAGGAATTAGATTTGTGTTATTGGCTTGCTGTGTAGAAATTGGTATGGCGTTTGGATTAGGTTAGGTTAGGTTACTGGGTAGGTTAGGCGGGACGTGAGTAAGCATTAGTAGGTGAGATGGCGTTTAGGAGTATGTTTTTTTAAGTTCAGCTTAAGGATATCCTATGTGTGTATGTGCGTATTCATTCATACATGGTATGGTGTTAATGTGTGCTTTTTAAGCGTACTGCGCTTGAGAAGTTGGGATAACCTCAAGCAAGGTAGATAGATGGGTAGATGGGTAGATTTTAGATACCTGGTGTGTATAATTACAGGAGTTAACTGTGAATGTGAATGGAATCTGGTATCTAATATCTAAAATCTAATACCTGACAATAATAAACCCGGGGTATATGACCTTAATAAGAGTATACTGAGCAAAGGAGATACTCATTCGTTTACCTAGGAAGTTACCTCCTTTTAGTAATCCAGTAGAATCTCCACACCTTCCTCCAATGCCAGCTTTCGATTTTCCTGCCATTTAAGCCATGCCATTCCTTGTAGGAGAGAATCAGCTAAATCGTCTAGTTTACCCATCCCTTCTTCTTTTTCTTTTATTATCTCTTTTTCTCTTTTCTTTTGCGCTGTGTCTGATGCTGAACGTGGGGATGATTTGCTCTTTGGTTTATTTCCGTTTGCTCTCCCGGCTTTGCGATCCCATTTCTCTGTATATCTTTCCTTTATGTCTTGAACCTGTTGGCTTCCAATGAGTACCATCTCGTTGTGCTTTTGAGTCTTGTGCTTTTCGCCACCTTCTAGCCATCTTCTTACTAAATCTATTTTTGCCCCTTTACTCCTCGCGTACACCTCTGTCGTGTTTCGGACTATTTTGAATTCTTCTCCTTTTTCTTCGTCTAGTAATCCGCTTTCCTCTACCCAGAATGTACCGACTTTCCTCGGCGCTATCTCAATTACCTCTCCTTCCCATACTTTTTCCTCGGATAATGTTTTGAGTGTAGCCCATAACATACTTTCTAACATGTTGACTCTAATTGTCCACTCGAGGATTTGTTTCGCTCCATGGGTTCGAAAGCGCTGTCGCTCAATTAAGATGTGTGTTGGGGAGAGAGGAAGGAGTGTGTGACGAAGCAATTTATATGCTGCCGTGCTGAGAATAGCGGGTGTAAATTCATTGCGAGGTTTTTCTTTGGTTGCTGGGTCTGTATTTGGAGGGGCTGGAGGAAGAAGCGAGAGTTTTTGCCAAGATTGAAGGATGGGAATTGGAGGGTTTGATTTTCGTTTATTCTTGGGAGATTTGGAGGGGAGAGGTATTTCGAGGAGACAGTAGGAGAAATTTCGGATTCCCATGTCGATGCTTAGGATGCGCAAGGGTTTGGAGGTGGCGGATGATGGGTCTGCGCCTGGGAGGGTGATTCTCGGGAGCTCATCTTGTATTCGTTGCGTGAGGATGGGTTTGGTGCCCGAGATTGAGATGCCGCATCTGAAGGCGATTTGTTTCAGTGCTACGGCTTTAAGGGTACTAGGAATCGTGATTGCCATTCATGATCGTTTGTGTCTCGTCCTGTGATTTGTTGATTGATGCGAGGGGAATTTGGATAATAAGCCCAAGGATCCAAGAATTTTGGTTTGCGTTGAACGATTGACTGGAGCGGAGGGAGGCTCAATTGACTTTTGCAGTTACTACGGAAAGAATATTCTCTTTGCAAGTGTGAAATCGAGAACCCTATCGAATCCCCCAAAACTATCCCGAAGAATTTGGAAGAGAAATCTTTCTTTCATCCTCAGAAAAGGGCATTCTGAATATTTTTGTAGAATTTGTTTGATTATTTTTCTGGGCGAGGCTGTCGGGATAGCCTCGGGAGAATACTAGCCTTATGCTTAAAATAATGCAAAATCTTTTGTTGCATATCTATGCAGTATGCAACAAAAAAGACATTTCTCTCCAACTCAAATTTTCCGACACGTTTAGAAAGCGCTGAGTTTCAGGAGTACAGCGAAGATAACCATTTTAGCATTAGACGCTTGGTCGATGTGTAAATTGAGGGTATGTATGGGTTTTACGCTTTGCACAGATTTTTCATGGAGTGAGGTTGAAGAAGACGCTTTTTTGGTGCTTTTGGTCATGTGTTTTGTGAGGCTGCGCTTGTGTTAGGTTTGTCTTTGGGATTTTTGATATCGTAGCCTTGAGCTAGGAGGAGGGGATTGTGATAAGAGTTGAGATGCGATGCGATAAGGATTATGAATTTCTCCATAAGCGGATGGGTTGATGTCCAGAAGGAGTTCAGCGAATGCATATAAGAATTACTCGGGTCTTTCATGTCAACAGAAGAAGCAAGTGTTGGTGATGGAGAGTAGAATATGCAGGTCTGGTGCTGAGTGAACTCAAACATCATCAATAGATGCTTTTCCTCTACTGCGTAGTAGATCTGCAATCAATAATCATAAAATAGAAGAGCCGAGATTTTTGCTGAGAAATCAGCAAATCACAACATCCAGTCACAAAATAACAACTTCCAATTACCTCCAATCAACAAACCAAAACCCTTCTTTAAAAATAATAGATACCGCGTATAACAAAGTCTAGACCACATTATAGTGTAATCCAATCGGTACTCAAGTACACAATTGGTAATCCTTCCCTCACTCCTTCAACTCCTTCACTCCGGCCATCCATCCACAAGACGTCACACAAACATACATTCCACCTGAACCCTGGTAAACAAGGCCCCCGCCAAAAGCTATAGAAATCCACCCCTCCCTCCTCTTTCCTTCAAAAGAAACTTACTACTGCTCTCATGCAAAGATTTACTTTTCTTGCCCGAGTATCTTCCCAGACGGCAAATCATAGACTTTCTTCTCTTTCTCGTCAATTCTCTGCTACATCTTTCAACATGGCGCCTATCACTAAAGAGTGTGATTTTTTGGTTATTGGTGGTGGAAGTGGCGGTTTGGCTACAGCTAGAAAAGCAAGTGGTGTTTATGGTGTTAAGACTATTGCTGTGGAAGCCAAGAGACTTGGAGGTACTTGTGTTAATGTTGGGTAAGTTATTCTTCATTCTTCTCCTTCTCCAAAAGACATTACTAACATAACAATAGCTGTGTACCAAAGAAAGTTACATTCAATGCAGCAGCAATCGCAGAAGCTATCCACGATTCCAAAGCTTACGGATTCTCTGTCGAAACTACCGCACCATTCAACTGGTCATATTTCAAGAACAAGAGAGATGCATTCATCAAGAGATTAAACGGCATTTACGAGAGAAATCTCGGTAACGATAAAGTCGAGTATATTCACGGCTGGGCATCTTTGACTGGAAAGAATGAAGCGGAAGTTACATTAGACGATGGTACCAAACAAACAATCAGAGCTAAGAAGATTCTCCTGGCAGTTGGTGGTCGCCCTACTGTTCCTCAGGGTATCCCAGGTGCAGAGTACGGAGTAGACAGTGATGGATTTTTCGATATTGAGAGACAACCTAAGAAAGTTGCTTTGATTGGTGCTGGATATATTGCCGTTGAATTCGCAGGCATGTTTAATGCTCTCGGAACGGAAACTCATTTATTCATTCGTCATGATAAGTTCCTTCGAAGCTTTGATCCTATGGTTCAAGAAACTGTCACTAATGAATATGAACGTTTGGGTGTTAAGTTGCACAAGAACTCTGTTCAGACTAAGATTGAAAAAGATGAGAAGACGGGTAAACTGACCATTCACTACGAGGACTCGAATGGAAAGAGTACTCTTGAGGATGTGGATGATTTAATCTGGGCTATTGGAAGATCCCCCGAAGTAGATGGCTTAGGGTTGGACAAAGCAGGTGTCAAACAAAACGAAAGAGGTCAAATCATCGCCGACGAATATCAAAACACCAATGTCGAAAGCATCTACTCATTAGGTGATGTAATTGGCAAAATCGAATTAACACCCGTAGCCATTGCCGCTGGCCGTAAATTGGCCGATCGTCTATTTGGAGGTCCCGAATTCAAAGATTCAAAACTCGATTACGATAATGTTCCTTCTGTTGTCTTTTCCCATCCAGAAGTTGGTTCTATTGGTCTCACCGAACCAGAAGCTATCGAACGTTACGGAAAGGAAAATATTAAATGTTACAATACTAGTTTTACCGCATTATATTATACCATGATGGAACCTGAAGATAAGGGACCTACGAAGTATAAATTGGTGTGTCTAGGACCTGAGGAAAAGGTTATTGGTCTCCATATTTTGGGATTGGGTAGTGGTGAGATGTTACAAGGATTTGGAGTGGCTGTTAAGATGGGTGCTACGAAGAAGGATTTCGATAGTTGTGTGGCTATTCATCCTACTAGTGCTGAGGAATTGGTTACTATGAAATAGAGCGGATGAGAATTGGGGTTTAGATTAGAGAGAGTAGGAATAGATAGATAGATGCTTGGCATGATAGATTTTAAATGAGGAATGAGAATGGTATATTCTATGATTTATATTTTTATGGTTTCTTGGTTTTGTGCCTTATGTCTAGTGTCTCGTATGTTGTTAGTGTAACAGGTATGAGCTGATAATATAAATTAATAATGATTAATAAATAGTTTTCCTCTTTAATTGTAGATGGGAGAGGAGAGGAGAGGAGGGGAGAATAAATGAACAAATGAATATGAATGGGTGAAAGAAACATCAATCGCTTAATTCAATAACCTACCTACCTCCCTCCCTAAGGTTAAGGTTATATGTACTCCGCATCACCTCATCCCCATCTCCATGCACACCCTTCCCCTTCATCATCGCTTCATCCACTAGGTACTTGAAGATTAAGTTAACCCGCGCCCCTCACCCCTCATCCCTTATGATCACCTATAAAATTTAAATTCAAATTCAAAATCATTTGTAAATGCTTGATCATAATCATGATCATGATCATGAGTTCGAGTAATCATCTCATCTCATTCATTTCATTTCATTTTGTTTGAGTCTCGACTCCCTGTTTTCCTAGTATTCCTATTCCCATTAGGATTAGGTTACTTCGTATGATTGCTAGTTTGGAATTCGATGTGGAGGTGGTAGTGGTGGTGATATGGGGTTTTTGGAATTGCTGGATAATTAGAGCTTACCTCGCTGTGTAGTGCCGCGTGTTTATTTGCTGTGGGTAAGTGAGTAGGAGATGTAGGATTTGTTGGGGACGGGATGGATGGGTTTGTCTTTATTTTGGGTTTTTGGTTGGAATGGGGTTTTTAGGGGATGAAGTAGGGGAAGGTAAGGTGGTAATCGCTCGGTTGATTCCCTTGCCTTTGTCTCCTCTCTCCCCTATATAATTTCGAAGCATTCTAACTCATCCCCTCAAATTTGCAGCATCAAACCCAAACCCACCCTTCATTCCCACCCGTTCCCTCAAACTACCTCCGCTCACACCCACCTCACCAATTCTTCCACCATATTCCAATTTCCTTCTGCATCCTAACAAACAATTCCTCCATCCTCAAAACCCCGCCAGCCTCTTCCCCTCCTCATCCTATTCACCTCTACCCTTTCCCTTATTAATTTTCTTCCACCCATTCCCTCGAACCTTTCCATACTTCATTCCATCCAACCACCATTCCACATTTCCGCCCTCCATTCCAGTTCCCGAGACCCACCTTCCTTCACCACCCACTTCTCCTCCCACCTCCCCACCTTCCTCACCACCTCCACACTATCCCCCACCCCCCTCATCTCTCATCCGCTCATCCAATCCCTCTATCGGTCTCAACTCATGTTCCGCACACCCTAATATCTTAACTCGTGCATATGTACACTTGACACACATTCTTGTCGCGTCGTGTCCTACGTCTGAGTCTCCCCATCCGTTTTCGAGTTCTTCGTACCCGGCTCCCGTGATGCGGGGCCAGGGGACGACGGTTACGAGACGGGGACCGTAGCCGAAGAGCCCGAAGAAGGGGGTGGTGTGGAAGTCGCAGGGGTGGAGGGACATGGGGTCGCGTTTGTAGTTGAAGATTAGGGGGTGGGAGAAGGAGGTTTTGATGGTTATGGTGCGGATGCCTTTGTGCTGGAGGGTGAACGACGAAGGAATGGTAATGGTCTGTTGAGCTGGGTTGTTGGGGATATATGATTTAGTGTTGGTTTGGGGCTTTTGACTATTTGCATGATTGATAGGGTTGGAGCTTAGGAAGTGAATTTCTGGTGAACAAGAAGATTGTGCTCGTGAGAAAGCTTTTTGTTGGGCTTTGGTACGACGTGTATGAGGGTCGGTGGTACGCCATACTCGATCGTTGAGTTTGGTTGATTCGAGAATGATGGTTTGGGTAAGGTCTTGAGGAGTTCTGGACACTGGTGCCATATCTTTTTCTGTTCCTTTGCCTTTTTCTTTGCCTTTTTCTTTTTTTGGAGTTCCTGGGATGCTAGGTAGCATTGTGAAAGTACAAGCCACATTTGCCTTGACGCAGCGATTACATGGTCCTTCATCATCACGCTTGAGCGAACATCTGCCTCTGAATTCGACTCTGCATCGATTGCAAGAGACATATTTTCGAGGCAAAGCTTGCGGTTTCGCCACACTAGTAGCTGTAGCTATTTCTCTTCCTTTTTTGATACCCTCTGCTTTAGTACTTTTGCTCCCTTTTCTCTTAGTGCCAGCATTCGCAAGCACGTCCGATATTCTCATTGAAGGGGCAGAGTCAGCTCTAGGACCAGCAATACATTTGACGTTCGCCTCCTCACATGCTTTGCAAGATTTAACACCTTTCCCACCATCATCCGCATAGGAACACTTCTTTCGCAACATCTCTTTGCATCGAATGCATGAAAGTTTTAATTCAGGTGGGATAATGAGCTCGCAATCAATGCCTGCATCTTCACAACCCTCACAAGGCCATTCATGACTATATTCAATGAGTGAACATTCATCATCTCCAGCGTCGAAACAAGCTTTACAGCCACGACGTTGAGGATTTCCGTCGTGTAGTTCTTCAAGAGTTAGACCGTCGGATCTAGAACAGTTAGCTGTTTTTGTTAAAATCATCATGTGAGTGTATCGCTACGTACCTTCGGTTATGTGAAGTTTTGGCTTTTTTCCTCCGCGTAGAATGAATGGAATAATCAATCTCATCATCCTCATTCTCATTCTCATTCCCATCCCCCGAATCAACATAATCCGCTTCATAAATCGGTGGAAAATTCCTCTCATCACCTTCCGGGCCCGGCGTAATTTCTTTCAGGTATTTCAAACCTTTTTCACTAGTCAATTTAATCGTAATCACCCACTCGAAAGAAGCTAGCTCCTTAGTTTTTCTCCCATTTCTTGTACCTACAGCTATCTTCGCTGTTTCCTCTTCTCCAACATTCTCCTTGTTTTTCTTGGCTCTAGTGTTTCTAACGTTCCTCTTGCGTTCTAAACTGGGATCATAAGTCCCACTATCATCTTTATCTGCACCTACGGCTCCAATTCGTTGCGCTTGTCCTTTGATAGCAGCACTACGTTTGGCACTGTTGAACATGACGCCGAATCCAGCAAAAGTTCTTGGCATGTTACATTTGAAGATTGGAAGGGAGCTATGGTCCGAGGAAAGAGATAGAGTTTCTGGTGCTGGAGCTGCGGGAGCATCGAAGTCGGGAGCCTCGGGGGACGAACTAATTGAGCGTGAACTGACATCACTGGTAATTTCCAAATCAGGGTTATCATAGGGTTCGATGTCTGGGTTGATGTCTGGGTCTGAGCCTGGTTCGGAGTCTGGTTCGGAGCCATGAGCAAACGGATCAACTTCCTGGATTCTGGTGACGGACTGAATGGTGTCTGTAGTTGTGATGGTACGGTTTGGTGCATTAGGAGAATTATAGACTTGTGCTGGGGTTTGGCTGGTTGAATTGCTGTTTGAAACATCTCCGAAGATGCTAGTCTGGGCAGTGACCGGGCTAGTCAGATTGCTATTTTGACCACCTGAGAAAATGTTAGTTTGAGCAGATACTGGGCTATTATTAATGCTTCTTGGGGTATCGGAGAAGATGCCCCTATAAGCAAGATCCGGGCTGTTAATGGTCCTTTCGGCATCATTAGAGAGTATGCTTGCTTGAGCGAAGTTTGCGCTATTGAACATATTGGGAATGCCGAAGATACTTCCATTGTGATTACTTTCATTGTTGTCGGTCGTGATATCCGGATTGTCATCATGTGGTCTAGGTTCTAAATAGGTATCCATATCTGTAACCTTTGAACCCTAGATGGATTCAAAATCATTAGTCACTGACTCTAGACGGCGATGATGAGTGAGCGCAATGATGACAATGAGTGTTACTAAGACTCCTTGAGGACAATGGTAGCCCAGAACTGAAGTTATGTGCTAAAGGTAAAACACAACAAGGTTGCTATTGTTGGCGTCAGTTGCCGGCCGTATAGTATGAATCATCACCGATATACCATGCACTAGATGCTATGCTATATAAGGTAGGCGCGACCAATGTGTAATGAAGGACCCTCGATAACATAAATGAAGAAAATAAAGAGAGCATTTTCATCTTCGTCCTTAATGATACCGTGATGAGATTTTTACATTCGGTTGATGAAGAAAAATTGGTGAGTGCTGATGAAGCGAACTTTGCCCCCCTAAAATCCAGAACCACTCATATGATGAACCGAAAAGGTGAAAAGCTACCACAACAAAAAGGTCAACTTACCTTGGAAATCTCCCCCGAAAATTTGCTGAGATATATATCAGATACTGAGGATCAATTCGCTGTTAACAATAAGTGATTTGGAGTTGTGGTGGTAGAGTTGTGTAACCTCCGTTGAATATTGCAAATTGTTGTAAGGCGGGAAAGTGGGCTGAGGTGGCCGAAGATCCTACCATACCGCTTGGCATGGCCCGTGTAACCTCTTGTCTATTGATACCTATATAGGGTACATGTATGTATCTTACAAAAAAGACTTGAGTAAGCTCTTAGACCTTGGGCAAAGAAATCTGAAATACGTCCAGAAGTATGAAGGTCAATCCATAGATAGTTTTTGGTGATAATATTAATGTATCCATCAAATTCCATGATCAAAGAAAGTTATGTACAGATACTATCAGGTCCTAAGTCATTATATCTCTTCCAAATAGTCCGTAAGCGCTCGCGATACACTGTTGTATCAGCCAATGACAAAAGTCAATGCTATGTGCTTGTTGAAGAGAATCGTTAAACCAGACCGCAGGATAGAAGAAAAGCCTAGCTGAAATCCCATTAGCATGTTATTTTCCTCCCCTTAGCAAGTGTTCTAAAGAGCACGAAATAGCCTACCAATAATAGGCCAGTAAATGTATAAGTCTCCCCACAGAGTCTTCACAAGATGCTCGGGAGGTTGTTTGTTCCAGAGAATGTGTGGTGCATACAGTTATGAACGCGGTGGGCATGGAATGCAACATGCTGGAATTAAATGCTGCGAAGGTTAGTAGATACCCAAAGATTCTCCACCTATGCTTACCCGCTGACTTACATTCTTGAACTAATATCTGAATGTAAAACTGGGCAAGTTCCGTCCCCTTTCTGAACTCCAATAGAGAAGCGAATAAATCCACAGACGCTGCTATCAAATCTCGATGGCTCTTAAGAGAAATGCGGCATGTAGCGAGCCCATTACTTACTGCAACTCAATGGCATGAAAGGAACCATTAGTCCCCTTGAAGGAATGATTCCCTGCCAACTTTCTAATGGTGTATACCAGCGAAGAACTTCCAAAACCATTCCCGTAGTTTCGGGATGGACATAGAAAAGGAGAAAGTTGATGTGGAGAAAATGGATTATCATGAAGAGCACATGATGAATTTCACGAAAAATGGCCTAAGACTCCACAACAGGGGGCGATTTATCTTGGAAGGTCTCTCGGCCAGAAAACATATGACTTTGATCACCGTTGGCATGAAACCATCAAGCATGCCCAATACTTGCAAAACACAGGAGAGCAGTATAAGACGCAAACGTCGGATGGGTTCGTGTACAGAACCTTCTGGCGTCTTTTCCAAAATTTCGCGAAGGATGTATCTTGCATACTCTACACAGAGAGTTATACACCATCCAAATAGACGACCAGTACCCCAGAAAAAATTATCTAGGTTTTGACGGTCCATTGTATTGTAGTTGTGCTGCGGTAGATAGAAGATCGGTTATTGCGATTGAAGTAATAACGTGTGAGATACCCAGAGGTTGTATGGTGTTCTGCTCGTGGTGTAATAATGTAGCTTGAGAAAGGAGACCGATTCTCTGCTCCATATTGTCTACTTACATTGAATGTTTTTCGCCATGAAGGGAAGGTTAAAAGATGACCTAGCTGGATTGAGCCATTTTATATCTTAAAGCTCAAAAGGCGCCTTCCTCTGGGACAATTTGTGTATTTGAAATATTAAAACCATGACACTTTATAGATTTGGAAGTTTGGTATCTTGAAAACTTGAAAATGATGTACTTGAGACTTGATAAATTCGCACAATAAAAGTTTGAGAGGTAAAGTAACCTTAGTAGCCACCACGTCAAGTGCAATGTAAATTTATGTCATGAATTCGTGGTGGCATCCTTCAATTCGTCTTGTGAAAAGTTTGGAAAAGGGAGCAATGTGCAATATACCGGAAGGCCAAGACAACCTTTCAACAGGATACAAATTGCAATTACCAGTTGATAGTTTTGAACATCTGCACTGAAATGTCGAATGTAAGACTTGAGGTTATATATATTTTATAAGAGAGATAATTAATCGAATCCATCTACTCGGTAGAATGTCATCGGCTCAAATTCGGATCTGTAAGACGCTAGTGTGCTTACTAAGCAGGCTCGCCAAATTAGTTTTTTTTCTGCACATATTTTGTATCTTTTGTTGATGGCCCCTCCAAAATAATCATCAATAAGTAGTACAATCTCGTACAATTCATTTGTTGTATTAGTTATGGTAGTGTTTTCTTGATGAATATTTCTACCCTCTCCCACATGGCGGGATGAGGCTTCTCTTAATTCGACACGGCGAGACCGTCGATAATGTTGCCAATGTATAGTAAGGCTGTCCGTCTGCAACACTTTCAATCTTCTTTTTAGCTGACTTCTTTAAGTGCTGGCATCACAGACTCTGCACTAACTAACCATGGTGTACTGCAAGCCAATCGACTTGGTACTCATCTTGCAGCTTCAAAAATCTCCAAAATATTCTCTTCCGACCTTCAACGTGCTGTCAAGACCGCAGAAGCCATTCGTGCTGCTCAGGACAATGGTACTTCTCTCGAGGTGACAAAGCTTGAGCTTCTTCGAGAACAGGACTTTGGGCACTACGAAAAGAAACCATTTCATGAACGTTCGAAAGATTCAAACAAGACTGGCAAAGAAATACATTCCGAGGCACATCGAAGTGATCCTGGATTCAAAGATGTAGAGTCGAAGGAATCGATGAAGAGGCGGATGGAGACATTCGTCAAAGAGCATTTGATGCACCTCCTCGAAATCAATGACAACAATCTTAATGGTGATACCATCATCGTCGTGGCTCATGGTACTATTCTAGGTCATCTATGGCGAGTTATTTTAAGGCAATTCAATCCAAAGAATGTCTCCATTGGTCCAGATGTTCCAAATCCTGAACGGGGACTGGAATATATTGGTGGTTGGTCCAATACTGGTTACCTAGAGCTGGTTATCAAGTCTATCCCAAATGTGTCGCCTGCCAAAGTTGGTTTGGTCCCTCCGGTATCGGATGAACAATCAAATGATCAAACCTCAGTGAAACTATCAAACCATAATGTTGACAATGTTGAGGTCATCATGTCACTAATGGTGAATTCTGTTAACAATCAGGATCATCTCAAAGGGCTCAAGAAAACCCGAGGTGGTTTGGGAAGTTTGAAACATGATCCTTCTCAAAGGACTATGGATTTATTCTTCAAGAAGAGGAGGCTTGGATGATACAACTTTGGTAAGCACATATATTTTTTTTATCAGTGGGGCGAAGAGTAATATGATGATATACCTTATTCACAGACCTGTTCTGTAATCTTCTATGTGGACAAAAAAAGTACCAACTGCTGTCTGATTACTCTTGTTCTATAATATTGTTTTGGAGATAATAATAAAGCATTTTACTAACAAATTTAATAGATTTTATACTCCAACTGGCCATTTGCCTTCTACACCGTATGTTCATTTCGTTTTATCTTGAGGTCTGCGTGCTCCGGTAGCTACATAGCTTAGTTTCTCATCAAAATTACACATTTGCCAACCATGAATCATCTTTTGCTGCTACAATTTTATGAAAACTTGAGAACTTTCGCATCGTGAGGGCCCTATTGTACACATAATATTTGTTTCTTTCTTTAAATATCCTGCCAAATTAACGTACTGTGTCTTTATCCCAATTTTCTCGCCTATCGCTCCATCACCCCCTGTCCAAGCAGCAAAATAGGCAAAATAAGCGTCTTACACCACCAACAGCAGTCGTACGATATTTAAGCGAGAATAGTACGATATCGTACGATTAGATTCCTTTTCAACTCTGGTCAGCGAATGGAGGGAAGTGTGCAAGTGGAATTTAGGGACGAAGAAAATATTTGTTGCATGTCTGGAAGAGGTGGAAGAGGTGGAAGGTGTGAGTTAGGGAGATTTGTTGCATATCTGGATTTTGGGGCCGAGTTTGGTGGTTTTGTGGTTAAGGGGTAAAAGGTGTGAGGGAATTTCGTTGCATTATCTGCATCTGGGCCCGAGTGTGTTGTTTTGTGGTTAAAGGGAAGAGATTGGGATAGGAAAGGGGAAAGGTGAGGAGATGAAAGATATCTTAAGGGAAGATTTGTTGCATCTCTGGATTTGGGACCGAGTGTGTTTGCTGTTTTGTGGTTAAAGAGAAGGGGAGGGAAGGTTGTGTGTCATGGCTGATAAGAGAACTAGATGGGTAGGGTGAAGGTTGATTGTGATGCGTGATGCGTGATGATGATTCTTGTTGGTGTTACAATACCTAGTGATAAAAGTCGAAAGATAGAATTCCATAGCACAGAAGAGATAGGTAAATAAAATGTACATATTACCTTTTGTTTCGATACATGTTTTCATCATGAAAATGCTGCATGCGGTATATAGTGTGCCTGCATATGGCAAATCTGAGGAAGACTCCTCTCTTCATTACACATCTTTACTGCATAGCCCTTAAAAAATACATCAAGAATATCATCATCTCACTCTCTCAATCAAATAGTCAAAACATATAAAATTCATATGTATCTAGTAAAATTAATGCATTATCTCTTGGCCCTATATTTATATCTTCCCCACGGCATTAGGTAGGTATCCATTAAGTAGACTTTTTCCCATCCCTTCTTTCCTTCCATCCATCCATCCATTACCACCCCAAGAAATTTCCCACAAACAAAACTTAAAACTTCCATTGCAACATTAGTATCAAATTCAAATCAATATAGATATAAACGCAAAGCCATATAAATCCAACAAAATCCAAATCCAAGCAAAGTCTCAAAAATTAATTCCGGAACATTAAACGACCAACTCAAATCAACGAAATCAAAAAAACATCAAAAATTAAAGCAACAACAAACCCCCAACAGCAAACCCAACAAGTCCAACAATAGCTCCTCCTTCAAGCGCCTTAACTCTCTCTGCAGCACCAGTAGACTGACCAAGAACAGCTCCAGCACTAGTTTCCGCCGGTGCACCACCAGGAACAAAGGTCGTGATTGTTTGACCTGCACTAACAAACGTGGTAATTGCACCTGCAGGAATAGTAGTCGTAAGCGTGACGCCGGAAATGACGATCGTGCTAACGATACTTGCTGGGGCCTGTGTCGCAGGAACAATAGTTTCTTGTCCCGAGATGGTGGTTTGGATTCCTTGAACTGTTAGGACGGCGTTGTTGGTGGTGATTGTGAGAGGTACGATGGGGGCGATGGGTACGATTGGGATGGAGGTTATGGTTGTGATGGGTGGGTTGACGGTAGTGATGGTTGTGAGGACTGGGAGGATCGTGATTGAGGGGAAGAGGGTGTTGGGGGGTGGGACGACATTTCCAGCTGCGGTGGCGGTGCCGGCTTCGGTTATAGGGATGATGGGAATGACAGGAATGACAGGGATGACGGATCCTTGCGCGTTGGTTGTAACGGCTGGTGGAGGAACAATTGCAGTGGTGGGGATAAGAGGAGGAGGAATAACTTGAGTCGTTGGAATGAGAGGTGGTGGCACAACCTGAGTAGTAGGGATAAGAGGAGGTGGTACAACTTGAGTTGTAGTCTCAGGAGGAGGAAGAACCTGAGTTGTAGGTGTTACTACACCTCCTCCACCAGTTCTAGTTCCAGTACCAGTTTCAGTACCAGTAGTTATGCGAGTGGTAACAGTTTCAGGAGGAGCAGTTGTTTCTCGGCTTGTTGTAAGACCAGATTGAGTACGAGTTCCTGTGCCAGTTTCTGAAGTAGTAGGGACCGTAGTGGTAATCGTAGTGCTTTCACGGCTTGTTGTGAGGCCGGATTGTGTGCGAGTTCCCGTGCCACTGGAGGTGGAAACAGTAGAAGATGTTTCACTTGTTGTAGCGCGCGAAGTCGTACTTGTACTGATGCTAGAGGGTGTGGTTCTACTCTCGCTGGTAGTTGAACTTCTGCTGGTTGTAAGGCCCGATTGGGTACGGGTACCTGTGCTACTTTCACTTGAAGTTCTGCTGGTTGTGACACCCGATTGAGTGCGAGTAGCTGAGCTACTTGGAGTTGAACTTCTTTGAGTAGTTGGCTGAACAGTACTAGTTGGACGAACCGTGATTGTAGAAGTGATAACGACAGTACTTTTGACGGTTGTTCGTGGAGGTGTCCGGGAACTTGACTTGACTGGAGTTGATTTTGGTGGAGGCTTATTGTTATTTTCATTATCGTTGATATTGGTATTCTCATTGACATTTGTGTTTTCATTCACATTTGTATTGCTGTTGCTGTTGTTGTTCTCATTGCTATTTCCATTCTCATTGGCATTGCCATTGGAATTTCCATTGTCGTTGCCATTGCCATTTCCATTTTCATTGATACTAGCAAGCGCATTATCAACTTCATCTTGAATTTGACCCTGCGGAGCTGCAAGCGAGAGAGTAGCGAGACCCGCTATGATAGCATAGTAGAAACGCATCTTGGCTGTAGAGTTCTAAACGCTTGATTGTATGAAAGTTCGAACGAGAGAAGTATCGAATTCTAAAGTTTAGAACGAAAGTGTTTGAGAAGAAAAGGTTCACGAGATCAAAACTTCGCCCAGGCATGATTGACATGGTTATATACAATTATCACGTACAAGAATTTCTTTATCCTATTATTACCGCAAGCGGAGCGTCAGAAGGCGAATTGAAATATCTATAGAGATTTGTTTCGTTTGCCATCTATGACATCCATGGTTGCGGAAGTGAACTCGATTTAGGAATGGCTTGAAGAAGACTTCTTCATGAAAACGTAGAAGATAATGGGAAATAAGAAGTAGGAACAAAGCAACCAATGAATCTAGCTTCTCTGAATCGGTTACGGAAACAGCTATGGAAATAGGAGTAAGAAGATATTTATGGAAACGCGCCGAGCTTACATACCTGCTCGAGCTCGACAGCAGGGTTCCTCAATAATTGTGCTTTGTTCCCCTGAATATCTGCTTTCAGAATGCGGTACCTAGAATTATTAGAGTCTTTTCTGTGTACTTGCGTCACCGCTTCTTGATTTTACTTACATCATGATTTTGATTTCGATGTCTGATGATGGGATTGCTGTTCGCAGACAAAAACAAATCTCGGACGAGTGAAGACGGAGATGTTTCAGGTCTCGTTTAAGCTGGCCGCATTCCTCAGTATGCCGAGATAGAATATTGCTGCATGCGACTCTCGGATTTGCTTAGGTTTTGCTCTGTGTGTTTTTCCATGTGTAGTCGTGCTAAGTCTGGATTCTTATGTTTGTGTTCCTATGAGTTATGATCAAAAACTAGAGCGACTTTGAGCATTTCACCCCACATCCTCGTGAAACACTTGCGGAATTTCTCTGATACAATTTCTCTAGCCATTCTACTACTGGTATCATGATACTACATAGATATCCAACCAGTAAAAATTTCTTCTATCTACCAAACAAAAATACAAGCAATAACACGGCAAAAGAATAATCGGTGTGATCCTTCCAGGGGCATAATCTGTAGCAGCCTGTAGCTAACACTCCAATCCTAAAAGACAATAATGGAAGAGCAGAGACTACTTCAGTAGCGCCAGATTATTTATTCTCTCATCTCGATATAAGATTTTACAAATTTGTGATTGACGATTGATGAAGTTAATAATATGGAGGGCAATTGGTGCGAGAAAGCATTTACCAATCCAGCAACTAATCAGCCAGCCAGCCAGTTGACCGTGAACGATATCAGTACAACACACACTCGTGTATATAGTAGAAAGTCCAGATCTCACGAAATACACTATTTTTTGCATAATATCTACATATATCCTGGTCTCATCCGTTTCGCCGTTCTCGGCGCTTCATCCACGTATCTGGAATGTGGCGTTTTCTAGCATGCACATTATGTTCAAACCATGAGTGCATAAACGCAATATCTTCAATTTCATAACAATCATCTATTTCATAGCTCTTATCTTCTCTTCTTCGTCATCTATCATTCATCATCATGACTTCGGATCCATAAGAACATCGTTTTCGAGTTCATTGACCCACATTCCGCTCTTTTTTCATCCACATTCCATACAGAATCTAATTTTAGCTATATCCTCAAACCTCGACGTTTTCGAACAAGAAGGTTGGAACACCAGGAACAGCCTGGTCAGCCATACTTGGCAAAGGTCCGTATTCCATCTCCGCACCACCCTCAACTGAGACAACAACACCCTTCTTTCCACCCTCATCACCATCCACAATAACTAACTCTATCACCGATAATCCAGCCGCCTTCTTAAGACCGGGTACCATATTCTTGAGTGTTTTCTGCTCATCAAAAGCCAATTTCCTCTCAAACACTTGATTTGCAGCTTCACCATTCTGTAATCTTCTCTTCAAAGCTTGTACAAAAGGCATAGCTTTCTTCATTTCTCCCATCTTAGCAATCTTGCTATTTAATTCCTTGTCATCAGCACTCTTGGTCTCTGGGTCCCAGGATTCGCGAACAAGGTCGATATACTTTTCTTGCCAAGCAGGGAATTTGGCAGCAGAGAAAATGGTAAGCTTCTTGGGTTTCTTGAGATCATATCCAATATCTTTTCCTTTGGCTTTCTTCTTTTGTTGAGCAGCTTCAGCGGATGTGATATTCGAGGATGTAGAGCGGACGTAATCTCGAGCAGCGCTGAGAGCTAGATTTGGAGCTGCAACGGTAGGATAAAGGGCGTTCTGAATGGTAGTGGGTTTATGAAGGATCTCGAGCCATATGTATTCGGACCAATGAGGCGCAATGACAGTGAGAAGAAGAGCTTGGAGCTCAATATATCGAAGAATAAGATCCTTGTGCATCTTGATTCCGGCGGCAATACTGGCTTCACGATAGAAGTCACGCGCACCTGTGAAGTCATAAAGAGCCAATTTGAGGGCGAGCTTGTAGTCTGTCGCTTCGTAATGTTGACGACATTCCTGAACAATAGCATTCATTTCGTTCTCGAAGAGTGCGTCAAGGAAATCGTTCTTTTCTCCTGTACGAAGGTTATCTTGTTCCTTGACCATATCCTCACACCATTCGCGGAGAGTGTAAAGACGGAGAACGTTGTTATCGGCAACATCTTCTTCAAAATTGGCATCCGCAACCCCATCTCCTGCATCAGCCAATGCAATTCGACTAGCATCTGCACCGTATTTATTGATCATGTCGCTCAAGGTCATGAAATTTCCAGTGGATTTACTCATCTTCTCTCCGTTCAAGAGCAAGTGACCATTGGCACGAACGCCCTTTGGCCAGTACTCTGGTGGGAAAATGGCGATATGGATATAAAGGAAGAAAGTAAGATGGTTAGGGATAAGATCCTTTCCTGATACTCTGAGGTCAAGTGGATACCAGTATTCGAATTCTCTTCTCATTGACTCGAGGGTCTCCTTTGGAATTTTGCTTTCACTCAAGATATCATCACTGATATTTCGGCGAGCGAAGACATAATCCCAAATCTCGTCGGTCATTTGCTCTGGCTTGATTCCAGCAAGACCTTGAGTCTTACCGAAAATATCGTTATGAAGATAGTGAGCAATGGTATAGTATGCCATGTAAATGGTACTATCACTCAAACTTTCAACCAAAAATTGAGGATCCCAGGGAAGTTTTGACCCAAGACCATAAGTTCTGGCACATGCCCATTGATTGAGCCAGTTGAGGACACCTTCAAAGCCATTTTTGGTTTCTTGCGAGTAAGTGTTCAAACCAGAGTCAAGATGGCCAAGAGCTTCCTTTTTCCAGGACTCTTCTCCATAATCAAGGTACCATTGATCCATTAATGCGACACAACAATCATCCCCAGATCGACTAGTAACTTTTCGCTCGGGTTCCGAGTATGCAAAGCCTTGACCAGCGTCAATGATTTGCTTTCTGACCTTAGGCTTGGCAACTTCGACCTTCTCTCCCTTGAACTCTCCAAATGTCATGGTACCTTGGTAGTACCCCTCCTTATATGAAAGCTCTTTCGCCTCTTCCAATTTCGTCTTGTCCTTTGGTGAGGCAATCTTGAGCTTCTTCACCAAGAACGGAGCGCACATATCTCCATACGAAGGTGTATTGATGATAGAGATTATCTCTAATTCGGCCCATTCCTTCTTGATGCCATAATAATCCGCCTTCTTCGCGAGATCCATGATCGTCGCATAATCATCTGGACTGTCAGATGGTACGCAGGTAACAACACCAGTACCTTTGGTAGGAAGAACTGACTCCATAGGAAGGATTCTAACACCATCTTTATGTACAGAAAGAGGAGCTTGAACTAAAGTTCCGACACATGCTGAACCAATAATCTCTGCTACCTTGTCAACTTTGCCATTTTCAGGGAAAATATCTTGGTATGACATGTTCCTTGCCGCACGATCGGTAATAACAAAGTATTCCTTTTCTGAAACTTTGAAAACACCATAGGTAATCTTAGGTCCAACAAAACAACAGTTCTGGCCATACATGGTCTCTGGTCGAAGTGTAGCGGGTACGAAAAAAGTATCTGCATCCGCTGGGACCTTATCCTTGATTGCAGCTGCGGCCTCCGATGACCATTCCATAACCTTCAACTTCATCGCTACATAGTCTTGTGGGCCAACTCCCTCCCCGTCACTTCGATCGTGATCCATACATGGTTGTCCGTCCTTTGGCGAGTAAATTGTGTATCGCTTCCCGAACTTAATCTTCTTGAGCTCCCTGAGACGATTCATCTGCCATCGAACGAAAGCATCGTAATATGGGTTGGCATCAGTTGTAACAAACGATCTTCTCCAGTCAACACGTGCTCCGAAATTCGTAAGATCTCGTTTGCAAAGGGGAGAAAAGTAGGCACCCCAATATTGAGGGTCTGCGAACTGATGAATGTCTTCCATCGGAATACCTAATGCTCTCATAATCTGGAATTGATACTTCATCTTGACAACCTTCGCGGCAGCCTTTCCTTTCTTTGCCGTGAACTTAGTGACATCTTCGTGATGTATGCTTGGCGTAGGGGTATTTGTCTTCTCCTCCAAAACCTCTCCCTCCTTGTAATTCTCGAAGTTCTTTCCAAAAAGCTTAATTTCATTCACGAGCTTGTCCGCGCATGCTTTGATAGGTAAACCCGTCAAATGAAAACCCATAGGGAATAGAGCTCTCTTTCCTTGCATACGTGCAAAACCTGCTGTGAATTCGACCTTACTGACGGTGAAACTGTGACCAGCATGAAGAGTACCGTTCATGTATGGATATGCCATGGTACCGAAGAATTTAGGGTGCTGTTCGCGCAATTCTGCGGCGGAGACAGAGTGGAGGGGTATCTCGGACGTGGAAGGGGCATCTGGCTGAAATACACCATCTTTTTCCCATTGTGCTTGGTATTTCCTCTCGATCGCAATAAGTTTGTCTCTTTTCTCAGTCTAAAAGACATTATGGTTAGCAAGTGTTTGGATTATGCTAATGGAGGGGTACTTGCGCCTTTCAACTCTTTAGTTTTGGAGATTGTGGCATTCTCCAAAGCCTTTGCAGTGGCTTCAACTGCCGCCATACTTGCGATATTGAACAGACAGAACTTTCAATATCCTCTCGGTAGAGTTTCTACTGTTGTTTCAATGTTTCATTGAGTCACCCGAAATCGCACAGAAATTCGAGTCGACTTGAGAAATTGCGGGTAGTGGGGTCATGCATTATTGCCTGAGGCTAAGACAGGATTGTTTCTCCAGCTTCAAGCTTCAACCCCAATCATTGATAGCAATGCTCATCAATAGGAATGTTCCGCACAATTGTTAGACGTGCTGCTCAGCAGACGCGTCTGGAGCTACCGTATGATCCAAACTCAAATCCTTATAAGGCAAAACGTTTATGGCCACCCGACTTCTCCAAGTTATCGCAAAAGCATCAATTCCGGCTCGAACGAAGATACAAAAGAAGAGCGAAGTTGAAGTGGGCGAGACCCAGGTGGACGAAGGCCGTCAAAATTGCACAACTGAGCTCTGTTCTATGTGAGTAGACCGGGAGTATGCATCGGATCACGGAATACTGATGTTTGGGCAATAGTTGTGATAGTGTACGGAGTACTATTCGCAGATTGGAACAAGGACAATCTGGTTCACGAAAGGGCACCATTCCAGGGAGTACGAATATCTCCACCTTCACCAACAAACTAAGATGTTGACATTATATAGGTTCGAGAATGGTTTTTTGGACTTACGGGATCAATGTGGACAAAAGATCAGGTTCGCAAACGTGTAGATCAATCCGAAGACGCATTTCCCGTAGCAAAAGCGAGTAATTGAAGCACAGGTCATGTTAGCTCGCCAAAAGCCATGATATTGTATAATTTGTAGTAAATCCTTCTCGGCGTGGAGGCGTTAAATACCACTCTAGGCTGGAAGTGTAAATCATGCATGAATCACAATCTTTCCTCAAGCTATCCTCCTCTTTTGTCGTTGTCCCTTCATGAATACCATTGCTTGTAGCTATTCTTTTGTAATTTGAGTCGTCGTAAGACACAGCCATTCATGATGGTGCGTATCTAATCAGGAAGACCTGTGTGCCGACAGCATTTTGGACTCTTTTGGGCTCTTTTGGGCTCATTTGTGCTCACATCTAGTTGCGTAAGACTCAACCATATAAAACAACTTTAGTATTGGGAGCATTGAGCTGCTCTCTCAGCTGCCTTCCATTGCGTTCCTCAGTGCCAGCCTCGGATCACAAATTTCTGCAACATCATAACCCTGCTAACGATTTGATTATTGCAGTCTCTGTGAAGCATTTGTAGTTAAAATCGTCGCCGACTTTCACCGAGTAGCCCAAGCAAAATTCCCACCCATTCCCATCCCTCCTAATGCCCCTCCCCTCCCTTCATTCAACGGCCTCTTTGCCACCTTCCCCTGCGCCCTCACCCCTTCCACTACTCTCTCTAGCTGTGTTTCAATAACAACACCCCCTACGATCATCTCACTCAAAGTTGCATGCAGTGTCTCGAAGTTGAAGATCAGATCTAGCTCGCATACATTTTCAAATAATCGATCAAGCGCCTCCACATATACTTGAATCAAATCTATAAGAGCAAGTGGTGACTCAGTAGAAGTTGAGATGATGATGAAGTAGAGTGTCGCATAATGGCGGTACGTTACGAGGGAAGGAATATCATTGTGAGGAGACGAATCTGTTTTGGATGTGGAAGAGGAGGCGAGAAGAGGTGGAAGCGGAAGAAAATTACATGAGCCAGTAGGGCGATTAGAGACTAGTGTAAATATTTCTGAAATGAGTCGTTGTTGAACTGATGTTTCCTGGTCGGGCTGTTAGCATAGGGATTCTCTGAAGGATGATGGGGAGGTCGGTATTCACTAATTGTGTGTAAAATTTTGTGAGGCGTGGTTGCCCAGCATTATTGAAGACAAGAACCGCGTTAATCATTTTTTTCTTCAAGCATGTAGATTTTGAATAGAACGTAGTATTTCAGTAATGGTTTATAGAAGGCTGGCACCAGAAGGCTGAAGGCTGAACTAAAATGCAGGTGAATTGATCACGGTACGGGACTTCCTAGTCCCGATGATAAAGCGGGAAAACGTGGGGTAACCTTAGCTAAAAGCTTAATTCCTATTGAGCTTTATGCGACTAACCTGTTTATTAACTCCTAGAATTGTAACAATCAAATAGTCGACCCATTTCACCATTGAACCAATTCTCCTATTCTGTGCTACATACCCTTCAGTAAAGTCGCAACAATGGCTCGCACATTCCTGACAAAGATTCTCCGCAGTGTGCCCCGCCAATATGGTACCCCTCGAAACTTCCTAGCGCGTGGCCGAGCATTTCCAACCATTCGATCAAGCGTTATTTATCAACCCTTCCGCTCAATCGCAACGTCAAATAGAGTAGGCAAAGGACTTTCTCCAGAATCTGAGAATCCTCAGCCTAAGATATTGGATAGCAAGGAAGAGCCAAAGCAAGCCGCCGACCTCACTCAAGAACAATATAACGAATTCTCGAATGAATACATGGATACGATTGTTGAAAAGTTAGAGGCATTACAAGAAGAGAGAGAAGACATTGATGTCGAGTACAGCGTGCGTTCTTTCCCATTGCTCATGCAATTTTCCCATGAGATACTTCCCAAAATTGACAGAGATACTTGCATAGGCTGGAGTTCTTACTCTCTCATTCCCACCCATCGGCACGTATGTCATCAACAAGCAACCGCCCAACAAGCAAATTTGGCTTTCTTCTCCAACCTCTGGTCCAAAGCGCTACGATTTTGTGATTACAAGCGAGGGTCAAGATTCAAAAGAAGGCACAGGATCAGGGGAGTGGATATACTTGAGAGATGGCTCTTCTTTGAGCGAATTGTTGTTGAATGAAGTGGGTGTCGACTTATCAAATTCATATACCGCTGAGATGCAAGGAGAAGAGTGATAGGTTGAAATATCCAAGTAAGATGCACAGATGGATTGGGCGAGCTCTTCTTGCAGCTTGCGGTTCTCTAAATCGGACATCATATGGCGTTTTATGGCAATGGTATTTCACGACATGAGATATTTCATATAGAAAATCATTGGAGATATTGTGGCAGCTTTGTATTTTGAGCTTCATCCAACGATAATGGACACAGTATGGCTCTCTAAATGTGTGCTCATCTTAGACACGACGGTAATTTTCCCTGTGATTTGATCCTATTTGCTCCCTGATCACCACGACCTTTGCTTGACCCAATTCGGTTTGTATTCCTGCGGTAATGTTCCTTCGCAGAATAACACCATATACTGGATTGTCCTCATCGGGCGCGAGTCGTGTTTGGAAAAGTATGCCCGCCATCACCGCTGCATATCCTTCTGTCATCCTCTTCCCCAGTAAACCCCCATCACTACTCGATGTAAAATATTATTTTCTCGACTTGAATCAAGTATCATGAAGCAGCCTCGGCTCATCACTCTACTCATGTCGCAACCGCCACTTGAGAACCACCTTGATCTCCTTCTGGCTTTGGTAAATCATCCTACGTCGCAAGTATTAGTTCCATAATTCAAGAATCTTCTTGTCTTTTCTGCATCAGGAGTCATGAACGATATGCCTTCGTACCAGCATCGAACCGCAGTCCTCCATCAGAAAGAATATAACTCACCACCTCAAAAATTACTTTAATCATCAAACTACAACTTGGACACACTCCGATATCTTCTCCATCTCTCAGATCCGCAATGCCAATTTCAAATCGATCGCCACATGGACATGGATAATGATAAATTTGTAGAACTGGGTCATAAGTCATGTCCTCGATTTCGATCTCGTCGTAGATATTTTCGGCCATAGTTTCTTTATTCAGTAATGTTCTGAAATACGAACTTGTTGTTGTTAAAAGTTTTGGGGGCCTTTTGCTGATATGTAAGACTTATTTTGTCTGAAGGGTCATAAGATTGTGGTGACAATGGGGATTACAAGAATTCACAAAGAAAATTGTTGCGGATGATGTGTTACTCCGCTCCGCTAGTGCATCGGACTTTAGATTCCAACATCAAACCTGGTCAGCCGAAATTGCTTAGACTTCCAACCGTTAGTTTTTGTTTTTAGAATGGAAAGCCCCCATCCTATTGATGCACAATGTCACAATGCTTACAATTTCTTCATTACAATGGGCATCCTTTTAATGGACATGCTTGGGCTTACTTGCCTTGCTACATCATACCTGTTGGCAGATCATCACGTCTATGCCTGATAAGGAGTTTGACGTCAAAACTTTACATTTGATGCATGTTTGGAGCCTGTCAGATCTATAAGTCGGACAAGCTTTTGGAAGTTTGATATAGTATCTTCAAATACTTGTTGATTTATAGAATATCGCAATTAGCATGGGTGTCTCATGGAACAGGTATATGGGAAAGTCCCTCGTGGTAGTTAAGCGCCCATTAGTTCCGTTTTTTAACTACAAGTTTCTTGCATTTCTTTCGATCATTTATTACTACAATCGAATTCAAAATTCATGCAAGTGCAAGCGCTACCTAGTGAAGGATTATAGCGTTTGCGGATGCATGAGATGTGGGTTCTCTAAAATGCACGAAACGGAGCTTGTTTTCTCATTCGCCAAATGAACGATCATGCACTCCCCTTGATACAGGTTCTCACCAATTTCTTACTACACTGCTTCTAACCCTGGAATGAGTAGAGTATTCTTTTATGCATTCCCTCCGTGTCTCTAGGATCCTAGAAGTTGGCCTGCTCCTGTCCAGTCCTGTCCACGCTCCACCCTTGCTGGCTTATTAGCCGCAAGTCTTAGCCATTTTTAGAAGGGAAAGTCTTCGCTGCATGGACAGAATTTAAATATTACATATCACTCCTCGCGTCTTTTGCAAGACTTATAGTTTTATCACAAGTGTTTGTTTTGACGTCTCTCCAATTAATAATGAGCGAAATGTCAGACCATGTTGGAAAAAGAGCTTCCAGGCCTAAGGTCAAGTCAGGTTGCGTAACGTGCAAGTATGGTTTGTTGACATCCCATTCAAGCATAATCTTATGTTGACTTGATACAACATAGATTTCGAAGATTAAAATGTGATGAAGGGAAACCAGCTTGTTTTCGATGTACTAAATCCGGGATTCGGTGTCGTGGTTACACCACCCAGGTGCCAACAGCAACGGAAACAAAAGATGCTGCTCGAAAAGGCTTGGTCCCTATACGCCCGGCACCACCAACTCTAGCAAATCGTGAGCCTTCTTACCTGAACCTTAGCGAGCAAGAATTGCTATATTTTCAAGATTTTGCATATGCAGCTTCCGCCGACCCATATGGGATGATTATGAATACAGCACGCCGTACAGCTAGGTCGATAGAGTCATTCTTTTGGACCGAAGCCGTTCTCCAGGAAAGCTTTACTACACCATGTGTTCGTCATGGAATCGTGGCGATTTCTGCTCTTGTGCGGAGCTTTCAGTTGGACACTGACAACTCACAACGAGCCCAGGATCATGAACAATTCGCATTGAAGCAGTACGGCAAAGCGGTGCGGTCGACGAGAGAATTTATTGGAATCCCCAAATTTACGGCGGAGCATTCAAGAGCACTATTTATTTCGTCTATGATACTGGCCCACTTTGATTGTTTTTACGGCAATCGAGATCTAGCAACTTCTCACATGCAATTCGCTCGATCATTGCTTACGAAAGAGACCTCAAAGCTTCTTGATGACCGATTTGTTCGTGTCCTAATGAGCCTCCATAGTGTCAATTATTCCACTATGGGTTTCGAGTCAGAATTCTCTTATCGCCAGGCCATAATTGGAAAAGAGCAGATCTACATCCCAGAATTTTACTCTAGCGTAGAAGAAGCAGTCAATACTCGAGAGATACTCGTCACAAGAGCCAACAACCTCTATTTAGAGATATTCAAATACAGATTTACGCCAAGAGCAAAAATCCCTCGTTCGGCAATCAGGCTGAGAGATTGTTATGTGGCGCAATTAAGACAGTGGGATGCTGCCCTTCGTCGATCTACATGGATGTCCGATGCCAAAACTGAAATCCGTGGACATCCAGTGCTAAGACCATATTCTTTGAGGATGCGAGTGTTAGTCAGTATTATCAAGCTTGCCACAAGTCTCAACGAACCGCAATCGATCACGGACGAGCTACTCGAGCCATTCCAGTACATTGTCTCTTACACACGGGATATAATAGAGTATGAAACATTTTTGTCCAAAGGTATTTGCTATCCATTCTAGCAATTTATTATACGCTAATCAGATGAACAGGCAAAGCGTCATTTAATTTTGATATCCGCACTACAATACCGTTATTTGAAGTTGCATTGTACTGTCGCAATTCACCATCACTGCGTAGCGAAGCACTAAAACTACTACTTTTCTGTCACCGACGAGAGGGTGCATGGGATAGTCGTGTGATTGCCAGGATTGCGATTTGGAAGATGGCACTCGAACAACCAGGAATGGATGAATCCGGAGCTATACTTGAGAATGTAAGATGTTATGGCGAGACTTTTGAAGTCGATCGATGGAATAAAGAAGTTCGAGTTACCTGCAGGCAGAATGACGAGAATGTGCGTGAAGGTTATCGAATCGTTACGGACACCCTTCAATATGGAGAAGTGGCGAATGAGCTCTTTCGCTCGAGTCTAGTCTAAATTACACCTGGAATTTCCCCATCATAATCTTTCATTACTCTCTTCCCAGGTGTAGATGTTGCATCCAGTACATATCTGTCACTAATGTTAATGTCAATAAGAACAATGATCATCTCTCGAGAACTTCAAAATTGCGTTGCCAATTTCGCTTTGCTTCTCATGAAGTGCATGTCGAGGAAACTGGCGCCTATCGCGGAAGGTGCGGATTTCACCACAGTTCATCGCTGCATTCATTCATCTCATCAGCCACCTGAAAGCTCTCAAGGGTCTAATTATTACTCTGAAGGGATTGGTATAAGTTCTCATTTCAGTGGGGGAGATAAAGCAATAATGTAACTTGCATGTCCATGATTATCAACGCAAATTATTCTTGCTGCTGCACCGGGTTGTGTCTCAGACCATAGCCTTGTCCACAAATATGTCGGTAGCGGTCGCTAAAACCAGGTTGGTATGCCCCGTTGACACTAAACACGGACCAGGATCGCTTCTGCATAGGATAGGATTCTGGGGGCGGATAAGCTTACATCTGTTTTACACAGTCAGACGCTAAACTTTCCACAAAAGATTGAAAATCGCAATCCAGCGTTATGAACGCTTTCTGCAGCAATCCTAACACGCCAGCTTACGAGCAATGTTTCATTAGTGCATGGGTATCATAGTGTGCAGAATTCATGGCTTAGCACTAATTTACACTGCCATCAGACGCACCACACATCTCAGTCAGCAATTCGATGACATACCATGTATACGCCTCCTTGGTGGCATCAAGTTGTTGGGAGGAGCAAGAGGTTATATCGGGACCGAGGAATGTTCCTGCCTTCCAAGTGTCTGGATCACCAGTTTATTCTCCAGTTCCTGATTCGCAATTCTCGCATTGAAGTCACGATGTAACCAATTTCAATGTGGAATGATCCCTCATTGGCAAGCTAGTTTACATACGCCCCGTACCCTAGTCAAATCAATCTTACCGATGCCGCGGCTAAATGAATACAACATGAACCCCAGCCGCAGTTCAAAGGGTACTTCTCATGATATTGTGCTGCAGTCAATTGTCACTCGTGGTGAGTCACATCAATTGTTACTAGCAACGTAAAATGAATCGTACAGAATTTGATGGGTAAAGATAAGACTATGTGGCTATTTATTCTCTGCTGCTAGGAATGTCAGGAAGGTCCCTAATCCCTGATATCGAACTTATCGACATGCCGATACCTGTACCGTGACAGAAAAATGCAAGAATTGCCGGATGTCCACGCCGCAGCTGATCCTCCTTTGATGATCCAAGCGGTATGACTCGACAGGCATGTTTTATTAGAAGTGGAGCCTACATGAAGGGACTATCAGCCTCAACCTGCAATGGATTTCAGTGCTTTTTCGCTGTTAAATAGATTAGCAGATATGTATAGTGGATCCTCGGTATCCATATCCAAATTCGGACCGCCAATCAACACGGACCCCTTATTGTGGTTTAACTGCTTAAGTACCGGAGTGTGTCTGAGGTTCCACAATCTAGATTTTCACATTCTTCTGCCCTGGCCGCGTCTTTAAAGAGAACCCGCTTCGTCAGCGCTTCCGGAAAAGTTAGAATGGGAAGCCCGTTAAAGATGCATGCCAAGATGATATTATTGCTTCAAGGTATTTCCTGGCAGAATGACGAGTTTCTTCAAGCAAACGTTTCTCCTGTCACTACTGTATCTAGACATCACTTTGTATTTAGTTGTGTTTAGTCTTCTTGTTCCTAACGGAGAAAAAATGTGGGCGCGGAAATCGTGCGAGCAGTTTCGTGCTATTTTACTCGCCCCTCCATCGTCCTAGTATTCCCTCATTTTGCTCCATATTTTTGAGTCTCCTAGAGGGTAGTATTAGGCCCCCAGTATATATTCCATTGCACATCATTTCCTTCGCCGTGTATGTCCTCGGAATGGGTCATGTGCGTCTGACAGCACGCTGCAGTTGCATCGAATATAATATCATTTATCACATTCATGATGGTTACACAGATTCTATTGCTGAGATTATCCAAAATGGCATGTTTAGGTTGCCTGGATCGTGTTCATACCGACAGTTTGGTTGAACATACAGGAGGACACCATTACAGACATGGATGTTGACCTGTCAAGCATACAGATCTAACAGCAATTTCTCTGCAGTCAGCTACCAACAACCAAACTTCACCTGCCAACAGTTTGGTGTGGTGGTATGTGTGTTCCTTGCATGTTTGCCGTTCTTTCTACGTTGTATACAGCAGTACAGGACTACACTCAGCAGAGATCGCTTCATTTGTCTCACTCGAGGTAGTCTTCATGATTAATATCTGATATAATCACATTTTCTTTTATCATCTGCAATACTTCATCACATTGAATGTAAAATCGAGTAGGTATGAGGTCCGGATCCCCACTGAATTAGATCCGAAGATTACATGCGTATATTCATCGTCTGATTCCAAAAATAGCAGATCTCGAGAATGACCAATGTGGTAAAGTTTCGTGAATATGGCTTAGACTCGAAGTGTCGGAGTATCGCGTGAGCTGAAGTAATATTGTAGAACTAGTAGCGCAGTAAGCAAGACCTATGTATGCTGTTGGTATCTTAGTCTTGCCCGCGACCAAGCATATTATGCGCCCATCTTTCTAAACGTCCCGACACTTCGGATGCCCCATAGCAGGAGTTTGCATTGATTGTAATTTAGCTGTTTTCCTTACATCTTCATTTAATTAACAAGAAATACTACCTATCTAAGTAGCATCCGATCTCCCTCTTCTGTGTCAAATGTGATAATAATAGTTCCAGATCAACGATTGATGAACGCTCGTGTGACCATGGGCCCAACGCCCTACTGCCCAGTGGATCCATTTGAAATTTTCATGGACTTTATTGATACTCTCCAAGGAGGAATAACAGGGCAACTGGGGTCTGACAACTACCTTCCCCTTTTTTATCTCCCACATTTCTTCTTCAAATATGTCAGCAGTCAGAACACCATCAGCGACTGCAACTAATACAAACTCATAAACCAACAGTTGCAATCCCTCGCAATATCCTATTAAGTATCTAACAGCCATCTCCCATCTACAACTAGATAAAACCAACAATGCTCATTCAGGATACGTTCGAGACCGAGCTAAATTGGGATCAATTCCTCACTACTTTAGCTCCATCCGGGCTATCAGTATTTTTCTCGTATTGATGTGCAGCCCGGCACTTTTCTGTTGACGTGAGACGAAGCTAATGGCGTGTCGTGACGAAAATAGATGCTACCCCTCGGCTAACCTCACTGACGTAACTGCAAAGGTAGGTAAGCATAGATTACAGGTGCACTTTTGGACTGCGTGGTGTTTATCCCATTACAGCCTACAAAAATAGATAGATCCAATGATGTTGTTGCGGATATCTAACCGTTAGTGCAACTTTTATTTACATAATGACGGCCATGTTTCGCTTCAGCTGGTTTTCCGCGGATTTTCCGAAAGCTTGCAATATCAAGATGATGCAACCTTTGTTTTTTTCCTACCTGTATCATCCCTGGGTTATCCTAGAAACCCAGGACTAAAAGTTTAGATGAAAATGACCACATGTTAGTAAATAAATAACAGACATAAATCGCCATTTTCAACACCTCAATATTATCGATAGACTATACTATCACCTCAACTCTACAACTGTATATCATAACACTTTCAACATCCTGCCATCTATATAATATAATATCAATCGCAATACTAATCTACCGATTCAAATTTCTATATTGGTATTGTATTATATAAAACACTCAGTCTCAATACCTAATATCCATTGTCCCTCCCTGTATGTCAATCAAGATTTTGTTCACAGCACTAATTCAGTTACATCTTATTGCTTTACACAATGGAGAGAGATTTGTAATTGTTATTCTCTGCCGTCCGTAGTTTAAGAGACCGATTTCTTCGAGATGCGAATCAAGAAGCTGCTTTCTTGTGCTTCTGGGTTTCCGTAAATGCTCTTTCATCCTGAATTTGCTGAGAATTCAAAGTTATTAATACATCGCAAGAAAATATGCGAAATATTGAAAACTAACGATATATTCGCAAGAAGTAAGGTTTTGTACTGCTAAACTCATATATGAAGCTCGTCAACCTCCAGATTCCGTGATATGTGGAGATAGTAGATAAGTCGTCATCTAGAGACGCATAAAGTAACGAATTATGCGGATAGTGTTAGACATAGCATGTAAATACAAGAAACAGTCTTTAGAAATCCGTTATTCGGATATCAAAATCAGATATAGAATAAATTTTTTTTTTTTTTTTTCATAATCGCTCTTGCGAACCAAGACGAAAAGTTTCCGTGGGAAGAATAGCCCTCATAATTGGTAGCATATACTCTGTACGTATCGGACAGCGTTGCAGATTTCGTTTCGTTCACAAGACTCTGATTTGCTCCCATAGTACTTCCATCCGATCTCATTCCATTAATAAGCATTCTAAACATCGCCTCTTCTCTCTCCAGCCCCTCTTTACAGCGGAGCCGTGAGCGGCCATGCTTCCGCGCAAGTTTTATTCAGGCGTCCTTATAACCATCTCATTCTACCATACCTTGTATCCATTTCCGCAGAATATGCCTTTGGGGTTCCAGTTGGTATATATATGAAAAATACAATTGATTCTTTATGATCTTGTAATGAGTGGATAGGCAAACCGGGAAAGATGGGTATGTATGGGATTAATCATTCATGGATGGCGAGAAAGAGAGAGCAAAGACTCGGAGGAGTGGCCGACGGGGTGGAATTATGGGTTGTGCGTACCCAGGAGACTGAGGGAGGAAAAATAATAGAATGGAAGAAATGTGGGGAGGCTTAGGGGGGATATTGAGGGAAGAGTGAGTTTGGAGGTAAGGGGGCGATGGAGAGAGGACTAGTTGGGTGTTTACGGAGTTAGTGAAGTGTCTGGAAATATCTGTTTATGGGAGGATGAAAATGAATCGAGGATTAGATGAGCGGGACTTGGGTTTGCTGAGGATTATCGGGATGCTAAGCAGCACTTTCCAAATTCGTGGTTGCATTTTCATTTAAAGCGGAATGCGTTTTATGCAAATAGGTATTTGAACGTACTATGGGAGTGTCTTGAATAAGAGAATGGAATGCGTTTGATACCAAGGCCGAAGGATCTGGATTCTCTCCACCCGATAACTTCTTATTCGCAGTAATTAGAAGTAATTTTGGAGTGGTGGATCATGTATGGGAGGTATCTTGAAAGTGCACCTATTGTATCTCCAACCCTTTCAGTACAGCCACAAGCATCCATATCATCAATTCCCAGCTTAGAAACTGCATTCGTTCTATAGTTGCAGCGTTCGGGTAACTAGCCACTGTTTGTGAAATCCTATATAGAAAGAGTGGGAAAGAAAACTAGAATGTGCTGATTCAAGTACGAGATATTTGCAAAGGCGTTATGAGAAAACCTGGTAAACCGGACTACGATCTGGATTTGTCGGTGCTCGGGAATCCATGAGTTATTGGGTGTATGTTCAAGAATCCTTAACTACCCCGTGTAGAACTGCAGTCCGTTACATGGTAGACCTTGGCTTAGCGCAAGTTAAGTGCCGGAGAGACGGATGCAATGATTCACCGATGAATATTTTGGTATATTCGTATGAGCTAACGAATACCCTCGTTTGATATTGACATCAGAACGCGCTGGAAGTCAGCCCTTGGATTGCCAGACAAGATTCCCCAGTCGTGGTAAGAATTCTGTGTCCGAAGCTACTTCCATTTCGGCCCCAGGTGATAGATACGAAAGTCGATTGACGGGTGCACATCCTGATTTTGCGGTCCTACCACTCTTCCTCCTGCATGTCTCATGGGAGGCGTGCATCTTTGGCTTCCGTGCAGGGACAATAATCCTTGAACTTGCTCTGACCTACTCAAGGTCCTTATTATCGAGCTTAGTCTTGGTAGGTTAACCATTTCTGGCTTTAACCTGACAGTCATTTAATTAACCGTGAGCTTGATTAGAGCCAGCGAAGTATCATGAGTTTGACGTGTATTTTGCATATAAGATGATTCAGAATGTAATTGGAATGAAAGGACCTTGAACGCAAATTCGAGACTTGACATATCGTCAGGGCTAACTTGAATAGTGACAGATTCGCATTAAGAGGTCGCATTCACGGGAGTGGGGGTTTTATCTGCCAAGTCGAGGAACTTTTAGAGTAAACTGAACCAACAACACTGCTGCAAGTTTCAATAACATTGAATGACAATGAATTCACGACTAGAGTCTCTAAGCTTGACACCAACTTGATGTCTAGGTAAAGACTTTAGCCATTCTGGAACAGAGTCAAGTTTTCGACTTGATAGTAAAGGAAATCTTGATCTTGAAAAGACCAATTAAAAGAACTAGATAACTCGAATTGTCTGTCAGCTTCCTAGTACCAAATTCGCATATTTGAAGCTGGCGACTACCAAAGTTCTCTTTGCGAGGCCCGATGATTGAGTTCAAATTGAACAACATAATGACTAATGTAATGTCTAGCAAATTCAAGGACGGCTACATAGTCCAGACCATTTTAGCACATTGAGGGAACCAGGAAGACCAAGTAGAGTTTGGGACTGTTTATTTCGTTTCAGAATCATGGCCAATTCATCTAGTCTTTACACAATCATCCTCCTCTTTTTACGATCAAGCAAAAGACTCCTCGTTCAATAGCTCGATCAGACCTTTATCCGCCGCTGTTCAAACTCCTATTACCTCAGCCTGCTCTAACAAATGCTTAACCTACACAGACTTGTTCTTCCATTCTCCACCTTGGGGATCTGTGGACTACCCAAGATAATAATAATGTACTCTTCCCACCACTATGAAAAGCACTTCGGTAGATTAAGACAATAAAACAGTGATTGGCGAGTCCATGATCAGAGAAGCTCCGTCTGATTATACTCGGTTCCTGGATGAATACTGAAATGCTGTGTTATGTGTTTTCTGTCTCCTTTGATAGAAATCTCCTGAACTGTAAAGTTCTCCCTGGAAGAAATGGAATTGGAGTGAAGGGTTATTTAAGATGGATAGGATATATATCTCCTTCTTTTAATTACTCCGTTCAGTTTAAGTCTTTTTGAGGAGATACCTGAGTTCAAGGATACTTGGGATCTTTCTAGCCAATGTGCGGGTTATCTGTGTGCATTCTCATGTGTTGCAACTGGCAAGCAGGTTATGGTAGCTATAGGCTAGTTGTAGCTAACGGAAATGGTAGTGCATTCTTTTGACGTATTTTTGAGACCAATTTAGATGTATGAGGGTTTGTATAGCATAGGTTCAATATCAGAATTAAATTTCTAAGCTCGTCAATCATAACTTTGAGGGAAGGATCATCTGGTGATGAGAAATATTGTCGGAGTGATAAATTACGACGGCACGTGACTACCATTTCGAACAACGAAATTCTCGCTTATTCTTAGCCTCCGCACTAGCTTCTCGCACCGTTTGTGATTTTTGCAAAAGTTTCGATTCGAAATTTTTCAAACTTTCACGACAAATTCTTCGACGACAACGATTGTAATTCGAATCACCAGGTCAGTAATTCATCAATATCTTGGTTCCTATCGGCATTACGATTGAGCATCAAGAACGAAATCGATACCAGAATATGCGAAGGAAGAAAGTTGTCGAGCAAAAAAAGATTGGGAATAGTTGCGCAGTGGATAATTGAGATGGAGTTCAAACCCTTCTTCGATCGACTGCACACCATATTACATGTCACTACTTGTTTTCGCACATCTCTTCTGGCAATACCTCTCTTCGCATTACTGGTCGCGCATCCAATTCTTTGATACGACATTTCGAATGCCTCCACTGAGATTAATTCTTCCTTGTCTTGGATCAAAATTGGCTAATTATTATTCATACCACAGAATTAGCAATCATGGGTATCAGCCGTGACAGCAGACATAAACGCTCCGCCTCTGGCGCCAAGCGATCCCATTACCGTGCGTAGTAGATAGCCCATATATCTTTATTGATATATGTTCCGACCTGAAAACTAAGACTTTTACAGGGAAGAAGCGCGCTTTCGAAGCCGGAAGACAAGAAGCAGGTACCCGTATTGGAACTAAGAGAATCCATCTCGTCCGTACCCGTGGTGGTAACCGCAAGTTCCGTGCCCTCCGTCTCGAAGCTGGTAACTTCTCATGGGCCTCTGAGGGTGTTGCCCGCAAGGTCCGTGTGATTGTTGTCGCTTTCCATCCTTCCAACAACGAGTTGGTCCGAACCAACACTCTCACCAAATCCGCCATTGTTCAAGTCGATGCTGCTCCATTCAGACAATGGTACGAGGCACACTACGGTCAAAACTTGGGCCGAAGACGTCAACAAAAGGCAGGTCAAGCTGTTGAGGAGCCAGATACCAAGAAGAGCAAGTCCATCGAGAAGAAGCACCACGAGAGATTCGCTGCTGCAGGAAAGGTTGATCCCGCTTTGGAGAAGCAATTCGAGGCTGGTCGTCTTTACGCCGCAGTCTCATCCAGACCCGGACAATCTGGACGTGTTGATGGTTATATTTTGGAGGGTGAGGAGTTGGCTTTCTACCAACGCCAATTGAGAAAGTAAATCATCTTCTATGGGATTTGGGATGGGTTGTATTTCATTGGGAATCATGGCATGGAGTTCCTGATAATGAATCATGTGAAAAATGGTTCTCTTCAATAGTCTACGAATTCAAAAGCAATAAGAATACTCCCTTTGCCAGTTTATTATATGTTCAATCACATGAGTATTAATTTGGATTTGTGTGGACCCGATATTCAATGATGTTACCTTGTCATGTTCCTTTTCCGCATCCTTGATTGTGACGATTCTCTGTAACTAAGATGACGATGTTAAAGACAATCTGATCGGGGTTAAAAGCTGGGGAAAATTTGAATGATGGACCTGGACCTGGACCTGGCGGACCTGGCTTGATTGTAAAACCCTTGCATATCTAGTAACCACAAGCATGTTTTCTCACCCCGCAATTTCTTATCAACCCCGTGATGATGGTTCTTCGATAACCTTCAATCTCCTCCTACCAGCTTTAATAAACATATTTAATTTCTCTTTTTCTCGCGTGGACATTGCGTTTTATTATTCTACCGCCTCTCCGGTTTGAATCTCTAATAGATTATACAAAAACTCTACAAGTAAATAGTGTACAATAAATACACCGCCTATCATCCCGCGACATCACATTCATAATCATAATTGAATACCAAAAACCCTCATAACCACCAACCGACTTATTCACATCACAATGCCTACCTCCTCTCTCGTCACAGCACCACCCGATATTCCCGGACCCTCTTCCACTTCCTCCCATTCCCATTCCCATTCCCATTCCCGCTCTCACTCTGCTTCAGCCTCCACATCAACACACTCGCACCCCTCAACCTCTTCCCAAGCCCCTCTCCCTCATCCCCGAAACCACCCGCCAAATAGCCGAAGCGCGCACGGCGCTCAACGCATCCATCCAAAACATCTTCACACCGCACGAACATGCACTTAAATTGCGAGCACAAAATTTACATCAGAATAGTAGTGCATTAACGAAACAGGAAAATGAATTGAAGAAAGAGATTGAGAAGTTAGGGAAAGAAGGGGATAAATTGGAGAAGGTGGTTAGGGAGGGTCAGAAGAGGGTTAAGGAGTTGGGGAATGTGCAGAATTGGGCGGAGGTGCTGGAGAGGACTTTGGTGGTTGCGGAGGTTTTGAGGTTGGTGGGGTGTGAGAGTGAGAGTGAGAGTGAGGTGGTGTGATGGAGGAGTTTGAGTGGAGTGGAGATGAGGGGGTGAGGTGGATGAGGGATGATGATGGTGGTGTAAGGTTAAATGGGCGCGATGGAGCAGTTCAGGTTGATACTGGCATATGTCGGATGTGAGAGCAAACGGAGATACCATACAGATGGTACGAATACCAACACCAATTCAATGGGAAAGGCAAGGGAAAAGAAAGAGAAGGAGAAAGGGAAAGAGAAAGAGAAACTGCGGAACATACAGAGATTACTGATACGGAGGAATCTTCTATGTCAACGAATGTATCGAGGTCTGGACAATCATCTAGTTCTATTCGTACTTCAGTTTCTTGGATGAGTTGAATTGGGGACTGGAATGGCTTGGTTGAGACGGGACGAGACAGGACGAGTTTATTATGGGAGTAATGGGATGTTTGGAGTGTAATGGAGTAAAGAGGCGTTTTTGGGATTATGGGTTTGTTTTATACCCTGCGTATTTTGGAGGATACTTGATTTTGGGAAGTGCATTGCACACAAGTGTCTCTTGGGTTTTGTATGTACGTGCTTCGAGTGAAGGTCGACAAGCCTGTGAATTCAACTTTCATTTTCATTCTCGGCCCTCATTTCCCAATAACAAAAAGTATCTGGGCGATCTTCTTCAAAAAATTACCCAAAAAATTCATAATCTACAATTATCCCATATCTCATTCAAATACTTCATCATCCCATCGCATCCACATCCACATCCACCTATTACCCCTTACTGCAAAACCTCAAAAGCATCATAAATAACCTCTCCCCCCATTCCTCCCACTACTCGCCACCCCCACCACTCTATTCAACCACCCATATTTCCCCGCATCATCACATTCAAATCTCAGATTTAAACGCATCTTATATTCATTTGCTGCGTATTTATCTTCTTCTCCGAGTGCTTCGAGGATTTCTCGAGCACCGGTTCGTACGCCGGTGGTGCGTAGGTAGATGCACTGGTTATCGTGCGTTAGGAGATTGTAGCGTGTGTCGAGGTGGGCGGTTTGGAGTATGGGGGTGGATGCATGGTGGGATGTGGAATGGTGGAATGGTGGTGCTGCCGAATTTTAGCCTGGGGTTTATAGGGGAGAGGTGCATGTGGGGAGAAGGGAAAGAGGAATAGGGGAGAGGTGAGGAACTATGAAGTGTGAAGATGGATGTATTTACTTAGGTAGGTGGGTAGGTAGGTGTGATGGGAAGAGAAAGAGGAGGATGAAGATAGGTGATCATGATGAGTACAAATTTGGGTTTGGGTTTGTGTAATAACTTCTACATACGTGCTTAGAAATTACAAAATATACATCCTGGGAAGTGGCAGGAAATTTTGTTGTTGATGTCGACTTTAATCAACTTGGAAGAATTTATGTAATGCTTATACGGAAAGTAACTACAGACCTAATACATAAAGAGCTTCAAGATCGAGCTCGAAATAGTCTCTCTCTATTGCATCTAGGCAACTAATATTTATATATACATCCCTTCCTCTCTTCCTTCTACCGTGCCTCTCCATGAACCTTTGTGGTGAGACGAAACGATGAATCTTTCTTGTATTTGCATACATGCATATGCATATGCAAATATAACACCGACTACCTAGCAAATAGTAAGAGATCTTCTCATTGGTGGGAGTTAGATATAGCTTCAGTCCCATTACTCACTCAACATCAACAACCAGGGTGTCTGAAATCTTGAAGTAGCGGATCTGAATTAGATTCCAGATTTTAATGGCTATCTGAATATTTTTAATATTCGAGGTGAAATTAACAAGTCAAAGGATTTGAATAGACTATTCCAAATTGTCTGAACAAACAATAGTCCAAAGGCATCTGGATATATCCCAAAAATCCCAATATTCGAATTCCTCTAAGAATTGGACTTGCAATCTGAACCATTTAAGAGATTCACAGTGACATTAGAAATGCATACCAAGAAAGCTCAAAGCTCGTGGTCTGATTCCAATTCCAATATATCATCTCATAGAAACCTGACTCTAGACTTCTTCCAGTCCAGCTAAGCTCACCATAACTCAGGTCAACTGAATATAACACAATTTAAACCATCTATATACTTAAAAATCATACCACGTCTTTCACATCTTCCCTATCTATTCAATCCATAGTATCAGTATCACTGTTCAACTCACCTCACTTCACTCCACTTTAACTCTACACAAGAGCTCCGTCCTGATCTCCAACCTTTTATTCTCTCCCCTTTCCTTTCCTTTCCTCTGGAAGCTCTCAAAACGGTTGAGTATTCCACTCATCTCTTCTTCCCTCGGGAGAGACTTGGGACGATATATATATATATATATATATCTATACCATGATTCCAACATCCTTTGCCGCAATAGCAGGAGAAATCAACTTCAAAACAACATCAATATCAACGTCATACACAGTACTTGCAATAACACAAACACATTTTCCAAGCCAGGAGAAGTGAATACATACATACATACATACATACATACATACCCACCTATCTATCTATATCAAAGTCCGAAATCGGTCGAAGAGACATCTCGAATTTCACAGTCTGTCAGTTAGTATTAAAAGTGAAACGAAGACTCCAGAGTAAACGTATGTTGAAGAGATATCTGGATAACAGGTATGAGCTCGAGAAACGTATTTATTAACCACAAATCAGCTGAATGGATCATTCATCTTATCACCCACCAGATCAAAGGGAAATCTAAGACTTACTTACTATCTAGCTACTATCTACGTATACCTAGCTACTTCGAAGTCTTCGAATGTATGCACTAGAATCCAGACAACGGTGAACTTTGCTTTATATGGAATAGATATGGAACCTCAAAAGTATCAGGTATACCAATACAGTAACTACGCATTGGAGTACTGAAGCCAATAAAATACCCAGCTACAATACCTATTCACAATACTGAATCTATAAACTAATTACTATCCACATGGAGCGTATCAATATCCTCCAACAACCGTATATCATCCATCCATCCATCGATCCATAACATTCACTCCAAGCCTCCCTCAGTTCACGCCATCTCATCCATCCATCCATCCATCCATCCATCCATCCATCCATCCATCCATCCATAACATTCACTCTAAACATCCTTTCCTCAAGCCACACCATCTCTTCCTCTATCCTCTCATCCACTCATCCACTCATCCACTCATCCACCCACCCACCAACAAATCAAACAATCCAAAAAGCCCAAGCTACCACCAACCAAACCACACACAAATACCGCCCTAAAGCTTCACTAGATAATCACACCACCTCTCATAAATAAAACCAAAACCAAAACCAAACCATCACACCTTTGCTTCCTCCCCAATCTTCCACACTTACGAACTCCACGAGACATACAGTTTTAAAGTCTCTATCTGCGACATCGGCAACAGCAACAGCATCAGCATCTACAATACACCATCCAGTGAAGTGAATTGAAGTGAAGTGAAGTGAAGTGAAGGAGGGAAGACCCGAACACGGCTTTCTTATAGAAAGAAAATATTTCCATATTATTTTCGTACCTCTTTAAATCTAAGTAATTTTTTTGCTAAATAGCTAGCTACTACTTACTTCATTACCGCACGATTAAAGAATCCAGAATCCAGAATCCAGAATTGGCATAACTACGATTAATTTCCCACCTTTGGCGAGTTATTAAGATACAGAAATTACAGCATCCTCTCATCTTATTCGCAAGTCTTTACCCACTTACCCAGGGTATTCACAAAGAAACAACACAACGCAACACTATACAATTGCACTCCACTCCACTGCGTTCAATACCGCGATATTATCTCCCTCTCCCTCTATCTCTATCTCTATCTCAACAATACAAAATAAAGAACAAGCTAAAAAAGAAGGATCGAAGGTAACCAAAAAAAACAGACCATGCAAGCGCCATCCACCCAGAAAACAAGCAACACCATCGCGTTGAAGCGTCTCCGCAGTAGCGGATCAAGCGGACGTCACCGACCAGGAAGTCGAGCTCGCCATGGTAGTCAGCATGAAATTACAGCTAGCGCACTCACAAAACAATATCCACCTTCTGCTCACGATTTTCCTCCATTGGGTTTTACTGTATTGCCTGATTCCAGCGTGTTTGGAAGTACAAGTGGAGGGATCGCCGGAGCAAATATAACTGAAATCTTGGCCAGAACTGTTGACATTAGTACGAGTAGCGGTACTGCGGAAAAAAGAGATGGAAATGTAGGAATGGAGATGCATATAAGCATAGCAGCGAACACGTCCAGGCGAAGCATGAGACCGAAATCTATATCCGCAAACTACACAACACCAATTGGGGAATTCATGGGAGGAAAACGTGGTGAGATGACACAAGATGGATCTGAAACTTCATCATATATAGGAGCCGCGCAATTTTCCCGCCGAGGAAATCTCCTTCCTTCTCGTTCAAGTACCAGTGCTACTGGTATATCTACACGGAACAATAATGGAGTATCCAATACCAATTCGGCACCTAATCCATTTTCTATGACTGCAGCTGCAGGAACCTCTCTTACGCATCGAAGTGCTCCATATGAGATAAGTAAGAATTTTGATCGACTTCGTGTTCAGGGTGCACATTTAGGACTTGTTTCTTCACCTTATTTTCCAAAGTGTAAGGAAGATTTGGTGAAGCATCGAGAGGGGAGGAAGAATGATGCGAGGGATGCCATGAATCAGAGGATTAAAGATAAAGAGGAAGTTATGCGGTTGAAGAGTGAAAGAGCTTATGTCAAGGTTAAGACTGCTTTTTTGGGGAAGGTTTTTAGAGATGGTTTATCTGGTGTTTTTGCTCGGAGGACTATTTGGGGACATCCTAGTTTGGATGGGGAGTTGTGCGAGAGAGCGGAATGGCCGACTTTGCCGGAGTTGAAACAGGCTGGGATTAGGAAGATGGGATTACCGGTTCCTAGGTATAAGGGTGAGGATGGAATGGCAGGTGAAGAGGTAAAAGCATTCGCAGGTGATAGAGTCGGATTGGGTAGAAGAAGAGCGGAAGAAAAAGTCATGTTTGACGAGCAAGATATTAAGGAATTGGGTCAAATGGCGAGTCTTTTCGAAGCGATCGACGGATAAACAGACTCTAGGTATATGTGGTGACGTGTTTGTTTGAACATGTCTTGCTGGATGAGGAGAATTGCATTGGGTTCAGCATGGCGTAGGTACCGCGAAAAGGATTTATGATAGCGAACAGCGTAGCGATATAGCGAGATTTGAAAGGCATAGCGAGCGGCGTAGGCATAGCGGATGTGGTTCTTTATTTTATATCTTCGTGTTGCGATTTCTTTGTGTTTCTTCTCAGGAAAGTGATAGGAAATCAGTTCAGGCATTGTGTATCTCACGGAAAGATATGGCTAAGGGAAATACTTCGACCTCTCTTCCCTTTGAGGGAAACTTTAGGGGAAGATGAGATACTTGTGAGCATAAATAGTGGAAGAGGTTAGGATATGTGAAGTGTATCAGAGCCTCAAAGGTACACGAAAGAGACAACTAGCAAGAGATAATTAGCAAGAAATGACAAGAAACAATAAGAAGATAATTAGACCATTTCCCATGATGATATAAAGAATTCGAAGAAGATCCATCTATCTCCCAGTCCATAGTTCCAATCAATACAAGAAATGAAACCACTCAACCTTATTCATTATCCCGTTGCAAAGAGATAATGAACCAAATATGAGCAGTCTGAGATCCTTGAAATCATTTCGCCAAATTAATTAGTGCATAAATAGACGTCGGATCAAAGTAACTAACACGTATAACCTTATAGAGGAGAGTATACATACCTAAGTAGGTATATTAGTATATTAGATAGATAATGAGACGAGAGGAAGTCAGAGGAACCTAACGTTTTCGGAAAAATAGATTTTCCTAGATGTGCACAGACTAGAAGGAGCGGAGGTTCACCTGCTAATTACCTGCCAACTACCTAAACGCTCTAAACGCCTAAAGCAACTGAACAATCTAAAATAACAAAATCGTTATTTATTTTTAACCTAATAATCTAATAATCTACTCATAAGAACTCATTTAAAAACACTCCAGTAATAAAATCCTACTATATATCCACCTCTTTAACATCAAATACTCAATCAATCAATATATTCAATTAACCGGCTGGATCCTTCTATATAAGGTATTCGAGCAAATACTTTAAATTAAATAACCACCCCACCAGATAAAGACTTGTCCAAATCAGTATAGTAACTTTTAAAAAGATGTTTAAATTTAGGGGTTTTTTTTCCAAGTATGGTATGCTTTTTGTTGTTACTATTCCCCTGTAAACTCGAGAGATAAAATTTCATTTTCCTTCAAAAGAATAGATATACTAGGTAGGTCAAGGTACGTGGCAGATAGCAAGGGCGCAAAGTGTGACCAAGAAGGTGCTTTTGTCTGCCTCTAGAACAAATCAACTCGCTTCTTCCTCAGATGTTGAAAGTGTCTTGTACGGAGAATCGTCCTAGATCTTCTACTCTATTCTCGCCCGCGCGGGTGCGTTTCTCATCTCTCTAACGAAGCTTCTAGCGGCGATGGATCCTGAATCGCTTTCTTGCCCAAGGCATGTCAGCCAATACAAAGCCTATCTCCTGCTTGTAAAATGACGCTCTACCCTCCGCCTCCTCGAGCAACGCATATAGTTGTTTGCTAGGGAGGGTAATCAGATCACGTAATTGTAGTTCAAGCCCAGCGAGGCCTTCCAGAATGAAATGTCGAAGGCGTAGTCTCTTGCGCAAGAGCTTGGGTTGCCATAGCCATCAGGAAAAACCTGCATTCAGTTAGTATAAAACGCATGGTGTATGCAGGCCTGGTTCGGGACGACTCATTTGGCGGCTACTTCTTTCTCCCCTGCTTCATTTGTGATAATGCCTGGTCATCAGACAGACAAGCTTGCTTTCCTGGTATTCTTGTATTTAATATCTCACCCCACAACCACTTGAATATTTGTATTAGACCCAAGGATACAATAGTCCGCAAGACGGTCTAGGTTCTTTCTCTTTTGTGAATACGACACAGCAATCGACTGCTGGAAAACGGGCCTTCAAATGCCTGAATCGTGCGTCAGCATCATGCTGGCTATACTGTTCGTCTGGAAACTTGATCAAAGCTAATCTTTCAGACTGGATCTCCTTCGCGAAGTCTGCTGACGCGTTTTGAATAAACCTCAATTGGCCTTCTGGTTCCTCAACGATGCTTGTAATAAATATTTCGTGCAAGTCGCTGGGCTTTCGAAGAATAAGTCGACTGTTAGAGTGGAAGTAATCGTACCTGCTTGGGTATTGGATAGGTTACAGGATCAGATAGAGGGTATTGACAAGGAGTTTTGTACCGTAGTTTATGTTGTGTGAACCCTCAGAGCGACTCGTGTCTTTGGAGTTCGAATTCTTGCTGTAGCTCCTCGTATCCCTTCAGATCTAATGAGTAGCCAACTCAGATTGAACTCATCGCGTTATGCCACTCCTTGCGATTCTTAATCTCCCCTATGTGCACGAGCCAAGCTTGACTTCTTCTCAATTGTTGACAGAGGAGTCAAAGAGTGGCTGGTGAGAGTTCCAGAAGATGTGGTGCATTGGCGCGGAATGTATTTGAATTCCAATGATAATCTAATCGTGTATGTTGGATTATGTTTTTATTGTGTAGGTGGTACCTAGTCATCGTTTTGGCATGGGAATTCTGCCCCATAAGTCGGCATCCACTTCAGTGAAAATGGCCCCATTACATTGTTAATTCTATGAATTTGATTGGCTAACGAAATACATGCTTAAACTTAGCGTACTGAGCATAGTTTATCAAAAGCACGGACCATTCTGTTATCTAGGTACGTATTTTCTCGATGTACCGGTAGCATTTTGATGTAGCACAAACAGGATTATTATGATATAATCTGTGCAATTATCATTAGGGCTGGTTGTCTTCCCTTGTTTAGTGATATCAGAGGTTTGAGGGCATGGATAACCAATCAAAATAGACAATACTGCCACAAGCCTTCATCACAGCACTCCAGATTTGTTGAGATAAGTTCGCCGCTTTATGCTCCATTACAACTCACGAACATACAGATCTTTATCAACATGATTAGGAATAAGCAAGGGAATAACAAAGCAAATAACAATACATCAACAAGAATTCCGACTCCTTCATTAAAGTATCCATTTATCTCTTCTCCAATTGTATGACAATTTTCTTCTTAGAATTGTGACTTATTCAACTTTCGCCTTGCGCATTACCACTTTGGTTTATTGATTCTGCTCATCCTATTACAACTGTGGAGCTCACCAAAATCATCAAACACGCCCTTATCTGATCAAGCAAATATGTACGGAATTACAGCGGGAGGTTCATTGAGAAGAAAAGGAGATGGGGACTCCATCGGGAATGTATGTTGAAAAAACCTCTCAGCAGCTTCTATTCCATCGCACGCAATTGTCCAGTTTTGATGGACTGGAATAATCATCAAAGTCAAAGTTTGACCACGCATCCCTTCCGATGATAAGACTGTGGACATAAAGGGAGATGGATCTGATGCAACCAAATCTCAGATCTCATCCACATCTCTTTCACGTGATTGATATTTAGATTGAAGTGGCAAGATCAGCGGTGAGGAACAAAATGAACCAGCCAGACTTGCTGCATTTGAAGTAACTTGCGGCAAAAGAATTTTTTCGGTGTGGTTGGTTGTCCTTCCACCTCTTAGACAAGTGCATTCGAGAACCAAAGTTTGACACAGCTTTGTGCCAATGAGACAAGGCAGTCAATCAGTCAGTCAGTCACAAGACTGATGCCATGCTTGCATTTCTAAGCCTCACCCTGATTTTGGATCGAGGTGATTGGGAAACGGCTAGAAAAACTTCCCTATGGATGAAATCAACATTATTATAGCAGGTTCTAGATGCTATTTTATCGATTATTCCACCATAAATGACCAGTACTACTGGCGTGGTTGATATGATTATCGATCTTTTTCGTCCTAATGAGAACATGGTGCCATAAATTCCGGAGAAAAAAAGAGGATCCTTTGGTGGAACTGTGGAAAGTAAATCCACAATAGTGTTTCCCCCTGAAAAATGATCTCTTCTCCTTTTGCTTTGGCCACCATTGCTTCGAAGCATTTTTGAGGCTGTTTTCTTTTGAGAAAGGAGAGAGGAGAAGGAGTGAAAAGATTGATGCTGGCTATAATGGGAATTGGCCTCTTCATAGCCAATCATCATGGTTCAAATGATTCTCTCCATGTTAAACAAATAGAGGGGTAGAAACGAGCCACTAGATCCTCAGCCTCGTGCGGGGTTCGATCTTGAGGTTACCTTTTCCCTCTTCCTTTACCCTTTAAATTTTCTCTCGCAGGAACGGGTATGGTATTGGTACCCAGGTACATTGGACATTGGACATTGTACATCTTACATTTTACCGGTGAGCTCACCACCTGAAACTCTTGGGGATCGTCATAGGATGGGAAATATCTCGCACAAGACCAGGTTCAGCTCTTGTAACAAAGTGGAATTTTTCGGAAGACAGGGATTTTGGGGGATTCCAAGGGGATTCCCGATGTTCAAAGGGCCCAAGCACACTCAAGAAAACCCCAAAAATTACCCGATCTGGCAGTATCTGCTAGCAAAATCTCGTAAACCCTTACACCTGACAGGGCTCCTTCCTCCCTGAATCTTCCTTTCCTTCTAGAAAGAAATAGAGAAAGGAAGAAAGGAAGAATGAAATCATAATAAGATCATAAAATCATTAAAATTATAAAATCCATTTCTACAACTCCATCACCAGAGTCTCCATTACACCCAATCCCTTACACCTTACACCTTACACCTTACACCTTTACAACCTTCATTCAAAAGCATTCAATGTTCATATACTTTGCATATTTTCCTAATTCTCTTTGTTTCTCTCGAGTTTATTAGACACCAATTTATACTATTCGAGGAAATCTATTTTCTGTCTCATTGTGCAGAAAATAGCTTTATCCTCCGAACTCACCCGTTCCTTACCTTTTAATCGCCGTTGATAACCTCGCGCGATCATTCTTTTCTTTCTTTTGCAACTCACCATTTAATCCTTCATTATACCTCTCTTTTCTTCAATTGAGCTCCTTCTAATCCTACTCTTGAACTTTGACGGGTTCTCTGCAAAAATGACGCGATTCAAGACAAAGTCTAATGGCTACGGCGTACAGGTTGAGGATACTCAGATCTGCGTGGTAATGGTCGGTCTTCCTGCAAGAGGAAAATCTCTCATTGCACAAAAGGGTACGTACAAACATCAATCGATTCAGGTGCATGCAAATCTAAACATATCTTCTTTAAGCTCAACGTTACCTCAAATGGCTCTCGATCGATGCTCAAGTCTTCAATGTCGGCAATTATCGTCGAAACGCAACTCCCAACCCTACAGCCGATTTCTTCGATACAAGCAATACCGAGGGCGAACGTATGCGCAGAGCTGCCGCCGAAGCTGCCGTCAATGACATGCTTGATTGGTTTAAGAATAAGCAGGGAATTGTTGCCATTCTTGATGCTACGAATAGTACAAAAGAGCGCCGTAGATGGATCAAAGATCGTTGTGATGCCGAAGGAATCGAGACCCTTTTTGTCGAATCGAAATGTGACGATGAGGACTTGATAATGTCAAACATTCTGGAAGTAAAAACTACATCCCCAGACTATGCTGGTTCAGACCCGGAGAAAGCCGCACAAGACTTTAGAAATAGGATCAAGAACTACGAGAAGGTCTATGAGACAATTGACGACGATGAGAGTGATCTTACCTATCTGAAGATTATGAACGTCGGGAAACAAGTCATCATCAATCGGATTCAAGACTATCTTCAAAGTCGCGTGGTCTATTACTTGATGAATTTGCATATTAAGCCGAGATCTATTTGGTTGTCACGAGTAAGTAACCATTGGATGTCATGAATCTCATTTTGCTAAATTTAAATAGCATGGAGAGTCGATGTACAACCTTGAAGGAAAGATTGGTGGTGATGCCGAGTTATCCCCTCGCGGGGAGATGTATGCCAAGAAATTGCCTGCATTGGTTCTAGAATCTGTAGGGGTACGTACTTTTCCATCGAGATTTAGCTGAGTCCCATGACTGATGTAAATAGGATAATCGCCCATTGACTGTCTGGACTTCAACCCTTCGTCGCACTATCGCTACAGCTCGTCACCTTCCTAATGAATATAATCAGCTTCAATGGAAGGCTCTCGATGAACTAAACTCTGGTGTTTGTGATGGACTTACTTATCAAGATATCAAGGAGCAGTATCCAGATGACTTCGAGGCCCGTGATGAGGATAAATACAATTACAGATACCGCGGTGGAGAATCTTATCGTGATGTTGTTATTCGACTAGAGCCCATTATCATGGAATTGGAGAGATCAGAGGATATTTTGATTGTTACCCATCAAGCTGTTCTTCGGTAAGGCTTATTCCTTTACGTGCATATAACCTGCTAACCATATCTAGCTGTATCTACGCTTATTTCATGAAGAAGCCCCAGGATGAATCACCATGGATGGCCGTACCTCTTCACACGCTCATTAAGCTCACCCCTCGTGCTTATGGTACACAAGAAGTCCGGTATGATGCACAAATTCCTGCTGTCAGTACTTGGCGTGGTAAAGGTAGTGTTGCGAAGCATGAAGACCCTGTTCCGGATACTACAACTACTGTTGGTAAGTAACTCATTTCTATATCCTCATGATAACTCTGCTAATACTCTCCATAGTTGTAGACGGCAAATAAATCTTTAATAACGATGCCATTGTTTACTTTCAGCCATACAATCAATCTTCTAAACGGGCTAGCAACTTTCGTCTACACTATGATTTTCGCCCAGTTTTTGGATGCATAGCGATTTGGCGTTACCTTGATTTGATTTCTCTTTGGACTTTGTGATACATTCGGAAATGTTTTTTGTCGCTCTTTCTTTGGTTTTGGTTTCATGTGCACATGTTAAATATGGACTCAGACGAATGAGTAATATCTGAAGCGTTGGAGACGAGGGACTTTGTAACGATGGTAGTGAAAATTTGGTTGGGCTTCGATTGAAAGACTGTTTCTTGTATTATGCTTTTGCTTGGATGGAGTGTATATGAATTGAGAAAAGGACTTGAGTCTTTAAGAGCAAAGAGATACCAGACAGCGAGTTTTGATTGAGAGCAGAGGAAAAAAGATGAAGGATCGTAGTAGAAGAGGTTTTTACACATTGAAAACCAAAAGGGCTTACAATATGATCATGAAGCGATAAAGCTGAGAGCGAAATAAGTCTTATATTAGATAGGTAGTGGAGGAATGAGGAATTTATGATTACTTTCTCCATATATTATACTAGGTAGTTAGTATTGTAACATAAATCGATATGGAAATTGTGTGTTATGGTTATGGAATGAATGGAGTATAAATGTGCTTTGTTAATACCTAGTAGACTAGTGTTAGACTCGGGATTTATAAAGTTAATGTGAGGGGAGAGGGGATAAGCTTGGTGTTTATCGGTTGGTATGGTGGTAGTGGTAGGTAGGTAGGTAGGTAGGTAGGTAGGTAGGTAGGTAGGTAGGTAGATGGCTGGTCAGTTGTATGGGTAGTTAACTGATAATGTTCGTATGTTCGTATGTTCGTATGGAGTTGTGAATGGTATTTGTCTATTTGTTTATTTGTCCGTGATAGGAGTAGGAAGTGGAAAGAAGTGGTTTTGGATAGTGGTAATGTATGTATAGGGTATAAAATAGTGTAGGGAGGGGGGGGAATTTGCGATGAGGTTTATAATTATAATTCAGTGTATATTTGTATATGTATTCAGGTATGTATTTAGGTATGTATATATAAATCTAAGTTTTAGAAAATAAAGGGAAAATGACGGGAAGGAGGAGGGAAGGAGAAGAGAATTGATTGATATGATATATATTGGTATGTATCGGTATGTATAAAATACTAGGTAATTATTAATAACGGATAGATAATCTTTATCAAATTCGATTCTGTGTTAAGGTAGGTGGGTAGGTTAGGTTATTCATCTAGATAGGTAGGTAGGTAGGTAGTGATTATTCTGTATTCTTTTTGATTTGGGATAGGGTAACTAACCTTACCCCAGCAGTATGTACGCAGCATATTTATTTATTGTTTGTGATGGATGGATGGATGGATGGGTGGATGGGTGGATGGGGTGATTCATGGTTTAAGCGCTGGTAGAACTATAAATTTTATGGTGAGGTAATTGGTGAGGTAATTACCAAGCGTCCATCCATTATGAAACCCTTCGGTGCTTTTTATATGTAGGGAGAAATGGATATGGATGGTATGAGCTATTAATATTATGGTGGTGCCATCCATATGAGCATATGTACTATGGAGTAATTAAGCGCCCATCGATATCGTGGTTTGTAGGGTGGGCATGGGTGTCGTTGCTTGCTTATTTTTGGGGGTTTTCTGTGCAGGCTTAGGATTGGATGAATGGAGGGATAGATGAGATGGTCTGCTTGTTACTTGTTACTTGTTACTTGTTACTTGTTACTTGCTACTTGTTGGTGGTATGTTGGTGATGCATGCATGCTTGAGAAGGGCATTAGAGGCGCGTTGAGACGCTTTGTTACAGTAGGGTAGGTGAGGTGGTGATTGATGAGTGTAGGGTTTGGGGAATCAAAAGAGAGATGGAGAAGTATATAAGGAAGGAGAAGGATTCAAAATGAAATAATCGAGTCAATTCGTAGGATTTTGTTTTTATTTTTGTTTTGTACATGTTGATTATATTTCGACTTTTGGATTCATGTTATTTTGTTCGCTTTGGTTTACTGGTTGATACCCTTTCTGCTTTTCTTTCTTCCTTTCTTTTCCTCTCGGATTTATAAGAAATTAGAAGGATTTGAATTTCTAATCTTCGTATCTTTTCATCTGACTTTCATTTTCTATCGAAGTAGAAGAATTCAGGATCCGGAAAGTTAGCTATGTATTCGCATGTGTCAATATCTGCTTTCTCGCTGCTGGCCAGCTTAATCGCTTCGATAGATGCATATCCTACACAATATCTAGCACCCAGTTCATCAGAAAGTAAGTTTATATAAATTCCTATCCTCCTACTTTGCTTCTCTCAAAAAACAAAACAAAACAAAACTAACACGCTCGCCTGTAGCCCTTTCAATTTCCAATCAACCACAAACTCCCCTCAACCTCTACACAACCACATCTCTCCACCCCTCTCACGCCGGAATCCTTAACTTCCATCCACCTTCTTTCTCCTCCTCATCCACTTCCTCAACCCTCCCAATCCCCTTCACTCTAACCTCCACCTGTCCTCAACTCCATCAATCCTGGACAAGCCTAACCAGCAACCTCCTCTCCGATCTCCACCTTCTCTACCCCAGCGGTCCCACTTCCTCCCCCTATTACACATTTTCCCCCGGCAGCTCTAGCGGGTCTTCATCTTCCTCTACTGCTCCCCAAAATCAAGATCAAAATCAAGATACATACACCATCTCCACAACCACCACCCAACCCAGCACCCAAAAATCAACATCCTTCAAAACCACCCTCTACATATCCATCACTCCCTCCACACAAGCAGGAGTTTCAGGTATCACGAAAGAGGAATGGAAGATCTTTTTGAGAATGTTAGGATTAGTTAATGTTGGGATGAGCGAGGAGATGAAAGGGATGGGATGGGGGAAATTGGTGATGAGGGGTGAGGTTCCTAGGGTGTGGGGTGGAATGATTTCGGATTCTTTGGGAAGGAGGAGGAAGGGGGAAATGGAGATGGGGAAGAGGAGATTGGGACCTTCGGATGTTGTTTTTCCGCCTTCTTCTTCTTCGTACCCTAAAGACGAAGACGAAAATGAAAATGAAAACGAAAAAGAAATCCAAAATAAAAACAAAAACAACCCCCAAAAAATTTCTTTCGCATACAGCGCAACATGGATATACTACGGTATCACCATCGACGAAACAGGAAAAGAGATACTGAGGGAATGTTCACAGATACCATTAAGTGCACATATGCCTACCGCTACTGAAATCGATTCTGAGGGAAAGAATGGGGGGAACGGGAATTATAAGGATAAGATAGAGAATGAGATGGGAAGCGAGGAAGAGGAAGATAGATGGAAGATTGATTTATAGAGCTGAGGATATTGTTTTTTTTTGGTTTTTTTTTTGGAGTTTTTGAGTTTTTAAACCTACCTATCTCTGTCTGTATGAGTGAAAAGAAGAGAGGGAGTTACGGACCTTACGGTTATTTCGAAACTGGAGCTGGAGCTGAAGTTAGAGTTGGTTTTGAATTTGATATCGATATCGATATCGATATTGATCGCGGTATCTGACTGATTGATGCTCGAGGTATAAATATCTAAGATGTATTACAAAAATAATACATGTCATATACACACACATACACGCACATATATATACATATAAATCCAACCAACCAAAAAGCCATACCCGAAATTCAGCAGCGTGATAATAACAAATTTATTCAGCTATTCTTTTATTCTCGCATTTAATCAGAGGCTTAGTATTCTAATATTTGATATTTATTATCTGTAGGTAAATTTTTGTTCTAGAATTCTTATGTATGATTACTACCCAAGTATTGACATGATGATCTATAAGATTTAAGACTTAAAATATTGGGGAATACTTACATACGGAGGAGGATAGATGGAGAGGTAAAGCTTAGTTGGCTTAACTTAACGTTGGAAATCACTACTACTATACATGATCACATTTTCCAGCGATCCAAATGATGAGCTCAAAAAGTAAGTCTTACAAGTCCAGTTTCATAGTACGAAAACCGAATTCTGAGAACACAGAAACAAATAAATAAATAAAATGGTATATAAGCAATATAAAACTTATATATATTCCCATCTCCACAATTCCCTCAGTCGCCCCTCCCTAACATCAATTCATCAAATCTCCTCCTAACCTCTGGCATAGCTCTCAAATGAGCCTCCAGCTCCTCCTTTTCATCCTCCAACTTCAACCTCTTCTCTGCATCCAATCCCGTAAAAATATATTTTCCTTGTCCATCAAATTGTAATATCTTACTATGATATTTCCATAAACTTCTACGATGACTAACTGTCATCAATGTAATATCTAATGCTTTCGCATGCTCATACATGATTTTTTCCATCTCTAGAGTGACGCTGCTGGTGCATTCATCTAGAATGGCATATTTGGGACGATTGTAAAAGAGGCGAGCCATAGCTACACGTTGTTGAAGTCCCCCAGATAACACATCGCGCCATTCAGCTTCGGCGTCCCAACCATTGGGAAAAGCTGTAACGAGGTGATCAAGATCGAGGATGGAAAGGATAGCAAGGAGGTCAGAATCGGTTATACCTTTACTTCGCATGGCACGAAGAGAATCAGGGTAGATAATTTGTTGACGAAGGGATCCGGCGCTAAGGTATGGTCGTTGGGGAACGTAGAAAACTTGGGAAAGGGGTGGTTTTCGGACAGTACCGCCATATACGGGCCAGAGACCTCCCAGAATGCGGAATAAGGAAGATTTACCACATCCGTTTGGTCCGACTACTAGAACATGATCCCCACGTTTCATGGAAAAGGATAGTTTTCGAACAAGAATACTTCCACCTGGAGTGATGATTGGTCTAAGAATGGTTAGCAATTGTAGGAATTAGGCTTGAATAGAACATACACATCAACAAATTCAATGTCTTCACTTTCGATCACAGTACCTCTTCCTCTCATCAATTCTAATTGTTCACCAGAATCATCCTCGGAAACCAAAGTTTTAACGAATCGTCCAGCCTTAATCTCATCCATAACTTCCAATAGTGTCGCAACTCGGGAGGTATATCCGGCTAATTCAGTAACCTCCTTGTAGGAGAACATTACTCGACCGAAGGCATCGGAACTAGAAAGTAATAATCTTCGATTGGTTACGAAGCTTTCTGTTCGATCACCCATACTTGCTGAACTTGCACCTGGTATCTTAAAGAATACCGGGACACTACACAGAATAAGCCCTAAAGCTCCCCATACGTATTTGATAACGAAATCCTATAGCAGTTAGCTTCGTTCTCCCAAAAAGGTTGTCACGTTCCTTACCTCCATTATTCCATGTGTGAATCTTCGCCTCAAAATATCTATGGCGGTATTAGCTGAATTTCAGATATCAGAGCAAGGCGATACTCACAGTTTACATGTTTTATGAGTGTAAAGTATCCTTTATCCAAAGTATCCTTTTCCGCTTCATGCCCATTATACAATGCGACCTCTTCACTATAATCTATCAATCTCGAATGTTGAAATCGGAATTCCCCTTCTAGTCTTGCTTCATCTGCCACATATTTGCCAAAAGGAGGAGTCAACGCTCTCATGACATTTGCTGAAAGTTGTACCAGTAGCGACATAAAAAGAAGCCCCTCGCCACCAACACTTTTGGAAAGAGAATAGTTGTATATTGCCATATCCAATGCTGGTTTCGCAAGATTTCCATATAACTCTGCCAAACTATTCGCAAATTTCGATACATCCACGGTTATTAACTGATCCGCGTTCTTTATTCGATCATCGAGAGCAGAAAGAGAGTAAAATGTCATATTCGACAAGTATCTATCGTGGATATAATTCGTTAATCGTGTTCGGTATTGAAGCGCAAGTTTACACTGATGATATGAGAGCTAGATATTTCATATATTAGCTTAATCACAGCAGACGGGGTCATGTGGTACATACCATAGAATTCGTGAATGTTGCAGGAACAGCGATCAACATCCACCATACAATACCAATCAAAAAGTCCTTCCCTTTTCCTCGTACCAAACTTGAAACCAATGCACCATCCATGGCTGCAACTTTCAAACTGATCAGAGTTCTGATAACAAGGAAGATACTGTGACTGACAAGCAGTCGCATCTCCTTACTCCTCCATCCGGGAATACATATCCTCAAAAGCCGGATCAGATTCTTGAAAAACTCTCTATTCAGTTCAACCTTTTTCCTTTCAGTTCCTTGCGCGCCATTTCCCAGTGCAACCGGACCTCTTCTTCGCGACTCTGCATGACGAATGGCTGCAGCCTTTTGTTCGGAAATGGCAGATCGTATGCGATTGAGAAGAGCGAAGAATAATGTCAAATAAACCGTCCGAGAGATCTTTGTTCGATGCTTGAGATATAATGATGTGAGGTCAGATATTATACTCTTGATCGTTCTATCGGGTGGTAGGAAATCGATTTTAGATTGCGCAGCCATTATGATAAGCTTTGTAAAACAGACTCCGGGATACTGTTATGAGCAGCTCAGCGAGTCTGCAGATATAAAGGCTTCATGAGTAGATGCAGTGAAGTACTGATCAAGAACTTAGATGGTTCTCAAGTGAAATTTCGTTGTTGTGTATTTGCAAATGTTGCCATCGTTCATCGTTACATGCGCTGATGCTTCCTGGGGTTTGTCCTCGGCGCATCTTCACATGCCAACCGCTTCCCGGAATGGAGAAATCTGGGGTAAAATGTACCGTGCACGTGACTACATCGACAAGGTGTTTGTTATAACTATGAGTTCTATCCTTCCTGGATCGTTTGATTTTTAGATCGTTTCATTTTTATAGATTCAGCTACAGTTTATCTTTCTGTCTTTACATATGAGATCAATCCTATACCGGGGATTCTCTCTACAAATTTTACTATGAATCATGAATCCTACTCCGTGCATTACCCTAGTGATTTTCTGGTGATGGCCATTTTGGCAGTGATGAAGACCAGCGACTTTAGAACTGTCGGCGTAGACTCCGCCGAGACTCGAATTCAACTTCAAGGTTACTCAATCGACAGACATCGTTGCACATAATTGTTGTATCGCTAAGCTTATGGCTTGACATCGCCACACATCTACAAATGATGCATTTCCGGAGTCGAAGAGTTCTGGCTGAGCTCCATCCACACTTCACAGCCTCCTTCAAGATGCTCACTCTGCCACAATTTAACGCCGACGAGAACTGCATTCGACTACACAGGTAGGTGTTCTGTGGTATGACAGCTTCCACTATGCCAAGTTCTTATTCTATGAAATATTACGATTGGTTTCCATTTCCTTCTTTGGAATTCGAACTTCTCTGTGAAACGTGTATTTCCGTCAGCCGCACGTGAACATTTGCTTCTAGCTTTTAACATATATCTTTAAGTAAAGAGCACAGTCTGAACTTTACGTTGTTTTGTCCATATATCTTTCGATTGTTATACCAATATTCTAATTGGGACCAAATTGAATCCTCCTGTTCTCTTGACCCTGGTCTTACTTCACGAATCAATCTCGTATTCGATTTGTACATTGTACAGCCATATATCGTCGAAAGTATAGTGCTTCCGTGCTTGTATTAGACTCGAAAGAGCTATGGAAGCAATAGGGGCGATCAGCAATATTGCTGGTGTTCTATCCGCTGGGATACAAGTTTGCGAGGGGCTTGTTAATTATTATAATGCCTGGAAAGGTAGCAAAAAGGAGAATGCCGACATGATTAAATCCATCGAAAATCTTTCCACCAACTTTGTTCTATTAAAGGTCACCTTACAGAGTCCTACTTTCGATAAAGTAATGGCCAAAACTGTGGAGTCTAAGGTTTTGGACTGCGAAGACAGTATCACAGAATTACAGGATGAATTAAAGAAGGTCATGATTTGCAAGCCTTCAGTGGTAGACACAAATAATTTGTTGGCAACAAACAGCCATGATAACAATGGATTCAGGGATAGGATGACGGAACAAGGAAGAAGAATTCTCTATCCATTCAGGAAGAGTACATTGATGAGATTACAAGAGAACATCGAACACATGAGGAGTAATCTGGTCCTTGCTATGGATATTTTAAATTTGTATGCCTCCAGTTCCCAAGATCTCAAGCAATGTTAATGATTACTAGGTCCACGGCCTCGACCACGGCGGGGAGAGTTGCCGATATTTCTAAACAAGTCACAACGATTAGTAGCGGGTTAGATGCTATCATTACTCAACAAATGGACAAAGAAAGTATCCAAGTCCTGGAATGGCTGTCTACCATTGACTGTCACTCCAAGCAACGCGAAATGCTCAGTCGAAGACACGAAGGTACCGGCGAGTGGCTCTTTGAAAGCCAGAAATATCAAAATTGGCTAGATGGAAAGGATAGATTACTGTGGTGCTCGGGTTCACCCGGAGCGGGCAAAACAGTCCTTGCTTCCGCCATTGTCGACAACTTGGAAACAACGTTTTCATCCTCGAATGTGGGCGTGGCATTCGTCTATTGTAACTACGCAGAGAAAACAACTATCGCCGAATATCTCGCTAGCATTGTACAGCAGCTTGTCCGACAACGATACGTAATTCCAGATTATGTCATTGACTTATATCGCAAACATAGGTCTATGGGAAGAAACCTGACTAGCGCGGAGGCTGTACATCTACTCCATTTATTAACGTCTGAGTTCCCCCGTTTGTATATAGTCGTCGATGGCTTGGACGAATGTGATGAAACCAAGAAAACAAGATCAAATCTCGTTCGGGAATTACGGAATCTGCCTTTAAATACAAACGTACTCCTTACGTCACGTCGTTTGGGGGATATTGAAGATAAGTTGTCTGATTGTCCACATCTCGAAATTCGAGCTAGCGACCATGACGTGCGAGCGTACCTGGGAGCTCGTATAGATACCGACGAGAATATCCTCAAATTTTGCAAGAAGGATCCGACCTTACGGGAGACAATTGTAGGAAAAATTGCGGAGAAGGCTCATGGAATGTTCGTTAAGTAGGACTCCCCATCTCCATGTGGTATACTGATCTGTTGGCTAGGTTCCTTCTTGCCCATTTACACATAGAAGCTATTGCTTCAGAACTTAAGATCAGCCGTATTAAAAAAGCATTGGCTGGCCTGCCAAATATTCTAGACAACTCCTATGATGATGCCATGAAGAGAATCATGGAAGGACAAGACACGAATCGTAAAAACTTGGCTATGAACATTTTGATGTGGCTGTCTTGTGCAAAGAGACTCTTGACTCTTCGCGAGCTCCAGCATGCCATGGCTATTATGGAACTCGATCCTGATGAGGACGAATTAGATGAAGAGGATTTTTACGATCAAGACCTGCTATTAACAGTCTGTGCCGGTCTCGTGGTAATTGACCCAGAGAGTGGTATTATCCGCCTGTGTCACTATACTCTTCAAGAATACTTTGAGCGCCATCGCTCAAAATTCTTTGCCGATGCTGATATCTTGATCACTCGAGCTTGCATTAGGTACTCGTCTTTGGATGATTTCAAGAAACCAGAAAATCCAGATCGCGGGGTCACCAAAATTCAACTTAGACGGTACAGTCTGTTGTCGTATGCAAGCCAGTACTTATGTGCAAATGCTCAAGGCACGGCAGAAATAGAACTTACTGACGATATACCGTATTTTCTCAACCAAGGAATACTCGTAAATGGCGCATCTGCGGCTATGAAGGTGTCCAGCATACGCAATACGATCGAATTTTCCCCTTCAATCGTAGCCGCTGTCATGTTTGGGTTACCAACAATCATCGGCAAAATCCTCAAGTCAGAGGCAGACATTGAGGCAACCTGTTCTAAGGATTTCACACCTTTGTTGATGGCAGCAGAAATGGGCCACTTGTCTGTAGTTTCAGGCGTCGTCGCCTCCAAGGCAGAATTTTTGGCTAAAGATTATCGCGGAGATAATTCACTTCACGAGGCTCCACTGGGCGGTTATACTGAAATCGTGAAACAGCTTGTTTCTGCCGAGCCCTCCTTGATTGAAGTTGCACTAGAAGATAATTTCGATAAAACGGCACTCCATATGGCCATCGGTTGCAACTATGAAGAAGTTATCAGAGCTCTGATAGGGACTGGAGTCGATGTAAACAGATTAGACGGATTAAAGCTGGCCCTGTTGATGAATCAATCGTGGCAACCTTCCAGAAACCGTGGCAACCTTCCAGAAACCGTGGCAGCCTTCCAGAAACCGTCGATTTATTGATAGGAAGGGGGTAGATGTCGATGCGCGCGTTTCGCGATAATACTACCCTTATCCATGGCAAGGATATTTGGAAACACTGAAGATTTAAAAAACTTGCTAGCACCAGCAGCGAAAGTCCATGCTACCACGAATGCTCACTCGGGTACAGCACTACTTCATCTCGCCAGCTCAATCCACAAGATAATGCCATCATTGCCGAGGAACTTATTCGTCATAGTAAGGATGTTAATAGTTCTCATGTATTCCACCTTACATCTTTCTGTTATGGAAGTTCTGATAGAAGCTGGGGCTAAGATCCAGGCCAAAGACAAAAACGGGGAAGCTGCATTACATAAACCCTGGAACTTGGCTGTTAGGATTCTGTACAAGCTCTCATCGATTCTGGTGTGGATCTCCAAGCAAAGAACTTCGAAGTAAATATAGCTTTGGATTTTGCTAGAGAGTCAAGAACTAGGTGTCTATATTTAGAGATCGTTTATTGTTTGTGGAGGCGAGAACCTTGATGCTGTACTTTAAGTGGTGGCCGAATACACATGTCAGTCAGCATGATATACGATCTCGCGTTACGGATTCAGAGGAAAGTCACCTTATACTCAATCACTATGGCTCACCTCTGAGGAAAACTATGAGAATATTGACTTCCCTTCTCCGACCTTCTACCTAAAGCCTAGCCTAGGCAAAATATCCAGCATGGTTCTGTTAGCCCGGAAAATAAGCCAGGCTATCAATCACCTGAATGAGTGCCATAACATCCAGGAATTATGTCTGATGTGTCTAACGAAGGCTCTGATCTAATCAAACTGTTAACATCAAAACAATATACGCAAAAACGTTAGATATGGCGGACTAGTCAGTGCTTACATGTATGTAAACTGACAGTACCGTTGGTATTCATCCTTCAGTCACCTCAAATACTCAAGAGCTATTCATTGTTTAACCTATTTGCAGTATCGGGTTGTAAAATTTCACATCTCAGTTACAGCGTAACTTAGGATGACTTTATTGTTTAATACTATTTCAATATTACATTTTTGTATATACAAACAAAGATGTAAGAAACCGAAAAGTTGCAACTATGACATTGAGAAGATCTTTTTTTGTCGTGCAAAACACTATTGTAGCGAATAAATACTGATTAAATGACGGAAATGGTAGTGACTAAGGACTCTAGTCCTCACCGGACAGAAAAGAACTCAAGTGTGCCCAAAATTAAACTAAGAAATCACAATACCTGCTACTCCCAAACTGAAAAGTTAGCAATCACCGCCTTACCGTTCACAACTAAGTCCTAAGCCATCTATCTCACAACCAAAACCCGTGAGCCAAATCCGAAAAACGAAGACAAAACTGCATCCTCAAAGAACGGATCCAAAATAAGAGGCACACCTCAGAACTCCATATCAGAGCTTTCCTCACGCCTCGCTTTTCGCGCATCTTGTCAAAGTCTACGCGCTCAACTCGGAACCTAGTGTAATGTTGGCGAATCCAAATTCTTCATATCTTGTAGACTATACACTACTCCATCCTTTCTGTGTGCACCGGAACATTTTTGTTCTCCGCAGGAAAGTTAAAAGCTTCATGTTGGAATTATGGAGGGCGTGTGTGATAGGATAGCTCTGGACTTCCGCTATGCGAGAGCTAGACAGGGCGTGCTTGTAAATCAACTTCTTGACCTCTTAGGAAGCTCTTAAAGTGGACAAGTTTCTTGATATGCCATTGCGCGGTTCTTTGCAATGATGAAAAGGGTATGGTGATTTGTCGATTTCATTCTGTAATCTTGTATTAGGTATGTACAATTATGATATTGCAATCAAAGATTGTGAAGAACTAATCGGCTTGGGAGATTGATGGCCTCAAGATGTCGTCACGGTGAGTGGTTCTTTTAAGTAAAAGGAATCAGGAAATTAGGAGTCGCGATGAGCTTAATTAACCTTATACTGTCTTATTTTTTTGATACGTCGAGAGGGTTGGAGGATTAATATTGATATTGTAGTTATTGGGCTGGTATTTGTACATTTGCGCATGCTTGGATTTCTATATCTGGTTGTTGATTTGCCGCTTTGAAAGCTAGGGAGTTGGGAGTATTGGAAGTATTGCCACGGTTGTTGTTGATTTGACACTTGAAATTGGATGTTGAAGAGTGGATTTGGCTGGAAACTTTGGTGATGTAACATATGTAAGAAAACAGAAAGGATGTATCCTAACTAGTGGTCTGGCAATCAGTCATGCGAGGTAGATTTTAATGATGGTATGCTGTTGTGTTGGATGCTAGATGTTATGTACCGTTGGACTGGTTATAAGAATTCAAATCAAATTCATTATATCTTAACTTTCTGAAATGTATGATTTGACAGTAAAGCTGGATGTATTCACTCAGTAGGTTCTATAAGTCAGATTGTATAAAGAATACCCTCAACATCCTCACAAAAATAAACCGGCTTTCCATCCCTGAAAACCAGCATGAGGAAATAGCTTCTCGACTACATCCTCTCGCCAACATATTTAGATTATCGGTCGATATGCAACGAAGCTAGTATTTGCAAGATTGAGCAAGTTGTGCAGTCCATGGGAAAGTTGTTTTCTTGTCGAAAGCATGAGTATTCGCACTTCCCGTGAGAGCCATACGATTGCATAGCTGCGAAACGTAAGGTCAGCAATGATTGTTTGCGGGATTGTTTGCGGGATTGTTTGCGGGATTGTTTGCGGGATTGTTTTCCAGTATATTTGGCTATGATGATGAGGGTGCGATGTTTTCCAAAGTCTTCTTTGTTTCTGTGTGGTAGATACTTCCATACCATACAGCGAAACGCTGGTGGGAAGTCCTAAAAACAATGGAAAATTTTAGCTGGAGGATGTTGCTGCGCTGTGCTTTGAGTATTGATTGCATTTCCCGTCGTAGCAGTAGAAAATCTTGTAGTGGTCATGGTTTGACTGAGTATTCCGCCCATTTGAAGGTCGTGATGGTTTGGTCAAGAAGATAATGTTGTGGTGTGAATTTCTGGATCTTGTGGAGCGCAATGATGCGACTTAAATTCAAACCCGAAATGTGGTGTACCGCTTGTCGTGAATTGAATAGCAGTCTGGTGAGGGAGTACCGTACCACGTAGAATTCTTACCTAGTGAAGGTAGAAGTAAACTGTATCATGGCCAGGAACTACAAATCAACAGTATGATAAATCCATTAATTTCAATGTGCAATGTCAGGTAGTTCTTAAACAGTCAGCTGTATGGAGCCTGTAATTACGTTAAAATAGTTATGAGAATATAGAGACCTGATTTCTAATCAACCAAATCGAACACCGACTGTAAAATATTTATGCCTTCCGCTCTATGCTAGAAACATCGTATCTGAATTATCAACGTCACGGCCTGCCCCTCTCCCTGTCTAGCAGTACCATCATATCGAGAAAAAGACCCCCAAGTTATTCCCATGCCCAAACTGATCACCAAGCAAGCTATCCACAGATATCCAAACCGTTATACCCGTCCAAGTAGTATCATTCGCTGCCACAATCCTTTGCGACAGGGCCATAATGTGTCCCTAGGCCCCAGCACAGATGGATGAAATCTTGCCAGCGGCTTCTAGGAACAAGTAATCTAGACTGGAGCCTATTACCATATGGATGGGTTTCAACATCTATACTATGGCACGTATCAGTATTAGCTTGTCCAAATCGCCGGGCCATGAAGCATAGTATCTATACACAATCGTGTACATCTCCATCCCACTTTTCCGCAAGGAGAAAACAATGCATGAGACTTTCCCACGAACCTCTAGCGACAAGCGAGACCTCTTTAGTTTGAAGACTATTGTCATTTTGCCTGATTTTGAGATCTGCAGTATAGCACATTAGTGCTAGCGATATTAAAATTGGAAGGTTTAGTATGCAGACCTGATTTTGGAAACGGGGTTTTATCATTCAAGCTTGTGAATGAATTATGTGACTCAATATCTGTTGATTCATCTTTCTTTTGATTTTCTTTACCCAAAGCAGCAAGTTTTGGCAGATGTCCCGGGCTCTCGAATCTGGGATACTTTCCAGTTACCTGTCCGCCAAGTTTTTCAAGCTTCCTAATCAGAACTTCAGCCACATGATATGAGCTTCCATCTTCGGTACGAGGAGTTGCAGCAGAGATATCTCTAGGGTGTGCTCTTCGTCTCCGTCTGGTATCGAGCGGGCTTGACCCCCATGATGGTGAAGAGTTCAAACCACCTGAGTCAGACAAAGCGTGTGCTTGCACATTACGAGTCATGATGCCGATACCGATAACAGCAGGTGTGTAGATACCAAATGCTAAGAGAGTAGCTAGAACAGCTATATTCTGGACACTGAGGGGGAGGGGGGTTGGTATGGCTGTGATTGAGGATTTTTCGAGGTGAGCTGTTGTAAGAATTTCGGTTTCGGATTCCATGAAACTATGTGCAACACCTAGGCCGACACCCATAAGAAGGGATATGAAAAGTGTAGGATGCATGAAGATGGATTTCATATTGAGGTATTTCTGAAGTACTGCTGCGTTGTTGATTTCTTTGTTTGATGGTTTGGGTCTGAAGAAATGTTTGAGTTGAAGGTGAAGTTGGCGGTCGGGTTGGAGGTTGGGTTGAATTTGAGTTGCAGGTTGAGTTGCAGGTTGAAAGTAGGGAAAGGGTAGGACAATGAGACCTTTAAATAGCTCAACTAAATGGATGTAGATGACTGTGAGTTCAAGATTGAATAATTTCTGCTAAATTCTTAGGACTCAGTACCAGCTCATGTTTGCTTTCAGCAATTTGTTTCTGAATCATATTCATTACTCTCTTCAGATAAGTCCTTGTGAGTTTGGCTGAGCTTCAAAATCTATATAAAGGCCTCAGGAAGCGAAGCAGACTTGAATATCTCTTCCATTATTCACTGGACTCTGTTTCACATATAAAGTGATAAGAGGCCAAAACAATGCTGTTACCCTTAGAGCAATTCCATATCATTCCATATTATCCATAGCTCTGAATGCAGCAATTCCAAACAGCCTCTAAATCCAGCAAGACCAAAATCGAAATGCACACGACGCACCTGTCTTCTCATCATATATTTCCTCTCAAGCATTGTTGCAAGAGCTCGGGCGGAAGACACGATTAACTCGTCGGAATATCTGTCGGTGATAATGTACCACAGAACACCAAGATCAATCTAACATTGAACAATAACTGTGGGATAGGGCAGTCCGCGGCATGAGAGAACTCGAGCACGAGTGCCCTATTCAACAACCATTGTACGTAATGATTGCTATTGGAGAAGTAAACGTTGCTCCCTTGCTTCCTTCTCCTCAATAGACAATTGATATTCCAAACTTCAAGTAGCACCAGTAACCATAGCTCCAACTGGTTCGGGTCTTGTCGAGAATAAAATCTTCCACTTCACAATTTCGACAATTTCCAATTCGTCCCCAGCACCGGACTCAACACCTCGCGTTGAAATATTGCCATTCGTTAGGGAATTCAGCCCGGTTTCCTTCTTTCTAATAACTGCGTAAGCCTTTGGAAGCTTCTTGACTTCACCTGTGAGCCTTTGATGCTTTCCTACGTAGAGGTAAACGCGCTTCATCCACTTGGTATTATCTGGATTTGCCGAGTCATATTCTGGAAAGATGAGACGACCAATTGGAGTTTGAAGACTTTCCAGTGAAGACTCTGGATTTCTCGCCAGCTCATAATCCTCAATGTCTGGTTCTGGAAGGTTGATCGTTCCCTGAAGCTCTAACAAAGCCAATCCAGATGGCGTTTGAAGAAGCTTCGGTAGAGGATTTTTTATGGTGGTGACAGGACTTTCAACGCTAGTGTGAAGTGGTATCATGATTGCGAACTTTAAGGTATTGATCTATATACTCTGAGCAACACTAAACACCAAATCTGAATTTCTTCAGAGGTAGACATATAAATATGGCAGAATGTTTGACCGATCTGATTCTTGAATTTCTCACATGACCTCGGTTGTTGATCCACACTGGACTTTTCGCGCTAAGAACACTAGCGCATCGCACCGAGAATTTCCAACTTTGCAAAATCTAGAAGACTTCATTCTTCTCAGCGACAAATTATCGACGACAACCTCGACCACTTGACCATTTACCACCGTCAAGATGAAGTTGGTATGTATCTTATTGCTTTCAAATGGATTCATTGAGTATCTGCTAACATATTTTGATTGATAGAACATTTCATTCGTACGTTTCGATCCATCCAAAAACACACGACCAAAGAAATCGAACTGACAAAAGTACCCTACAGCCTGCCAATGGCAGTCAAAAGCTCATCGATATTGAAGACGAGCGCAAGCTCCGTGTCTTCATGGACAAGAGGTATTTCTTTCGCGAAATCGAACACAACAAAATCTAATATTTCCTCGACAGAATGGGCGCTGAGGTTCCAGGAGACTCCGTCGGAGACGAGTTCAAGGGATACATCTTCAAGATTACCGGTGGTAACGACAAGCAAGGTTTCCCAATGAAGCAAGGTGTTATGCACCCAACCCGTGTCCGCCTTCTCCTTTCCGACGGTCACTCTTGCTACCGCCCACGCCGAACTGGTGAGCGCAAGCGTAAATCCGTCCGTGGATGCATCGTCGCTATGGATTTGTCAGTTCTCGCTTTGAGCATTGTCAAGCAAGGAGAGAACGACATTCCAGGTGTCACCGACGTTGTCCACCCAAAGAGATTGGGTCCCAAGCGTGCCACCAAGATTAGAAAGTTCTTTGGGCTCACCAAGGAGGATGATGTACGTTTTCCCTACATCATTCTATCGCCTATCTCTCTCAACCGCTTCGTGCTGGTGCTTGAGGATAGAGTGTGAGAAGTAAATCCAAAGCGAAATGCTGATAAATTTGGGTTAGGTCCGTAAATTCGTTATCCGTCGTGAGGTTCAACCAAAGGGTGAGGGCAAGAAGGTCTACACCAAGGCACCAAAGATCCAACGTTTGGTCACCCCACAACGTCTCCAACACAAGCGTCATAGACTCGCACTCAAGCGTCGTAACTCTGAGCGTACCAAGGAGGCTGCCGTAAGTTGCTCTGGTACTTTTCCCTTTGATTATCCAGCTAATCCCTTTTTCCAGAACGAATACGCTGCTATCCTCACCAAGCGTGTCTCTGAGGCCAAGCACGCCAAGGTTGATGCCCGCAAGCGCAGAGCTTCTTCTATGCGTAAGTAGAGTGTATGTGTTGGGTAAAATAGTAGTCTTTATGGATGATTGGCGTGTGGAATGAATCCTCAGCCGGGTTCAAGAGGTGTATCACAAAAAAGCATTATACCAGGATGCTAGATACCAATTTAAAATGGACTGCATATTACTACTTAGGATGGCGTTTCTGGAATGCAATGATGTGCTATTAACATGTTTTGATGTGCCCTTAACAGTGAAATAATTGCAGTTGGTGGTTGTCACTAAATCTTGCTTCTCGGCTCCCTTCGAGTTTCTTTCCCTCCCATAGTCTTCTTCCAACCTCTACCACTCTAATATCTCCTTGCTTTCCTTATACATATGTCGTGAGATCCTTCCCCACAAACCCTCGGTTTACTTAGCACATAAAAGTACAATGAGTGACCAGGACAGCTTACACATCATTTATCTTTCCTTCTCACATGACAAACAAATCACATATAACATATAACAAGAGAAAAGGATTTAATCCAATGCTTTCTTAGCTGCTTCGTGCCTATTTATATATGGAAGGGCTTTCCTGATTTCAGGTTTCCAGTTCCCCGTTCAGACGGGTGTTTAAGCACAAAATCCATCGCTGCTGCAATTCCCATCCCAGATCTACCTACCCATCAAACCCTGAACGTAACCCTGAAACTTTTTACCCACGTCACTCCTCCCCGATAACTCGAGACCCTCTTAGTCCATAGGTGCATGCGTGAACAAAAAGCTCACACTCTCACCATTATGCGTCCTCCTAATTGCTTCAGCTAACGTAGCACTAATATCCATAACCCTCAATCTCCCACATTGTTCCTCCTTTCCTCTGAGTGGTACTGTGTTTGTAACAACTACTCTGCTCAATTTACTCTTGTTTAGGGTTTCGATTGCAGCTCCACTTAGGATACCGTGGGTGACGATGGCGACGACTTCTTTGGCACCGTGTTCCATGACTGTTTCAGCGGCTTTGACGAGGGTCCCGCAGGTATCGGCCATGTCGTCTACGAGGATGGCGATTTTATCGACGACGTCACCGACGAGGACCATACGAGATACTTCGTTAGGGCGGGCGCGCTCTTTGTGGATGAGGGCAAAACCGAGATCGAGACGGTCGGCTATGGAGGTTGCTCTGGAAATAGTGTTAGTTTCTGCGATTCCCTATGGAAATGCCACTCCATATCAATTCTCTTCATCCCACAACCTGCATCTCACTAATCTACCGGACATTCGTCGGATAAAATCAAAAGGAAAGCAGAATTGGCTCACCTCTTAGCACCACCGGCATCCGGACTAACAACCACACACTTGCTAACCTCTAAGTTTTCTCTAATCCACCTCAAAGTACTTGGCTCCGCATACAAGTTATCGACTGGAACATTGAAGAACCCTTGAATCTGACTTGCATGTAAATCCATAGTAATAACGTGATTACAACCGGCAGTTTGCAACATGTTCGCGATAAGTTTCGCTGAGATAGGAGCGCGGGATTTATCTTTCTTGTCTTGACGTGCGTATGGGAAGTTGGGGATGACAGCTGTAATGCGGCGTGCCGATGCGGTTTTGCAGGCATTGATCATGATGAGCAGTTCCATGAGTCCATCGTTAATATCACCAGGTGCGGTGGATTGGAGAATGAAAACTAGTGAGGGATATTGAGAATCTTTTGTAGTGTGGGATAGGATGAGGTACAAGAAGAACTAACCATCTTCATCTCTGACACTCTCTCCTACTGTGACGCTGGTTTCTTGATTCGAATAGTTCAAACTCATAGTCTTTGCAAGTTCAATACCCAATCTGCGGCACGAATCTCATCAGCATAATTCCTCCATCTCCATTCGCATCGGTACTCTCTAACAACGTCTCCAAGCAAAGCACCAAAGCCCTAAATATAAATCCAAGCGTTCTCATCCCTACCCAGCCTATCCCTCTGCCATAGTAACCATATCTATCCCATCCTAGTAACCCAACTTCAAGAAAGAGAAAATAACCCACCTATCAGCAACCAACTTTGCCAATTGCGGGTGGCTATTGCCCGTAAGCAACTTAATGGAATTCGTCGCCATTTTTTCTTCCCCTTTTCTATTTCTTGTTTTAATCAAGGCTTCCTTCTGTTGTCTTCCTTTCGAATCGTTCGCAATCGCACCTTTCCACAAATTCTTAACTAGGTCCAAATTCGTTGTCGCAAAGAAATTCTTAGCCCACGTTTCTGTTTCGCTACGCCCTATTCGCTGTTCGTTCGTTCGTAAGTGTAAGGTGTAAGGTGTAAGGTGTAAAGTGACAATTGTTCTCCTATACTTCGTATATCTGACGCAATCGCAACCAATTTTTCCTAGGTTTGTTCCGAGCAGAGTCAAACCCCACAACCTTTTGAGTTGCTCCTTCTAGTATGCGCAGAGTAGATTTTTCGTGTGCAGATAGGCAATCGAATCTTCTTGATCAAATCTCCCGAGAATATAAATGATATCTCGTTGCCTTGAACTGAGGTTGGGTTGAGTTCAAAACGTCTGAACAAAAAAGGAAGCTGATCAGTGAGAGAGAGAGAATATAAACGCTTTGATTAACATTTGACAAGCAAGAATTCGAGAAATAATTTTTGCGGGGTCTCTCGAAAATATAACGTCCGTGCCGATGATCGGCTTTTGCCGTTTTGGTGGGTCCGTTGCAAGTCGCGTCTTCTTTGATTGATGTTTTATACCTACGATGGTATGTTGACTTCACAACTGCACATAAACCTCACCTCAACACCATCCATCCGACTCGATAGCTCGTTTTTTGGAAGTTTATACTGATGAAGAAGGTTTACGTAAGAATGCCTGGCTAGAGCTATTCTAGTCATCTTTTGTATAGTCTCTGCCAGAGAATATGGATTCTCACGGCAAGCAGGCAGGTCCATCTAGACCAACATCTAATTTCGACAATAATATCAGATCACATTCATTCTCAACCATGAGAAGAAGTGACAGTGTATGTGGAACTTTTTCTTTTTAATCTTCATTAACGTGTCAATGATGACTATCTGGTAAAAGGTCTGAGTGCTCAAAAAGGCTTCCTCTGGTTTTGCTTTGACTATACTATTCCCTTGCTATGGCCGATGATACTACCTTTGCATTTATCAAACTCTGGCGGCGTCCTCCATTTCAGGCAAGACTGTTTTAGTTCAAGACAATCAGCTTCAACAATGAAAATTGAAGGACATATTGATGTCTTTTGACACTATTGCTATACGGAGTTAGACATCAACTTGCTCTAGGATGTATGACCAAAGGCTGCAATAGAAAGTGGCGTTGAAACTGCCGCAAAAAGAGACTGGATCATCTGTAAAAGTCAGTTGAGGCGTACATTAGTGTTGTATAGCTCAATGCATAACCGCTGAAGCAAGCCATATGACGACTTTATATAAACTGAAAAGACCTGAGACACATTTAATTCCGTTTTCTTATCTTGGCTGGCTGTTATTCAAATACTTGCTAATTTCTTCTTAGTTGCAAGCCCAATCCGAAGACAAGTTTGACGAGTCGAGTTCAATTGCTTCATTGTCAACTATCAGCAAAGTTACAAGATGCTTAAATTGTAAACTAGAAGAACTAACTCTCGACCCTTTGTATCGTTGTTCGAAATGCTCAGCCCGATGGCATGCTAGTTGTCATAATCCACGCCCAACAATGGGAGCTGAAGTCACGTATGGCAATTTCTCCTCGTACTGGTCGGCAATCGCTAAACGTGAATAGTGATTGGTATTGCCGTCATTGTACTAGGAAATATGGCCTGCCACCAAGAGAACATTCGCCAGAGCGTGAATCATTAGCCGTGGAATGCGAAATACCTGGGTGTAAGAAGCCAATTTATAGCATGTCGGGTAAAGCCAAAAATGGTCTAATCTTGTGTAAGTTTCACGAGATTACAGAGAAAAGTAAGAGGTCAAAGATTGCTAGCAAAGCACTGGTACAGGCCTCGTCAAGGCCACTCTCGAAGCCCATTAAAAAATCAAAGCTTTACACTGTTAAGTATGATGAAGATATGCAGGAAATGAAGCGTAAACCAGGTAGGAAGCCAGGAGATCTAAAAAAGAAGCCAATGCTTTCAAACCATTCAGCTGCCCAATCAGCTCTCAATAATAAGCCAACCGCGAGGACTCAGGGAGTCCGGAAATCGGAGAACATGCTGGCTACACGAAGTGATTTGCGTCCTCATACTGACATGGCCGCTCGAGGACCGCTGTATCCCCGAACTGATAACTCGATTCATATTCCAAAATCTAGAAGTAACTTGCAACCACAATGGATAAGGGCCAGCAGCCCTAATACGAATAGTGCTAGGGTCTTGTAAGTTTTGATTATTGAATACGGAGTGAATATTATTGATCTAACCTATTTAGGCCAGAAATCTACAATGGAACCACACTCTCACCATCGCCGGAGTATGAGCCTCCATCACCAGCTATAGTTGATGATAAAACAGTTCCTTCACCAGAATATGAACCTCCGTCGCCAGCCGAAGTTGACGACAATGCTAATATTTGGCAATCTGAAATTGAGAAATCTGTTGAGCAAGACGGCATTGAGCAAGACAACATTGAGCAAGACGATAGTCCTGGCTCTCAGATAAAAGATGAGCTTAGAGCTATGCAGGAAAGTGCAAAAAAGGTTGGGACGGAGCCTGAGAATTTATTGCTCCAAGATTTGGGGTCTCCATTCCTGTCAGGGCCATTGTCAAATACTAAACAGGCACCTGAAAGATTCTTCACCTTCCCGAGTAATAATAATCCTGGCAGTAAAACTCCCCTATTTGGTCTAAAAGAGGTCGTGAAAGAATCATCCTCGGTAGTTTCTTCCATATCCCCAGTTCCAGCTGTTCGTCTGACTACGAAGCCATCACAACCTATGTTACCGAAACCGGGTAACAGCAAACAAGCAAAAAACACGCATCATCCTAACTCGGAAAACGACAAGGGAGTGACCACATGTGATTGGGGAAATACAGGAAACGAACAGGAAATTTTGGGACGTGGGTGGGGAAATCGACCAATAGGAAGAACTGAGTCTCTGTTGCAAGGCGATGATATGAAACGCGATGCATTACATCTAGCTCAGAAACGAAAAGCTAGTACTCGGGAGGACCAAGAAGCTGAACCACATTCCACAGAGGAGACAAAGTTTCGGCAGAAAAATCAACAAAATCTCATCAACACAACGAATAAACTTGCAGCCCAACCATCATGGGAAATGCCCTCGAATTCGGAATCTTCAGCTTCACAATTACAACAAAAGGAACCAATTCAAAAAGAGCCGACGCATACGGCACCACTCTATGGTGAATACAAACCCCACACTATCGAATATCAACGTCAATTGCGCTGCAAAACCTACGATCCCAGTGTTCTCGACCATTATTTAAGCGTACAAATAGAGTCCCAAGCCCGTGCCGAGGTCGAAAGAGAACAAAATCTCATGCCCCAACCTGAAACCGCTGCCAAAACACAAATCTGGGGTAGCATCGATCCTCGAATCGTCTGGCCAAAAGAACAATCCGAAGGTTGGTACGAGGCTAAACGCAAAGAGATTGATGCACGTGGTGGGAAGAAGGCGAACTTTGGGATACTCCTCACAGCACAAGTGAGAAAGGAGAGGAGTGATAGAGGTTGGCATCCGAATCAGAACAAAGAATATGTTCCTAAGCAGGAGAGAAATGGTGGCTCCATTTTCACTGCAGATGTGGGCGCAGTCGATCTAGCAGTCAAGGGCGGAAAATTAGGCGTTCTTGTGCCAATGGCGGGGAGAGAGAGGAAATCAAGGGCAGAGAAGGAGTTTATCCCGGGTGATAGGTGAAAACTGGTCGGGAGTATAGGCTGAGGGTTTTTACGGGCATTTCAAACGGTTGGGTTCTGGGAAGGATGGTTTATGATACCCATTGGTGTTACAGCGCGCATTGCATTCGTGCTTGCATATACGATTACATAATACACTACGGATGCGAGGTAGTGAATAGGTTTATGCTAAAGGGAGAAGTTCTCAGGCATCATGCGTTTTTTGGCCGTACCTAGGTACATAATTACAAGGGATTAATGTTTGGGAAGACTGTACTTCAAGATGAATATATCATTCATAAATTTTTGTGTCCTGGGCAATGATATTAATGTAACAAAATCAATTATCTCAGATCTTTCCTTATCATCATTCCCTTGTACGACAACTACTAGCATACACAAATGGGGTAGGTGCAGATGCTGAGAGCTCGAGCGCAAACACTTTCCCTTGCTTTCGTTTCTTTTCCTTTCAACCATCCGATCCTTCCATGCAGAGCAATATCCTAGTACTTCGGAGGAGACCACAGGATGCCGCTGAGTTTACTATCCTTGATATTACAATGGATGATTGCATGTGGATACGTCGATAATAACCGCCACTATATTAGGGGAATATAAATTAGCTCTCTGCGTTATTGTATTATCTTGCAGTTACGTATAGAGAGGAAAGTCAAGGGTTGAAAATATAGGTTCATATGTGAAGAAGGGATAGATAGAAAGTAAAGACATACGATCCCAACATGAATATTCTCCGTAATGAGAGTGTTCATTTATGGTCCATTCACCAGCAGTATTCCCCTGCCAATTTACACTTAAACCCTCGATACCGTCACTTTGTCGGGGAGCAGATCCCAGAGGAAGATTTGCTTGAGGGTAGTAAAGCGATCCCACATGCTTTTGTATACGGCTTCTAGATGAGAGGAATTTGCACCATCTGCGAAATCCACTGGGATGGGCTTCGAACTGGTTTCGTGGCCGTTTTCCCAGCGGGTCATTTTGACTAGAAACCATTTGGTACTGTTGTCATGGTGGAAGCGGTGGAATGTTTAGATTTTGGATTTTGGGAATTGAGAATTGATAGTTTGAGAATATGTTCGTAAGTAAGAATTTGATAGTCTTATTGATTGAATGGCAATTCTTGTGGTGGAAAAGCTGGTATATATAACTTTCCAGTGTTGACAATGATTGTTTGTTCCCGTTGCAAAAGCAAGCGATTTGGCATATCCCCAAAGCGTAGTGAAAGAATATAGGCCTTCGTTTGCGATTTCCAGAGGTATGATATGCAGAGATGAACCTTGTTGTGCAATGCTTTATTGATACTGAAAGCTTCGAAAGCCAAACGACTGAATGCCTTCCAAACATGCATGTGTAAATATAAGTACTTATTGACTCTGATAATAACAGGATGGTAAGACAAAGATAGTGAGATCAATCATATTCATCGTATCCATTATTAAAAAGACCCTGTTCTCTTTGTGTGCTTACATACTCTTCACTCATCAAATTGTTGAGCTTTGCTCTTTTCAATCCTTTCACATCTTTATGCCAATCGCAAGCATAATCACAGGCAGGCGCCCCATTCTCACCAAAGTACTTGCAGATTAGCTCGTGTCGGCACATATCAGTTTCCTCGCAATAGGAAACCAAGGCCGTCAAGCTCTTTATCCTGGCTGCCACATTGACTCTTTCTTTGGCATCACGAGATACTCTGTTGTATGCTCGGTCACGATCCTCACGACTGTAATACATGATATGTATGCTGGCTTTTCCATCCCTTCCAGCTCGGCCAGCTTCTTGATAAAAGCCTTCGAAAGACTTTGGGATTTGCCAATGAACGACGAAACGTACGTTTTCCTTATCTATTCCCATACCAAAGGCTGTTGTCGCAACTATCACGTCATAGCCCTTATCATTATTGATCCATCGATTCAAAGTTTCGGTCTTTTCTTCGTGAGTAAGTCCGGCATGGTAAGCTCTGGCCCCTATTCCACTATGTTTCAACCTAGATGCAAGACTCTCGCAATCTTGCCTAAAAAGAGTGTAAATGATGCCTGATACATTATCCAGACGTTCGTGCTTTTGTTCCAGTTCGGCCCGACGTTCTGGATTCTCCGTTCGATTCCTATGAACTCCCTTGAGCCAATGTAAAAAATCATTGAAATGATCTAATTCATCTGATTTGAATCTCACTTCATAATGGAGGTTCTCGCGATTTGTTGTCATTCTGAATACCTTCAGATTTGATTCCGACAGACCCATAGTGCTTAAAACATCTTGACGCACCTGATCCGTAGCGGTTGCTGTTAAACATATGATTGGTACGTCCGGAAAAGATTCTCGAAACCAAGAAAGATTCTTAAAGGATTTTCTGAAGTCATGGCCCCATTCGCTGATACAGTGTGCTTCATCAACGGCAATCCGAGCAAGCTCTCGTTGTTCATGCACAGTTCGGAGATGTTTGCGAAAGCCCTCCGCAGAGCATTGTTCAGGAGTCACATACAGAAGTCTTGTGAGCGGGTGGCCGGATTCAAGGTCTGCAAGGAGACGTTGTCGTTCGGTCCAAGCTGTATTGCCATTGATGGTACCTGCTGCAATTCCTGCAGATTGCAAGGCATTTACTTGGTCAGTCTATCTCAAAGTAAGTATAAGATATTCCATGTCTGGCTAAGTCTCACCATTAATGAAAGTAGCGGCGAAATAACAATGGTGACTTTTAAGTTGTCAGCATAGACACTGTAAGCGTTTCGAAATAATCGTTAAGACTTACTTCCTTGATCAATCACTGCAGGCAATTGGAAACATAAACTTTTTCCAAATGAAGTGGCAGCTTGAATGAAAACATCATGCCCATTTAATGCGGCAACTATAACCTCTCGTTGCAAAGGTCTAGAAGAAGGTCAGCTCATATTGTGGGAATGGTTGCTAGGGTGGACTACCTGAATGAAGACTTTTTGAATGTACGGCGCAGTGTAAAGTCGATATCAACGCAAGAATCAGACCTTGAAAAGGATCTTGACGAGGCCATTTTGGAAGTGTTCAGATAGAAGCTTAGGAGCGTGGTTGATGACAGTTATGTGTTTGAGCTCGTTTTTGTTGCAAGTTGTTGAAGAGTCTGTCACCTAAATTCATGAAAATAAATAAATGGAATATCTTCTTGTTAGTAGAAAACCCTACCCTGTTTCTTGGGAGATTTTTGCTACTCTCTGGATAGCTTTACCCTATGGAAATATTCAGGCTTTTGTGCATCAAAATGAGTGAAGTGAAGTGAAGTGGAGTGAAGTAAGAGTATAGATTAACTGCTGTGAGAGAAGGGGTTGGCTCGATCCGAAGTATATCAATGAATGTATCCTATCCGAAGCATCAAGCAAGGTATACTGTAAGGATCAAATGAAGGAAGGAAGATATCAAAATATTATCTAGCAAGCAGTTCTTGTCCAGAATCTAGCTCTTATGATAAGATCCCTTCCCTTACCCTTAGCCTTACAGATCACCGTGAAAGTTGATGGATGTATGAGAAGAAAAACTCTGATCTTGTTCATCTCTGAGTGAAAAACATATCTCAAGCACCACAAAACATGAAGATATAAATTTTGACGTTACACTTACTACTGTACTCTACTCAAAAAGAAAAGGGAGAATGCATATTTTATTAAACTTATCGGTACCTGCATCAATTTTAAGCCGGCGCTTACCTCTTTAGAGAAAGCTTAACCGAAAATCATGATGCCAATGTCAAGTCAATGTGACAACGAGGAAGTTGAGCGTTGAGTTCAATTGCGACAGAAGAAACAGAAGATCCTCGAAATATTCCTCCCTCAAATTATTACGGATACATGGTGTTACATAGGACATAACCCCCTCATTATGCTGCTGATCCTTTCTTCTCCACCAATTTTTAACTTTACCTCCTATTCAGATATCCGATTTCTCAAGGATTCGCCATCGAATTGATAAGGGTCTGGTCCCTTTTTCGCGAATCAAGAAAGTGTTGAAACATCTCTGCCACATCTCCCCAGACACAACGACAAGATACAATAGAAAGGGTTGAAGTAGGAGAAGATCTCATGATGGAACGACCAAATGGTCCTCCCCTTGGAGCAGCAATAATGTCATCAAGTCGACCAAAATTCGAAAACGGCATGCCAGGTCCAGTTGCAGGTTCAGGTCCCAGGCCACAAAATCTGAGCGCATCGCGACGTGGTCCCATGGTTCGACATGCTCAGTCTAACTCTTCGCTATCTTCTAAGCTCCCTTTATCACAAGGACAAGTCATCGCATTAGCACGGGAATATATGAATAAAGCCTTAGAGGAAAACATAGTGAAAGCTACAGAGTCAAGCGCCGTCAGCAACGAGCTGAAGCCAGGAGTTACGATCGATTTGAGCCACAAACGTATACAAAGATTTCCGGAGGAGGTTGTTGACATCATAAAAGTCGAGCTTGAACGGTATTTACATTCCTCATTTGTTACAGCAGACTTAGGACTTGTTTAAACTTGTCATGTTGAGCTCTCCAGAGTCTCGGAATTTAGTTGTTTCCATTCTTTAAAGGAAAAATGACAAAGCTAACAAATATTCATGGTACAGACTTGCGTTATCCCACAACGAGATTCAGACCTTTCCCGCCAAATTCGCAGAATGTACCTCGCTGCGATATCTGAACGTTCGAAACAATATTATTCGAGAGTTCCCGCTAGCAGTATGTATGATGGAAACAGTTGAGAGCAAGCTCAAAGTGGCTGACTTTGTTTTAGATATGCCAGTTGACCTCTCTCGAAATCCTCGACCTCGGACGAAATAAGCTTCGCACCTTACCACCAGAAATTGTGAACTTGACATCACTGAAAGTTCTATCCGTTCAAAAAAACAGGATTGAGGAGCTTCCTTTATGTGTGGCAGATATGACTTCCCTTCAGGTTCTTAAATTTAATGGAAATCCCTTGAAATTTCCACCTAAAGAGGTTCTCCAACCGCAAGCCATGAACTCCCCTAGCGGCGGTGGTTCACAAGAAGTTGAGATAGATGATATTACTGTTACAACACAGATCAAAAGATTTTTGAAGCAGAAAGCTATGGGTCGACCTGAAACCGAATCTGGTGGAGAAGAATCAAGCGAGGGTACCGAGACTCCACGACCTACCATGAAGCGTGTTGTGAGTGGTCGTTTTCCTATAAAAGTCGAAGGCGTTCCGCCTTCACCAGCTCAGCCTCGAGCACCTCCTATACCTTCTAGGTCTCATCAAAGAGGCTACTCGCAACAGAACGCAGCACTCAGGCGACCTGGAGTGATGCCTCTCACAATTGGAAGCACAAATGAAAGGGTTCGCAGTAACAGCGAGGGCCTCCTTCAGGCTAATCGCGATCGCCCGGACCGTTCTTCATCAGATCGCTCACGACGAATGGGTATTGTTTCAAGAAAGGCGGCCGAACTAGGAACTGTTGACGAGACAAACAAATCCAATCGTTACAGTCTTCATAATAGAGGTCTCAGTCATGGATCTGCAATGGAAGGTAACGGTACTGGATCCAACGGCAACACGGTTAGTCCGGCCAGTCCAGCAGATTCAGGTGGCCAGCGAGCCGCCTATGTCCGTCGCTTGTCAAGTTTACCCGAACGCAAGCGAGAATCTATTTCCCCAGATCCTATTATTGAAGGGGCTAAGGGTGTATTATATGCTTTGTTTCAAGTGCATCCTCTTATTGAAACACTGATTGGCCTGGTTCGAAATCCTGGCGAGAAGAAATCGACACTGGAAAGAGTTTTCTACAACGCCAAAACGCACGTAGAAGAGCTAGATCAAGATGTTCAACGCTATGATTCATACTCGGAAGAAGACGAAGAGGCTTCTCCTAGATCAAACGAAAATGTCAAACGTGCATGTTTAACTTGCGTTGGTGCATACATCCACGTATGTGCTCAACTATCACAAAACGTGGAAATTCTTCTCATTAACGGCGATCCTCGATATATTCGGACGCTACTACTCCAGTTATACGGAAGCGTAGCGGAAGTACGAAATGCCGGTGCAAGCTTGTTTCCTCCTGGACAAAGTCGAGTTAGTAGACAGCCGGAAAGTAATTATGGGGCCGGGTATCAAATTAGAGATAGATCAGTCACTCCAACCCGAGAGAGACCTGGCACAAATTTTAGAACAAGAAGCGCGACGGTCATCCAGCACTCGAATAATTTACGAGTTGCAATAGATGCCCCACCACCATTTGTCAATGGAAACGGACGTTCTGCTACAATGACGAGCGCCACACCACGCTCTGGAGAATCATTTGTCTCAACAGGTACTAGTGGGCGTGTGGTAGGTGCCTTTACCGAGGAAGATAAAATTTTCGAGAGAATATTTCTGCGTCTACAACAAACGTCAGAAATGGCTCTCAGAACCCTTCCCAATGTCAATGCCCATTTTCTCGGGTCCATGCAAAAAAGTGCAAATTCAAGTAATGCAGATCTTGCTAAACAGTATTGGCAACTATTAATACATAAATGCACGAACGCGTTGAACATAGCCGATTCATTGAAATCTCGCCTATCAACGATCAAACTCAAAGATCCTGATATCAGAGAACAAAAGGGATTCTGGGAGATGTGTTGGGCAATGGTAGATGTAAGTATACCCACCCGTTATCACAAGTTGTTTTTATTAATGTATACAGTCATATCTAGATCTAGTCGTCAAGGTCAAGGAAGTAAAAGGTGTGATTAGTTTTGTTCCAACCGAAGTTATCATTCTTCTCAGGCCTCTTCAAAGAGTTATCAAGGAAACAGGACAAATGATTACGGCATCACCTTGGGGTTTCCTAGCAAATCGGCAAGTAAATGGTGGTTCAAATGGTTCTTACACAACACAATCACCTGCCTCGCAAGTTCCTTTACCTATGACCCCACAAAGTGCAGCTTTAGGACCAGCGGTTCAAGCTACTGTTCCATCGACTCCACAAAGCGCAGCGTTTGGTGCAATGTTCAATGGCAATGTCTATGAACGTGCGGATACTTATTTATCGAATGGATCGAGAGCTGGCACCATGACTTCTCAGTTGGGTGTTAATGATGGGCCTACAATCATGCTAAGCCCATCTCACTATATGAACAATCGGTTCAATAGTAATGGAAGAGTGGGCTTTTGATAATGAGGCTTATTCAAGCATAAAACTTCGGATATCTTAACATTGAGTGAGATGCATTATCTTCGTTTATCTCCCTGGTTATCTCTTGTCAGTATGCTTGATATCTGATATCAACGCGGAACTTTCTCATCGACCAGTTTGAATTTGAAAATGAATGAACGAATGAATGAATGGGGATGGATGGATGGATGGATGGATGGATGGATGGATGGATGGATGGATTTGGTATTTAAGCGTGGATGAAAAGGAAAAGATGGAAGGTATGGAAGGGAATACAAATGGATGGGACGGGAACTCATCCAAGGAACGCGATTTTTCAATCATAGCATATACCACTGTCATTAGCGTTTTGATCTTTTAAGTGTTTTCTAGTTTTTTTGTTATGTTATCGAGGATTGTAAAGTTAGCGGGGTGTTTTATATGATGGATGGATGTATGAGTATTGGAGGGAGTTATATGGGTATGGTTTCGGTGCATGGTTCGGAGTTTGGGTTTCATTTTTAGCGAGGGGTTTGGCGGTGGGGGTTTTGGGGGTGGGAAGTGAGGAGTTGTGTGTTTAATGTTTTGATAGGGTGACGTTGATATGTTGTTGGGTTAAAGGGAGAGGTTGTGACGACGGGGGTGGATAAGGTGAAGTGAGGGTGTGCATGGGAGTTCTAAGCGTGTATGGGGAGTAAATTACCGAGGAGATTTGATGGAATGAATGAGTTGAACTAAACCAAATCCAAGTGAAGAATAGATGGGGAAAGCAGAAGCCGAGGGAAGGGAGATATGGTACGAAAGGCTTCAGTGCCTCGTATCTACAGAGGTGGCAATTTGATTTTTATGATGAAATCAATCGAAAGAGTTGAGTCGCGATAGCAAGACAGAGGGAGCTATTCTCCAATTAAGGACTAGAATTAGCGGGTTAGTAAGTGGCAATTCAAGGGATGGAGTGTGATGAAAGATGTGGATGGAGAGGAGATGAGTACGGAGATGAAGATGGAGACGAAGAGGAAGACGAAGAGGGAGAGGAAGAGGGAGAGGAAGATGAGGATAAGAATGGAGATGAATATCTAGGATTAATTCGTACAATATTTACAATGAGAAATTATAGTCAGAGTCAGAATCAGAATCAAAATCAGAATCAGAATAAACAGTGAGAGTATTATTCAGTTGGTACAATAATAAGTCTTATAATACTCAGACTTGTTTTTGAATAAATATGGCCAGGGGGTTAGGCGAAGTATACTTCTTTAGGTACTAAAAATCATTTGATTATTATATATATATTATACTATACTGTATCAACCAAAATCAATTAAATTAATATCTAGTATCTAGTATCTTCAAAACCTCTATAGAATACACCACCTTCAATCCAGATCAAATCATCTATAGTCTTTTATTCAAAATATAAATCTATTTATCTATCTATAGAGTATACAACAGATGTCTCTCTCTCTCTCCTTTTTAGTATATTATCAATACTAGTATCATTTCATAGAATATTGTTAAATACTTATTTGTAACTTTTTTTAACCTCTAAACCTCTAAACCTCTAATATACCGAAAGATAGAAATTTCGATATTTCACACTCTACACTTGTATATTCGTGTATATAACATAGGCATAGTCATAGTGATAGTCATGGTGATGACTTTCCGCTTTTCCCTTTCCATTTTGAGGGAGCTGAGGAACAGGAACAGGAATAGGAATATAATTATAATTATGATTATGATTAGGATTAGGATATTTTAGCTGACTTTGGGAGGGTCTTTGTGACTAAGTAAATAAGTAGGTATATACTAGAATGATAGGATATGAGATATTACCACATGAGTTTTTCGCTGCTGCGCGGAGGTTGGATGGGAATGGAATGGATGAATTACCAGAGGGGATAATTAGTCGTTAGTTGTTAATAGCTATTAGTTAGTAGTTAGTAGTTATGCATGTAGTATGGTACGGTTATAGACTATCGAGGTAAGGAAAGTGAGTTAGTTAGTATTCGAAAAGAGAGGAGAGGAGAGGAGAGGAGAGAAAGATGTAGGATAAGGGTATGGGTGATGAGTTAGTTTGTAGGGTTTGGGGTTTCTATACTTTCATGTACTTTTATGTGATGGATATGGATATGGATATGGATAGAGATCGGGATCGGGATCGAGATCGAGATAGGGATAGATTGTGTGAGTTGGCGTGCGTGAATATTAGTTAGTAATATATGTATCTATGTATCTATGTATATATGTATATATGTATGTATCTAGGTATCTAGGTAAGGTAGGGTAGTCAAAGTAAAGATTTTATATATGGAACTGTCCAAATATCAAACTATCATTCATTTATTCATCCATCCATCCATTCGATAACCTCAGAAACTAATTATACGTACTCCGCAGGACTAATTTCACAACTGTCTCCTCTGAAATGTGCCTCTGCAATATGCATTGATTAATATACGGACTCGATCGAATCGAGTGCTTTGTGTCCCCATATTTTAACATTTTCTCAAGTTAAACCTACTTTCTCTCGAGTCGAGTATCAAACGTATCAACGTATCAATATATCAAAGACCAAGTAATAAGTAAAAAGCAGTGAAACCACACTTTAAAGATGAACATACATTTCATATTTTTCGCATCTGCAAATCGCTTTAAGAAGAAGGTAAGAAAGTAAGAAAGGAAGGAATCGAGGACCAAGCGTTTGAAGTAACACCTTTTAAATATCCAGACTTCTGACTGAAGACTTTTGATTCGTGAATGCTGGGTTTTGTCTTGTTGATATATGTATATATGTATAGTATGTATGTATGTCACATATATCAATATCGATAAATATGTCGTGAAGTATGAGGTTGACTGGCTGGCTGAAATTCTTCCGATCCGAGTCCGCGCGCGCAAAGTAATACTGTAATACTGTAATACTGCAATGTATATGTGTATATATATTGTTTTGATGCTTTAATACCTACATAAAAGTACCAGATATGCAAGCGAGAATTCCAATTAATTTAGCGCATAGAATACAATACCTAGTATATAAATGATTCCGAGACGAGTGTTTTCAATCCTGGGACGTAGCGCAGAAAATGCAACGTCATCCATTTTGAAGCCATAGTGCACCAGCCAGTGCTTTGCTTTAGGAAAGAAACATTGATGATGAGAAAGAATATCCTTGAACTTAATGAACCCAATGAAACCCCGTGAATTCAGTGAAAGTTTAAAAAATGGAGTACGGAGAGAAACAGCTGTTCGTCTGATGGTGAGAGAGTAATGCACCAGACTACTAGACTAGGTACGAATAACTTTTTCATGCTGTAATCGTAGTCTCAGTTGTTCAATATTGAGAAATTGCCCATAAACTACGGATGGATGGGCTTGGTTGGTAGAATGGAGAAATGCATGAAAGATGATAAGAAATAGATAAAAGAGAAAGGAGAAAAATGAAAAAAAAAATGTTAATTTGATATGCAAGGTGAGTTAGTTAGCCTTGGATGTCGATCGATATTTGGATGAATTACGAACGCGAAAAGCGTGGGGGTTAAGACTATGAGTATAGATAGATAGGTAAGTAGGTACTGAACGAGATTCGATTCATATAGCAGATATCGTCTGAAGCCTGGTTGTTATTCTCCAAAGTTGCAACATCTTTGGCACCTTGGACTATTGGTTATCTCGCAAGCCATTCGGGATTTGTAGGGTCACCGTGGATGGAGGAGGATGTTTTCTCGGTTGCATCTATTTGAATTGTCTTGTAGTTACAGGTAGGTAATCTGTAATCTGTAATATGTAATCTGTAATCTGTCTGTAATCTGTAATCATGGAAGGAGTATATGTGCATTGCGCATTAAGATTTAAAATACCCAACCTTAGGTAGTATCTCGAAGGCTTGCCGAGATATACGTACGATACGGAGTATACGGAGTATACGATGGAGTAGTGTGGTAAGAGGACGGTATAGTACTTGCAGGGCTGTGATAATAATAATGATAATGATAATTAATCTGTAGGTAGGGTTAAGTTACTTTCGAAATGTGACCATAATTTCGAAAACATAAATCAACACGTGATGAATGCATGACATGATAATCAAAGGATGATCTGATCTGATCTGAGAATAGAATCGAGAATCGAGAATCGAGAACCTGAAATCTGGAATCGGAAAATCTGAGAATCTAGAAATCTAAGCAAAAACTTCCGAAAATCATCCGTGGCGCAAATTTCGCACGCCTCACTTTTTGGCGGGGAAGTAATCAGTGTAATGTGATTTTGGCATTTTTTATTTTGGCATTTTTGGTTTCTTGGTTCTCCGCTACATCTTTTAGATTGATCTCCAAAACTATTGATGTTTGATCCATTCATTAATCTTCCGTGTCATCCATCCATCCATCCACCAAAAATTTAAAGTTTCATTTTGGTAGCCGCAGAAGCCTCACGGAATGTTACTAGAAAATACCTAGCTATGTTACCTTACCTCTGTACGTAGGCACTAACGTGTTACCAATGCATCCTTCGTAGCCTCGATTCTCTTTTCCGTTCGCAGTGAGTGGACAAGGTTAAGGTGGAGGCCATGCCGCGATTGTGAAGGAAAGGAGGGGAAGAAAAGAAAGAATTCGATAAACGAACAAACAAATATTTCGATCGATCCGCTTCTTGCGTTTGTTTGCATATGGGTTTTCATATTATATTGGTGATCAAAGGGTAGGTCTAGTAAGGAGACACCCAACTATGCTGATGTCCGTCTCTCGTGAGCTTTGCAGCGAGTTAATATATCGGATCCATCTCTTATAGTAATATATGTGCTGAGTACGACAGAGGCGTGAGAGTTGCAGCAGTGAAAAGCTAAAGGAATTGGTGTTTGATCAAATTTACCTAGTCTTTCTTACGTGTAAGATAGGTGACGACCGACGGGCGTGCCGATGTTGTGGCTACGTTGTGTATGGATTCTTATATACGAAGTAACAGTGTGAGCTCTCCGAGGAACACCAAGTCTCGCAGATGATTTTGAAAGACGGATGAAATTTCAATACACGTAGATGTGTTGCAATTCTTCTGCCGTCACAAGGACCCGTCGGTTCTAAGATACCTTTGTTGTTCAGAGGAAGAAAATTGTCTAATGTCACGTTCGACAATCTATCCTCCATGTTCCCCAGGGTTCGTCTAAATGTACGTACGGAAAGAATGCACAGAGTAGGAAGAGGATGACTTGCAGGATTATGGAAAACAATCCGTCATCTTGGAAGTTTGAAGGTTGAAATCTGACGCTCCTGCCACAACCTGATACAGTAGAAAAAGATCTGAGGGATGAAAATTTGATACTCTTGAACGGCGACCTTTGCCAATTCTGCACACCCTTCCTCAGATGACGAGGTTGCGTGCAGCACTGATGGTGTCCCTATCCGAGCTGGAACGTTTCTTTGGTCAAGCATTGATCCGTTGGATGGAAAGGTCCGTCCGTCCATTTCGGCCACGATATGATATGGCTTTTGGTAGTCTTGTGTCAAGTTGTGTGTGCTGATAATCTTCAGTTTGCAATTGCCAACGCTTCGAATGATACCCGTAAGGAATATCCTTTCCGAACTAACGAGAGATACCTTCTAGAAGGAAAAGAGGATTATAGATAATCGAGGATATCCATGGTTTCTTAAGTAGAAGATGATGCACACGAGGCTGAAGAATGAAAGAGGAGATACTCCAGCCCAGCATCCGGCCATTTGGTAAAGTGCTAACCTCTTATGACATGAACATGAACCCGGCTACAGGGGATTGAGTACCAAATGGGTAAAGTGGGATGGATGTATACAGAGTACCGTAAATGTGGTTGGTAGCGAAAGACATCAGGCGAAACGAGATTACTCGATAAGGAGAAGGCGGGAAAGGGTTTCAAACCTTTCCAGTCGCAAAGAAGGAAGAAAAGAGAAAAAAAGAAATGACTCCTAACAAGGGGGATCTGTAGCGGCATACGGAGTATAGAGGGCCTGTAACGAGCCTAGAGGTACCTAGGGTTATTCCCTGTAGTTAAGGCTGTTTAGCTGTCTAGGCTTTATAATACAGCTGCATTCGGTTTCCCCGGCGCATCCACGAGTCAGCACCACTGCAATATTTTGTCGTGTCATCAGGTCAGCATGAGAGTATAATCTTCTACACTGTAACGTTCTCCAGTGTAATCTTTAAAACTTGGTAGAAACTTGACTAAATCTTCAATTCGTTTGCTATTCCCTGGGATATTATTATATATGCTCTGTTTTGCTATGTTATGCTGTACTATACCATATTACATTATACTATACTATGTTATGCTGTACTATACCATCCTATACTATGCCATACCGCATCATTTCATACCTACTAAACCCATCCCTTGCCGTGTCTCTCAAGTCCGCATAAAAGCCGTTGAAACTAACACCAAATGGGAGGAGCGACTTTTCAAAGTCCATGTGCAGACCGCAGGCCGCAGACCGCAAGGACTAGAAGTTAATAAAATATCGTGATATCGTGGGTACCTGAAAAGGGTAAATAAATGTGCAGGCTCCATTTTCGGCTTCCTCCTCTGCATGATTCCAAAGGACTCCGAAGATTCGTACACCAATCACCATTCAGGGATGGACCGCGCGCCTGCTTTTTCACTGCCGATGGGAAAGCAAGGCTGCTGCATACTCCGTACAACTTGCATATGCACAAGTAAGCGAATGCAGGCAATGAATAAATTGGGTGGGTGTGAAGGGGTGTGTAGTGTGAAGGGGTGTGTAGTGTGAAGGGTATGAATGGTATGAATGGGTATGAATGGGGTGTGAAATAGTATGAGATAGGAGGCGTTTAGAAGAAAAGAATATTTGCCTTGACTCGTTGATGTGAAGGTAATGAAAGGTTGGGATGGTTTGGTGTATTGGTGGTTTGATGGTGGCCAAATAGGATACTTATATCCTCATTCTCGGAGAAATATGATATATCTAAGAAATACGGGGGGAATAACTAGGTTGGATAAAAATAAGTCGATGGAAAAGGAAAGCTGTGGCATCACATCAAATGATCCAAGGTTATTTGTTACTCCGTAGTTATACTTGAAGAATAGATCTGTGAAGAATAGATCTGTGAAGAATAGATCTGTAAAGAATAGATCTGTAAAGAATCGAATCTATGATTTTGCTACTGGGGAGTTGTTCCGTTCTACGTTCTAATGCCCTCCTAGGGATTGACTCGTGTGGGGAGGCGAGGGTCTGTTCTATTGGATGTGTCATGTGGGATGTCGAGCTGGGCGCTGGTCTGGTCGGGTTATACTCATAAAGAATACTGTACCTGACCTGGTAGCGTTTTGGTGATTTTACTCCGTACATACATAGCACATACATACATCATATCATATATTGTCAATAATCCCAAAAGTAACATGACATGAACCTCTAAACCATCCATATATATATATATATATATATATATATGTATTTTTCCCGACATCTATATGGCATCCTTCTTGCTCTTGCTGTTGCTGTTGCTATTGCTATTGCTATAATATAGACAGACAGACAGACAGACAGACAGACAGACAGACACATAAACAAGACTATCTTGGAAGGAACGATTCCCTAGTTTATTGAAATTTCCCAAAGGTCAAGGCGTCCCTAGCTGGCTTTCATTCCAAACGAAGAGAGCACGTCTCTTGTCTCAATTGCAATTCAAAGACCCATAACACACCCCCATATACGAACAATCACAATCTCAATTCCCAATTCTCAATTCACAATTCTCGATTCTCAATTCTCAATTCTCAATTCGCAATTCGCAATTCGCAATTCTTCTCCCTCCGCTTTTTCCAATTCTAAACTTTCCTTTCTCCTCTCCCTCTCCCATTCCTCTCTCTTTTTCTTTCATTTCGAAAACTTGCATAGCATTATTGCTACTGCATACGAATACCTGTCCATCTACCTACTACTACATCCTGCAATCACCACCGCCATCACTGCAATCACTGCAATCGCTGCAATCACTGCATCAACATCACCACCACCACCACCACTCACACACACAAGACAAGTTCTCAATCATACCATCAAAACCAACATCAGCACCAAAAAATAAAGACGAAAGCTACCTTACTACCTACTTACCTACCACCCAACCACCCAACCAATTCTACTTTACTCTCCCTCACAATTGTAATTGTACACCTCGGTTGTCATCTTTCTCTCTCATATTTCTTGTCCTTCCTTACTTCATTCATAATTTCCTGCTTTCATCTCTTATTGCGCTTTGCTCTTTTAGATTGTTCTGCCTCTAAAGAACTTCCTTTGTTGTTGTCAATCTTTCAATCTTTGAACCTTTTCCCAACTTCATTCAATCAACAAGGCTCCAGCCAATTCCTGTCCTTTCCGGTACAACTTTCTTCATCACCTCTAGAAAATCATCTTGCTTTTTTAAAAAATCATAGAAACTGGTTATCAAATTGATTGGGGCGAAGAAGATCTGTCAGGTTCCACAAAGAGGTATGTTTTTCTTGCAACTTCCCGGCCTGGTGCATAAGTACAAACAACTCTTTCTTGCGGATTCGAGAACCCCTCGAAATGGGGGTACAAGAAAATGTTCCTACCCGTAACCACATCCACGAGATCATACTCTTCGAAGTACAGAGCATACTCGTTGTTTGCCCACACAACATTATACCTTGAAGCCCAAGCCACCACCAAAAAAAGGGAAAGCAATTACTAACACGGTACTTTCTTTTACAGATTTTACTTTTTGGAACACGGAGCAAGTCTTTTCTAATAATAACAGCTTGATATTCTGAATACAACTTTTGCACTAAAACACTACAAAGTTGACTTGAGAATCAAAGCAAAAATGGAGCACGATGCAGGGAAGAGACAACGTGGGAATAGCATCACGACTACTCCCGAGAGACCTACGAATAACGATGGCAGAGCTATACCCGAGGCTCAGGTAACAGAGAGACCGCAAGAATCAGGGGAGATTAATAGCCACGACCCTCAGGGATATGATTTACAATCTTCCAATACATTCACGGCTAATAGTAGTTCACCGCCTACAAATCCCGCCCCCAGATATCCTTTTGAACGATCCACAACCTCATCTAGTCAAGAAGGTTCCAGTACGTCAAAGAGAAGTCTACAAACGGTGGCCAAGTCGTCGTTAGAACCCCCGGTCACAAAATCAACCTTGAGTGAACTCGATGTGAATAAAATTGTACACAATCCCAAACTTCGACACGACATTAATTTCGATCCGGATTTACACTTTAGACCTAATCTCGATGGAGAAAAAGGACGAAAGAAGACTCAAAAAGCCAATGATTTTTGGGACACGATGCGTTTGCAACTTCAAGGTTATTTGACTGATCGTGAGCAATTCGAGAAAGATTTGGGAGATGCGGAATGGTGCTTGCCAGCAACGCTCAAGGCTATCAGAGGCATCTTGGAGACATTAGTTCCACAGCGGGATCGGTCATCGGTCGAAGAGACATTTAACGTCGATTTGTTAATGCAGCAATTCCGCAAAGGCGTTGCCGATCTTGGTAAACTTGCACGATGGCTATCGCAACTCTTAAAATGTCATTGCGCACCGATGAGAGACACTTGGGTGGATGATATGGTCGTCCAGTTGAGTGAGGGTGACAAAAACTGGGACGTGTCAATGCTAGTCTCCGGAATGCGAAATTTGTTGGGTGTTTTGGAGGCTATGAAACTCGTAAGTTCTGCATGATGTGAGCCTGATGGAAGTTTGCTGATACGAGATTTAGGATGTTGCAAATCATCAAATCAGATGTTTGCGCCCGCTGCTTATCGAGGATACTGTTCAATTTGAGCAAAAGTTCTTCGTAAGAAAAATTGCGATGGGTAGAGTAGACATCGCTTCGGCACATGATTGGTTCAAAAAGGCAGCAAGCTTGCCAGATAATCTTCACATGGACGCACCAACACGAATCCAAGGAAACACATGGGACTTCATGAAAGCACTTGTGAATCTTACGCTACCATCCAAAGCCATAGAACCTGTACCTCACACCTTCCTTTTCGATGAGGAGCGCCTGGTTAAACTTCGAGCGGATATGCTCGATCTAATCAATCTCGAAATTTGCATGTTTTTGTATCACAAACTTGACGCAGCATCTAAAATGAACGAGGCTAGATCAGTACCACAAGACGATACACCTGTTGCTTCGTCGTATATTTCTTCTCCCGCGGATGAAGGCGTGCTCTCGGCCCCGACAGTCCCTTCAGAGAATGATTTTAAAGCCAAACGAAAGTACAATCATCTGGCTCAGGAAAGAGGTCATTTCTCAAGAGAACTTTCAGGTAGACAAGTATGGGTACCAAATTTAGAGGAAGAAGCTACGGATTCTCCATCGTCCAGCCCACGATCATCTCCATCAACTACTGCATCTACGCCAGAAACATATCCTGTAACCCCACTTTATTTATCTCTTCAAAATTCGGATTCCACTTCACAAGTACGCACGTCTTTACAAGCTCTCCTAGCCTCATCGTCATCCCAAGACAGATGGACCGTACTGTCCTCGAATATCGCTTTGCAAATTCTTCGTTCGACGCCTACCCCTATGGCGCGCCTTCCAGTCTTCGAATCCCATCTCTCATTTCACCTCTCAAATTCACGATCCAAGCTCTATCAGGAAGCAGAGGCACGAGTCCTTTCGAAACTTTTCCCTGAACTACAAAAGCTTGTCGAGTCATATACTCCTCTGAACAGTCTTCAAATATTTGATGCGGCCACGTCACCAAGACCCGCAAATGGAATTTTCAATGGAAATTCCCCGGCAAATGGACAAAAAGAAGAAATCTTGGACGTCGCAACCAGAATTGCTCATATTGGTATTTTGCATTGGAGAGTTTGGGCGCCTTTAGCATACCTCGTCAACCCGGATGTCGAGGACGAAGGTGATGTCAACATGATGCAAGATGCAGATATACCCGTCGATGAATCATGAAAGCATTACAATTGGATAACTTTCAAGCAACAATCTTCCAAGGGTGTCTCTAACAAAAGAATCGAGCATTGAAGAGATTCAAATCGAGGAAGTCCAATCCACCCGAAGTCATGTACGCCAGACTTCGGATACGTTATGGCGACAAATATTATCTGAAGGAAACAATATCTCCAAGATTGCTGGAGACGAACTATGACCGCAACATATTTCAAAAAGTTTGGAAATCGCCTCATAATTTTCTTATACTTACTTACCACACATCTTTTATAAATTCGCATCATTTTTGGAGTCATTCGGTGCTGGGCGGGTCGGTTCTGGTTCCGGTCTTGCATACCTGCATCTTTTCTCCATTTTTACATTTCTGATACCCAACTTCTGTCGTTTCCTTTCGCATCAATCGACCATAAATATCTGTACAATAGTTGTCGAACTGGCATTGTTAGCTGGTGTGTTTATTTTTCGGAAGAAACAAAAATCCATGCATTATTTTTGGGTCGGTTAGGTGCAACAATTATTTGGTCATTTTGAATGATCACAACATTAGATACACTTTAGGTGTATGCCTACCTTTTTCTTGCTTCATGTTGCAATTTGGTTAGTGCGTGTTAGTATGTGTGCGCGAATATTTGTCCTTTTGATTGGGTGTTTTTCTGCAGGTTTGAATTGGATATGCAGATTGGATGGGATAAGATGGCACGACGGAAGCGCGTAATGTTAGATGTCGTCTAGACTTTCAGTGGCGGGAACAATGGAAGGGACGGGTACTACTTCAATGAGGAAGGTTAAGTACATCAGTTTTTGATTGAATAGGCATTGATGGATGGGATTGAGGTTATTGAATTGCTTGGATTGAATTGAATTGATTTGGATTGACTTGGATTGAATTGACTTGGATTGACTTGGATGATTGCTTGGTTAAGTTAGGTTAGGTTAGGGTTGTATATTTGGTAAACACTTGTGAGCATGCATATGGAATTGAATGGAAGATATTGAAATTATATGATTGATTTATTGATTGGAGTGAGATTGAGTGTGAGTGTGAGTGAAGTGATACTAGGTTGGTAGGTGTCTTATGTTAGGTAGGTGGACAAGGGGCGGGTGTTGTAAGGTTACTGGTATGTATTTGAAGGATGGATGGATGGAAGGAAGGATATATATATATGTGTGTGTTTGGGGATAGAGTGGAGGAGTTGGAGGGTGGAGGGTGGAGGAGAGAGGGAATAAAGATGGAGATGGGGATGGGGATGGGGATTTTTATGAGGGGTGTGGTATGATTTATTGAGAAATCTTGAGGGGTTGAAGGGTGTGAATGTGAAGGGTGTGAATGTGAAGGATGTATAGAGTATATAGAGTATATGAACTGGGATTTTGAAAGAGATACAAGGAAAAGATGAATGGTACCTAGTAGGTAGTGGATAATAGTGTCGATATTAAGTAGTTTGTGGTTGGGCGGAATGTGCAGGTGGAGATGGAGATGGAGGTGGTTGATCTGTTGAGACTCTGAGATTCTGAGAATTTGGGAGGTTGGGGAGATTGAGAGATTGGAAGATTGCGTACTTAGTTTGATGATGTTGTTGGTGTTTTGGGGTTTATTGGAGGGTTGGATTAGGATGCTGGGTGAGAGACTGTGTTGGTTTCGGGTTGCAGAGTTAATGGTGGTGAAGATGGATGGAATGAATGGATTATGGTTGGTGGGAGGGATGGTGGATGGAGGGAGAGGTGAGGGAAGAAGGGGAAGGGGAACTTTAATGAAGGATATTGATTGTTCAGGGTTAAGCTGGTGTAAGTGCAAATGCATGCATTATAAGTTTAGCAAGTGACTTTGACAGAGAATATGATAGGAGATAATAGGGGGAAAGAGCTTGCGGTGAAGGTTGGATGAAGACTTTATGGATATGGACATGTAAATGACATGGACAACTGTCCGTGAAGCGAAGTTGAAACTCAAATGCAAGTCATCATTCATCATAGATGTACCACCTGTCTGCTAGCGCCAGGTCTCTTTCTACATGTACATCTCACTCGCGAGGTATTCACCATCCATCCTTCTCATATCTACATTCATTAATTAACCTATAAACTGGTTGGCTCCATCAATATCAATAATCCAATTCTATTCACTTTCCTCAATCGTGCCATATATACCTAAGTAGATATCTAGAGGTTCCTCAACTTGGATCTTCCCACCTTATCACTTTATCCTTCATTATTTTCATTACAATATCCTACTGAGTCAATATAATTAAGATAACTGAGATGAATAAGCCAAGTAATCTCACCATCCAGTCATTTCTCCTCATCTTTTTTTTTCACCTTGTCTTTTTACAATAATATCATGGTATCATAAAATTACAAAATTACAACATTATATGACTTTCACGTCTTCAAATCTTCTAATCTTCAAGTCTTTATTTCAATCTTTCGATTTTTACCCTTTCCGTTCGACTTTCACCTTGCTGGTTAATAAGTGGTAATTGCACATCTCGATTTTTCAACTTCTTAATTTCTCAATATCTCAATCTCGGCTTCAATTTGGGATAGGATGAATATCTAGATACTTAGATAGGTACTACAATTTCATCTGATCCGGCAGCTTCATACACACACATACATATACACATAATCATTTATTTAATCATTTATTTGTTTACTTTGATGCGCTTTGTTTTGGATGGTTGGATAGATGGATGGTTGGATGGTTGGATGGATAGACGAGGTTAAGGCTGAAATTTACTGTGATTTATTTTGCTATTGTGTCAGATTTTACTTTGGATTTCTTCGCTACTTTTGACGTTTTTCTTTTCACCTTGTTCTTTTTGGTTGATGAAGGGTGGATAAAGGTTAAAGGTTAAAGGATAAAGAGAAGGTTTTTGTTCTGGTGGAAATTGAAATATTCGAAAGGATAGTGCATTTGAGAGTTTGAGTGAGGGTTTGCTTTGCGGTGCTGGGGGTAAATATTTTGTTCTATGTAGAGATGGGCATACACTAATTATTCGGTAGAAGACAGTGGTTTGTCGGATTTTCCTTGGATTTTTCAATTGGAAATAGGCATTCGATTCTGGAGATTGGATCGAGATACGAGATTGGGGGATTTGGGCTTGTGTTTTGAGGGGACGAGAGAGGATAGGAGGAGATATTTTAAGATTGGTCTTGGATCTTGGATTGTGGATTGACCTCCTCGATAGGTTGATCTCTTGAGCGGACAAGATCCGTCATCTTGGACAAACCAGTCTTTTGGAACAGGGCAATCTCCTCGAACGAACTATCATCTCTTACAAACTCCGACCTCAACTACCTACCTACAACCCACAAACATGATGCCTCGCGCCGTACCCATTTACCCAGGCCCACTTTCAATGACAGAACACGACCACTATAACTATGTAGAAGCTCAGGCGACAATTACAGAAGATGGAAATCGCATTATTTTCGAAGAAGGTATTACTGTAAATGTGGATTTCGGAACCAAGTTTGAGGATAGACATTCGGAGGATTGTGTTTGTGTTGTCTGTAGGGATGTGGAGAGATCGAAGATGGGAAGAAGGACGGTTATTAGTGGTGGTAATGGAGAAGTTTTTGAGAGGGATGGAAGTGCTGATGAATTTGATGGAGAAAGAGATGAAAGTGAGGATCAAAATTGTAGGGATGAAAGTGATGAGAAAAGTGGAGAACATGCTTTTACTTATGATCTTCGAGATGATGATCATGATAGTGGAATTAACTTCTTGGGTACAGGTGAGATGTCACAAGTTAGGATCTCAAAGCCTTTTACTCCGAAGTGTCAGAAGTTGGGAAAAGGAAAGGAAGCGGAAAGTAGCACATCCGCCATCTTGACCATCTCAATCTTTCATGGAGATGGATTGGAAATTCATAGTGCTCTACCTGAACATGAGCAACAGTACGAAGTTGAGAGAGACAAAAGAGAGATAGATAATTTGGAAGAAAGTGGAAATATATCTGGAGTTACAATCGCTTATTCACCTGCACCTTCACCACCGCTTGATCCCGGAGAAGACCTGCCGCATGAAAGAGGACGAAGAACGACGAAGGACTTACATACAACTTGGGACTTACACACAAATTTCGACCCACAAATCAAAAACAAGAAATCCATTGCGAAAAAGGGTTTGGTTGCAGCGAGGAGACATCTCTCCAAGAGAAGTTTATCAATTGGCAGATGTAGAAGTGAAGGAAAAGGAAGTGAAGATAGTGGGAGTTCTAGAACAAGTAGGATATTGAACTTCGCGCGAAGTCTAAGCAGACGCAGTAATAACTCGGGAAATTCGTCACAAATACGACAAGCGGCAGAGGAAGAACATACCATACTTGAAGCACAAATGGATGAGAGTGTGGAGATAGAAGACCAAAAATTCTCCTTTCAGGGGCGAGAAAGCCTGCATACTAGTTTTCAAGGTGACGAGGATATTGTGGAACATGGAGATGGAGATGGGACGAGAAAGTTTATCGGACCACGTCGAAATCCGGAGATTCATGATTTTCCGACTTTTGATCCGAGTCAATTTATTCAGACTATGCACGTGGAGTCGTATGAATTTAGGAGGAGATCGGTATCGGAGTCTAATGCTTCAGCATTGGAGCTTGAGAATAGATCGCACTCAAGATCAGGATCAAGATCACCATCACTCCAATCCCACCATTACAGTTCTCGTGGTTCTTTCTCTCTTAATTGGGATAACATCTCTTCTGATACTGTATACCACAAACATGCCCGTCGGTTCTACGAAAATCCCTCGGCTTATGGTGAAGAGATACTGGGTTATAACCCTGAAACTGATAATCCATATCTAGCATATGATCGATATCAAGAAGTTAGCGAGTGGGCGGATAGTACGGAGGAATATGATCCCGATCATGTTGTTGCCCTGACTACCAGAGAACTGAAGAGATTATGCGGAGAAGAGGTTCCAATTCCTTTTGATTTTATCCCTGAGGGATATGTCAATCCACCGAATTCGAAAAGTGGAAGTGTCATCGGTGATGAAGTTGATGATATTGCAATTATGGGAGAGGAATTAGATGATGAGAAGGGATCAGATGCCAAGCATAAGAATCTTATTTATCTTCTTGGTATGCCGGGTTGGGCTCATGAGTGGGAAGAAATGACGAAGATGCAAAGACATTTTCATATTGTTGCTGCAGGAGATTGGAGAATGGGACCGGTGTTTGATGTTGAGAGTAATTATTCGGATTACTATGGTGTACCATTCTTTGAGCCGAATGACGTGGGCCTTAATGGTGTTAATAGGAGAGAGGTACGAGGATTGGATATTCCTGGTTTAGAGGAGCTGGAATTGAAGTTTAGATTGGAGGAATCTGATGATGAGGATGAAGATGGATATGAGGGATGTCAACGTAGACATTCTGATGAGAATGTAGACAATGAAGGTTCTGCTGACTATGACAGCGATGGTTTTTTGTACGGTGATGGTAAACGTGGAGAGATAACAGGAAATTTTGGACAAACAGCATTCAGAGCTTCTGAGGCAGAAAGACTCTATAGACGTCCTTCGGATGGAGGTCAAGTATCTGAGAGCGACAGTTCGAGCGAGGGATCTGAAGTAGGAGATTATGCAGGTTCCGTCGTTGAAGGATATGGAACTACCGATGATCATCGCACTGCTCTCAATATCAATGGACGAATCGATGATAGTTTCCGAGCTCGCATGGCACGCGGATACATCTTGACCGGAAAATTGGATCAAACCATGTTTACGTCCTCCAATGCAGGTAGTGTAATTAGTGAAGAAGCCTACGATTCGGATGATGATGAAGAAACCGAAAGTGACGATGGAGTCTCTCATGATTACTCTTTCGACAATTCCTCATACCATGGTATAGAATGTCAAGAAGACTATGCTATCGGTACATCGATATTTGCACCTCACGCATTCCAACTCTATCCACCATACGACGCAGCCAATGATTGTACAACCATTGGTATAAGCCCTGACGACATAGAAAATGCCCGACCAAAATCCTGGGATACGGATTACATGGAAGATATACTTGGGTATTCCGTGCATGAAGGTCTCAAACCTCGAGATCCTACCGCAGAAATGGTATTAATGAGTTACCTTGATCCTATCCCCAAGTCAGTAAAATCAAGATCTTCATCCGGTGCGAAATCTCAATCGAGATCTTCAACAGGTTCATTAACACCGGTTCCTTCACCTACCAAGTCTACTAGGACTACTAGGTCCTTCGTTCCAAGTCTCAGGTCAATCCCCAGATCCTTTAATAAGAATAAATCTCTTCCGCCTACACCTGAGATAGGTTATTTTGATACTTTTCCGAATACTGATAAGCGTACCGCCTCCATCCGCAAAGCATCACTCTCAACCGCCAACATCGCCAAACTCAACAGTAAAACCAAAGATCAATTCAAGACTTCTACCCAGAGCCAAGCAAAAAGTAAAACCAGCAGTAAAACCAAAGGATCCACCAAAGGAAAATTCCAAAACATATCCAAAGCCACCAAAAAATCTAGAATTCCTTCACCACCTAGCTCCACCTCCTCTAGCGATTCCAATACCTCTTATGTTGATCTCACACGCTCAGGTTCTGCTTATGCCGTTCCGCCTGCTCAGTCCCTTATTTTGTATTTACACGGTCATGGACTTAGTACGAATCATATAGCATTTCTGCTCCAACCACTCGACGAAAGATTTTTATACGATTCGAATAGTTCCTGGTGGCCAGCTAACGTTCTCTCCTTTTCTCTCTCTCCTTCCCCAATTCACTTCCCACCCCACACACACTTCACCCCGAACACGGTATCCCAAATCCTCAAACAATGCTCCGGGCCCCCTAGATGGTGGGAAGTACCCGAAGCGAGGGATCCGGATGGAAAATTACTACCAGAGTGTTTTAAGACGTTGCAGAGGGGTATGGCGGTTAGGAAGGCGGGGGTTTTGGTTAGGAAGGTTGTGGAGAATTTTTTTTGGTGGAGGATGGTTGGGGGGATACCACATGGGAATTTGATGGGTGGTTAGTTGGAGGAGGGGAGGAGGAGCTGGGGTTGTGTAACTTGTGTTGCGTGATGAAGGATCAGTTCAGTTGAGATGATTATGGATGCATAATGAGCAATAGATGAATAAATCAATGGGCGCATTGGTTAGACGATACCACCAGTATCCGTTTATTTGCTTGCTTGCCTACTTGCCTACTTGCCCACTTACTTATTTACCTATTTACCTACCTACCCATCCATCTCCCTTATTTCCCTTATTCTCCCATTACATACTACAGAGTACCTACCTACCTACCTACCTACCTACCCACCTACCTACACCTTTCCTTTCTCCTTTCCTTTCCTTTCCTTTCTCCTTTCCTTTACAAGATTTCCTTTCTTCTCTGAAATCATTCCTTTATATTTTCCTTTCCTAACCTTATTCCTTATAAAAAATGAATTAGGGTATTATTTTGTTTCTTTTTCGGTTCGTATTAGATTATTTACCTCTTTTGGTTTTAATTTTAGTCTACATATCTATGTTCAGTTCAGGTCAATTCATTAAGTTCAATTTAGGAGATTTGGTTACTTTGAAAAGTTCAATTGTTAGGTTAGGTTGGATAGATACTGGTGCCCCATTCTGTATAATTTACTGAGTTAGTTACTTACTTGGATGATTTTATTCGAGTTTCTTTTGCGCAGGTTTTAATGTTATTAGCTACCTACGTAGAAAAAAGGATAATAATAAGCTTGGAGATATAGGAATATGAGAATGATCCCACCATGCAAATAATCAATCATCTTGTCTAATTGCCATCTACCTTTTGTGTAAGTATATATATTCCCAGCAATTCTAACCCTACACAACGCCGACGCTATGCTTATAATTACACTTATAACCCGACCCGACGACTTTGTACAAACCCGATATCTCTCGTGAAACTAGCCCGTTATTCGTATCATTATGCTTCTACTTTAGTTTCCTCAATGTTCTCTTCGATAAACCAAGCCTTGGTAAGTCCATCATCACCCGTGGTGATAATCATTTCTTCATCTGGCTTCTTCTTGCCACTATCATATCTCATACACCAAGTAACATGGTTAACTTCATAAGGTCCATGAGCACCCTCTAAAACGGTAAGGACTACCCATTCCTTTTCAATAGTGCCGCCAACAGTATCTCTTCCCTTAGTACGTTCTTCGTAGATTGCTATCCTGCCATCACCACTTGTAGATACTATTCGACCAGAATGTTTACTCCAATTGATGCTGTAGACTGGTAGATCGTGTACTTTTGGAAGCGTTGCGGTACATTCCCAAGTCTCGTTTTCAGGTCCAGGTCGCATTGTGCTGGGAATTCCTGCGTTGAAGTAAGATGGTTTATTTTGTGGAGGTGGTGTAGGCACTCTTGACCAAATTCGAACTGTCATATCTGCAGACGAGGAGAGAAGTCGTGGAGTAGGTGTTATTGGTGATTCTTCGCTTGAATCTGACTTTATCGAAACATCAGGCTCCCAATCTAAACTCCACACAGTACCATCATGACCCTCTAACTTTGCAATAGTCTCCCAGTCCCCTTCACCATCCTCTTTCGATAATAAGATCGTATCATCATAACTACCACTGGCAAGTACTTCTCCATTACCATCATCTTTTCTCCAACAAACACATTTAACATCTGCTGTATGATCCTGCAAGACAGCTACTGTCTCGAATTCATCTTCACCTTCATCACCTATCTCTTCCCAAATCCAAATCGTCTTATCTCTCGAGCAAGAAGCCAACCATTGTCCACTAGGAGAATAAGCCACATTTTTAATTTCCGAATCATGACCTTCCAACACAATAGAAAACTCCCAATCATCACCCTCATCCTCATCGCTACCATCATCACCACCTCTTCTCAACGACGGACCTTTATTCGGCCTCCCATCAGCCCCAATCTCTAACTCCAAAGGTCCATCCTCGATTGTATTTTTCTGCTCCTCCTTCCTTCTCCAAACCCCCATCGTCGCATCAAAACTCCCCGTAGCAATAGTCATCATTGCATCAAAACCCCCGGTAGCAATAGAAGCACCATCCTTCCTAACACTAGGTTTCCACGCCGCAGATCTCACACTCCTCTCATGACCACCCTCCAACTTCGAATGCAAAGTGAAATTACTCAGAGAATAAACTCGTACCGATTTATCCGATGTCGCCGTCGCAATCAGAGGTAGATTATTGGGATTTGGTATGGAAGCCCATGCTCGAGTCGCTGCTTGAGGCTTGAAATCTGCCAGATGTTTGAGTTTCATTGTTGGGAGTGAGGATGGCATGTTACTCATTAAGGGGAAATTTTTTGGATGGAGGGGTAATGTTCTGTATTGCGATAAGATGTCATCGGGTAAATAAATTTGATGATAAATACGATTGGTAGGCTAGTCTATTCGGGTTTGAAGTTAATCCGGCCGAGATATTTGGCTGAAGCTTACTCCATATATTTTTCACTCACCACATTTGAATTAACATGGATAATAACGACGTTTTCTTTCCTTTACATACCCCGAGTACATGATACGTAATGAATAGGGCTAAATGTCGGAACTACCATAAGGTGAATACAGGAAAGGTAGTTTCGTGGCTCTACACTGGGGCAATGAGTCGTCCACATACTGGACTCGGAATGTTCAACTCTCAATTGGAGCTTTGGCTGATGCAAATTACACTTTGCTGTACGAACAACTGCATTGCAAGCGCATGCAATATCCTTACGCTGATATCCTGAAGTTGCAGAAATTCCTCCCATATCAAATAATTGCTAGTGCAAACAATATTCCTACGCTGACTTCCCAATACTGTGGAAATTTCCATCAAATTCCTGAAAACAACCCCTACAACCCTCCACTTCCCATACTTCCATTCGCTTTGAGCTTGACCAAGACCATCAAGTCACCCATTTATCAGAATCAATCATCAACGCTGGCAAGATGTTCAAACATTCATCCACTCATAGTCCAAACTTTCAACACGCTTTTCCAGGTATGCGATACCCCTATTTTCTATATCGTCTCGCAGGGCCCGGAGCCATTCCAGTTTCGATTGGACCAAAGCTTGTGTCTGAAAGATCCCCATCTAAACTCACAAGTCAAGATTCAAACCAGGGGGATAGTCATATGCAGATGCGTTAGCTTATGAGCCCGTATTATTATTTGTAGATGTGTTAGTTTCTAGATCCGTATTTTTATTCTCGGGGGCTTGAGCGGCCTCCATTCGCGCTCGCTCACGCAAGCGTGCCTGTAGTGTGCGCGGCTCGTTATACATGACATGTTGCTGGACAGCGAAATGTACCATCTCGGTGCGAGATGGAAGTAGCAGTGGGCTAACAGAATCCCGATCTGCAGCATAAAAATTGCTCGTCAGTTCCGCACTAAGGTGGGGAGGGCTATGACTAAAGTAATTTAGCTGCTCTTGCTCAGTGGATCGTCTTTGCAGTACTTCTTGCCGCCTTGTACGTGGGTGGTTATTCGTGGAATTTTCCTGGCTCACTATTGACTGATGAAATCCTCCTTCATCGACCGGTTCATCAAATCTACCAAAACTATAACTGAGGTCTCTCATCTGCTGACTCGCTTGTCGACGGCGGACGGTAGAAACAGGCATGTTTGAATGTTCAAGTAGAGATAAAGCATTAAAAGCTCGAATTGAAATCTGAGGTTCGTTCAAAATATCCCTAGGTCCACTATATTCTGACTGCTCTTGCCGTACCGATGGACTTTGTCGCTCTTGCTGCCTTGTATGTGGGTTGGTAGGTACTATATTTGCTACTTCTTGCATTATTTGGCTCAATTGTTCCAGCGACTGATCAATATCATAATGTCTTCTATTGAAATCCATTCGATCTAGTTCCAGGGAATTTGTGGGCCTGCTGCTATTTCCATGGGTACCCATCATCCCTTCCAAATGACCCTCCGCATTGGAATTGTTATTGCCGGATTGAACGTGTGGATTTCGTTGCTCTGATCGGCTGTCAGGCAGCATTCGGCTTTCACTTAAAGATGTTTGACCATTGGGCCATGCTTCGTTTGTTTCGTAAGAGGGGAATTGGCTAGTCGGTGTATTGAATGTTGATGGTGGAGGAGCAGAAGAGAGAACTGGGTGTAATCGAAGAGGATGATAGATGGATGAGGTGGGAAGAAGATTTATCCTAGATGGTGTACGAGATATAGGGCGTTCAGAGAGACGACGATTTGATGGAGCCGTACGACGACGCTGGCATGTAGGGCGCCGGCATAGACAAGGGGTCGGGTGTAATTGAACAGGGTTATCTATAGCTGAGGTGGAAGGCGGATCTATCCTAGATACTGTATGGCGTATAGAACGTGCAGGACGATGACGATTTGCTGAACTCATACCACGACGTTTACAGTCAGGGCGCCTGCATCGACAGTAGGGTGAGTGGTCTTGAAGAGGGATACCCATTACTGTGGCTGAGATGATAGGTCTGAGGAGATATATGGGGATGTATTATGGAGAGGAATAGTAATAAGGGATTATTAGTGTCGGCCGGGAAATTTAGAATCTGCGCTTGTATTTTATATAAAAAAATTGCAACGAGAGTATATTGATGAAGTTCTGATAGTAAAACTATGAGAAAAACTTACTGATTAGTGATGAATGAGAGTGGTATACTCTCCTTCCCTTCTTTTTCCCTTCCTTCCTTATTAAAACTCGCAGCTAGTGATTCGCTGCTGCTGCTGCTGCTGCTGCCACTACCACCATATGGAGAATATATAAATAAACACCATTAATTCATTCATTTAAATATAAATATTGAAAAATAAAAATAAAAATAAAACCGAATAATTTTATTAAGCTCAATAATATATCTATTTATAAATATATACATCTACCATCTTATGAAAATATAACAATTTCATAAACTTAAGTAAGTTTTATATTTTATTTCTAGATGATATATATATACTCAAGTACTCTCATATAATCAAATAGAGAGATAAGATTATCGCTGGTGTATTAATTAAGATTAATTTAATATTAAACCCAACTCAACCTCAAATTCAAATTTCAAATTCCAAACCCAATCTAAATCAAAGTCGAGAAAGATATTATATATACACCTGGTTAGAAACTACACAGCACTTGGAACAAGAGCGGACGTGATTCAAGTGAATAAAGATGAATAATAATGATAATGATAATGGTAATAATATATACTAGCTAAGCAAAGCTAAACTAAGCTATCCAAGAAATATATACAACAACAACAAAACCATGCTCGAACCAAAGACAACGTTTCAAAAAATACGTAGCTATGCTTAGAAGCAAGTACATGAAATCAAATCAAAGGGTATCTAAGCAATAGTAAACGAGAGACAAGAAAGTAAGTAAACGCCTGAAGGGGTATTTAAATGATGAAAAGATCGCTTCAGACTATATATCCAACCCACACTCACTCACTACCGTACATCATTCTCCGCAATCATCCACCCTCCTCTCCAACAACTCCTCAACTATGCACCACCACCCACAAGCAACTGTTTAGGATTACCCTTTCCCCTCCCAATAGCCTCCTTAGGACTCATAACACTCTGACTCCAATACGCATGTCCAGGTTTCGGATTACTATATTTTCCAATTTCGGCGCCGACCAATCTTTCCTCATCATATACAATGGTTGAATTGACAGCTTGTACATTGCGATAATATAATTCTGTATCCGATGCATCATTATTGATATCCAGTCCAGAGAATTGAAAATTTTGATTGGTTTTTCCGAAGCTGGAACTGCCGGCAGATGTACCTAGATAGGTGGCAGATCCATCTTGAGTGGTTGAAAGATGAGTTCCTGAGAAACCAGCGATCAGAGACGCGGAGGACGGAATGTAGGCAAAGGGTTGAAGACCGGATGGGAAGACCGAGTCACCGGAGATGACGAGGTCGAGACCACGGGTTATGGTGGCTTCGAGGGTGTAGTTTGTGGAGGAGAGAACTAGGTATGTTGTGTTTACCCAGACAGGGTATGTGTACTCGGATTTGTATTTTGTGGAACTTCCTAGTGTCGAGGTATCGATACCGTAGGTTGTTGCATTGTTTATTTGGATGGCGCCGAAAGCGGTGTACTGGCCATAGTTTAGGGCGCTTAGTTCTTGTGTCCATGTAGAGGTGGTAGTGCCATTTTCCGTAATAATAGTGGATGAAATAGAGAGCGAACGTTGGACATTAGTTGTGTAAGTGAGTGTCTCATTCGCCCCAGATGCATTTTGAGTAAGAACGTGCGAGGTGGTGATGATAGGAGCTGGAAGAGAAATTTTGGGTGTTGTACCGGTGGTGACAGAGTCATCGGAATCGAGCCAAATGAAGATTTTCCCTGTGACGAGCCAGTAGCTACCAACTGTATCAATGAGTGTACCACTTCCTTCACCATCGTCTATAACACCCGCAACTCGGATTTCGAATGTATGCTCAGATCCATCGCAGAGAATGGGTAACCAAGGAGTAATATCAATCTCGTGTTCACGAAGATCGAAAGCATCAAGCCCTACAATTGGTCTCCAAAGCCCTGGTACAATACCACCGGTAAAGACTACCGGGAATGGCCATTGTACTCCAGCTATTTGGCCATCAATCAAAACTTGAACTTCACGGAATGGCGAATATCCATAAAGTGTTCCATCGTAGTCCTCAAATGCTTCGATATCCGACTGAAGCACATTTCCCCACCAAAATTCCTCGGTTGACTGACCACATGCTGAGATGGAAAAAACAGCACGATTGGCATTTCGTGGAAATGCAATCGTGTTGGTAGCATTGTCGCCTGGTAACGTGAAGACGCTCACAGCATCTTCTCCACCATGTCTTGCGGAGATGGGAAGAATCAGATCAGCCGGTTCGACAGTTTCTTGACTCGTGAAGAAAGTAGCTGTAAGACTGGTGTAGTAGTATCCAGTATAGGTGCTATCGATCAAGTTTCCAAGATCGAAAATGAGTGTTTGGGGAGTGTTCCAAAAATAAAGATATTCGGTCATGTCCTTAAGATATTCCCATCTAATTCCAGCAGTAGTTGGTTCTGCGGTAGATGTTCTCCAAACTTCGGAGTCGCCAAAGTACATTATTGCGAGTCGGTCGAATTGACGACCACTTGAAGTGACGGTGAAATTCATAACCACTCTGTTAAACTTGCAGTTAGGTGGTGTATAATTGCCTGCGCGATGGTTAGTTGGTTGGTATTACACAATTGAAAAATGTAGGTTCCATACCAACAAAGGGGATGCCATAGCTGTAGCCAAAGGTATGTTCCATCAAAACAACTTTACAGCTAGTAGCATCATTCGTCGACGCAATTATCGCAGTTTCCTCAACTCCATTATATGATGTCGTCTCATCGGTAACACCAGGAGGGATGAGAACTGGTTGATACACTTGAAATACTTCAAGTACGGCGGAAGAAGGCGTGGCAGATGGTGCAGGTGTAGCAGAATATTTGACCAGATGAGATTTTGGTAATGTATCGACCTTCTCGTTCGAAAAACATGATGGTAAAAGCCATATCAATGACAAACCACAGGTCAAAAAAACGAGAAGATATATTTTGAAGTTTTCTGTTGTTGTTCGAATATTCTTGTCAGGCTCATAATTGGTCCCAATCAGTCGGAAATCAGCATCGACATGAATATCTCTCTTCGAGTCAAACAGATCATCGGTTCCTGCTGACATTGCAACTTCCTTCTTTTCTTAACTTGGCACTGATCCTCCGGGGAACAAGGGTTGCACAGATGAGTGGGGGGTTAAGATAAGTGATAATGGGTAAGCCACTTTGGCACCTCTCAACTATGTTGGGAATCCCAATATCTCTTTCGTGCTTCTGTGGCGAGTTCTTGTCCGCGAAATCGATTTTGAAAATAATTAAAGACAGCGAATTCTTCACTTGTCATGACATATGATGAAGGTTGTTGTTGAATCTTAATCCAGATGTTGTTGATGGCGACTTCCAAAATACCGACGATGATTGGATCTTCAGCAGCTTCCTCACTTTCTCGAGCAAGTTCTAAAGCTTCAGAAGTTGAGAAAGTGCCGACGGAGGCTTGTCTATACACGTTTCCGTGGGTTGGGGACCCGCCATTCATTATGGTATACGGAGATAAGGAGGGATCGAGATAATCCGGGATGTCGATTTGCGTCTTAACAAACGACGAAAGAGGAAGGTGCGAGTCTTGAATGAAAGGCATGGTGACGGAGAAATATGTACAAGTAGTATGGGTTTTATCGAGTTGGATACTGGAATGATCGTGATGCGAGTCGGACTTTTGCCTTATTGAGGAACACTGCAGCTCAGCTTGTCTAACCCAAACGACTCTTCCGGGAAGGTGATTGCAGATGAATTCGAAGTGTTCGACGCTGTGTATGTTTGCTTGGGATTTTGGCTGGAGGCTTGCTGAATGAGTGGATTTGATAATGAGTTCGATGTGTAATGGAGACGGAAGTTCTATTCGAGAAGATGTGAAGGAAAAAATAGAGGGACTGGCTTGAAGAGGTTGTGTCCTATATAGTAATACTCAAAAAGTATAAGTTCATGGCTCACGCCTGATAGGTCTTCGAAATCTTATTACAGATATTGAACCCTGGCATTATAGAAAAGTATAAAATCCAATTATATTGGAACATTTCCGCACTTTGTCACAGAAAAATGCTTGTAAATGCTTGTGGAGCCGAATATCCAAGCTTCCTGGGAGTACATCATCATCTTTTCGGACCAAAATTTACCAGAAAGGTCGATTGGTCGAGTCAGTAAATATGGAGTTTAACTTGAAGCTAAACGATGTTGCTAACTTTGGTAGATTCAAAGTTATCTCTTTTTTTGGATGTACCGTGAACTCTAACACGCAGATTTTTGGGGAAAACCATTTAGAATTTCTTTTACCCGGCTATCGTGATTCTGACCTGGTGACCAGTCATGTCCATGAACCTATGACTCTCCAACGTTATAGCATTAGGTTCTCCCGTGAAGTAAGGTTTTGCTAGATACAATAGGGCTTTGATGAAAAAAGACGTGCAAAGACCCCTAATTTACCAGTCTAGACCCGAGCCGGAGCGCAACTCCTAGCTAGATGCGATCAAAAAAACTAGACCTCGATCCTCCATGTACGTACTTGCACCACACTGGATGGACCTCCCCTTAGATGAATTTCACGGGGGGATTGAGGCGTTCCCAATATAAATTTTGAGATGATATGATATTGACATGATATTGACCACCTCGGAGGGTTCAGCCCGGCGAGACGTTTGTGCTAAACGAAGCACTCCGTACAGTAGTGTAGTGGCCAAAAAAGCAACAACATGGGATTTCCCTAGACCAGCACGGAGCGTAGAACTCTATTTACCGAAATAACGACATGTTGGAATTTTGGAAACACAAAGTACCTCCGTATAATTTTAGCATTAATTGTTAGTTTTCCTCAGAAGCACGGAGCAGCTGCCAGTTCAGCCATAGTTTGCCGCTAAGCGAAGGGAAAACAAATGAAGTATGTATAATCGCACCTCCCTCCGACCCCCTGCCTGCCATTTCACATCAAACCATCTCGCATATCAACCTCTTCCTGTCTCCACGCCCCGTCCCACGGCCTCTCTTTTCCAAAATCTTCTCACATCCTTAGAACGGAAAGAGAGTTTCTCCATCCATGAATCTATCTATGAATCCATCTTTCGCCTATCCATGAATCCGTCTATCCATGAATTAATGAGATCCATGCCCCCATCCCCCATCCCATCCCCATCCATCCATGAAGACATTTGTTCAAAGCTATAACAATACATTCGTAAGCTGTTTTAAGATTAGGGGTGCTCACAGACAGTTAATAGTTAATAGTTAATAGTTGTGGATTATTCCGTTTTCCCTTGCATATACACAAGACTACGGTATCTTGAAATGGAAATGCTGGCTGAACCGAACTGGGGTCATGATATATGGTTCCATCTGCTTGGGAATGAAAAAAGCATCCCATCCCGCCCGCTCAAATGCAGCCAGTGCAGCCAGTGCAGCCAGTGCATCCAATGCATCCAATGCAAGTTAAGCAAACACCACAAGGGCACAAAACAATGCCAATCCTAATGTCTCGTGCTTACTCAGCTTTTTTTTCACCGGCTAAATGATTAAACTTCGCTCTATTAACTTTTTTCGATATACACTTGAACTTTACTTGATGGATACTCTTATTGGGTCTTCGCATCCATTTTCGCATCCATTCGCATCCAAATTTGGAGGAAAGTATCGTTCAAGCGACCGACAACAAAGCATTGGGCCCAAGTCAATCAATACACTTCACATAAATAAAATAACTCTTGGAAAAAAAGGATAATAATAAAACAAAATCACAGCCTCGGATCCGGTTTAAGAACCGGAGCCGGATCAAAACATCTTTGGGAGTTTTGAACGATCGCTTGCATTGTACCAAGGACTGATCCACATGATGATCTCCATCTCCGTCTTTGTCAACTCTTACATTCGCAATTCCTTTCCGTATTCTTCATGCTCCGAACTGCATTGGGTAGTCTTCCTCCGAGATTCCAGAACACTAATCAAACAACAATCTCCCTTCCCGAGTCAAGGGGGATGAGAGCGTCTGAAATGGTACTGTCGTACAGCACAGGACCATTTCTCCTCTCGCTCACAACCCGATTCTGATACCAATCATACCCTCCCTATCTAAATCGAGGACGTGGAAACTTTCTTCTCTTTCCATCTCAGAATGTACCTGGGGTCGCTGTCTTTAGGCTACGATCGCATCAACCACTAAATGTGATGTATTATTATGTTGGCCAATCAGAAGTATGGGATCGTATAGGACTCAAGTCAATATGATTGATGGAAAATCAACCACTTTGCATCCGACCAGTGCTTCTGTGCCTCCAATCGAGATTTGTTTAGCTGTGGTTACATAAGCCCCAACCACTACTCGGTAAAGTTGATTATGTAATACGAAAGACGAAAGACGAAAGACGAAAGACGAAAAAGTTCCCAGTTTATCTGCCTGCGTGTGCATAATGCAGGTAAGAGAAAGCCGAGTTGCTACCCGAAATAGTTTAAGCCGAGAGGATGGTTTCGAAAGATTGTGCCAATTCAGAGGGTTCCCCATTTACAGGAACTGTTTTATTCCCGCTTGATCTCTGATTTCCGCCCATTCAGAGCCGTTCAATGACATACAGTTTTCCTGCCACCCAGAATCCGGGTAATCCCGCACGATCCGCAACAACCGCCCATTCAGAGGTGTCCAGTGACATACATTTCTCCCTGCCCAGATACTTTATCATCTTGGCTCTCTTGGCTCTCACTGACATCCTTCCTATATAAGATACTTGAAAGGATTCCCACGCGATAAGATGATCGCCTTTGGCTGATGTCCAGTCCAGCAGAGGTCATGGGAATTAAACATGTAACAACTAACGGTGCTTGTTGATGGATGCACAATCGCCACACCGAAAGCCACAATACCTCGGAGATGCTTAGGAAACTCGGCATCAAAAGCCACAGACAGATATAACGATCGGGCGATTGGTGGAGATCTTCCGCAGTACAGGAGCATCATTCAAAAGATGGCCCCTCCCGCGCCCCGCACTTTTCTAGGAGATGTGCTGCGGACCCCCCTCTTACTACTTTTTGGCATTTCTCCGTCCCTTGTGTGTCTCAATCTATCTTAGATCGTTTAATGTTCTTAGTTCTTAATAAATCTAGGAGCAATCTAGGAGCAATCTACGACCAATCTACGACCAATCTACCCTCATGTGAATGCTTATCCCCGGCACTTGTTATATCCGACCAAGTTTCAACTGATAAGAACCCAGCCGTTTGATGCACGCACTCCTACCATCACCACCTGGGACCGAGTGTTGTTAATTGTTAGCTGCGCCACACACACGGAGCTCACTCCGTCCCCTAGGTACCTAATCAATCCAATATTAGGGCGGCTGATGATGCTACATACACACAGTAACACTCAACATGCAATGCAAATCATTTTCGTTACAGAACCTACAGCTTTGAATCCCAAGCCTCAAGGTAATCTTTTAAGCTTCTCGGAACCCGCTTCCGATTTTTCTAGTGTCAGAATGTCATTATTCTGAGCGAGAATGTCTGTTATAAGCGAGCGCTGCAACAAGTGGAAAAACTTAAAGCCTGCTGCCCCTGACTCGCTCGCCGTTGGCCGGCACGTGTAAAACTCGCTCCTGTCGTTGTCCTTGCTTGTTCCTCATAACCTTCACAGTGTTACTTTGACAGTGTCCTGCGGCACTACTTTGCACCGATCGAAGACTTTTCCAAAACGACAACAAGGATGCATCCCCACTACATTTAACACGCGTATACGGCAATGGTATGCTATTTAGTTTTTTGGCGCCCACCTAGTTTCCCAACAGCTCCCTTTTGTCGGGTCAATTTGGTATCAAACTCGCGATGTCATCTTAAGGTATAGTCTTAGAAGAAGAGGGGGAGGCTCGACCTCGGTATAGTGGAACGGGTTTTCATCGGACAGCTTGGAAATAATAGAGATGAGAAGTGATTAGGCAACTCCCAAATAAATACCCAGCATTTATGCGGCGCTCGATAATCCACATTCCGTCCCATATGTGAAGTTTAGCATTGGAGAAAAAAGAGGTCCTTGAGCATCTCTTTTCGAAATTTAGGTTACGAATTCGGTTATATTCGCTTCACGTCTTATGCTATATTGATTTGGGGTATGAGATCTTCGTCAATCTATACCACTTTCGGATCGATCTAGCGATCCCCCTTCATGTATTACAATTTACAATTGATTGCAATAATAAGCTGGCAATTGATTGATGGCAAATATACGAAGTCGCTAAGAATTCGGTCTTTACAAATTATATGAAATATCTTTAAACTTAATTGGGCAAAGCCGAAGTTCAAATTGATAATTGAAATTCAAAATTCGTTATGATCCAAGCTTTTTACTGGGGAATTTGGATTTTCAGAACCACGGCGGCATCAATGATATAATTTTACAAATGAGATAATTAATCTTTTTATTTTTTTCTTCTCACTCAAACCATCTACCGAAAAAACTGTGTTTTTTCTTTCGGTCCATGCTAATTTATTAAACTTTGCTTCGATTCTCTGAGTCACGTAATTTAACCAATTGAATGCTTAACTCCCCGGCTATAGGCACATGCTTGCCAAACGTTGTGTCATCACTGATCTTCGTGGTGGGAGGGCAGTGGACCTCTACAGAAAACTCAAAATTTCAGGATCCAGAGTATAATGTATTGTAAAGTACTATGACGATGAGTTGAGCTCGACGACATCGGTTAATCGGTTATTGCGGAGATGACAATTCGTGTCATTTCGGGGAAATGTAAAAGGGATTTATTTGGGATGAGACAAAAAAAGAGACCAGAACTTCCTCTTCCGTGAGGACAGTAGTTCGTTCATGAAGGAAGGGATCGTGATGGATGTGCGGCTCCATTTTCCTGGTTTTAAGTCTACGTAGGTCGTTTCTCCCCCATGCTTAGTCACGTCGCCAGATGTCATACAGCTGAAAGAGCTGGTCTTAACACATGTAGTTGAGGCAGGTCCACCGAAAAAGTTGAAAGTTAAAAGTGTGCCACGGCGCTCTCTTCCAGAGTGTCAAAAAGCTTATCCGATCAGCCTACTCCCCTTTGGAAAACGGGCCATGGGCCGCTAGTCTGAGGTGGCCTCGAGATTCGAAAAGCGTAAAAGCATGCCTCCGTAAGTTGTGCGGCCAGAAAGTATAAAACCCCGAACGGCTAGAGAACAATTGTTATTGATCCAACTGCCCCATTTTCAAGGTTTCCCTTTTCTTTTTTTAACACCGACTTGGCTTTTCGGAGGTTTTATGCTTTCTGGGCCGCACGACTGCTTCGCTTTAGTTCCACTAATGGCTTTTTTTTTCTCTACTAGGGACGTACCTCACGTCTCAAGTCTCAAAATTCAGCCGGTCAGGCAGTGAGCAGAACGCATGGTGTCACCCTAAGTGTTGGTGCTAGGCGTATTCTTACTTTCCCACTGCTGCCCTAGGACACTAAATCGGCAGAATGTACGGAAGTATACTCTTGATATGTGCCCATGAATCGTATGCAAAGAGTCTTGGTAACCCACTGACCTATTTTCATATACCAGGGGAGAGACTTTGACAGATGATGCGCCGGCATCAATTGATATATTGACATGTCATCCTTTCGTGAGTAATGGTTTTAGGTGATACGTCGCAACGGCAAGACAGTGAAATGACATTGTTTCAGAAATAGCTTTGCTTTATTAGAGATCTTCTGCTGCAGCTGCAGAGGGATCCAGATCGAGCTAGCAGCTCTGATCATATGCAAGGCACGTGAATTGAAAGATTCCATATTCAACCTCCGACATGATGATTAGGGAGGGTGATTCTCGAAGAAGGAATGGAAAAGTACCTCATTCAATACTTCGTGTCTGCTTAGACAAACTTTATTAATTCAGATGGTCCTTTTTCCCAACGTCATCAAGAACCAAAAGCGCGACAAGAGACGAAAATGACGACGATGACGATGATGATGCAGATGAAAGATACTAATAGGAAATTCCCTTAGCATTTTCTATCTTTTGACCTTCTATTCACGATGCAAAGTTAAATCACTTCTAAGTTTGGGTGCAAGTCTCTTCTACTTATCCCGATGTTCGCAAACCTACAGTCATTAGTGTGTGGCGATCCATGACGCATGATCTGTAGAACCATCATTTAACACCGATCGACAGACATCCTCCGACTGTTTTGATATTTCTATGCCGTACAATATTGATTTGCTACTCAGCATGTCCTCGTCAATGCAAAGATAAATTCGGTGGTTGCTGTACCAAACAATGTACCAATGTCATAATGTCGATACAAATGACGTCGAATATTGGTTTTGCGGAAAGGAAATCACTACAGTAACCTTGGACTATTTTCACTTCGCTGGTGTACTTTAGTCTTTGGTCGACTAAAGTTACTACTGACCAGGAAACTTGTCACTACCATTAACCGGAATTGTTAATGGCGAGTTCGACCACTTTATAGCTCTGTCGGCGGCGAGTGTATATCAATTCTTAGCTTGTTAATGGCAAGCTATACCAATGTGTAGTTTGCCAATGGCGAGCTCTATCAACTCGTAGTTTGTCAACGGCGGGCTCTAGCGATTCGTAGTTTGCCAATAACGAGCTCTACCATTTCGTAGTTAGTTAATGGCGAGCTCTAGCGACTCGTACTTTGTCAACGACGAGTTTCTATCAATTCTTAGTTTGTTAATGACAAGCTTTACCAGTTTGTAGTTTGTCAACGGCGAGCTCTAGCGATTCGTACTTTCCAACGGCGCGAGTTCTATCAATATATAGTCTGCCAATGACAAGCTCTACCAATTCGTAAGTTGGTAACAGTAAGCTCTAGCAATTCCTACTTTCCAACGGCGAGTCCTACCGTTCGTAGCTTGGCAACGGCGAGCTCTATCAATTGGAGCTTGCTCGATGGCTAGTTTCATGGTAGCTTGTGCAATCTGCCCACTTCATGACATTGTCCTGTAATCATTCCCGATATCCAAGATATGTATATTTAAGTACTGTACATTACCAAGTCTGCGCGTATCTGCATACAAAATTAATTATCGTCTCTACTTGATACTATTCACAATGTTTAAATCCATCCAATGTATCTTTGCTGTCCTGCTGCTTCTTCTGCCTATGGTACTCGCAAAATCAAAAGCATACGTGGAATTGATCAATGGGACACCATATGATTGGCACTTGATATCTCACGCAACGCGTCGCATGAAATGGTCGCCTAAGACCATTATCCCATCTGGTATCTTAAACACACAATATTGCCCAAAATCATACATCCAATTCTGACAAACATCACAGGCACAAGCTCCGAATCCTGCATCTCATGGATTATCAACCTACCAGACGCATCTGCGGAAGCAAAATATCGTATTGACAACCCCTCATCCCCTGAATCCTTCACCATAAGTGCCATTCAAGACCCAACGCAACTGCAAGTTCACTACCATGAAAATCTCACCTCTCTCAACAATCCCCAATATTCAACCATCAATCTAGGATTTATGGATCGTCATGCCCATCCTTTCATGCTCGCAGGAAACGGCACCCAAACCCCCTACATTAGCACCAACCCCCCAGTCGCCTGGATGCAAAGCACCCTCTCTACACTCTCCCGCAAAACCCTCCGCGAAATAACCATGCCCATGTCCCACGACGCCGGCGCCAATGTCGTCACGCACCCTCTCAACGGACCAGGCACACTCCACAACACACAAACGCAATCAGACTCCATATACTGGCAACTTGTACACGGAGCCCGCTGGCTCGATATCCGTCCTGCGCTATACTGGAAAAAGTGGATGACGTACCACGGTTCGTGGGCCGCAGGTAGCATGTGGGGAGCCACGGGACAGAGTATCGAGAGCATGATCGAAGATATAAATTACTTCACGAGGAAATATCCAGGGGAATTAATCGTGCTAGATATCTCACACGATGCGATCGCGAAGCGTAGATGGAGTGGTTTTAGCGAGGATGATTGGATGAAGTTTTATGGAGTGCTGAATGGGATTTTTGATCTTTGGGTTGAACCGGAGGGGAGTTCGCAGTGGGATTTGTCCAGTGTGCCTTTTGGGACGTTTGTCAAGGAGGGTGGTAAGAGTACGGTGTTGGTGAGGGTTCCTTGTGGTGCCCCTGCTTGGTTTTCTAAGCAGGAAAAGAGAGATGTAGATACCACTCTCACGGCAAGGTCACCTGGCTGCGACCCTGTTGTCCAGGATAACGATCTCGCTCCTCTTAACACTACAGATACTTCCTACTCGCAGAAGTCATCTCGCTCGTTCTATAAACGGGATGTCTCTAATTCTCCCGAAAATACTGGTAAGTGTGATTTATCTTTCCACATCGCAATTCCTAATATCCGACTCTATCGTGATATTTTATCCTGCGCATCGTTTACAATAATTCTCTTCCCATATCCATCATCTAGCATATATACTCTTCCCTTACCCTCCCCTCCATCCCCATAAACCACCCCTCCAAAAAAAACAAAAACAATAACTAATCCTCCACCCCTATACAGACCATCAAACCACCTCATCCGGCTCCCCACCCAGCCTAAACTTTACCCCTATCCGCGCCTTCCGGCTCCCCATAACCGGCACCTTTTCTCACACCTCATCCACCAAAAAACTCGTCACGACCCAACTCGAAAAACTCTCCCAACACAAACTATCATTCCCCAACACCTCTCCCAATTCCAGTCCAAATACCAGTCCTGACACCGATGCAAATCCAACCCCAAATCACAGTCCAAGCCCAATCCACAAACTCTCCTGGATTCTCACCCAACCACTTGCCGTGCAAGCCGACACGCTAACATGGCGGAATTCTATACTTGGGTATGCGGTAGCGGCGCATAGGGAATTATATTCTAATTTCGAGGCTTTGGTTTCTGGGGGGAGGAAAGGTGGTGAGGAGGGAGAAAGAGCAGGGGAAGGGAGGCCAAATTTGATTGAGCTGGATTATATTAGGAGTTGTGATGTTGCGGCGTTGGCTATGGGGATTAATGTTTGGGGAGAGTGGGAGAAAGAGGGGGAGGGGAAGGGGGAGTAGGGAGTAGTGAGGGAGATTTGGGTGGTGTGGATTAGATGTGTGTTTGGGGAGGAGGGATAGGAAGGAGTATTGTGCGGCGGAGTGGAGAGAAGTTGTGGATTATGTATTATAAGAGAGTATATATTTTAATGTTAGATGTTTAATAAATTGGGAATTCTTCTGTGTTGCGATTATAGATAGTCGAAGGTGCTTGTCATTGTATGCCAGCGAAAAGATAACTTGGTTTCCAGTTTAAAATGATGAGATGAGAAGTTTCGACCAGGAGTCATTAATATACATCCGAGGTACGCACCGCGGCCACGGAGAACTCAACATGTCAGGGCGGGCATCTAATAGATAGAATTTTAGCTAGGTGACATTGAATTAAACCTGGAGGTGAAGAGAAAGATTCATGAGAATAAGTGCATTTTTGTGAGTTGAATAATTTTCAACATTATGGCTGCTAAACATGAAATGACATGTTGTCATGGGAGAAATGGTAGATGCTAGCTGGAGCATTTGAAGGACACAAAATGGGTAGAGATTCAGGAGTCAAACAGCAACTTCGCCACTCATCAAATCATCGAGTATCAGCCCGAGACGAACGGCCAACCAGAATCTCTAACCCAGTTCTATCCCATCAATACTCATCACACAATCGTTTGCACAAACAAAATCCTTCCCGAAAGACAAATTGATGGTGATCATGATCAATGGAGGTATCTCATTCCCAAATGCTGCAGGTATGAAAGTACTATGCTCTATATGTAGATTCTGAGCCTAGCCATCGATCGTCGCGACAGCAAAACACCATATCCCATTTCCCCCAAGAAGCAAAATCGTTAACATATTCGTTTATGATCTTGGCTTCTCCTTCTTCTCCTTCCACAAAGCAGACAATCCAACACCAGAGACCTTGACGACCTTGAAACGAACACCAGGAATATCTCCCTTGGCCTTTCCTTTACGACCGAAACCAGCGAGGAGAACCTCGTCGTTCTCATCAACGAAGTTAAGACAACCATCGTTAGGAACTGTAGAAATTATTATTAGCATTTCTTCATCACTTTCCCATTTCCAGTATGCCACTATTCATCCACCATCCTCGCGCATATCTTCAATCCATCCTCCACTCCTTCCCAGAAGTCCCAAATCATGAAATATTCCACATACCGAAAGCAGTGACCTTCTTTCCGTTCTTGATCAACTGAACTCTGACACACTTTCGGATAGCGGAGTTAGGTTGCTTGGCCTCGACTCCGACCTTCTCGAGAACGATACCCTTAGCGTGGGAAGAACCTCCGAATGGCGAGGATTTGAAAGCGGTACCCAAAGCACGCTTCTTGTAGGACAAATCAGCCCATCTTTGCTCGCGACGATGGTTTTGTAGTTTGCGAGCGGCGTTGAGACCTCTTGGCTTTCCTTTACCCATGATTGCTATTTAAGAATTTCGAATTAGCTGCTGATTGAGATTGATTCAGAGGGTAAATCGTAGAGAGATTGATTATGTACCGGATTATGGCGATAACGGGAATTAATGGGTTTGGTTAGTTGTCGATATTGTCGTTGCGAAGCTGGAGAGAAGAATTTCAAAATTCCTAATGAGTGCGTGAAGCTAAAATGCACTAAGCGAACAAATGAATTTCTGGGCAAAAATAGTTGTGGCCTGAGAATAGTCAGGAATTTGAATTTGTTTAAGGCACCTACAAAGTGATACAGATTATCGGCGATAATAATTACCGATAAGAACTCGATAACTTCTATCTTATGATACCTACCTACTCCGCATAGCTCCAGACATATTCCTGCAAATTACATACACACTTCCATTCACATTTCATTATGGAACAATCACCAAAATCAAAATCACAACGGCCTAATCGTGAACCACCTCCTGCACTCTTTACTACTCCTTCTCAAAATGCATCTCATGTATCAATAGAAGGTGGTCTAGCACTTGTACCATCCAATCAATCATCTGCCTTATATCCCACCACCTCTAGAAATTCCCTCGTCCATCAACGGTCCCAAAGACTACCTCTACGAACCAATTTCGATGGCCCCACAGATACGGGCCCCCTAAGTTCAATCTCTCGCGTAGGAAGAGCTCCCTCCGAGGGACAAAAACAAGCTGCGAGAACCGATGCGCTATGGGCGGAAATGCAAAGCACATTAGAGGAAGTTGAACTCAGTGCTGTAAATGCGACACATGTATTTGGACCCGAACATAGCAGAGCATTAGAGGAGTTACGTAAAACACAAATAGCTTTGGCACAAGCATGGGCAAGAAGTGAGGCTGATGATGTAGTTGACGAGGGACGTAAAGGTGATATTGGAGGTGGGGCATTGGGAAGTGAGGGGAAAAGTGCATTGGACGGACCAGGAATGACGGCAACATCTGGAACGGATGGAGGAAGAAGTACAGTTACCAGTGGAGCTCATAGTGGAGGTGCGGAGAGGATGGGTAGTAAGTTGGAGGAGGACACAAAGGCAGATATTGTATTGGCGAGAAAGAGAAGGGAAGCTAATGATAGGTATTTTCAAAGGGTGAATGAGGGTGTGCTTGATGTAGTAGCAAAGTTGGAGGAAGTTGCTAGTGCAATGAGATCCGTGGAACAAGAGAGTCGAGATATTTGGGGTGATAACGAAACTATGGATACTGCGAGTTTTCAAAGCTCAGAACCCTGAACCATGACGTAGGAGCTCCATTCTCGATTTTGAAGGTTTGAGAAATGATCTTGTCTATCTGTCTATGGCATTTGGATTGGCTTGTACACTTTATGTATATATGCATTCGAGTGCATTAGCGAAGGCGTTTTGGTTTATGGTTTGTGGAGATTGGCGCAAAGGAAGAGCTTCTGCAAGGAACGTAGGGAGGCGAAACAGAATATAATAACTTGGTATCTTGTTCGATTAATCGTATAATGTTTTATCATATCGGCTCGAATGCCACTCTCATAACTTTCCCAGCACCATCTCCTATGCCAAATGTCTTTAAGGTCTAGACCTCAGCCTGATATAAATCCATCCACCTAACGCCATATAAGTCCCTCCCCAACCGCTTAGTTACCGATGAAAAGAGAAACCTATTATCATTAGTGATCCTGGGCCAAAACCATCCAAGCTATAACTCACAGCCATAACAACACAGCAAACACTTATGTAAGGACTCAATCGTTCTCCTATCCTCGCGCACTTCCAGAATAACCCAGTAAAAGTCCTACATCTCGTCAGTATCCCAATTCCCATCTTGTTCAAATAAATATAACCATACCCCTCCTTATTCCTATCCATAATATTGGGAAACAATTGATGTGCGTATGCGCTCGTACATATGAGGAGGAGTAGCACTAGTAGCGCTGACTGGAAATTGAATAGAGCTGACTAGATAACTATTAGCATTCTCGCAGTGAGAAAAACCACACGCATGGACACCATAGTTTGCTCCAAGAAAAGTGACAAACCATTTTGGTATATGATAATGTGGGAGATTATGGGAAAAATGTTGAACGATCAAATTGTTCTGGCTGAGAGTTCATGAATCCGTAAGTAACACCAGTGGTATCTTCAAACAGATTTCCATTCCCATGTATTGGATAATCGGTGTCCGGATTATCTTGACGACCGCCTTTCGGATAATCTACCGGGCTCTCAACTTCTCAACTTTATTATATCAGTTGCATCATCACGATTAACAAAAGGTCTTTTTAACAGCATTCGATATTTCTCCTCGCGACTACAAGTGCTCAATTACAAGCTGCAAACACAATTGGCATTGGGAACTTACATATTCGTCAAAGCTGCAAAGATAAAACTTAACAATACCAATTGATATCAAACTCTGCGGCAACGACAGCCATTCAATCGCACCATCCTTCGACCCAGCTAGAAATCTACATCTCAATCAACCAGCAATATGTCCGAACCAAGGGCTCGCGCCGCCAAAAATCGCGGGCAACAAAACTTCACCGAAGCAGAACGTACGTTTCTTCCAGTCCTCTTCAAACCTCCATCCATTCCATTCCCCAGTCAAACCCTAAACTAAACCCCCAACGCAGTAAAACACTTCCTCCACGCGCACGGCGACGTACAACACGCACTAGAAAGTACAACCAAAACGCTCGACGAAATCGTCACCGATTTCATCATCGAGCTCTGTTTCGAAGCATCACGCGCTGCGCAAATAGCCGGTCGACAAAAAGTCAAACTGGACGATATTAAATTTGCTTGTAGGAAGAATCCAGCTTTTCTTGGGAAGATTACAGAGGTTTTTGAAAAGAAAAGTTTTATTGATGAGGCGAAGAAGACGTTTGATGCGACGGATGATAAGTTGACGAAGTCGAGTGGGGGGAAGGTCGAGACGTTGGGGGAGGAGGATGATGATGCTGATGTGATGAATAATGTTAAAGGGGGGAGGTGATGGATCGGGATGTGAAGTTGGAAGTTTGAGGTTGGGATTGGGTTTTTGTGGTTAGGATTTGGCTTACTTTCGGATACTTTGTGTTTGGCGCTGCATAGGATAGGATATGATAGGATGATACCCATACAGGAGTTCATTTTTCGGAATCAATCATGATTATTTGAAGTTTTTATTATGTTTGATAGTTAATATCTCTTCTACGTCTTTTACTACCTAAGTTGATATCTGAAATATTACTTCCAAGTGGATGCGCACTGGATATTGTCCCTAGTATCTAAAATAACATCTTCACAACCATCCGCAATATACAATACAAGAAAATACAGAATAAAGTTATTAAATAACCCGCATATCAATCTCCCTTCCATCTAATCTATCCAAACTTTTTCCCAAATTATATATATAATTTATATACCCACCCCTTAAAATCCTGCTCATCTCATTCACCACCATCTATTAGTCTTATACACGAAAGCATTTCATATATAATATCTCGGTGTCTGGTGTCTAGTGTCTAGTGTCTGCTGTATAATATCTAATATCTGATGTATAGAAATTGTTTTTAGATGGATGGTAAATAATAGTAGAAAGAAAGAAGGAAGGAAGGAATATTATCTGCATTTAATATTTATTTTGATTCTTTTGTTCTTTTATTATATATATGTATATGTATACTAACTATATGAAGTGTATACTATATATACTAATCAACCAACCAAGCAATCTATTCATCTCATAATTCTTAAATGCATATACGTGTGCATATATATACCTACTACCCAAACGCCATCCCATGCCAAAAATAGCAGTTAATTCGCTCAGTGCAGTCCTAATATCAAATATCAAATATCAATCACAATCCTCCTCTTTACACATGATATACACCACCATACATCATAACCTCTTCCCCTCCCTCCTCCCATCCTCCCTCCTCCCACCTCCTCCACCCATCCTCACAAACCCAACCACATAAACCCAACCACCCCCAGCGTCACCCAAACCGCACTTCTCCCCCCACTCAACAATCTCCGCGCCTCACTAGCCGCCTCCGCACCACAACACTCCCGATCATAAGTAACGTTATTCCACTTCGCAGCGACCTCAAACACACTCCCTTGCCCCACATTGTAAAAATCCACATTAAGAAACTTAGGCGGGAATCCCCATTCCTGTACACACTGCTCTGCATTCGTACCCAAAGAGCCATAACCGGTAACATTATTCGTCACATTCAGAAGATTCTGATAGGGTACCAACAGCGAGATACCGAGGAGATTAATATCATAATTAAGATTATGATTCGTCATGTAGAGGTGGGATTTTGCGTCAGCATCTTGGAGATTGGGAGGACGTTCTGGAACGCAGGGGAAAGAGCGATTGGTGGGATCGAAGGGGGTTTCCCACATGTTTGTGAATTCATCGAGGACCCATGGGTACGCGGTTTGGTTGGCGTTGTAGTCCATGAATATGACGACGCGTTTTCCGCTTAGGATCATGCTGGCGAGGGTGGGCCAGTCGTCGATTGCCATGGGGATTTTGGGGGGCACGTAGGCGTAGTTTTGTAAACCGGTTTCTTCGAGGAAGGGGATGTAGGCGTCGATTTTGGAGTAATTGCCATTTCCGAGGAGAATCGTAACTACGTCGAATGGATGTTCGGAAACCCAATTGTAGACTTTGCCTAGAAAATCGGTGATGGGTCCTGCGTCTAATATGTCGCAGGAGGTATGGCAGAAATGTGGAATACTTCCATTCCATTGGATCTGAGCCTGTAATAATCTAATTCCATCGTTGAGTTGGGTTGTGACGTCTAATTCTTGATTTGCAGCCACACTGCCCTTTCGAACGAAAGGAGAATTGTGCGCGGATACTTCGGTGATATTTCCGTAACTACGATCGCAGAATTCAACAAAGTTGTTGCAGGGAGTTGTGTTGGTTGCTTTTGCGGAACTGGAGGTTGATGTTGCTGTTGAATTGGATGTTCCATTAATAGCACTGGTTGTTGTGGAATGCCCTCCACCACCTGTCAGAATGATTTGTGTAGCAGTACTGGTCGATTCCGTCACATTTCCTGTCAGGGTTTCGGTACCAATTGCATAAATTGTAGTTGATCCAAGAGTAGTTGTAAGTGTGGTGGTTTTACCAGTTGAAGTAGAAACGACAGCTTCAGTTGATACCGCTGATGAAGACGTAGAAACAGTAATTGTAGTGGATAAAGAAAGATAAGATCCTGTAGGTGTTCTCTGTTCCGATCCTGTTATCACAGAGATATCTGTTTGGGATGAGGAAGAACCCGTGCTAGATCTTGAACTCGATCTTGAACTCGAACTTGAAGTGGTATCTGAAGAGGTTTCTGAAGTGGCTTGAGTATGCACTCCAACAGCCAGTATCCCAACTGAGAATAGGCGTGAGAACAACATTGTTTCCTACTATAATTCTGCAGTGATTTTCTCTACACCTAATCACTTTGGCAGATTAATAGATGGAATTGTGCATATACTCAAGAATGAAGGGAAGGGTATCCAAACGCGTGAAGTTCTTTGGACAAGGTAGGTATATTTCGTATTCGAGGCCTGGAGGGAAGGGCTCAGGTTAGGATTTGATGTGATGGTGGAGGTGGAGGTGGAGGTGGAACCTGGATTGACGAATCGACGTCAGAAAAGAAACCAAGAGCCAGCGTTACCGTTGCTGTATTATGGAGAAGACGAAGAGTACCGAGTTTGGAATGATTACGAGAAATTGAATAGCTTTCCAGAATAGGAGTAGTACATTAGTATTGTAAGATCTGACGAGATAAAGTATCTGGCACGGTTGGAGAAGCAAAAGAAGCACTTCAAAGTTAAGGCGATGACGTTGTTGAACGTTTTATTTTCTCTCTTCTGCTGCTTCACTTCTCTCGGATTATGAGAGGCCTACTACTTGCAAAACTACAGAGTAGTCTCTATCACACTTCAAGAAAGTTTCGACACAGTGGATACATACGCAAATCATTTTTAGCTTCGGGGGCTCGGCAAGTAACGTATTCTGATACACCCAAGGAGAACCGGCAGCTTGAAGCCCTCGAAGATATAAAATTGACAAATCATAAATACCTTCCAAGGTTGTTCTGCGCCAGTTTTTGAATTCTAGATGGCGAGATGGTGCGGCTTCGTGTATGCCAATATGCTGAGTCTAATTCTAAATGCTTAGCCCTAAGAAATTTAGATACTTTTGATTAATCCTTGGAAATGATGAATTATTGGTAAATATTGAAATTTCATTTTGATTTGTAGATCTACAGAATCAAGTTTGGTTCCTGAATCGTAAGCCGGCGGGAAAATAGGATAGCATGTAAGATCTTACCAAGCGGACGGATCATCCATAAGCGTACGGGAAGTGCATACTCCGGATACTCTCTTTCCTAACAGGAAAACCTACAACCACCCAACATTCAACTATCCTGTCTCAATTATCCCATCCATCACCACACATTTGTCAAATGTCTCAAGAATGTATCAAAATAGAGACTCATCACCTCTTTCTCCCAAAAGGTCCACATGCCAACCATACTCTGCTCTAAACTTTCATCTATGGGTCCAAGCCTCTTTCAACTTTCCGCCCCTCTCTTCCCTCTCCTCCCTCTCCTCTAGGCCAAGACGGTTGGCTACTCAGTGGCTATTCAGGGATCATAAATATATTATGAACCACACCACTGCATAGATCCGAGTCCAGGATTACTGACTGCCTGCCAAGTTCTAACAGTTTGCTTCTTTCGTAGCGATGAGTGCAGCCTTTCAAAGAAATCTATTTGATTAAGGGTCTAGATAGATCCACTGCTTATAGATTAGGTAGGTACAAGTAGAATTGAAGAGAAAATTCTGACGTTCAGAAAGTATATTCTTTTTTAAAGAAATCATACCAAACTACTCTATCTAGTACCTGCCCTCCACTAACCACCAAGTAAACAAAAGAGGGCAACGGAGCAGCTCAATATACTCAAAAACGAGTCGTATCCAGAAACCTCGTATTCCTGTCCTTTCCTCTTAGTTCCAAGCCTATAAAAGATATTATGGAAGAGAAACAACACAAACTGCGCCTCGATGCACCTCCCATAGCGGTAAGCGACACGTTTTCAAGCCCAGGTACCTAGCGGATCATCACTCAAGTGCTGTGCATGCTGTACATACTGTGGGATGACGTTCAGGGGTTATTTCCAATACCGTTCTAGAAATATGGTGAGTCCACCGATGACAATCCCAGATATTACGAATGAATGAATGAACTTGGAGTCTATGAAGCTCCAGATGCAGTATTCTTATATGATGGTCTCGAAATTCTATAGTTTGCGTTGTTTTCGAATCGACGCTTGAACATAACATCATTATTGCATGGAGTTTGCGAGAAGTTACAGAAGGACGGCGTAGACAAATACACTTCATGTACGAATACATCAGTGGCGTGCTGCTTCATGATAGTGCGATAGTAAGTTGCAAAGTAGGTCTAATAAGTTGATGATGAGTGCAGAGTGAGGACTACCTAGTACGATCGAATGAATACATACCCAGTAAAGCTTGTGCTGACACTGACAGGTGTACAAGACCACTCTTTACAAGTTCCAACCAGCCATTCAAAATCATAGCTAGCAGACTCCGTAACCCAGTCAGGTACAGTAAGGACGATGCAGACGCAGCCTTCACTTCGGACGCGCAATATTACCCTCTTCTCAATGTTGATCCATGCATGAGCCCAAGCCCAGGTGAAAAAAAAAAGCCCCTGTTTGTTCCATGGTTTGGTTTTATCAATGATGTCGATAAGAATGGGTCTTGGAATCAAATCTTTGATTTTATTACTGTATTGTACTTCTGCAGCGAGAGGTATCTACCGTCTATACGGATCATATTTCAATAAAGTTTTAATTTATCCTGCTGCATAGCAATCAAGCTTTTTGTGAAAAGGATTACGGAGTAAAAGTGTGGTAAGCTTGAGGGACATTTGGTTAGGTACTTGAGATTCCCCAACTTTCATTGTTGATGTATCATCATTGATTGATCAATTGATGCTGTTGATTGAGGATATCAATATTCAATTATTGTCGTCGTCGATTGAATCCAAGTCATCGCTCGTCCACTCACATCCTATCTCCATCGCCATCCATACATAGGATTTGTGAAGGAGAGGAAACAACAAACTAATCTAATATCCTCGACTCTCACTCCATCTCCTCAATTCCAACATAATCAACAACGTCGCGTCTTCACCAGCTTTCCTCACATCCATCAAAATGGGTCTCTTCCCCAATCGAAAGCGTCAACCAGCAACACCAGCTCAACAAGCAGGAGTAATATCCCCCCAAGGCAGAACCACAGACAAAAGTTCCGATCGAACATTAACATCCGGCCATGAAAATCCCAATTACACCTCAGCCACCGGGGTTGATATCAAGAGAGCGACAAAAGCACGTAAAACGGCAATATACATATCCAGTTTCTTATACGTAGTCTCCATTGTATTTTTAATACTCGTAAGTTTCCTCCCACCTATGAGCCTCGGGATTGTTCTCACCCCTCGCTATTCCCCTCATGTTTCATCCTTCTTACTTCAAACCTTTTCGATGTCTAATATGTGTACGTCTAGACTATCATTGGTAATATCAATGATCGTCCAGTCATTCGTAATACCTGGTTCTTCCGTCTCGATCTCACAAATATCATCCCCGAATCCGTGGGTGGAAGTATAACGCTCACGAATTCTCTGGCCCGATCCCTCGGTCTCCATGATTTCTACCAAGTCGGCCTATGGAATTTCTGCGAAGGATACAACGATGAAGGCATCACATCCTGTTCTGAGCCGCAGAAACTATACTGGTTCAACCCGGTCGATATTCTCCTCAACGAATTACTTCCCGGCGCTACCATCGCTTTACCCGCACAGATTAACAATATCCTAAGTCTAATCCGCATCGCAAGTCACATAATGTTTGGATTTTTCATCACGGGAGTAGCCATGAATTTCTGCAATATATTCCTCTGCTTCTTTACCATCTACTCACGCTGGATATCCGGCATCTACGCCACATGGGCATTTATATCCGCACTTCTCACTACAGTCGCAGCAATCATCGCCACAGTCATGTTCATCATCTTCCGAAATGTCATCACGTCGCAAGCGGGTCTCAATATCGGTGCTAGTATCGGTGATCAGATGTTTGTGTTTATGTGGATAGGTGCCGCTTGTTCGATTATTAATTGGGTTATTCATGTGGGTATGTGTTGTTGTGGTGCCTCGAGGAGAGATGTTAAGAATGGGAGGAGGATGGGTAGTAAGAAGGCTTATTCTAGTGGGGCGCTTATGGAGGAGAAGAATACCGGGACGAAAAAGAGACATTTCCCTGCGTTTAAGAGGACGAAGACTCCGGGTGAGATTGTTTAGTTTTGTGGTATGTGGTTTGTGTTGGGTAAAAGCAAGTTTTTTTTTTCCGTTTCGTTTTTTTCCGTTTCTCGCTTGATACTCCTTCCTGATGCTAGGATATTGAGAAAGCGGAAAATAGATGCATTGCATACATAGATAGATAGATGATTCAGAGTTAAAGATCACTCGAGGTATGGATATATCAGGTATATCAGGTATATAGTTATGATACTAAGATGGATATGGAATAGGCGTTATAAATTTCGGTGGTTGGATATCTTTGGTATGTATATTGGAGTTTTAGGGATGGGTAGCATAGCATAGGATAGAGTATTTGTGTATGCTGAGTGTGGTATAGCATAGCATAGCATAGCAGATATAGTATAGTATAGTATAGTATAGTATTACTCATGCATTTTAGGAACTTGAGAAAGTTCTTTATATATGGCCTTTTTGTCTTATAGTTGTATATAGTTGTATATACATAAATCTCTAACAGAAATCGACAGTAGATATATTACATACCAGATATTTATATAACAATACCACAACTACAGATGAGAAGATTAAGCGAGTATTATGAAAAGAATTCTTAAGAAGTATTGATAGGTATTTAAAAATGAATTTCTTCCTCTTCTCTTTCATCTCAACACGAAATAAACTTTCACAACTCCCCTCTCAATTCAACATCCTACTGATCTATTTCCACAACACACTCCAAATTTTCTGACCCCTCCAAAACGGAACAACCTCCACACCCTCCCCTTTAAAACTCGCCCTCACAACCTCCTCCCCCTTCCTCAAAATAATCTTCTCGCCCTCACCTTCTCCCACCCTCTGCTCCTCAATCCCATAAAACCTCTTTCCCCTCTTCCCTAAGAACCCCTCTAGAATCTCAACCGTAATATCCTCACTCCTCAAAACCTCCATCTCAACGCCCATTTCCCACGCCGTGAGTACATGACCCACAGCATGCGCCTGCGTAAACACACCTGCGGCCGTCTTACCACTTCCTCCCTTCTTGGCACCTATATCATGGGGCGCACTATCCGTCCCTAGGAAGAATTTATCAGAAGACGAAGTTGCAGCGAGGAGAAGCGCAGATCGATCACTGGGTAATTTGGCAACGGGTTTGCAGAAATGAAATGCGTCGTCGGCCCATTGGTCGATGGTTAGGAAGAGATGATGCGCAGTTATTGTTCCGACGACGTTGGGACCGCATTCTTTGACTGTTTGGATGGCGGCTGCTGTGGTGCAGTGTTCGAGGACGATTTTAAGGGTGGGGAATTTGGAATGGAGTGATTTGAGAGTGGGAAGGAAGGAGGCTTCGGCGTTGAGAATCGTGATGTCTTTTTTGTGGTCAGAGGGACATTCGCCGTGGAGATTGAGGATTAATCCTTCTTCTTGCATGGCTGCGAAGACGGGATAAAACGGTTCGTAGGAGAGGACGCCGGAGGAGGAGTTGGTTGTTACGCCTGAGTTCGGGTTAGTTTTTTCTCTTGGCTCTTCTTCTCTTGACTTATTTGCACGCGAATGAGTAAAAGGTGACATACCGGCAGGGTAACTTTTAATTCCAACAATTCCTGCCTTTTTAGCCTCTCGAACCGTTTCGGGTGTGATGCTTTCGTGTAGGTAAAGAGTCATGAGATAATTGACTTTAGGTTCGATGGCAAGGAGACGCTCTTTGTAAGCTAGAGCTGCTGATACAGTGGTGACGGGTGGGACGAGGTTAGGCATTACGTAGACCTGGTTTTTGTTGACAGATTAGCAAGATTAAAAGAAGCGAAATGGTCCAGACGGGAGCTTGCAGTGTCTAAATGGATCTGAGTGATTGGGGAAGACTTTTGGCTTCCAACGAATTGTCCATTCAAGCAGGTTCAACACATCTTGAATGGATATTCCATTTTTCCAAACTTTTCTATGGCAGTATGTCCGAGTGGACTTCTTTTTAGACAAATTTCTGATATGTATGAATTCAGCTCTTCAGATGCACTAGCAGGTGAGTCTCTGGAGAAACCAAGTCCCTGAAAGAACCAAGCCCTCCAGAAACAATTCAAATATCTCAAGAATTCTCTCTCGAGCACCCAAAGACTACCACACCACACCACACCACACCACATCACACATCCCACCTCCCACCTCATCCCCACAAACCAACCACCCTCCCTTACGCAAATAAAAAACGTGAAATAGAGGTAGAAAAGAATTCCCCCAAAAAATCACCTACAGTATCCACACCCCCCAACCTAATCGTCGGAACAACCGTCTCCATCATCTTCCCATCTCTAAGATGAACATGAAAATCCGCCGCAGCGGGGATTTCTAACCCGTCGAATTTAGATGCAATTGACATTTTTTCTTTCTTTCTTTTCTTTAACTTTTTGTGATGGAGTAAATGAAGAAATAGATAGATGTATAAAAGCTATGGATAAATATAGGAAATTTCCCAAATCTCCAATTTCCAATTTTCACAGCTATAATTTGTACTATATATACTGTATGTTAGTTACACATCACACTTACAACAGGAAGGCCAAACACTCCAAACACTCACATATGAAATCCTAAACCAGAGACTTCAGAAATATAAATTGACGAATGTGGGTATTGATTGTATTTAGATATCCCTCAATATTTGAGTAAAGTATCGAGAAAGAGATCGTTCGTCGTCGTTGGTGGGATGGATGGTGGGGTGGTTTAAATTTTTGTGTCACGTGTTCAGGTGATAGGTAGGTAGGTTATTATAGTTTGTGCTATTTTTCACGGACTTTTTTCTAGCTCTGTAATTGTGTAGCAATATGAACTAATTGCATTCGTGTCAGAAGTCTCTGGCTACGTGAAAGGGATTGTTACTAGGACTTCGGACCTAGGGGGTATTCGATATATCCCAGGGATGGAAAGTAACTAGATGATGAAAGAATAGTATTTGTCTCAAAAGAGTCCCTCGAAAATCACAACGAAACATTTGCAGTGCTTTAATATAATATATTTTTGGTAATCATCTGGAAGCGACTTATCATTCCACAACCTGTTTACATATCATAACGTAAACGTTCATCTAAAACTACGCATTCTTTTGCCCATATGATCATGAAGCACACATCAATTAATCCCTTTTAACGCCTACCCAAAGCCATGCCATCTGATTTGAATACACTTGACAAGAAATCATTTTCATAATAATAACACGAACCGTCTTAAGTTTAGGTTCCCTCTTCATCATGCTCATCTCTTTCTACCCTTAGACTTGCTCTTAGAAGCCGAAGCTGGCGCTGGACTTGATGCGTTCGAAACAACACTAGAGGCTCTTGACGATGGAGTTGCTGAAGTTGCCTTGCTTCCAGCAGTAGACTTGACATTATCGAGTGCTTTGTTCTAAAGCAACAGTTAGTATTTATGTATAAAATATGTTGATATAGATATTCATGCCTTAACACCATTCTTCGACTTCTTTTTAGCAGGGGCCATGCCTAATACACTATCCTCGTCATTCTCATCCTCTTCAGGTTCTCTCTTGACCTTGCCATTTGCGACACCATTCGCAGTTTTAGCTGCGGCTGGCTCATCGAATTCTCTAGCAACCGTTGTCAAAAGTGTTGTACATCTCCTACTAATTTCAATAGGTGTTCTGCTCAGGAAGAACCAATCAAATCTAAATAGAGGGCTTTCACGAATGTCATCGCGAATTCGTTCATAGATACCATCACTATCAACACCATACTTATCTAGGAGAACAAGTAAGAAACGATCTTCTTCTTCGGTATAGACCTTTTTGTTGGTAGTTGATACTGAATAGTTGATCTTGAGTTGTTGCAATGGTACTCGATATTGTTGCATTTTCTTTCGCAACATCTTTCGTTGATGATCCATCTTTCTGGTCTTCTCTTCACCAGCTTCGATCAAACCGATGTATTTGGCATAGTCTGCGATTTCGGTGTATCGTTGCCAGAAAATCTTGGCATAAGCTTTGATATCTTCCGGTCCTTTGCTGTCTACTTCTTCGGCGATCATGCTGAAGTCCTTACGGCCATACTTTGCAGAACCATTAATAAATTGTTGAAAATCTCGACGATTCCAGTCGGCGAAACCTTGTTGAGATAGACGTTGCTTCTCTTCTTGCTCTTCTTCAGTAAGAGGAGTAGCATTATCAATCTCTAGTTGCTCCAGATTACGTTCAGCCTCGCGATCCGAGAGATCCTCCTCTGTACCATCTGCCAAAGGAACCTTGTAACCAATTTCTTTACGATGATATGCAGTTTCACGGTCTTGCAAATCTCGCAGGGCTGGTGGAAAGAATTGATAGTCATGGACTGTGACTTGTTTTGGGGCCTTCGGTGCTTTAGGTTTTGGATCTGCAACACGACCGCCAGTAGACAAAGCTTGTTTATAATATTTGTCCATGGAATAAGATTGCTCCTTGCGTTCACGCTTAGCAGGATTAATCCAGGTCATACCAATATCTTTCTTTTGATGACTAAAATCTTTACCATCCCACTGGTAGGCAGATTCGGATGTGAAGTTTTGGAGGTCATCAATACCCAGTTTCTCGTAGCGAGCATTAAGTTCTGCGGTACGCTTTTCGCCATGCTTCAAAATCTCATCAATGTCGTCATCATCGAGATCTGCACCCTTTTCTGCGAGAGTACCTGTTGGGCCGTTGGTTGCAAATACCTTTTCAGCTCCATGCTGGATCATATTTAAAAGATCATCCTTATTAGCAGCCGCCTTAGCAGCAATCTGGGCACGACCTTGTTGGATAACGAGTTGATCCAAACGTAATTTCTGAGCAGCACGCTCCAGAACTTTTTCCTCAATAGCGTTCTCAGTGACGAATCGATATACAACAACTTGTTTTGTTTGTCCAATACGATGTGCTCGGTCCATAGCTTGCAAGTCTGCTTGCGGATTCCAATCACTGTCGTACAGTACAACAATATCGGCACTGGTTAAATTAATGCCAAGACCACCAGCTCTGGTAGTCAAAAGGAAGACAAATTTTTCACTGCCTGGCTTGTTATAATCATCGATAGCCTGGATACGATCCTCATGTGCTGTACCACCATCAATTCGACAATACTTGAATTCACGGAAAACACAGTAATCTTCAAGGATGTCCAAAAGTCTGCTCATCTGAGAGAAGATCAGAACTCGACTTCCAGCCTTCTTCATGCGAGTAAGGAGTTTGTCTAACATGACCATTTTTCCAGCATTGAAAACCAAATGTTCATCGGTAGTGTAAGGTGGACCAGGTTCGGCACCTTCGAAAAGATATGGATGATTGCAACATTTTCGAAGTTGCATGACAATGTTCAAAAGTCGTGTTTTTGATTCACGTTTTCCACCGGCTCCATTGACTGCGTCGATATCCTTCTCAAGGATCTTCTTGTACCATTTAACTTGCATGTCGGACATACCAATGTACAAGTTAATCTCCTTTTTGGGCAGTAAACTCTTTTCGACATCGGCCTTGACACGACGGAGTAAAAAGGGGCGCAACACGCGATGTAATTGTTGAACAACTGTATCTTGATCTTCCTGTTGGCCAGAAAACCATTGATCAAATGCCTCCGCATCACCAAATACATCTGGAAGCAAAAAGTTAAGAAGTGCCCATAACTCATGCAAATTGTTTTGCAGAGGAGTACCAGTGATCAAAAGTCTATTTCGTGAATTAAATAAACGGATGACTTGAGCAAGGGAAGACTCTTCGTTTTTGATACGATGGGCCTAATTCAGTTAGCAAGAGATTAGCTTCGGGAAACAAAATAAGCCTACCTCGTCAATAATGATGTATTCCCATGCAAATTTTTTCAAGTGCGATTTCTCTCGAAGAATCATTTCGTAACTCGTGATACAGACGTCAAACTTTTCATCAATAAGTCGCTCGTTGATCAAAGTATTACGCTCATCCTTAGCTCCTTGGAGTACCAAAACATTGACTTCAGGTGTCCATCTTACAAACTCCCTCTTCCAATTGTCAAGCGTAGATTTTGGAACAACAATGAGATGAGGACCAGTGATATCCATAATATGCCTGAGATAGCCTAAGAATGAGATCGTCTGCAAAGTCTTTCCAAGACCCATCTCATCTGCAAGGATTCCTGAGATACCATTCTCGTGGAGAGAAACTAGCCAATTCAATCCAGCAACTTGATAATCTCTCATCTGTCCCTGAATGAAGCCCGGCGATTCACGAAATACTGTCTCTGCAGATCCTCCAGCCTTTTCGTCTTTTAAGAGCTCTGCATCCTCTTCCGCTTCTGTTCTGCGGCGTCTTTCGTTGGCTGCGCCACCCTTCCTGTCCGCACTTTTTTTCTTATTTTCAGCCTCTTCATTTTGGCGATCAATCTCGTGCATAATCTCCTGAATGCGTGGGTTTGGGTTTGTTTCGATGAAATGTCTAAACAAATCTGTTAAGCCAAGAAGATATCGAAAACGTCGAATGGAATCATCTTCCTACGAGGAGAGGTCAATCAGCTGCGAACCCCAAAGGATCATCAAAAAGCAGTAGAATTACCTTGGATTCACCAAGTCGATCATGCTTTTTGCCAAAAACGCTCCGACGTAACTGAGTGGCCTCTGATCTTCGTTTCCGTCCATCTCCTGTCATTGCGTCACCGTGAACACTGCTTTCCGTTGTGTTTGGATTGGTATCAGAATCCTCTGTAAAATCTGGGGTTTCGTCGACATCCTATGGCGCAAGTTAGCACATTGTTGATTCATGTCTAATGCATGTACACTGAAAGCCTGCAGGTTTTGGAAGAAGATACGTAGTATGCCAAAACGTAACATACCATAGGATCAACAGGTAGTTGTTTGATTTCAGATACATCCACCATAGATGTATCTGTATCGGCGCCACTATTGCGTGAAGAACGTGTTGGTGCCATGTTCAAATGACTTCGCCCTTTCTAGGGTAACAACGGTAAAAAAGGTATCTCTTATGCGCCGAGAAAGAGCAGTCGTACTATTTGGAATGGCGATAAACGTTTCAGTGATGAATAAGTCCCTAATATCAAAAAGCCTGCGCTGTTCTGTTGATTGAAACCGAGAAATCAAGAAATTGATCTGATGTGGAATTTCGCGTTTATAGAACAGAATCTCCAGTACAAGGCGTGAATGAACGCGGTACGAATACGGCCGGAATAACTATATACCGTAGCACAACGGCACGGGCCTAAGAGAAGTCATGGCTCTTTGTATCCAAATCGAAAAAACAACCAAAACTCCACCAGCACAGAAATCTTTGGAATCCTTATTTTAGGAGTCATAGTTGTAAGATCTCATTGTTTACTAGGCCTCAGATCGAGAGTTGTAGGAGATTCATTCACTTGAATTTCTGCGACTTCATCGCTAAGACAAGGTACGTTGCTAGAATTAAGGATCATTACATATTTAATCCTGTGTCTACCCGGACGGACCATCATCTGACTAATTCCCATCTTTGTTGCAGCAACTCAGCACAAACCCATTCTCAACAACAAGTCATGGATTCTATGAGATCTTTGAATACCTCTCTTCCCGGAGGTAAATCTCCTTCAAAACAACAGAACTGCGACACCCCACAACAGCTTCTCATCGCACAATTCAAGGCGGCCGCTTTATCCGTCACCAATCTCTACAAGACCGCAGCGGCTGATCAAGGAAGAGCTAGGGCTGAAGGTTATCAGGATGCACTGGATGAGCTCTTAAGTTTCCTTGACAAAGAAGATATTGGATTGAGTGATGGCGAGGGTTGGAGGATTCGAAGGTGGGCGACCGAGAGATTAGATGGTCGAGACACAACATCACACAACGACAGCGACGACGAAGTTCCAGAGAAAACAGATCGCGGATCCTCACCAGTAATTCAGAGATCGCAAAGCGCAACTGATAATCCGACATCAACTGTTAAATCAACGAGAGCTACTTCGCCAATGAGGACAGAGACAGCGCCTCCACCTCCGACCGTTGTATTACCCGACCCAGAACCAGAACCTCCAACGATCACGGAGCTTCCACAGAGCACATTTACCTTTCGATCCTCACAACAATATCCACAAGATCCTGATATTTTATTGTCAGATTTGGATTTATCGGATAAGAACCGTTCTCAAACCCACGATTGTTTCACTAATCAGCCAGCGGGTATTTCCCACACTCGACCTTCACGAACCAACGCAAGACACAACAACCATCCTTCTCGATTAAATGCTAGATCTTCGACTTCTATAAGCCGGGGCGCTGGTCAAAAGCGGAAAATAAACTTTGGGGATTTTTTCGACCTAGGGAATCTAGGGCATGGAGATGATTCTTTCGGTGGCGGCGGAAAGAGAGGAAGATTCGTTTGAACGTCCATCGCTTTTCCCGCGCATTATTTGTACATATCGATGTATTATACCTCCTATGGCAGGTACGGAACCACATCTTTACAACATTTGGTGGATTATGGACGATTTTCAACGACCTTCACGATAACATGCCTACACAATTTCGGAAATTTTGTTCCTAAGAAGCATTTACACGGGATAATGGAGTAGCGGAACAGAAGACCGTGCATTGGAAGGCGTCAGTTAGACAGCGAATTTATCTGTCCATGGGGGCAAGGCATACCGGTAGTCTCTATGTATAGACTGCATATCATTCATAGTCATCAAGTTAAATACCCATCGTTAATTTTTGAGTTTTGAGTTGTACTTCCTGGCTTCCGGACCTTTGGACCTTTCTCGTATTCGAGATGTGCTACTGGGAAGATGGGAAGAAACATTGGCAACATCTCAATTAGTGTTGAGAAAATTATCAATAAAAATTTCCAACCTTATTTAGTAGTGGCAAATTTGAGATTCCCAAACGTTCTTATTTTTTTTAGCGATTCTTTGATGTTGCATAAGTGCCCAAAATATTCAATATTGTTCAGACATTCAATATACTAGTGAACGTTGCGCCCAAAACAGCATTCTTCACGTCCTTCCGTTCAAATTATCTTGCAGTGATCTTCGTGTACATCATAACGAGTTAATTCTCAACACGCATAACATGCCATGTAGAGAATTCTGGAGCAACGCGACTAAACTTGAGCTCGTGAATAAGTAGTCCATCAATTCTCATCCTTTTTGCTTGATCTTTGTTGGGCGTAACTAGATTGTTCTACCACTTAAAAAGCACCTTTTACACATACAGCCCAGAATTACTTCCACCAGAGTACCTACCATGAAGTTTTTGATTACCCTTCTCCTCCTCGGTTCATCAGATGCACATTGGTGGCAAGGCTCCGATGCCTGCGGGTATGTAGTTGGTGGCTCCCACAATCATGTTGCAAGAAACATACGAGAGTTGGATTGCTCTAGTTACATGAGAACTACTGTCACTCCGTCCTACATAGCTTCTGGGTACTCCATCCCTTTAGTCACTCTGGTATACGAAGCGCTAATGGCTTATCAATCAGCATTGTCACAATTACTACCGTCGTACGGAATGAAATTACCTACACGGAAGCCAGTACAAATATAGTTTTTGTGACAGCCAGAGCCGTAAAACCAAGGGAGGCTGTTATAGTTACTGTCACGGGAGATGCCATTACACTCACAACCACGCTGAATGCAATCACAAGCACGGCCACGGAAACGATCCCGCCATATGCGACGAGCGCTTGTCCAGATCACAGTGCATATGTTGAAGCATGCCGGAGTCACCTGAATGTAGTGGTAAACACTATCACTGTCACAGCCCCTACCTCATATGTGACAGAGTATGCAACTGTGAATTTACCAGGAGTTTCGCTTGGAGGCCCGTCCAGAGACCAAATTACCGCGCTAAACCCCAATAGAGTGGAAACTATCACTGTAACTTCCACTGTTATTGGAGAACCAAATTCGGGCTCTAGCTCTAAGTCAAGTGTGGTAGTAGAGCTAACATCCGCAAATGGTATATATTCTAGTCTCCTGCTAAACTCACCTGCTAGTCTCCCTTGCTAATGGCTTCAGTCACTTTTTCATCCCTTTCATCCAGCAGCTTAGCATCTGAAATACTTTTGGTGCAATCATCCCAAACTCTGCCCAGTTTATCGTCAACTCTTTCGTTCAACTCCAGCTCAACTACTCTTTCATCAACGTCTACTTCATTAAATGTATTGAGTGCAACATTCTCAAACTCTCTTGCTTCCAGTACAGAAAGCTCACCTTTTTCTTCTCTAATCTCAAAGTCAGAAACTTTAACTATTTCACCTTCAAACTCCTCCATTTCGAGCTTTAATGCATTTTATACCACAATTTTATCAACTGAAACGAGATCATTGGTAACCTCTTCCAATTCAGCATCAGGAACGATGCTCACTCTCTTAACACCCACATCATCACATCTTCCATACACATCCTCTACCATCACATCCCAGCCGCCCTCAAACTTCTCCTCAACCTCCACTTCCATTCCCACCTCCTCATCATCATCCAGGCCCAGGTCTCCCGTCTCTCCTCTTGTCGCCACATGTAACGCCACAGCCGCTTGCCGCCAAAACCAACATTGCTCTTCAGACAACACCTGCTTATGTCGTATGTTCTCCAACTTACCACTCCCCTCATCCCACCCACTCTTCTCCTATCCCCATCTCCTTGACCAAAATTCACTAACAGATTCCACAGAACCATCTTTAAGCGGCACAGGCTACTGCATGGCTGATACACCATGCTCCGCTCTCTCTTCTTGCACCATCGATTCTGACTGTGGCTCCGGTTCGGCCTGCATGAGAACTTGCTGTTCTGAAAATAAATGTCTTTCATTACTAGGTTTATGTAAGAATCCTAATACTGCAACAGTTATTTTCAAGAGGGATGAGGAGGGGAACAATAGGCATAGGATGCCTGGGGACGTGGGAGAGGAGGGAGAGGAGTGGACGAACAGGGGACCATGGGCTAAAAGATTGGGAAGAATGTGAGATGGAAGGGTGTTAGAGTTTATGATGTAGTCTGGCGGTTACTGTTGCTGGTTTGTTTACTCTGCTTTAATACTATTGTCGCTATAGATTATGAATTATATGCAAAATAATAAACATTTTTACAATTTACGCTTCACTCGTCCTATGTTTTGACCCGATCACCAAAAATTCCATACGATTCTTCAATCGACCTAAGAAAATACAAAATGCCCCTCGCCATCATAATTATGTTCAAAAGAGTCATTTTAATTACATCTCATCATTGACAAAGACATCCAAAAATTCAGCAATCTATTCCCTGACGTTTCAATCTTCGCACTGCACAAAAACCACCCTCCCTCGCTTAACCTACTTCAAAAAAATATGTATATCTTTCGCTTGGTGGTGCACCCATCTCACCAATCTTCCTCCCACCCTAAGAATATCAATCCAAAAGCTAAGAGAGATCCATAAAACAGCCCAACATCAGTCTTTTTCCATTGCAGGTACTACATGATTCTCATCCTCAATCTATTACATTAAACAACATCAAGGATTTTGTACGCAACTCCAGATTCACAGTGAAGACTATCCAATATAAAGTTATTGTTTAGCCCCTGTTTTACTTCAATCTTCAAGTAATCTTTAAATAATCGATGCTTGGGGTATAACTAATCAAATAAACTCTATATCATATCCGTATAAACTAAAACCGAAAAGTATTCGCACAATGTATTCACTATATTAATATCTTATTCAATTGTAAAGGTAAATCATCATCACAGTACAGTCTCACACTAATATTAAAAACTAAAATTAAAAATTAAAAAATTAAACATAAACACAAAATCCCATTTAACTCGAGATCAGAAAGTCGAGGCCGGTAAAGATATAACGTGAATATATCATCTTTGGACTCTAGATGCTCTTTTTTCGTAAGATTATATATTCAGCTCGTCAGAAGAAAAAATGAATGCGAATACATAATTAGAGACCGGGATATTGATGGAGATACCTATACCTAAACCTAAGGAGCGAGTAAAAAAATGGAAGAAAGAAAGAGGGAAATGGGAAAGCTAAGAGGGGCAATTCAGTCCAGCTATTTTATTTGATCTAGCGGTGCTGTATTTCTCGGAGTTTGGCTATTATTGATTGATGCTGATGCTGCTGAAATTGATTCGGCCAATACAACTTCTATACTTAATATATTATCATGAGGTGTATAAAGACATGGATACGATAGGAGATCAGCATATGCAGCTTATGACCAATCTTTTTCTTTTTTCAGTAGATGAAGATAAACAAATACGCACAAAATATACAACGAAGCTCTCCCAACATCATAAAGTAATTGACCATGAAATATACCTATATGCACATGCGTTATCTAAAAATATTTACGCCAGATCTTTCTCTTCTTCGTCCCTACTTACAAAGTCTTACCTCATCAATTACAGAGTACCTACAATAACAAGTCTATCAGACCACAACCCATTACATCATAGCACATCACACCAGGAAAAACCTCTCACGCCAAGCCAAGCAATATATCAACAAATCAACATATGCACTCCCACCCCTCACCAGTCTCAAAGCCATTCGCAATTTGCAAAAAAATTTTGATTACTATCCAGTAGGAATCTCGTGCCGAGTAAGCTAGCTAGCTGCGTGCCCAAAAAGTAATTATCCATTCATATCATTCATATCCATCCATCATTCATTCCCTTGATTTATAAACGCTTTTAAGACCTTTAATATTCTCCCGCAAAGTTTTCCTCCCAATCGTTCATCATAACTTCCATTCATTCGTTCATTCGTCTCAATCATATCATCCATTTTGTTCATCATCCCTTCTGTCCATTCCTTCATTTTCTCGATTACACACCACCTGGGCAATATAATTTTTTCGTAAGTCGTTTGTGCAAAAGCGAAAGCAAAAGCAATAGCTGGAGTTGAAACGAATATGCAAGCAAGCTATGCTTTTTTGTTGATGGAAGAGAAGAAGCTCTCTCTTTGCCAAAAGAAAAAAAAACTGAAGAATAAAGAAAAATAGACATTGTAATCCCAGATATAGTAGCAAGTAATTTTTTTTATCCCATCTGTCCTATGTCCCGAGTGCCATACATCCCAATCGCCACTTCATCTAAATGGTGAAGTTATTGACTTAACTTAAAAACGGTGATCAACCAAATCGTACTGTGTGAGAAAAGAGGCATAGCCAGGAGAACTGATGTCAGAAAAGTGAGATGAGATATAGAGGTAAAAGCTTTGAGCAGAAGATAGTGAGATAAATATCTATATCGCCGGAGCGCAGTATCTGGCAAAGCAAATTATTGTTGACGACGATCTTGTTCCTGGCCGTTTGTATAGCCACGAGCACGGCCATTCCACTGCATCTTGACGTCGTTATCGTTCTCTTCGTCGTTCTCTGGGACGGAAAGATGAGTCCGATTGATTGAATCACCGGAGGAAGAATTTGTGAGGCGACGTGTGTGAGGAGGACCAATTGGACCAAATGAGCTACGACGATCTGTAGTGATCAAATCAGTTGCTGCTAAATCATAAATAGAAGCTGCTAAAGAAACATACCACGACCATTTGCGCCACCTTGAGCTGAGGTCGGAAGAGAGAAAGATGTGGCTTCTTTACGGCGCCAAGATTGAGACGTACGAGATGTCCCGTTTGTGGGTGTTGTACCAGCTGCCTCAATTTGACCAGTGCCACTTCTTGGAGAGGCAGAAGCGTTTTGTTGGTTACGATACCAATTAGGCAGTCCATGGTTTAAACCAACTAAGAGTTGAGTGGCTTTATCCATAGGCATCTCGTGCTTGAATTTACATCCTACTTGAGTAAAAGCACAGGTGCCTTCGTGAACCCACTTATCACAGTAAATCTTCACGCCAGGTCGACCTGCCATAGGGATCATCGCATTGTTTGCTGGAGGTACGCTCATGGGTGGGGCCACGGCGGAGGCAACGATTGAATCGATGGCCAACTTGAAAATGAAATTAGTATATACTTTGATTGGTGATACATTTAAAATAGAGCTACCCTCTTACCTGTGTTTGATCACCTGGTCGACGGAAACCACCTTGCTGGTTGAGTCCGAACATTGGTGGAGCGAGTGATGGCAGCTTTGCAACGACCTTTAAACAACTAATGTCAGCATATAATCTGAATCCAAAAAACCCCCAAACGTACCTTGTTTGGGATCATGGGTGTAGCATGCTCTGGTTTTGGGGAGCCGTGCTGAAGCTCTGGAACAATGATTAGTCCCTCTGGACCTTGGCGACGAGGGATACCGTTGATAGCAGGAAGCTCATCAGCCGGGAGAAGTCTTGTATAAGAGCCATCAGCTCGGCGAAGACCATAAGCAAACGCGGAGTTGATTTGCTCAGGCAAAGGATAAACGGGGCCAGGGCAAACCACAGTCAGTGGAGTGAAACCTTCTGGGCCCGCGTAGGCAGGGTCGCAAAAAGACTGGCGACGCCAGGCGCTGCCGTTATTGTTCATGCTGTTAATAGCCATAGGTGGAGTAGGCGTGTGGCTAGGTGTTTGACCGTTCCTACGGATACGCTCCTCACGTTCGCGAGCTGAATGAAAAGCATCCATCTTGTCGGGGGTAAAGCTACGGTCACTATCGTTATCGATCGATGTTAGCGGAGACGTCATTTCCGTATCGATGGCATCGAGAGCATGAGAAGACTCAGGAGAGTCGGAAAGTTTTATATTAGAACAAATCTTGACTTGAGTTGACATGACGGAGATGTGATAGGGAAGGAAATATTAGAGTGCGAAGAGAGGGATGTGAAAACTAAAGGTACGAACGGTGTATAGTTGTAATGTGATGAAATGAGATTTGTAAATCCTGATCAATGATTTATCAGATTAGCCAACACTCTTAAGAATAGCAAGGAAGAATAATGATGACTGCAACAGACTCCTAATAAGGATTCCTCCAGAGCTTTCCTCAAAGCTCCTTATGAGTCTTTGCCGTTTGCTCTTCCAAATAAGGTTGGAAGCCCGCGGAAACATGCAGTTGTTTGCGGTAAGCCACAGACCACTATTCTTCTGTCAAAAACAGGGGCAACCTGCAGGGACAACAATGAGAAAATTAGATAACTTACTCTCAAGAATTTTGAGATATAACTTGAATGCCTCTGCAGTCGTCAGTTACTGATCAAGGATACTTTGGCAAGAATGAAAGTTGCTGGAAACGTAAACTGGTACTTTAGAGCAAACGCACAGTGCTTTGCTCAATTACTTGTAAAATGGAACGATCCAAGATTTCTCAAGTTTGATGTTTGTTGATGGTATCAACAAAGAGCGTAACATTATGCCATTGCAGATTTACAAAAATCAAGCAGGTGAGAGGTGCTGATATACGTACAAATAATGCGATGAATTACCAAACTGTTGAAATAAACCATTAAATCAACGCGTCTAACGTTTGAACTGCAAAAGTGTGCGGGGATGTCTTGTTTGTGTCGTGTGGTTTTAAATTTGAATTTGGAGAAGTTGAGGATTGATGATGAAGCTACAGCAATCCAAAGGCGATAAGGGGGCAACAATAAGAAGAAAGAGAGGTAACTGCACTTTGCTAATAAGCAGATCTATCTATGATAGAAGGGGAAAGAAAGCTAAAACAAAAAAAAAGGAAGCAGCGTGTTGCAGTACTGATTTATCTCATCCGGTGTACGTTGTCAGGTCAAGGAAAGAAGTAGCTAAGCCTAGAAAGAAGTGGAAGTGTAAACATTTTTAAGATTGACTGAGATATGGCTTCGTATCTGTCGTCCGGTACTGCCACAAATTCAGCAGCAATACTTTCGAGTGAATTAAGTAGTTGTGGCGTGAGGGGCCCGAGGTCTTCTTAAGCTGCTTCTTTGCGAAGGGTATGTTCCAGATCATGGCCAATCCAGACGGGTTACAAGTCTATTTCTGGACAATGATACAGTACGTTGATATGGTCCTACTGCATAGATTATCTATGAATTGCATGTCTAAAACGTGGTTTGGTGGGATGAATTCGCTTCATATCTAATATTCTCCGGAGATATTGAATATTGGCCATTTTAAAAACTACTCGGTCAAGTGAGTTTAAACAATGTCTTGGCAAATGTCTTGTTTGATTATGTTATACTTTTTGGCAGATTACTGGGGTCTTCGCTCCATCGAGAGAGAGATATATGAAGAGAAACACATGCATACTTCACATGGTCCAACATTTATGCCAAAACACCGCTTCGAGTTCGGCATCCCGACGGTGGGCTGTAACCTCCACATTCGGCCTCAGACTCGTCCAATCACAAAGTTACCACCACCAGAAGTAGAACTTTCGAATCTTTCATTCATAGTTTTAACACCGCCTTCGCTAATATATATGTACACAGTGAACCTCCGACCCGAATCCCCAGGCTCAAGGGAAAGATAATTGATCACCTCCACTCTTGGCAATCGTTTGCTATTGAGAGGTTTGAACTGATATTTTGCGCGCAACGGAGTTGAAATCAAGGAGGCTGGTATTTTGATCATCTATGCGTTTTGCGCTAGAAACAAAATGATATTGTGAAAGCGAGGCTCGAGAATGTGCTCACATATACATCTCAATCCATTGTAGTAGGAGAGAGAATATATCATTCAGAATATGTTGGATGGAATGACACATTCAGACGAGCCACTCGGCAATAAAGTATCAAGGGCATAGGATTCCTATTACATGTCTTGAACTTTGTATCTCCTCTAACCGTATCATTCAGGGCCAAGCTGGACCAATACCACAATGGCACTTTAACTTTATAAGATGGTGTTCTGGCTGCACTTAATGGAGGAAAATGTCTTTCGATAGTGAATAAGACAATGAATGTCATTGATTTAGAACCACTTGGATCAATATTCATCTCCTCTCCTAGAACATTCCATGGATATGTTCGGGGGGCTTCCATTGGTACATACATACACCTCTCGGAGAAGCATGGGTAGATTTTCCGCAGATTACCTTAATATCTAAGTCAATATGTTCAGAAGCGAAGTATTCTTCAGATATGGGGTCTGATATTGTGATGAGACGCAGATACCGACAGATGAATGGCACCCTAAAAGGGAAGCTTCCAATTCATTCACGGGCCATGATGATTGACAGAAGTTAAAACTTTATGACTTTGTGGTTTCGAATTAGCTGATTCTTTTTCGCATTCAGTGTTACCATCCAGTTTCAAAGCCGCACCGAGTATGCTGCGAGACAATAAATGCACACTTGCGCATATGGCTCGAAGCCAACTTTTCAGGGAGGTTTGAAGTCAGGGCGGCGCTTTACTGTAAGTTCGATAAGTCGTTAAATTCAATCACAGAATATGTAAACTTAGTAAGGAAAGATATCGTATAGGCGGAAACCCCAGCGCGAGTCTATTTGGTTCTGTCAGCATGAACATAGGAGGAGAAAGTCGAGTTTTTGAGAGTTCATCGCTGCTCGCTTGATTGACTGGTCCTTTGACTCTATCGATGGCTTTCCTTGACCTAAAGTCCATCGCAAGATTAGATACAATTGGGTGTATCTTCCACCGCCTCACTTGAGAATAATTTGCACGTATTCATAAATGATATACGTCGTATTGTTGTATGGCTATAATACCATGTCATCGCTTTTCTCTGCAGGATACCAAAATGCTCGTTCTCCAGAGAAATGTAGGAATGTACGTTAATAATGCCTCAATCCCTGAAGCGCTTCTTGTGAAAGTCATTTCAATATAATGGGAAATTTTTTCAACTACAAGAAGAAACCAACGCAAGTGCCCTGGACTTCTGGATCAAAAAAATGGCTCGATCTTTTGCATCTGCCACGTGGAATTGCTGATCGATCAGCGCTTTCCCAGTTTATTCTAATTCTCCATTTAAACTTTAGATGGAACTAGGAATGACAGAGGACTCTAATTATGTCGTAATTGGTGACTCTTTCCATATTTTAGCACTATAGTCTGTTCATACCAACCTCGTTCTCGAGCTATGCGGATCTCGTTTCCTCGGGTGAAATGGTTGGTGTTGAAGCTCCATGTCCAGTCTGACTCAGGATAGATCAGGCTATCGCCGCAGCTTCTCATCAAGACGCTTCGTAAGTATTTGTAGATACAAGGAAAGCAATAATATATCCCTTATACCAATTTTGAACTTCTTCAAGGAAATGGAGCCAGTGTCGGTTAAGTGAGAGACAAAAGAGTACCATTTTATCCATTGAAAGGGATTGTTTAGTCCATCCACGCGGCGTTATTGATAGTAAAGTATGGTTTATGCTGCTGTGTCGGTCCGCATGGTAGCTCAAAGTCAAGATCGAATTCCTTCATCGCCATTTGAGGAAGCTTTGGAGCTTTCCTGGATGAATTAACTTGAGGATTATGTAGTCGACCAAGTTCTATAGTCAATGGATGCCAACTTGTCTCGAACCGTCCGCAGCACAATCATGGATGAATTGAAGGAGGTCACTTGGGAGTTGGAGACATGATCGAACAAGAATCGGAGAAGGAATTGGGTATTCCCAAGGCCCCAAGACGCACCGTGGTGGGAGATTATTTGCCGTAAGAAGTATATCGATTCGAGATCCTCGAGAGCTGTGGAGTATGCAAATGAGCGGATTGTTGTCGTGATATATGCACCATGGGTAAGAGTTCCCGAGCGAGTCTGTGCAACCCTGCATGGTTATCCGCAGGGTTACATCGCAACAATTGAGGTGGCTGGTTGCATGTCTCGGGTATAACCATCTTCGCTATCCCAAAAAATGGCACGTAAATCTCAATTATGTATTTTGAATTTAAGATCTTATAAAGTGGTGGAAGGTCAAAAGAAGAACCGTTTGGTGGGTGTTGAGGTTGTGGTTGAGGTTGACAAGTTTAGATTGAAGAGGCGAGAACGCACTAGCACCATGCATCTCTAGCTTCCCTCCCAGTGAAGCCTGCTATAAAGCCTGCTGTTACTAGGTAGTAGAATTTCTGCTAAGAGGAAGTCCGCAACCTTTTAATGTAATTTACGGGACTCAACTTTATCTAGAGATAACTTTGATCTTTTATCAGCACTGTTCGGCAGTGATTAAAGTTAAGTGGCTTTATCTCCAGCAGCACCTCACCCTCAACATGGTCATCGCCTCCGATACTTTGAGCCTCAATGGCTTCAACTTGCTCAGAAATACCACCGCGAACCCATTAGTTCATCTCTACATCAGTGCGCGTCTGGGTGGGAAAGCGCCATATAGGCGCTTGTGGGACTGTAAAGCTGAGAATTCGTCAAACCCAACATATGGAGACATTGACAGCAGCTCCACTGGACGAAGGTGAAGTAAAACTTGTGCACAATCTGCAAAAAGTCCAGGAGAATTGTTTACAAACTTTGGATTGCATCTTAGAATGAGCCTCTAGTGTTTCCATGCTAGATATGCATCGACTTTGTGCTACATTATTACTCTGGACAAGGAAATTTCAAATCTACATCTGGTACTATCGTCTAAGCCTCTTATATTATTCATCACCGACAACCTACAGAATTTCTAGACCTCTATTCTCTTGCTTTTTAAAGAAAATATCTATCTCTGCCAAGGTATTAATACTATCCTTAGACTTTAAAAGTCTTTCGAAGTTCTCACTTTCCCGCTCAACTACACCCGACAGGACACACAGTTAAACCCAACACTTTTCAGGGATTTATAATCCTACTGCTATATGCATCCGATCATAACTTCATGATTTTTCTTGCAGTATTCGAGAATGTATGTATCCTATACCGAAGGCTTTCGGTCATATAACCTACTATTTGGCACTGTTTTTTATTTCAAAAATATAACTATCGTTGTTTAATTTCCTTCATTTTTGTACTACTTCTAGTTCAAGAACTTCTTCTCGCAATGACTATTTTCAATTCTGAATTTATTTCAATATTAATTAATGTATTTTATAATTTAATAATATATTCAGAAATGAATTAAATTGATTTCGGGATCTTTATATTATACGATATCTAACACTTTATATTTTAAAACACGAATAAATAAAAATATAAAAACCTGCAAATTAAAAAGATGATGGCGGAATTATAACAACGAACAAGAAGTCTGCTAATTTTGAGGTTGATGATCAGTGTGTATTGTGAATGTTTAGTTATATAGTTACATTATATAGCCATTGCTTTTCTGTCTGACATGACATAGTAGATTCTGCTGCTTGCATTTCCAAAAAGGAAGGGAAGTTGTAAAAATGGTTTGACTAGAGCCATGCGTTGATTGCATTGACAATGAGTGTTGTAAGCATAAGCGAATCTTCTCGAGGAATACATACATATTATGTATATCAAACAGAGATGAAGAAGAGCAGCAAAACCATAATTTTAGAAGAATAACAGGAGGCAAAATACACTTTAGAAGGAGGATGATATATCCTTTTCATTCTATATTGAGAAGTAAATTCCCTTTGAATACACGCAGGGAGATACATCGATCTATCTTCTGATGCGAATGAGCGATTTACTCTGCAGATATTGTACATCTCGTACGAAGAGTAACAGCATGAAAGTAGAGTACTGGTGATAAATAAGAGTCTTACGTGAATCAGCAATATATAAACTATATTATCCCATCGCAAAATAATAATTGAAAGTATACTTACTCACCTAGGTACTGAATGCATATATATCATGTCATATAATATAGAGGGGAAAACACAAATAATTCACATGAAAGAAAACATCATCCATCTCAAAAACGCCAACTTGTACACCCCAACCTCAGAATACCTCTTGAATAATAGCAAGTCTTACGAGTAAATAAAATAACCCATTATCTACCCCCCTCCAATACTAATCCTCAAAACAGCCACGCATGATTCCAAACCAAAACTCCAAGGACATGAAATAAATACACAGCATCAAACATCAACCAGGTCTACTAATAATTAACCATTAACCACAATTTTCCCATCTCCAGGCAGGACCCCAGAAACACTATGTTCGGAGTATGTATACGTGAAGAAGCGCCATATGCATTACAAACTTTACAATAATGACAAGAACCCTCCGCCACAAGCCAAGCCGAAGAATGCGGGGTCTGGGGGTTGGTGGTTCGAGCCACTTGGCTATTTTCCTTTTTTCCATTATTGGGGTTTTGGTTATTAATTACCTACCTAGATGGTGTTTTATATTGAAAAGCCAACCAAAGTATAATATCCACCGGCTATACATAGAGTCTAGACAGTTTTTTATTTTTTCCATAACGAGGTGAGCAGTAGAAAATATTAATCTTATAATGCTTATGATTTTGTAGGTGGTATATCGAATCCTATCTAAGTATTCATTTATGGTTGGTTACCTTGAGGGATTTCTTTTATAGACGAAAAGGGATGAGATGAGGTGGATGAGGTGACGAGGTATATTTCCGGTACTTATTGCTGCAGCGCAGCACAAGTAGCCACGGTACATAGCCACGTATTGATTTGCGGATTTATGATTGGATGGCGTTTAGGGGGATCGCCAAATATGTACTCGAGTTGACTAGCTACTGTACCTACAGAGTACGTATGTGGGTGGAGTGGAGCAAAATTCACAGATTGATAAAAACGCAAGCCCAAACTCCATTGATACTCTTAAGGTTACTCGAATAATATTTCTTCACTTATTACCTCATATATATGTTTCATTGCGTTACCTATTACTTTTCTCAATTCATATTCATCCATCCATCCATCCATCCGTCCGTCCGCCCATCCATCCACCCATTTTCCATTCTTGTAAGACTGAGTTAGATTCACCATCCCACTCCATCCAAACATCTCCCGTCTTCCCTTTTCTCCCTTCCATCCTCCTCACCAAATCAAAACCCATCCCCAAAACACCAAAAATGCCAACACCAAAATGCGGGGAACCCCACAAATGGCAAAGACAAGTAGATCCTACCTACGAGGTACCTAATAAGTTTTATATTTGCCCCTTACGAAATATTACCCCATCCCATCTCACAACCAACATCTAATACCCAACCAACATCGCATCTCACCAGCGGTGAGTATTTAACCTCCTAATAGATATTTTCTCAGAGGAGGGAGGAAATGCAACCACTTAATGAAACTATAATCTAATTAACTCCCCTAGGTACTGTACCTATATAATTATAATACTACTTTTTCATGCAACTGGATAATATAATTAGGTAATAGATACAATATTCGGGAGCGGGGAAGCTGGTTTGGTTTACCTAAGGTATTTCTTTCCGGGTTGTGCGGCGTGCCAAGAGAGAGTGTTTTGGAGTTTTGGTATTTCTTTCGGTACTCATAAGGGGTTTGTGTGTGTGTAACCTTTCTTACCCTGATGGCTTGTTGGCGGGGTTGGATTTAAGAGTTGTGATATTATACGACACATGTATTGAAAATCAAGACTCAAGATGCAAAAGGTAGATATTGTAAACTGTTTAATCCATCGTTTTATTAAGGTAATGTAATAATAGAATGCCTATATAACTACACCCTCCCCTCCCCTCCCTCATTTTATCCCCTCGTCTCTCTCCTCTCTCCTCAAATATAGAAAATCCGGGGTATCATAAAGCAAGTCCCTCATTGAATTGAGAGAAGAAAGAAACATGAGAATCTCCAGGACATGATTACTTTAGAAAATGGATTGTGCCAGTTGGCAATGCTGTAATTCTTCCTAGGTCCCAATCAATAACTTTTTTTGGTTCCCCGTTTGCCCCCTGTCCTGCCCCGTTTGCTATTTGCCGTGTCCATCCGTTTGTTGCGCCGTTTGTTGAATATGATGATGCGGTGAATGGAATTGTGTATTAAGAGTGAAGTTAAAGTAGTGATGTTGAAACGCCAAAGTAATGCTTCGTAAGTATAAAGTGTAAAGAGTTAAAACCGTCGACATCATAAAAGAGCAAGAGTCAAAAGAACTCTCCATCCTACGAAGATCTCACAGAAGAAGACCTCGAAGTCCAACGTTCTAAAAATCCCCCACTCCTCACACTCCTAATACTACCATCGCTATCCTCGGAGCTGGTCGAACTCTTACGCTCACTAGCTAGTCTTCCACTAGCATAGTTTCCGGCACCGCCTCGACCTACATGCCACATGCCTCCCTCGCTCATCTTCTTCTCGCGAGTGCTTTGTCGCTCGAGTTCTTCGTCGAAGGAAAATGGTGCTTTCTTTGATGATGGGAGGATGTTTCCTGCGCCGCCGCGGCCGCTGCTGAATTTAGATGAGGTTTGGGGAAGACCGCGGGAGAAGAGTGAGGCGGGTCCGTGGGCTGTGCTGCCTTCGGTGGTCTTGGGTGCTTTGAATGTGTTTCCTGCTCCTCCTCGTCCGGAATGGATGAATGAGGATGTAGGGACGTGAGGGTGAGGTTCGGTGACTTGGTATCGGGTTGTCATGATTGATTATGTTTGATGTTTTGTTGAGGGTGTTGTTTTGATGTTTGCTATAGGTTTTAGAGGTTTGCAAGGGTTATAGGTAGGTTGAGGCGTTGTTGATGAAGTAGTGAGTTGATGAAGTGGCAAGTGGTTGATGAAGTAGTAGGTTTTTAGTATGGGATTTAGCTTTGTTTGTAAAACCAATAGTAGGCGTTTAGCTTTTGAAGTGTACAAATAATCAGACAACAGTAGCTCTCTAATTGTATGATTGTATGAGTGGTATTTGAGTAGTATAATATTGATTGATCTGATGTTCTTGAGTAAGTGAATAACAGTTGAGGAATGTGGGCCAAGGTTTCTTATATCCTTTTTTGTTTAATACTTTTATTAATCCGCACCTTGTCACCATATGCAACAGGTGACTCCTATCAAATACGAGTCACCTAACCAAAAAAAAAGTCTTTTTTTTCTTTTCCAAGACCGTTTGTTCTTTCAAATTTCTCACGATGTTTGGCACTTTGCAGTTAGAGGTAACCGCCTTACCTCTAACTGATATTACATGGGTCTAATTTTAAGTCATTTCTCGCACATACCAACAAGTCTAGCACTCGTGATGAATTTTGTGGTTACTATTACGAAATCATTAGAAGCTAGATTCTTCTATTTCCATTCGCTTAGACATAAATCCATGGAAATGATCGTTTTAGATCTTCCTTGTCCTTGTCCTTTTAGCAAACCTGGGGGTAATTGAAATTCGGATATCCAGTCAATCTTGCAACATCGTGAGAATTTCGTCAATTTCGTCAATTTCGTCAGCAATGTCACATCAGATCTATTATGCATGCCAAGTCGATGAAATAAAACTTACGCTCGTACGGAGTACATGCATTTTACTAGTATGTGGCCATGTGGTGTGTGTGGTACGGTGAGGGACAATTGCTGGAAAAATGTTCGTTCTAGAAAGTTGGCACTGTGGTCTATGAGAGAAGATTTGTTCTTTTATGCATTTGTGCTTGCTCAATGCTGATCAAGCCTAATAATATCACATCAAATCTTGGTATGGGTGTGATGAGGACGTGACAAAACGTGCTTCAGGTCGTGAGAGACATTGACTAATTGACTGCCAAAGCAACAAGATATCGCCATAGTCTTTCAAGATCTCACCAATCCTTCCATCGAGCAACTGCAGATGAGTTATAATCACGTATGAGCGAGGGGATGTGACAAGCCTCGGCATATCGTCAATTAGTTTCTGGATGTACGGAGTACGGAGTACAAGTTAAAATTCTCCGCTCTATGAGATTTTCAGGTACCGTGTGAACCTAAACTTTTTGTGCTATCAAGGGGTAATAGAGATGTCCGATGGCACAATGGCTAAAAGGTGTCATCAATTTTATGCCCTAAATACAATAAGAGCGAACCAATGAGAACATCTCTTTTAGAATATACATACCTCCTCTACCTCCTCTACCCCCCCTATTCCCAAATGAACCTGGGAAAGCTCAAAGTGTTGTCTTAGGATAGAGTGGAAAAGAGATTTTGTTAGTGATGTCAACATGTTGAAAAATTTGATCTGTTCCCCACAAGTCAACCAACCCCTTACCGAAGTAAATCCAGCAGGGCTGAAAACAAACACTTTCATAAGTTTCATTGCCGTTCCCCTTGTCTCCCCGCAAAATTTGAACGCCCATGGAAGAAATTTTCATTCGATCCACAAATGTGCATTAGACAACATTGACAACATTGACATCCATTGACATCCATTGACACCCATTGACAACGATCAGGAGGTGAAACCGAGAGGGAGGAAATGATTGATGGCCGAGTCTATTGCTTCTCAATCAATAGTCATCTGCCAATCATTCCTGCATGCCACCTGAAAAGAGATTTCATCGTGAATTTACCTCTCCGTTCCGGAATGCCAATGAACAAATAGGAGACCAAGAGCGAGGCAAATGCATACGTTGGACGTTCATTCCACTTTGAGCGCTCAGATCCGATTTTCCCATGAAACTGGAAGACATTCCATGGCAGACATTGGCAACTCATATGACCTCTCAAATTATCAATAAAGAATTCCCGAAAGTTTGAAAGACCTCAGGCTACATTTAATGTTTCATCGGCACGTTTCCACTCGAATCAATCTGACTTCTTGGCCTGTCTGCGAGCAGTGAAGTGGGCTAGAATGCTTATCAGAGGTAGATGATGACTTCTACCCCGTTTGAAGTTTTGAAACGGCCGTTTTATCCTTCATCCCAGCCGTTTGAGCTCCAGTGCTGGTGGTGTAATCGATTAGTAGCGAAAACAAACGCGTGCGCTCAAATCTGCTTTTTGTGAAGCTCATTGCCAGGCTCCGATGTCATTGGATTTCAATACAGCTGGCAAACATACATCAATTGCGCCCTCTATGTCTGATGGGAGAATTTCAAGGAAGATTGATTGGAATTATTGCCTTTTTGATTATTTGTTATTGCCCACCTCAATTTGATGTGTATTTCTTCCTTGGAGGATATTGTCATTAAGGAAGCGGCAATCTTGCCGTGATGGTGTTTCGGGAAAGTACCCGAATGCTAAATAGCGACTTCGCAAACGATCAGAACTTCGGAAATTCAGGCTTTGGAAAAATCTCCAGTTTCAATTTCCATCACGAACTTTGGAATTCAAATGATAATTTACCTTCATAATACTGCTCATGCGGTAAAAGGCTGATGTAAATGATACTATCGTCAGCGAATTGTCACACATCCCGCGAAAATTTCGAAGGATGAGGAACATAACATTCTATTCCACGAACTGCATGATACATTATTTTCCATATACAAGATGTATGATAGAAAGGTTGCAGCTATCACAAAGCTCATTTGAATAAAACCCTACCAGCAGTGTTCAGCCTTGCATGATGCAGAATATATAACCATGGACTTTGGAATTGCAGACGCTTTTTTCGTCAATCTTGTGTACATGCGTCGAGCACCAACGAGAAATGCAGAAGCGTGTCGTTGCTTTCGTATGTCGAGGTGCGAGGACTTGTCAAACTCACACCCTATTGCCAAGATGCATAATACTAAAAGTGCTTGAGCCGAAAAATCAAGACTGGAGATCTGATAGAGCCGCAGGTAGTTAACTAAGGGCTATGAAAAACGTGATTATCCAAAGTAACACAAACCATTATACCGCCTTGAATACCAGTGCCAATTATCATGCCATTGTTTGGAAGCAGGCAATAGCTCTACCACTAGAGAATTCCATCCATATCTACGTATGCTGACATTCACATGCAGATTCTCTCCCTTCAATCGCACCATATTCTTTCAATCAATCAATCCAGTTGTAGCCTCCGTCGAAACCCTGCAATTACATTTTCTTGGACGTGGTGCAACAGGATTAGTGGGAAACGCGTGACTGTGATACCACACTGTCAGTTCACCGGCCCGTCCTATGCTTACTTTACCTATATAAGCATTGTTCTTTTTTATTTTTACAGAAAAATTATAGGGCCGAAAACTACCGAGTCAAAAAAATGGGGCTGACGATGTACCTGATTGCTTTGATTTATTCACATATTTTTGTCATATAGCACGACTCCCGTGATAAGCCCTCAGAGTTTATTCGCTTTTCATATCGATGAGATGAAGCAACGACACCAGACATATGTAGAGTGTGTGCATAGTACATCACGACGTACGAAGGAAATCGTATATATTTCCCCGAAGGAGATGGCAACAAGATACGATGTCGCGAGCCTGTTTTTCTTCAGTACACAAAAGCTAGGGCACGAGACAACCTACCCAACACTTCGCATAGCCTCTGTCTCCTATTTCAATAGTTACACTTTTTTTGGAATCAATGCCAGTCACATGGCCTACTCTATAACAAAAAGTTGCGTTACAATTTAGAGCAGCTAATTTCACATTGCACTGCTGATATTCTCACTTTATATCGGGATGTCGTTTTCCTGTCAATTTTCAGGCGTAGCTCCTCCGCAATTAGTTTGACAATTGAGTTGCTCTATCAACCACTGTACTTTCACACAGGGCTCATTAGTGGGTATGATTAGAAAACGACATATTGACAACCGATTCTGTAAAACGAAGGTGTAAAAATGCTGGCACCAATCAAAATATAGCCTACATGTTATTGGTGCATTAGAATATGCTGTACAAACATTTGTCATGGAATCCATGGACATCAATATCTGAGTATCTGACAATGAATGGAATGTCCTTCAATGAATGTTGAGGACAGTTGAGGCAATTGGGGAGAGTTCCAGAAAGCCTATCCTCCTGAGATTTCACAAAGTCTATCGTTGCGGAAGAACTCATTGGCAACAAGTAAGTTTACTCTTGGTCGCAATGCATTCACGCTACTGGCATCAACCATGTCGTGTTCGCCTATGGCCTGTTTAATACTAACTCAAAATGAGAAAAATATGTGGAAATCAAGGGATTGACTGGAATTCAATCACGAAAACCAAATGATATTGTTTTATTTAGATATATGGTGGATAATGAGAAGAACAGTTCACCCTATCTGCTTTCATCAAGAACTCCCAAAGGCACCAACCCATGCTTGCGAAAATATGTTGTACGCATTTTCCACCATCGAAACCCACGGAATATGTCCCCGTGACAATTCTCCGAATTTGTACGCCGTTCATATTCCTTGTTTGTTCAACTTTCTCGATCAGAAACAGAAAGCCTGGATACAAAGCAAACACTAAAAGGAGAGGATACAAAGATACAAGAACGTCCCACGTGGAACATTTGAAGAATTGTATAGGCTGATTCCCTGATCTCCACTGGAATACCGAAGTTGGTACTTTAAAGAATTGTGAAGTAGCACCAAGTCTCAACCCCAAAGGGAAGAAAGAGTACATATAAATAAAAACTTCCAAAACACCAAACGAAGAATGTCTCTCCCTTGGATGGCATGACTCCCAAGATGCTTTTCAATTGGCTTCTCAAACTGTATCCTTGCAGTTAAGAAGATTTAATTCATGCCGTATTCCGATATCCCGAAAATCACGAGAATACCATTGTGCACCCGACCGACTCGTTGCATCCCGACGGCATGACCATCCATCCATATTCATCGTCCCGAGCCCGCGGAAATTTGCAACCATCAACTCCATTTCTCTCAACGATCGCTCTCGACGGTACACAATCTCGAATTCGCTTCGGTATATCCGTCCATCTTTCCGTGTCTACCATCCTAGGACTTTCCTTGTATAACCAATCCTATTCTCCACGCCTTAAAACCTGAAATGTGACTTCCTTATTTTGATCTCTTCTCAGCCCTAGACTGATGTCATAGACAATCCTTTACCACAAGGTGCTACATTTTTAAAACTCAGTTCCCATCAATACATGAAAATTCCGATCCATCTCATTTCATACCAACGTCATCAGAGAACATGAACGCCAAAACCTGACAAGGACAAAATCCACCATTTCCGGCTCCGATTACACGAGGAGTTCAATCATTTAACAGCTCTCCCGCCATTTCCGTTCTTGCTCTTTCCGGAAGAGCGTTTTACCTCTCGAGTCCTATGAGCCGGTGTAGCATGCGCATTATTGGAATAGCAGCTCGGAGAAGCGGAGTGATATGGGCAAGGTCTGTAAGATGTCCCGGAACCCTGGCAGCCAGTACAATTTTCTCTAAGGCACTTTGTTAGGTACTGTCAAATGTGTTTGAAGGGAATTTGGAAGTGCAACATGTCTGATAAGTATTTGAAAATGCTTACAGTAGTCTGGCGGCGCCGCCGCAATCCTGACACGTTTCCAACACGTTGCCATTGAAACAGCAGTTATAAGTGTCTTGGTTGGGGTATAGATGCGACATTGTAGAATTGACGTTGAAAGACGTTGATCGGGCTCAACTGGGAATATTACTGTGGTAAGACTACTACGGTATGTGCTGGTAGATAGTTTTTCGACGATGTCAAAGATGGAAAGCTTTCGATAAGCCGGAAAAGGGTTTCAGCTTATATATGTGGCTGTAGTAGGCGACGATTTTTTTGACTATGAAGTGGAGTTTATGTTGTCATGAGGATTCAAAATTCTTCCCTTAGTTGCGGCGATCTTCAATCTTCTTATACAGGTGATACTCCTTTGCATCTCTTCCCAGCTTTCGTCATGGGAATAACTCCCCACGCTTTTCTAAGGCCAGTCAATCCCACCCCCATGCAATCTCCTCACCGTCAGCATTTTTGTTTTTAAAAAAACACATCAGATATCGTGAGAATTCACCCGGACAGCTTCATGCACATGGTATTAGGCACCACTTTCCTCAACAGGCTTCACCGCTCTTACTTGAGACTTTCGAACAAGGCAATTCTTGTCCTCTCTCGCACATATCTGCCTCTCATCCCATAATTGGCTACCTACAAAGCAAGAACAATTTACCAAAAGTGCAAAATGGTCTGCTGATCTGCTTTCCATCCTGATAGGTATGCTGGTAATATACCAAGTCTGGGGGTAGTTTCGATTACGCCATTCTCCTGATGACTGCGGAAGGCTTTTTTCTGTCATTTTCGATTTCCCGAGGCCTTGGGACCTAGTTATACAGTGCATGAGGTTTCACAAGCAGTAAATTCGTGGTGTATTGCATATAGGGCAAAAGAACGCGCCGCGTAATAGAGATGAGGTGCTGGAAAGAGCAAATTTCCGAGTTTGTGCGAAGGAGCACAAAGATTATCTCTTCCGAAATGATCTGAACTCGTGGGTACTTCATGGTACCCGTCACTCTTCCTGATACATTTTAAATTGGCCCAGGGGCGCGACATCTTTAGATAGAAAGTGACAGGGAAGGAACGATTCAACCGACGGTACGAAATATTTCACACGCATTGATCTACGGATTAAACGTCAACAAGATGTTGTCATCTTCTGTCTTCTTCTTCATTTGGAGTAGCCCCAAACCATCCGTTTAACCCTAACGGCCTAGTGGCGTTTTGTACACCTTTCCAAGACTTCACCTCCACGCTTGTGAATACCCCGCCACAAAACTAGATGATCAATTCTCGAAACAACATTTCATACCGTTTAGAAAAATTTCTTGAACGAAATCAATACACTGAGCCAATCTTGTTATTTACCATGGACCGCACCGTTCTAGACACCTCGAAATTCCATGCAGTTAGCCGTATGTCGGGATTTATCACCTTGTGGCTGGCTTGATCATTCGTCTATTCGCTCGACACTTCATGTCGTGCGCAACGCCGTGTAACTTCCGTGCCTTGTACTGCTGTTTGAGAAAGAGAAATTGAAAGCTGCATGCAATTGACTTGAAGTGTAAGTGCAAATCGAATGTCATGTATAGAATGATCTGCATAAGTATGTGAAGATTGTTATCTATTATGACTTATTACCATTACATCTATGCGTCTTTCAGGGGTGTCTATGAGGGAGAAGAGTATATCCTGAGTGGGGGTGACGCCAGGGTCGTGATGATAATGATGACAATCCTCGAGGGGGTAGGAAAGGAGGCAGGAAGGGGGGCCTTATTTTTAAGCTGGCCGAATGAGCGCTAGCCACGAAGTTTCTGTGTAAGATGTCGAGGGACGAGGAGTGAATCAAGGATTTGAGGCGTTCTGTTTTCCTGAGTTTTATCTTTCTTTCCCTTCGCTCAAGCAAATCCGTCGAGAGATCAAAAAGTCTTCGAGTTAAAGCATACACTTTCACCTCATTACGTTCCTTGGTACAACATCACTTCATTCTGTATCACAACAGCAATCCTTATTTTTCTAACTTTTCTCGCATTAATCCACTCACAGACGTTTTACCCACAGACACTTTCACATAGTTATCGATCTGATGCACATTTGACTGACATGCATCATCGAGGAGAATATGATAAATCACGCGTCACCGCCTCTATGCACATTCATTTGACCCCAAACTCAATGGTCCCTGCATTTGTGGTATTTTCTTGGAACAATCTCAAAACTGATAAGATATGATTTGTCATTTCGTTGTTCTCAGAGCTTGTGGTTGGATTACAGATATAAGACCGTTTCGTTCGCCGGCGTCGGGCAGAATATGTGCGTACCCGCTATACGAACCGAATCCTACCCAGCTAACTTTTCCACTTGGTAAATGACTCGACTAATCCTCCCTAAGGTCGGGTTAGTTATACCAAAGTACATCCTCCCGATTCCATGGAATCAGTTATTTGTGTACCGGTCCATCCTTACCGTCCGAGCGGAAACCTCGCCGAGTGATTCTATTAATGCAAGTTACCGTTTCCTTTCCACCCATCCTTCCTTTCTAAATTCATTTTCATCCCATCATTGTCACTGATTCTTGATGATTAGATATGATCAGTCTAATTTCGCTTCTTTTCTCGGACATAATCAAAGTTGAGCAGCATGAGTTAGAACAGTAAATGAATGCATAGCACGGTGATCTTTTCACTCGGCCCTCGCCGTGTACGCAGGTAACCGTTCAGCGTCCTGCATGCTGATGTACATGGATTCCTAAGACTATAGTATCGACTTCAATGATGAAATGAATTTGAAATCAAGGATTTACATACTTGGAAGACTTGAAATGTGTATCGTTTTTGCAAGGTTCCTCTCCTTGTTGATATCTACATACAGTGCTTGCTTGCTTGACTTAACGTATACGAGGTTATGCTGTCCATGATACCATTTGGCCGAAGGAAAATAGTCAATGACTGGAAACCTCAATAACAATACCCTTTTTCAAGCACTGCAAGTTACAAGCTGCAAGCGTACTCTTTTTCCCTATCAATGTAAAGACGACACAAATATCACTCCTCCCCACACATCACATCAAAAACACCACGTAAGATTACCTCAATATCAAACGAGCCCCCAAATCATTAATACAACCCCATAACCCATCCTCATCCCTATCCACGAATCAGCAATCCCAAATCCCCCAATCGCAGTAATATCCACAGACGGTGCAAATTCTCCGCCCACGAGGCTTTCTTACATACATAAATATTTTAAATCTTTCACGCATGTAATCTTACACTTCATATATTTGCTTAATTTATATATGTATGCGGCTACCCGTCGACGTCACGTCACGTCCTGCAATATATAGAATCACATGTTGTCATGATCACATGCATAACCTAACTATCGATTTCTTGTAATTTGCTTACTTTCCCCTCTTTCTGCATTTTGTGGGATGGCGATTGGGGCGCGGACTCTGATTCTTGCGGTTGGCGTGATTTGGAGGATGATGTCAGTCAGTGTTTTTTTTGGTTGATGTTGATGGTGGATGGTGATTAGTGATTAGTGATTGGTGATTGGTGATTGGTGATTGGTGATCTTGAGATGCATATGCGTCGGGGTCTGTATCTGTATCTGGGTTTTAATTGGGGTGGAGGTTTAATTTTGCATAGATGTGGCCATGGGAGGGATATCGATGTGTGGTGATGTATTGGGGTTTTATTGCGGGATTGGATTGGATTGGATGAAGTTGGTGGACTGGACTAGACTGGACTAGACTGGATTGAACTGTATTGAGCTGTATTGTAACAGCGAGTATTGTATGTAAATGTCAATTTTCTTGATATGCGGCTGGATGAATTGGTAGGCTTCGGTGGGCTTGGGGAGGATTATCTTAGATTGGGGATCTTGTGGATGGATATCGTATGGATGGGTTAGATAAATTGGATGGATTGGAAAATATGCATAATGAAGCGGTAAATGGACATTGCGTAGTTGGGGGTGGGGGTGGAACGATCGATAAACAGGGAAAGAGGAAGGGGGATGGTGATCGTAAGGCTGTTGGGGAAGTGGGAATTTTGTTTAGGAGGGTATGTGTGGAAGTGTTTTTGTTTGGGTTTGGATTTGGCAAAGGGAGATGTTTGACGGTTGAAGATGCGAGGTTGGAGGTTGGGTAAATGGTGAGGTGCTGGTGGTTGAGGTGTTAGGGCTGTGAAGGCATCGATGGGTTAAGGTAATGTAGATATATATCATGGAGTGGTAGATAGTTTCTACTCTCTCCTTTTAGAATCGGGCTTACTACTGTCGCTTTCTGTTGTTTTATCCTACTGCTACTGATTTGAGCTCGATTCTTATATCATATCGTTTCTCTTGTTTGTCCCATTTCTACTTTATATAGAATTACTTACTACCTGTGTCCCGAGTGTCGGTGTCCGGGTGATAATATCTCCCAAGTCCTGCTTGTTGCTTATCAAATTAAACATCTTATATTCCCATTTTTCTCCTAAGAATAGCAAGATGGAAGAAAGACTTTCGTGTCCATTGAACTTTGCATGCCACAATTTGTATTGATATAGTAATCAATCAATTCAATGGCACACCTCACTATCAACTAATCGTTTTTGCTTCCTTATATACTATCCTGTACAGATTGCTCAGGTAGCGATAGAGCTCCGTTTCATCTAGCACTGAAATCCCTATAAATTCCACTGATCGGCTTAAACAATCTTCGAAATTAGTAGTCTCAATCGGTGCGATTCAGATCATTTGTCAATGTGGTAATATAGTTCTTTTATTGATCTTCTTTTGCTAATTGATGACGTCGACTTGTTACTTTTACTCATCGATTTCTTGAATAGTTTCAGTCGATTAATGTATTTTGCATGTACTGTAGTAGAGTAGATAGATTGTGTGGATCAAATCTATACATTCATTCCTAGTAAGTTTGAGCGAAGTACACGAAGCGATTCTGAATTTTTTATTAGCCTTTGCTTTGATTCTTTCGGCAGGAAAGTAAGTATTGTTGAGATAATTGAGATGATAGGTAGGTACTCGAATAGAACATAAAGTTTTTTTTTTTCATTGCAAATGGTACTGTTGCCGAGTCGGCGAGTGTGTTCCAACATGGCTATGGTTGTAGTTGTGGTTGTGGTTGTGGTTGTGGTTGTGGTTGTGGTTGTGGTCATGACATTAATTTAAAAAATCACGTACATGAGATTCTGGAGAATACATTCATGATTTGGCAGGATGCCCATTTGTGTGGGAAGTGACAGAGTATGTGTACAGTAGTCCCTATTTGATATCACTTCTTGCAACATTGTAGATATGTAAGTTCGGTGGGAATATCATAATAGAGCAATTCTTAGCAAGTCGGAAGCTGAATAGGGTTACAAGCATATCCACCACTTTGAAGTTGCTGTAGTCCAGCTATCACATGATGCAATGAATGGGCTAAAGACATATATGAGTAATAGATGTCTATTGCAAAGAGCAGACAGCACGTGGCCCTGTTTAGCTTTGTATGTAAGATATCACTGTCGAATATTCTGAACTTCGTACATGCACTTTGAGAGCAGTTATATCCTTACGCAAGAGGTCTTATGTGAGCAGTAAAAAAACCCCGCTTGAAGAATTTCTCCATGCTGCGGTTTGTCAGTCCAGAACCGCCTGCATTCGAGATATGTGAGGTACTCAAATACGGGTGAATGGCCGAGGGATTATAGTATTGTACTTCTCCTCCGGCCGCGACAAACCGTCTTTGAAATCTTTTAATTTCATAATCCATCCTAAGCTATAGATTACGCTCATCTATGAGAGATATTTGCACAAAACGTTAATTAGTTTCTGACATGTTAGCATTGGCGTGATGATTCATTAAAATCTTACAATAAGTTCGGTTAATTAACGTTTTAAGCTTCTGCCTTCTAATTTACCAAGCCAGTAACTTTACATATCCTATAACAAACCCCCAGAGCTCTCCTGTATCTATTTTATAAATTTCCAGCTTGTATAGATTAATTCTGGGAATAGATCTACTATATAAAATAGGAGTACAAAACTCTTCACATGTACACACGTGCACCATAATCTACTGTTATAGCTAAAACTAAATATACTCAATTTAACCTACCCAACACATATCATATCATATCATATTACAGAAAAGTAGATTCAGATCAACATCCAGCATCTCCAATACATACCGTCACGTATCCGAATCCGAATCCGAGCCCAGTCTCGTCTCGTCTCGTCTCATCTTATTTTACATCTAATATCGCACACTTCACTGAGTAGTAGCTTCTTTTATGATTTCCATATTTTTGCAAGTCGACAGAGGACTTGTCATACATGGTTAGATAGTTATAAATACCAGCTGTTGGTTTAATTAATATTGCTGTGGTGGAACGCTATAGAAAATATCTTGGTTTGATTTATTGTCCGTATCTATAAGTTGATGTCTAGAGTGATTTAATTTGGCGGTATTGGTGAAAATTAATATCGCTCTGTGATATAAATTTTTGGTAAGAGTTATCAGAAAGGGGGTTTGAGCGTCATATTATTTTTTTGACCCAAGGCTTGTAGCTGGTGTTATATATATTTTAGGTATATAATTATAATAGGGCTTTTTTTATTCTAATTGATATATTATAAATATAAAAAATCAAAACTTTAAAAATTTTATTATTTATTTATTATATTATAAAATTATCACTGATTCAAAATTATAATATTAAATTAAAAACATATATTGATTAATTCATTTATAATCAAAGATTAAATAACTTTTAATATTAATTAGATTTATTTAATCCAAAATATAATTAATTTCAATTTTCATATAAATATATAATAAAAAGATCTAAGATTGAGAATATTTATTGAGTTATTTTACTTTTTATATTAAATAATTGTTATTCTTTTTACAATATTAAAATAATTTATTATATAATATATATATATACTACTTTAATATATTTTTAAATAAATATAAATAAACGAAAATAATATTTCACTATAACTTTATACTATATTGAAATTCATATTTATATTTGCTGATCGAATTTATAATACCTAGCTACTACCAGCTCTTTCGAGCTTCCTGCCCTAACAGACTAGTTATCCTTCACATACAGTCGCAGTATTGAAGAAAACCAAGGCGAATAAACGAAACCACAAATAATTTAAATCATGTTCCTGAAAGAGCAAAAATGAGAGGACAAGCCTTAAAGTCAATCAAATATTGTATGTCTTGATATGAAAAACTCCCCTTTCCTACCCATCCTCACCTAAAGCCAATCATCGCATACCTTTATCCATCGCAAGCCATCCCATAATCCTCATAAATAAATTGCCAGCAAGAGCGTAAGTCCCTCAAACTCCAGCCACGAAATCCTTAAAAAGCGCCATTTATCTTTCGTAGATATGTAGCAACAGTAACCTGCCAATGTTAGAAGAAATGCGCCAGTGCTTCACTACTTCTGTCTTGTTGTAATACTCCGTTCGCTATCTCTCCGTACCCCCGTTTCCATTATCCATCCTGAATGTTCATGAATCATCGATAAATTCATGTTGGTGTTGTTGAAGTAACAAATATTGTCAAATCAACCAAAATTGTGATGGATACTATCAAACTCAAAGAAAATCCGGAGCTGTAGCTACAAGAGCTGAGAACAAACCAGCTCCAACAGCGGCTCCTCCTAGAGCAAAGTATCCTACAGCTTCCGCAAACTTCTTCATCTTGGGTCTCTTGATTGGTCGAAGTTCGAGTTCGATCTTTGTAGTGGCCAAAGCAGAACGAGTAGCTTGAGGGGTAAATTGTTCTGGTGTAACCTCGGATACAGCTTCTTGTGCCATTACAGGCTTCTCAGGTACAACGACAGAAGAAGCCCAATCTCGAACCTCATTTTTGCGTATTTCACTTTCGATAACTTCATCGTCAGAGATTTCATCTGCCTTTCTCTTTCTACATGTTGAAGAACCATCAATAATGTCATCAATACGAAGGCCAGATCTAGCTGGATGTCTTTCCAAAGCTGGACTCTCTGGAGCTCTTGATGAGGCATCTGAGCTAAAATAATATGGATGAATCGAACGTCGTTCTTCTGCAGATTTAAAATTGAACAGCCGACCACTAGCAGCTTCAAATGCATGTGTATGCGGTTCATCGATATTGTGCTCCCGGTCTTTAATTTCACTTCCTGAAATAGAATGGTCTTTTATCATGAAACCATGGTCAATACCATTGCCGTGATATTTCATGGGCTGTGTATGTATAGGTTGCGTGAATTGTACCAAAGGTTGGCCGAATTTGACAGCGTGATCTGGTTCTGTGAATATTGGCGATGGAGAATATTGATTTCCTTGCTTCTCTTCCCTATCAACATGTGGTTGAAACTGCATCTTGTTGTCTTCTCTGGCTTCAAAGAAAGCATGCTTTCCAATCTTGATCCCCAATGATTTCGCAAATGCTTTTCCCTTTGATAAATCCCAAGAGCTTTTGGAAGTTTGATCAACAGAATGTTCCGCTTTAGATGGTCCGGGTGCCTTTACCATTGCTACCGCCGAAGGACTAGCCTCTCGATCGAAAGAAGACCACATTGGAGCTTGAACATAAGTGGTGGGACGGGGAGCAGTAAACTCTAGACGAGCATCGGAGAAATTGTCTTCAACCATACGGTCTCTTGAATGGAAGTGAGTATTGACTGGTTTACCGTCAAGTAAACCATCTTTGACTAATATTCGCAAACCTTCATCGGCAGCTTCAGAAAGTCCGACACTTCCATCGTCGTCACCTTCCTCATCACTACCATGTCCACCAAGAGCTACAACTTCTTCAGAAGTATGAATTTGTGTCCGAACATGAGATTCAGGAATATTCTCATTATCGAACAGACCCAGGGGATCGTTTGCTGGGCGATTAGCGGAAAGCCCAGGTGAGGATAGAGCTGTAAATTTGCTGGCCCGATGAACAGGAGAAGATACACGCGATGAGTACACCGAAGGGAACGAAGAAGGGATCTCATCGAGTGTAACGGGTTTCTTGGTTGCGAAAACGCTACCGTTCGAGTCCTCAGATGAATCGGAATCTTCATCATCTTCATCACGGTCACAAACATTCTCCAAATCCGAACAGCCCAAGTCAGAAGTTGCCAAATTCATATCTTCATCGTCATCGCTCTTGTAGCTGTAAGTGAATTTGAAAGTTCTCTCTTGACGGCGGTCATTTCTATAGTTTGACTTTGGATTCGAGTTTATGATAACAGTGTTATCACCTGTCATGGGGCTGTCTAGAACTGGTGACTTGGGAGCGAATTCTTGTTCCTCAGGTTTCCTAGCCGCCGGAATGTAGGAAGGTTCTGTAGACTCAAATTTATGGCCCGGGATATCGTCCCCAGTCAGATCAATAGCATCAATCGATTGAGCCACGGTACTACAGCGAATCATTTTGATAGATGCACCATCCTGACTTGAAACCCCTTCAGACATGTCCTCGTCACTGTAATTATAGCCTTCATCTTCGTCATCGGAGGAATCGGGTACAGCATAACTATGGGGTTTCCTATAAAAATAGATCAGAATGTGCAAAGCAGAATAATTTTAAGCCATACTTACTTCCAAGGAAGTACTTCATAGTTGATGTTGAAATGACATGGCGGGAAACTATCCATACCACGCCTGACAGTAATACCAAAGACAATTCGATCGTTTATCTTGAGAGCTTTGGCTTCATTATCCAACTTTTCTCCATTGACAAAAGTGCCATGCATCGAACCTATGTCTCGAATTTGGATGACCTAAAGAAGTAAGTATGAGCAGACCTCTTATGTGAATAGAAGAATCTTACATTGTCAGATGGGTTATAGAGAATCTCGGCATGGTTTCGAGACATGACAGGGCTATCAAACCAGGCATTATTGGTAGCACCTGCGAGACCTTTGATAGGACTCTTCGAAGCTCTCCCTATCTGCAATACCCTTTGTGTTGGATTCAGGTTGATTACTCTGTCGGTCAGACGGGTTTCATCTGCGGTGATGGGGTCGTGATGGATGTGAATGTTTACTAAGAAAGGTTTAGTATCAATATCCGTGAAAGCAAGTGATAGTGAAGGCATATGCATGAAATGGCATCAGGAGACATGCAAATATAGAACTCTGCAGATATTATGGGGAAAGGGGAATGGAGAATGGGGAACGGGGAATTGCAAGGTCATGGCTGTAGCCTTACGAGTACATGAAAGACCAAAAGTGGTTAAACCAATACTTGCATACCTTGATGAGACATCCTGTAGATTTTTGGGATGGTAAAGACTTTAGAGGTCTGTCGAAAGGAATCAAGAGAATATTGAGCAAAGGAGATTTGTGTAATTATAAGTGTATTGTTTGATTGTATGAAGTTATTCGGGCTTGATGGTGGAACTGAACGACAAGGCTATCTGTATCTGTATCTGTGTTTGTTGGCAATGACCCTTTGGAAGGTGAGATTGATATGGTTGATAGGCACGGATCAAATGGCCAGCCAAACGTCTCAGCAGAGGGGTGTAGGGGTGTGTGTGTGTGTGTGTGTGTGTCAATATCGAAAAGGAAAGTAATTTGATGGTGGAGTTGATTTTATATTTGGATGAGCTCGAGATGTTTTGAGATCATAAGGAGTTTGATGATGGTGGATGAGTTGAAGAGGTGTGGGTGGGCAGTACGAGAGAAGAGGAGGGGTTACGCTTTGTGGTCAGACAGATAAGGCAACCATGGGTCAAAGCTATGGTAAAAAGGGGAGATTGAGGAGGGTTATCGATAAAGGATCAGCATAGATTCCCCAGGTTTACGAGTATGTACATATGATGAACCTCGATATTAAGGCTGAAAGTGAGTGATGTTGAATAGGTACATCAACTCACATTCCACAAATATAAAGTTTTAACCTTCCTTTCCATTCCTGCCCTAATTACTATCGCTTGTGACCTCTCTAACATTGCTTTGTGAATGATAACCTCCTGCATTTGATGTGATCACTCCAGAATCATTTGACTTGACTTGACTTCCTTTTCCGTATTCCTTTTTTCCATTCCTCCAAAACAAATAGTCGTACCTATTGGATTACCCAAGTCACCAATCATTCTTATCGTAGTGGGTCCACAATCGTCAAGTGGAGTTGCACATGCTAATACGGAGTAGTTCATTCGATAACCCTGATTCAATCACCGCAAACACTATAATTTATTTCATCATAGCCAACTTCAATTTATTCTTGATTCACAATTTATCATTTTCCTTACTTGATGACTCATAAACCTCACATGGAGGAACGCCCATTGAAATATTCTCTCTATTCAACTCGACCGATCCAAAGTCCGTCAACTGACTAGCTATTCATCGCCTAGACTTTTACTCTAATATTAAACAAGACCCTCATTGTCTTTAAAACGTCGAGCACTCCCAGAATCGAGAACCGCAAACACACATCCACACATCCACACATCCACACATCCACCTCATACAGTCAACACGCAAATCAAGATCAAAATGACGAGAGATCTAAGAAGAAGAGTGCTGGAAAGTCATAAGACTGTATCCAAAAAAGCTGCATCGCGAGTTGGTTCGAAAAACGCATCGGCAGTAAATTCTCGAACACAATCAAGAAATGTTAGTCGCCACGGCTCGGATGAGGAAGATGGTACTTTGAGTGATGATGATAGTACAACATGGAGGTAAAATATTCAATCCTCCTCGTCACCTTCCTTATCTCCCGACTGACAATATAATTGCAGTGTTAACTCCATTGATGATATGCTCGACGCACAAGAACCACATGAAGCATCTGCTACCTGGGACCAAGAATTGAACGATCGCATAGAAGAAATCATAGACCGAAAACGAAGCAGTGAAGAGGGTAGAGAACGTGCTTTGATGGCATATAATCATTATTTAATGGTTAGATATTGTTACGACGAAATCGAAAGCAAAATCGCAGAGTTATATCCAGCTTTGTGTAAAAGTATCAAACCCGAAACTGGAGAAAAGGAAGCTTGTCTGGCTTTAAGAGGTATGCGTCACCATCACCATATAAAATCTGGGCAGTTTCTAATTTTATTGCAGCCGTTGGTCTCACAGTTATTACTTGCCCTTCCGAAGATGTTTACGAGGATATATTTCGGACTCTCAAACAGGCCTACCAAAGATCAGAACATGTTACCGTCAAAGCAGCAGCTATTCGAACAATCGCTGCCTTGGCAACCTATGGTGGCGCATCCGAAACCGAAATCGAAGATTTATTGGACGAATTCCTAGAAATTGTCGAGTCAGATGGTAATTCAGTGGATGCTCCTGATAGTGCTGAAGTTGTCACCGCAGCATGTGAAGAATGGGGTAGTTTAGCTACATTTGTGGATGATTTGGAAGAAAGATCCGAAGCAGCAATGGAAGCATTTGTCGATCAATTAGAAAGTTCGTCGACATCAGTTCGGATTGCCGCTGGAGAAAATATCGCCATAATCTATGAAAAGAGTTATACACCACGAGAATCGGATGATCCTGATGCTAGCGAGAATGAAAAGGTAGACGAATATGGTTTCCCTCTGGATGTCAGTCAAGTAAAACGCTACGAACCATATCGTCAAAAGAATCAACTCGAACATACACTCTCAGAATTAGCAAAAGCTTCATCGAAATCTATATCCAAAAAGGATCGAAAAACATTACATGCCACTTTTGGAGATGTTCTAGCTACAATCAAATACCCAGTCCGAGGACCAAAATATTCAAATGTTATTGATGAGGATGGCCATCTATTAGGATCTAGAATGTTCGTTCGCATTCATAAGACTGGAGTTATGAAGATTGATAAATGGTGGAAATTACACAGATTACAAGCTTTAAGAAGAGTTCTTGGTGGTGGTTTTATGACCCATTATCAAAATAATGAGGTTGTTTTACAAAGTTTACCGTAAGTATCATCTCTTCAATTAGGGCTTGTCGAAAATATACTAACAGGATATACAGTGCATTAGTCACTAGAAACTAAATTGATCGAACCTCGTGCTAAATTTTTGGAGATACTCCATCTTTCTTTATCTTATTCTTTCAGACACGATTTTACAATATCATTTCTACGTCTATTCAACTCCGAATTCTCATTTTGGGTGGTTACGCTGCTGCTTCATTCGATTGCGCATTGGGAGGCGGGCAAACATATATTATGTTCATATGATACTATTATGATACCAGCAACAAGGACTAGGAGTTTTATGGATTGATGGGTGGATGTCAAACCAGGAGGGAAAAAGCTTAGGGATTTTTCTAAGGCGGGGTGGCTGGCATTTTTTACTTTGTGATACGATACGATGCAATTCAATGCGGGTAGTATTTGGTATACCCTGTTTGCAAGGTCATTAGTAAGTCGGTAGCCAGTAATCAGTAGTTGAGTGACGCAATATAAATATTGCGTCGTAGATGAAATAAAATTTGATTATAATATAAATCTTACTAAGAATTAAAGAAGATTCTATAGAACAGAAAGAGTATATATAAGTCTATGTCTTAGATATTAGATATTATTTTACTACTATTTATAATTATATCTAATATTCATTTTACACTCAAGTCTAAATATATATATAAATTCCGAATAAATTAATTTCATTTCATATATCTCATCATTCTTCTTCATCTTTGATATACTGTACTCATTTATTTAGCTCGCTCACTAATTTCCGCTCGAGATTTCTTCACTTCTAATTTCTATTTCTATCTAATCCTTCCTCAATCCCCCCTCCACCTCCAAAAATCCCAAAGATCCTTTTCCACTCCTTCCCCTCCTCCCTCCATCCTTCCCATTCCCCTCCTCCTCCTCCTCCTCATCCTCCATCTCCTTTCCACTTCTCTTTCCTCCTCCCTCCTCCTTCTCCTCTGCCCTCCAACTTCCTTTAACATCCTCGGCCTCATCGCTTTCCCGCTTCCGCAGCCCGCTGATCCGGTCTCAACCTACTGTCCGTATGTGCCATCTTTCCCTTTTCAATTTCAGTGATTTCGTTTAATTGAGCTGCGAATGTAGTGAGTCCGTAACAATTCGCCGCATTATCTACTAGGCTTCCAACTTTCCAGATTTCGGCCCCGGGACGCCCTCCTTCGTTGATTCTGAGAGAACTGGTCCAGTTTCCTTGGAGACTGACGTTTGTGTGTTTGCCTTCCCCATCATAGGCTTCCACACCTACGTCTTCACTTCTACCCCCAAACATGCCTTTTTGTTTAAATTCTACCAAAGCTTTTGCACCCGTACTCTCATTTGTGACTGACATGTTTCCTACTGGTTCTACGTATTTTTCACCCATGACTACGTTACGAAGGAAGGCAGTTGCGACATTCCATGTATAACGCTCTTCAATTCCATCTGGAAGACGAAGAACCAAACGCGCCCGACCTTCCGTAATAAGTTCTGCACTTTTACCCCAAAACTTTTGTGTTGGGGCTGGTGATTGACCAAATGACCATTTAGCAGAATCGGCTTGACATGCCATGCGAACGGGACGATGCGAGACTTTCTCAACGAGGAGACGGAATCCTCCAGGGACTTCTTGTTCGCTTCGGACGAGCTCGAAGGTTTCTCCCAGCATGGGATTAAAAGGTTTGCGAATTGCACGCTCTTTGGCTCTGCTATTACTAAATTGTGAGACTGCGAATGCTGCTACATGTAACAATCTTTTTGTAGAATCTTTTTGATCGGCAGCTGCATTTAAAATATTGCAATACTCGAGTTGTTCTGCCACGCGTTGTAGTAAAGATAGTGGTTCGTTGGCTGATACTGGCATACTAATAGTACTCAAATCTTTACCGACGTTCTTTCGCAGGAATCCTATCAAACTTGGAGGCAGAACTGTTGCAGGCGGAATGCCCTTTCGTCGCTTTGGAGCTACCTTGATCGGTAAAGGATCTAAAGTCTTTGGCTTGATTGGGAATAGTGCTGCTGCACCATTCACATGTTCAACCTCTTCACTTCCTCCACTAGAAGAAGTAGAAGCACCGCAATCATCTTTTTCTTCCTCAGCTTCTGACGCTATGGTTTCTTCCTCTGCACTCTTACGGTTTATAATCATAACCTGTGAACGATCCGGATCACCAGCCTCTGCATCATAGAATTCCGCCGTAGACGTTGAATCAATGCTGTGTGTAGATCTAGCAGACAAAGGTACAGTGTTTGCTGCACGACGACGCTTGCTGCTAGCTATCAAAGTTTGAAAATCCGAAAGTACTGAATCTAGATCATTGAGCAAGGACGTGCAATGATCATGGATATTTTGCTCTTCATATGAGGTCCGTGACTTCCGAGGAGTTGTTCCACTTGCCTCAACCTCACCACCAGTAGCCGGAACTGCAAGTTGTGCGGTCATACTGCGTTGCACAGTTGGCGGTGTGCCAGGTGTGGCTGTGGGTGTTGCCGACTTCCGTTTCCAGAAAGACTTCTTTTCACTTGTTTGCTGGGGTTGATTGCTCTGAGGAGTAAAGTAATCATTTGCCTCTTCAACCAAAGGACTTCCGGAAGGAGCTCCAAGAAGATGTGAGTGTCTCCTATTTGGGGTGGCAGTATCCTTTGACAATCTACGAACAGCATCCCTAGTACCTACAATCCTACTGACGAGTCCTTCAATCTCTGCCCATTCATTCTCCTCTTCCTTGTTCGACGGGGCATGTAGATAGCTGGTCCTAATTTTCAATCCTACATCCGGTGTGGGCATCGCCTCGGTATCGGCAGCTCCAACCGAGCCCCTAGCACTATTGCTAGCTTTCTCCAAAGCTTTCGTCCAATCCTCGAAATCCTTTGCATTATTTGCTTTCAAATGCCAGATTTCCGCACCAGAATCGATGTTGATTTCCCTCCTTCTCTCATCTGCCGCAATGGCAGCTAAACTCAATGGAATTGCTCCTCGCAGCGCCGATGAATTGCGACTATAGTAATAGGACAATGTGCATGTCGCGAAATCCAAAGAGAAAAATCTGCGAGCGTAGCCTTGTCCCTTCTTCCTTCTCCTCTTTTGTAACACGCCCACATGGTAGCTCGAAAAGCCATTCTCACTATCATTTCTACTCATCATCGAGCTTCTACTGGCACCGCGACCCATTGCTGTACTCTGTAGACTTTCCACGGATTCTGAAGCTGCTGCGGAGGGATGCGGACTTGGTTTCCTTCCAACTTGTGCATGCGTACCATCCAGACCCTGCAGCTTTTGTAGATGTGTCGAGTGTGGAGGCGCATTAGAAGGATAGGTAAGAAGAACGAAGGTGGCAGTCTTAGATATTTGTTTCGAGAATGTATTGTCGAATACCAATCCGTACATTCCACCATGGCCGACCGGCACTGCAAATGTACCCATGGATACCTTGTCTGCTTCGCATTTTCCACACCATTCAACTAATATGAAGCCTTTTGCCTTTAATTGTTCTTGCGCTGTGGAGGAATCATTTCTTGAATCGGTTGTAGCAGATAGTCGTCTCTGCGAACTGTGATCCACCGATTGCATGGAATGGACAGCATCGTCGAAATTAGCTTGTCGCGGGGTAGAGGCATTGCTTGATGATGATCCCCCTGGTCCTGGATGCTTCACAATTCCGAAGTTTCTAATACAGTCAATAATTTCTTCTAAATTTAGAGAAAAGAGCTATCCCACATCGACTTTTTGTGCGGTTGAACGCTCCATGAGATGGTATGTTTTTCCTCAACCTTGACCCATCGAACAATATACGACTGCATAAATACAATTAGACAATAATAATATCCACTTCGTATATCACACACACCTTGCTATGAATCTCTAATTGCTCCATGCCAGCCATTGTGCTCTGATTTATTGACCTCGCTCGGATCGCCGTCCGAAAATCCCGCAACAAGTCGTGAAGATGTTCAAAGTCGAGTGAGAGTGAGAGTGAGAGTCAGAGTGAGATGGTTTGGGGTGGCAGGAAAGGAAGGCCGGGGAAGTTCGAATACTCCAGGAAAATCAATGCAGATAAAGAATGTGAATTATGAAGTGGAGAAAGATCTAAATTAAGAGTGAGGTTGGGATCTCCCTTCAGAGACGGAGTATGTTGATGTCTAGAATCGAGTTTTGTCTTTGATAATACCACGGATTATTCGGTAGGCGTTTGTCCCTTTCGTTCGTATATCGTATTACTGTGCTGTTATGCTATGCGTGTGCTGTATTTGCTTGTTTGATAACTTTCTTACGTAGATAAACCCTGAATATAGTACTCGGCCCAGTCTTCAAGGCTGGGCTGAGCTCTCACCGTCAGCGGCTGACAACGGGTCAATGCTCTTTATGAATGTTGATTAAAAAGAATTATGAATCAATTATGAATGGAATAGTAGAATATGAAAGACTTACAAACATGTGGATGGATACATCGAAAACATATGGAGAGTAGGAGTAAGATCTTACCTAACGAATCCAACCATGTAAACAAACAAAAATATACTCCGAACCATCCCAATTCGATGATTCAGCATGTAACAATCAAACATAGGCACTACATTAACCAGGTACCTACCTACAATTCTACCTAGGTACATTTGGTACAATTTCTAGACTCAGCCCTGCCATCCGATAAATCCCAGCATCGATTCATCTACTCCCTCGGTATGCTCTAGCTGCACACAAAATGCGACTACTCCGTACGAAATCATAGTACCCCGGGGCTTTATATTATTGTATTGGTAAAACTCTCTTTACGAGTAACGGGCTCAAGGATTACAGCCATCTACAGGAAGTAAACGTTTAGAGTGCCACTGCACAGGAAATTTAATCAATTCAAAGGCAATTCATATGAATGGCGTAATAGGGAACCAAGGTACCGACTAAAATGGTTTAATGAATTGCTTAAGTTCTAATTTTCATGGAAGTACTATCAAGTACTGGGTATGTAAATAGGTCTGAATTAATTACTCCGCATAAACTTGGCTCGAATTTTTGCCTAGCTTTTAGCTTTTAGCCTAATGGATAGTATCGTCCATTTTGAACCCCTTGGAATGCTAAAGTTACCCCTGAAAACTTTTGTTACATGTTGTAGAAGAATGCATTGTAGGTTGTCTATCATATTTGACCCCCAGCTCATTAGCCCCCAAAATACCCCTAATCCTTATCATCTTCGGTTCATTTCCGCAGCGTGGCGCAGTTTGAATCCATTACACAGAGCCTTCATATCAGGGTATGGACTCTTTAATAACTCAAAAGCATTGGGAACGACCCGTATGGCCCATGAATTGACGCGCGCTTGTTGGCCAGCTTTAAAGCAAAGATGGAAATATCCAGGATGTCTCGTATCGAGACAAAATGCATATACAGATCGCTTAGGGTTGGCCTCAGTGTAGGTGGTCAACCAACGCTCTAAAAAATGAAAGTCAGTACATTTACTATATTTCATGAGTTAATATGAACAGGTCTTACCTGTGTCAGCCCTGCTGCCTTTTTGGAACTTCTCATGCAGCATCATCTCTTCAACCTTCTTGGACATGGCCTTAACATGATCCACGATCAATTCATCGAGATCACTATAGTTGTATTTGTTGCCAATTCTCAACTGTCGTCCAACTGAAAACTCATTCTCCTTTTGTAGCTCTAAGACATCAAGATGCTGGTAAACACCATCAGCAACTTTCCACGTAACTGCCAAATGATCATTTCCTTTGGACGAAGGACGAATGACAGCATCGCCAGGGGCTTGTGAACCGAGGTACTCTTCAGCCTGTGTGGCATTGAATGGTCTAAAGAGGGGGTGTTTGACAACTCGCTGAACGCGGCCGGTGGCCTTGTCTTTCTCGCGCAGCTCTTCCCTGTCTTTTTGCTCTTGAAGTGAGTCCCAGGTACCTATATCGCGATCAATGCGTTTCCTGTATGGTCGCATTTGTGACTCGCGAAGTGATAGTCTGGCAGCGAAGTTTCGTCGGTCAACGTCGAGCAGTTTAGCTTGAGCAGTTTGGCCAACAGAGAACAAACGATGAAGAGAGGCATTGGGGTTATCTGAACCATCGTCTTTCTCAACACGTCCTTCAATACCAGAATCCAGCTTAGCGATAATGAAGTCATCCTTTGCCACTCGGATATTAACAGATACGATCATGCCTTCACATAACGATTCGTGAGTTTCTCCGGTTAACATGGTGAAAATATCATCGTCTATCAATATTCCAAAGTTGCGTCGCAGTTCTTCATATGGCTGTAACAATTCCGCACGAATGGTCTCGAGTGTGGCGCGTTTGCGTTGATTGTAATTCCTCTCCAATTGATCGGCATACTCTTCAAGAATTAGGTCGTTTACTTTTTCCTGCTCGTCATCCTTGATGAGCTTGCGGACAATAGCTCCTGGTCCACCCTCATCCACTTCTGCTTTCACATCCTCTTCATCAAGCTCGAGTGCATCAGCTGCCATTTTCCTACCAAGTTCATAGTCCTCTGGGTGCACACGAGTATTGTCAAGATAGTCAGAGGCGGGGTTTGCGCTGTCGTACTCCATGTAAAGAAAACTGGCACAGTTATTCCACACTCGGGGACCTACGACGGGTAGCTTGTTGTTATCTGGATCGCCAACGAGCTCCTCGCGAGTGTTAACCACACCACCGTTGGCATTGATGGATTTCAGGACAGCGGTAGCCTTTCGAGGACCAAGACCACAGATAAAAGGCAAAAGGTTTGCTGTATAGGCGTCATTGACCGCTTCGTTGATATTGACTCCACAAAGGTTGACCATGTCTACCATTGCAGTTTCCAGTTGTCTTCGAAGCTTATCCTCGGGCAACAACTGTTGACATGGGTGGAAAGATAATGAAACAATATCCTTCCCAAGGGCTGCGTACTCCTTCATTGGATTTTGAATATATTTAGCCAAACCAACACAATACCTGGCGAGTGGTGCAAATGCAGGGTGATCAACAGCGGCTCTGGGGCTGTCTTTATATAGTCGGGCTACTTCATCGTTCACGACAATGATGTCCAGAGGCTCAGTTCGCTCCTCACCACTTTCATCCTCAAACTCATTTCCTCGCAGAGAGTGTTCCTGCACCAATTCTTTAAGGCTTAATACAAGCTTATGAGTCTCAACAGAGAAACCGCTGATTCCGAGAACATCGGGTTTCTTGTTGCGTACCAATTCGACAAATGCTTCTCTAGCTCTTTGATCTCTTGAGAGATTGTCAAACTTTCCGTGGTCCAAAACTCGACCGTCTTCTTCAACATACGCCCAGCATACGGCATCACGACCGGGGTCACCGTTGCCATTAGATAAAGCAAGGACCCGAGGAATAGTACCCAAAACCATGCCTTTTGGCTTGTATGGCGCCTGATCAAGTTTTCTTGAGTATTCCTCTCGACAGATTTTGAGGATAGAATCTTGGCATTCTGTTCGCATGCTTTCCTTCACTCCTTTAGTGATAGTCCTTTCGAGTTTTGTGAATGCCATGTCAAGAACTTTTTGTCTTTCGTCATTCCAAGCATCAGCGACCTCACTGTAGTTATCGGATCTAAACTCTCCAAAAATTTGTCGTCGGAAATCTCGCTCGTTTTGAAGAGATACTTGAACCTCTAACAAGCCTTCTTCCTCGGCTTTCAACATCTTTAAGAACATTTCAGGCTTGCTCGCGATGTCGCTAAAAGTTTGATTCTTGAGGTATTTAAGTTCATAGTATGGGTGTTGTTCATCGATCTTCTTTAGGCCTTTATCCGTTCTAGCACAGCTAACAAGTCCGCCCATGTAATGATGTTTCCTGAAATGCTGGCGCATCTTCGGGCTCATAAAAAGTTCCTCGGCAAATAAGCTTCGTGCTGCGTTCAAAACGGCTTCACCTGTGGTGAAGTCATCTGAGCCAGTCAGGGTGTCGGCAAGATCAATTGGGCTCAAAGGAGGATCCTCTGTATATTTCTTACGGCCTTCCAGTAGAAGATTTCCGGCAATCTCATCGGCCGTGATTCCATATGCTCGTACAAGTTGGTAAGCCCCGCTCTTGCGAATACGATCGAATCTTGATGCTTTGTTTCCAGCTCGTTTTTCTTTGACTTCACCATTGGAACCTTGCAAAGACTTGATTTCTGATGAGTATTGGAAATAGAGGTAATCCTGGATATCCTGGAGCTCTTCCATGGTCTGCGCGTTCGGTAACATTTGCTCAAAGGTTGCATCACTAATACTGGTGGCCAACTTCAGGTTATCGTAGGTCTTTTCAAGAACATTTCGCTTATCGATTAGTGCCCTGAACTTCAAGTCGAGTTCCAAAATGCGCCAGAGGTCATCTTGATTCAAGAGCTTGTCCGCGGTTACTTCGTAGTCGGGCGCATCTGGATTGTTAGGATCCGATCGTGTTTTGCTCTTCCTGGCATGGATGAGATAATCCTTTCGGTGTTGAAACACGTAAGGAACTTCGACTTCGTCCACAACAAAGAACTCTAACACTTTGCTGATAGCCTTGGTGAATGGTGCTTGCATATCTCCGCTGAAGTTCTTTTTCGGCCAAATCAGACTTGTGATCCATCGAGCTTCCTCCTTGAACTGTTCGTCGTTGATTTGTAAATGTTTATAAGGCTTGCGGTCGAGCTGAAATCGTTCCGGTTCATCAGAGTACCGAATGAAATTATCCTCGTCCGTAAGTAGCTTCTCTGCGAGCTGGGAAGGTTCGAAGACATCCTTTAGCTCGAGATTCTGGTCGCCAGCTTCCGCTGCTTCGGCTTCATCTTCCAAAGCGAGAGCCCAATCGTAATCCTCACCATTTCCAAAAATAGCTTCCATATCATCTAAAGCATCCTTATCAAGACCTGCTGTTTCTGCACCGCCAACGTAACCCTTCTCTCTTGGACGAGCCACCTCCCTTTCTTCAGCAAGTCTATCCCTTTCGTCATCCTCCAGTTCGTCTTCCTCGATGAAGTCTGCGAATTCATCAATGCGATGATCTGGGCGTGCGAAAGAACGCTCGTACTCGAGAGGTGCGTCTTGTTCTTCATCGTCAGAGAAGATTTGGTCCAGGCCGCGCTCCCGATCATGTTCGTTATCGTCTCGGTGACCACGCTTAAGACGCTTAAACTTTGGCTGTATGGATATTAGCACAGTAATTAGATAGAATCAAATATAACCAACCTGCTGTGTTGTCTTCCTCTCCCATTCTGGATTTGCTTCTCCGATAAGATCCAAATCTTCGTCATCCAGACCCTCCTCTTCACGTTGCTCTCTTCGGCGTTTCTTTTCTCTGCGGCGACGTCTACTTCTCGCATCATCATCGTCTTCTTCATCTTCATCTACAATAAAACCTTCCCGAATCTAGATATGTGTCAGTGACGACGCGCAAATAGTGATTTTAGTAGTAGAGCCATGTACCGCACGAGCTGCCTCCTCATCGTCATCATCTTCTTCTTCACTCGAATCATCCTCCAAGCCTCCATTTTGTCGTCGCGGCTGTGCAGAGCGAGCTTCACCAGTTTCCTCATCAAAATCCTCATCCAGTTCCTCTTCATCAACCTCGACGTCACCGTCAATCAGATCGCGCATGCTCATGATTGCAATGTTCTTTACTAACTTTTTTAATGATTATTGGAGGAAACACTGAAGACTACGAGGTCACAATTGCCGCATAGAAAGCAATTGTGATAATATTGTGTGAAAAGATTGTAGTTGAAAGCTGAAAATAAGTTGAAAGATTGGCCTTTGACAACTTTTTGGCAGCCTTTTAGTTCTCGCGACTGGGAGTTCAATTGGTCCGAAAGTGAGGCTGGGGTGATTGATTGCCATAAATTCAAGGCCATATACGCCACACTTGTCCCTGAATTCGGCATAGCTTCTGTCGTTCTCGTCAGGTTCTAGCCACAATAGCAGTGAATTTTCCTACTCACTATCGCACTGCTACATGCCACAATCAATGACGATAAGTTCTGGTGTTCATGATAGAATGTAACCTTACATTTGGGATCAATTGTCAGGTCGGCTCAAGGGAAGCTTTGCTTATGAATAACAGGAAATCAATTATTTCTCCAAAACAGTTCTTAGCTGTACTATCTAAAGGTACCTGCCTAGTAAACTTACTCTCCCCATTCAGATATCAGATCAGTATCTAATATCCTTGTACGGAGTACATGTGTTGGATGCATGTCTGGAACCAAGAGCCGCCCGATGTGTCTGTAGGAAGGAATAACAAGAAGTGGCTTCAGGTACCTAGGTAGGTACAGATAGTAAGATTACAAGATTTTCAATATATAGAACTAGAGGTAGAACTGGAACTGGAACTAACTAGAATTACCTAGGTAGGTAATTTTCAAAGCAGTCATTGCTACCTATTACCTACTATCTACTATTTTTTACCTTTTACCTCCTACCTTTTACCCTCCTACCTACCTACTCAGGTCAGATTGATTGATTCATTTGGCTGTACCGTAAAACTATGGAAATTAACGATCAGTGGGGTATTCCAGCACAGCGCTTCATGCTTCAAGTCTTTTGGTCTTCTGGCCTCCATCATTTGGCCCCCAAGCTTTCTTTAAATTCTTATTCGTTCAGATGGTAGACGCGCCTACCAAATAATGCCCAATGCAAAGTTCTCCGGTAGAGGCTTAAGATATAGATGAGACAAGCACGAACGAATAGCTTCAACTACACAAAGATAACAGAAGCAATAATATTGGTGTTATATAACTAGTAGGTATATATTGACGGCTTATTAGCTAAAATATCAACTCCCCTTCCCTAAAAGACGTTGGCCAATACCATCTCAACCATTTAAGGGGTAAAAGACATTTCAATAATATTTTTTTTTCTCTTCCAACAACAAACTTGGGTACATTTTCATTGTTCCAATTTCCCAGACAATATTTCCCGATTTTCTCTCCAACCGCGCCTCCACGCTCTTATTACTGTACATAGTAAGTAGTATTTGCCATAGCGCCAAACTCAAACGAATGTCCCGCTTTCACTGTGTCCCTCCTCCACCAAATCCTATAATCCTCGACGACAAGTAAACTATCCCATCTACTTTATTAAAACTCCTGATTATTTCGATAACTTCGAATAGTCATCCACATAATAGGGGGTTGAAAGGATTCACCAAATACTTATTACTTATTCATTCATTCACTCATTATCATTGCATTTAACTTCTTGCTCATACGCTCGTGCAGAGAGCACCTTCCTCAAGCGCCGACTTAGGAAATTCAACCACATATCTTCGCGCAACTCTTAAAATCGTTTTACCTCGACATCATTCATTGCTGTTAGCTTTCAGGCCAGCCTTACAAAATGTCGGACGGTATTGGTTCGGTGCGCACATTGAAGAGGAAGAATGTAAAAGGTCTGGCATTGAATGCACCCCCACCTCGGGCTGCAGCACCATCCGAGGGCGATTTACAGATTCCTGGTGGAATTAGCAATGAGAGTAGCAGGCAGACTGCACAGTTAGAAATTGGAATCGAATACAAGTTAGACTTGAAGAGAGAGGATCTAGAAGTATTGAAAGACCTCGGTCATGGAAATGGAGGAACCGTCAGCAAAGTTAGACATATGGCTACAGGCACGGTAATGGCAAGAAAGGTATGCTGGCACAAATTTTGAGCACTTGCACTTCAAACAGCCGCTTATGCAAACGTAGGTTATTCATGTCGAAGCTAAGAAGGAAATGCGTCGTCGAATCGTTCGAGAACTACAAATTATGTACGACTGTAATTCGGAATATATCGTCAACTTTTATGGGGCATTTTTGAGCGATAACAATGATGTTATCATGTGTATGGAATATATGGATGTTGGGTATGATTACCTAAAGATCTCTAGATGATTAGAATGCTGGAGCTAACTCTTTCTTAGGTCTTTAGATAGAATCTCTACACATTTCGGTCCAGTTCGAGTCGATGTTCTAGGAAAGATCGCAGAAGCTACCCTAGGAGGTCTCACATATCTTTACATCAAACATCATATCATGCATCGAGATATTAAACCATCCAATATCTTGGTGAATTCAAAGGGTCAGATTAAGCTATGTGATTTTGGAGTTTCAGGAGAGTTGGTCAATTCAGTGGCAGATACATTTGTTGGAACATCGACATATATGGCGCCAGAACGAATTCAAGGACAAAAATACACTGTGAAATCGGATGTGTGGAGTTTTGGCCTGGCCATTATGGAGCTGGCGATTGGAAAATTTCCATTTGATGCTAGTGAGCACTTATCTGATGGAGATGGTGCACCATCTGGTATTCTTGATCTTCTCCAACAAATCGTTTATGAGCCTGCGCCAAGACTACCAAAAAGCGAAGCTTTCCCTCAAATTCTTGAAGATATGATCCAGAAATGCATGTCCAAAACACCAGAAGAGAGACCCACCCCTCAAGAGCTTTATGTAAGTTACATTTTGACAAAATTAACGTTTAGGTTAATATACTAACGCATTCTATAGGAGCGTGAACCTTTCGTCCAAGCTGCCAAGCGAACCCCCGTAGATCTTCGGGAGTGGGCCGTCAGTATGTTAGAGAGAGACAACCGCAAATCACATCTTGCACCTCAGTTATCGCCAGCTAGTAGGGATGTTTTACGCGGCGATGATTCACCAAATGCCTCTCAAACACCTACATCTGGAGATATTCCCATAAAAAATGCCGATATACGGTCGTCGATAACTTCTCCGCAACACACCGAAAACCATCATCAAAGATCTCGTTCCCCTACCAAGAACGGCAGTATTTCCGGTCGAGGAAGTGAAAGGTTTCATCCCGGTCTACCTATAAGAGGCAGCACCACCAATTCGATACCAAAACTTGCAGCATTGAATGCACCTGACCCACACGATGGTTCCTCAAGCACAACTGGACCAAATTTCAACACGACCCTGCCAATGCGTCCAGCTCCAGCAGGACCCTTACCACCACCACCACCTAGAAAGCAATCCGAAGATAACAGCCATAAGGAAAGTCGACGCCAAGCAACCTTTGGCAATGGCTTATACGGTTCGGGCTATGCGGCCCAAGGTGCATAAAATTCCATACTCAACATAATGCATTGACATGTTTACACATTTCTCATATCATTGTGAAGCGAAGAGCATCTTTTCGGCGTATCGTATTCATCAAATCTATAACCAAGAGACATGTCTGATTTGAGAACGAATACCCTAGCTGGCTTCGTCTGAAATTTCCATATTGTATATCTTGTCTATGAATGTGGAAAGTCTTCATTGTATCAAGTAGGGCTGTTGATAAAGTGTAGGTAGCATGATTTGTATTCCGCGGATCAGAACGATGTGGGAAATGGATGAATCGATGGACGGAGGGATGACCGCGTGAAGATACAGAAGAAAGGAATATAGGAATAGGAACATAGCTAGCTACTGTAGTAAACAGACTCTTGGGATTCGTGTTGTAGGGCGTTATTATTATACTACTCTGAAGAATATATTGTTTGTCTTTGTACTTGTATTTGTACTTGTATTTTGTACTTGTGTTTGTACTTGTTGGTGAGTGACTAGTTGGTTGATTGTGGTTGATTGTGGTTGATTGTATGCTTGTGGTTGTGATTTATGATATGAATTTGAGAAGAATAAGTTGATGAGTTGGATTGATGGTATATAAGTAGGTAGGTTTGTATTAATAATATATTTATTTTATATATATATACATTTATATTATATTTTCGTTTCTGTAAACTATATATACACATACTCTAACTTCAAAACAATCAATAATTAAGATTAAATAATATTTAAAAAACAATTATTAATAAATTAATAAATTAATCAAATTATTTTTTATAAAAAATATAAAAATTTTGATCTTGTATTATTTATTTATTTATATATATATATATATATTTTTTTAATACTAAATTCTTTTTTATTTTATATTATATTATACCTGAGGCCTGCGCCCCCCGGACCCCTGGCTTTTTGAGAAAGTCTAATGAAAATTTAAATTTTAAAAAGTTTATAATAAATTTAAATATCAAATATATATATTAGGATGCAAACAGAATATTGACTTGTTTTTAATAATTGAAAATTAAATATTATTATTATTATTATTATTTTGAATTGAATAAGATGAATTGAATGAATAGAGTTGAATTGAATAAGTTGAATGATTTCAGAGTTGAATGAATAGAGTTGAATTGAATGAGTTGAATTGAATGAGTTGAATGATTTCAGTAGAGTTAAATGATTTCAATTGAATTGTGATGTCACGAATCACCTACATTCGGATTATAGTGGTATTATGAGAGTCGGTGATTTAGCTGTCGACTATAGGGGGGTTCTTTATCGCTACGATTAGGAACTTGGGAATCCTAGGCTCCTCGAAACTCCCAAAAGGGATTAGTATATAAGTCAGAATAGTTTCATAGTTTAGGAGTTTCGTGTTTAACTTAGTTATCAATTAGTTTATTTATATTCTACTTGATCTAATAACGAATTCAAATAAATAACCAATGATTAATAGTCTTAACCCACAACTATCAACCTTATGAATCTCAGGCAGCCGCTGCCTCGACCAGATCGTTACATGTGAATTGAGTTGATGATTTCAATAGAGTTGAATGATTTTAATAAAGTTGAAAAAAGTTTTAAGTCATATTTGCCTGAGGTTGTAAGGCTTGCTTATGCCAAGCTTTTTGTTAGATTTATTTACCGGGGTATTTTAGACCAATCAGATTGTCAGGATCGCGACTCACTTAAGCGAGTTTCTCATTTTCTATACAGCAAGGTTTTGGTGTCGGCAAGCCGACAATAAAAAAGTATTTTGCTCCTACTTTCCTTTCTCTTTTCTTCTGAGTTTAGTATTCTTTAATACAAGATACTCTACTTATTATTCTTAAGTATGACAATTACAATCTCTAATCATATAGAAGTAACTCAAGGGCTGATAGAAAGGCCGTGCACGTGGTAATTTCTACTGAAAGTCAAGTAGGGACTTGATTGCTAAATAACAATAACAATATCGTATTGTAGTATAGCTAATAGTATATAAAACTAAAGAATATATTTTGACCACAAAGCTCTACTGTAAGGCAATCCTTCCATCTATCTTGTGTTAGGACCATTTGGTCCCGTATGGTCCATCGCGTGATTACTCGATCAGGTGATTCCGACTTGTTACTGTTGTCCATTGGGTAAGTTGGCTGCTTGGTTTTGCTGTTGGACAGCTCTATCCACTTTTCCATCTATCAAATCCTTTTGTGCTCGTCTTAAAGCTCCACGTGCTACAGTATCTGCTTTCAATAGTGCTGCTGAGTTTGAATTGGGTACTGGTAAGTATGTTGCCATCCAGACAACCCCCTCTGTAGGAATACCCAGAGCAAATAACCTGTCATCCACTTTGTCCTCCGCAGGCGCTTGGCTGTCATCCCCAGGCGTTCGGCTGTTATCCACAGGCGCTTGGTTATCCTCCGCAGATGCTTGACTTTTTGTGATAACTTGATTTTTCTCATTTATATCCAGCCCGCCTGTGTTAATTCCATTGTTTATATGTGATTGGCACTTACCCGACATGAACATATTTCGGAGAAGTGTGTCGGATGTGTTTTCTAGGCTTGGCTTCTGCACACGCGCCTCAATGAGCACGTCCACCAATTTCGGTTGCTGATCTTCCGTCGCTGAAGTTTCCGGGTAAATAGATTCCACCTTCCACTTATTTTCGTCTTCTGAAATTTTTGTTGACTTTGGGAGGATTTTAACGATATTGGCATCCATCAGCGCAACCAACTGCTGGATACGTATCAGTGGGGGGCCAGTGGCTAAAAACAGGTCTAATGATGCGAAGCGCCGGCTTAGGTCCTTTTTATCGTTGTCCCTGACGCCTCGGTGATCAATGATGTGTCGCAGATCATTGCGGATGTGACGCAAAACACTTCTAGCCGCCGCATGGGGTCCGTAAACGTCACCAAGCTGGGCTTGCCTGACGTCTTCTTCAAGGTAGCGTATCATATTAGACTGGAATGTAAGTTCACGGTTAAACGTCTTTTCAGGGTGCTTCACAAGATTCCAGTCCCAGGCCTCGAGATTCAAACTTTTAATCAACTCACGTCTCAGTTTGTCTGAGCCTGTAACGAAATCGTTTTCAAACTTCTTGATAGTTTCGGTAGGTTCATCACGGAGCCGCAGAAGCTGTCGGTAGTAGACGAATTCGACTTCTTTGACGATCAGGGGCCAAAGAACCGGCTCGAAGGATGATGCTTCATTCTTGGCGTTTTCACGGAACTGCTTGATACGTTCCTGGGTAATAAAGAGAGGCTTATGTTGTTGTTCAGCTGTCCTCTGGTTAGGAGCGCGAGCGTGGTATGGTACTCCACGCCTTGAGAAGCAGTATATAGCTTTAGGCTCTTTCTCCGAGCACTTGTATACCAGTTTGCAGTTCTCTTCCACGAACTCTCCGCCTCGTCCCTCGGTCAAAAGGGCCAAATAGTCGATAAAGCCAAGTCCCAAGCCGACCATCAGAACAGAGTCTGTTTCCTTTATATTCGAAAGGTCGGAATTGGCCGCATTGCAAGGAGGGACGTATATCAGTTTATGTTCCTCTGCGTAGCGCGATTGCTTCTTCACTTCCCCTACGTCTTCTTTGTCATCGACGAGATCTTTCTCAACATGGCCCTGTGCGAGAATAACAGCGGAGAGATTGTCAATTTCACCAGTAGACAGGCGGAGTTTATAAAGGCCTTCTATGCTACCTTCGAGGAGTTCCTGCGCCTGGGCGGGGTAGAACTTGACCCTTACATTTTTCGGAAGCGTTTCAACAACATGGTCGTACACCCATCTGAGGTAGGTGCCGCATTGAACCCGTGTCGGGTAACCATTTGGGCCGATAATATGATCGTTGCGCTTAAGCCAATCATACAAACTTAGGCCCTTAACGATCGGACCGTTACACTTGACAGAATCGTCGGTGAAGAGAGTATTTTGAGAAGCCGGCGTATTCATCATCAAAAGTGCAGATTGATCGGTGCGCCACACTTTGCCAGCCCCTGGTGGATACTGGTCGATGATATGGATGGTGAGCCATGAGTCGTGGTTGATGAATTGCATGGCAGAAGCGCTAATTCGCTCCAGGACGCTCGTGCCTCGAGGGCCAGCCCCGACAATGGCGATTTGGGGACCGTAACTGATGCTGGCCATTGGTATATTCGAGAATCCGTAGTTTCCTCTGTCCGACATTTTGTAAAGTTGCTAAATTCCTTGTTTGGTGACAGCGAGTGTTGTTAACTCCTTAAGCATCAAATGGTAGTTGCTGTTTTTGCTATTTGGTACCGACATTGCAATGCTTATATCCTTATTTTATAGTCCATAACGGCCTTCCCATCACACGTCTTCTCATATATCCCGCGTTAGCCGGTGCGAGTTTCTCTCGGGCATTAATGCCTCACATCTACGAGACAAGGCTTTGATCTTACCTACTCTAGAATTTCTGCATATTCGGGCTCCAACTATAATCTCTAATTGGCTTGCATCAAAGCTTCAGCTATAAGATCTGGAACACAACTTTCTCTCTAATTTAATCCCATGATGGGAAGGCATTCATTTTGATAGGCATTGCTGAAAGATCGGAGGACGCCAAGTGGATACGTCTATTACCTCCGCATAGATAATCTTCAATCGTGGCACGCTCAAGGTTTATCCAGTTAATCATTCGAAATATATATGTTAGGATCGGATCTGATGCCTAATAGGGCATGATGGTTTAGTGGTTGCATTAATCAAGTTTTAGTTTAGTTTAAGTATTAAAGTTGATTTTAAAATGTTTGACATTATAGATACGGATATTATTATTGTATATAAAGACACTGAGGATGATTTGAGTATATATAAAACTATCTTTTTAATTATCAGTTATAATTATTAGAGTGATTTATATTATATACTTTGAATGACAAGTGCTAATTGATCAAAAGGATCTTTTGGAACTTTTCAAAGATTTTTTTTTCAAATTCTATTTTGATTTTAATATTTTGAATATTTTAAAATAATCTAAAAAGGAATATAAAAGAATAAATTTGATTTGATATTCATTAAATTTGAAAATTATATTAATGTTGATTTTATTTTATATTATTAAATAAATATAAATATCTTTTTAAATATCAAGAATTCTAGTAATCTGATTGCTTATTATGATTTTTATTAAACGGTGATGATTATAATTGATTATTCAAAAGATGATTACAATTCTTATAAAATATTTTTATTAGATAAATTATCTCTTTAGAATTCTTATCTCATAATAGATTGTGTAGTATAATCTCATAAAGACAGGTAAGTTTTGGATTTTGTAGGTATAGATCGACAACTATTGTCTGAAAAAAGTGTCACATCAAGACATAGACTATAGGGATTCCGTTGAATAGAACGTTTTTTTTTCAGCTACTTAATAGAAATCGAATTTTAGTGCCGAACATTTTGATCTTCACAACATTCAACTACCGAGCGTATTGACTATAGAAATGATACACCAGCATCTGTGACGTGGTGCAACATAGTACTCAGCTCAAATTAGCGTAGTAGGAATCCCAGTTGATACATTCTAGAATACAACAAAAGTAACACGAGAATAACGCATGTAGTGCCAATTATGCAGGTTTAGGATCAAAACTGTGGGGGCGGGGGTGGGGAAATGCTAGATTTGTACTTTGCATGTAGATTGCATGTATCCGGGGAACATACGGATCTGCATGGCTCGTACTTTATCCAATACATTTCAGGAATAACTGATGAACCATGGTATTTGCTCGTATATGACATTATTATGCGAACCTTCATCCAGGTACTCGTGCAGCCAGAAAGTATAAGACTATGCACTGAAATATGGGCCATTATTCCCCTTTAGTTTATCATTCTATGGTACGTGTTTAAAAGTGGATAGTCTTATCCTTTCCGGCCGCATGAGTATCCCCTAATTGCCAACAACAGCCGCCATCGCTTAACAAGGATCATAGTAACTAATTAGATTACTAGAATTTCTAATATTTAAAAAGATGTTTATATTTATTTGATAATATAAAACAAAATCAATATTAATACAATTTTCAAATTTGATCAGTATTAATTTAAATTTTTTTGGAATTTTTTTTTAAAAATCAAAATAGAATTTTAAAAAAATATCTTTAAAAAGTTTTTAAAGATCTTTTTGATTAATTAGAGTTTATTATTCAAGATATTGTAACGATCTGGTTGAAGCAGCGGCTGCCTCAGGATTCGTATGGTTGGTAGTTGTAGGTTAAGGCTAATAATCACTGGTTATCCACTCGAAGGTGAATACGTTACTAGATCAATTGGAATGTAGGTAAACTAATTGATAACTAAGTTGAGCACGAAGCTCCTAAACTATGAAACTATTCTGACTATATACTAATCCATTTCGGGAGCCTCCAGGAGCCCACGCTCCTGGAGACTCCATCACGTGACTAGGATCAGACCATATGTCCGAGCTTGCTGAAGGTGGGGAGACCATATGAAGCGGTTGCCATACAAATTTGTATACAAGTGTAACGATCTGGTCGAGGCAGCGGCTGCCTCAGGTTTTCGTATGATTGGTAGTTGTAGGTTAAAGCTAATAATCACTGGTTATCCATTCGAAAATGGATATGTTACTAGATCAATTGGAATGTAGGTAAACTAATTGATAACTAAATTGAGTATGAAGCTCTTAAACTATGAAACTATTCTGATTATATACTAATCCATTTTGGGAGCCTCCAGAAGTCTACATTCCTAAGGGCTCCAAAAAGCCTATAAGAGCCCACGCTCCTGAAGGCTCTATCACATGACTAGGATCAGACTATATATCTGAGCTTGCTGAAAATGGGGAAACCATATGAAGTGATTGCTATACAAATTTGTATACAAATTGCTTTGCTTTTCAATAAGATCAAAGCTCATAAAGATAGATTAACTATTATCTTGTAATACTTTATAAAATGATTTTGTAATACTATTCTCTTTTTAACTAAATATTGTTCCTGATCGTTTATAATTAGTATATAATCTATTAATTTTTCATTATTTTATATCTTGATTCTTTTTCTCATTATGAATAATTCATAATCCAATAAAATTCATCGAAAAAACAAAAAGAAGTCCTATCTTATAATTGAAATCGAGAATTCTGATATCAAAATGATTCTATATATTCATTATTATATAGAGAGTCTTCATTATATAAAAATTCTGAATAATTTGTAAAAGATTTGTTGTTCTGAATATATACAATCTTATATCTCTTATAATACAAAGTAATGTTTGAAAGATGATTGAGATAAAAAAGTTCTTCGAATAAATAATTAGAAATCTTTAAATAAATAAAAGGAAAAACTTTGTAAAGAAGAAAAAGAAATTATAATTAAAATTCTTTGTTTTCGAAAACAACAAGATTATTTATAGAATCATTATAGAAAAATAACTAAATAAGATCTCAAATATCTTAATAAATTGGATATTTTGAAAAAGAAGAAGAGAAAAGAAAAAAAGGAAATTGTTGTATTTTCGATATTTATTGTTAATTCTAATTCTTTTAATCAATTTAATCAATTTAATCAATTTGATCAATTTGATCAATTAATCTTTGATCAATTTGATTAATTATCAATTAACTTTATTAATCCTAATAAAATTCTTACAAACGAATTCGATTCTTTCAATTTTTCTTTATAAGAAATAATGAATTCTTTTTTCTTTTAGATAAATCCAGATTCTATTGATAAAACTCTTAATACTTTTTTAAATGTTTAATTTCTTTTTCAAATTTCTATATATTTTCGGAGTCAAAATAATCTTTTTATTTTATTAAGTATTTGATTTTGTTTTTAATATATTTATAATCTAATATCTTTTTCATTTTGTATTTGGTATTTTGATTTGTAAATATGATTTCTGTTTTAAGAGTTTTAGATATTTCTAGGGATATTAGTTTGAATAGGGATATATAGAATATTAAATGTATATTTATATTTTTTGGTAGTATCAATTTATAATTCAAAAATTCTTTAACTTTCTTGATTTTGAATAATCCGAGTTTTTTGTGATCCAATTTTGTATTAGGTCTTTTTGTTTCGATATTTTTTCGAAATAAATAGATTTTATCTTTTTCTTTTAATATTAGTTTTTGATTATATTTCTGGTTATAATAATATGTATTTCTTTTGGTAACGAATTTCAATTCTATTGTTATTTCTTTATAAACTTTTTTGAATCTTTTTGTTTGTATTATTGTAGATTGATTTTTTATTTTTATAATCTTTGGTTTATGGTATGTAATTAGTTTATATTTATAATTGATATAATTCAGAGTGATTTATATTGTTTTTGATATTAAATTGTTGTATATAAATTATATTAAAAATAAAAGTTCTATTTAATTATTTTATTAATAATTTATATAATATTGAAAATAAACTTCGATAATTTGGTTTATTCTTTTGTTTTCTTTATTAATTTGTAAATAGAATATAATAGATATTTTTTTTTTATTTTTAATAATACTATTAAAATGATTCAAAATTTCGATATAAAGAGTTTATCTTTATTAAAGAGTATTTTCTTTGGTAATCTATATATTGTTATAATTTCTTTTAGAAATATAAAAGTTAGTATTTTTGTAGTTAATATTGTTTGATATAGTATAAGTATTAGGTATTTTGTTAGTCTATTTATTATAATAAGGAGATAATCATATATTATTTTTATTGTTGAATTCTTAGATTTTGGTAATGAATTTATAAAGTCTTATGATATTGATTTTTATAGTATAAATAATATTTTGATAATATTCATTTGATTATAAAGAGTATAATAAGAATTTTTATTTTTAATATAAATATTATACTTGATGATTATTTTATTAATTATATTGTAGAATTTTAAACTTTAATATTATCTTTTGATTCTTAAATATATTCTTTATACTTTTTGATATTTGTAAATTAATAATATATATTATTCTGTGATATACTTAGAGATGATATTATTTGATAATTATATTTTGTTTCTTATTCGAAATAATTCTTTAATAATTATTAATAATTCTGGTTATTTGATATTTTTCTTATTTTGTTGTTTTTTTATAAGTTTATTCTTTTAAATCTTTATTGATTTATTTTCTATAATAACGATTTCTGTTAGATTAAGGATAAAATCTTCATTTGATAAAGATTTCAAGATTATTGTTTTCTAATAAATTTTATCGTTTTTATAATTTGATAATCTATTTAAAGTATTTGCTTTTATATTATTTTTTCTTTTAATATATTTGATTATTAAATCAAACTTTATTAGTTTTTTAGTTTATCTAATTAATCTATAATTA